AAAAAAAAAAAAAAAAAAAAAACGAAAATGCTTGGCAAGATTGCCCTAGAAGAAGCCTACGAAATCCCCTCAAAGGCAGACCAAATCCGCGAGCAAGCAGCCCTCTACATCGCCCCCACCGACCTCGACCGCTATCTCCTCCAAATAAAATCCATCACCGACGAACGCCTCCAAATCTCTAACGCCCACGGCATCGGCTACACCATCATCTCGCTCACTGTCCCCGGCATCCAGGGAATAACCGACAAATCCGCCGCTGAGAAACAAGCCCATGAGGTCAACGACTACATCGCCGACATGATCAAGCCGCACCGCGACAGGCTCGGCGCCTTCGCCGCGCTCTCAATGCACGATTCCGTACAAGCGGGCCAGGAACTCCGGCGGTGTGTGACGGAGCTCGGGTTCCACGGCGCGCTGCTGAATGATATCCAGCATGCTGGGGTCGATGGCGAAACGTATCTCTTCTATGACCAGCCTGAGTATGATGAGTTCTGGAGGGTGGCTGTGGAGCTCGATGTGCCGGTTTATATCCATCCGGCGGCACCGCAGGGGCAGTATTATCGGCAGCAGTATGCGGGGCGGAAGTACCTTGTTGGGCCGCCGTTAAGTTTCGCGAATGGGGTGTCGTTGCATTTGCTCGGGTTGATTACGAATGGGGTGTTTGATCGGTTTCCCAAGTTGAAGGTTATTGTTGGGCATTTGGGGGAGCATATTCCGTTTGACTTTTGGAGGATTAACCATTGGTTGGAGGATGTTGAGCGGCCGCTGGCGAAGAAGGCGGGCGATCGCATGTGTGAGAGGGATATTTATTATTATTTTAAGAATAATATCTGGGTCACGACTAGTGGGCATTTCTCGACGCCTACGCTGAAGTATGTTTGTGATTATCTGGGGCCGGAGCGGATCCTTTTCAGTGTGGATTATCCTTATGAGACGATTGAGAATGGTTGTGGGTGGTGGGATCAGGATGCGGAGAATATCAAGAAGGCTCTTGGGGGGGAGGATGGGTACTTGAACGTGGGACGGGAGAATGCGAAGAAGCTTCTGAAGCTGGAGAAGTTCCATGACTCGGATGCGCCAGTGTCGTGATTGTTTTTTATTTCAGTGAATTATCCATGCAAATACACTGTCATGGTTTAAGATGCTGTATAAAAGTTGACTGGATATGTATTACAAGCCAAAATATTAAGTTAAGCACATAATCTACCGATTAACAGACTCTAAATACCAAACCTTCTGCAAGTAGACAATGAAGTTAGTTCTTGTGAACGTGCTTTCCGACTGTCCCGTCTAGCTGGGCTTCCAAGACAGCAGTAGTCCCACTTTGTACGGTTTTGATGGCCTCTGGTAGCATCCTTGCAAGATCTGAAACCGAAGCTGCAGTGCCCGCCCAGAGCTCTCCTCCTGCTGCAGCCTTCGCAATACCAGGGTAATCAGGGGTTGGGGCGAAGGAAATATTGAGGTCTTCATTAGTAGAACGCGAGCCGTCCCCTTCAGGATGGACGAGAAGCATACTCCGTCTGGGAGCATTCCAGCCCTTGTTGTTCAGCACGATAGTAAGGATAGGAATGCTATACCGCCGAGAGATCCAGTAGACGGAGCCCGGGACAGAAAAGAGGTACGTGCCATCTCCCACAATTTGGCAGACAAACTTACCTTTATTCTTGCCGCCGTTTTTGTGGTCAGTGGCCAGTTTAATGCCGAGTGCACCTCCACCAGACCAGCCAAGTCCGCCACCCCCACAATTGATCCATGACTTGGGCAAAGTGGCAGCGATCTGATCAGCTACAAAAGGAGTGAGTGTGACGGATTCGATGGCCCAAATGGTATCCGCAGGGCAGCTCTTCCGAATCTGACTGATAAGGTAAGAGACATTAAGGTCAGCGTTACCACCCCCTGATGGCGTTACAGCAAGATCTGCAATCCCTTGTCGGGTCTTCTTGTATTCGTCCTCGCGACGTTTACCGAGAGATGTCTGCTCCTCGGAGGCAAGTAACTGCTTTAGCGATTCGTTGGCGGTAACGTGCTCGTTGATCTGTTTGAAAGCCGTAGCTGATTCTGCGCGGAATGTGGCTATGGAAGGGAGATAGAAAACCGGCATTTGTTGTTTGAGTGGATCAACATCTACGTGGACGATCTTTGCTGATTCGGACGGTTTGCATTGTGTCGGGATCCAGGGCACATCGCAGTCGGCAACTAGTATGAAATCTGCTGTTTTGATAGCCTCATGGAGACCAAATCGCATTCCCAATGACGCCGGGTGGTCGCCTGGGAAGCACATGTCGCATCCACCGGTGTCCAGTACTCGAACTCCCTTGAATGTGTCCGCGAGCTTAACAAGCTCTTCCACTCCTCTAGTCTCACGTCCAGAATAACCTACAATCACCAGAGGCTCCTTGGCAGCTGCGAGTTCGGACGCGATCAGTTCAACGCCTTCAGCTGGCAATGCAGACGGTGCCACAGGGCCCCAGACTTTCTGATTGACCTTATATGGCTCAATTTCCTCCTCCATCACCTCTCGAGCACCAGCCAGATACACCGGACCCTTAGGATCGCTAGTTGCAAATTGAAGAGCCCGGTTGACCATCTGCTTTACATTCTTACCAGAACGGATTTCTCCCGAGTACCGGCAGTATTGGGAAACAATCTGCTTCTGATCCGGAACATCTTGAATCCAGTGAATGTACTCGGTGCGAGAGCCCCGCATCTCCCCTTCAATAGTGAAGGGCGAGAGACCGGCAAAGATTAAAACCGGAGCACGCCCGCAGGACGCATTGTGTACGGCAGCGGCTAATCCTTGCGTGCCGACATCAACATGAACAATCACGCATTGCGGCTGGCCGGTAAGTCGAGCGTAACCATCTGCCATAGAAAGGGCAACCATCTGCGGGGTAGAGTGAAATGCGGGGTTAGTCTTGATATCCAAGGGCTCATGGAAACCAGTAGTAACTGAGGAGAACCTCAAGGCGATTTGTAAGCTGAATGAACTTACTTCGTTAGGACAGGTGAAGACTTTAGGAAATTCGTCAGGCTTCTCTTTCCGACCCTTAACCATAGCCTCCAGGATGGAGGGATGATCGGACCCTAGATTGGCGAAGACATGGGTGATTCCAGCCTATGAGACTCCTTTAGCTTGGAAAAAATCAACTAATCGAAGAGAGAACGTAAGGTGCATACCTCCCATAGAGCCTCGAAAAAGGCAAAAGATGCAGTATAAACCCTAATGGTTGGTTAATAGCCGTCAATGCATTTTGGCTGCTTGGGGTCACATATATTGAGTATACTTACATGATTTCAATGTACCGAACCCAGAACAGATGTAGACAGAGAATAACCAGGAAACAAGCGAAAGGATATGTAGAGACGTAGAAGATCGGTGCTTAATATGAACTTGAGGAGGCGCTGCTTATTAAAGGTACAAGGAAATCTATTTCCAGAAGCAGTTGGTATAAGGTCGGCGTAAAGTCCGATGGCTATAGAATAACCGGGACAAACTTCCCGATATAATGTAGCTTCCATAGAACATCGCAACAGTTCCACTGCGGGGTTGGCATAGCACTCTTTGTATCGTCGATCGCGACATCGGAGGCCCAGGCAATGTTTCCGAGGTGGAGAACAAATTGGCATACTGGTCCGTTGCATTCTGGTTCTCTGAATTCGGTACCTGCAGACTTACTTTCTTGGCCCGTAAAGATCAGGGTTATCACAATAAATCTAGATTTCAAAGGCTATTGATGTGAATCTTACCCTGATACTCGTAAATGCTCATATCAAGTTTCTAGATGGGACACACAGGCAAATGTATGTACACTTCCTATTTAAGACACATCCCTCAGGCACCGATGACGTCGGTCCTCAGGCAACCACATTTGGATGTCTTTCACTCGACAACGCTTTCGTCATATTGTGAATTTCGAAACAGATTATTTATAAATCACTTCCAAAATGCTTACCCCTACATTAAACGTCTCCACTACAGCTTAGCCTTATTCATAGAAACCGGTACCACAAGCATCACACCCTCCTCCCTTCAGCCTTATGGTGCTTAGTCTACGTCATTGCTGGAGAACATGGCAGGAATTCATATATCTTTTGGCGTTGGTCAATCCATGGTCGAGCCTCTCGTCAAGTTATCCTGTACTCTATTCTCTATCTTTTTGACTTCAATAGGATATTGGTTCATCCGCCAACATAAGAGCCCTAACCAAACCTGCGCCGACATGATCCCAGAAAGGGTTTACCAACTATGTCACAGCAGCAAAACTGTGAGCTCCGCACTTGCACAAGACCCAAATCAAGCACCAACCAAGGTCTTTCACAAGCTTTACAATGACCATCACGACGAAGAGGGCAAGCCGGAACCAGAGAATGGGGTAAATAGCCATGACAGGTTACAGAAGGCCCTGGAGTGTGGAAATTGGGGCCCTACAAAACCGACCAAGCTATTCCTGCAGGTAAGAGATAGTCTATCAGGTAAAGATAGAGTATATCTAACTATCATGTAACAGGTATATCATGATGCACTATGCACCTTGGAAAAGAACCCAATGGCGGGGGTGGTCTCGCCCCCATTCATGGGTGGCCATGGAATCCTACCTTTGACAATCGTGGCCCCATTGCCGGACTTGTGCCGGCACATGGCAAACTGTATTGCCCGGGCTGAAACAGAAGTCTTTCTTGGTACAAACTTCTGGATCCATTCCGATGCTTCGACCTTAGTGACCAATGCCTTTCGCGAACTATCCAAACGAGCGGGTGAGCGCGGCACAAAGGTCGTGGTGAAGATGATCTATGACCGGGGTGACCCACGACAGGCCTATGATAACCGTTTAGACGTACCAGAAAAGAAATACACCAGCGACAAAGTCCAACTTCCTCCTGCCGATGAAGTTCCTAACATCGACCTGCAGGTTGTCAACTACCACCGTCCTCTATTCGGAACGTTTCATGCTAAATTTATGGTAATTGACCGGAGAATTGCCCTACTCCAGAGCAGCAATGTTCAAGATAACGACAATCTGGAGATGATGGTCAGGCTTGAAGGTCCCATTGTAGACGCTTTCTATGATACCGCGTTAATCTCATGGGGGAAGCACTTCAATACGCCCTTTCCCATGCTGTCGTCTCCCGCTGCAGGTGCTCCACCCCCTAGTCTTTCCATGATGGACGTAAGCCACGGGCAGGAGGCTCAGGGTTTGTCTTTGCCAGAGCACACCACCACAGACCAACACTATGACTCCGATATTAAGGACGAGGCACAAAGAGTCAACGGCACGCTCAAGCCAAGACCGGGCGAGCCAAAAACTAGTCCTGTCACTCGTCACCTGAGTATATATCCTTGGCAATTCTTTGTACTTGCACGGATCTTATAGCTTACTTTGTCTCACAGACACGACTACCCAGCCAAATACAACCGGTGATGCCCCTAACAGTGATCAAGATATCCCGATGACGCCATACACCATATCACCGCCCCATGAAACATTTCCAATGGCTTTAGTAAATAGAGAGCCTTGGGGAGGTAAGTGGTACACAATCATTCAATGCTTTACCATACTAACGATCTCGAGCGCCGAACCATTCAAGCATTTATACCCCGCAAAACGCCGCCTTCCTCTCGGCAATTCAAAACGCAGAGCACTCAATCTTTATCCAGACCCCAAATATGAATGCAGAGCCTCTCCTAGAACCCTTACTAGAGGCAGTCCGTCGTGGGGTCGTTGTCACATGCTACCTTTGTCTGGGCTATAACGACGCCGGACAATTACTTCCCTTCCAGAACGGGACGAATGAAATGATTTCTAACCGGCTATATAGCTCCCTCGAGACACAGGAGGAGCGCTCAAGACTACGTATATATAATTATGTGGCTAAAGACCAGACGAAGCCCATCCATAACAAGTTTAAGCGTCGAAGTTGTCACATCAAGCTCATGATTATCGACGGGAAAGTGGCTATACAAGGTAGAAAGTCCTCTTCCTTTTCAGACCAGGTCCCAGCTAACAGTATATAGGAAATGGAAACCTCGACACTCAATCATTCTACCACAGCCAGGAAATTAACATCCTCATCGACTCGCCGCTCATCTGCCGTTCATGGCTTGAGACGATCAATCGCAACCAGAACACAGTGCTTTATGGCGCGGTGAGTCCTAAAGATGGATGCTGGCATGATACCGTCACCGGTGAGGTTCCTGAAGGTTCTATTGGTGTCAACCCGGGACGTTTCAGCTGGGCCAAAGGGGTGGTTGGAGCTGTGCAGAGAGTGCGAGGTGCTGGTGGATTCTAGTTAACTTGGTTACGACTATATTTTTGGAATTAAGCTTAGCGGTCGGTTGGATATGAATCATGAGACAATGAGGATAACCAAAACATGCTACTCTCCGAGCCCTATAAGTGATACTAAACACGAAACAGCTCCTGTATTCCCCCTTACACAAGGACTGGGACTACGTAAATAGGTCCTGTGCCAATGCATACGGCTAAGGCGCTTGTTTACGAGCAGCAAGCCGTAAAGGTAATTTGGCCACCTACCCTACTACTGTTACCGTCACGCACAAGCCGTACGTCGCATTCAATCCTCCTAAGATTATACTAGTAACTTTGCTGACATCCCTTCCCTAGGTCTTACTCCGCCACACGTATGCCCGGTGATTTCACGCATTCCTCCCATCTACTGCTCCCTTTACCATATTGAGTCGTTTGAATTTGACGGCCCCGGTGGCCTATGAGTTACTATAATCCATGATTTACTGAAGAACTAATAAAGAAAATAATAGTAGAAGGATTTAACAGTACTTCAAAACAACATAATATCCGATATTGGGTCTTCCTCCGTCAGGATCATAAACTATACGTGTACCAAAGTAACACAACATCCTCAACCCCCACACCTTATGCCCTACATCTCAAACCAAAATACTCCGTAGTCTTATTTATACCTACTTAATACTCCGTACATTTCCCACCTCCATCTTTCACCCACTGTATACAACACCCAACCCCCAAGATGTCCCACCCCTACGACCCTCCCATAAAAGCTATAACAGACTATCTCTACCACTACAATATAACAGACTCATCAGCCTACACTGCAGCCCGCACAGCCCTCCTCGACACCCTAAGCTGCGCCATCGAAACAGCCTCGAAAAGCCCCGAGGCCCGCAACCTCCTCGGCCCCTGTGTACCAGGTACGGTCGTTCCAAATGGATTCAAGCTACCAGCGACAAGGTACCAGTTGGATCCGGTGAAGGGGGCATTCGATTTAGGAGTTTTGATCCGGTACTTGGATCACAATGATGCTCTTGGGGGAGCGGAGTGGGGCCATCCTTCTGGTACGGTACTCCTTCCCTCCTCTCTTTGAAGACTAGCCTTTTGTTGTGCGGAGTGTCTTAACAAAGAGTGAAGATTGATTATAATATTGCTTATCTCATATAGATAACCTAGCCGCCATCCTCTCAACAACAGATTGGCTATGCCGCTCCTCAAACCCCACCCCCAACAACCACCCCGGCCCCAGTCCACCCCTAACCATACGAACCCTCCTCGAAGCTCTCATAAAAGCCTACGAGATCCAAGGCTGCTACCAAATGCGCAACGCCTTCAACGCCCTTGGAACTGACCACGTCATCCTCGTCAAACTCGCCTCCGCAGCCGTCGTCTCCTGGCTCCTGGGACTCACCGAGGCGCAGACCATGGCGACAATCTCGCACGTCTGGATGGACGGGCATCCGAGCCGGATATACCGCACGGAGGAGAATACGATTTCGCGCAAGGGGTGGGCGGCGGGGGATGCGGGGATGCGGGCGGTGCATTTGGCGTTGGTTGTGAGGGCCGGGCAGGACGGTGTACCGGGGGTTTTGGGGTCTGTGCCGTGGGGGTTCTACAGGCGGTGTTTTGGGGGGGAAGCGTTTGAGTTTCCGAGGGCGTTTGGGACGTGGACAGTTAGGAATGTGGTGGTCAAAGTGATGCCGGTTGAGGGGCATGGTATTGCGGCTGTTGAGGGGATGTTGGTTCAGAGGGAAAGACTTGTGAGTATGGGGTTGGGGGCGGGAGATGTTGAGAGGATTGAGGTTCGGACGACGGGGGCGGCGGATTTGATTATCAATAAACGGGGTCCGTTGTATAATGCTGCGGATCGGGATCATTGTATTCAGTACGTTGTTGCTCTGGCGTTGTTAAAGGGCGAGGCTCCTGAGGCTCGTGATTATCTGGATGAGAGTTGCTGGGCGAGGAGTGAGGAGCTTGCTGCAATGCGTGAACGGATCATTGTGGTGGCCGATGATCGATTGACGGCTGATTATCTTGACTTGGAGAAAAAGAGTATCGGTTCTGCTTTGACGGTGTATTTTCGTGACGGCACTATCCTGCCTGAGGTATTGGTGGAATATCCAATCGGTCATGTCAAGAACCCTAGGTCTGCGGCCGCGGTACGTGACAAGATTATGAGAAACATGCGTCTTATATTCTCAGAGGCACACATCGCCAGAATCCTTGCCGCCGTTGAGAACGATGATATGAACATTTCGGAGTTTGTCGACATGTTTTGGCTCCAGACATCCACGGAGTCCAGGCTTTAGGAGATTGTGTTTTACACATCTGTGGACTGTACTTAGGGTTGGAAAAGTAGGAGGATTCATGGGTAACTGTGATAAAGGAAGAAACGACAATATATTCCAGACATCCAGTATCTGTAGCGTGACATATGGTGTCAGCAATTCACCAGTGCATATATAACCAGCAGATATTCGCAAAATCCAGACAACATTTACATTGTCCTATCATCTATCAACCGACCTTTCCAACTCCTTGTAGAGTCAGATAGACGTCGGTTCCCCAGCCCCAAAGGCTCTGTACGGCAATACTACCACCAAAGTACTCAGCGTAGGCCCTGCTTAATGGCAATCCGTACCCAAGTCCTGCAATGCTACTCAAGTGACCACTGCTGGAAGACATGGCATTCAAAGCATCCATGTTTCCGTTTTCCGATCCCTGCAGGTCGAGATCGGAGAAAGTGGTAAAGCTATAGGACCAAATATTTGGCAGAATTTCGGGAGGGATCCCACCCCCTCTGTCCCGAATTCTGATCGTAATGCTTTGCGTGGAGGGGGACGAATGTTTGATTGACTCGTTCGCATCTGCGGTTCCAGCGACGCTGTCCCTCTCAAATCCAACATCAGAGTCAGGTTGATGGGGCTGAGTTCCCAATGATGGTGAACATGGCCCGAGTACATGGTTGCTCGGGACGTCAGGTGCAGCGGCGATGGTCACCTCAATAGGCTCACGTTCATTCCCCGACTCAACCACAGCTCTGAACGCATTCTTCAACAGTTCCGTGAGTATGTACTCTACATGGACAGGAACATGCGCAAAGGTAGCGTCCGGTTGTCCACCAATGGTGAGCCGTGGGCGGACGCCATATTTCAATTCGCAGATTTCTCCGACAAAATCCTCACAGAGCTTGACAATGCGTGCCGGCTGCAGAGCAGTGTCGATGACACCTATATAGTTCGATGGTGCTGTGCTCTTCGGCGGACGGCCATCATCAGTGACTGGTTGTGAAGCAAAATGAAGCGCCAAGTGTTGCTCAGCTATCAGCCGAGTGCCGATTCTCGCCCGAAGGTGGGTGTCAAGGAACCGAGTCACCTCCGCCGAGTCGATATATCGGCGGCATTCAAGAAATCCGCGCGCAAGTACGGGAATGGTATTCGTATGAGTATGGACTAAATCCGCCAGTACCTCCGCGAAGTGTTTCTCTGCCTCGAGTGTCGTTACCTGCCGTTGCTGGTACGGGAGAAGGGTTGACAAGGAGTGAAGATAATTATTGTAGATCTTTGAAACGTGGGGATTCGAAACGACAATAAATGGGAGGTTTCTTAGAGCTTCGATTCTAGATGCGAGTCGAGCAGGGAGAAGCGAAAGCGTAAAATTCGCCGATGCGAGGAGAGCATCCTTCGATAATGGCGGACGACCGTGTCTAGATAGATCGTGATAAGTATATTCTGCACAATTTAGATAAGGTCCACCATAACAGACTCACTTGAGCAAATCTGCAAGAGTTAATGGCCGACGGCGACTAGCCGCAAGACGTGTGACTTCATCATTAGCCCCATAGGCGAACAGGTGCTGTGGTGATGTTACAACCTTATAGAGCGGTGACACACTGAACTGACGTGCTTTTAGGACATTATGGGTTGACAAAATCCTATGTCGGGCGCTGGAGTTCAGTACCCGTACGAAAGCATTAGTTATAGCCATCGTAAGCAGTAGCCATTCTGTGACTAGTTTCACATTGAGTCCTTCTGCCTCAAGTGTGACATTCATCACTGTCAGTGCTCACATCATACCACTCAAAAGGGTAATTCTCACGTGGGAAGGACGGACACTAATACCATCCAGGCCAAGCGGCGGTTAACTTCGGAATGCTTAGTCACCACAATAGAACTTGACAGTTGTAAACAGAGTATGAATGAGAAAACACCACTTTCACTTTTCATCCCTTCAGTCTTTGAATATTGGTAAGTACATACAATCGCGAAAACAGGCCAATGGGACGCGAACCATTTTAGATAAAACAAGAAACGAGCCGGGGTCCCTTACTTCGGATCAGCAACACTGCGTCAGGACCCGTATGGACCAGACCTATAATAGATATATATTGTAGACGCTTATCGCAGCTCTTTGCCTTTACGCTTATCGTATGTATGCAGTTGTTCTTGGCCTGTTGTGGTTGGTTGCTTCCCTATCAGGTTAAGTCATTATCTCTTGAGTAATCTGTGCCGCCTAGTTACTGGCAGTTGGTGAGTAGAAAGAAAACAGTTACACGATAAACTTAATATTGGATATGATACTAAGTCATGATTGAACAAGAGAATATTCTCTGGTGTGTACAGGTGCCCGCACAGCAGTCCTGGTGCCCATAAACAACATTCCCTTGAAACGCTAGACTAGAATATTCGTAATTCGTACAACCACCCATGAACCACAATTACCCCGGACGAGTATCAATATATAGTTCATGAGCTACTTCCGCTTGCTTGTTGACAGCGATACAGTATCGTATTCTTTCCCGGGATCGGCGTGTGTTTCCAACTACTGAATCTTCATCTCACCGTCCTGTTCGACGTGGACATGGTCGGACGACTCAAGAGCACCGACATGGTCATCGGGGTACTCGACACTTGTAGGCGTCAGTTGGGCTTGTTGCCGGAGTATTGTGGAATTTCATAATGGAAGGTTGCCTTACGTGAAACCCTTGATAAGCGTATACTCGTGCTTGATAGTGCCTCCTTCGCTAATAGCCTTGTTCTTAGCTCTAGTAGAGAAGAGGCGATGTTAGTAGGTATTCGACTTGTGCGGTTGGCTATAAGGTGACTCACTTCTCCAGCTCCTCGGGAGGGGAGTCCTTCTTGAGTGTAACCTAAATGGAAAGGCAGATGAGCACTTGGAATCCAAGAAATGGAGAGGAAGGGCGTAACGAACGTTGTAGAGAGGCATTTTCACACGTTGGGATGGGAAAGTGTATTAAAATTGTCAATGAACGAAAGTCAGGAAGTGGACAAGTAGCGTTTGTGTGCTTAGGGGGTGTCAGTTGTAGGATAGTGGGAGAAACAAGCCGTTGACAGGGTGGGACACCGGAGACTTTTATACCACCTTGCGGGGGTTTGAGTCAATATCACTACTGATAAGGGGGGAAATGTGAAATTTGCCCGATAGTGTGGGAGGACAGACGGTTGCCTCAGTCTGCAGGCTCCCCAATTCCTGTGAATCGCGCCATTCGGTCCATACCCCTCGTGACAAAGTTTCCTACTCCGTCATTTCCGTGGGATCCATTGTTTCATGTCCTCTAGCTTTACTGTGTCGTCAGATCTCTACGCCATTTACACCTGCAGGTTTATCCGTCTCATCTTGTGGCTTCGATTCGCCTGTGGCACCGATTCCTCGTGCTTTGACATGCATGACGGATGGTGGGGTAAAGACTATGACGATGACGATGTTCTCGGGCGGGGCAGTCACGTGGTGGATATCCACCATCCCCAAAGACCCCAAAGGTGGCATTCACCGCTCCCGGTACCGCCTTGCTGAATCTTGAGTATTATTCTGGCCTCAATCAATTGAACCCCAATACGTCATTGACACTTTCTCTAAGGCAACGAGGCTGTGCACTGCTGCAAGCTTATGCGACTACTATTCAGGGCACCTGCATGGCCTACTATACCAATTTGAACCGAAGATGCATAGGTTACATTCGAAGTATCACCCCTTTGTCACCCCACCCCTTTCAACACCCATTATATATCTTTAAGAAAGCCAACCTCAATAACCTTTTCCGTTTCCAGCCCTAGAGATGCTATTTTCGCCCTGGTATTCTCTCTGATCCACAAGAAAATCCACAACACTATTCTCCGAAGATAATTCTTGCTCCTGTTGACCCTCATTTGTTCTTTACCGGTAATATAAATAACCCCATGACTGTATGCATCTTCGAGCTTAGCCAATGGTCTATTATCTTGCCCTTTGCCGGCTGCCGTAGACTCTGCAGCCGCAGATGTCATGGATTGCTCTACAGAACTAGGATGACTATTGTTCGTGGTGGTGTCATGCGTGCTCATTGATGAGTCTACCTGATCATCCACTCTCTCACTCAAGTACTTGCGGACCTGCTGGGTGATGGTGTTCGCCAAATTTGGCGTGATTATCTCGTCATTGTACCCATATCGAACAACAAGACGGTAGCAGTTAGGGATAGCAAGCCTCGAAACTGTATAGCGGCCTTCTGCCGGTACCGATGGTGTCTCGATTGGGCGTAGATGAAAGAAGATTATAACCGCAGGCATGGAGGTCAATTTGAGGATAAATTGGCTGAACACTATCGGGGTGGTCTCGCCTGCCTTATCAAAAAAAATTCCGAGACCTTTTGATTTACTCAAGGGCGTGCCGCCAAATCGATCTGTTAGACGGATTTGGCCATCTGGGTCTTTGGAGACGAAATGCGAGGTAGGAAAGCGATCTTCAGCCTCCGCAAACCATTGCTGTTCTTTTCCAAACCTCCATATTAGGAAGAGAATGGCCAACACCGTAGCAAGCACAATGGTAAACCAGGCACCGGTGGGAACTTTCATGAGACCAGAAGAGAGATATGCACCATCCAAACAGGCAATTATGAGCCAGGGCAGGAACACAATGAATGGGCTAATACGCCACACAAACATAGCTGCTAACGCAACCATGCATGTGTCGAAGAATGTGACGAATATAACGCAGACCCCGTATGCGTTACCTAGAGATGTAGTCTTCAATCAGTCAGCATTGGCATCTGAAAGAGAAATAGAGATTAAGACTTACATTATTGTAGATGGAAGCCACAAGTATCGTTCCGATCATAAGGAGCCAATTCGCAATCGGGATGTAGAGCTGGCCATGAAAGATATCGGAGGTATGGACCACTTTGATCTGTGGGAAGTATGACAGTTTCATCACTTGCGTGAGAAGCTAATGGTACGATTAGCAACACTTATTTCATAGACTGGCGATGTTCTTACCTGAAACGTTGCAGTTATGATGGCTTGCGAGGCGACAACAGCAGCTAGAATGGCAATGACCAGTGCAGGATACACGGTTCCTGGTGGTGCAGCATTGAAAAAGGGGTTCGAATATGCCTCCGGATGTACACTGATATAAGCTGCTTGCCCGATATAGGCCAAGAGCAAACACGGAAAAGTGTAACCTAGCCAGCTGATCTGGATAGCTTTTCTGCTGAAGGCCCCAATGTCCGCGAAGAGAGCCTCCACGCCAGTGAAAGCGAGCAACGTCCCACTAAGCATTCTCCAACCCTCTTCACCATGGCGGGCTAGGAATTCGAAGGCATATCCGGGATTGAATGCTATGAATACACCAGCGTCATACTTCGCAAGGTTGTATATGCCAAACACGGCGTTAAATCCTAGCCATATGATGACAATAGGTGCAAAGGCAAAGGTAAGTTTAGTAATCCCGAGCGGTTGGATTAGAAATAGCAGGACCAGGATAGCATCAGTAACTCCTATGATGGTACCTTTTGAAATATTGGGCGCCACTACTTCAATCCCTTGGACAGCTCCCAACACTGATTGAGCTGGAGTAAGAAGTCCATCCGCAAGGACCATTGTAACCGCCAATACTCCCATGACTTTGAGAAGGCGTTTCACAAGATTACTTGATTCAATTCGGTGCCGTACATGTCTGCTAGTTCGTTCAAGGTCATTTGTTGAATGTCGTTTCATTTGAACAAGGGAGGCTTCCCTCGGATCACGGTGGGTGATATTCATCTAGATATGCCAAGTTTAGCTTTTGCAAGGTGTAAGTAGAATAGCAAGTAGTCTTACATAGCGGCTGAGAAGAGAATATGTACTAAATGTCCCTCCTTCGCCGTCATTATCCGCGCGAAGAATAACCAAGACGTACTTGACAGTCACCATCATGATTAAACTCCAGATGATTATAGAGAGTACGCCAATGAGGTCCTGTCGAGAGGGTGTCTCACTGAATGTCGACGAGTAAACGTAAAGAGGACTAGTGCCGATATCACCGTATATAACACCAACGGACTGATAGGCAAGCCAAAGAAGCATCCTTCCCCCAAATTTCTTTTAATATTTAGTTATCAAGCAAACCCGTCTTGCAGCGTGGCTCCTACCTGGGGCTGTTTGAAATCACCTGGTTTTCGCAGTCCAGGATCCTCATCCGCCTCACCCAATGTGCTTATCGCACTTGGCAGCCTATCCAAGGGGTTATTCCACGGCCGAATGTTGTAGATGTCATCGCACGGTTGCCGTGTATCATCTTGCCGACTCTCATGGACCATAGCACCCTTTTCAGAGTCTCGGTCTTGCTCCATGCCCTATGTGTGGAGTAAGGGTTGATCAACTGCCACATTTTGAACAGGATTAGTGTATTCCATGAATCCATTGACATTCTTAGAGTATGATTTGGTTTGCAAGCTCAAGGGGCAGAGTAAGTGTAAGAGGGTAGGTTTCACGCATTGTCGAGGGGGGGACAATATAGTACTAGTATCTCACATATAGTAACTAGCCTTCTCTGTGCACGTGGCCACTAACTGTCCTTGACGATGGATCCACTTGTACAATTTATTGTCAATCGAATAAGACCGTAAAACTTGTTAAGCTCTAGACACCAATATCAACAGAGAAACACCACCTTTGCTGCCAGAACGACCACCGACTCGTACATCCTTATATGCACATAAAGCGAGCGATATCCTTATCTCTAGCATCTCTTCACAACTACACCTCGTCTGACATGTTATCGTATCGTGACGACAAGGTGTTTACAGAGCAGGGGTGTCCATTCTATTTGGGTCGAGTTCTAGTCAACGATGGCGCTTGTGAAGGATCAGCCCGTCTGCGGGATTTATCACCACCAATAGGTCAATCATCTTCTACGATTATCACCACGTCAAAAGATGCAGGATTTAGCTTATTCAATTGAATTTGTTAAAGCTATCTAGATTTGCGAGATAACGAGATGACGCAAGCGACGAGGCCAATGACCACGTGTTGGACTGGAGCCAGAGCACACGGTTCCAAAGTACATCGGGGTTTGATGGTTTCTGTTTGACATAGCATCAGAAATATACCTTAGTCTTTTTTATCATAGAGTATACGAGGAGGCTTTTAAGTATTCGATAAACAGGGATACCCCTACACCAAATCCAATCCTCGTTCAAACCCAAATATCTGAATGTCGCATCGTGCGAACTACAATCCCACGTATCCGGATCCATCATTTTCACGCTGGGGCATCGTCAAACCGTGCATCCCTCTGTATTTTGGAGACTCGGGCTCCTTCCAATTCTCCAGCACTTTCGGATCAGTCAATTGATACACTTCAACACCAAGTGGGCGGGTGGTGGCCCCCATTTCGCTCTTCTCCTCCCAGCCCCAGTTGGACAGATCACCTAAAACACAACCGTTAGCATGACCCAGGTTCCCAGTCAACTAAATCGAGAGAAAGCACATACCACCAGGGCACGCCGAAAGCGCACAGAGAACATCAACCTCAGCAAAGAACTCAAAATATTCCCCTGGCTTCGCTGGCGAAGTTTCCATGAAGTATTTCCCTTCTTCATCCAGTCCAGTTACTTGGAAAACATTCAAAACGTCGTGCACATCAAGCTCGTTCAGTCCAAATGGCAGTATTGAGCGGGTAAGGTTTGAATGGCAGTGAAAGTCGAATGACTCGCCACCCATGAGCAGATTCACGTAAGGGTCGCATCGGGTACCCAGGAGATCATGAACTCGTCCTCCCCACTCCGTCGTTCCGAAACCCTTGGTTCGTTTACCTTCTGCATCGAGCACTTCGTGAAGTTGCCCGCCACCAAGTGAGTCACCAGTAATGGTTACCAGTGGCCTAATATATGGCAGGTTGGACCAAAGACGGTCACCAACCGACACGTGGGAAGCGTGGATCTGACGGGTGCGCGCTGCCCAAAGTCTCTCTCTGGGATTATTTGCATTCCAGATATTCAAGTCACCCACTTGAGGGCCCTTGGGGGTAGTCAAACGACAAATGTGCCCAGCTGGCACAACCCATGCTTGTCCAGAGCACGGACGAATAGTGAAAGACGTCTCTAGATTTCTCTGGGAGGCATCCGAGGCGGTCTTCGAGATAGATCTATAGATCTCGGAAGTGGCATGGACTGTGGAGTCTGGGGGAGCAGTATATGCTGGCGGAGGTCGGCGAGTGACACCCATATCCGCGTCTTAGTTGTGGCTGTTTTTGGTCAATGGGGAAGTATGAAGATTGAGTAGAGAAAAGCAATGGAGAGCCTTCCTAGGGATGTGCGATCCTGTATTTTTAAAGCCATCTCGGCGACACCCCGATAAGTCCTGTAGCTTATAAATACCCCACTAAATCATCTTCCAAGATTACCCCAATTGCGACGGTCCGGTCACCGGGCCGATAGCTTTCTTTCGATGTCTTGCTCGGAATGTATCGCCGGTCTGGAATACGAGCGCTTGACTAACAGCGTTGACATGTTGGTCACCGGCATAAAACTCAGTATTTCTACTAATACACTGATTTTTTAGTCAATATATGAGAGTTCTAAATACAGCAAAGTTGGTGTAGCATGCAAGGTCATTGAACTGGAATGCTTCAATGTGTCGTTAAAAGAACCAAAAAGGTGAATTCCCCGCTCCGAGGTCGTATCAACCAAGTACATACGATAAGCGATAAGCCGCTTCAACTTTCCCCAGAACCACAGCACGTGAAGCGATAGATATGATTTCTTATCAAGAATATTGATGCCTCAGGTATGAAGATGTCGACAATTTTTTTCTGGTTCCTAGCGGGAAGGTGTCGGCGCTTGCATAATTCCGTCCCGAGGAAAGAAAATGAAATAATAATTTTGGAACCAAGCTACCTGAAGCAGCTCTTGGATTGCACGTCTCCGCTACGAGTTCTGTCATCCAAAGGGAAAAAGCGTTTTTCTTAGAGGTCGCCGACCTTGGTTTTCGACAATGGACGACCAGTCGAACAGGGTCCATCGGCCCACGAAGGAGAAAAAGAAATACGATGGTATGTACTCTGTATTGGAGGCCCATATCTAGTGACCTGTGATGTTTCACATTTACTCACATGGAAATCGCGACTCTAGGCCCTAACCCGAAAGCCTTCGCATTCTCGAATCCTGGGAAAGGAAACAAAGCTGGAGCGCGGTCGCATGATGTATGGGTTCCACTCCGGTTCTCTGGAACTTCACGAACTAACACTGCCCCGATATAGATCAAAGAGAAGAGACTTCATGTGCCACTAGTGGATCGTGTGCCTGAAGAGGCACCTCCCCTTGTTGTTGCGATCGTTGGACCGCCGGGTGTAAGATTTTCTTTTTGGCGTTGAGGATATGATGGTTTAGAAAGGCGTCTAACAAAATTGTTTCATCTAGGTTGGTAAAACGACACTTATTAAATCATTGATCCGTCGCTACACGAAACAGACCCTCAGCACCCCTAAAGGGCCTTTGACAGTGGTGACATCGAAACGGCGCCGACTCACTTTCCTCGAATGTCCCTCCGACTCACTTGCCAGTATGGTCGATGTTGCGAAAATAGCCGATATTGTGCTTTTGATGATTGATGGCAACTATGGTTTTGAGATGGAAACTATGGAGTTCCTGAACGTCCTTTCTTCTAGTGGTATGCCGGGAAACGTCTTCGGTATTTTGACCCATCTGGACCTTTTCAAGAAACAGAGCACTCTGCGAATGGCGAAGAAGCGTTTGAAGCATCGCTTTTGGAGTGAGCTTTATAATGGCGCCAAGCTTTTTTACCTCTCTGGTGTCGTCAATGGCAGGTATCCCGATCGTGAAGTACACAATCTCTCCCGTTTTCTGTCGGTTATGAAGAATCCTAGGCCGTTAATCTGGCGCAATTCGCATCCCTATGCGCTTGCGGATCGATTTCTAGATATCACACCACCCACCCAGATTGAAGAGAATCCAAAATGCGATCGTACAGTGGCTCTCTATGGTTATCTACGGGGTACAAACTTTCCTGCTCAAGGAGCGCGTGTGCACGTACCTGGAGTGGGCGACTTAACTGTCTCGGGCATCGAGTCTCTTCCAGACCCATGCCCAACACCCTTCATGGATCAGCAATTGGCGAAAGCCACAGGCAAGACAAGCAAACGTAGATTGGGGGAAAAGCAAAAGTTACTCTTCGCCCCTATGTCGGATGTTGGTGGTGTGTTGGTTGATAAAGATGCTGTTTATATCGATGTCAAAACATCCAATTTCGACAGAAGGGATGACGAAGAGGATGATGAAGATCGTGGCCTGGGCGAACAGCTTGTGGTTGGTCTTCAGGGCGAACGCAAACTCCTTGGCGAGGCCGATGGTGGTGTCCGCCTGTTCCGAGGAGGCGAGGCCATCGAGAAGGCAGATGAGGAGGATGAGGACGTAGGACGCAAACATAGGAGGCACGCAAGGTTTATGGATGGAGAGCAAGGCGCATCGGCAGAAGATGAAGGTTTCGAAAGCGCAGAGGATGATGATGACGACGAGGAGGTACTGGAAGGCGATAGTGACGAGGAAGACCTCGACGTTTCCGCACCCCCCCACTTCGAAGCGAGCTTCAAGGAGAAGCACGAGGGTAAAAGCCGCAATGATGAAGGAGACATCGCATTCGCCGATAGTGATTCTGATCTCGGATCCATTTCGTCTGTGGAAGACCAGATGTTTGAAGAAGATGATGAAGAAGATTTCGAGGATGATGAAGACGACGAAGAGGGCGCTGCTCGGTGGAAAGAGAAGATGCTTGACAACGCCAAAGCTCTCCACGCCAAAAGACCAAAGTATCGCGTCGCTGACCTGTCCCGCATGATGTATGACGAATCTATCACTCCTATGGACGTGATAAGGAGATGGTCAGGCAAAGACGAAGAGGAAGATGCCAACGATAAGGATGCCGAGGAAGATGCCGATGATTTCTTTAAGAAGACCAATAATGAGGAGGAAGAACAATCAGAATATCGTGCTATTCCCGAGTTTGACTATGAGGCGCTAGAGCAAAAGTGGCAGGATAGAGATATGATTGAGTCTTTGCGCAGTCGGTTTGCCACTGCCAAATTGTCTGGCCAAGGTGGTGATGACGATTCAGACGTTGATAACGCCTTTGATGAGGACGACGAAGATGGAGACTTCGAAGACCTAGAGACTGGTGAGGTGTTTAACGGCATCTCAGATGACAAGGAGGAAGGTGAAGGCCCAGACGATGAGAAATCCGAGGACCTGGAAGCCGAGCGCGAACGGAATGCAAAGAGGAAAGAAGAGTTGAGGTTGCGCTTTGAAGAGGAAGATCGTGAGGGATTTGCTAACTCGAAGGATAACTCACGACAGGATATCGGAGGCGATGACGAGTTCGGCGAAGATGAATGGTACGATGCACAGAAGGCGAAGATGCAAAAGCAGCTAGACATCAACCGGGCCGAGTTCGATTCTCTGGACCCAGCTTCAAGGGCTCGGTCTGAAGGATTCAAAGCCGGAACCTATGCGCGTATCGTTCTAGAAAACGTACCCTGTGAATTTTCCACAAAATTCAACCCTCGCTTTCCTGTCATTGTCGGTGGACTGGCACCTACTGAGGACCGGTTTGGCTACGTGCAGATCCGGATCAAGAGACACCGTTGGCACAAGAAGATTCTGAAGAGTAATGATCCCTTGATCTTCTCTCTCGGCTGGCGTCGCTTCCAGACGCTACCCATGTACAGCACATCCGACAACCGGACGCGTAACCGCATGCTTAAATACACGCCAGAACACATGCATTGCTTCGGCACCTTCTACGGACCACTTGTAGCACCCAACACTGGTTTCTGCTGCGTACAGTCCTTCTCAAACAAAACCCCCGGTTTCCGAATTGCAGCCACCGGAGTTGTGCTGAGCGTGGACGAACATACAGATATTGTGAAGAAGCTCAAGCTGACTGGTACACCTTACAAGATCTTTAAGAACACTGCCTTCATTAAAGACATGTTCAATTCTTCCATTGAAATCGCCAAGTTTGAAGGAACTGCGATTCGAACCGTGTCTGGCATTCGAGGTCAAGTCAAGCGCGCTTTGAGCAAGCCCGACGGTTGCTTCCGTGCGACATTTGAGGATAAGATTCTTATGAGTGACATTGTCTTCTTACGCGCATGGTATCCGATCAAACCACATCGATTCTACAACCCAGTAACAAACTTGCTTGACCAGGAGGAAGAGGGTGCAGGTGATAGCAAATGGCAGGCCATGCGTCTCACCGGGGAAGTCCGTCGTGAGAAGGGTATCCCGACACCTTTGAATAAGGACTCTGCCTATCGTCCCATTGAACGCCAGGAGCGTCATTTCAATCCCCTCCGTGTGCCACGACAGCTGGCTAAGGACCTCCCATTCAAATCGCAGATCACCAAGATGAAATCGCATAAGGACCAGACTTATATGCAAAAGCGTGCTGTCGTCCTTGGAGGAGAGGAGAAGAAGGCGCGCGACCTTATGCAGAAGTTGACAACTATGCGGAACGACAAGTCAGCTCGGCGCGCAGCGAAGCAGGAGGAGCGCCGAAAAGTCTATCGTGCTAAGGTCGCAGACAGTTTGGAGAAGAAGGAGGCCCGGGAGAAACGGGAGCGCGATGATTACTGGCGACGAGAGGGTAAGAAACGGAAGAATACCGACGAAGACGGTGGAGGTGGAGGCAAAAAGCGCAGGTGATCTTCGACGTCCTTGCGTTATTATTGTGGCATATATATTGGTTGGTAAAAGTTTCGATTTCTGGGATAATGCCCATATGTACCTATTGATATGCTGCATGGTGGATGGCGTTGAATTATATCTGATGATATATACCAAGAAATAGATTGTTTCTTTTTTATCCCCCATCTATTCTATTCTTCAAGTCTGGGTCCTTTCGGGAGATTTTCCAACTGTCATATTGCTTTTCCTTCACGTGCAAGCCATGGATTCCTGCCTGAATAGTGAAGGGTCGGGTCTCAGGCGGAACAACTCCCACGTGACCGCGCCGCGGACGCGTCGACTGGATAGAGTTGGCCACTCGAAAGGTTAAACAAATACTACTTTACTTTGACAGCCCGACGATCATTCCGCAGGCTGGTTCCAATGCGCCTCCAGCTTCGACTCCAGTTCTTCGCTGCGTCTCCTCACTTCAATCTAGCAAGTGTCGGAACTGAGTTACCTGTGGAGACTGAACGTGCTTGTCCTGGTTAGTCACTCACTACAAAGTCACCCCTTGCGTATATACGCGGGACTCAGAATATATCACCCCTTGCATCCAAGTGCACTACCCGAAATAATTGCAGTTGAAGCTATTTTGCGCGGCGCAATCGCTCGGTGGGCGGTGCGTCAGGAATAGGGTTGATAGCTCCGCATTGGACGTTCCCGCGCCAACACCCTTGACCCGGGCGGAGATTAGATCGTTCGGCGCTTGGAATTGAAGATCATCTATCTCTATGGTTGGAGAACACGAACCCCTTCTGGACAAGTACCTTTGTCCAATTGAGAGAACCTCCCTCTGTTGGTAGATTCACCTCTGTATTTCGTCGGTCGTGGTGGGCTGAACCCCCAAGGTGTCCAGTCTACACGACCGCGTCCTGCGCGATTCGCTACCCCTCGATCAGAATGAGCGGATTGCCGCACTTACATGGGCGCCAACACGTGCAACATGCGCAGCCTTCTTCTCTGCAGTGTGATCCTCAGCACCCTGCCCCGGATGCTCATGCCAATGAGCACTTGGATTCAGGCACGTCTTCGAGCAATATAAGGCAGAATAGTAGTCTGATTTCAGAGTCGCGCTTTTCAAATGTGCCCGCCAGCGGTTCAATCGAGCCTACTCCAGAATATCCGCTGCAAGCGGCTTCTCGTCGAGCTTCCAATTCAACGTCGCCAAAAGACGTCGCTTTCCGTTCACAAGAAGGGCCCTCGAGCGCAGAATATCCAACTAGGCAAACTCGCTCTTCAGCGAATGCATCACAAATGCGACCTATGTATACACAATTAACTATAGGTGATGCGACAGAGCAGAAGCAGGCTGAATTCAAACGTGTGGCTCCAAGTGTGCACAACAATGGTTTCACAGAAGTTCCAGAACCTCCAAGCCCGTCTGCAATGACGGCTGGCCACAAACGTACTGCAACTGGGTCCATCAAACCATCTGTGGAAGATCAGCCCTATAAATCAGGTGTAATTGGTGCTGAGAGACATCGCTCGAAGAGCGTAAGCTCAGCTACGCATGGAAATAAAATTGCGGCGGTAATCAGACTCCGTTAACTGTCTTCTCTGGGATAGTCCATTACTGATACCAACGCAGTTGTCTGTGCACCTTCGCACGCGTCTGTCATACGCTGCAGCTAAAGTCGAGGCAAGTCGACGATCTCAACGCTCCTTAAACAAGTCGCCATTAGATTTGCTTCAAGGGGACCGTTTCTCTTCGATCCCAACCATCGACCCGTTCGAACAGGTAGGGGGTGGACGTCAAGGCTCGGCGGAGGCTGGTTCTCTAGACGGCACTATATCCGCACCAGATACACTACCAAATACTCACCTCTATTCTTCTAATAACCATATGCGACTATCTCCGACGGCAAAGTCGGAGGACTCAGTATCGTCATTGAAGAGTAATCCACGGAAACCACCCACCACACTTCCCTCACTACACACTATTCAGAGACTCGCTCCACCTGCAGATATTATTCCGAAAAACGATAGCAGTGGGCGCAGGCGCCCGAACCCAAACGATCCGACTAGTCAGCCACAGAACGTTTTCTACCCCCGCCATCGACGGCATCATTCGCACCAGAGTATTAGTACAATAAAACGAAATTCCAGCTCGGAGACGGTATTAGTTCCTGAAACACCTCCACTCCGACCATTACCTTACAACAGCCTACCCGTTCAGCAAAACCATTCACAAAACTCATCCATGGAACAAGATGCCATCGAGACACTGCTCTTTATGTCCAGCCCAGGGCATTCGGCGTACTGTTCCAATACCCAGCCCTCCCGAAGTCAACCAAATCATACGCGACGCAGCATGACTTCTTCTGCGCAGACTAAATCAAGTGCACCTGGAAGCCAAAATGCTCATGCAATTGTTGACACAACTCAGCCTACCCCTGGTTATCGAGGTTCGAGCACGGGCTTAGAAGCTCATGCCGGCGATGAAATCGACCGTCTTTTGGATCAGATGGACAGCGACAGTGACGACGAGAAGAACTATCCCTCCAGCCACTCGAACAGCATCAGCACTTGCTCCACGCCAAGTGGCAGTTCTCACAGGCGTAAACATCGGTTTCGGTCTTGACGATCTAAAAACCTACCATGTCTATCTATATTCTTATTTCTAGTTCTTCAAACGTCTCAGCGGTTCTTAACTTGCCCTGCCCCCGTCTTTTGCACGGTGGACTCTCTAGAGATGCATAGTAGATAGTGATTCATTTGGGTATTATTTAACATCCCAATGGCGTACGCATGGATTGGGAGTACGACTTGGTCTTTCTATTATTGTATCGGTTTCTAGGATTTTGGCTCAATAGCCATACCGCCAAGTTAAAATGGTACTTGGAGGTTAGGAGTACATAGGCTTTAGGAATACAATCGTGATCGTCATCTATCAAATCTACTGATGGATTCCGCAGTAATGCCTGCCATCTAGATGTAACGAATGTATCTCACGATCAAATTCAAATTCAAATCCTGCATCAGCCCTTGATCTCGCGTGACCGCACATCTACAGAAGAAAAAATCGCCCCGGTACCCCAATTATACCCACACTCCAACCAACCTACATATATAAAAACTACTGCCCAACCCGACAAATACCCCACTCTTCCCACTCCTCACTCCTAACACCTCTCCTAACAATAAACAAACTCTTAGGGTCCGGTCCCATTTCTTAATCTCAGACACTTTCTGGTAATTCTCCCCCCAAAACGAGGCCTGGAATCCTTTCTCATAGGGATTCGCTTCGTTCAAATACGCACCTATCTTATCATCCCCTTCGACAGATCTCAGGATCGGAACTTCCACATCTGTCAGATTCCTTTGCACGGCCTCTTTCTCAGCCAATGTTGCAGTCGGTTCCCAGCCCCGGGGGATGATGATATGGGTGATTGTCTTTCTCCACGCGGGGTTGAGGGCTGTCTATCTTTCCGGAATTGGCTGCTACGGCGCCGCCGGCAACGGCGTGGCCAAGCATGATCTAAAGAGAGTCACTGTGGATGCTGTGCAGCGCGGAGGTTAGTTTGGCAGGACCGTCGTTAGACTCCAAAAGATCTCGGGAGAAGAGTCTCGAGCCGAATATCATGATCTTGCCTGTTGGGTCGTGGTCATTGGAGAAGAGGATACCGGTGTAGAGGAAGCCGATGCTTGGGAGTGGGGACGTAGAATATTGGGTTATTATGCCAGTGGTGGTGTTCAGTTTTGAGACGAGAGGGTGGTATGCACGGTCGATTTATGTGGTGTCAGTCTGATTGGGGAAGACAAGCATGATATACATTGTTGATACGCTAACGTTCTCCGATAATGGGGCATTCGGAATCATCCAGTAATAGCCTGCTCCCCCTGCATCGTTGAGAGCGGGAATTTCTGTGTGGAAGGCTGTCACGGCCTCCCAGAACTTGGGGTCTCCAGCTGAGGTTGAGATGTTGAGATTCGTTAGGATGACGGGGGCATTGTCAAATGTTCAGAGCATGACGCTCACGATGACACCGAAGGTACCGCTGCCCCCGCCGCGCAGGGCCCAAAAGAGCTCATTGTTCTGATACTCGTTCGCTATGACTAGCTCTTTCTTTAATTGTATAGTCAGTGTGAAGTGTTTGGAGGCAGTGTCTATGTGGGTATCACTTTATGTTGGCTGTCACAATGGTAAATTCAAGGGCATTATCTGAGCCCATGCCCTTCCATGGTCCCAAGAGAGAATGTCCACCACCTTGAACATACCCTCCTGCAGTCCCAACTGTATAAGCTGTTTCCCCAACAACTGTTCTGTTCTTCGCGCGGCGGCAGTATACAATTCTTGCAAACTAATACCGGCCGCTATTTTCACCGCTGGACCTTCATTCTTACTCTCTGGGGCACCGGCCGGCTTGAAGTTATCTACAATTTGGATATCCTTTATATCATTGGTGAGGATCTGTAATAACCCCGGAGCGGATAAACGGACCATGATATCATGTCTAGAGTTCTTGATAACAAGACAAAGGTTATGTTTCTTTGCAAACTTCACTGTCTCCTGGATATCGGCCGCTGTTTTGGCAAGTGTTGAATAGACAGAGATTCGACCCTGTCTGCAAGGTGTGTCCCGCGGACTTTCAATATAATATAACTGGTTCTGCTCCGGTAGGGCTTCCCAGTTCTTCTACTGAACTGCCCTGGGTTATGCCGCTCGCCAGGTTGAGTCCCCTCAGGAAGCTGTGACTTCCTTGCAGGCTAGATTGTCAGGGCCACTTTTGTGGCAGACCGCTGCAAGTGGTCGTACCGCTATCAGGTTACCATTAATGGAACTGTTGAGCGCGCTCTATTCTTGCGCAGAAGGCCAGTATCTTTGGTGCAGTTGACAGCGGCATGACTGATTGCTATTGGCAAATGCCAGCGAGATAAAAGGAAGCGCCAAATTAAAGATTTCATAGTGCAGATCTAATTAGGAACTTTCTGTAAAAGGGGAAAGAGAGTCTGACTCCTGAGAATCCCATTGTCATGAAAGAAGCGCATCCTCCATATTATAACTTCGGCTTGTATTCAGAGACATATGAATATTTCGTTTTTGCCCTAACACACGAAAAAAAAAAAAATGCCATGCTGTTACTGCAGCTCGAAAAATAGTTATGCCTATTGTATTCGCTAGAGCTATACTTGGGACAACGCTTGAGGCAGTACTTCCTACTCCTCACTGGTTAAATAAGGCCTTGTACCGTTGGGTCAAGCTCTGATCTTCTGGGTAAACTACGGTTCTTGATGATCGTTTATAGTATCATTTGATGGATTGACGTCACGGAAAGTTCATATCCGGCAAACCCGAACATATGCTCTTGTGGAAATATCTTCCAGATGTGGCTGTGGATGATGAGCTTCTTTCGAACCTATACAACGAGCAGAAACAGGTCAGTTGATCCTATACCTAAAGGAAAAGTAGAAAGTTTTCTCGAATGTGTGATCGGCTGTCCTTCGGAGTACAATTATATAAATATATACAAATACAACCTTGTCTAGCGCATAAACCCTTCGGCATGTAAACTTCGCAAAAGTTGCAGTAACACTTCAGTATACTTACTGCCAATTCTGCGGCAGAATCTCAATAATATACCCATCCTGTATACAGACAGTTAGCACTACCACCTAGACAAAACCGCCACCCCACCCCTAACCCCCAAAGAAAAAAGAATAAAGAATAAAAACTCACCGGATCGGCAACATAAGCAATCTGATCAAAAAACTCCTTATAATTCGGATGAATCTCCCCCAACCCAACCCCCCTCTTCTCCTCCCACTCACTCAACGGCACACTCTCCCTCGTACTAACCCCCAACTCCTTAACAACCCTCACCCCAGCATCCCTTAACCTCTCCACCGTCCCCCTCACATTCGGAACCGTGAACCCCAAATGCCCGAATCCCAAATTCGGCGGCACATTCCCATTCGCCATCTCCACGCCCCCGTCCTCAACCTCCCTCTCCGTCCCATGAATATGGAACAGCTCCAGTAGTCCCAGCGTCCGGGTTAAGTTAGCCGGGTCCGACGCCCTGGCCGCCCAGGAGAGGAGGTCGGCGCGGTCCTCGGGACTAGTCGGGTAGCCGAGGTAGTACATTGTGAAGGGGCCGGCGTTCATTGTGAAGACAGTGCGCATGCCCATTAGGTCGATGTAGAAGTGGAGGGTGCGAGTTGGGTCGCGGATGCGGAGCATCGAGTGGTTTAGTTTTGTGCCGATTGTTGGGTCGGTTTCTGGGAGGGGAGGGTCGGTGTTGTGGCCGCCGGGGAGGAAGGAGCCTTCTTTGAAGGGGGTGGGTTTGGGGTTTGGGGATGAATGGGTCATGGTCTATTATTTTTAAGGGGGAGGGGTTGGTTCTGATGGATTGGGAGTTGTTTTGTGAAGAGGGGGTGTGAATTGGTGTCGAGTTGAAAGGGGGTTGGGAAGAGAAGTGGATAGATATATGAGAGTGACGAATGGTGATCAAAGAGACTTTATATAGGTATAGTCCAAGTGTACTTGCTACACTTAGCGTCAGGAATCAAATGAAGCCAGTTGTTCCTCTGGAAAGATATCCTACGGCTAATTAAAAGACTCAAAAAGATTTATATGATTTACGACCACGAGTATACAGTAGACTCTTGATTTAACCTGTCAATCGGTAGACAACAATTTTCTTCTTGGTCACAGTACGAGTTATGTCCTTCTATGTATACAGGGGAACATGAGTGCCATATCTACTGCACACCCCAACTATCATCCTCCTCCGCCACGTCGTAATCAACTTCGTGATTGCCATCTCTCCGTCCGGCCGATGGATCAGGCGGGGTAGTAGTCTCCATCACTGTGTCCTCATCAGATCCGGTTTTAGTATCAAGTCCAGAGCCTGGAGTGGGTGCAACGGTAATCGGAGGGTTAGGGACCCAGGTCAGTTGCACTTCGCCGACAGACGGTATCTGCCAGGGTCCGTACATAAATTTCTCTGCGATATAGCGTTCTTTGAACGCGACTATCAAGGAATCCGATTGCTCTGGGTTAGGCTGAATAGACTCATATTCACCAACTCCCTAGGGGTCAAATGAGTTAGCTATGGCTCACTTGGGAATCAGAAAAGAGGAAAAGGAAGTTACTCACAATTAGGAACTGCCGCAATGCTTCGTCCTTGTCCGAATCAAATTCAACACCTGAAACAGCAACTCTCCTGGGACGATTGTCGAGGCGAAGAACACCTCCCCGACCACGGGCCATGCCTCCTCGGCCGCGATAGCCTCCGCGATAATTAGGATCGTATCCGCGGCCACGGGGCGCATAACCACCTCGCCCAAGGTATCCACGGCCACGACCACGGTACGAGGGCGCACTGGAATCCGAGCCACTGGGGTCGATTCCAAGAGTCTTGGCTTCGGCTTCTAGTGCCGCTAATTGTGCACGCAACTGCATGGTTTGCTCGCTGACATCCTCTGGAGGAGAAGCATTGCTCTCCCCGTTTGAGGGTGCAGCACCGTTGCTGACACCATTGCCGCCAAGTCTCTGCATAAGTCTTTCTTTCTCTTCCAGTTGTTTCTTTAAGAGTTCGTCGCGCTGCTTCTCCAGGGCCTGTTTTGCTTCTTCGGTCTCCTTGCGCTTCCTGACCTTCTCCTCATAGGCTTTCTGCGCTGCTTCTTGCTGCCTTTCGAACTCCTCCTGATTGAACGGTTCAGCATCACTCGGCCCTTGACGATGATCGCCATTCTTATCTGCCTTGGCCTTGTGCCAATACACCTTGACAAATCGGTTGTCGAAGATCACCTTTGGGCTAGACCATGCGCGCTTGGCAGCTGCGTGGCTATCATATGTGATCAACGCAAGCTTCTTGTGATATTGCAAAGAAAGGTCGACGATCTCGCCATACTGAGAGAAGAACTCCCTTACTGTGGTTTCATCTAGCTTATCGTCTGGGATTTGCTCAACAACAATTGTGGTGATAGAAGTGTCCTCGCTGGGACCAGCTGCGGAGTACTCAGATCGACGTCCTCGACCTCCGAACCCGCCTCTGTCACCACGGCCACGACCCCGACCTCTGTCGTTGCCCCGACCTCTGTCGCTGCCACGAGGCGGGGGTTCGGTGTCCCGTCTCTGGAAATCCGTCACGATGTTAGATGATTTCGGGTCATATTCTACGGTGCATCATTAGCAACAGAGAGCAAACGAACAGAAGTGCTTGTCCTACCATCTTCCTTCGAAATACCGGGCGTGTCGTGCTGGTACGGGCAAGTAGCACCCAAATAGCAGATTCCTTGTGTATCCCAGAAAGGACACCGCTCTGAGCTCTTTGGTGCCATTGGCTCTTGTGGCTGGCCAGCGCCGCCACTAGGGGCTGGCATAGGCATTGGAGGCATACCAGGCATCTGTGGAAATCCCATACTCTGGATGGCCATCATCGCCGCCATTGGGTCATTCTGATCGAATGAAGGGAAAGCTGGAGGCATCACGGGAAATCCGCCCGCTGGGGGAGGGCCGAACTGTCCAGGAGCTGCACGGCTATCGCGCCCCATCCAATCTGCTCTTCCGCCACCCCGCCCACGTCGTGGGGTCTTGAAGTTCCTAGTATGGGGAGCCTCTTCGTACTCCTGCTCTGCCTGAAATCCTTCATGATAGCTACGTTTGCGATTATAACTAGTTGAGCCCGTCTGTGACTGGGGCGCATTGCTCATAGGAGGTCCATAGGGACCCCTGGAAGGACCAGATGGAGGGTTGAATGGGACTTTTTGATGAGCACCTGCCCTCGGCGCATCGATATTGTTGGAGACCTGCGGTTGACTCGGCGGATGTGCGCTTGCGGGAGGAGCATTTTGTTTCGGCGCAAAAGTAGTGAAAAGCTCATCGACAAACGGAACAGTGTCTAAATTTCAACACGAAATGGTTAGAAAATAATCTCACGAAGCTGATTGCGGGTCGACGAACGCTCTCTTAAAAAGTCTTCCAGCCCCTCCACAGAGGCTTTCCTGATTTCTTCATCTGGAGCGTCGGCCCTAATAAGCGCGAGTACGTAGTCTGCTAATACGTCGGAATCGGCGTCGGATCTACCAATTCACCAAAAGGATGAGCACAACGAGGTATTGACACATGGCAAATGGAAGAAATATTGTCTGACAGAGGTTGCGCGCAACGGTAGAGAAATCTTACATATCTTCCAATTTTCGCACCACCCATGTCTTCACCTCCGTGGCTTCACTTTCTGAGAACTTCATGGTGCTACACGACTAAGGAAGTCCAGCCACACACTTTACACCGAGTGTCGCCACTTCTTGCAGTCGTTGGCAGTAGCTGGATGCAAATGAAGGCCGGAGGAGTGAGGTCTTTCAACAGTGAATCACAGTGTTGGGGTATGGGAGGGAGGGTATTATAGAGCGCAAGTAGTGAATAACGGTTTAGGGCGTCATAGAAGTCTGGTATCTCGGTGATTTGTCAGGCCATATTGCGGACGTCAAACTAGGAGGGGACATAAAGAGCTTTGCGGACAGAAGAAGCTTGGGAAACGCGAGGCGACGCGGATGACTGAAAGATCACGTGACGGACTCCTGCAGGAAATGCTGCGGATCAGGGCTTGCAGTTGTAAATTGACTACATGGAGGGTCTTCATACAATAGTTTACAGGTAGATGTACACGGTCGCTGGATGCGTGGTGAACGGTACAGGATTTAATGTGGAAGCTACCAATTTAGAATTTTTGAATCCAACTAGGGAAAACAGATGAACTATGTGAAAACCCTCGCATTCGTTAACGTAACAATAAATAATGAAAAGCCATAGCAAATGCACTCCTGGATTCTACTTCTAGGTATCGAAAATCCACATACGACATTCAGCTGCGGCGCTTTATTTTGAATTTTTGGGTGTCGGCCCTAACATAGACATTGTATTGCGTTCGTCGATCTCATAAACATGGAATTGCAATCAATGAGTTTACAGCTTGTCGTAGTACTGTGAAGAACTGTTAGCATTCGGTAAAGCAGGTTTCCGAGGCAAATGTAACTTACGTTCTCGTATCCAGGAACCTGCTCCTTGAGACCCTTGCGCTTACGCATCTCAGTAACGACCTGACCAGGCTTAGTGGTAGCGTCAAGAGGAGAACCACCAGGAAGAACAGCCCAGTGGTCGAAGACGGACTGAGGGAAGGCCTGACCACCGGTAGCCTGACGAAGCTCGCCGGGGAAACCGAAGGACTCGTTGACAGGTAGGTAAGCCTTGACGGTGAACAGAGGAGTACCGGGTCTCTGCTCCTCGGTGTAGACGTGACCACGACGACGGGTAAGGACACCGTAGATACCACCCATGGCCTGCTCGGGAACCTGGATTTCGACGTTGAAGATAGGCTCCAGCAGACTGGGGTCGGCAAGCATGGTAGCAGCGTACAGGACACGACGAGCAGTGGGGATGATCTGACCACCACCACGGTGAATGGCATCAGCGTGGAGGGTAACATCGAGGATGTTGAAGCGGACAGAGCGGAGGGGCTCCTCAGCCATAGGGCCCTCACGGGTAGCCCACTGGAAACCGGAAACGAAGGAATCCTTGATTTCGTTGAGGTACTGGACAGCCTTGGTCTGATCAACCAGCAAGTTGGCACCGGTGGTGTCGGGACCGAAACACCAGATCTTACGGGCATCAGTGACATCCCAGCCGTACTCATCGGCCAGGAGACGGGCACGAGCCTTGAAATCGTCACGGGGGCTGATCTTGCCAGCCTCGATGGCGAGAGAGACCTCCTCCTCAATGGGCTGAGCAGTGACGTAGAGACGGTTGTGCTTGTTGGGGGACTTGGAGAGGGCAGTCATGCTGGATGTGCCAGCGACGGATTCACGGTAAGAGACGACAGGGTCGGAGATACGGAGGGGAACACCAGCGTGGTCATTCTCGAGATCGTTCAAGCAAATCTCAAGATGCAGTTCACCAGCACCGGCAACGACGTGTTCACCAGACTCGTTGATCATGGTCAAGACACAAGGGTCAGACTTGGACAGACGCTTAAGACCTTCGACGAGCTTAGGCAGATCGGCGGCGTTCTTGACCTCAACGGAGCGCTGCACGACAGGGGAGACAGAGAACTTCATGACCTTGAGGTTGTGAGCGGTCTCATCGGTGGTGAGGGTACCAGACTTGAGCAAGAATTGATCAACACCGACCAAACCGACAATGTTACCAGCGGGAACATCGTCAATAGCCTCGGTAGAACGACCCATCATGAGAACAGTACGCTGGATCTTCTTGACGAACAGATCATCCTTCTTGCCAGGAACGTAGTTAGGACCCTGGATGCGGACCTGGAGACCGGACTTGACGGTACCGGAGTAGACACGACCGAAAGCGTAGAAACGACCCTTATCAGAAGTGGGAACCATCTTGGAAACGTAGAGCATCAGAGGGATGGGGTTGCCCTCATCATCCTTGTAACCACCCTGGCACTTCTTGATGGCGTTGAAGCACTTGTCATCATGAGGACCCTCGTACAGAGTCTCGGCACGGTACTGCTGGGCAGTAACGGGAGAAGGAAGATGGATACAGATCATCTCCAACATAGCATCGGCGGCGGGCAAGAACTTGCGCATGATAGTCTTGAGGAGCTGCTTACCCTCAAGCTCCTTCTCATCGCTGGCAAGCTTGATTTCAAGCTTGTCCAATAGGGTACCGACCTGGTCCTTCTTGTTGTTGTTGACAGCGTCGAAAATCTTGAAGATAGGATCCAAGATGAACTGGGTGAAGGCACGCTCGAGAGGCTTGCCATCAGCATCGGTACTGGTCTTAGTCCACTTCTTAGTCTTGGGGTTGAAGTAGTTATCACCCCACAGACGCTCAAGCATCTTCTTGCGGTCAACACCGAACTTCTTGGCGTACTTGACGGCGAATTGGCGGACAGTGAAAGCCCAGCCGTGAAGACCGGAGCCGAAAGCAACGGTACCCTTCTCAGGGTAGATCATGCAGTCACCAAGAGCCTTGTCCTCGTAGGTGGCCACGATGACGTTGACGGACTCGATGGTACGGCAGAAGGACTGGTAGAGATCCTCCTTGGAGACCTGAAGCTCGAGCATAGAACGGTCAACCTTGTTAATGATAAGAACAGGCTTAATACGCTCGGTAAGAGCCTGACGAAGGACAGTCTCGGTTTGGACACAGACACCGGAGACACAGTCGACGACGACAAGGGCACCGTCAGTAACACGCAGAGCAGCAGTGACCTCAGAAGAGAAATCAACGTGACCGGGGGAGTCGATCAAGTTGATCAAGAACTCATGGCCATCATGACCCTGAGGGATCTCCTTGAGATCCTCGGGATCATCGAACTTGGCGTACAGGGAGATGGCAGTAGACTTGATAGTGATACCACGCTCCTGCTCGTCCGCACGAGTGTCCATGAAACGAGCCTCACCGGCCTTGGCAGCGGCAATGATACCGGCACGCTGGACCAGAGAGTCGGACAGAGTCGACTTTCCGTGATCGACTGTATGCAAACGCCATCCATTAGCACGAATTCATTCCACAATACACCCTTCAAAAGGACAAACGCAAGTGGACATACCGTGAGCAATAACGGACATGTTACGGATGTTCTTCGGTTTGTCCATCAGGGACCGAATCTACGAATCGGTTAGCTTGAGCCCTCTTTTTTCTTTGTCCTCCTCCAACATGTGCCAAGGATGTCTCATCGTAAAGGTCGAGGGAAAATAGTACGGACCTCTTCGAGGGTGAAGCTATCGAAACCATAGTTAGCAAAGTATTCAAATTCGTCCTGATGCGACTCTTATCACTTCAGGGATATGGCAAACTTACTTAACCATCTTGACGGATTTTTCTCGTCAAAAGCCTTAAGAGGCGGGGTTGTATAGTAGGGTGAGGGAAAAAAAGAGAAACGACACACAGAGGACCAGGACCGAGGACTAGCTCGACCTGAGTTTTATAGGACAGAAGGGCCTATGTGCGTTGCTCCTAAAAAAAAGAAGGGAGAAAGAGGGCTTCACGGAGGAAGGTGAAGAGAGAGGGAAAGGAAGAGGATGCTGGAAGAGGGGAAAAGAGGGAACGAAAGCGAGAGTGGGGACTTATTTTTTTTTTTCTCCCGATTTCAAAAATCTGGGATGTGCGTTTTTTGTTGGTAATCTGTGTCTTCCGCCCACCCCTTTTAGTGGCTTTTCTCACTTGCACCCCTCGTTTCCTTACCAACTCTTACCTCGTCTATCAGCTAGTCGTTACGCTCCGAGTCAAAGCTACCATGCAATCATCTGCATTTGTCCATGGCTATACATCCTGGTCTCGAAGAATGACTCCTTTACATAATGTTCACCCATGGATTACGTGCCAAAAGGCTCATTCTTTGTTGAGTCAGTCACCAGTCATACAACATTTGTTGATAATATTCAATACTCTGTGTGGAGGAAGTGAATAGTTAGGTAGAGAGCTCTGACAAAGCTCTGTGGCGTTCAGAGTCAGTCCTGATATCATCTGTCCCATTTCCGTCTGGCGTTCCGAAAGATGATACACGGGACATGAAGGAGTTACGTCCATTCAGAAAGTTGCATTCATTTCAAGAGCATGGCAACGGACCAGTTGATTGGCTAACAGTCCGAGCATACCCCTCCGCTCTCACCGCCCACTTCTTTAAGAAGGCGGAGTTAGGATTTAATCCACCAAATGTATGCGATCGGCTTAATAATCTAAGAAATACAAGTTAACATATTTAGGTTACCATACCATAAATCATCCTATCGTATCTTATCATACCATACCATACCATAACTAGTACTAGTCGATCATTCCACCACCACAATCGGTACCATTAGGTACTCTATAAGTATATCATTGGTTGCTCCACCATCAGCAAACATCTATGGAAAGATACTACTACTAATCTCTCCCACCAAGAGCAGGATGTTCCTCGGCTACTTTGGATAACAACTACTGCTAAATGATGTCTTCGCTTTCAATTAAAATCGATATATATTACTTTCTATGTAGGTGCGCATGCATGCATGCATGCACATTAAAATATGTATGTACTGTACAGGCAAAATCGACTATGTACATATATCAGAGTTCTCAACACTAATCGATCAACATGCAGTAGCATGCATGACGCAGGCCGCTGGACGGCCCCAGGAACACGAGGAGTTCAGGATGATCCTAGGATCTTTCCGTATGCATCTTCTACTTCCTTTGCAATTTCCAGTAATGTCACGATGATTATTTGATGGGTGATGTTGGGCAGCTTGTCACGTTGAAGCCCGATCCATTCCAGCGGTGGGGTCGCTTCACCCATATCGCGGAGCTGCGGCGTCTCGATTACCGGCGGCTCCAGCGCAACATATGTGTACTTGGATTGTGGGACGTTCACGACCGCTGTGATCTTCTCCTGCTGTTGGTCCTTCTTGTCGCCGCCACCTTCATTCAACCCGCCTGTGATACGCACTGCGGATGGCGGCAGGGGTTTTCCAAGCCTGGAGGTCAATGCGCGGGAATGAGATTCCCACATGTCCCTGATAAAGCTGATGCGCGAGTAATTCCATCCAACATCAACTTTCCCTTCAAACGTGCTTCGGAAGATATAGTCGATTTGCTGCATACCGGGAACTTGCCAGGTCTCCATCAGGGCCACAAGCCGAGGGACCTTGAGGATTGTGCCGCCGCTGGATGCTAACACACGGTTGGCAATCTCGCCAACAAGAAGCTCCTCAACCTCCGTTGGACCACACCGCACAATTCCGGACAGTGCAACGCGTAACTGGCCGAGCGTGAGCCCCAAAGCGCTGTGGATTTTACCTTCTTGGAGCGATACATCAAAGCGAGCCTGCGCATCGTGTGCGTCCAGCCTCAGTACATGGTTATCGAAGAAAGAGCTGGGGAAGACGCCGATGTTGACAGAATTTATCGTGACCGCAACACCTGTTTGAAGAGAGATCGGTGCTTTTTCTTCCCTGTCGTCTGTACCTTCAGCCACATCCTTGGACGGTAAATCTGCTTTACTAGAGAACACTGACGACCTTCGACGCATGTATCTTTCAACCTCGCGTAGCGCAGCTTCGTACGAGGCCTGTTTATCTTGCACTAGCCGTTGCCAGGCTTGGTACAATGCTACAGCCTGTGATGCGGTCAGGCTTGTGCAGAAAACTTGCATTTGATCTCCTTCCAAAATGCTGAAGAGCCGTTGGTGTCCTGCACCAGACGCACTGTATACATTGTACATCAAGAAGTCGAACATTGTAATGTTTGAAATAAGGAAAGGCTGGTAGTCAAAAGAGACCTTTGCTTGGAAAAGATTGAAGGAGACTGAGGCCTGAATGAGCGGTGTCTTGTTCTGAAGAGTGTCGTCCGGCCACTGTATTGACGTTTGTACTTTGAGCGTTTGGAGCTCAACCAATCCGCTCATTCGGCCTTTGCTTTCTACCCCGGTCGTCTTGACGCCTACGCAGAGGGTCTGTTCCCGGTCAGAAGACTTCTTTGACGACAGCCACAAGTCGTTAATGGCAAACTGAGCTTTCCCAAGGGAGGACCCCAGATCAAGCTGGATTTCCAACTTCTCGATTGAAATCGTCGTGTTCCAGGGGAATGCCGATGCCGATGCCACCTGTTGATACCGCTGAACGATATATGCCTGTGTCTCGGTCGACTGTGGCTGGAAGGTTGGCTTGGCATCAACATTGTCATTCGCCGGCAACCATATTTCGCGGAAAAGTAGGAAATCCTGAACTTGTTTGGCATTGAGTGCCACTTGCATCGGGCTGATCCTAAGGACAACAGATATACCTTTTGAATTGCCGAGGTGTTTGCTATTCATAAGAGACATGACCATGGAGTTCACTTCGAAACTCGCGGTGGATTCATTTGAATACACGTGCTTCACGGAGGCTTCTAAGGAATTAAAAGCCACGAGAAGTGCTAGAAATCGACCGTATTCATCAGCTTGCACCGTATTGATCGTGACATAGACGCTATCAAATTTAGCTGTGGCTGCAACACGAGCAATTGGTTGGCAGCTCAAGCTGAACTCCTGCTTGCATATTAAGAGGCCAACGTTCAATTTACATCTCCCAAGGATGGTGTCCTTAGAATCCATGTCGAGTGGAGCCTCCTGCATCAATTTCTGCGGCTGAAGCATCATTGTGCCAGATGGCCTTCTAGGCTTATTGTTGCCTCCCATGACTTCTTTGACGGTAGCGGTCATTTGCTTTAGTAAAGGGACAAGGCTTGGGTATAAGACATTGGTAGATGCATCGATCTTCAGCTCTGCATTAAGCCGTGGGTCATCTTGATTATTGTCCTCGAACTGTACTTTCAACGCTACCCCAGGGGCTCTGAATGTTGCGGTGGCTACCGCATCACCTTGGATATACTGGCCGTACTTCGCCTCTGTCAATCTGCTTCCTTTTAGAGTGGCTGTCAGCAAAGTCTGTTGGTCTCCAGTATGTCTTCCTTGCAGAGACACGATAGCACCAGCAAAATCCACATCCACCAGCACAGACCGAAAGCGCTTGTTTCCAAAAAGCGCACTAGGTTTGGAGTTCTCATCAGGTGATTTTGACACCAGTGTAGAATTAGCCTCGCGGATGACTCGGCTAGAGGCCGCCATAGAGTCCCGAATCATGCTTCCCGGTAGTATAAAATCGGAAGTAGCTCGTATATCTAAAGATTTCCCGGCAGCTTGAAAAGCAAGTCGGACCTCTTGACCGGCCGAGGAGTATGCCACATTGAAGACTAGCTCAGGCAGTAGAGCCGAATTAAGAGATCGCTTGCGCCTATTACCTGAATATGGGACCATTTGCAGCTGCATATCTTCAATACGTAGTTTGGCTGCATTTGTTCTCTTGTTAGACAGCTCCACGCGCTTGATAGAGAAAACCAAATCATCAGGTTTGCGCGCAGATCTAAGCAGCGGTACGGTAGACATATTCCAGCCAATTTGAATGTGGTTCAGGTCTAAGAAAAACATAGCGGTGAACAGGTCCTCCGAGCGGGCGTCATCATTGACATGTATGCTCGGAGCTCTTGGTACGGTGTTGCCTCGTCTTCGTAACTTCTTAAAACGCTTGACTTCATGGGAAAGATCCAATGTTTTGATACGTTCCTGGAGATGAGTAGCCATGTCAATAACCAGCGCTGCGGTCTCGGGAAACAGCTCGACATCAAATCTTTTGCTGCTGAAATGAAAGACCCTCCTGGTCTCTCCATTTTCACGTATCGTCGAGGTTCCCTGGAGCTTGGCGTCAATGGAAAAACTACAATATGAGCGACTTATAGTAGCCTCTTGTTTTCGCAAGTCGAAGCGGATGTTGGACGTATCGATGTGGAAATCTGGGTATTCCATGGGGTGCCCCTGTTCCAGACCATTGTCGAGGTGCATGCGCATCATTCCAAAGCTTATCTCCATGTCTGCCGTATAGTTTTTCCCATTTATAGCAGGAGCACTGGCATGTATCTCCGTGCCTGCCATTGTCATGCGCGCCTTGTACAGCAAGTTATGACCATGAGAGAGTTCTGTTTGTTGTGGGGGTGCTTTATCGAGAGCAAGGGCGTTGTTAAGGTGCAGACGTAGCGTTTCCACATTTTGCTGAAGATCAGACATTAAGTGAGAGAACTCTGGTCTCGTTAAGGCTCCCAGAAGGCTTCGTACAGCACTGGCCTCTAACTGAATTAGTTCAATTGTAACGTCAACCTCAATGTCCGTACGAATTGGTGACATATTTGCAACAACTCGACCATTGATAGGTGGTATCTCTAACACAGATAGAGGGTGCCAACCTTCGCCGTTGTTGGACAGGAAGGTATGCAAGTTCTTTTTTAAGTCGAAGTCTACTTCAACTTTGGATCCCATCGTCGGTACCATGGATGTTCGTGCGACTTCACCAGAGATTACGTATGTCAAGGATGGCAGAATGCAAAAACTGAGTCGATAATCACCCAAGAACATCGCGATATGAAATTTGTTGCAGGTCTTTGCCGCTGTAATATTCTCGTTCACTTGGTGAGCTGGGAGTTTTATGTTGGTGACAAGCCGGTGAATATATCGAACTTCATCTTCTATGAGTCGGTCCGCAATATGGGCGAGGCTTAATGGGTCTTCTCTCATGTCATATCGGAGCCTTCTGCTTGAACCTGCGATTTTCCACTCATGCTCCAGTTCTGTTTCGTTTCCCTTAGAAACACGCGAACAATACATATGGGGCTCCCCAATCTTCCAAGACATGATCACTTTAGAAAGATCAGATAATTCAGAAGAGCATGCTTGAGCACTTAACAGTGCAGTCAGACAGTCCGGGCTGCTAGTGCCGTGTAGTCTCCTAACGATAGAGCTTCTTAAGCCTCGCCCAGCCAATGCTAGCTTGACATTGATACCATCGAGGGCTATTGATCCAACATCAGCGCCGAGTACAAGTTGCAACTCACTGGCCTCTTTTGGCTCGGTACGTGAGCCCTGTGTTGGCGTAGTAGATTCCAAGGTGACTGTGGACATTATTCGTAATAGCCCTTCTACTAGGTCGAGAATCTCCCATCGTAGACGAAGCCTAATAGAGGAGCAGTACGATTGTACAATTGTCAATGACCTTGGGGTTTCCCCGGCACCCGAAGGCGTCCCATTCTGTGGGTTGATAGACAAAACTGTGGACAGGTCCTCGAGCACAAAATCGCTTTCCTTTGGCCCGGGATCGATAGAAAAGCGAAACAATTTCATAGTAGATGAGAAGAACGCTGCTGTTGAGGTACTCTCCATCTTTGGTGAGAAGGAATTCCACACTCTTTGCATGACGTAGCTCTTCCCAACATGCGCTAGATCCCAAGCTCGCCACTCGTCGAAGCTGGAGAGCACACTGGTCCTAGCATTAGATGGCAACGAAAGGTCATCATTAAGACATCTTGAAATCAAGACTTCCTTCCGGTGAGGTGGTAGATTGTTATATACATCACGGATGCGGGAGATTATCTTCCAAGAATCGTGCTGTCGCACGTGTGTAGGTGCGACTCTGAGTACATACGAGATCCGTGTAAGGAACACAGGATCTGGTATGTTGGCAGCTGGTTGAGTAAGGGAATATATGAGGAAACGTAAGCGCCTGCTCTCCAGGGATGAACTATGCTGGAAGGACGACGTGACAGAGTCGAGCATTGTAGTTGTACGGCGAACTAGATAAGCAAGATGCTCCACCGATTTTGTGAAGGTTACAATATCGAAAGCTCTGGCCTGAAAGTTCGATTTCACCATAGGCTTTGTTACAAACCAAAAGTTCATGTCACCAAAGACACAGGTAAGTTCAGCCTTTTCTTGATAGGCATCAGCTCGAGTGCCCTCAACGGATAAAGAGAGACTTTCGGCGGCGGCATGAAGGGTGGAACTCTTTCTTATTCCCGCAAGAAGATCGCCCCTCTCTCTCTCAACCTTTATCCTAATCTCTGTCTTCAAATGGGCGACCTCGACGTTATACTCATCTCGGAAACCTGATTCGTATTTGCTGGGAGTTTCGGACAAGTTTACTAGTTTCATGAGTATAGTCGGTGTTCGAATTGCAATGCTAGTCGACTTCTTAGGCTTCTTCAGTGACTTTTCGTAGCCTACGATGTCAGAAATAACATTTTTCTGAAGCGAATCGATGATATTTGTCGGGTGCTTGACTTGCAGCTTTTCAATCATGGCTGATATCATGAAAAGAAAATCAGGGGTACAGCTGCCTCTAACACCGTTGGGTAGCTCAATTGCAAAGTTGGTATGTGTTGTCTTGTCATCTTCAAAAGGCGAGAACTGGGGATCGAACTTTGTCAAGAAAAGATCGTCTCGGCGGATGCGATCACTAGCGACATGGTGTGAGGGTAGTTGTGACTTGTCTAGGCTTACTTTATAAAGAAAAAAGTTCGGCATAACCCAAGGGTTTGATAAATCTGACATAATGGTGGTTGGGCCCTCCATGCCATTCTTGCGTTGTCCAAGCCGTTGTTTGTTCTGAAGGGCCTTTGTCGCTACCTGAAAGGAGGTTTGGCGCTGCTCACCTTCTGATGCCAAGCTTGATGTGTAGTTGATGCTACGCTTTCTTCTTCTGTGCTCATTTCGCACACTTGAGGCATCTGAGGAAATAAGAAAGCCTCCAGAGCTTGCGTAACTGTTGTCATCCGAGAAAGCACTTCTCTTTGCTGACAGATTTGCCATGTTTATGCGCTTAATAATAGGCTCGGGCATTGCAGGTATAGCGATAGTCGGCAATGCTAGGTTATCATCATTAAAATGTGTTGAGTCGGGGTCAATTCCCTCCCAGTCGAATAGAAGCCATGGTGTCCGCTGAGTCCTTTGGTCATGTACTTTGATATGCTCCTGTTGTAACCTTCGGCTTTCCACAATGTTATTGTTTCGCTGAACCATCTTAAGGTTGACCGTGGTCTCAAACAGCGCTAAAGGAACCACCTCAGTATGGGTTGAGTGTCCCAGTCGACCAACGATTTTGGCATCCACTGCAGCGATAGAGAGTTCTGGGACGAGAAGGCTCATGCGCTTTGAAAACCTAGCATTCGCCCAGTCGTTAAAACTTGTTGTCACCGGCCCGGAGCTCAATATCAAGGCCGCCTTGTCTAAATGTACAGAGACATGAATCATGTCGATTTTCGCTCTAACAAACGTAACGTCATGGAGAGAAGTTGGAAACAAGGGAGGGAGTGCATTCTCTTCGTTATCGAAGGAAAAGTCAAAACTCTTCAGAGCCGGCCCTAAACAGGCTATGAACTCTGTGGAACATTCTCCAATAATCCGACCTAGCTTGAAGTCCCAGTTGCAGACATACGTTGGCTCGGCAGGGGGCAACCCAAACAAGCGATGACCGTGAGTAGAAACTCCATCGATGAATAACTGGGAGTCAGATATTCTGGGGGGTTGTCCAGCCAATTGGGACTGCAAACACACTTTTAGAGGAGCAATTGAAAATTCCAAATCCATGTAGTAATTAGTAAATCGCAGGTCGATCTCCAAGGAAGGCGCAGTGAGTCTTAAGCAATTCAGATTATCATATATACCTTGTGGGAGCAGAGCACAAGGGTTGTCCACAGTGACATGCACGATAACATCCAGGTCATTTGTTTTTTTTTTAGGATTGACCCCGTTATGCGATTCTGTGGGTCCCTCTGCATAGGCAAGATCTTGGAATTCTTCGAGAGTCTTGAAATGCATATCTTCTCCGAAGTAATTTTCTTTGATTGTCAGAAAAGATCGGATCAAGAAACCGAACAAATAGAGCTTAGGGGACAGCCCCTCGATATTCAGAAATAGCGTATCCGTCAACTCAGAGGATGTGGAAAGGCAATAGCTATAAGCTCCAACAATGGCCATGCTCTTCAGCGTGGCAGCCGATTTATCCTGCAAGAAGGTGTGAAGTGTATCCCACAGCGGGCTCAAATAGTCTATGCCAGCATCATCGAGACGGACATAGAAATCCACGGAATTCTGCTCTGGTTTATATTTGTTCGAAGGAATCAAAACATCAGACGTTAGTCTTCTTCCTTTGATCACCAGCAAGCGATTGTCGTCCAGGTCGGAAGGGTTACTGATGATATTCAAGTCATTGACATTCACAAACAATTGTAGGTTTACAAAAGAAAGGCTCAATTTGTAGATGAACGGCACGAATGTATAGTATTCAGATGGAGGGCCGGATGCCCAATCGGCGACAAGATCTGTCAAGAGAAAAATGTGATCTCGCAACAGAAACAACTCCATACCATGGCTTTCGACATCGAATTTCCAAGTACGAAGATCGTTCCAGGTAAGGGGAACTGAAAGATCACACTTGATAAGCTGCTGAGGACATTTCCACAATATTGCATGGTTGACGCTTGACGACATCGTCGAATCTCGAAGGTCTAGATCAAGTTGGTTGAAATACCCAGCCCTAGAGGCCACCATATCCATGCCGTAATTTATGGTCGAATCGCCAGCAACACGAAGGGACAGCCATCCGAAAGGGCGGATCTCGGGGCCAATGTGACCTTTATCACTGTCTGCTGCCCTTGACTGTCTCCGACGTTGCTGTTTCTTAGCTCTAGATGCGCCTCGTATCGCATCAGCGCGACCTTTCCACTGCCAGTCTTTAGAAGGCTCCTTTGTTGGAATACGCAATGTCAGCTCTTCAGTGGTCTCCACTCGCAGTTTGAAGATGGAGTTCTGTCGTAGATCGCCTGAAGATAAAGGCTCTGCTGGTTGAGAGTTTCGGTAAGAGTTGGGGAAGAAAACATTTTGCAAGCCGATGCGTTCGCGATCGGCCCAGGGGCCATAATTAATAGTACCACCTTCGACCTTGACATCAATGCCCCATTCTGGGGGAGGCGCTCCATTGATACCCAAGGATCCTTCTCGGGGCGGTAATTCTTGGGGTAATTGTTGGTGCTTAACACACCCAGGGATGTCCCAATAATATGTTATAGTGATAACAGGACTATCTAGAATAGTAGAGAATCTAGCATATTCGACGGAATTCCATTCCTCGTGATCATCTTGACTGGTTTCATCTAGGTAACGGGAAAGACCAACCCAATGGGCATCATTGCGAAGATCGCCTTGAGTCCTCGGTGCCGTATCTTCATGCTTTTCGGAAACATGAAAGGATTCCACGGATGTTTGGAAGTATGGAATAAGATCACGGATACTATACCATACTCTGCGTTTTTGAAACTGATAGTTGAAGATCGTATCCCTTTTGCGCTTTGTCCCTGGCTGGTCTTCCCGCATGGAACTTAGTCCCTTCGCGGCAGAAAGTTGGTTTTGCTTAAAGTCTGGATTTGGGCGCATCTGAACAACTGGATGGGTGAACTGAAAAGTGAATGATTGCCGATATAGATCGAGTGGTCCAGAATTACATACTTCGACTAATCCCGTGGCTCCATCAAAGGTTGTTGTCAGAACAGACCTGGTATTTTCGTTGCCAATCACGATAGCTCCCTTGTCACACACCAGCTTTAAAGGCAGAAGTCGGAGTAACCTCGAAAGCCCGTCACCTACTTCCTGGCCGGATCCTTCAATGATGTGAGAGCCAATTGTGTCCCCGCCAGTTCTACTGCGTCCTGGAGCGTTCCCCGCTTGAGATGTTCTCGGGGAGGCAGATTCGCTGATAGAAGAGTTTCTAGCCATATTATCTTTCAGTTCAGGATCCAGAGAGCTGCTTCCTGGGTACTGCGGTTTGGTGAAGCCCGCTGGCTGTCCTGGAGGGTTGAAACCTGCCAGAATACCGTCATAGGCTGGTGTTCTGTTGTACACGAACCACTCCAGCCCGTAGAACTTAACAGTAATACGACAGGGAAGGGAGTCGGCGCCTTTCAAACCTCCTTGTTCCTTCGTCCCACTGTCTCTAGCAGCATCGCTCTCACCGTCTCCGACTGGCCGAGCATCATCCCCCCTTTCGTTTCCATATGGGTTAAAGTTAAAAAGATCTGTCTTCCTCACTGATCGCCTCCAGTAACGCCATGTTATAAAGCCTCCATGGATAAAGATTGTCTCATTCACGCCATGGTACCGAACACCCTTGAAGAAGATCCGTCCTCCAAGCAAAGAGATTTGGAGCGCATTGATGTCGACATATACGCGATAATAATGCCATGTGTAAGCGCGGATGCCGTACGAGAGGAGGGTCGCAAATAGGCGATTGAAGTATAGCAAGAAGAATAGTACTCTATCCAATATCAGCGATCGGTGCTCAAGTGCGCGAATTCGGCGACCTTACAGTATACACGAGACGACGAGCTCAAGGAAGAAGAACCTATACAGTTGTAAGCTACCAGTGTACAAGCACCCTACTGTCACTTACACATTAAAACTTGGATCTGGAGTTAAGCCAAATGTTAATAAACTCGTGTTAGCCATTTTGCAATACCCTAGGGCGTTTGACGGCCTCGAACATGGCGGCCAGGGAAAAACAGGCTTCTCTTGGATTTAGCCCAGAAAGGGATGGTAATTGGATATAACAGTTAGTAGGTTTAATCTATGCCCCACCGAGGGAAGTCAATGAATCGAAGGCAAAAGATATACAGGACAAGTCGTCATTCCATCTTCTACGAAGACAGTAAACCTTTTAGGGGACAACGGAAAGTCGCGATTACGGGAGTAAATCTAAATGCGGCGAGGCGCATATGCTTTCGCCTTAGGCGGTGTCACGGGCCCACCGAAACTGAAACCCGTAGCTCCAATGATACTAGTAACAATAGCTTAGATGATGATCCTCCTAATAATCTACACAATCTTTCACAACGGTCTATCTTCCGGTCATGCGAGCACATCGCATGTCTATGGGGGAGCTTCACGAAGTTTGACGATCTTCAGCTCGCTGGACGGGGTATGACTCTTTGGCTTGGTTCTTTTCGCAGCTCCTCTTAAGCTGCGGAATGCTTTACCGGTGGACGCAAACCTAAAGCGCACGCGGTCAAGAACCGCGAGTCTCGTTGATCCTGGTCACCATGTCTTCCTCTGGCGGTACAGGCTCTAGCCTAGCCAAAGCTGTGGTGATTGTTTCAGGGGTCTCATCCCTGGTAGCCTCACTTTTGTCGCTCCTGTGAGAAGATATCCTTCCCCGCATCACGCCCGATATGGAGATATCTCCGCTAACGTTTATCTGTCCCCGTCGGAAGGTCTATATGGCTACAAACGTACGTGCACTACGATACTACGAGTTACTATAGATTTCCACTGATGAAGAATATTTAGGAAAAACTATCGAAAACCTCTCCTCCAACGATATGTCGTTCGCATACTTCTCATGTCAGTTTTTGCTCAGTTGTGGAGCATCAGCTTTAAGCTAAACGTATCAGGGTTCCGATATATGCTGCTGCTTCCTGGACAAGCATCGTATCATTGAAGGCGTCTCTTTGGTTGGATCCTATTCGTGATGTTTATGAGGTATAATCGGCCAACTAGGCAGCTATACATATTGTTGACGAATCACTTTCAGGCCTTTACTATCTACACCTTCTTTCAGTTACTCATAAATTTCCTTGGAGGCGAGCGAGCATTGATTATTATGACCCATGGTCGTCCTCCCATCCAACATGCCTGGCCGCTGAATCATTTCCTGCCGAAACTCGATATATCTGACCCCCACAGCTTCCTGGCTGTAAAGCGCGGTATCCTCCAGTACACTTGGCTGAAACCAATACTGGCCATCATATCTATCATCATGAAAGCCACGGATAGTTACCAAGAAGGCTATCTAGGGTTAACTTCTGGTTACCTCTGGACCGGGATTGTGTATAATGTCAGCGTTACAATAAGTTTATACTCACTAGCAATGTTTTGGGTTTGCCTTCACAACGACCTAGCACCATTCCGCCCTGTGCCAAAGTTCCTTTGCGTCAAACTCATTATCTTTGCCTCCTATTGGCAGGGTTTCTTCTTGTCCATCTTACAGTGGCTCGGGGCTTTATCCAACGGTGTCGCGGGTTATACCCCTGACAACCTCGCTGCTGCAATTCAGGACTCCCTGATATGCTTCGAGATGCCTATATTCGCGGTCACTCATTGGTATGCATTCTCTTGGCACGACTATGCAGATCCAACCATCTCGTCCGCGCGGTTACCAGTAATATACGCGCTTCGGGATGCCTTTGGAGTCAAGGACCTAATCGAAGACACAAAGATGACTTTGCGGGGCGATAACTATGAATATAGGTTGTTCGATTCTGGGGATCATATTATGGCGCATGCTGAATCCGAGTCTCGGGTAAGACGGATGATGCACGGCATGCGATACGAGCGTGGAGGGAAGGGCAAGTACTGGATTCCTAAGCCAGGTGAGATCAACAGTCGGACGCCGTTACTTGCTGGCGCCGAATCAAATAGGCGGGGAAGTATCGTGGACCGGTTCCGCTCGCCTAGTGATATTGAGGAGTCGACGCTAGATGAGGGAGATGAACAATTGTTCATCAAGGCTCGAGCGCTCGAATTTGGCGACTGGAATGTATGTGAAGCATTTCCCTAGGACAATTTCTTTGGGCTAACCTTGCCAGTATCCGGTAATCACGGCAAACCAGGCCCCACAAGATCAGCGTTTAGCTGTCCCGTCCAGCTATCAAACCCCGCAACAGCCAGAAGTGGTGAAGAAGTTCCGAAAACACAGAAAGGTCCGTGCGTCTAGCAAGGGAGGCGCATCTTCAGATGGCAATAGCATATCGAGTCCATCAGGAAGAGAAAGCACTGAAGCTCGAACCGCTCTTCAACGTGGCCCTAGCTCTTTTGCTTCCCGGAGCTCCCCCCGTAGCCAATTAGTTGACCTCCTGGTCGAAGACCGAGAGGCCGAAGAAAAGGAACGAACTGAACATCAAAGGACGATTGGTTCTGCATTGCTAGAGCCGGAACATCGATATTTCCAGTGAGTGATTCATATAATTGGATTCGCAGTCCTAGGGCTGAAGTAACCTTACGTAAATTGCAGGACACCATCCGGGCACCCAATTAGCGGTCAGTCTGACATGGCTCAGACAGAGGGTCCCAGTGAACACACAAACCAACCAACCGACCAAGATGAGGACACCAACAGCAATGACCCAAAGACACGAGAATGGTCTTATGAAGGGTTAGAGGATGAGAATGTTTGGAGTTGATAAAAATAATCATTCTCGCTGCATATACGCATAGTTTGAGTTGTTTATGTTATTTACATTTCCGGTGTATAGGTTGTTTTCTTTATCTTTCTTTGTTTGCTTGTCTGTCACTTCTTCTTTTCCTTCACATCTTCTCTACAGATCCCTTCTTATTTCATTTCGTTCCGTTTCAGAGACAGAGGGGAACTGTTGTTGTTTGGTGCCTGATAAAGTCATTTATAAATAGCACGAAACCAGGCAAAAAGTAATAAATTTAGGGTTATAGACATTCACCACTTGCTAGGTCTCCGCACCTTCCAGACAAGACTAGATGAGACACCTCACGTCGGTGTTAAACATGGCACCATCCTGTCCAATATCAGTGACCAGTGACAAGTGACAGCACATGTCATTTGCTGTGACAGCTATGACTGGCGAAACGTGTTCAACTATATGCATTAACAAATGACAATGCGTCTATAGGCGCGGCCTCATTTTAGTGTGGGTGACCTGATGTGATGACCAGCAAATCACACGCAGGTCAGACACGTTGTCTAAGAGGGGAACCAATCAAGGAACGTGACTGCTGTCAAGTTAGGTACCTCATTTATTTTCATATCTTCCTAGTCTTATCAAACCCCCATTTCATTAATGCTAACTATGCGATCATAGTTTGACCCGTCTGCCACGATGCATGAGCACAAAGGGACAGACCGAATCCGATTCGCTTCTGAACCATCTCGTAGTAACCGCGGGGTTGATCAGGCTTTATGCCAGCCTCCCACCGCAAGAGCTGATGCCTACGTTCTCGGGCCCCTTTCACTTTAAGGGCTTTTTGATCTACCGGTAGTGCCCTTGTGCTTCGTCTTCCTACGTTGATCTCATACAACCCCCCACCCCCTCTTCCTCCTTCTCTTCCTTTTTCGTACTGTTGGGACCCCACTGGATGATGGACCAACAGCTTGGAAGCGTTGGCAGCGATGAAGCGGGCAATTGAACAAGCAGGATCTGTGTGCGCTGGCTGGATCTCGTCCTGCTTGTACTGCCCGGGCTCCGGGGGCGATGATGAAAGCTTCCGCCACCAACAGTCTTTGAAGCAAAAGGGTATGTGACTTGATACATCTATGTCACCTATTGTTCTGAGAGACAATGAGAAGTTGCTGAATCTTCTCTTATCCTAGGGGCTGAGCGAGAGATGAAAATATGTCATACGCAACCTCATCTCGTACCCCCGATGATGCTGGAGGTCGACAATACTCTCCCAAGGCCATGTCCACCGCCCCGAGCGTCGTCCATCCCCTCATGGAAACTGGATAGTAGGTTAGGGACGCAGGCATGCAGGCGAGCGAGTTTCTCTTTGAAGAGAAAATCGACTGCCCCTCTACGAATCAGTGGCCCATCGGAATTCAGAACAGTGTCCAGCTTTGCAACTTCTCCCAAGGGATTCCATCCTGACAGCTTCATTCTCTTGACTCCTGAACAATTTCGACCTCTCAAGCTAAGCTTCGAGTCTATTGACAATCAATTGCCGGATCTTCCCGAATTTGAGAAATATCATATAGAGGGAGAACGTCCAGCGCTTGCACGACCCCCTCGCACTCTAAGAACTTCTGTCGATTTGTCCCGTATATCCCGCTCCAAATCTCACCGACCTTCGTCTTCCTTTCAATTAGCACGGAAACCCGTCGGGTCAGGATCCCGGCGATCTTCTCTAGCTACTCTGGAGCAGCTCATGGACAAACAAGTTCCTACGGCCAACCCCTTGATCCCTCACTTTTCTACCCGTTCACACGCAGTTACTGGTCTGACTGCTAGCCTAAACCATCCCACTTTGACCACGCTGGACTCAAACAATGGTTGTGAGCCAGCAGTGTTGAAACCAGAGCCTCCTAAAGAGCCGCAAGCAAGCAGAGTCACCATGCCCCCTAGGACTCCCACCAGCACCGCCAGTACCACCCTGCAGGACAGGCCATTACCACCTATCCCGGTCGAAGGTTCTCCTTTATCAGGCACCACCCAACGACCCCCGACGACACCGACTGAGACCCGACCACCCACCACTCCTTCTGAGAACCGTGATCATACACCAGCAACAACAACACCACCCCGATCCAGCCGCGTCACCCAATGGCTCTTTCAAACAAGCAACAGGCCCTCCTCACCTTCATCATCCCCATACCCTTGGAAATCCACTGTCACCGACAAGAACCCCTTCCGTATTCGCTCCCGTAATCTCAGCGGATCAACGTTCACCTCAGCTCTAACAGGTGGCTTTAAGACCACTCCATCCTTATCTAGCAACACTACAGCCGCCACTCCGTTCCGACCATCCCACAGCGAGTCCAACCTTGAAAAGGAGCTTGACATGTCTACGTCCTTTTCTCGGCCCTATCTACCTAAACAAGCGGATGAGCCCGCCGTCTATCCTACAATATTCGAGGCCCCACAACATCAGCAGAATGGCTATGATGAATTCGATCACAACTACTATACGAATTATCGTCGCTCTGCTGTTGGTTTGGCATTCTAGAGAGCGTATGTGTGGTGTTCGTGTATATACCTTCCATGTTCGCACCTTCCTGAGTCATTAAAATGTTATTTGGTAATAATTTCTCGGTTTGTTATATCCCTCTTTGTCTTAACGTCTAACTATGATTGACTCTTGTCTCTTTTGAGTCCCATAATTTCTTCTTTGCCTCTTGGCCTTTTGCCGGTGGAGAGGAGATTCCAGGGAGCAAATTTCATATGGGTGTTGCGGATAACCTCTCGTAGTTCATTGCCTTGCGCACTACTCCGTATACAGCTAATTAAAGTAGGTCGGGACCTACATTTTACAATAAGCCAGGTAGCATACAAAGTACCTAGGGTTAATATGCCAAGGCGGTCGAAGAAGGACGTAAATGCAAGAAGATGAATTAGGGACAGTGTTGTTTCTCTTACACTATCGATTACCACATAGGAACTCTTGTATGGAAGAGCAACAAAGCAATTCGGCCCGAGGATTTTCCTCCCAAGCAGCCAAGGCGGTCAGGTGATTAATGCCGAAATATCTGTTTTTCTAGCGATATCGCTAACTCCCATCTTCTCAGTAACACAGCTTTATATTCCCTTCTCCTTCTGCCATTGTTAATTCTCCCTCAAACCCTTCCCGTCACAATGTTCCAGAGAACCATCCTTAGACAGGCTCAGGCCGTCCGCCCTCACCTTTCCGTCCGCTCCGCTTCAGCACCATTGGCGCTCCGTCGCACGTCACAATTTCAGCCGCAATCCCTCCGTCCACTTGCTCGTCTGCCCGTTGTGCGCAGCTACTCTACAGAGAACAAGGCCGAGAAAGGCAAGCAGGAAGAGAAGAATGGTGAATCGGAGTCTCAGAACCCCGAGGATTCCGTTCGTAAAGAGCTAGAGAAGAAGGAGAAGGAGGTCGTTGACTTGAAGGTAAAGTTACTTTCTCATGTCTTCATATCGTTTTTTGAGCTTCACCCCGACGTTGTTACTTTTCTTCCCTTTATTTTCCTTCTCTTTTCCTTTCTTTAGTTGCACTTTTTTTCCAGGCACCCCATTAACACGGCTTGTAACAGGATAAATATGTCCGCTCCGTGGCAGACTTCCTCAACCTTCAGGAACGCACCAAGCGTGATATGGACAACGCGCGCAACTTTGCTATCCAACGTTTCGCTGTTGATCTTCTTGAGAGCATCGATAACTTCGACCGTGCCCTCCTGGCTGTTCCCGAGGACAAGCTCAACTCGACCGAAGCTGAACACAAAGACATAAAGGATCTCGTCTCCGGCCTGAAGATGACTCAGAACATTCTGATGAATACCCTCAAGAAGCACGGACTAGAGAGGTTCGACCCCAGCGAGCTTGCTGAGGATGGCAAGGCTCAGAAATTCGATCCTAATTTGCATGAGGCGACCTTCATGGCCAAGGCTGAGGGCAAGGAGAACGGCGACATCATGTATACTCAGAGCAAGGGCTTCAGGTTGAATGGACGTGTCTTGAGAGTAAGCTCCCCTACCTCTTCACGTTGGGCTCATTGGGTCGTGGTATTAACGAGATTTTCCTGTAGGCTGCAAAGGTCGGCGTTGTCAAGAATGACTGAATCACCCATACCGTCTCATCTATATAAACTTCCCATCCGCAATCCCCTTAACTCCATCTTCTCTTCTTTTCCACCTGTATAATATAACAAATACCATTTCATCATGTCGGGGTAAAACCAAGCACGGCTCTGGTTTAACCGTGTTATCACTACTTGCCTTGTCGCCACGAATGCATGTGTATGATACACCAGCTATTTTTGTTCGCATACGAAAGAAAAACTTACATTCAGTTTTTCTTTCGTAGATTTTCTTTTCTTTTTCTTTTCTTTTTCTTTTCTTTTTTTCTTGTTTTATATCTGGCGTTCGAAACTCACCTCTCTCCTCATTATATCATCTATACCTGTATAATATACGCGACGATCTGGTCTCTTCATTCTGAAAAAGGTGGTCTGATGGGCAATTTTTGGATATGGGCTGCATGCATGGCATTGGATCATGGGGTTTCCTTTCCCTTGCTTGGTTATCTGGGTTGTGTCGTTTCGGTAACGGATGTAAAGGATCATGACCTACATTAATAGATGATTGACTGGATCGGTCATTACTCGTACTTCTTTCTCCTTGGCTTTCGGTGAACATTGTTCAGTAAATTTCTCGACTTCGTTTATTCTACCTAATTATTCACAAGGCGGAAGTGAAGCCGACGGTCTATAACGAGACTTCGATAGAAATATGTTAAGCATGTGTCTGTGTTTATATATCAGAGCCGACTAGGTCATTGAAGTCGAGGTGATTTTTGCTTTCACAATATGGTACAATTGAATGGTTACGTAACTGGATATTATACAAGGTTCCGAATAACTAAGACCAACTACCTCAATGAAACACCAAGTAACCCAACGAGCTTATCCCTAACTTGATCATGAAGGTCATTAGTCTCTTCATTCGTCAACGTGCGCTCCAGACTGCGGTAGTTGATCCGGTAGCACATGCTCTTCTTGCCGGTCTTCGGATGAGTGAACTCATCAATAAGTCTGACGTCCTCGACCAGATCACCCGCAACACCACGGACGATTTCCATGATATCATTCTCGTGCACCGGAACCGCTCCGCCCGCAGCACTACCACCGCTCACAGCGGCGGAGGGAAGCCAGAAAGCAACATCCTTGTAGCAAGCCGGGTGTTTGGAGAACGGTTCGAAGCGGGTGATATGACCAGCCCTGAATTGGGAAAGGAAGCGCTCGTCACGAGACCAGAACAGTCGGATATCCGGGATGTTAAAGAGAAGCATAGCAATGCGTTCAAGGCCGAGTCCGAAGGCCCATCCGATGCGGTTGGGCACGTCCGAGTTGATTAGCAACTCTTGTTTAATGACACCGCAGCCTAGGATCTCAAGCCAATCGCCTTGCCAGAATACTTCTAGTTCCCAAGAGGGACTGGTAAAGGGGAAGTATGCCTCCACCCAGCGTACCTTGAGCGGCTCCTGTTCTCTGAAGTCGTTACCGTTAGCGGCGGCGGCAGCCTTGCTAGCTTCGGTGAAGATCTTGATCACCATACGCTCGAGAGAACGTTTGAGATGCGCTGCTACGGCCTCGACCTCCTCTGCAGTATGGTGCTCCGCCTGCAGTGGGTTGCGCTTTTCGTGGATGGTAGGGTTTGGGTCCTCGACGGCAACATCGTGGGAGGGGATGCGGTTAAGATCATCCACGATCTTGGCAGCTGTTTCCTTCGCATGTTTCAATGGGTCAACATCCGGCCGTTTCCACAGCATAGCGCCCTCCATCTGATGGAAAATAGGGTAGTGACTGCGATCGATAGCATCTCGGCGATACACGTCCGCGACAACCGTATACCCAACCTCCTCTGGCCGCAATTTCTCATTCCGATTAATCTGCTGAAAGTATGCCTGCTGGTGAGCGCTGGTATGTGTTCTCAAAACCGTTTTCTCGTTGACATAGTAGGTGTCCGTGCGACTACGACCGGGATGATCCGCCGGGAAACCAAGGACATCAAAATTCTGTGCGGTGGAAACAACGGGGTTCTTCTCATGGTAGTTCCCGTAGACCGGACCCGGGAACTGGCTTTCAATGAGCTTCCGGGTAATGGCAAGAGGATGGTCCTCGTTGAGGTAGAGTCGTCTTCCGACGTGGGAGAGGATCGTATCAGGGGTGTTGGTCCATTGGTCTACCGGGTAGGATTGCCCTTCAATTGGCAAAGACTGCTTATTTATGGAAGGACGGATAACCGGCTTTTGATCTGAATCCGTACAGTCTTGGTTTCTGAGAGCTGTTGTCGAGCTCCAGGTTCTGCGGTGGAGAGTGAGAGGGACCGAAACGTGCATGAGCGGAATACGCATGTTCCTACCGGAAGACCATCGACCGCTACTAGCGCGCAGCGCCCTGCCAGTGGCTAGGAGGCGCATTTCGATGTCTGATTTACTCCGAATTGGAGCGGTGGGATTACCAGGTTAGCGCAGGTGAATAGGATAAGTTGACTTGCATTGCGGCGGTGTCAATACAAAAACACCACGGGTCGGGGAAATGAATCACCGACGGATATCAGTTCTCAGTGTATGTACCCTCTATGTATGTACTGTATAATCAGTGCTTGATTGTTTCATAACTACGGATTGAAACCGCTCAAGGCCTACGTATGAATACGCCTGTTTGTATGTTGGACGGTTAAACATTTCGCGCAGAGTGAGAACAGGAGAATTGGCTAAATTCGAAGTAGATGACAGCCCAGACACCACGAAATGCCTTCCAAGCATCCACCGACCCAGGAAACAGAATACAGACAGGGATTAGATGTATCAACACCTAAACCATCCTTAAGTAAAGTTCCGAAAAGAAGTTATAAAAAGCACAGAAATGGCCAACCAACGCGTCTATCGCTTTTGCCTCACTTTCGCCAGTCAATGCAGAGAAGGAGATGAAAGAAGCGATGACCTAATACCGTAGTTGTGGACGCCAGCCAATCAAACCAAAGACCCAGTGAAAGAGACGCAAGAGTAGATCGAGGGTAACTCGTAACGCCAACCTCAAGTATGTGGAGATGAACCAACGCCATGAAATACAACGAGAATATATGCGAGTGAAGTCATCTCAGAGTGATATCAAAGAGGATGCACATGTATATAAGATCTCAACTCCGTTGTCAGATTCCCTCAATAGTATCGGACCCTGAGTCATCTGATCCATCGGCTAGCATGGAGTGAGTTGGTAGCTTTCGTCCTGCTCCATACACCATCTCCATTAATTTGGCTTTCTGCTTCTCCCGGACAGATCGAAGGTAATCGTAGCTGCCTTCTAGTCCACGGATTTGGCCTTCAATTACAGCCTCGACCGGCCCTATCATCCGGCCATTACTCCGACTACCACTAGTGTCAATAGCACCAGCGAAGCTCACGGAGTCGTTGCGTCGAACAAGCGGACTGACGAGCTTTCGCCGTAGAGTTTCGAGATTGACCTTAAGAGTGAGTAGCCGGCCGCGGTGGTCCATGAGGAGATGCTTGTTGGCGACCGTCCGGCTACGGACATTGGCGAGCAATCGCTTGTTCTTCTCGTACTTACGCACAACGGCTGCGTCAGGTCCGAGGACACGGGTCCAAAGAGAGCTGAGCATTTCGCCTTCAGCACGCTCTTGAGCATCTGACTCACGTACCACTGTGCGCTGAAGATTGAGGAACTGGCGATCGATGGATTCAAAGAGCGCGAAAAGCGCAGTAGAGTGCGTCAGCTCACTATTAATGGACTCTTCTAGTACCGACAAGAATTCAGTGAAGGTCCGGGTCAGAGTAGAACGCGTGCGCTGGGCAGACGTTTGACCAAAGACCGCAGTTACAATGTGGCCAAAGGTGGTGGGAGTGCTTGTCAGCTCGCCGCCAACTCCCTCCCCGTCGGGGATGGTGACACGCTCCAGCGTGCCGAGTCGCGCCAGGAGATCGTGCATATTGTCAAGCATAATAGATGGCAGTGTACTAGGCGGCTGGGATGACAGGGTCTCCAGCTCCCGTTTAGCCCAATCCATGACAAGCAATATAGAATCGACGTCCGAGTCCACATTGGCGAAGAAGCGAGTCAACTCTAAAGACAGAGACTTTAGAGACTCAGACAGCTCATCTAGCTGGCGTACTATGATCGGCGCACTGGTCATATTGGTACCACGCACCGACTCGCTTAGATCCCAGACCGCAACCCCGGTCTCCTGCAACGTTCCAATCTGTTGTACGCCATTCTCTGAATAGTAGATCAGAGGCTCGAAAGACCGCGCGAAGCCTGACAGCTTTACGAGGTCAGGGATTGCTTGTGGCACACTGGGTAAGAACAAGGCGCGCATGAATGCTATGGATAGTAGGGCTATCAAAATGGAAATGGTGGTGTTGGATTTGGAGCTAGTGATCTTATCGAATTTGGATCGTAAGCAACTAAATAATGCGACAAAGGGTTCGCGCTGCTGAACTTCTGCGCGCACAGCGAACCGGATATCTTGAAGAAAGGCCCACCCGTTAGTATCCCGCGCCAGCGTGCTGGACAGGGTTCAAACCGAGATAAAGCCTACAATTGCTTATATTATTCTCCGACCCAAATTCTAACCCTTCCGGGCCGGGACTGGTCCCCGGAGCCGGGCCTGTACTGGGAGACCGAGCCTTGTGCGGAGACTCTGCGTCAATCGGCAAGGGAACGTTGGCAGCAATCGTAAGGTCCCCTGTATCAGTGGAGCTGCTTCTTTTACCGGCCATGGGGGCCTCAAGAGCGTCTTCATACTGCGGGCTAGGTTCCCGCGATTGCGACGGACTGAGCCCCACAGTGGGTTTTAGTCCTAATCGATCCTGATCGATTTTGCGCAAATAGGGCTGATGTCGATACCAGCCACTGCCTTGAACGTAGTCATACCTCTGAAACCCTGGAGGAGACCAACGCTCCCCGTTGGGAGTCATGTCATCTTCCTCAGCATCTGATTCCTCTGACCGAAATCCTGAATGTTGCGACGGTAGACCAAACACCGGAGAACGGTGCGCATTACTTGTGTTCTCAAAGTCCTCGAGCGACGCATCCAATGACGGATGGTCGTCAAAGACGTTATCCAGCTCATCCAACATAGTGGACGGCGTTGCGCACAACCTATACGACGTTATCAAAGCCACTTCAATCGTTGCGACGCTGAAGCGACGACTTTCAGTTGACCAAACAGTTTCTAGACTGTCGCAGTGAGGTGTGGTAGCTTGTGGAGGGGTTAGTCGCAAGCGCACTAAACAGACGAGGTGGGATCGGTCTTGTGGTCTATCGCGAGGAGATGTGGGGAGAAGGTAAATAGATGGTAGGTAGGAAAAGACAAGTAACGAAGAGTAGCCTGCGAGTCAGAAAGAAGGTACGGGAATGGGCAGACGCAAGACATGGGAATGCGAAAGGGAGTAGAAGCCAGCAGACGAGGCCTTGATGCCTGAGGACGGAGCGACCGACTAACTGGGTTGCGACAAGTCACTCTTCCTGTGCCGGGGTAGATACGGAGTACTTGCAGCAGTTACAGAGGCGCTTGCATTAAAACGTTGTGCCACAGTGATCAGCAGTCCGCTGGAAAGTGACGTTAGTTCGAAGATTCGCTATCAGCCAACAATATCCATTCAGTGTTTTGCGGAGCTTCTTCAATCTTTTTGTTTCAAGGAAATGCGGCTCGTGTTCCCTTCTATTTCGTGTCAAGGTACCGAAGGAGATATGAACCAGCGATACCCCCCTCGCATCGCCCTTTGGGGTTTGAGTTGTTTTATCGGGGGAAGAGCGAGAGAGGGGCGCAGGTGGTGGCTGGGCCAATGGCGGTGGGCAGATCGGGGGGTCATGTGCCAACCGGTTCCAGACCCGTACTGTACCGTACAGGTCCATCGTAGATACTGTCCTGTCCTTGGAAAGAGGGTACCCTGAGGTTCACTCTAGACTAGTGGTAAGATATCGTTGTCGCTAGCCACTGAAACACTGGCTGAGATGTCCCCTAGAAATCCAGTCAAATCAGCCGACCCAATAGCATCCCAGCGTTGTAAGGATCGACAGCCAGTTTGCCAGAACTCTTCCTTTGCTTGTCCACGACGATAGGATAACCTGGCCCGAGAGGATCGGCTTGGTTCCTAGACAGGAATCATCTTCAGACACCGCAAGAACCTTGGAGAGGGCCTCCTGGCTAGCATCGCATTGCGAAGGGAAAGACCGGTGATGAACGGCGCTCGGGAACAAAAGCTAAATGAAAGCACCTGAAATCGGGATGCCCATATACCCACGTGATGAGGGCGTTGCGCACGTGGCTGAAACACGGGAACCCGACCCGGTGCCTGCGGTTAGTCAAGGTAAAAGAATCGAACAGAACAAAAAAGTTGGTCATCATGAGAGGAGATCTCTTTATTCATTATAGCCTTGCGGCCAGAAACTTAACCATGATACATAGAGCTGGAAAATAAACATAATCACGGGGAGGAAAAGGGTTATCGGCCGACATAGACACAGTCGCAAAGGAAACACGTCTCTATGAAAACCGCAAATCCAGCGCACAAAGGAAAACCCAGGTCTATTGCGAGTAAACAAGGTATAGAGTAATATTACATGCCCTGTCCGTCAACTGCCGAGGATCTGGGATCGTATCAAATCCAATGCGACAGGCCACCCGAACGGGGTTGAGAAACGAATTTTATCTCATAGAGCAGGGCATTTAGGCGGTGCTCTCCTTGAGGTAACTAATCGAACAAAAGCAGTTAGCGTCAAAATCACCTTACCAGTCAAACATAGCCAGGAAACGTACGTGATGAGGTCGTTCCTCTCCTTAGCCTTCTTGAGACCACCGAAGGCCATCTTGGTACCGGGGATATACTTCTTGGGGTTCTCGAGGTAGGTGAACTGATCCAGCATGTTAGTCTACAATTCCCAGTCACGTCACAAGCGCAGAGAACAGTGCGCACCAGAGTCTTCTCATCCCAAGTGACATCAGCCTGCTTGTTGGCATCGGTGTAGGCGTAGCCGTCGACGGAACCAGTCTTACGGCCGAACAGACCGTGAAGCTTGGGGCCAACCTTGTTGGCGCCATCAGCCTCGACAGTGTGGCACTGAGCGCAGCGAGTCTACCCAAAACATTAGCCGTCGCGCGACAGAAAGAAGACCCGAATAGCAAAGTCAACAACATACCTGGAAGAGCTTGGCACCCTTGGCAGAGTCACCTGAAGATATTAAAATATTAGCCGTCTGTTTCGCCTTTTCTGCGGCCTCAAGCTCGGCCTCGCGCATGCCAATAGTAGTGAGAAGACAGAAAGTGTCAAAGCTGGTCATGATGACCTGAAGGTTCGGGAATCGCGGGTGTAGTTCAAGATTGGTAAGTTCTTCAATTGATACAGTCTAAAGGGATAAGTCGCAGGCTGGTTTTTATCCAGAGGACATGGAACACAGTGCTGCAGGGAGGTTGTGCTACTTCCAAAAGTAGCCATCATTCACTGAATTCCCAGAAGCAAATGGAGAAAGGTTTGCGTTGGGACACCAACAGTGAATGATCGGATAGGATGCGCTTGGAGAATAACAGGGAAGTTGCCAGGGAGTGCAGTGACTTACCAGGAGCGAAAGAAGCTTCCTTGCCCATTGTGAACGTGTAGAGTGGAGTCTAAAAGAGACGTTGAAAGGGAAATATACAAAAAAAAGAAGGTATCCTAAAAGCGAACGAGGAAATCAATCGAAGAAAAAAGCTGGCAAGAAAAAAATCCTTGCGAATGTAGGAATTTGTACAAAGCGCCGTCTTCGCCCCCGAGGCATCCCGTGATCCGGGCATTGGCCAATCAGCGGTAGGATGATTCAGCACTCAACGGGCTCTCTCGGGACAAAGGAAACAACCGGTGTCTTTTTTCAGCACCTATTTTTTATTTTCCTCGGGGGAGAGACATCCCATCCCATACCACCGGACAAACGATAGGTAACAATCTTAACTTCCTTGGAAGGGACACAGCAATTGTGACTACATTTCTCAGAAAATTGCTAGCTCATAGGGTCCCTTTCCATAGGAACTACTTGATTGAGCAAATGCCGGTTTTACATAGGTATGATCTCATTCGGTGCTACACTTCCACGGCATTTGGATCCATTCCCAGTACGCGGGAGAACTGGGCCGATATGGAAATGGATGGATCCGGCCTTTGGAAATGCCTGCCTTGCCATTTGTTCCCCCGACGGGGTCTGTGTGGTTATCCGCCTTTTGCCCCGAATCGTCGCCTGAGGCGGAAACCTGCTCGGTGCCTCGGTACGGAGACCTAGTACGTAGTATACTGGTAGTAAGGTGATATCTCTCTCTCGCTCACTTTCTCTATACATTGAAGGGAAGGGCGAAATGTTGTGTATAGATTGTAGATCTCTTCATACGCGCCTTAAAATAGCATCTGCGCTTTAATCAACCGTCCCAGACGTCCACCCACGTCAACTATCGCTAGAACAATCCCCGAAGTATGCCATGATGTGGCCTCCTGTGTTCTGATTTCACTGTAGACCCCCTCATGATCTTTATAACCTTCTAGTATGGCCTGACCGCATACAGATGCTTTAGCCTCACACTCAAGAAAATTCAGGATACACTGGTGTCCATCGATTTGAGATATGCGGGCGTGGTGCCCCCAGTTTCGCGCAGCATTGTCGTAAAGGCAATATGAACCCAGCCGTTGCTCGAGTTTACGTGTACGACACATTCTGCTTCTGAATACATTGTATGAGAGGTATGTAACGCAGGTCCGTGTAGTATCTGACTGTGCAGTGCGGAACCACTTCCTCTATCAAGAATACTTTGAGAGCAGAATAGAGGATGATAATCGCTTTCTTTATCAACCGCGATTAATCCGCGGCATATGGACCGCAGGTATTCGACCTCTGTGATGTAGCACTCATTCAGCTCTGACTTATCCAACTGCTGAGCTGCAAGGGCATGTTGGAGTTCTTGCGTAGCAAGCGGTCTATTAGCATGGACAAGCCATGCAAGAATCTTTTTTGCAAGGTCTTTTTCGTATTTCCCCTCGAATTCTCTCCATTGACATTTTGTAGGTTTCTTTTAATATGTCAACCCCCTTGACAAGTCTTTGCAAAACATCATGAACATATCCTTCATTTGGCGGATTCGCAAGGAGGTCCATGATAGGCGTTGCAAGCAGGAACCTTAATGATGAGCTATTCCTTACATTTGAACAAATCATAAATTGATTAGATGACTTACATTCCATCCACTTTTTCAACGACCTCTGGGGTGATTAGATCCCAGACACTACTATTAAGGATATTTGATCTTCGATTGGCTATCTGCTGACCAAGATATACTGTTTATAACAGTATATCTTGATCTGTCGCGCGAATCTCCAACGACAGTGCATCCTCTTTTCTGAAGTCCTCCGATAGCGTATGATTTGTCCGAGAGGTTGCAAAGATGTTAATGTTGGACTTGCCTTGGAGACTAAAAAGACTGGACATGAGTTCCCATCGGGTAGCCTCTTTACACTCATCAAGCGCATCCACGACAATAAAGACTTTGGGGTACACGCAGTAGTAACCTTCAGGGCTTCATAGATCTTGTCCAACGGCAGCCGTGTATCCCTAGTATAGTGTCGATCATGCACGTCATCAACGACATCTGGAATCATCAGTCGGTCCTGAGTCTACTGGCTAAGCAAAGTTTCCAGAAAATGTTTTGTGTTCTTTATTTTTTTTTCAACTTGAAATTGCAAACAAGATAACCAACACCAAGTCCTCAAGCATCTTGACGCTTTCCCTCAAGACCTTGAATGACAGCTGATGCGAGAATCGCCTTCCCTGCTCCCGGAAAACCTGAACAAAATATATGCTCTCTATTAATCACCGCCCAAGCTTGGTACTCGTTCGAGTCAAATAGCCATTCACGAGTGCCTTTTTATCGTCTCCGTCGTCTCTCTATGTAGTCGTATTTTTGAGAACCATGAGCGTTGTCTGAGAGCCAGTTAAGGGCTTTGATGTGTGCTTCATTTTGCTGGTAGCTGACGACGTGTTCAGCACTTAGCCGTTTCCTCAGTCCTTAACTGGAGTGCTAGCAGGGCCTCATTAAGTTAATCTTCGTAATATGAGATATTGAAGTCCTCTTAATCTTACCAGCAAGAACATCCGCCATGCTCTTCTCGGCCTCAACAACGATTGGGGGGGGGATTCGATCAAGGAGGTCTTTTACTTATGCAGCTGCCGCCATTGCCGCATAGCCTTGCCATTCCTTGTTTTTATGAGAGTCCGAGTAGTCATATATACAGCACACTACAAGACAAGGAAAGTGACTCATGAGCCCTGCTGCCTCTATATCAAAACAGAGCACGCCCTTTTCGGCAAACGCATCGCGAAAGTCGTATCCTTCACCACCTGGCTGCCAGAAGCAACCGGGCCGTAGTGAAGCGCTGGGATCTTTTTGACATTGGTGTGTTTACTCCTCGTTTTCAAGTTTGACAAGGGCCATAGCGGGTTTAATGAGCCAAAGCCACAAACTGCTTGACACCTTTACTGTCGACGGGATGGACAACATAACAAGATGGGTAAAGCCGGTCAGAAGCTGGGTCTGGTCGTCCGTACTCCTGTTTCAATTGTGGCTTCTTCTCTAGAGCACCTTTGATTGATGCTTCAAGCCCTGGATTATCCTCATCGAATTCAGTCGGGGCATCATTCGCTGCCGACAATAAAAATTCTGGTGGCTGATTCAGAGCCGCTGTGGGTTGGAAGGTCTGATCTTGAACTCTTTTACCGAAATCATAATGAAAAACACTACCTATACTATTCCCAGGAGCGCTGACCACGAAATTACACAACCGAATGCCATCGTGACGCTCATCACTTGGTACACCACCGCCTATACCAACCATCAGACCAAGTCTGATATTAGAAAAGCTACGCAACATGTTGGTTGCAAGGCGCGATGCAGAGGATATGCCGTATGGGCAATCTAGCTATGACGGCACTGTGTTTTCCGATTCTACCAAGCGTATAGGTATTGCCGTCATTGACGAATTAAAAGTCCGGTGGTGCGTGTTGTTCGTCAAGAAATGCTCGCGCAGCGATATACTCAGGCTGGACAGCAGTGACCCAGCCGACTGTGTAGTCACTATGTTTCAACTTCGGGAGATTGGGGGTTGCGCCCTCATGCTTGTCTGGCATAGTGTTCCTCTCCGACGTGGCTCCTACATCTTGGTCACTATCAGTTCGGAATTCGCCCCCCATGTCGAACAAGCTTCGATCGAAGAATTACAGTTAACGCATCCAATGAGTTCAACGATGGTAAGGAAAGCACATCCTCTAAATCCCTTGAGTAGAAATCAACTTCAGTTTGGTAAGAAAAGGCGCATTGAGGTGCAGTGGACAGGGATTTATCTCATAGCCTCGGGCTGTGCTAGCCCCGCGCCAAAGGAGTGTGCCCAATTTGACAGAGGGATCATCGCGTTTATCGAGCAAGATCCTTTGCACTATAATTAGGACCCTTTCGACTGGGGTCATCTTCGATAGCTCCTCCTTTGAGTAGAATATAATCCTTGCAAGCTTTGCATATTCATTTGTGGAACTGCCAAACCCTGAGCTTCAACTGGGCCTTGATGACGGCTCGAAGCATAGAATGTAGGCCGCAATGTTGTCTAATATCTCACGAGTGGGCGGTTAGAACTCCGTCGTTTGACCAGAATTATCAATCAGCGGTTGGTCTAGCCTTTGCAATAAGTGATGGAACACCAACGGAGTCGAGAGGCGAAGTATGGTCTAGGGAGCTGTGGGTATGCTGCAGTTGTTTGTTCATGTGCTCATCTGCCCCCCCCTGCTTTGCAATACCCTTACTGCGCAAATAAAAATCATTTTGATCAGGTTTATGAAAGGGATTGGATTAGAGAGGCTGAGGTTGCACCGTCAAACAAATCCCAATTATACAAATACAACCTACTTTTATACATACATACCACGTGACTCGCTCACCAACATCTCCCGCCAGCGGGAAAAAGTTCAAAGCAATCAACTCCGCCTCCAACCAATCCACTTCTTGTCCACAGCAGCCCCAACACCAATGGTCCCGGTCACAATCCCACAATTTCTCCTACCGCGGGGCATCCCGTCGACCCGGGCCTTCCAATCGTTAACCCGCGCAAATGCAACCCACCACCGCATCACGACCTTGACCTTGACCCCGAACCGGCGATGCGCATCAGACAACAGCAAGGCGCGGGTACTAGCCCAGCCGGACAAATTCCGGCCTCCATCCCACCCAGCGCGCAGAGTCGTGCAAACGCGCAATGGCAAGATCGTTGGCAGAGAGCCAGTCAACTACCCGGGACCCAAGCTATCCGAGAAAGAGCGCGAGGAGCAGAAGCATAGACAGTATCCGAATATGTTCCCGCCCGAGGGGACGGTTATGTATAAATTTTTGACGAGTCGGTGGATTCATATTTGGATTGCTATGGTGAGTTCCCCCGCAACACCAAACCCCCCTCTCCCGGCTCTACATGTGCTAGACTGCTTGATTTATGCTACTCGTGAATGGGAGATATGCGGACAGGGAGGGGCACAGTATGCTGATTGAAGCCTATTTGTACAGAGCGTTCTTACAACCTTGGCTACGTTTACCTTCACTACGAACTTTAAAAGGTCGTCGCCGTTTGCGCACTTGCTTCCGTCTTGGTCGGGTCTTCTCTCGCACCCGATTGATACTGTGTCCCAGGCGCTCTCTGTCTTCCGGATGCACGTGCAGCATACTTCTGTGCAGACCAGGGAGAAGCGACACCAGCGCGTTGAAGATGCGGAGAAGAGACGGCAGTATCGGGTTGCTCATGGATTGGAGGAGCCGGCTGAGGAGAAGAGCGAGGCCCAGACTGATGTGGTTGATGATCAGTCCCCGATAGCTGCTGACCTGGAGCCGAAGCAGGGAAGTGAGGAATATGTTGATTGGGATGGAAAGAGAAAGCCTGTTAAGAAATGGTTGGGAATTTGGTAGAGGTATGCCTTCCCATGTTGAAATCGGGATTGTGTGGATCTGAGATTGGATTATTGGGGGACTATGTGTACAAACGATGTGGTAAGTATACTATGTAGATTACCTTTGCGTATCTTTATTTTTCTTTTTCGTCTTAGCACCGTATTATTCATTATGTACATGACATCTCCTATCTTTTGATGTGATAATCAAGATTTGCCAGCAGGCCGCTGAGTGGGAACTGTGAAGCATGCCACAGGCCCTCTAATCATAGTCTTTCCGAAGACCTTCCGCTGCTACATCGTGGCGAGTCTGTGGCGATGCGCATACTTCCGTCCAAATGTTTCCCATCTTCGCCGACAAAACCCATGCGGTAGCAGACGCATCGAGAACGGCGCATGTAGGGCAAGATATCCGTATTCGGAACAAAGGAATATCGTACGTATCAGTGGATTCATCCAACTTGAACGCCCTCTAGACCCTCAAGAACCTCATCCCCAACACCACCCTTCTGAAGCACCAGCTTAACTATGCGAGACACTGTGCTTCTCTTCACACCTCCACGTCGAGGTCTCCAGACTCCTGCAACCTCTTCTTCACCTGTAGACGGGTTCATGATGACCGCTTCTTCAGCGGCGGCCGTGGACCCTAATGTAGTCACATTTTCTGAGTTAGGTATACCAGGCTGGGTTAACCGAGAAGGAGGATCGATCGTGCGGATAGAAAGGAGCTTCAAGCTATCAGAATCACTATCCCGCGTAACAGAAATCGCCAGAACAGTGTCAGCGACAGCAATCTCCTCTCTGTTAGGGTCGAAAATAACATTCTCGCCTACAGAAATAACGAGTAATGTTACTGGGGGGCGAACTTGTTGAGAAGGCAAAGAGGCCTCGGTTTTCGAGGTAGCGCGTGGGTATAGGTATTCTGCAGCATTCCAGTCGTCATCGAAAAACGGATCTTCCTCGCCTTGGGACTTCAATTTCGGAAGTTTCGTCGACAGGAGCGCCAGATGAGTCGTTAGGGACAGTAGCGGGAGCGGGTATGACTGAGGTTGGGAGAGGAGAAGAACCTGGAGTAACAACATTAGAATCAATTTTGCCCTGGAATTGAACGCAAATCTTACATCAATGTAGAGCCGCCAGTGCCACCGTCTGTTGATCACCAGCCTTCCTTTCAGCCCACCAGCCATCTCACCGTTCTCAGAGCCCCCATTCGATACAGATTCAACCAGAGGCTCTCGCATCATTTCAGACAGGAAAACTGGTAAAGCATCGTCATCCCGGAACCCAGGAATCTCAATCGACATCTGCACCCAAGACCCATGCCCAGCACTCGACACTTGATTTCCGTCGCCGTTCGCATTGTCCGCGTCATCCTGGCCCTGTTGTGGCAGCTTGAGAGCATCTGCTGAAACGACAGTCTTTTCTACTTCCGCTTTCACTCCGACGATTGCTTGAGTACCGTCTGCAAATCCAACACGTGCGCTACCGTTGGTCCCAGGGAGGATGTCAGTCTCCGCCGTTAAGGGCCGAAATTGCGTGGCTGAGCGTCCATCTGGCCGAATTGGGCTGCCTGGCAAAGCAAGCGAAGTGTAGAGATATGAAAGCTCTGCGGGCGATATATGCGGGGTTTGTGAAGCGGACGAGGCCTGCCGTTGGGCTGCCATTGAAAAGGAATGCAGGGAAGAGAAGCGGCCGAGGTTAATAAGAAAAAGAAAGAAAGAAAAAAAAAAAAACCGAAGAAGCGAAGAAGCGGAGAAGAGTAAAAAGGTTCTGAACTATGTTGAGGATAATATCATGCAAATCGCAGCGATCTGTTCCACCGTGAACCAAAGGAGTAATTTTCAGTCTGATATGATGTTGGTCCCCACGAGACAACAACACTGGTAGGTAATGAATCGTAATGTCTTCACCGGACCAGGCTGCCTGTACTTGAAGTATCGTGAGATAGGATCATTTGCGACACAGGTAACCAATGTCGATCATCGGGACTTGGGAGTACAGTGCTTCATACGGAAATTCTGTTGAAGGCGGAGTATTGTTGTTCCCGGCCGGTCGACCATTCTTATCAGCGCTTATCAGCCACTGTTACGATTCGAATATGAATAGTGTGAATGCGATATGCTAGAATATACAGAGCACTTTTATTGCCTGTTCGATTAGGTATATATATGTGTACATATAAACAGCTGGCTCGACAGCCAAGTATAAGTACTATATTACAATATGTGTGTAGAGCCCAAGACTAGCCACCAGTGGTCCTTCCCAGCAACAAAAAATTGTACATGAGGTGAATCGAAATTTTTGCACAGAAATCGCATCATTTCCCTAGATGAAGTGCAATGAGCGGCAGGTGAGGATGATTAGGGATGAAAGAGAAAAAGGAGAGGCTAGGGAATGATGCTGAGGAAATGTATCAGATGTAGTGATGACAGGTTATGACAAATGAAAAGCGGGAAATAAGATGCTGTCAGTAAGGAACAAGACATGTTTGGGTGCAATGCATATATATATATAAAGAATGATAGCAGACCTCGCGACTCGCGCATTTGGTATCGATGTAAAGTAATGTGCAAACAGGAACACCGCAAACGAAAGACAAGAAATGAAAACCGCATGCCGAAACCAGGTTGCGAGGCCGACTATATCTATAAAGGCCTTTGGGGTATGAAAACAACAGAAGGACAAATGAAAAGGAACCCGGGCTGATCCTTGCCCTATGCAAATATAGGGAGAGAAGATGTTTTCACAAGAAAAGAAAAAGGAAAAGACCAACCACTACCGTAAAGACGAAGAATAGACACCAAATCCTGTACGCCATGCTCGGTTAGATCGCCGATTACCGCGCGTTCCCCATTTTTCTGTCTTTGATAAGTTCAAAATCAAACAAAAAAGCCGGAAAGATAAATATCAAAACACGACATCCACCCATGGTATGGCGGTCCACGGTGAACTACCTATAGGTTGACCCAGTCATGAAATTTGTGGAGATTGGATTTGTCCACTCCCCGTCTTCATAAGGTGGTGTAGGCCATTGACGAGTCGAGTTGGTGGGTTCTGTCTTATCATCAGGAAGTCCCAAACGCCGGATTGGAGTCGCATCAGAGTGGCCAAAGGAAACCCCATCACATTTTGCTGATGGAGAAGGTGTAGGGTAGGGGCTAGGTAACGCCCGCGAGCTGTCGTTTCCCATAGCTTGCCGACTGTAGTTCGAGGATACATCGGAATATACTTCAGTCTGTGCTAGGTGCCTCGCAGCTTTGCTTGCCGAGTGAAGTGCCTCATCAAGGAGCTCATCCTCTTCCTCTGGTGTTTCGTAGCGGTGGACGGGATGAGTTGATAGCTGTAGCGCACGCCGGGTTCGGCTAGAGATTGGCGCACCAGTGCCACTAGTTGAAACAGGACTATCACCAATTGAGCGAATAGAGCCCTGAGGCATTGACTGCCTTTTAACACCTTCGACCGGAGAGGTGATGTGAACAGGAACATTGCCTATTGCAGTCGAATCAAGAGAATACTTCACACCCTGAAGAGCCTTGTCCAGCTCAGATATATCAGAACCTTGCTTGACTTCGTTAGTACTAGTAGAGTCTAAGGCTAACGATGATCGATTTGACCAAGGCATACAACCGGCATTGGCCTCGACGTCATCGCTTGATGTGTTTCCCTGGTTGCGACCAGATAGCCTACGAGCGCGCTTGCGAAGGTGGGAGAAAAAGCTTTCCTTCTGGCTGAGACCGGCGAGGAGATTGCCACTTCCACCGTTCAATGCTCTCTCTGCTTCCTGCCTATGCATATCGGCGTAGTGATTGCCGTGAGAGTTGAGGGAAAGCTGTCTGCCAATCTTCTTGCTCGCTTTTCCTTGGTCACCAGCAAGAGAAGAATTTGCCTGTGCTGTGACTGCATTGGACAGAGGAGACACTGGTCGGATGGAAGGCAAGATAGGCATTGGGGCCCCATTTGCCCACGTCGCCCGCTTACTGGGCGCAGGTTTGCTCTTAGTAGTTTCAGGTGCCGTGCTGTACGAGACAACAGGCTGCTTTGGTTGCTCGTTATCGCTATCAGATCTTCCGATCAGTGACCTCCGGAACCACGACGATTTGGACGTAAGAGTGGGCGAGTCACTGCTCTCTCGAATGGGGGATTTAAAGCTCTTGTCAGAAGTTTTCCGACCCAGCAGCCGGGCGGTTGAGGACTTCGGCCGCAATGGGTCGACAGCATCTGTAAAGTACTCGTGATTCAAGGCCTGGGTGGAAGTGGGCCTATTCTTGGGGTCCCACATCAGGCACCATGTGACAAAATGACTCAGAGATGCTGGCCATTGAGGAGGTTGAAGGATGCTTTCCATGGAATGAGGCGCCATCTGTGATTATGGTCAGTGTCTATGCCCGTTATTACAAGCCATGGAATACATACCTTGGGAAAAGTGAATCCAAGCTTCTGGGCAAGACGGGAGCCATCTCTCCATTCACCACCACCGAGCTTGGCACCCGACTTGCTGTACCAGTTACCTGGGCTGCCCATGATCTCACAAACGCGCCAGACCTGATCAACTTCGTTACCACCAGGGAACAATGGCTTCAAGGTAGCAATTTCGACAGCCATAGCACCGATAGCCCACATATCCACAGGCGCAGAGTATTCTCCTGCTCGCAAAAGGACCTCCGGGGCACGGTACCATCTCGTGGACACGTATGTTGTATAAGGGAGCTTGGAATGAGTCTCCCTTGCAAGGCCAAAGTCGGCTATCTTCACGGTATATGTTGGAGGGGTTGAAGGTGGAGTCACTAGGTTAGAATAACGGCTGAAAGCAGAGTCATTCGGTGCGGACGTAGATACAAGGATATTCTCCGGCTTGATATCACGGTGGAAAAAGTGATGAGCATGGATGTGATCGAGACCCGACAAAATTTGGTAAAGAATGCTCTTCACATGTCTGCCATCGAACGGCTTGTGGTCCCGTGATTTCATCAATTGGTAGAGGTTACCATCCATGTATTCCATACAAATATGTAGCTTGCGAGAAAGAGGGTCGAGGAAGATGTCGAGAGCTGGGACAAGGTGTGGGTGAGCGGGTAGAGTCCGTAGAAAGATCACTTCCCGTAATTCGAGGCATGGTGCTAATGAATCGAAGGTCTTCTTCATGGTCTTAATGGCAACCTGTTGATGAGGTCAGCACAACACCCGCTTTTCCACGGTGCTGGATCGGCTTACCATGGTTCCCCTCCGCGCGATGTTGGAGCCAGCCGTCCGTACACGAGCCACGGCAACACTACCAAAGCTACCATCCCCGATTTCCTTCATCACCTCAAATCGGTCTTCGAGTGTAGCCATTGAGGTCGGTGCGGCGTTCCGCAATGACGAATGGTCGTAAGAGACGGTCATTGTGCCTCTCCTTTTCTTTCTCTGCCAGCAGATGAACCAAGGGAGTTTGGAGGACTGTCAGGCATACATCAGCCGACCTTGTTCCGTCGTAGGGTTAGATATCTCCAAAGTAAATCTTACCCTATATCCGTAGTTTCGGCGGTCAAGATAATCTGTGCCAATGATAGTCGCAAGTGATTCAATTCAACCAGATGATCATCATTTGCAGTTCAGTTTAAGTGGTATAGAGTTCACAGAAGCCGAGACGGGTATGGTTCTCTTCCATGGATGGTTTGGATATAGGATAGGCAAGATTGATTAGATGCGAGAAAGATGAGGGACAAGAATGGGTGGGAGGAGGGGGGGAAGGGGGTCATGTAGTTCTTAGGAAAGACACGAAGGTGGAGGATTGGCAGATCTGGAAGCAAGATGGAAGACCCAGAAGATTGGTCGTGATCACTGTAGTGATAGGAGCGGACCCGTCTTGGTGGGAACTGCTAAACGAAAGGATGATCGGAGGCCGAGTTGGAGGGAGCCCCTGACGCGGTGACAGCTTTACCAACACTTTACCAGCTCCAAGACAGACGACTGACTTGACTTGGGGCCGGGCCGTGGAGACTTGGGAAGAAGCGGTCGACGACGGAGCGAGAGTTGAGGGGGTAGGTAGTTGAAGGTGCAGATCACAGGCAAAATAATAATGTAATGATAGGACGGTAATAATAATAAATATTACACCTGAAAAGAAAAAAGAAAATAACAAAGCAGAGTAAAATGCAGATAGATTGTTGAGGGGTCAATACACTTGGGGAAATAGGGACGAGGGGGCTGACATGGACCAAAAAGGTAAATTCAAATAATTAATCGTTGGAATTGACAGCAGGTAAGACACGCAGTCATGTAAGTCACTAAATAAGAAAGAGGTTGGACTGTAGATAGTTGGAGGGGTGGGAAAAACAGGAAGAAGGAAAAAGGAAAAATAATAATGTATAAGATATCGAATAAGAATAAAAATAAAAAAGAAAGGCAGCAATTGAGGAGCGAGGATGAATGAGTGAACAGACGCGAGTGGTCGCTGTGAGGCAGAAGAGAGACAAGCAGTAAGAGCATTGACGACGCGAAATTCAGACAATAATAACCGCCAGAAGAAAATAATAAGACATGATTACTCTGCTTTCTCCATCCTCCCGGACTAGTTTATCCACTAAGACCATTTGGTCACCATTACCCTCTGACAATGCTCCGTAATAATCCTCACGAACTAATAATAATGCCTGTTGTCGGATGGCGAGACCTCCACAAAACTAACTAATGGCAAAGACGAGTCAGGAATCGTCCGGAGATCCACCCCGCTTAGGAAAAAATAAATCATCATAATGTTTTATAATAGAGAGAGAGGAGGGAAAGGAGGGTAAAAAAAAAAAAGAAAAAAGGAGTCAATTGTAACAACGGCCTCGAACTGAAGACGGGTAGCCGTTACGGCAAATTGCCGAAAATGTAAACATGAAAAACATATCGTACGTACGTGGAGTAACAATTTCGCTGGAACAATCAACTAGTAAATAGCAAGAGATACATGGTTTGCATTATCGGCACAATAAGGATCAGGGAAAGAGCGATGCGAAGATAGAATTTCTCGGTCAATGGGCATCAGCTGACAATCTCGGCCATGATCATCAGTACGCAAGGTACATTTTGATCTTTCACGCAGTACTATTTTCTTTCTCCTTTCTCCTGTCTAGAGCGAGACTTTTTTTTTTGAATATTTTTTTTCTGCGGTTTTTTATTTGCGCCTAACCCGTAACAGGTCGAAACATTATCGTAAGTAACGGTGTTACGCCTAAAATTTCGAGTTCAGTGGTTAGTGGGGATGTGGAAATTGGTATTTTCTAGCGCTCTGATTGTCGAAAAAGACTAATAGAGTTACCAATAAATGCCCTTCATATGTACAATTATACGCTAAAATACCCAAAGCAATAAATAGTACTGCCAGTTCGTAGAGCGCACCCATTTATGAGAGTGTTACATAACCCCCGTTCTACTCCAGTAACTAATGATTTCATCCGGCATCTCTCTCTCTTTTCTTCTTGATATCTATGCAAATATGCTGGTCAGAATACTACTCTGTAAAAGTAAGTACCCAAACTTAGGGCGGCGGAAATGATTCCAAGCCACCTAACGGTTCTAAGGGTAAACTGTAAGGTTTAGTAGTAGCCACGACTTCCGGTGCCGATTGCCTGTGTTAAGTGTTGACACTGGGGTATGGACAAAGCAGCCAAAGAGCTTGAAAAGCAATTAGGCCTAAGACTCATTCAGTGGTCACCACAACACGCCGCTTTGAAGACTTGGGAGGTCCAGCCTTAATAGCGCCCCCACATGGTCCCCGCCTCTAGTGATCGTTAGACGGGCCCTAGCAAGGATGGCCAGGGGTTGGGCCGCGTTTCTCTCATGACTGTGTACCGTATGGGTGTACGGATGTTCGGACAAACTTACTAAGGAAAGGTATGTTTTCCCATCCCAACAGGGTCTTGAGACTCTAGATTGGAGCTCACAAACCAGACTCTCAAATAATGTGATGTGTATGCTCTTGCACCGTAACCAGTCCATTTGGTGCCTTGGACGCATTGGAGATGACGCCCACTGGTATGTAAATGACCTCAGGGGGCTTTCTTAGCATTGGAATGCTTCTTTTTTCTTAAAACCTTAAATTCCCTTCCTTGCGACATATATCTACGTATAAGCGAAAGGAAAGCTGGGGCGGTGATGACTAGAAGTACGCTTGCTGTGTAACCCTAGGCAGCATGGACAATGATACACCGTTCATGCAAGCGGTTGTTTGCATTGGTGGATAAGTTCATAAGCAGCCCCATTTCTTTAGGGTATTCCCACCAACAGTGGCTAACCATGTAGCATGTGGCTGACCGCCAACAGAGGGAAGTGGTACGATTCCTTTTAACCTCGTGGATAATGATGGGATAAACGAAACTGGAATTAGAGAAAATAGGGGTGTCAACTTTCTAGCCCCTCCAAAAAAAAAATTGAAAATGAAAAGAATTGGTAATAATGAGAATACTGAGCCAAAATAGGTATTCTATACTTTACCGACATTTATCCAATACTAACCCGCTAACTGCATTCTGTCACTAGGGATGGGCTTATGGAGTACCCCTTGATAATCTAAACTGATTACCCAGATCTGTAAGTAATCTGAGTGGTGGAAACCGGCGGAGATCACAAGTATCAACCCACAGTCGCGTGGGTGATGGTATCACTCAAAACAAAAAAGAGAGAAATAAAAACAAAAAGGAGAGGGAGGATGAAATTGTTTCGAAGCATACCTCAGGAGGTTTTGACCGGTGTTCCGGGACCCTTCTTTGTCTTGACATGTGTGACGTGTAGATTAATGCTGCCAGGAAAATAACTTGAAAGACGGCTGATGGGCAAAAAGTCATACATACCAGAAACAAGAGAAATCCTTTGGGATATTGGAGGGGCAATTCTCTGGGTTTGAGTTCTCAGCTACACCGCTAATGTGTTGAATCTTGGTGCAATAATAGGTATGCGTACTCAGCTGCTTGCTTAGTGACCGATTGAGGGCATAGTCTTGCATCTTAGTACACATTTCAGCTAGATTAAATGGACCAGTACCTGGCTCACATGATTTCCAGCAGGTAGTCCGGCATACGCACCGTACTTCCATACATAGCTAGTAATACCTGGTTTGTCTTCTGGACCAAAGGTGCTGAATGTATGGAGCATGCACGTATCTGCTACCGACATGCATATAGACAGTGCGACTTACAGGTCGAGTCCAAGAACTATGCCAGTTACCTAGAGCCAGTGCGCGCTCCTGCACGTATATGCTTGTGAGATTGAACACAAGCCAATCGGTACCGACAGTTCAGTCCAAGGCTGAGACTGACGTAGTCTGTTACTCCAGCTACCGATCCCTTCTTCAACGTTGTGGTGGTATCTCTACGGAGCTGAAAACCCTCATATTTGTACAATATTGTCCGCGTCTAATAGCGTACTGTCGATGCTTAAAGATCGCATCTCACCTGGTTGTAAGACAATGGGTATTCTAGAGTATAATTGTGTATTGTATGATATTTCAACATTCAGATCATATGTACATACATACATACATATCTACCTCGAACATGTAACTACGCCTGCATGATATGCTTAATCCGGCCGCGTACTCTATATAAAGGCCGATATCCAATTCTCACATGTCAGATATCTCCACAGTGCATTTATCAAGGTAAAAACAGTATGACCCAGTATCTAATGCATCTTGAGAATCTCTAGAGCATGGTATTCTGTACTTTTGTCTCCTCGGTACTGTACAGAAGACAAACGATCATAAAATAAGGTAAACATGACCATACATAGCCCAAAAAGGGAACTTACGGATCACATCCGTGCTCAACTTGCGATATGATCCTGTTTACTACTCATTTATTTCTCTTTCTTTTAATTTTTCTTAGTTTCCGTTGAATTTTTTGCGTGGGTTAATGGCAAGAGATTATAATACCTCATTAAATAAATTACGCTCTCCGAATCAGCTTAGATAATACTATATCGCCAGGATTAGTACACATGCAGTCTATTGCCACGGTTACATATAACCTAATCTAAAATGAAAGGCTACTACTCCGTTCTATAGACGGGTACTAGGGGCTCCAAAATTTGAAGGCAAACCCACGGGTTGCCGTAGGTAAACAAACGGAGACGAAAAAAGAAAAGGAACGAGAGAGAAAGAAAAACAAAAAGCAAAAGCACACAAAAGAGAAAGAGGTTGTCAACTCACAAGGCAGACTGACTGCCTGATTGCAGAGAAATGGGCCTTCACCGTAGGTAAGTCGGAGCGGAGGCGGCTATGGGGATCCACCCATTAGTGGCTACAGTCGGGAAATGGTCCATCAGGGGCTACTGGTGCCAACCAGCCGGGAAACAGAGAGTGGAACTCAGTGGGTCTTATGATTGCACCGGAGCTTCCGGGGAACACGGATCCCCACTCGGCGCAGGCCCGTCCCTACTACCCGAAAAGCTGGCCATGGTTCAGGTTTCTTAGTGAACCAGTAGAAAGCGTGGATGCTGAAGGATCGCTGGACGGAATGGGACCATCCACGCACTAGGGGAGCTGCCTGAAGGGGCCTCCAAATTGGACCGACCCCCGAGCCACTATTCGCAATTTAGCAAGCGACTAAAAGGTGACGCCGTTTTGTTCCTTTGGAATTCCAGAAGGTTTAAGGAGGTTCGTGGAAACGGCAGAGAAGGGATTGGCGGAACCGGAATGACCCTTTAGTTGGTTCGTAGTGTCATCGAGAAGGACGTATATTGGTCAGCAGGTCTTCTGGGTTCACCTATCATACTCGCTGGAACGGGCTAATCGTGATGGTGCTGCCGTGTGAGGATCAACAAGATAGATATCCCTCGTATAACACGGGCAGGCTTCCTTCTGGAACAACGGTAGGGATTGCGCTCAAATTCCCACCTGACGTATGAGGGAGGGGGAGGGGGGGGCGATTGTTACCTTCTAGATAACGGAGGGGGAAGTTCAATGAATGCACTGCACTGCCCAACGAGCTGGGTCCTGTATGTCTTCCGTCTAGGATCACCTGATGGTCCATCTGGAGCATCTTTATATTATTCTACCCGCTACTCTTACCAAGGACTATAGTCCAGTCTAACTTGGCGCAGAAAAGGGATGTGATTGCTCAATTCTATATTTTGCCTTGCAGTAGGTCGAGGGTATCTGCATTGATTCCACTTGACGTGCATGTCAAATCTTGCTTTGGGACACCTGAGGGCCCTGGCCGTGTTTCTAGTTCGGGAGATAATTTCGAAGAGACCAACAAAAGCACCCCTCTAATAGGTGTTTGCCTACAATGTCTCTCTCTGCCTTTTCCTATTATATCTTGCGTGTGTTCTCTCCTTGTCCTCATGTATCTTTGTGCACAGTATAGATCATACCAATGTCGCTATCCATCATGCGACACTCAATGCTTCTGGAGTGTACACCTTCTAGTTTTGAAGCCCCCATGCAGCAAGACACAAGCCACTCTTTACAAATCAAAAAAAATAAAAAATAAAAAATAAAAAATAAAAAAATAAAAAATAAAAAAATAAAAAAGAAAAAAGAAAAAAGAAAAAAAAAAGGCAAAAGCAAAGGAGAAAAGAAAGGCAAAAGAAAAGAAGTGATGAGGAAACGCGGGACCCCCAGTTCATATGTGATCTCATCGAATGTCTGTAATAAATTTTAGAGTATAACCAAGTGTCTGACAAGCACCTCCGCAATTAACACAATACCCTTGCTCCTAATTCACTTTGTTCATTTTCGTTGACTAGATAGGATTATTTATGGCATGTTGAAAGCATACGATCTTAGAGCTTTGACAAGATATCATGGGGAACGGTTCATAAAAAGTAGTGTTGCCTGTACTCCGCGGAAATACACGTGTTAACTCGGCATATCTCGCAACTCAGACTGGCAAGGAAGCAGATGAATATCCTGTCCGGATAGTAAGATGAAGTCATGCGAGAATTTACACTGTCCTCTAGTCAATGCCTCCTACTGTTGACCAGCTGTGTCATCCGACCACCAAACTGCCGTAGCCCTTGCAGTATATCCAAAGCATGCAATGTCAGCCCATATATCAGCAGATGCGTGGCTCTGGCACTTAGCAGAGTTGCCTCCGATGCCCACGATGGTCGAACGCTCCGAGATGCATCTATCATTGCTACCGGCAACGGGACACGAGGTTGAATTGAAAGGATAGACGCATCTTACGGAAACGTTTCAGGTCGGGTGACTTTTGTAGAGAAGGCTAACTCTAACAGGGTATAAAGAATCAAGCCTGCTAAAAGCTATACCAGAGCAGGTGTTGATGCTGAGAGTACCCCTTCCAGTTGCCTTCTTCTGTCGGTTATGGAGACAACGGACAGACAAAACACCAGATAATCGCTTTACGAGGACAAACTCTCCTCAGACTGTTATATGTCAGGCTTCACAGAGAATAGGATATGAAATGCTAACACATAATGCAGAACAAGGACAAACTAGACGTTGCATCATTATATACAGCTTGAATTGAATCCATTTATTATGTAGGCATTTAAGGGGGATTTAACTGAAATAGACTGAACTTTGAGTAAGAATCAAAGGATTTTTACGGAGAACGGTCTCTAGAAAGGAGATCATGAAACAGGCGAAAATTTCTGTGTAGACATCCAACTGGGCAAAGCAAAGATGAGATTACAGGTTGAAAATACTGGATCCGGGATATTTTCTCGATGAAATTCTTCTTGCCTGATTCATTCGAGATTGTACAAACACCCCAAACATCATCGTCATGTCCAAGGAGTGAATACAACATGTGATGAATACTCTCCCCCATACATCTGTTTCTACCCTTTCACACTCTCTACTGGCTGGCCACACGCAGAGACAATAGTCAAAGCAAGAAGCAACTAGTTACTCTTTCATATTATCCCGCTTTTAACCTGTAATTGTCTATTAGCTTGACTACAACCTCCTGCCGCTTCATTTGCAAGCTCGCCACTCGCCTTTGGAAGCCCCTCTCGACTCTTTAAGTCATATTCTCCAACCTGAGGCTATCCACATCCACGCAAGAACATCCGCTCATCTTCGCAAGCTCGAAGTTTCCAGATTAACTGATGCAGATCAACATTTGGGTTATTCTTCTTCACCATCTGATACTATCTTCTTTCTGGCTTGGCGCATATTTGAAATAGAGGGCCTTCCTTCCTGTCTTCCCCGATTTCACAATGGGGGACCGAGTGCGAAACGCTTATGCTGGAGTCTATAGCGATACTATCAAGAGACAGTACGTTGGTTCTTGCCCATTTACCAGATAAATGTAAATTGTGCTCACTTACAACATCAGGCTTGAGAAAGTCGTAATTCCCGAAAGGTTTGACAACTCCTCCAGTACCTGGTCGATGTCTACGAAGCTTACAACCGTCCCATTAAAGAGTCAAATGTATGACATGCAAGAAAATTCGTATGCAGAGTGCATACTCCAAAAGACAGCTAGATGCCCTCCGAAACGCCATCGTGGTCAAAGGTGGCCGCGCCCTCACTGGTCCTGGGCACGCCAAATGCCGAGAATGCGTGGGTGGCCAAACTGTCGAGCTACGGTGCATTATCTGTGATCAAACCAAAAGCCTTGAAGAATTTGCGAAGAACCAGAGACATGATCGTGATTGGGCGGCAAGTCGTTGAGGCCACCCTATGCGTTGATACTTCATGGCTAACGGCGGTATTCCACAGAGGTGCTTGACTTGCGTCCAGAACCACACGGAAACGGAGCCTGTGCTTGAGGAATACAAACTGCTCGCAGAAAGTGAAATGTCCACGGCTCAGGGTACCACAGCGGCCTTGGTAAGTCTGTCTAGATAAACGTACCCTGCATAGCCTAGAATAGGATTCATTAAGTTAACGGATCTAAAGAGTCAGGCAAGTGACGGCTATACCTACAGTACTTCTGCTTATGAAGAGGACGATGAGGATGAGGGTGACGAAGATGACTATTCCGTTGGGGGTGGAGTCTGGGTCGAGCCCGAACGTCAGGAAGAAAACACTGCCAGCAAGAGCAAAGAGCGTGGATATATTGGATATGACCGACAGGGAATACCTCATCGCCTTGTTAGCTCTCATGCAGTAGCTCCTGAAAGTGCTCACTCTAGCTGGGCGTCTTGGGGGATCACCGCCAACACTACACTAGCTAGTTCTCCTCAGGGAGGTAGCTTTGAGAGTCCCAGGCCCAACGAGCCTCCACTTTCGCCGCAGAAAAAGAACTCGAAGTTTGCAAAAATCCCGGTGAGATCAAACAGATATATAGTGACTTTACAGTAATCGGGGCTGACTTAGGTCTATGGTCAGAAAATGCGAATTGAGCGAAGCGTTCCTCTAACAATACGCGACCTCGAGCCTTCCGGACACAATATACCACATGAAGTTGACGAAGACAATGATGGTGTTGAAGATTATCTCTGAGTGGGCAAGATCGATTGGAGGATGAACCGTATCCGTCTTGATTTTGGTTCTGGTAAGATCTTCCCGCACAATCCATGAGAGACAGTTCCGTGGTTGATGTGCGGATCCCCCTAGGCAATATCTTATCAGGAAGTATGAACTACTGAAAGGAGGATATTAGCGATTGAGGGGGCGACATGAATTTATAATTGATTCTACTTGGCTTCACGGGCTAAACTAATTCAGTTTAAATTGAACTGTTCCGATAACCGTTCGAAACCTTGAGACTTTTCAAGGCTGCACTTCTGTACTGCTAATATAAGGTAAGAAACGTGGAAAGATTTAAAAGTACGACGCATGTTATATATGCATGGGAGTGACGTATGGCTGGCGTTGGCGGCTGAGATTAATCCGATTTAATTAGTTTCGCGCTTAAACTCTCTCTGCTCCTCGTGATTCCATGATTTATCTGCTTCCAGCGCTATCATTTTCGTGGCCACAGCTGCTTCGTTCCAAAACCCTTGCATCCTACGCTTCCTCTAGACACCTGCAATTGTGTGACTGTTCGATTTCATTACGCTACGCGAGTTGTTTCACGATCCACTTACTTCAGGGAAACCCCGCAGCCCCTCCATACCTGTCACTTGGTCTTTTGTCGTTCATCTCTTTTTAGAAAAGAAAATAAAAATTTATTATTATTATCACTATCTCTCTCTCTTTCTTGCGCACACAAAGCCACGGCACCAAAAGTCTTTGCCGCGTACCATCCTGTCGGATCCTAGTTTTGAGTCTATTTGTCCTTTTCCTTTTCAGACCGTATCGGTTACTCCCAGTTGTACCATCTCGCGAAGACAAGATACTCGACGTTCAAGATCGTTCTCCTTATGGCTTACGATGGCTATCAGAATAAGTCGGTCCCGTACTATCAGTCGGGCAATGCGAATCAGATGAACCCCAACCCGAACGATTACCGCGCCTCAACGTACACACCTCCGTATCCTTCTCAGTATAGTCCCGAGCGCCTCAATATGCCGCAACCTCAAGTTCCTCCAGCCACCATGAACCCGTATGCAGAACCTCAACCACCACCGCAACCAAATACGTGGCAACAGCCGTACGACGGGAGGATCAACGAGGCTGTTAACTCCGCATTTAACAAGGCTACCACAACCACATATCTTTCCCCGGATGTTCTAGCCCAGATAACGGCGAATGTCATTCAACAGCTGAAGGAGACTGGCTTGGAAAATATACAAAGCGACCAATACCATCCACCGCAACCCCCCCCTCGGCCGCCCAAAGAATGGGCCACTGGGGCACCTACTGTATTCCCCAATGACTTTGCTCCATCTCCAACCATGGCTACACAAGATGCATCAGCCTCGTCAACCCACGTTGCCTATGGAAATGCTACTTATAACTCACGACCACCGTCCACTGGATACTCCGGCAGCCCTCATCTCCAACCCAGAGCATCCCCAGCACCATTATCAGAAAGACGAGGATCCCCCGCCAGTCAGATGAGTGATCACAGCCAGAAAATGGAATCCCGGCCAAAACCGCCGTCGAGGGAAGTCACTGTCACAGAGTTGACCACGCTAGAAAAAATTTGGGGAGCACTTTTCGAGGATGGAAAACCCACTACAAAGCTTAGTCAGTTCTTGCGTGGGATTGCAGTTCACTTGGTAAGCATCGCCACTAGGGAAGTTGATGGACTGTTTATCTAACCCGAAGCCAGATCGAAGACTATGAACCCAAAAACAGTCTTGTCGTACTTCCGGGAAAGCTGCAGAAGTTCTATGAGGACACAAGAGTACCGGGGGATTACTATCCTTGGCAGTGTCAGTTAAAGAATCACGTATCCCTCCAGGCGGACACGGCTAACCTTGGTCATCAGTGATATTCGATGATGACACGTCCCACGTCTCGCGGTTGTTCCGCGAAGTGAGAGCCGAACACCACCTCGTGCAAAAAGAGAGCGAGCTCGACGAAAGGCCGTATATCCCCGGCCTAACGCCGCGAGGCTTTGAGAAGTGGGCTACCTTAATGATTCAGGTCAACCCCGAGACAGAGTATAAGCGGTTGCAGAAGGCAGTGCTGAACATGCCCATCAGCAACCCAGACAACAGGAAAGAGAGGTTTCCTAAGGAGATTCCACAATCGCTGTTCCCGTTTGAGAAGATACTGAGGCCTAAATTACAAGAAGAGATCAAAGAGTTCATAAAGGAGCATTGCAGTGTTGATTTGAATAAGGAATTCGAGAGGTTTAAGATACATCATGAGGATTCGATCGCAGGCTCGGTTCCTTCATACAGTGAGCGGGAACGCAAGCCGTACCAGGCGTCTGTTTCCACGGTAGTGGACAGTGATGAGGAAGACCTCGAAGCTCCTTCCCGTCCCATTGAAAGACAGAGAAAACCATACTCTGCGCAGCCAGGGGGAGGGAAAGAATACGGCGATTTCCAAGAACCTGGTCGTCGACATAAAACGTCGTTCTCCGCAGGCTCCATTCCAAGGGAGAGCCTAGCTCCCTCGGAACCTAGAGCCTCCGAGTCCCAGGGCCCTGACTCTATCTACATTCAACCCAGCACTACACAACGTCCTATACCCACCATGGGACGGAGCCCATCCCGAGGACCTAGAACAGGTGGTGATTATCGACACTCTGAGGGTGATTTGCTAGGATATAACGGTGGCTCTAGATACGCTAGAGACGATGATTTCTATGATCGTTCTGGCATATCCACCAGCACAGGGGACATACTTGAAGACAGTCGACTCTACCGAGATGCTAGTCGTGAAGAAGACCAAAAGCTGTATGAATCTCTCCGGGAACGTGAAAAGGAGCGCGAGAAAAGCAAATATAACGACTACTTTCCCCATAGAAGCAGCTGGGATGGAGAAGAGTACTATCGCGATGCGCTTGGCAGCCAAGGAGGTCCAGTTGGCAGCAGTGGTGGATACGACTACAAGACATATGGCTATAAGTGATACGTCCAAATGAACATCAATTGTTCACTGGGCCATGACATATTTCCCTTTACCCTTCTTTTCCTTATCGTTCTGGTGCGTTCCAAAGTGCAAACAGATTCCCATTTTGTGTTCCATTTTCGTTTCCGTCAGACAATTCGGTTTTTGCCTTAGCGAGTTTTTTGTTGCAACGAGTTATGTGTTACGGCGCCATTTATCTATTTAGCTCTACCGCGTGTATAACATGTCATAAAGTTGGATTTTCTTTTGCATACATAGTGTGCTGCTTCTGCTCATAGTTATCTTGAGCATAAGATGTTTCTCGGTAGGATACAGAACACAGCATTCAACCAACATTACTATACCTTTCTTTCTTTAAAGTCACGCATGAATCTCGCCCCAGCATCCCTACAGTACAAAGCCTCCTTAGCTCTTTGCTTCTCTTCTCGCTCCCACAGCTTTTGGATTCTCCTCTGGTCCTTCTCCTCCCGTTCAATCCGTCTTCGCTGCCGTCTTTTTATCTTTTCCTGCTCCTCTTCCAGTCTCTCCTCCTCTTCATCCGCTTCGTAACGCAACTTCACCATCTCCTCTTCCGTCAACCTCCACGGTACAGAAAGCACCTCAACAAGATGCCGGCTCCGCTGATCCAGAAATCGCATTTCTGCGTTTGTATCCTGAATCACAGAGACACGCTCCAATTGGACCTGCATTGTACCCCGGAACATCGATAACGTACCCTTGACCCGGACCACAGTTCCTGGGACCAAGGCTGTCGCATCTAGGGCCGTCTTATTGGTGGCTGCGACATGTTTCGTCGCGTATGCAGATTGCAGATCCCCTGCTCTGCTATCTTTGCCGCTTCGAGCGGACTGGTTATTATCGTCCTCGGTAACCGGGACTTTGTACACAATGACATCGATCGTCGCGCCACTACTATCATCGACCGTGAGGATGGTCAGCGCGGGGTATTCCGTTCGGGCGACGATGATGCCGACTATAGAGATGAAGCGGACGGGGTGGTTCAGGTAGAAGAATGTGGATTGTTCTAGGTAGGACGTTAGATCTAATCTCGTCTTCTAGGTCTGTGTATTGCTACGCGGGGCTATAACATGTATATGCTTAGCGTGAGATATGTAAAAGCCAGCCGCGATACACACATGCTAGACACGCCAGTTATTCATTCATTCATCTGTTCCGTTCCGGCATTCAATAGAAACAAAGGATGGCCCTCGGTTTCTGAAAGCATGTGATCAAAAGAGACGGTAAAGAAAGATGAAACAAAACAATTACGATAATGGTATGCGCAACACGCTAAAAGACAATCAGTTCGTACCTTCGAATTCGGCCCTCCTTTTGAGTAGATGCACGTCTATTGCTCCCATCTTTACCCAGGCGAAATGCGTCGGGGACGCTCGGAAACAGTAAGCTGGGTAAAAGACGAGTTCGCCATCGTCGACTGCCGCCATCGGATCATTTTCCCGGCTGTGGAGGGGAAGAGATGGACTGTGACGTTGGTTGATTGTTTGTGGTAAGCGCTGGTGATCGTTATCGCGGTCACGTGCGTTATCGGGGGATTTTTGGGTTAGGCTGCAGCATGACATCAGATGATCGATCAGCCGAATACTACTATACAAACTTATTGATTCTTTATAAATACCAAGGGGTTTTAGTTTCTTGGTAGAGAGTTGGCGGTTCTTATATATATGGCCAACTTTGGGTCATTCTATGGCGAGCCTAGAGCGAAATAATCTTGTACAGTGTGTGAATAGATTCAACAGCAAAATATATGGCCGTGAGCCTTTGGTAAGTGTTTATGGATCATCTTCTGGTTCTGGTTTACTCACAGTTTCGCAGATATATTGACATTTACTATGTTGCTGACTCCCCAATTCATGAGGAAATACTCAAATTAGACAAAGAATGCTCAATTGCTACCTTCTATCTGCTTGGGCTCGTTAATCGTTTTCAAGACGATGTAAAATATAGCGTATGTAACAGCGAATTCCAGAACATACTCACAAGTTATAGTAAATTTCTCTCACTAAACCTTTCAAGAGTAAATATGGATATAAGTATAAGGTCAATCAGGATTAAGGATTATAAGGATCATGTGGTCTCGTGTGTCTTCAATACGATGTGGGGTAAGATTCTCCAATACTGAGATGCTTTCACGTTCATTGGAAACACAACCCCCCTAAGCAAGCCTGGTACAAGTTGAAAATATTCGGTACAAATGCTGGCAACTAAGACAATCTGCATTATCGGAGTTACAGGGAACCAGGGCGGTTCTGTCGCCCAGCGATTCCTGCAAGACCCTACCTATCATGTGCGGGGGCTCACACGCAACCCCTCTTCTAGCAGAGCTCAAGTGCTCGCGGCGCAAGGGATAGAAATTGTCAAGGCCAATCTCGACGACGTACACAGCCTAAAGGCAGCATTCGCAGGTGCCAACCTTATCTTCAGCGTTACCAATTACTGGGAACCGTTCTTCCGCGCAGACTGCCGACAGAAGGCTGCCGAAATCGGGATATCCTGCCGCAAGTACGCCTACGATGTTGAATTGCAACAAGGCAAGAACATTACCGACGCAGCGGCAGAAACCGTCGAATCATTGGATGAGAATGGGTTTATCGTGTCGACGTTGAGCCACGCTGGGAGATGCAGTGGGGGAAGATTCAGAGAGCTGTATCACTTCGATGCGAAGGCCGACGTCTTCCCTGACTACGTCAGAAGCAGTCATCCTGAATTGGCGAGGAAGATGTCTTGTCTGCAGACGGGATATTTCATGTCAAGTTATAAGCTCGTTCCGCATGCTTACTTTGGAAGAGCTGATGATGGCTCTGTTGAGATGACGTTTCCTACTGCCCCAGACGCAGCGGTACCCCATTTCCAGGTCAATGAGGATATGGGGAATTTTGTGTATGCAGTGTCTAAGATGCCACCTGGAAATAGTTATATGGCAGAAGGCACGACGTGTAGCTGGACGGAGTATATGAGTTTGTGGAGCCTCGTGAATTCAGTTCCAGCGTCTTATCGTCAGATATCGTTGGAGGAATTGATCAATGGGACACCTGACGCTGATTTTGGTCGCGAAGTCGGTGATATGCTTGTTTATTCGACAGATCCAGGGTACCATGGAGGTGAAAAGGAGTTACTGCGTGCAGCAGACATCCGACAGGTAAGTTGTACCATGTCTCAATCTGGTCGTTGTGCTCATGATGTGTATGCAATTGGTGCTCATTATGGAACATATGCAGGCCGGAATAGACTGTCCCATGACTAGCCTGGAGCAGTGGATGAGACAAGAGGACTGGTCAAGCGTTTTGCGACAGTAATAACAAAGCATCAGAAGAGAATACCACCATAGCACTCGGATTTGACTATCCGAAAGAACCCATGTTTGCCTTGTCAATTAACATGCTTGTTCTCCACAGACGCGCGGGGTAAGTTAGCTGATTAGTGACCTTATATTAGTCCATAGGGGTTTGCTTCCTTTAGCCTGGATATAAATTCTGTATATACAGTAGTCCGGATAATGTTATGAATTCCTGAATTCATGGGCCCTTTCCCAATAATCTCCCCCGTGTGGTATAAGAGTCGTGCCTAAGTTATTCTAGAATTACGATGACGTGTTGGCAATGTGATAGTGAGAATTGGTTTATCACCATGTGGACTTCCGGTATTTCTACCTTGCCCTTTCTCGCATTGGCGACTTCTGCCCTTTGTTATCCCGCTGGGCGTTCCTCGTAAAACCCAATATTTCCTGTATATGTATCAAAGAAGAAGATACCATCTCCTGTGTGACGTCGACTTTCATCGCCTGCCCTGGACTTCCAGTCTACGCAACGAAAGATCTCCAGGGCTGGAAACATGTCAGCAATACCTTCGACCGATCAAGTCAAATTCATCCCTTAGCAACACTACAAACCAACGGGGTGGAATTTACGCACCGACATTCTGTTATCATAAAGGAGCCTTCTATCTGATAGTCTTATCCTTAGGCCCAGAGACCAAAGACCTCGTGTTCACCTCATCAGATCCATACAACGACGCGGCATGGAGCGAGCCACTAGAATTCCCAGTCCGAGGCATTGACCCCGACATCTTTGGGGATGACGACGGCACGGTATATGTCACTTCGTCAGACGATCAACGAATCCAGCACTACTCTCTCGACCTCAGCACCGGAGAAACAGACCCAGTCACGACCTATGGAACGGAACGGGTGGCACCTGGCCCGAAGGACCGCATTTATACCGCAAAGATGACTATTATTACCTGTTGATCGCCGAAGGGGGCACCGAGCTCAACCACGCAGCGACAATGGCTTGGTCCAAGAACCGCACCGGACCGTGGGAGCCACATCCCCAGAATCCACTCCTAACGAACAGGAACACGACAGAGTACTTCCAAACAGTGGGACACGCAGACTTTTTCCAGGTCGGGAACGGAAACTGGTAGGCTGTGGCCCTGAGCACTCGGCCCGGACCGAGTGGAAGAACTACCCTATGGGCCGAGAGACGGTCCTTGCCCCTGCCACCTGGGACGACGGGGAATGGTACGTTGTCCTGCCCGTCCGAGGTCAAATGCAGAGGTATCTTCCCCGAGAGAACAAACGGGGGTGGAAAATTGGAGATATCAGGGCCAAGGACAGAAGAAAGATTAAATGTTGATTTACTTTGAATCCCCGATCTGCAGAGCAGCTCTAAACTCATCGGTGTAAATCGTATAGATACAGGCAAGGCTAGACCGCCTACCAATTACTACTGAACTGAACGGTAGATCAAGCTAAACGCTACGATGCCCATACAATCCATATAAATAGAAAAATAAATATATACATCATACACAGTACTACACAGTACTACACAATACATTCCTACTCTAAACCCCCCTGGCCCCCCACCTCACAAGCCCCAAACCCATCCATCCCCAACCACCCATGCCCATACCACAACCCCACATCCCACTGATTATCAAACGAGATATCCGGATTTGAAAAAGGCAGAATATCCGGCAACAGCTCCCCTCCGCTCAGCACGGGACTCCTCCCATCGTCTTGAGCAGGAACTACCCTCCCATAATCCTCCTGCAGCGACTCACCAGCAACACTCTTATTCCCCTTCATGTCCGAAACAGAACCATCAAGAACCTTCACCACGGACTCCTTGCACTGCGAGATGCACATGGTGGCTAGATCCCAGCCGTCCTCGGCGGCTGATTGGAGCTTCGTCCAGAGGTTCTGGAGACTTGTTTTGCAGGTTGATATTATGGCTTTGTCGGTTGATTCAACGGTGCAGCGGAGGAGGATGATTACGGTTAGGATTAGATGGTGGGCTGTATCTGTTTTATTTTAGATTGGAGTTAGAGATAGATGTAAAGACGGAAAGGCCAGAAAAGGAAAGGAAGAGGTTGGTTCGGTACGGTACGTACAAGGAAGCCAGAATTCCTGTAATTGGGCTTTGGTGAGGGAGCAGACGTAGGTGACGATTTCTTGGGCGGAAATGCGGAGTTGGGAGAGGTGGTAGCGGGTTGTTTGGAGACGGTCGATGTCTGTTGATAAGGTTGCTGCCTGTTGTGGTTGTATTTGTTTTCCTTTAGTTTTGTTTCTTGGGAGAGAGAAGGGGAGCGGGGTCGGAGTGAAGAAGGGGGAGATACTAACGTGCAGAGAGATCCGGTTGAGCAATAATCGAACGGCGAGGTATCCGAGTTGTAGATTGCTTGATCCGGATACTCTTGGGGTTTCTTCGCTGTCTCGACGGAGGTAGCTGGGAAGGCGGTCTTCCCATTCGTCGAGGTCTGTTTCGAGGCGTCGGATCTGTTTCCGGATCTCTTTTTGGTTGATATTCAGATCGTAGACTAGGGGTAGGACTTCTCCTAGGATCTCTGATAGAGTGCATAGGTATATGAACGAGTTTGCGGCTTTGATGCGCGTGTCCGATTGGGTTGGGCCGGTGATAATGTCCGAGAGCACCGGGATGGGAACGTCGTATCGAGATTTGGTTATAGTGGGACTGATGCCATGGGCAAAGCTTGACCTGTGACTTAGTTAGTGGGCATGCTTGCTGGAATGGAAGGGATTATGGCTAACTGACCAGCGATCGTGAATGACGACTGCCCACCAGAGGCGGATGCGCAATGATTTCTCGCTCTTGGGCCGCCTCCAATGAGTCGGATCGCGGTTTAATCCTAGGGTCTGAGCGAGAGTAACCGCCCGGCCGTTGTTGACGGTGTTCACGAGCATGGAATAGATAGGCCGTCCCGTTAAATCCAATAGCACCGAGTACATGGTTGACATTGTCGGGGCTAGGAAGTCCTGTTGTAAAGCCTCGACAGCGAGGTTCCATATGAAAAATGTGTCCGGCTTTGGAAACTGCCTCAGGAGAGGTGACTGATGCCAAAGGAGCAAGCACATGGCAAGGAAATAGCAGACAAGGACGGGCGATAGCTTGTCACCAACCTTGTATAGTTCCATGAATAATTGTTCGTCTAGGAGAGGGAACGCCGGATGGATCTCCTCGAAATACCTTACTGAGATCAGAGGTGCCATAGAAGGGTTCAAGGGATAGCCTGCTTACAATCTGACCATTTCATCTGTATAAGGTTGTAGGACTTGCATTACAATCTCCTTCTGTCGCTTCCCAGGGTCCGTTGCCATAGACAGTCCTTCTCTCCGCCGGGGAGCCCGGAGGTATACCGGCGGGATATCCGATGATCCACTTCTCCCTACGGAGGATAGGGAGCTAGAGCTAGAAGACATGTATCGCTCCAAGATCTGTATATCTTCCGAGATGACCGGGCTAGCAAACATGGATAGCTCGACTTTGGATTGATCTAGGCCCGGTGAGCCATGATAAGCCCGCCCTATATGTTCTTGGCCTACTTCCGCATCAGCTAGGGCGGGTGAAGGCATGGTATGGATGGTAGTGGAAGGTGCAATTTTTGGCGGTTGAACATGTCGTTGAACATATTTCACTCTGGAACGAGAGCTAGACGGCGATTTAGGTTTTGTGGATATTGTACAAGGCACCTCCTGCAGGTTGCACAGCACACATGGCCGTTCTGGAGTTCCGCCGGTACATCGGCGCTTGAATCGGCGACAGCGATCACAAGCGGGGATTTTGTGGGAGCGATATGGCCGTTGCTGCTCCGGCATAGTGTAGGTCGCTATAATTAAGCTTATTTCTCCCGATATTTTCCCCTTGATTTGTCTAAAAGTGAGAAGCGTCATTTGTTACAAGTCGCTACAGCGGAGATGACTCGAGACACTTTCCCGGCGGGAAAGATGTGGGGTAAGATAAGATAATGAACTGCAGCATTTAATCAGTAAATCAGCAGGGTATGCCAAGAGTATACTGTAGGTAACTAAATCCTTTTTAGCGCAGGGGTAATTGCTGGCTCCTGGAGCTTGGAAGCTTGGAAGTCTTCGCTAAGCAATACGATTGTGTTAATGTTGTGTCAGGTGAATATGTATATTAAGGATCTCTATCATTCATGATGGGTCATGTAGTTGCACATACTAGTACCATGGAGCAAGTTCAGCCGAGCAAATCTGCCTCCATCATTCTCTTCTTTGAGTTTCGCGGCGCTTCCTGCTGTCTGCGGCGCTCGTCATCGCTGATATCATCTATATTGGTCTCAACCGCGTCTAAAGCGGTTTTAATCTCCTCCTCGCGATTGTCATGCCCAGCCACAGCCACCTCCAAAATATCCTTTTCCAAGCCACCAACCACCTGCCAATCAATCCCGGCAGCCGTCAGCATCTTACACCCTTCGGAGCCCCCGACAAAAGTGCCCGGCTCCTTGACCCCAAAGTATACTTTCTGAATACCCTTCCGATCTCCCTGGCGGGTTCGGATAATCCTCTGCACACAAGGCAGATTCCCTGACAGTCGCTTCCCACACGGCTCCATTGTGACATACATGACTAACTTACGGTCCGGTTCAGATGGCAATACCTCCCACACGTGCTCATCTGGTACGGAATGCACGGCGGCGTAATTGGACAGACAACATTGCTCTGCGTGTGTATTTCCCGCTAGTTCCATTGTGTATCCGGATGAGAGAATCCGATCCTCTTCCGTATTGTAATCACCTTCCTTGCGGGAGACGAGGATTGCACCGACGCGAAAATTGGTCGGGCGGGGTGGGGATTTCTCAGCCAGAGAGAGGCATTCTCGAAGATATTTCAGGTGTGGAGATTGCATATTGCTCGACTTTATAAGAACGACGGAGAAGAAAAGCGAGCGAGAAGGTAGAAGATAAACAGGAGGGATGAGTTCAGATGCTAGCGCTGTATATAAGTAAAGTACAGGGTAAGAAGCTTTAACGGAAATATATTGAAAGAATCAATGACATCGAAAAGGCGGGGAAGAGTTTAGAGCTCCAATGGCCAGTCTAACCCGACCGGGTAAGCAAAATGGGTTTCCCCAATTAGTCGCGTCTCCAAAACGCGTGACTGAATTCACCACGATTTCTCTGGTTGTGCCTATATTTGTGTTCTTCCTTCCTCTCTCCCTTTATCTTTGTTTCTGCCTTATTGGACCTTGATAAGGCAGTGAGTTGTAATCAACAATCAACCTTTTTTTTGGATTTCTGGGGTTCACGCCTCTACTTACCTTTTATCATGCCGCACGAAGATGACATCCCCGAACTCCCCGAGGAGGCGCCCCTCGAGACCGATCTCTATGAAACTTTGGGTGTCAATGGTGATGCGACCGCCGATCAGATCAAATCCGCGTACAGAAAGCTGGCACTAAAGCATCATCCCGGTAATCAATTGCTTTCTATATAATTTGTTTACTTCACATGTCAAATGGAGAGCAAGAAATAAAAGCCGATGGAAGTGATCCTGTTCTAACAATGCAAAAGACAAGGCCCCAGAAGACGAAAAAGAGGAAGCGAACAAGACGTTTCAGCAAATCGCCTTCGCCTATGCAATTCTGTCGGACGAGCGCCGCCGCCGCCGATTCGACCTGACCGGCAGCACGGCCGAAGCGGTGGACGAGGATGACGACTTTAACTGGGCGGAATTCTATCGGGAGCAGTTCTCGAGTGCAGTCGACGTGAAGACGCTTGATACATTCAAGAAGGAATACCAGGGTTCAGAAGAAGAGGAGAGGGACCTGCTCATGGCGTTCGAGAAATACCGAGGCGACATGGACAAGATCTATGAGTCGGTCATGCTGTGTAATGTGCTCGATGACGATGAACGCTTCCGCGCCATTATCGACCGGGCGATTACCGATGGCAAGGCGGAGAAGTACAAGAAGTACTCCGAGGAGCCGGAAAGGAAGCGACAGCAGAGACTCAAGCGCGCCCAAAAGGAAGCCAAAGAGGCGGAGGAGGCTGCGAAAGAACTAGAGGAGAAGGAGGAGGAGGAGGCCAAGGGTACCAAAGCAAAGAAGGGAAGGAAGAAGAAGACCTCCGCCATGGACGATAACGCTCTCATGGCTCTGATCCAGCAGCGACAGGCCTCTCGTGCCGAATCATTCTTTGATCGGCTTGAGGAGAAATATGCGCCTGGGAAGAAACGACCGGCCAAGGTCGAGGAGCCACCCGAAGAAGCCTTTGAAGCTACGGCAGCTCGACGCTCATCCAAGAAAAAGAAGGCTCAGGCATAAGTGATTCCTTGGCCAGAGATTTGTTGGCTCCTTTACCTTTCTTTTTTTCTATTTTCCATTTTCTAATTTTTATTTTATTTTATTTTTTTTTTGTTTGTGATTCCTCTGGAGTAGGAGTTCTGGCAACCCCTATGAATATTAGTTTTGAGTCTTGGCCATATTTCTTTTTCAAGGGAACTACGTCGTCATACGCCGAGATTCGAACGACCTGGACTTTTCGGACATGTCATAGAGACGATATTAATGAATAACAACTCTTTCTTTTTTTGTGTATTGATACCAATCGTAACATCATGCCTGGATATATTCCTTATGGATTAACTGGAGCTGATTAGGCTACAATGTTCTGACTGTGTCACGGCATTCTTATGATGGACGCAAGGGATTGGAAAGTGACACAGAGCTCAGCCAACCTTTTTTTTCGTTTTCTCAGACCAAATCCCTCCCTCTCTCTCTCTGTATGTTTGCCCCGCCATAAATGCCCGAGCTCTTGGTGAGTGAGTTTTAGTTTTGGACCCTTTTTTCTTTTCTTTTCGTTTCTTTCTTTCTCTCTCTTTTCTTTTTTTTTTTTTCACACTTTCAAAAGAATATCTTTTCCTCCACTTTACTTCCTTTTCTTTTGTTTGTATTTCTCTTACCTTCTGGTGGGCTGATTGATCAGTCTTGAAGTCTCGATCTTCGTGAAAGTGGATTCAGTGTGAAGGACTTCAGAGCTCTTGCCGCGGCTTACAGTAAAAAAGGGTCCCTTGCAGAACAAAGTTGAGAGCTTAACCACACCCAATAATAATCGATTATAATCCTTCGACTTCCTGGGCACCAATCGTCGTCGGTCCAACTCACCAGATTCCTCCTCCTTTCACCCCTCAAAAGGCCAAAACAAAACCCTCAAGCTCCAAGGGTAATTGTGATTCAAGCCAAACGAGTCTCCTCTTCTTGGCAGTGAAACTAGTGGAAGATCGACTGTGATTGACACGGCTGCCTACTCGTGGAAGAGCAGTCGTTCAGTTTCTTTTTACTTAAAAGACGACGGACTTTCTTCTTCTTTATTTCCCCCCCCCCAAAGAGTTGTTTTTTATGGTTGATCGTCCTAAGCTATACTTACAACGACCAAACAGCTGAAAGCGGAAGTGCCCGTCCAGACCCGAGCTAAAATCGTCATTAGGTGGTGGATCTCCACATTCCTCAGCTGTTTGGTCAGCATCTTGCCTCTGGTACGACTCGGTTCTCCACAGCTTATCTACCGCCGCAGGCGGCGCCACCTACGATGCAGCACTACTACGATAGAAAGCCCGCCGCAATGTCACTGGAAACTGCCCTCGAAGAAGAGCGCCGTGAGCTGGTTCAGGAATTCGGAGGCCGCAGCGGTGCAAGCTCGCGACGGAATCACAGATCAACCCCGTCGGCCCCGGCGCGGAGCCTGCTGGATATTACTCCATCTCCCGGGACTCTGCCTCCGCGGCACGGGTCCATCGCCGGCATTGGCGTCGGTGTGACTCCCCCTTCCGCACGACGCAGCTGGCATGAACCCCTTGTTACGACACCTAGTCCTGCCACCCCTCCAACAAAAAAACCTTCCACCCCGCGGCGCACAACTTCGGCCGTGGCTCCGCCCCCAATCCCGCAGAAGAAACCTCCCGCTGATTCCGAGGACGCTCCCCGCAGATCCAGCGATCCGCTTTCGGTCAGCAAAGACAACAACAACAACAATAATAATAATAGACCCCGGCCGAGCATCCGCTGGGACGATTCGGTCACGATGCCGCCAAGCGTCCTCTCTCAACGGCGTGCGAGCCAGGCACAGGAAAAACCGCCGACCAAGGCCCTGCAGGGCAGGAATGCCATGGCAGCGGTGATGTCCGGTTTGGATTTACGGGTCGGGTTGCCGAGTTTTACGAGAGGGAGGACCTCATCACGGAACAGTTCATCGCGCGGGACCTCGTTGGACTCACGATTGTCCCCAAAGAATCGCTGGCTCAGCCCGAGCTCTCGGAGTCCGGCGGCCCAGCCGGTAAAGCCGACTCCGGCTGCAGAAAAACCGAAGCCGACGGAGACGGAAAGCAGTAGTAAACCGCAGCCCCTTAGGCCGGCAGCTCGCCTCCAGCCATCTGACGACGATGTGCGTTCGCCGCCGGCTGGAGATGAACGATTGGAGAAAGACGTATATGACAGCGAAAACAACTTGATCGAAAGTAGTGAAGAAGAAGTCGATGACTCCACAAGCGATGATGAGGTTAGTTCTGAGCGTGGGCGCAAGAAAAACTCAGACCGTGCCACTCCGATCGGAAATGATGGGGCGAGTGCTTCAAAGGCTGATTCAAAAGAGGGTATGTACTTTTTTATTATTTCTCTTATTCACCTCTCTGCTTCTTTATGACGACTAACATGGCCCCAGAGACGTCGGGGGAGAGCCCTGATGACAAATCGGACAAATCAGAGTATATCCATTCGGCGAAACAGGGCCCGATTCCCAAGAAACCCGAAGTCCATCCCCGGACAAGCTTCGACACTGCTTCGGCCGCAAACACCCCCTTTGGTTCTGAAGATGAGGCAGAGCTGTCCGACATCAAACGCGCTCAGAAACTCGGCATCCAAATGTCCTCAATTGATAGTTCAGTCCATAATAGATCGATCAGAACCATTATCCGTGGCGACTATACAAGTCTGTCGGAACAAACCGAAGGTGGTCGGCGCCGGCAGCGTAAATATTTGGTAACTACGGATCTGAGTGAAGAATCCGTGTATGCCTTGGAATGGACCATTGGCACGATCCTTCGAGACGGCGACACGATGTTTGCTGTCTGTGCTATTCACGAAGAGACTGGTGCGCCAACCTCCGTTCAGATCGGTGAGGGAGCCAAAGCCATGCAGGACGCTGCAGCTGTTATCGGGTCGCAGACCGAAGAGACGGTGCAGATTTCGCAGAACGATTCGTCTACCAACTTGTCCCGCGCGCTTTTGAGTCGCCTTGGGTCGGGAACAGATAGCAAGCCCGGCTCTGTCGACTCGAGAGGGATGACTAAGGCGGAGTCTGAACGCGTCCATGCGGTTGAGGCCATCTCCCAAACATGTGTCCGTCTCCTGAGAAAGACGTTGTTGCAAGTACGAGTTGCCGTTGAGGTGATTCATTGCAAGAGCCCTAAACATATGATTACCGAAGCTGTACGTGATATAACTGTGTTGCTCTCTACTATTGAGACTTGAGATGACTGATATTCTATTTATTCTTCTAGATTGATGGGCTCGAGCCAACGCTTGTTATTGTCGGTGCTAGGGGCCGGAGCGCACTCAAAGGGTAAGCCTTCTTGTGTGTGGATTAAGTATCTACAATAGCTAATGAATTGCAGTGTACTCCTCGGGTCATTCTCCAACTACCTGGTCATGCATTCCTCGGTCCCCGTCATGGTGGCTCGGAGGAAGCTAAAGAAACAAACCAAGACCAAAAAGACGAACATCCGTCTGTCGAATAATTTGTCTACACCAAAGAAGCTTGCCATGGCCAAGGTGGATTAGGTTAACTACTTATTTCTGGCGTTTGCATCATCTCGGATAGTTTGACGGTTTCTAGCCATACGGCGCACTTATCTTCAATTCTCTAATGTATGATTATGAATTATGGTGGCCATGATGGACGAAGATGCCTTGTTTTGCCTCTTGTTTCGTTTTATTTTCATTATTTCGTCATGGTTCCTTTTTTTTTTTTTTTTTTTTTTTTTTTTTTTTTTTTTTTTTTTTTTTTTTTTTTTTTTTTTTTTTTTTTTTTTTTGAATTATATGCAGCATTTCCATATTCCATGAATTGAGTCACAATCGACATAACATTCATCATTACACGGAGCTCCTATGGATAATAGGAAGGAGTAAGAGTTGTATAGTCTTGAATATGTCATACTCTGGAGCTACTCTTTCTTTCCCTCACCCTCTCCTTTCGTCCTCCGGGTGATCAGGAATCAGGAACGCTGCAGCCATGGCTTAATAGTAGGTAAGAAATTAACAACTACTACTACTACTACTACTACCGATCTATTAGGGCGAGAAGAAGCGATAGGAATAAGAAAGAAAAGAATCTAAACACCTGCCAACGATGGATATCCAAACCAGACCTTAATACAACGAATTACGATAGACGTCATAAAACAAACGCAGAATGAAACTTTTAACTTTTTCTCTTATTTTATCACTCATCGACGAACGTCTATCGAGCCAGTCAACCGTAGGGCTTGTCATGCGAAGCCGAAATGTCTAAGAGTAGATATGTGTTTTAAATTTTTCGCTTGTTATGCGTTTAAAAGCGCAGATCCCAGCCGATCTTAGGGCCGAGACGGGGAAGCTCATCGGCAACACTCTGGACATCCTTGTCACCTCTACCGCTGAGGTTGAGGACGATGTTCTCGCCCTTCTTCATGGTCTTGGCCAGTTCAATGGCGCCGTGAATGGCGTGCGAGGATTCCAGGGCGGGGATAATACCTTCGAATTGGGAGAGAGCGCGGAAACCGGCGAGGGCTTGAGCGTCGGTCGCGGCGATGAACTGGGCACGGTCGCTATCCTTCCAGTTACTGAGTTCGGGGCCGACGCCCGGGTAGTCGAGACCGGCGGAGATGGAGTGAGTCTCGGAAATTTGACCGTGCTCGTTTTGCAGAACGTAAGTACGAACTCCGTGCAACACACCCTTGCTGCCACCGGACAGAGTGGCGGAGTGTCTTTCAGTCTCGACACCGTCGCCACCAGCTTCAACACCGAGGAGTTTGACGCTGGTGTCCTTAGAGAAGGGGTAGAACATGCCGACGGCGTTGCTGCCACCACCAACACAAGCGACAACTGCATCGGGCAGCTTTCCGATTTGCTCCATCATTTGTTGCTTAGTCTCGTCACCAATGACGGACTGGAAAGTGCGTACAATGAGAGGGTAGGGGTGAGGTCCAATGGCAGAGCCGATAATGTAGTGGGTGGTATCCAAGTCAACAACCCAGGCACGAAGGGCCTCGTTCACGGCATCACGCAAAGTCCGACTTCCAGCATCAACAGCCACCACAGAGGCACCAAGGAGCTTCATACGGAAAACATTCAAGGCTTGACGACGAACATCTTCTGCACCCATGTAAACCACACACTCCATGCCGAACTTAGCACAGACGGTCGCAGTAGCGACACCGTGCTGACCAGCGCCTGTTTCAGCGATAATTCTCTTCTTACCCAGTCTCCGGGCGAGGAGAATCTGGCCTAATGCGTTGTTGATCTTGTGACTTCCGGTGTGGTTGAGATCTTCGCGCTTCAACCAGATGTTTGCGCCTCCAACATGCTCCGTGAGGCGGTTCGCAAGGTGGAGACTGCTAGGTCTACCCATGTATGGGTAGTAGGAACGGTACTCCTCCCAGAACTTAGGATCGTTCAAAGCTTCCGAAAATCCTCGTTCCAACTCGGCCAAGCAGTCCATGAGGGATTCGGGAACATACTGTCCACCGAACTCACCAAAACGCTGCGGTTGCGCAGCAGGGTTTCCAGTACCATTCAGAGCATCAAGCTGATCAGCCAATCCAGGGCCCGAAGGGGCATCAACATCCGTAACAACTGCCGTGGGTTGTGAAATGGCGGGTTCCTGGTTCTTTTCCACAAACTCTAATACATTGACCTGACGTATAACCGCACCTTGAGCGTCTCTCTCGAGTTTACGACCGGTAACACTGGAGAGGTACTCCTCGGCATGCTTGGCGGCCTGACCAGCAGGCGCTTGACCCAAGACTGTGATGATCTGGCTACCAATAACACAACCCTCGGCAATATCCTGCACGGTCAGGAAATGTTCACGTGTGCTAACACCGAATCCTAGTGCGGCAGGCACATTTCCGGACCAGTTGTGAACACGAGACAAAAGCTCAGGCAGGTTGGCGCTGAGCTTTCCGGTGGCACCGGTAACACCCATTCTTGAGACGACATAAATGAAAGAGTCGGCGATCTTGCATAGGAGCTTCATACGGGACTCCGAAGTCGCAGGCGCAATAAGGGGAACATAAGACAGACTATATAGCATATCAGCACATTGCCGTTCAAACTACCTGGAACAAGTAGATAATTATAGCATGAGGTTATCCACTCACCCATTGCTCGTGCAATGCTCTCTGAAACGAACAGCCTCCTCCGGGGGCAAATCGACCATGATGAAACCATTGACACCCGCCTCCTTACAGTCCTTGAGCATACGCTCCTCACCATACCGCATCATCGGGTTATAATAACCCATCAAAAGGATGGGTGCTTGGAGGCCTCTGCGGCGGGCCTCCCGGACCATCTCAAGCACCGTTGTAACTGTGACGCCGTTCTCCAATGCTTTAGTGTTAGCGGTCTGGATGGTGGGACCATCCGCAATGGGGTCAGTGAATGGTACACCCATTTCAATAATGTCTATAATGTTCGTCCCATTGCGTTAGTGAACGCGTTCTAATGGGTGGCGGGGTATGGGCAAGCTGTCACGTACCGGCGCCTCCATTCTCCAAACCAAGAAGGATATCCACAGTCTCATCTATGGTCGGGTATCCTGCAGTGATGTACGCCACGAGAGCGGCGCGCTTCTCCTCTTTAGCCTTGGCAAACGTCTTCTTGATATGTTCCATGATGTCGGTAGTGAATGCGGGGAGGGGTCTAATAGGGAATGCGGGTGGTTTTAAGGACGGGAAAAAAAGAAAATAGAGTGGATCCCCGGGGTGTCAATTCAGTCGGTCAAGAGGGGGTGGAGGGAATTAAAGGGTTGGGATGGATTGGGAGAGAAGGAATTGTAGTCCCGGTCAGCGAAGAGTCGCACTGCGTTTTTGACTCACAATAGTCTCGCCCTTGTATAATTTGCCTTCCTAGACGCCGATGTCCCGCCGAGTCAGGTGATGTGGCGATAAGATAAGAGGAATTCTCTTCTTTCATGACAATACGAATACTGTTGTATCGGACTTTGCGGCATTAGGGCTTGATGCTGAACAAGGAGAGAGATCACCAAGACTGACAAGGAAAACACATTCGAAACTATTATTAAAGTGGCTTGGATCTCAATACTATCCACTATACTATTAAAAATACCATTCTCAAATCAATCAGTAACACAGAAGTGGTTGAATGGAATCAATCAAGCAGGAGATAACAGTATTCACAGACGCCAAAAGCTATGCATATATAGTTGGATCTCAAACAAGGACCCCCAAGAAAGAAAATAGGAAAAAGAACACAAAATCCGCCTCTGTTCGCAGGTGAAACACAGAGCGTCAGAAATCCAAACGAAAACACATTTCACACTTTTCCTTGGCTATCCCATCGACAAAAATCCCAAATAACCTAGACCTGCGAGACCAAAAGGAACGACAGCAGCGCCATGCTATGCCAAATAATTATACAACTTCCGAAAAGGAGCGAAATCTCAATGCCCATATAAATGCAAATGCTGGAGGGAACGGACAACTGATCGTCTAAAATGCGTCATGTCAACAAGTTTATAATGGCGAAAAAAAAAGCAGGGCATCAAGACATGAAGTAGGTTGGAAAGGAGAGACATCAGATCATGCGAGTGACCATCAAACAAAAAACGCTATAGCCAAATCAAAAATGGTCCCAACACGTAAGATATGGTTGTTGACCCGGCACCATGGCTTCAAAAAGGAATGACGAGAAGGTATATCAGAAAGAACAGATGCGAAAACCCAAGAACACCGTGCAATGCGATTGAAAAGGCGACAACGTATTAAAAGGTCCCATATTAATGAGATGGGTCTGGAACGGAGTATGACAACGGGGTCAAGTAGTTATAGGTAGGGGCCCCGCTTGTGCCAGGAGCGTTGATGAGAGGGTTGATCTCCCAAGTCCTACTAACAGGTGCATTGAGACCAAGATGGCTCTGCTGTTGGCAAACGGCCGGGTAGGAGTACGGGGCAGCCACGGGATGATATGGTTGGCTGACTGCAGGTAACACAGCTCGGAGCTCGGGGACACCGGTCATGGGAGGCCCAGAGTGATTTGCTGAAGGGGAGTAAGCTGGAGCTGCAACATGGTGACCATAGGTAGTGGAAGGGCCAGTGTCTGAGACAGACTGTGGCGATGCCGCGTTCGGAGGTTCAGTGCCAGAGTCTGACGCAGCTCCGTTGCTCGTGTAAGTTGAGCTGATGGGGGTAGGAAGTGCCCCAGCAGTCGAAGAGTAGCTTGCAGACTGTAACTCATGAACGTCAGCAACAGTGTTGAGAGAGTAGGACAAGCTAAACACTTACATATTTACCAATGATCTTTTTCAGCGCATGGCCGAGAATCCGCCATGGAAAAACCTTCACGTCCTTCTCGATATTGCGTGGCTTCGGGGCTGGGAAGCCCATAATCACCTTGAAGAAATCCTCGCTATCCGCTTTTGCTTTCGATACAGTAAGTGGCCGGAACCCTTCCAGATTCCTTCGAATACGGTTCTTTTCTTCCACGGTGAACCTAACTCCGACAAGCGACTCCAGGAGGTAGATAGTATCAACACTAGTGATGAAGCATTCGTCTTTACCATCCCAGTAGATGCAACTGATGCAAATACTGTTTGGGGAACGGTCCTCAGGAGCCACGGGGTTGAAATCCGCATGGATGGTGCTACCACTTTGCATACGAGTGAATTGTACCAGACGACGTTTAGCGTCACGTTCCTCTTTAGTCCAGCTTTCCGTCATGGTATCCAGGCTTCCATTGAGCTTCAAAACAGCCTTGGATGGATACATGGCATAGGGATTGAAGGACTGAGTGTGGTGGTGGTGGCTAAGACCGCTGGACTGTTGTAATGTGGAGGTGCGGATAAGCGTTGGATTCGTGAGCCGCGCGGGAGAGTTTGGCTTTTGCTGGCGGAGGCTGTGAGCATAGGCAAATCCGGGAGCTCTAGAGTCTCCGTGGACAGTTACGTATGATGGACTCCATGAAGGAGCGAGGGGCGAGGGTGCACGGATGTTTGACTGTGATGTTGCCGACACGGTCGAATATTGCGCTGGGGCAACCCTGGGCGAAGATGTCGGGTGATACGGAGTGACAAAGCCATTCATCGCAGGCAAAGATTGCAGATACGGGGAATAAGAATACGCTGGTGGCTGCTCTTTGGCCTGGATCGGCAGCCCAGTCGTCCTCTTCGTAGTCCTCGGTTCCTCGGGGAATGTTGCAATTCTCCTCTTGCGGGACTCGTCTGACGGGGACGGGTGAGACGCGTTTTCGTAGGTATATACACCAACTTGAAGGGTAGTAGAATGACACTCGTTTTGACCATTCATAGCGACTTGCAGGGGCACGGCGAAGGACGGCGAGCCTGTTGAAATAAATGGAGGGGTATCCACGGAGAGGGCATACTGAAACAGAGAGCCCTGGAATCCCAGAAAATGCGGGACGCATTCGCACTTCTTCGAGCCAAACACTAGGTAAAGAGTTGCATACGACGAAGTGTGAAGATCGTACGGGGACTGAATTTGCACGAAGACTCTGGTCCCTTCGGATCCTCTTTGGGGAGAGTAAGAAATAACCTCCGGTAATTGACGTGATTCACTGCCCAACATGGGTGACCGGCTGTCCTCGTAAGAGCTAGCATATTCTTGATTGCTCATGTATGGGACACAGTCAGATATCTGACTTGCATGGTCGGCCATGGGTGAGGGCACCATTGGTGTGGTTGTTACGTATGGGGCCTGACCGAAACTGGAATAGGAGGCACCATCTTGTACGGACCGAGCAGATTCGTAATCTACATATACTCAGTATTTTGACACAAACAAGATATGTGGCGTCACCAGGTTTCTCCTCGTCGCCATTCCCGATGAAACTTACCAAGCAAGGCCGCCTGCGGAGGCTTCTGAAGAGTAGACATAGACAGGATAGGTACAGACTTGGCCAACAGGCCGTCTGAAAGTGCACCGATAAACCGCGACTCTTCAGTGTCTGAAAAATCTAAGGATTCGTCTAGAATCAACGGGGTTTGAAATTCAGGGTCGAACTATGAGGCGATGACGTTAATAGAAGAACAATATTTTCGAGAGAGCAGGGAAAGCTGGAAGTCTCTGGCGAGACAGGATTTGAACCAAGATTCTTAAACAGGGCAAAAAAACCCTCCCAAGAGGGTGTAAGGGGAGTCGATTGGGCAGCAAAAAGAGAGAAAGGACCAGGTATCTCGACGTACCAAAACACCGTGTGCCTTCGAGTAAGCCAGCTTGAAGGTGTTGCAGGTACTGCAACGAAACACAACCGCTTAGAGAAGCGAATGACAGCGAATTTAACGGGGGAAACGATAGAAGGGTGGAGAGTGCTAAATTGCTCTCCGAAACAAAACGAGTGACGACACGAAGCGGCTGTCAGGCTCGACAGGGGATGCGCAACAACGGACTTCAAATCAACGACTAGCATCCAGTGACGGAGAGTGAAACCGGGGCAGGATGGCTGCAGTACGAGAGCTAGAGATAAGCCACGCTAGCAAAGACTGCTTCAGAAGCCACCTATAGGGAGCCGGTTTGCATTTGATCTGGACGTGGATAATTCGAAGTACGGGCCAGGCTGGCGGGACAACGACCGATTTCCGCAGGCCGGTCTCAAGCGAGTGAGTCGTAGGAAGTCGGCAAGAACAGAGACAGGAAAGGTTTTAATCTCTTTCTCCCTCTAGCAAGCGAAACTTCGAAATTCCAGGGTCGACTAGACCAAGCGAATTGAAAGACAACTGGAGCCACGAACTATCCAGCTAATGAGTACGAACCTCCTAGATGTCAAAAGGAATCGGCTTGCTGCATAAGCTAGCAGGACTAACCAAGAGTAATAAAGAAATCAGATCCGCTACTGAGGCTAGCGGGAAGCTATTATGCAAAGTCCACCGTCACGAAATGTCTGACGAAATAGCCTACGCCATAAAAATGTCAATAACAAACATGCGAGACTAGGTGACCAAGGCCACTCGGGAAATGACAAGCACCTGGGAAACCCCATCATGGGCCCTAACTTTCTGAGGGCCCTTGTGCTCCAAGGGCACGACCTGGGAGAAGCAAGGAGCCCAAAGGGAAGGGGACGGATGCAAGGCACCATAGTATCAGTGGCAAAGGGGATAATTAAACTAACCTTAAGTGATTAAGCCCTCCAGCAAATTCAAAGCCCTTAAGATTTTCGAGGCGCTCTGTTGGGAACTTTGCTGATGTTTCGTAATCAAGTGGTATCCTCAACCGAGACAATGATTCACGATGCAGTAGGCCCAGATCGAAATGGCACGGATATTGGTAGTTGACCGGCTGGAGGCCCACCCTCAGGACGAATCGAGACCGAACAAAGGGCCTGGATAAGAGAGTAAAACGACGGAGGGGACTCGTTGACTGGGGACACAACTTGACGATCTTGATGTCCTTCCCGCAGTACAAACGACTTTGCGGGTCCTCTCTCTACAGCTTGGGTGTCTTCTGAGACCCGACAAACGGCAGTTGAATAGTGCGCACCGTATAAAAAATAAAGGCTTTCCGTTAATCAATCAAAGTCAATACTCCCAGACAAAATTCCTTTCTGTCTTGTCGAAATGAGACGCCAAGAACAATAAGTTGTCGGGTTTGCAGGCAGCAACTGGGGGCGAAACGAAAGTCGTCGGACGATGAACGAGTGCAATATCCCGCGATGATCAAAGAGTATATAATTTCAAGTGTCAAACACACCCACTTGCGTTCTTTCCTTTGTGATTTGATCTTGATGTCTTTGCTTCTTTCTTCTTCTTCACTGTTCCTTTCCCTTGTGTTCTTCCGCGATGTTGTATTATAATACCTACTTGTGTTTTTTATTATTCCTTCTTCCTCATCAATCAACGTAGCGAACGTTATATTGTTTCAAAAACAGACACAAAGCGAGTGTAATGTGATGAGCGAGTGTATAAAACGAAAGTAAGTGAAATCGTCGAATACTTTCAAGGTGCCATAACAGGAAACCCAAGAGGGGGAGGGGAAGGGTAAAGTAAGTAATAAAAAACGGGGGAGGAGTGTGAGAAGTTTAAAGGGTTTAAAAAAAGAAAAGACAAGGGACCAGTACAAGATGACGAGAGAGATATTAATTTTTTCCTTTTTCTTTTTTCCCTTTTAGCACTAAGGCCGAGGGATGGGGTGGTTAAAGGGCACAGGAAGGATGCTCCTTAGTGTGGCGGGGATGCAAAGTAAGAGGGCGACAGAAGGTTATAGGCTGGTCAAAGGAAAACAGTAAAAGTCAAGTAATACTGGGGCTTGAAGATGAGGTTGGTAAAGTATTGGAAAGTAAAGGCAAGTAGTAGAAGAATTGACACCCAGGGATTTTGAATGCACGCTGGGATTTTATTCGATGGTGATTTATGACCTTATTAATAAATCCTGCGATTTTTACCACATAGTACGATTTATATAGAGAAAAAAGAAGATTTTTATTCTGTTTTATTTTCAGTACCCCAAAAGCTCTTGCTTCCATATTTTTCTTTTTTTTAGATCCTTTAATATCTTAGGTTATGAAAGATGGGTTGTTATAATTACCGGTACTATTATTTGAGTTGATTTTATCTTATATTTATTTTTTGAATTTTAATATCCATCTCTTAATTGTTTATTATTCTTCTTCTGATAATTATTATTATTACCAATGCTAAACCAGAAATCCATATGTATTTCCGTATAGTAACGGAGGATGTATTTATGGAGCAGGACCCGGAGCCGATCACTGGTTTAGTTATTCTTGTCTGATTGATGGGTATTACTATTGTTGGATTTTGCTCCTGTCGAAAAAGGTCCCTAGTCCTCCTCCACACACAGCTGAACCGTTACCAGTCCGTCCATGGAGAGGAAGAGGGAGAATGGTCCGTATCCATAACATCCTTCGACGAACTTTCCGCGCTGTCCGCTTTCTTTAGGAGCTCCACAGAGTACGAGTGGAAGGAAAGTGTGACCTCATGGCTTATTTTATTTTGTACTTTATTTTTCTTTTTTCCCCTCTTTATTAAGAGGGAAAAGAATCAAAAAATAAAATAGAATAAACTCTACATATTCTTTTTTAAACCCTTTCTAAGGATCGCTTTCAACCGCCATTCCTCAAATTTGTGGTTCGGGACGATTAAGTCTAGTAGGACTTATGGGTACCGTGTATCCATCAGGACAGAAGGTAGAGAGTTGGGCCTCGGAAGAGAAGGTAGAAAAACGATACCGTTGAAATAAAAAAAAATAAAAAAAAAAAAAAAAAAAAAAAAAAGAAAAAAAAAAAAAAAAAAAAAAAAAAAAAAAAAAAGGGAGGTGAAGGGAGGGAAAAAATAGAGAGAGGTGGAGGGGGTGTTCTTGCTGAAGGCAGGTTAGCTTAGGTCTAAAATAATAACAAATGGAAATATGATTCGAAGGGAAACCTTCAATACCCAAATCAGAAGCCAACTAGCAAGGGTGCTAGCAAAGAATAGCAGCAGACACCATTTGGTCGGTCCACGCCGCCGCCTTGAGCCTGTGGATCCACCCAGAGGGAGAGAAAGCATGGGATCAGTCAGGGCTGCAGAAGGGGAAGTGGATGAAAGGGTCATGGGGAGAACTTTCGGATCCGTTTAGTTATTGGATTTGCTTTCCAATACAGAAGGATTTCGATTAACTTAGAAAATCTACGGGACTGTGATGATACTTCTGGTCTTCCCATGACTGGTGGCTTTCGTTTATTTCCCCCATTATGTACGTTGTCAGAAGATAAGATGATGAGTCGAAGTCGTATCCAGAGTGTAGGATATTGTTTCCTTCCTTTTCATTTTTTTTTATAAATTCTTTTTACTTTTTTTACTTCTGTCTTATTTTCTTCTATGATCTTTTTGGCCTTTTTTCATCTAGTTAACTACTAATCATAAAATCTGAAATGTCCTCAATTTAATGACGAAGCCGGTACTCGACGGGAGCTACGATGGATATCGTGCCGGCATCAGGTTTGCACCGCCTCTTTTTCTGTCTTCTCATCCTCTACCCTTCCATTCGGTTTCTTTTCTTCTTTCTGCACTATGTACCGATCAGGTTAGGAGATGTCTAGGTATACATTATTCACAAAGGCCCACTAAGTAATTCTCTTCCAATCAGTTTATGTTATGATCGAACCTAAGGAGGCACGGAGATGTGATGACTGCTGCGTACTTGGTTTAGTATAGATGAAGCATAGATACTAGTAGAAGAATAGAAAGTTAGGTGCGTTAGACTCGTATACCCTACGCCCTATGAGGACTATATACAACGGCAGCCACAATAGGGTGGAGGAGAAGGAAAATTAATTGAATAAGAATATTCATAAAACACATAAAAATTAAAGACAGTAGGGAAAGAATCAATCAACCCTAACCGTCAATAACCATGGCATATTATTAGCTTTCTAGAGGATGGCTCCCCACCCCACCTACTATGCCCCTTTCCACATCGGGCAACCCTATCTTCGGTCCCCCAGGTGCCAACTTGGAAACCTCGAAACCTTCTCCTATTGGGAGTTTCTTAATTTTGGAGCCTGGGGCAGAAGATTCCAAAGGGAGTTAATCCGACATTTCGCCCTTGTCCTCAGTCTTTACCTTGTTTGGTATGCTCCGTCCCGGCTCTCGGAGATAACTCCATACTATTCAGACTATCTGTCGAGGACATACCGTCGATGGCCGACTCCCGATGGAGGAAGAGAAGCCTTAGTACTTCCGCAGAGGGATTATTCTGTTCTGACGAATCAAATCGTACCCATCGATTCATAGAGCCACTCAACGCCAAACAGCCGGAGGGTATTTTTCAAACACCGCGGTAGCTGCCTATCAAGTACATACAGAGTACCATCAAAGCAACTTACTACCGTTTTCCGTTTCTTTGTTTCCATTTTCTTTTTCCTCTTTTTTTACTACCCCACCTACAGCCCAAGGAATTTGGGTCTGGTAATACCTAGATACACCCGCTCAAGAAGAAAGCTATCCAAGATTGACTTGTCTTTGCTTAACTATGTACCTAGGATACTTCTTGATACCTTGGCCGTAGACCAATCATCGCAGCATCTCTAAGAATATCTCCACAGTCACCTGGGAAGAAAGTTTATTCCACTATCGAGTTGGACCCTGCCAGTTCGAACACGAGTATCAAGGTCACGACTAGCCAGGTTGAGGATTCGCATGTCCTGCGGTGTCGTCTTACACTACAGTCAGCCCACGCTGTGGCGGCGGCTCTGTTGAGAAGCAGATCCATTATTACGGGAGAGAGAAAATAGAAAGGTTGGATGCCTGAAAATAGATCGCTGCCTGAGCGATACGATGGAAAGGCTAATACATACTTTAGTACGGAGTACATAATCACGGGACTCCCATGGACCTGAATTCCTGCTCTCATTCCAAAATGAGGTTAGATCGATTAGTAGGTTGTGATTGACGGGACGATTGACGGGACCAACAAGAAGGAAAAAAAGGACATTATCATCATGAACCTAGCTCTGTACAATTTTAGTCGGCTCCAACAAGCAACATCCATCCTTTCAACTTTCGAGTTTCAATCATAAGACCTGATCGAGGCTAGCGGCAGATCTAAGATGCTAAACATAGCAAGCCTCGCATTGGTCTTCGAGCCATGCAAGGGTACTGATGTTCTCATTGGCTACAGAAGGTGCACCATATGTGGGACCACCCCACTGACACCTGCTGGTTTTCGAATCCTCCGTTTCCCCAGCCAGATTGTGATTTGTTGCCTGTAGTCCGGAGGTGGCACGATGGGGATGCACAAGACTTTCTCCCTTCTCCGGAGAACTGTGAAGGAAGGTAGTAGACATGGGTAGTAGCGGCGGAGGTTACTCTGCACTGTCACCCTAACTCAACGACGAGTCAGCGTTGGCCATAGCTGAGTTGTTGAGGATTTGATTCCCTCGTCTTACCGCCCATCGAGTGACAAGGAAAATCCACCTCAGCCGCTTGCTTAAGCCTTTCTTCATGGTTCTTATTTTTGTTTCTATTCATACGATTCCCCCGCTTCCAGTCCCTTTTTAAAGTAACAGTGAATGTTTATTTCATCGTCACCTTAGTATGCGGTTACCCGACCCAGGGACTCGGTAGGGCAAAGTAAGATCATGAGGTCATGTCGCGAACAACGATTCAACCTCTATTCCGTATAACTACCATCTACTAGTACTAGCACGGGCCCAAAAAAAAAATACCATCAGGGCAAAGGAAAAGATAAACCAAAAGATGTCCCACCAGTTTCCGATGAGGTCACATTGACAGTGACAGTCAAAACTCAAATTACCAAAGGAATTAAGAAGGAAAATGCGCAGATCACCACCCCGTCCTCTCGGATAGTGATCATCCTCCAAGCACAATCTAAACTAAACCAAATCCAAGGAACTTTCGATTAGTCGTCCAAAAACCCTTAGTTATACAAGTTCCGATGACAAAGCAAAAAAGCTCCCTAACTAACTGAATTACTTGGCTAAAGTTAGGTAAATCGATAGGACAATCTGATCCAGTAGTATAATATAGAATATAGATAGTCCTTCCAGGTACCACATTTTCGGATCCGGAGAACGCCGAGCCCTAATATTATGTACAGGATTCTGGTATATAGTTTTAACTTTCATCCGTACCTGTGCTTGATTTTCCATGTCCTGTGGGAAATAGGGGCCATGCGATAATAGCAAGCACGTTTAGGAAAAGCCGTTTCGTTCCTTCATAGTGATACTCCTCGGCTGAACAAGCATGGTTAGGGTTAGATTATCAGTTGTGTTGTGGGGACCCTCTCCTTCCAACCCTGATCAGCAATCTCTTCAAGTGCTTGGCTCCAAATCGGATGCGCCCCGATGATAGGGTACATATGTAATGATCGGTTTAGGTTGATAGACACTACCTCATGATAAGCGCCGCAAATGATTACTTTGACTTAAGCCCATCATCTATGCTCAACAAGTGTATTAGGATCTAGGTTAGCTTGTCAACATCAGATTATAGACCACGCACTATAACCCCCCTGCTCCATAGCTAGCATCCAATGCGAAAGACATTACTATACGAAAGCGGAAAGAAAAAAGAGATCGAACGAAAGGTACCAAGTAAAAAAATAAATAAATAAATAAAAATAAAAAGTAAAGCAAAAAATTAAGATTTAAGATTTAAAAAACATATATCGGTACGTAGTCTGTAGTCTCCTCCGGACGTTAAGAAAAAGGCGCAACAACCCTAACTCGGTGAATGCTCGGTAAAAATCAAAACTAGTTCGAAGGTCATCGCCACAAAATTCAAACAAGTTATTTATTTTTTTCCTTTCTCCATTAACTTCTAACCCCCGGTACCAGCGCTAATCAGCTAGTCCCTGGTCAACGGGGATTGTGGGCTCTTCGGTCCGTATCGGATACTCGTATCGGGGATAGTACATGGAGGCCGGAGATGCTCACTGGTGAACGGGACCTGAACTTTACTGGATGGAGTTACTTCCCCCCTCCAAACGCCGGATAACCTGTACATATCCAAGATGTATGTTTAATTTTTCGGTGGTTCCAACTTTTAAGTAAACCTTTCATAAGCATGATGTCAATATTTAAGAAACTGAATAAGAGAAAGTTATTTGTAAGAGCCCAGCGTGTAAGGTGGCCACTACACCTGATTCGAAACGGGATTTGGGCTCCCGAGTTCCCCATAATTATATATGGGTCGGTGTGGTTGACCACATGGTAGGTACCTAGTGGTAAAGTCTACCGTGTTAGAGCTGGGAGTTAGGTGGAATACGCCAATTCAATGGATCAGGAACGTCCACGACTATTTTGTACATGCTTAGCTCCCTTTGTCCTAGTCATGGGGGGTTCGCTGGCCAAACACACGCCGAATCATTCGGCATTGCTATGTGTAACATATTACATAGTACATCTTTTTGCTCTAGTTTGAGAAGCTATTTAAAGTGCTTGTCAAGGGGAGGATTTTCCGAGTGCAATCAAATCAAATGTTGGGCGACTTGAGAAATATAATGGCTGAAGTTGTACAAATTCGTGGTCCCCTTTAATGCTCGATAGGTGGGAGAGTGGGTTTGAGTGTATTCCTTCATATAAGGTAGTGAAGTAGGGTGCAAAAGATAGACATACGATAGACATAATATACCATCGTTACACAGAGCTCGATGATCCTTTTGGCCTGATCATGCAGCGTCCCATGACATTAACCGATCGGCATAAGTGCATCTCGATGATCAAGGAGGCAACCAGACATACTACGATAGGGGGGATACAGCACAGACATCCATTTTTATGTGGGATACAAGAGGAACAGCAGTGAAAGAAAGTGAACGATCCTTATAAGAATGTAGATGTCCTTGCATCATACATCTCCTTGTTAATAAAACGAGAAGCTCCCTTACATATATCCGCACAGTTCCAGATCCTCGCCGTCCCCCCTTTATTTTCGGTGTTTTTTTTTTTTTTTTATTCTCGGGAAAATCCTATCGGAAACTTAGACACTCCGACGCTAGGGCGAGAACAGTCTAGTGACAAAACAATGATAATTGTAATCCGAAGTTATCCTCCGGAGATTCGGATATTTCTTTTTCAGGCCTACGGAACACTACCGAGAACCACGGAACTATGTACATATACGGTACATCTGCATGCCGCACGGGGTCATAGCTGTTACTTTCCTGCGGCGCAGGAAGAGGCTAAGTTCGCCAAGTGCTTGTCAAACAAGATCCTGCCAGGAGAATCAATTGGATTTTAACATCGGCCCAAGAAAACACAAGAACATATAAGTTTGAATGGTGCGAAAATGGTCCACAGCTTCCGGCCGTTCTGATCGGCACGTTTTGGGGGCTGGGGAAAAGGTTGTCGATCACATTACTATAACAAACGCAGGAATAGGTGCTTTTCTTTTGCGATCCATTCCCATGGTTCGAACCACCATCGGATTTCCCCATTCAGCGTCTTGACGCAAGTTCAGCCAGCCTCAACCACTCCTTGAAACTTCCTCCCTGTGCCAATTTGTGCCCTATAGTCTGACGCCCTAGAAAATACCAGAAGAGGTAACTAGGTTTCCCCTTTCCCCTTGAGAGTCTGCCTTATGTTGTAGATTCCTCTTTGATGTCCAACCTCGACCCCTGAAAATTAAGCGATACCCGCGTCCAAGTATCATCGCTCAATCTCTTTAGGAAAAACCTCAGATGTCTCACCAGTGTTCCTTCCGTGCAAGTGACGAAAATTTTTTAATTATTAGCTATTGAATATATTATCTAGATTCTTTTCTAGGCGGGGATTTAGGGTGGGTTAGACTACGGTTAGCGACGACGAGCGAAAAGTATAGTTCAGGTACCGCGCAGGGTACATATATACGTAGGTACTACTATACTATACTAATTAGCACTGGATACACATTGTTAGTGACAGTAGTTCAACGTTTTTCTATACATACCGACAACAATAAATGATCACCACCGGTAACAACATTCTAAAAGGAGTGTATGCCTCTTCCGGGATCTATTATGGAACCTCCGACGGTTAAGAGAGACTCTTCAGTTATTTTCGGAGGGTTAATGCGGGATGGAACGTTGCGCTCGCTCGTTTTAACCGGTGGGTCAGACTCTTTTTTCCCATGGACTATTGAACAAAAATTAAGTTTGTAGCTGAGGTTAACTATTTTAGTTCGGGACTTAGGTTAATGATCAATTCCTCATCTCTGGTACTTCTTACTAGTCTGTCGGGTAAGTGAAAAACGGCCGGTGAACTGATCGATTGAGCTCTTTGGGCCATTATTGGCAGATCTTAATGGTCGATTCCGTTATCGAATCATTGCAGTTCAAGGTAATTTTCACGATTCGCTAAGTTATAATAGATGAATATGGAATGCTTCTATATGGCTAATCTAAAATCTTTTCGGGGCCTTCATACATACATATTTACACGTTAGGTATATTATTTAATTATGTACTTGGAAGGATCACGCTCAAGTGTTACAGGTCCCAGCTTTATAGTAATGGGGTGAGTGGAGTGTCGCATCATTTACCACTGCCACATGGCATGATATAGGCATATGTTAATTTGGTCCATTGTGATGTGTCCCGGTGTAGAAGAGCCAAGACTGTCGCCGGGAATCTGGAAATGAATACCGTTCGTAACAAGAAGGTATTTCCCTCCTCTTACCTCGTTAGGAACCTACTCTACCTCTAGACCAAGCTCTAATAATCGGGTGCCTAAGGACTAAATGTGGTTCATGATCATCAGCGTCCTTACTAAGCCTGGAGTCACTGACCTTTTAGGTTGGACGCATGACACTAAAAGATATCTGCATTCTACTTCATACTGTTAAATATATATTCCTGGAATTGAAAGGGTCGCATCTCACGCGTCGACTGAGTGCTTGGACACATAAAAAAAAAATTCTATGACGACATTCCATAAGGACGGACTCGAATTGATATTGACTACTTACTTTCTCACTACTACCTTGGTACCTCGAAAATCTATTCTTAGTACAGTGGGAAAAAGGTACCGAAACCCAAAACACTCCAATGTACCTTACCCGCTAGGAAAGTTATGGTTCGGCTAATATTTTCGTTTAAACCATCTAGATAATTCCCTGGTATCGACCGTTCAAGAAAAGAAACTGGAGGAGTTTGAAAGTTCCCATATTGCCCTGTTGATATATTTATAGCAATACTACTCGGTGTTGTTCCGTGGATGAGAGATGTCAACCCATGGGGACCGTCCGCAACGACTGTCGGAATTGCCTGCGGAACCTAATGACCACACAAAACAAGAGAAACATCATTCCCATCCTACACCCGCTAGTCGCGAGGAAACCGTTACAATGATAGTGGAACGAGTCACCAAAAAAAAAAACTGGCTTTTCAACGGTACCAACCATAGTCAGCCCACTGATCAGCAGAGCAATGGTCAAAAGATCGCAAGGAGAGCCACTCGTCTACCGGTGCGCATCTCCAATAAACCCATTCATGTTCCTTACTCAACGAACCTGGTAGAGAAAGGCAATTAAGCCATATTACCAAATGCTTTTCCTCGGACAGACCCATATTTCAGCTCAAAAGTGTTCAGCCAGCACCGCCCGGTTAGGAGACGATCCCAGGCCTGCCGACGCGAACGCACTTCTGAGTGGCTGGGTTTCTGATATTTTTGGCGCCCATAGCCCTGATTGAGCCGTATGCTCTGGTGGGATGCTCGCACACTGCAGATTGGATACCTCGGGTGTAAATGAGAGCACGACGTCGTCCTTTCATAAACCGTCCTATGTTTTTGAACTCACTAGTCTGTGTATGCTGGGATGGGGTGGCTCGCATTCACTTGGTCGGTTGCGCCAGTACTATCTCTCCAACCCTACGGGACATGACCCCACGGCAGCATCCCTGAACTGGCGCTTCTCAGTAATCGAAAGGGGTTTTCTGGTGTTGGAACGGTGCCCGGGTGTCGATCAGAGCTCTGTGAAATAGAGTAGTCGTACTATCTCTCTACTACTCGTCACTTGTCATACTATGTGATCTGGTCTGTCATAGGTTGAGCGGAAGGCCAGTCAGCCGTGGCGCTAGAAACCCAGAAGCGAAGCTATTCGAAGGCTAAGAACCGACCAAAATTGAGGTCAGGGTACAGAAAATAGCTTCCCTGTAAACTTGCAACAAATAAGGGGAACTCTCTCGGCCAGTCTATGTGAATACGCAAGTCAATTAGGCAAACTGAACGTTCTAGACCGTATACTGTTATGAGGCCAGTGAACTGTGATTCGAAGGTGATAGGGTCGCCGTCTTGAGAGCTTTTATGGTTGATTTAAGCAGTCTGATTAATCTAATATCAAGTTCTCTCCACAGTATCTCTCCGTATTTCAAAGTCAGGTAGTAGTTTCGGTGAATAGTAGATGGAATGGTATACCTAACTTCAGTACGGCGTTTATCCATAGCATGCTGGTTGCCTTTCCGAAGAGCCCTATTGGCCTAAAGAAGCGACTGTCATACTGGCCTTCGAATCTTGCATTTACCCTAATGAGAAATTACATACCATCTGCGTTTTGACCTCTCTGGCGACTGGTGACAGGCACATGGTAATCTCTTCCTTCAATTAACAAGAAACATGTTATCTAAAATGTCTCACCAAGTGACTCTGAGACCTTGGAGCCGAGACCTCATTGGGTACAAACTCCGACGCTGAAAATAGTAATCGAGACATGCAAAACGAATGGATGAACAAACTGCAGTACTGCTTCGCATCTTTAGAACATCTCAGATGTTTCTTTGACGGTCCGACCGTAACATAATGGAAACAATCTTCCCCAGAAATCGACCAATCTCAGTCGACTGTTCTTCTCCTTCTGCGACATCAGCCATCGAGCGAATGTGCACTCGGAACGAAACGGATTCGTGCTTCGAAAGTATACAATCTACAATGAGGTAAGAAGGGCGACCGACAACAATCTTGAGGAATGGATAGCTCACCTCATCATACCTCTGTAGAGCGACATAATACGGCATCGAAAGACCAAACCTCCTCTGCAATGTCTCCTTTTTGATCTTCCGCGCCGCAGTCCTATACATCAGGGACACCCTCGCCTGGTCCATGCCCTCATGAGAAGTGGCGGTGATACCTCCAGGTAGCTTCCAGCCACATCGTTCGTATACAACCTCGACAAGACGTGTAAGGGTATCCGCCTGCCATGTCACTAGAAGCTCCCCGTGGAAGCCTTTGATGTGGTGTTGGAGCTTCATCAGTTCGAGCTCAAGTTGAGCGGTGCTGGAGCTTAGATTTTTCACTCTACTTTCTAAGCGATCATTGCTGATATGCAAAGCCTTCATTGTAGCCGAGTATTTCTAGCAGATATGAAAGGTTAGTATGGCTGTGTTGCTTTCATGCGAGATGCCGGCTGACGGTCTTGTATTCTATTGCAGTGGAGACCAAAACATACCCTAAGCGATGTATCGGGTGATCTCATGGGCGCGTCTATCGGTGCTGGCGGCTTTCCCTGAGTAAGATAAAAGGATAGACCGGGGCCATATAGCTGCACAATGTCTACACTCATTTCCGAAATTCAAGACGCTGAAGATTCGTGAACAATGAACACAAGCGTGAATATACGAGCGAAAAATGAATGGATGAGGAGGCACTTCCTTAAGATGTGAAGTTAAATGTGTTGCAGGCTATATAATGATAGCGCTATACTATGTAGCTCTCCGAAAAGGGTGCTCTAAACTGGGAACCTCCAGAGAGGCCTTCATACTTAAAGATGGGATGGGCCCGAAGCAAGGAAAGCGCAACCCAGCGGCACTGCCTATCCAAGGAGGTACCGAGTACTATGAGCTCTGTGTGCTTCATTGCTCGTTGTGCAAGTATGGGCGATAGTTACCATGCACCAAGTTTAGCATCGAACAGTGAGCACATTCCATCCCGACCGAGCCTGTGTACATATCTCATATTATATGGACGAGATTCGCTAATGTATCTATCATTACTTTAAATACCTACAGCTTGCTCCCTGAAGACTTTCCGAATTCAATAACCAACTTCCCGAACTGCTTGCCTTCCTTCATATCCTGGAACAGTCCGTCGAGGCCCGCAATATCGTCCAGATCGGTCTGCAGAACACGTGAGATTACTGGGTGGATCTGGTTTGCTCTGACAAACTCGACCATCTCTTTGAATTCCTTGCGAGAACCCATTGTCGAGCCGCGAACGTCAATGTTCTTCAGGACGGCTTGCATCACAAAGGGCATCTTGGGAGATACAGTCATACCATAAACGGAGAGCACACCACCAGCCTAGGCAGTGTTAGTGACAGGCAAAGGGAATTAGAGCTTTGATGATAAGAAGCTTACCTTCAGTAATTTGACTCCTTTCTCAACCGAATCACCACCGGCACCATCAATAATAGCATCGAAGGCCCTCTTTCCCGAGGGAAGCATTGCGAGTAACTTCTTCTCCCAGGCTTCTTCCTTGTAGCTAACACCACCCTTGGCACCTAGCTCAATCGCCTTTTGGATCTTTTCCTGGCTCGAGCTCGTTACGTAGACATCTGCGCCCCTAGCCACGGCAAAGCGGAGCGTTATCAGCGCAACGCCCCCTCCAATTCCCGTAAGCAAAACTGCCGCACCCTTGCCCGAATTCCTCTCGCCAGCCTTGACCACCAAGGCTCTCCATGCCGTCAACCCTGTCAAGGGCAGTGCAGCCGCCTCGGCATCGGACAAGTGCTCGGGGACCTCTTCCACCTCGAACTCATCGATGGTGAGGTACTCCTGCATCGTCCCCTTGTTGTAGAGCTTGGTACCACCCATGATCCGATATCCCTTCGGATCTTCCGGTCCATCAGGTGAATCATTCCACCCCGTTCCTGGATTCAAGATGACCCGCTTCCCCTGCCATCGCTCCGGGTTGGACACCGCAGGGCCAGTACCTACAACCACACCAACGCCATCTGCCCCCATGGGCGCATCGAATGTCACTCCGGGATAAAGATGCTGGCGCAAAAAGACATCGCGATGATTCAATGACGCCGCGGTCATTTTTACCAGTAGTTCGCGACCCTCCGGTGTCGGCTTAGGCAGGTTCTGGATGGAGAGTGGATAGTAAACCTGCCCTGGCTTGCCTTCGATTTGGGAGAGGAAAATCGCTTTCGACATTGTGAACTGTTTATTGTCTTCTACACACTGGATCTGTGAATGGAGTGGGAGATGTTGTTGGATTGATTGTTTGACTGTGTCTGATAAACACTGTATTAGTGGTGCGGGGAATATAGTTATATAAGCTTTGGGGAGTAGTTTATCGATAACCGAAGACCGCCAGCTGTCAGATTACAATATCTCCTAGAACTGATCTGGATGGAGGATGAATAAAGCCAATTGGATATGATAAGTTCTAGCACCAATTGAATTATTCTTCGATATTAAATCTCTAGAATGGACGGTCTGTTGTGATGTTGTGCTTGTTCTTCCGTTCATCCAGGTGAATTGAACCGAGGTTGTAGTCTCAGTAAATGAATGACTAATGGACTGTCTAATATGAAGAAGCTTTATAAGTATTATTTGCTTCAAATGGAAATGAATATATATATATACATAGTCTAAGATAGTTTAATTGACCCTCACTGGTGTACGATTGATCCCTTGCCTACATGTGGATGGGTCGCGATCGGCAAATCTGGCTTGCTCAGCTGCATACAGTTTCTACCATGTAGTGATCAATATATGCACCGAGACAATATTCAGTCAGCATTGTTCCAGATCTGAAGCAAATTGTAAATACAATTTGAAAGATACGAATGTGTCTTCGCCCAAGGGAAGAGGCTTCTCTTTTATAATCGAGAGGCGATAAAGTAATCCATATATTATTCGCATTAGTCCTCTGCCAGGGGTGCCATTTAGCGTTTCTGGAGATTAATGGGCAAGATATTGTGCTTGTTATGATTGTATGTTCAGAATCGAGGTGAGCATACCGAGATACTGTACCAGGTCACATGTTGTCATGAAAACAGCAAATCCTGCCTTAAAACTGTTTGATAGGAGAATAAGCCAAGTGGAGTAGATGGGTTGAAGTAGTACAGGCCAGATCAGTCAGGAAAAATTTGAAAAAAAAAAAATCATTATAAAATTAAAATTAAAAATTGTGGTATTTGATTTCCTTCCGGAGGCTAACTGATCCATGATTTGCGGAGGTTGGTTCTGAGTACGAGGAGGATCCATGAATAGAGAGTAGAGAGAGTACTAGGGGCACACATAGTCAATAACGTCACTTTCCGTCCACCACTCATATATGCATATCTATCTATATACCTTACAGGTTGCAGACGAAGAAGGGATACAAATGCCGTGTGGCAGTGGACTCAGTATTTGTCATGAGGGCAAATATGGTTATATTGATTTCCATTTCATGCTCATTTTCATGTTGACGCAAAATTTCTAAAAATACCGGGTGAATGCGAAATCCAAAGCGTTTGCGGCCAAACCGCCAGTGACGACACCAACGTGGCAATAGAGTCTGTAGGTTTGTCTGGGGTGCTGTCACCACGCACTCCGGAGGGAGAAAAAAACCTAATGAATGGAAACAGAATTTACTGGGCCCATACCAATCCTGGGGGAGGGATTGTAAATTCCTGGAGATAGCTCGAACGGTGATGGTTTGCTGATCGTATTCGAAATGATACAAAGAGATAGGGTGTTCTCCAAGCTATATCTGGAATGATCGTCTAGATGTTCACTTCCCCAGATACTCACGAGTTGATTGTGGGTTTTTTTTTTGTGTGCGGCAACCTAATGGGTATGTTTGGTAAAAGTTGTAACATTGCGGTACGACTACCGCCAAGTGGCTGGCAACGGGAACGATTTTACCTTACATACGACTTTGCTCCGTGGTAATTCCACGACCCCTTGCTAATTCGCCGCAAAGCCTCTTTCATTTTTCAGGAACTCGTTCGAAACTCGATCTTCTGATCTTGACTTGGATCTGTCTAGCGTTTCGTGCTGTTGGCCTGTCCTCAATTCTTCCCCTTTTGCTACCGAAGCAAACTCCAAGTGTTAAACAGAGTAGGTTGGTTCGCGTGCCACACGCTTTCCGCCTCCGAAATAAAACCACAGCTGATCGTCTACGGACTAGTAGCTCTCAGGAATTCCTGCCCTCTCTTCTGCGTCGTTTCACCTTAAACGCTCGCATATCCTCCTTTCTTCGTCTACCACTGAACAAACAACCACAACGAGTTCTTCTCAACTTGGATACTTCTTCTTCTTTGGGTTCGGAAGACTTACTCCATCGCCCAACTATCCACCTCATAATGCCTACGCCACTCCCTTCTAGTTTTGCTTCGGCCGCTGCTGGCAACACTGACGCCTCTCGACGAGGTGATGGCACTGTCAGTGGAGAATGGTATGGAATCCTACCTATCTCTCTATTTCATCCCTTCCTACAATCTATCCTCGTATATCCTCCTCGTTTCTGGTTTTTTTTTTTTTTTTTGTTTTTTTTTTATCGTGATTGAAACTTGTCTCTGCAACACCTAACGCGAATTCTAGGGCTCGAACTCGCATGAACGGGGCAACACAAACTTTCCGCCGTCCATCAGTCGCGACGAACCCTTCCCACAGCCGGGATACCAGCCAGCCCGCATCCGCTACGACCCCGACGGCTGGTACCTACACCCCCCCGCATATGCTCTCGAATTACCAGTCTAGCGCACTCCGGAATGGGGCAACCAATGATACTCGGTATTCCAAGGATCAGCTGTTAGAACTCTATAAGTCTCAACGGGAGATGGGTGTGTTGGGTAAGAATCTTGCAGATTACTTGGCTGCCGACTGGAATCCGCAGGTAGAGGCATCCGCCATCAACGGTGCTTGGGGCAGGCGGGAGGATTCGAAAGATAATCCCTCCGGGCCAGGGGTCTGTTGGGATCATGGAGGACAGATGGAACCCTTGAGCCTAGTGGACATGACTGATGATGAGAAAGAGGTTCGTGTCTTTGCCATCTTTTCTGTTTGTTAATGGCCTTGGTGCCTTAAATGGTGTAAGGGAGAGCTGTGCTGAACGGGCGTAGTTGTTTTCCCTCTCAGTGAACTCCCCGCTTAAGCCACCACCGACGAATGCACCCAAGGAGAACACGGGCACCCCTGTGGGAGCACGCAAATCATCGATCTCCCAGAGTCATGCCAATAACTACAACACCTCATCCCCAAGCGCGAATCGACCAGGGCCGAGGCGTCGGGAAACAGGCGATTCTGTTGGAAACCCTATGTCCCCTACCACGGGTGGTTCTCGATTTTTCCGTGATGAGCCGAATACTTCGACCCCGCCGCCGTCTCTCCTACGTCGCAAGACCGATTTTCGAGACACATCCTCCACCGCCCGATGGGAGGAGAAGGAGAAAGAATCTGCTCGGGAAGCCACCTCGGAGACCGCCTCACCATTTAATTCTCTCAAACGTAGTGCGACTAATCCTCTGAGTGCGGCGCCGGGGACAACCACTTCCCCGTGGGGGTCGGCGTCGCAAAATGCCAGCTTTTCGCCCATGGGGGCCTTCGGGGCTTTCTCGCTGGGCACGAATCCCACTGAGAAGAAACCAGGCTTTGGCAGTCTTCGGGGGGAGAGTCGCCTGAAGGGTCTCTTTTCGAAGGATAGCTCGGAGGATATGTCTGCTGCGGTGAAGGAGAAGCCATCCTTGAGCAACCTGGAACGTCTGGCCGGTGAGGGGGAGCAGCGCTCTCAATCGCCTTGGGGGGAAACTCTCAAGACCCGCACGGGACGGAGTGAGACAAATCCATTCCAGGAGGAACTTCGGAGCGGGAGTGCTGCGCTTGGAGGCTCACAGGATCTTCCATCCCAGGCTGCTGATCAGTCGGGATTCGGCGCTTTTGGAATGACCTCTAGTATCCCCGGCTTTCGGGAACTGATGCAGAGCCATGAAAATTCGCGTAATCCCACCCCTGGCTTAATCCCGGGCCATGAGCCAACCAGTCCAACGAACACCAACCCATACCAAAGCCCGCACGGCGACAGAGGAGACGTGGATGATGTCGAGACTGACGGTTCTGATATCCAGAACTCTCACCATCCGGGCCTCACTGGATTACGTGATACTGCCGCGTTTGGCTCTATCAGACGTGTCGGGTCGGGTATGGACTTGCCTTCGATCGACCGGAGCGCGACTTCTAGTGTTGCTGGAAACCGCAGCTTTTCGAGCTTGGGTGGTTTGGGTGGCCTTCCATCCCTAGGAGGTGCGTCTGGATGGCCCTCGAGTGGTGCCGTGGGTACTCCAACCAGAGAAAGATCTGCTTTCGGCGCTGGCTTTGGTGATCCGATCTTTGGCTCGATGGCCGATCTTCAGTCCCCTAGCCTATCGACCATGGGAGGAAGCGGCCTCTTCAGTCCTGGCATCAGTGGTTCGGGAAGCATTGGCCGCTCGAGCAAGTTAGGATCTCTCTTCCCAGCGGCGATGCAGGAGCAGATGCAAGGTGACCAAGCCCGGACGGATTTCGGCAGTCTCGATGATGGTTCTCGGCAACCAGGTAAGATCTCGCAGAGGCTCTGGGTGCAGGATGATTTACTAACCCGCGAAAAAGATCCCCAACAGTCAGACAAGTCTGGCCAGCCAAATCCACCTACAGTCACATCGACCTCTCAAACCCCTGTGTCTGCTGTTGGCTCCATTCCCACCTCTATGGCCCCAGACGCACCTCAGCCCAGTCAGACTCCTGGACAATCTGGGAACGGTGGCGGCTCTGTTCCTTCTGCACAGCAGCGTACCATGGTGATGCCAGATCGGATGCGCTGGATCTACCGTGATCCGCAGGGGAACATCCAGGGTCCTTGGACCGGTCTTGAGATGCACGACTGGTTCAAGGCAGGGTTCTTCAGTCCTGACCTGCAAATTAAGAAGCTCGAGGACCCAGAATTTGAGCCCTTGGCACAGTTAGTGCGACGCATTGGTAACTCGCGTGAGCCGTTCTTGGTTCCCCAGATCGGCATTCCTCATGGCCCCGATCCTAACCCTGGCCATTGGCAAGGAAACACGACTACTGGTGCTGCCCAACCGCCCTTCCCTGGCAGCTTCCCCAGCTTTGGTACTACCCTGACTGCCGAACAGCAGAACGCCTTGGAACGCAGAAAACAGGAGGAGCAATATCTAATGGCCAGACAGAAGGAACACCTCGCACAGCAACAGGCCATGATGAAACAAATGCAATTCCAAGGACTGCCTCCCACCATGCACCCCCATCAGCTACAGCATCATTCAAGCGCTCATAGCCTCCACAGCCAACCAAGTTTCGGCAGCATTGCCTCGCCTGTTGGCTTTCAACCCTCACCTATCCAAGGACCCATACAACAGCAGCAGCAGCAACAACAACAGCAACAGTCGCAGCCTCTTGGTGGTTTCTTCGATGCCGCCGCTCCGATAAGGCCGAACCCTTTGCCCAACGTTGGACCTCAGTTAATTGGGACGGATCTGGGAAATAGTCAAGATCAGCTGCCCGCCCTTCTTGAGCGTTTGAACGTGAACCGACCGGATCCATTCGCCTTTGGCAGCTCTGCGTCCTTTGCCACTCGGCAGCCGGAAAATCTGTTCCATCAGCAGCAGGTTGCTACAATGCTCCACGACCGCGCTCGCCTACAGCAGGAACAGGAGCAGTTCGACACCTCTCAAGGCGACAGCCTGTTTGACCAACAGGCCCGTGAGGAACGGCTCCGCCAGTTCCACGCCTTGAGGGCACAGGAAGGTGAATTCGGTTTGCGCACTTTAGAGGGGCTCCCGACTCATCCCGCCGCGGGTCCATCTTCGCAGGCTGAAGCCGAGGCCATGGAAGACCTTAGCGTCGACTCTCCCACGGCGGAAGTAGAGCAGCTTACTGTGGCAGACGACAACGAACCGGTCCTCACTCTGTCTCAGCAGGTTCAAAAAGCCGCGTCCGCCCAGAGACAGCAGCAAGAACAGCAAGAGCAAGAGCAGCAGCAGCAGAGCCAAACTACAAATGATACAGCATGGTCTATCCCGAGTGATCCGGCCATGCCCCAACCTTTCCCTCCTCCACCTTCTGCGTCGCCCCTTCCAGCCCCTGCGGCGCAGCGCAGCCGCCAGAATGTGGCGGAATCGCTTGCTGCCAACTCGAGATCTCAGACCCAGACTCCTGTGGAAGCTCCTACCACGTCCGTCGCCCCATGGGCCAAGGAAGTGCATGACATGCCCAAGGGTCCCTCACTGAAGGAGATTCAAGAGGCCGAGGCTCGTAGTGCTGCTCAGAGGGAAGAACTGGCTGCCGCTGCTCGTCGTGCTCAGCTCCTTGCCGAACAAGAGCGTCTTAGCCAGGTCCAGGTTCAAACTCCAGGTCTCCCATCGACTGCCAACTGGGCTAGTACTGGATCTCCCGCTACTCCCGCATCCTCTGGCTCGGTGTGGGGAAACAACAAGAGCCAGGCCGCTGCCCCTAGCGGTGCTAAGAAGACCCTCGCACAGATCCAGAAAGAGGAGGAAGCTCGTAAGCAACGCGCGGCGGCGGCGGCGGCGGCGAGTGCGGCCACAGCAGCGCCTAGCCCACCAGCTCCTTCTTCTACTGGTAAGCGGTATGCAGACCTGGCCAGCAAGACTCCTGCCCCTAACCCTACCCCTACCACTCCCGTGAACACAGGTGCATGGACCACGGTTGGGGCCGGTGGTAAGGCTAAGGCTCCTCCGGCTGCTCCCTCCGGGCCACGATCGACTACCGGAACCACTCCTTTGGTCGCCTCGCCCGTGAAGCCCAAGCCCGCTACTATCTCCACGCCGCGGGCCGTTACTGTTAACACCGCAGTTCCGTCCAACCCTAACCGCGCGGTTGAGGAATTCACCAAATGGGCCAAGTTGGCACTAGGCAAGGGCCTAAACAGCAACATCAACGGTATGTCCCCATAACCCATCCGACCCAACCTACTCTATAGCAAAGTGATACTAACATTTCACAGTGGATGACTTTGTCCAGCAGTTGCTGTTCTTGCCGGCTGAAGCGGAGATTATCTCGGACTCGGTGTATGCTAACTCGCAAACCCTGGATGGCCGCCGGTTCGCCGAGGAGTTTATCCGTCGTCGTACCTTGGCCGACAAGGGCATTGTGGACCCCGTCTCGGCCAACGCGTTCGCGGAGAAAAATGGTGGTGGATGGAATGAAGTGGCTAAGAAGGGATCATCATCGAGCGCGCACCGTGAAGAGGATAACAGCAATGCTGCGTTCAAGGTTGTTGCTCCTCGCAAGAAGGGCAAGCGGTAAATGGCATACCTAGTCGATAGTGGCATGTACCTGGCATTTTGTGAATATCTCGAGATATGTACGGGTAGTTTTTGCATTCCCAGCCTGATATGGTGACGTACAAAGACGATGATTTATAGGTTTCCTGTTAGTTTCTGCATACTTTCTGTCTCTAAGTTGGACTGACAAGTTGACGATGTGGGTATATTTATTCTGCTTTTAAATTCGAACCTCAATTGTAGATATTTATCCAGAACACTGTGTATCAGTCCGCGTGTGGTTGACTCAATATGAGCGTTACTGCAGGGAGACCGATTGGCCCCCGAGGAGCATAACAGTTCTTCAACTCCACAATAATCCCCTTGCTGCTAGTTTGCATTCATGGGCTGAGCAAAACCTACTCAGAAATGGCGGATCAGATATTGAAACGTACTAGGAGGACCTGCCGGTAAATTCTTCCAACCGACTCTTCTTCTATTAAAGGGACGGTGTTCCACATCGCAGAACTGACCGGAGTTACCTTGCTGTGCTGCTTGATCTTTATTTCTGATAGTCCTTTAGGAACACTTCGAAGAGATAGTGTATCTTAATAGATGAGCGTTGACTATAGACATATTCATCTAGATGTTCTCCTTGACGTATCTAGTTAGTTGCTCACTCAACAGATCTAAGCAGAGTTAACCTTGCTCTAGAATATTTATCAACCTGAATTACCGCTCCTTTGTGGTAACCAGGATTATATAGGGATATAAATATACGCAGGACATACACACTTGACTTTCCCTACCGGTACTTGTGGTAGTAGGTTTCTTAGAGGTTCTATTTGCTTGTGGTTGGCAGTAAATTCGAAGCCGGCATCTTCTTCTCTTCCAGCGCACTATTAGATATACTGTATAGTAACTGGTCTCAATTATCCACACTTACATTGTTGGGAAACGGCGGACGTAATAACGGTGATACTTTTTGGTGTTCCTTGGGCTGGATGATCCACTTGAGGCAGCATACAACACCTGAATGACTGCTTATCAACCAACAGCCCTTTCTACGAGATATCAATGGATACCGCTAAGGTAAACACTTATGGTGATTGGTGGCTATATATAGAGTAACATAGCGCGCCCCACGTGAAGTGCATCATGGTAGTCCTCCATGCCACAACTGGAAGAAGATGAAGAGCGCGTAAAGCTCAAACACTGCCCTGTTCAGGGCGTTTTGGCGCGATATATGACCCACAAGTCCCCAGGGACTTTATAGAGTCAGCTTCATTCGTGCCGGACTTGAAGATGAAGATCGGAAACCCTCACTAAAGGGGACTTGGCCAGATTTGAAACGGAGTGTTGTAAAGCTTCGCTCGCGATCCCCGGTTCCTCTTTAGTTTTATATAATGCCATAAATAACTTGCATCACGAGGTATTCCGTAGGATACTCGTCTACAATGTCTGGAATGAGTTCAAGCCAGTCGGGCCTAAAACTGCAGGAGATGGTTGCATTGCAGAAATCCCAGTATTCAGGGCATCAGCCGGCAATTTCCCAGTCTATGATTGTAATTGTAAACTCGGGGCTTCCACCCTCCCGAGATTCAACTTCTTCGACCATAATATTCTTCAGTTGCAGATCCCCATAGGTGAAAACAGCTCGGTGGTCGTGGAGTGTGCTGCTATCAGCCATTTTTTGCAATAATCGAATACTGAGATGTTTCTGTCTGGCGTGGCCTTTCTGTAATTCCACGATTCATTTCCTCCTGGCTTGCAAAAGGGCCGGAGATCAACGGTTTATAATCTGTCGTCCAGAAGACACCGTCATGGTAAAGCTGGCATTTCAAGGTCCCCAGGTAACCTGGGGTTGGCATATTTTGGAGGTCAATTATTGAATCCTTAACGAGCTTGCAGATGATGGCTTTCTGAGGGGGGCGTAAAAGATGTAGCAATCTCTGAAGTTGTCACCATGGGTGTACTCCATAATGATAAAAGTCCGATTGCTCTCCAGATCAACAAACGCTGGGTAGACCTTAGGTACCAGCACTTTACTGTTGGCCGCAAGGAACCTCATGTTTTTAGCCGCTGAAAGTAGAATGCCATTGCCGAATTTGACCGCAAAATGCTCCTACACCCGAACAACTTTGGCTGAATTGTCAAGTATGCTGAGAATGTCAGTTGCCGCTTCGATCTCAGCGATGGTTGGGAAACCAGTGCGCTCAGCAACCGTCTTATTAGGTGTTATGCTTATCGACACTAGCGTAGGCAAGGAACAAATTTTTAGCAAGATGAGGAGAAACGGGCTTCTTCGTTTTGATACTAACGAATATCCGGGTGTTGTATTTTTCCGTTGCTCATTCGATGAGCACCAAGTATTGCTGGCATCTGATATATACTTAGTGAATAGCTGTTTTATAGAGTTATATAGAATATTGAAAAGGTGGCTCCCATGAGCAATTCCTAGCCTGCCTACGAAGAAAGGACCATAGGCCAATACCAATTGGTAGATCGGCTATACATAACGTTTTGATAGAACAAGTCCTATAAGATCCAGTAGCTAGGCGTTCTGAGAGTATACTAGCGTTAGGTTATTAAAGATCGACCACATCTGTTCAGTATACCGCAGTAGCTCAGTCAAACCCATTCAGTTTCCTTCCCTTTTGTTTGAATCCTTACTATTACGCATGTCGACCACTCGAATGATAAGCTGAATCCATTCACTGTAAGCTGAAAGTGACCGCTACAGAGACACACAACCTCAGCCAGCCATTTCCCTGCTCATAATAACTATGCAGTTCTCATGTAGGATAACTTAGGTGAGCAATCACGGGTCCTATTCAATATTTCGGTAAAGCGATCTGTTGTGTCTGACACTAGGAACCAAGCCTCATCTCTGCCCAGAGACCAATGGTAGAAATGCCTCTTATGTGCGTCGTTTGGTCTTCGGTGGGGGTTGTCAAAGGGTATGGCCGATACTATAGTATAGGAACCACACTGCCATTAAAGTAGCTAGAAGCGAGCTCGACCGACAAACAGAGACATCGATGGCGAGTGGTTCCAGTAAGTATCGTGCAAGTTGCTGAAGTGGCTAAGACCATTTCAATAGTTCTATGTGCTGAACTAAGACCGACATATTGTAAAGACCGACGGACATTTCCCGCTCATCCTGTCCGATATAGTGGCGGCACTCGGACCATTTGTTTGAGAACGTAAGCGAGCTTGCATATATTTCGGTTAGCTAACGCTGCAGTGGTTCAGCTGACCGGCGTTTATACCTAGAGTTCAGCTTCCACATCGTCCATCACTCTGTGAAACCTATACGACCCTGGGTTTCACCTCAAACCGAGAACCCCCGCCTTGAATCTCATTTCTCTTTGTTGTTTCTCAAGTCTGTCAATAGTGCAAGAAAGCGAATCTCAGCTGTATCTCGAATGTCTCAAATGTATTGGCATACACGCCAACACTTGGTGCAGATTGCCTCGGGAAGTATTCCCTTGGAGGTAGAAAGAATGCAAGATGCCCCACTGGTATTCTGGCCGCTTCTAACTGACGTGGCCCAAGCTCGTTTACACCAAGAAATGACTACTATCATATATCATAGGTCATCTTGGCTGACCATAAAACTATTTAAGAAGGCTGAGCGCTGTGCACTTTCAACCCATCCTGTCCAGCCCATCAAACACAGTCACAAACGCCCTTCATCAAACGCAAAAGTCTCCCCAACAACTGTAAACCCTCCTACTGCCGAGAAGATGATGACCGTTTACACTATCAACTTCCAAAGCAAGCGTGGTGTGAACAGCAACTATGCTCTCTTCATAGAACCCCCGGTCATCTCTGGAACTTCTCCCGAGGCGTGCATGAACGTCTGGTATACCTCGTTCGTCCTCAACCACGGGTACTTTGATATCAAAACTGGCGTCGATTACTATGCGTGTATGTTAACTTCTCTTTGAGGTTCATGTTTGCTGTAACTTGCCAATCCTTACCCAGGGGTCGGAACTGCCACGGCCAAACCCGCGCCCGGAGTGACGGTCAATACTGGTATGAGCTTGCGCACTAGTTTGGGTCAAGGAGGGGACTCCTGGTGGCATGTTCTTTGTGATAACCGGAGTGATTGAAGAAGGAATTCACTAACGTGAATCTGTAGACACGTTTGGCATGGTCATCGAAGCACAATCCCCCGACGATCACGGCCCTCCCCTTCCACTGCCTCGCGAGCTCATACGCGATTGACACCGGAACTGACTTCCCAGTCCCAACCAACACGTACATGATCGGATTGGGAAAGCTCAATAGTCGAGGAGTGGTTGCTCCTGTTGCTTCCGTAAATTGTGAATGTACCAGTTTTTTGTCAAACAACCATGGTGACTGACGTATACCTGGGAGGTGGAGGGGGCAGACCAATCCGCTCAACAATATGAAGATTCAACTCTCGCCCAAGATGAAGTTCAACATTCTTGAGAGTAGCTTCGAGGCGGGAGTCATAGTCCTGTGACTAGGGAGACCGCCACGATTGATTTTACAGAGAGAGAATGCGCTGGGAAATTTTATGCGGTTGTAACGCAGGATGAGACTGGGAAGTTCACGGTCAAGTGCTTTGACACGTACCGGGCTTGAGCTTTGATCGGTATATAGAGTGAGTCGAACAGATAAGAACGAGTGAATGGAAAATGTAAGTGAGCTATGGAGAAGGACCTACATTGTAATAAGCAGATAAGCAGTAATTAGTAATTAGGGCTTCATCTCGTATTCAGGATACTAGATGACTCAATTGATATCAAGTTTAAGATAAAAATGATCATACTGGGTCTACTGCAAGTAGTTCATCCCCTCCGCCAATCAACAACACAAAAACTCCAACTAGGCAAATTCTCATTGGCCAAGGGTTATGAGGTGGTATCATTTATTTATCATATCGATACTTAATTATATCTAGCGGGGGAACTTCTCTACCCTCGCTCAGGGACTACATATAAGTTAATGACGCTTTCCCCAACTGTGATAATCCTTCAAATCTCAACTCTTATTTTCTCTTCCGTAAACATCATCTCTAACCTTAACCAACAATATGACGACCCCCTTCGGAGCTCCCATGCGCGCGCACTTCCTCTTCGACCCCAACTTCAAAAACCTCAACCACGGTACGTCCTTCAATCACTTTCATCCTAGATGACACAACTAACAATACAAAGGCTCCTATGGCACCTACCCACGTACCGTCCAATCCACGCTCCACAGCCTCCAAAACGCTGCGGAAGCCCGCCCCGACGCCTTCATCCGCATAACCCGCGGCAAAGGCATCGACGAATCCCGCCTCGCCGTCTCCAAACTACTCAACGTGCCCGTCAACGAATGCGTCCTCGTCAAGAACGCGACCACAGGCGTAAGCACCGTCCTCCGCAACCTGATCTTCCAACCCAACGACGCACTTATCTACTTCGACACCACCTACGGTGCCGTCGAGCATGGTCTCGTCTCCCTGACGGAGAGCACACCTCTCCAGACCCGGAAGGTCGAGTACCAGCTACCCATCAGCCATGACGAGCTAGTCACCCGCTTCCGGGACGTAGTGACCAAGACGAGGAACGAGGGACTGACCGTCCGGGTTGCGGTCTTCGATACCATCGTTAGTATGCCCGGGGTGCGGTTCCCGTTCGAGACCTTGACGGAGGTATGTCGGGGGGAGGGCATCCTGAGTCTGATTGACGGGGCGCATGGGATCGGACATATACCGTTGGATTTGGGGGCGTTACGCCCGGACTTTTTCACGAGTAATCTGCACAAGTATGTGCTTCTCTTTTCTTTACTTTACCTTTCTGATCCTTATGAAGGGCGTTGACGGGAGTCATAGATGGTTATTCGTCCCCCGGGGCTGCGCAGTCCTCTATGTCCCACTTCACAACCAGCATCTAATTCGAACGACCCTCCCAACAAGCTGGGGCTTTATTCCCCGCTCTGCGGAGACATCCCCCGCTCCGGCGAAAAACGATGGCTCTAAATCCGCATTCGAGTATCTCTTCGAATACACCCCCACGACAGACGACACGCCCTTCCTGTGCGTCCGCTCTGCGCTGAAGTTCCGCGCCGAGGTCTGCGGCGGCGAAGACCGTATCCACGCTTACCTCGAGAAACTGGCACGCTCGGCGGCAGATATCGTTGCCCGCGCACTCGGGACAGAAGTGATGCAGGAACCCGGGCTGAAGGAAGGGGAGGCGAGTCAGCTGCGGAGGTGTGGACTGGCGACTGTGCGGTTGCCAATTGCTGTTACTTCTGATTCTGAGAGCGGGCATGCTATTACGACTGTGCGGGATGAGAAGGGTGGGACGTATCTGTCGGTGAAGCCGGCTGTGGTGCCGGCTGTTAGCTTATGGTTTCGGGATACGTTGATCGAGGAATATGGGACTTTTGTGCCGGTTTTTCAGTATGGGGGGTGGCTTTGGACGAGGTTGAGTGCGCAGGTTTATCTTGAGGAAAGTGATTTTGAGTGGTTGGCCGGGGTTTTGAAGGAGTGTTTGGCGAGGGTGGAGGGGGAGGTTGGATCGCCTGCGAAGCTGTAGGATTTTGAAAGCTTGATTTCGGTGCTTTTTCGGAATCTGTAGGTGTCGAGGTAGTCTGTTGGTTGGTGCTACTGTGACTTTATACTGGGTTATGTACATACACACATGCGGCCTCATTACTATATACAGTGAGGACTCAGGTGTCTCTAGTCACGCCGATATACCCTCTTTCCGTTGAAGTACGTCTCATACACCTCTGCCTCTAGCAGCTTCTCTGCCTCCCATGCCATATCAACAACCACAAAGTCCGCCTTTTTGCCTACTTCTAAGCGACCCGTAAAGCAATCCGCGAAACACGAATACGCCGACCCAGTCGTCGCAGCACCGACAGCCTCCAACAATGACAGCTTGAAATGCTCATTGACAGTAGTAGACGACGCGGGCTCCCTTGCCGACCGCCGCGTGGTAGCCGTATACAGATTCCGCAAGGGTAAATGCGGCGCCGTTGGCGAGTCCGTCCCGATAGCCAGCGTCGCCTGATGACTCACAAAATCCTTATACGCAAACGCGCGGCCGCACCTCTCCTCCCCCAGCAGGGTCGGCCAAGCCTTTAGAATTGCCGGATCAGCATGAACAGGCTGCACCGAGGCCGTGATGCCCAACTGGCCGAGCCGTTTCGCATCCTCGGGCGCCGTCAGCTCTAAATGCTCAATGCGATGGCGTCGCCCGGGCGTCCCTTCACTCTCCAACGCATCAATCGCCAACCGCACAGTCGCATCCCCAATCGCATGCAGAGCACACTGCAAACCGGCCCGATCCGCCTTCCTAACCACCTTCTTCAGAATCTCCGCCTCCCAAAGCGGCTCGCAATTAGCCCCGGTGGAATACGGCTCCATCAATGCAGCCGTGCACGCATCCACAACCCCGTCACAGATCACCTTGATCCCCGCAATCCGGAAATCCGGACTCGTCTCCAGATTATAAAGACTGTGCAACTCAATCGCCCGGTCCACCTGTTTCAACACCTCGCTCACCTCGCTCTTCGGCGAAATAATCCAATGCGCAGCCATCCTCACCCCGACCTCCTCCCGCTCCCGTAACGTCTTCACAGTCGCCCACAGATTCTCATCTGTGGCCATCTCCACAATTCCCGTATACCCGGCCTGGTTGTACTCACTGAACGCCCGCCGCACGAATCCCAACTTCTCCTCCAGACTCGCCACCTTGGCTACGTGTGGCCAGACGATATTCACGGCCGCCGCCTCGCTGAGCAAACCCGATGCAGCTCCCTGTGCGTCACGGTGGATCACCCCGCCGGCGGGGTCAGGCATCTCGGCGACGTTGAGTTCGCGGAGCGCGGCGCTGTTACACCAGGCAGAGTGAAGGTCCTTGGAATCGATGAAGATGGGGCGCGGGTCGAGGTCGTCGATCATGCTGGCTAGGGCTTCGCCATTGGTCATGGAGTGCATCCAGCCGCGGCAGAAAAGTCGTTCAGCGGTGGGGTTTTGCAATGCGGCTTCTTTGATGGTGGCACGGATGTCGGATAGGGAGGTGCAGTTTCCGAGGTTGATTTTGGAGAGAGAGGCGCCGAAGAGGAGCAGGTGCATGTGTCTATATTTATTTTTTTTTTCTTTCTTATTAGTTGGTGGTGTTTTGGGGATTTGGAGGGTGTGGGATGTATTGTCTATGTACGTACCCGTCAATGAACCCTGGAAGGACTTTTCGACCCTCTAGATCCATGATGTGAGTCTCTGGGTGGTGAGACATGGCGGGGCTTTCTTCGCCGAGATAAACGATGCGGTCGTGTTCCGTGATCATGCATGTTGGTTCGGGGGATTGGCCGGTGATGAAGTGACCGTTCTTGTAGAGGGTTTTCATTATTGAAGAATGTATAAATGGCTAACCCGGATGCTGTATAGAGAGTTGAAATGAAGAAATGAAGAGGGGGAGGGCACCTTTTATCAATCTAATCATGAGTAGGGCGCGATTAGGGCGCATGGCTGAAGTGGGGTATAACTCCAATCAATCAATGTGGAGAAAACTTGATAAGTTTAGTAGTTCTTGTATACAAATCAATAAAAATAAAAATTAGTCACAGACCCATTATTGGCTATCACTCCCAGAGTGATCGGATGGTATGTCCATTCCAGTGTCCAATTTATGCCAAAAATAAAAGTAAAGAACTAGCTCTATAGATCACTCCCAGGCGTGTTCCGTAAAGGCAATTGCTAAGAAATACGTATCATAAAAGAGAGACAATTTGACTAGCCGCCTCCTCCAAAATGGCTTCGTACCCAACCAGTAAACCCTCCTCCGCCTTGATTCTCATTCCGACTGGTTGGTCCTTGATCTTGTTCTTGTCCGGCTGTCCCCGTCTCGGAACCATTCCCGGACCATCGTGAAGGTGCGACTCCGCTGTATTCGGGAACGGTGCCACTGGGTCGGCGAGGGGACATCTCCGGACTACCATTAATTACTACCGGGTTATCGCTGCTTCCTCCGGGCCTAGGGCGTCCGTTAGCGACAGAAGCGGACACTCTACCGCGGATGGGAACTTACGGTGTCGAGAGGTCAATGCCGCGCCGACAGTGGGGGCACGTATTGTGCTGACTTAACCACATCTCAATACAGGCGTAGTGGAACCAGTGCTTACAGGGGAGCACCGTGACCTCCGTGCCTATTTCCACGGGGTCCATGCAAATTGAACACTCCGCCTTACCCTCGCTGCCCAACATCTCCCGATCGATTTTCTTTTTCGGCAGGGACTGAATAGCGCTGGGAGCTGCGGGTGGTGGCGCTGTCCCTCTTGCATTTTGATCGATTAGTTGTGATATTACCCGGTCTAGTTCCTCTTGAGAGTAAACCGCATCACCATGTCGGTCAAGGTTTAGCAAAGTAGATAAAATCGCGAGAGGATTGGGCCCCGTCATCACACGTGTCCCGCCGACGCCTGGTTGTCCGTTGTTTCCAAAATCGGCTCGGAAAAGCTCAAGAATACTATGCGAGTCAGCTACCACTCTCTGGCCGGCCATGCTCTCGGGGAATGAACATACTCGCCCAGAGTTCGCAGGGGGGTTCCCATGGGCTGTGGACCGTCGGCGTCCCGGGGATGGAGCCCTCCTGCGGTATGAAACTCGGATCCCATGCTCCCATCGTTACGCGGGTTAAAACCAAAATCAAACGATCGACTAAACACCCTCGGTCCTGGATCTGGACCGTGCTCTTGTTGTAGTCCGTCGCCCCTTCCCATCCCCTGGGGTGAGTTCCGATCATTAGCTGGCCTGTACTCCGTCTGTCTGTAGGTATCGGCCAGTCCATGGAAGATCGTATCCAAGCCGCGTACCATGGGCATCAGAGGATCTACCGGCATTTGCTGACCTGACGGCCGTCGTGGAGAGAAACCATGTGTGTATGTCGTACTGGAAAATGTAAATCGGCCGTCCGGAGATCGGTAGGTGTGGTGACGGAATCCATTCCCTGGATCCCAATCATGGCCGTCTCTGTCCGAGTCATCATGGGCCCAAGGGTCATGGCCTGCCCATGGATTCGCCGGGGTATGCGACGACCGTTCTTCGGGGACGGAAATTGGAGGGTCGGGAGCTTCCGTATCTTCTTCCGTATCTGGCGGGATTTCGATCTTACCCGTCAGTATTTATGACCAAATAAACAGCTTTACACCACGAGAGGAGGTAGCAGGAAGGATGGCATACAATTTCGGTGAATTCGGAGCCACAGCGTGGGCACTCTAGCCCGTGTTCTCTGCGTAGCCATACTCCGCCACAGGCATGACAAAACATACGATCCCCCACATCGGCCATGATGGATGAATCGAAGGTAGTTATGCCGAAAGATAGATGGATGAGACAAGGTCCAACACGATGACAAGCAAGACTAGTATTACTAGGCAGACGGAACGGAAAGAATGTACAAGAACGTCAGCCCGTCAGATGATTTAAATTGTACTAGGTGAAGAGTCGCAAGAGTCGACATGCAACGTCACTCATTGTTTCTCGGGGCCACCATGCACGTTCTGCAGGCCAGATCAATTATGGGTAGTATTTCAAGACCGCATTATAAAAGGAGGCGATCGTTAGGATTCGTTATTTATACTGAGAACAAGACAGCGGGTGGAGAAAGAACGAGAATAAATGATCGGGGAAAGTGAGTGTGAGTCGGATGACGTTCGCCGGTTTGATTTCGGAGCCAATCAAGTGACTCGGAGAATGCCTTGTTGTGAAGGTTTCCTCTTCCTTCCTTCTCCTTCTTTTGATTATCATTAGAAACACAAACAAAATAAAACAAGGGAAAAAATAATAAAAAATTAGCATAATTGCCAGCCATTCACAGGTCATATAACAATCACAAAAGCCAGCATGATCATGGACAACAGAACGCCATCGCATGCGAAACATCCCATGAACCAAAGAGCAACAACAAAGGCTACCATATATACATAGCGTAGATTCCTGACTTCACAGGGGCAACAATGCCCTCCAACAAGTGACTACTATCGTCTCGATGCTCCCCGGAACACGATTCCTCCCACCACACCTGCAGCGAGAGCCAGTCCACCCACGATCGCAATTCCCATCAATCCTTCCTTGGACACTTTTTCATCGATCAAGGTTCCGAGGCTGGCTGCTTGGAGGTTGGCGGGCTCCTTGTCGAGCAGGAGATCGTTGTATCGTCGGGCTTCGCCATAGTTCCCAAGTTTGTAGTTCCCGAGGGCGAGATAGTAGAGGCATTCCCGTCGACGCTCTGGGGCGGCGCGGAAGATCTCTGATAACAGGCGGACTCCTTCCTGTTGATCCGTACGGGCGTTGGATTTGATCAAACCCTAGAATAAAGACCCCGGATCAGCCGACGCAGATATAGAGAGGACAGGAGTTAAAGTGCCAGACAAGACATACCCAGGCGTAGTTGAACTTGGTCTGAATTCCAACATAATCACCTTCCTTTTCGTACTGCGACCGCAAGACCTGGAGCTCTGCTTGCTTGAGCGGGCTGTAGTATGTTAGTTTAGACAAATGAAAGAAGCGAGGCAGCGGTTGATCACCAACCTTTCAGCGTCGGCGGCATCTGCAGAAGAAACAGTCAGTATTGTGCTTCAATAACCAAAACAACAAGGACGGGTATAGTCAATAACGCACATGGCAGGTTAGAACCCATGTCTTCGAGCAAATAGATTCACACTGAATGAAAATAAACCGAAGAAGCTAAGGCCAGGTATATCTCAAGCAAATTTCCGCCAGAATCCAAGACGATAGGCTTCCAAACCCAAGCGCATGGATCTTTGACCTTCCGTCACGAGTGGCGGTGCGAGTGGCGCGTGCGGAGGCTAATCCAATCAGTTGCTCCCCCAACGTGGAGTATCAACACTCGTCCAATCACTACCCCACGCATCATTCAAGCAAGGTCAACTCCCAAGACTTCGTTGTCGACAAAGCCATCGGAAATTACTCAAAATGTTGCTCGACGAAAATCCCGGCACTGTATGTATTTTCCAAACGTAATAGTACCCCAAAAAACTGATGTGTCGCAGCTCATCCACCATACCATTGGGAATTTCAATATCCAACCCGACAAACAAGCCGTCACTCGCATCAATGATTCACTGGCTACTCTTCAGCAATCACGCGAACTGCGCGTGCGAGATGCCGAATCCGCGCTACGAAAGCTCTCCCGACTCCTCCATTCCCTAAACGCCCAGCATGAAGAAGCCGTATCGGCGCATGACTCGGGCAAACACGCGGCAGATATGGTTGAACTGGACACAAAGAAGTTCCGCATCGCGAAAGCGGCCACAGAGCTCGAGATCGAGAGCGAAAGGCTGGAGAGCGAGCTGGAGATGTTGAAGGAGCGGTTGGCTGATTTGGAGGCTCAGGGTTTGGAAGGGGATGAAAGCACAAGACGGGAGAGGGAGCTTGATGACGCGACAATGTGGGTACCCCTGATCTTCTATATTGCTTGCGCACTACTGACTGAGATAGCCTCCGTCTCAAAATTTACCGCTCCCTCGGCGTGGATATCGAAGCCGACGACGCGGGCAATTTCAACAAAGCTATCATCCGTAACAGTCGGAAAGGAGACGTGCATGTTGTTAACATTGATCCCAAGTTCTCTCGGTTCTTCTATTCCAACTACTTCTGGTCGACCTTGCAAGGTTAGCTAGAGAACGGTTTTGTTATGGCACGGCGCTGGTGTTTGGGGGCGATGCTATGATCTTGTTTTGCATCGCCAGGATATACCCTGGGTTCTATTGAAAACAATGTACACTCTATACAAATACATACATATTTACCTTCAGCGATTCCTCACCGCTGCAGTTACAACCCGCGTTCGTAGTTCATGTAGATGCGTGATCTGTTTCCGGCCTCTCCTGTTGGGCGGATTCCTGCCTACTCAAAGACTGTATGACCCTTGCCCTATCCGCCTCAGACAAGGCACTACAGGGCCCCGTCCCAAGCAATAAAGGTTTCTCCTCCGGGAAAAGCTCCTGAACAGCATCCAGGAGCTCCGACTTATTCTTCTCTACCTCATTGAAGACATTACCCCATGCCCTCAACCACTTATCTTCCACCCCGCTCATCTGACTCTCTACTTGCTCCATATCAGGAAGCTCCTCCCTATCCCAGGTAAGAGCAACCCTCTTCGTAACCGACGAGTCCGCCTCCCCACAAGCCGAATACTTCACTTCAACACCCAAGCCCACCAACCCGAGCTGTTCGGCTTTTGCATTCCATAAAGCCTGGCGCATCGCTCCATCCCGCTCAATCATCATCCAAACAAGTGGGTACGCACTCCTAGCCAGCGCATCCCGAACCCCCTTCGTCGCTTCCCGCGGACTAACCAGTACGCCTACTTCATCGCCAGTCCGCCACCCCACCGGCGATTTGTGGAATGTCCCTTCTAGCTCGCGGACTAGGTTCGGACTGAGCTTGGTTTTGAGGGATTTACATTGTACGATCACGCGGAGGGGGTGTTCGCGATGTGGTAGGTGCCAGGTTCCCACTAGGTCGATTCCTGCGTCGTCGCGGCCGCCGACGCGGTGCAATGTGAAGGCGGAGGAACGGAGAGTTTGTTGGACTATATATTCGTAGTGTGTGCCTATGTAGGATGTAGTTGTGGGAGAGAGAGATGTCCGGTCCGCATATGCGAGGAAAGTGGGGAGGTCATGGTGGTGCGGTGATGGGTGTGGCGGCGGAGAGGGGAGCTTGAAGAGACGGCGCGTGAAGAAATGAAGCTGGCGATGGCATGGGCGATTGGCGATGGGGGTGGAATTAAATCGGAAGAAGGCAAAAAGGGGACGGTGGAGCTTCATATCAGCTTCCCAGGGGACTATCCATGCGTGCGAAGTTAAGGATTAAAATACTGTTGGTGCGGATTGGAATTCGAGTCGAAGTTGGAGTTTGATTTTATGGAAAGAAATTAAATCTTATCGCCGGAGATCTAATTTATCACCGATCAACCTCAGGGCTTCTTGGTCCAGATAACCACCACTTCAACTCCCTTCCACACCACCTTTCTACCGCTCACCCAGTACAAGCAAATACTATATCCACTATGGCGGACATCCTAACTCAACTCCAAACCTGTCTCGACCAAGTAAGTCCCCCCCCCCCTCAAACCACAATCCAACCTCATTGATTCGATGCGCCAACTAACCACGCCAACTCCCAGCTCGCGACCCAATTCTACGCCACAATAGGCTACCTCATAACATACCACGACAACTCACCCGCAATCCCAGCCTCGAACAACCCCACCGCCGCACCCGCTCTCGCCAAAATCACCAGAAACTCAACCGCGCCGCCCGCCCCCGCCGGTGCGCCCGCCGGCTCCCAAGCATCCCCGCAACAACAAGCAGCCCAGATCCCAGGCCAGCAGGCACAAGGCGAAACAGGACAGGCTACACCGGGAGCTACAGGAGGAACAGCGGTAGATCCGACTCTACCTCCCGCGCCGGATTCGCCGCGGACGTTTGCGAGTCGGCAGCGTGAGTTGGCGAGGGATTTGGTGATCAAGGAGCAGCAAATTGAGTATTTGATTTCGGTGCTTCCGGGGATTGACTCGTCGGAGGCAGAGCAAGAGAAACGGATCAAGGAACTGGAGAAGGAGTTGAGGGGCGCGGAGGAGGAGAGGGAACAAAGGGTGCGCGAGTTGAGGAAGTTGAGGAAGAAGCTGGACAATGTTTTGGGGGCTGTTGAGGTGGGAATCTATGGGGATCGGGGGTTTGTGGCATCTAGGAGGTGATTGATTTCTTGTCTGGTTATTTGCCTATTGTTTCTGATCTGGGTGTGCTTATGAGGGAGATATCTCTCATTAAGATAAATGGTTTATTTATTCCCTGGCTTGTTTTGATGGATTTATGGGACTGCTTTCTGTGGTCTCTAATATTGTATATAAAACTTTGGGGTACTATTATCAGTGAATATCCCCAGATATCTGTTATTCTTGCTCCTATACAATAATCAAGTGCTCATGCATTGCAATTACGATGAGATCTAAGCTCCTCTGTCGTTTTTCCTAACGAGAAAAAGGACCGCCGCCATACGTGATGCAAACCTTTTTCAAACCAGGGGGCAAACATATAGCAATACTCACAGGTCCCTTACATTAACCCTGTGAAGGTATGAATGTCGATGGTTGATACGCTTACAGACAACTGTTAGAAACCATGGACCCACAAGAGCGACGCAGCAAAGCTAAGATAACTCAACCGCGTTGACCAACTAAACCAAGATCAAGACAATCTCACAACCCGCTATCGCGAGACTGCGAGATAAGCTAACGTAGCAACTTGAGCGGATGAGAAGAACGCCTATATAGACGAGAGATGTCTAAATTACTTGGCACCCGAAATCGGGCCCGAAGCTCAGGGTGAAAGGGGTTATGGTTGGGTTGAGCAGTCAGAAGACCTTCATTGGCTTTGCTCACACTGAAAGACTGATATTCAACCTCACAGATAATTAACGTAGTGTTGTGCTTGACTTCCTTACACATAGACTTGTCAAATCCATGGTTTTTGCTTCAGTCTACGCAATAGGCAAGCGGAACAGGTTATGAGGAAACTGTGCCGAGAATAAGACCGTTGCTTGTTGTACTGCTTGCTGCATTCTATAGCCTTGCGCATAAACAGTTTGATTTTATTCTTTCACTTTCCGTTCTCAAATTGCCACCATATTAATTCATTTGATAAGTACCTGTGGTGCCACGAGCATAGTTCACTGAGTATTCAGTGAATGCAACTAGAATGATCAGAGGTGACTTAAGTCAGATTTTCACACTTTTAGAAGATAAGGAAATCATGACCGTGGTAGGCCTGGGCAGTATTGAATTGTCTCTTAGGCATTTTGATTGATGACAGGACCAGTTTTATTTGTGGATCAGTGTTTTAAGGGAAACGCGCGCTCGAGGGTTAGTGCTTATTAGTGCTTGTGAATAAAGCTTTGCCTTGCGGGTTACTCCGAAGTATGCCCTTTATAGATGGGGCTGTGCCAACTATTAAGTTCCTTGTAATTTCTTAGCCTCTCTGAACAAACATTCTTTTGACAGACTCTTCTTTCTTGTTCAAAATGTCCCGAGTTCCTGATCGATCCGCATGCCCCAAAGAAGTTCGGAGTTATATCGTACAGACTCTCACATCCAAGCATAAAACAGATCAGCACTTTGCAGAAGAAGCTGCCCGCTTGTGGCGAGTAGGGCGGGGCTCTGAACTTCACGATACAACGTTGAAATACTTCCAAGAGATATTTGGAGTTGATGTAGGGCTATGTCTTTTCCAAAGTGTCCGTGAAGATCGAGATGAAGTCTGGGAGAGGTCATATACTGGGATCATCCACAGCTGTAAGTTGCTTTTCGATCAAACTTGTATAATATAGCCAGTAAGAGACTGATTTCTTTTTACGATAGGGATGATCTACGGGTCGAGTGCATACGTTTTCTGGTCTCTTATTGTATCAAACTTGGGCGGTTTTACGAGCTGTAAGAGATACTCATCATCAACTTATATAGTATAGTCACTCTGCTAATCTTCTTGGATAGTGGCTCTCCCACAGCTAATTCTTGGCGCAAGTCAAGTAAGTTATGCTTATCAAAAACCCACAGGCAAAGACTGGATGGTAGCGATGGGTGTTGGTAATATCTGTATCGCCATTTTTACTTTGTTATGGTCTCGAGTACGATGAACGATGCTGCCACGCTCAAATTTCCTTTTCTCCTTGCTTCACCCATGTGCACCCTCGTACTTTTCCCCTTTCTTTCCTTAGTTATTTCTTGCTCATAAAGCATGGCTAGGTTAGGTTAATCTATGCTTGTCCCTTCACATTAGGAATATCTCTTTCAGACCGGACGGAGACCGGCCGGACTCTGAGGGCGAATGATTTGATACTCTTTGCATCAGGTTAAATGTTCTGCAATCCTTGCTTCCGGGACTGGGATCAGCGCCCTCATTGGGAACAGCTGTCACGCTGGCTTTACCTTCTTAACTCTCTTCAACGTCCAACCTGGGCGACCTCCGGATTGGACTGGCATGCATTCCGTATCCCGGAGACTCGCCGCACGGAGCTCGGAGATCCCCTCATCTAGAATCCAAGGCTAGGGCTCATATGACCAGGTTTTTACCTCATTCCAATCGTCCTTATTGTACACGGATAGATACTACAAGAAGTTTACAATCTCGGTGGAATCCTGGCGTTTGTGGTCCTCTCTGAGCTAAAAAAAAAATAGTGCCACCTCATTTAGCGTGCTCAACACTCTACTCATTGATACAGTCCCGCAAGCGGCCGAGAGCAGCTAGGCGGCAAATAATCTCATTCAATGTTTCATGAGGGAGGGTTGTAGCGCCCTGATCTCGCCATTTATGAAGAGGATTGACATTGGGCGGTGCTACACTGTAATTGCAGGGATCTCGAGCCCGAGAATATAGATGGTAGTGACCTTGGGTCTTGTTGGAGAGCCAGAAAAGGTGTACACAAACTCATGGCTACATGGTGGATACAGTTATGTTCTACCCCGAGTTGCTCTGCTTGATGTGTCGACTGTTCTTCATAACAGATACTTTCCATTACGTCGGGAATAATATACGGGGCCCCGAATATTATACTGTTTTTATTTATATTGGTAGACCCCACTCCATGTGAAACACGGAGGCGCTGCCCTACATATGCTAACGGGCGAGTTGACGTGGGTGGCTATAGAGTATTCGCTACGGAAAAATATCTGCCATGACCCACCCAGTGGGCTATATAGAAACCGATCCTATCTTATACTATTCTTATATATGAGTATATCCTCCTACGGGGCAGTAAAGAAAATAGCTAGGGACAGGGGCAAAGAGAAGAAATCGAGCAAAGACGGGTTGACTAGTTAGCAAGAAGAGAACCAGTACATGCACAGGAGGGATGTAACATAGGGTTATTGTTAGCTATTCGATTGGGTTCATTGGCGCAACTAAGCAACTAGTCCCCGTGGCTAGGGGCCTAGGCTGTGGACTGGAGCCTGAGGAAGATCTCTATACGATGGGTTTCTCGAATAGTATTTTAGTGATGTTGGCGAATTTGGGGGCGGGCTCCACTAACATTTTCTTTCATCTGCTCTCAGTTATTCATCTCCATACTACTACTGTACATCGTCACTCTATGTCTACTGTCATATCAACTGTCATCAGAAATGAAGCTCCTCTCGATCTCATCCGCCTACCTGGCTGTCCTCATGGCCCTACTCGTCTCCGCCCAAACCCCAAATATCCAGCAGGCCTGCTACAGCGACTCGGGCAGCTTCAAAATCCAAAGTAAATTCGAGTACCAAAGCCCAGGATATTGCACCCGGGAGTGTACAAAGCAGGGAGCAAAGTACATGGCCCTGCACGATCACTCGGAATGCTGGTGCGGTAATTCTGAGCCGGATAAGAAGTACCTCGAATCGGACGACAAATGCAACGCCAGGTGTTCCGGATGGCCCGAGGCTTACTGTAAGTATCATCGCGCAAGCAGGGTTATCCGACTGGGATGGATGCTAATGGATTACCTCTGGTAGGTGGTGCCGAGGATGCGTGGTCTGTTCAGCAAATTAGCGCCACTGCAGAGGAGGTGACCGAGTCTGATTCGACTTCTACCTCGTCTGCCAGTGGTAGCGCTACGGGCTCTTCCAGTAGCCTGTTGACCCCTACCCCTTGGTCGAATGGCACGGCGTCTGCTACCAAGTCAGCGACAGCGTCGCGAAGCGCCTCGTCCGCTAGTGCGACTCCTACAACTTCGACTTCGGCTGCGACTCGGCGGTTTAAGCTTCCCTTTTTCCTTTGAGGAGCGGTGGGATACTCCGAGAGGTTTTGCTCGAAGTATAGATCATTGTATTGATGGGGCTGGCCAAGCCTGAGTTTCCTTGGATCGGATGTAATATATCACACACCTAGAGTGTTGAAGCCTCCTTTTCTTGTTAGTCATGGCGTATCATTCATTCTCAATATATACTGTCCATATTTGAGCTTTGTGCTAGAGAATACATAAGTAAATTCTACATTTCAAGGCACCCATGCTGACACAAACGCTCAGTGAGCCTTTGTGGATTTCAAAAGTTCAATAGACGTAAAGAGATGAACAATGACAGGGTACCTTCGCATCAATAAAATCACCCAGACAGACAGGCCATACATTTATCTTTGAGAGTTAGAATCGCACGTAAAAAAAAGAGTAAGCAATCCAGCAGGGAAATTAGGGTTTGTCCATAAACCAAAGCTACCACCAACGAATTTCTCTAACTTAGTGAAGCTGTGAGATGATGCGGGTTAATAATGTTTCCTATGAATCTTCCTTTCCCTCCACCGGCACAACATGTCAGCTACACCTCAGACACTGAGACAAATCGACGAATGAAGCTACTTGAACTGGTAAAGACATACTTCAGGTTTGTATGACAACTGCACACTAAATTGGTCTTCCGAAAATTGTCGCATCACAAAGTGACACAACAGCAGTGACAGTATTCTACGGAGATATCGAGTTTGCATTACAGCCTAGGAGTCTCCAAACAAGAAGTTAAAATGGAAAATGTGGCAACGTGGGGCCATCAGCAGGAAGAGACTAGAGAGTGAAGGGTATTTATATGTCTATCTTGCTTGGTTTACCTGCTCAGTCCCCCCATTACTTCCCTGGACTGTCTCAATTTATTGCTCACTTGTTCTAATTGCCTACATAGGAGTTACCATCTGCGTGCAAAATATGGTTTTTGGGTCAGTATGGTTCAAATCTGGGAGACCTAATAATGCTAAGTTGATACGTGATCTAGCAAGCCTCCTTTCCCCCCAATCGAAAAGTCAGCCCTGAAGCTAGACCCGGACACATATCAGATGGATTCAAGGTTCCTATGCAGAAAGGTCACAAACGGAACTACACCTGAGTCTCTGGTTACCACCTGAAAAGAGGAAGGTGGACAGTACTGTCTCCTGGAGGCGACCGACGGGGACATGGCCTACAAGGGACAGGCTGCAGAAAGACTAATACACCATCGCGGCATGTCATCTGTGCTCGGGGCAATTGGCTCCAATACGACTTGCAAGGTCAAAACATGGGTCCAAGGCATGGAAATGGAGGGCAGGAATCTAACTTTTGTTGCGGCCAAGTTCCCACACATCCACGCTCCAGAGGTTATGTTTTCATGGGTAGATGAGAACTGGAGAGGAGCTAGCTTATTTTAAGGCGGATTGAAGGGCAAACACTGGAGGCCTGGCCGTCTCTAACTTCCCCACAAAAGGCCCAGGTCGCTACTACTGTTGCACAGTATTGCCACGATCTTTCCCAAGAAACATCTGAGAACCTTCAGTCAGTTACAGGCAATGGAGTCCTTGAGCCATTCTCCACTGTGAATAGTGACGCGTTGCATCCAAGCTGGCGGCCTTTGAGGTTAGGACCACTCTCTTGAACTGCAACTGAACAGTATTTTGAAAGACAATATCAAATCGACCCATTCCTTCTATCGGTGATAAATTCCACTTTTACTTCGCAGATCTCTGCCCGACAAATATTATTCTTCTAGAGGATTCTCCGTCAAAGCAACCTTAGATTGGGGGTCGGCTAGCTACTACCCAAAATTCTAGATCCCTCTCAAACCGAAAGCAAGTCCAGGATTTATCATCCCATTGAATGCGAATCCCGCGATTTCTGGGGAGATCCTCTTCTATTACATCTCCTAAATCGAGAACATATTAAATGGGAGAGATCATTGGGCCATACTTTCTTTGACATATGTGAGCTAGCTGATGCTACGGGATGAAGAGAGTTTCCTTCATTTCTTGTGATATCTCCCAATCTCTTGTAAGGTTCATACCCTTAACAAGGGTTTTTTAGACAAAACTAGTACTTCACCAGTGAACCCTAATAAAGGGAGTTATTCGAGTCATTACCACAAAATAAACGCATGTATGTCTGTGTGGATTGCTCTGGTTAGACAGTCATCATTAAGATTATTCTGATCCCCAGCTACATAGACAAAACTAGAACAACTAACAAACATCAGACACAAACTTGCGACTTTCCCCATTTTCTAAGGAACATTTCCACAACATTAGCATTCTTCACCCAATATTTCTTCTTCGCAATCAAGTCAACATCTCGATCAGGAAGAGCATCTGCCTTCAGATAAAACCTGAAAGAGTGGAGGCCAAGGAAAGTCTGGGAACTTTTGGATGCTACGTGATGCTTCACTGCGGATTACATTCCAGAACGCGGCCCTGAGGTCATCAACTACTATTGTCCAGTTACCAGACCCAGCCGACTCAAAGGCTGGCTCTATGATTGTTAGGGTCGAAATGAGCGTCGGAGCGTAGTCAACGAACTCCTAATTGATCACGGTCCTCAAGATCGATATTGTCGAGTCAGAGAATATCATGTTATACAGACCTAGGTCAGTATGCACCAAGGAAAGCTTGACAGTTCCGACCTCCACATGGATATGATTGAGCAACGATTCAACAAATTGAAGTACCCGGCTGAGATATATCTCCTTATACTCATCAACACCCTGCTGCTCTTGAAGCATTTTGACACGGTACTTGATCCATGTCTGGAGGTATGATGTTACCGAAGGGAATGGGCCGCCTAGACCATATCGCCACTCGGGGCCAACTGAAATTGCATTATGATGTGAGACGATCGCCTCTCCCATCAGCTTCCCTGCACCCGGGGCAGGTAACTCCCAGAGAGCAGCGATCGCTCGAACCATTTGTTTGATAATGCTCGGCTTTCCCTCTCATGAGAGATTAGAGAAGATGACAGATCCCATGTTGCCCAGTACAGACTGAGAAACCTGAACACCCAGAACCGATTTGCAGGAGTGCTCATTTGGAACTCTGAGGTTCTGTGAGATGTTCTGGGTTCATTTGCTAATGTATCAATAAGGTAGTACATGCTGTTGACATCGGCGTGGTACCTAAGTTGAACGGCATGTTTATACATCTCATTTTCATCCCCCACGTATGCGTTCGCTCTGTATGTTGTGCCAAATGCTCCATCGCTAAGTCTGTCATACTCGGCAAGAATACCACCGCCAGCCTCTTGAAGAATTCTAGCCATTTCGTCCTTGCCTAGGGAAAAGAATGTAGGAGACAACAAAGCTCCGTCCTGCTTAGAAAAACAGATCAAGTATCTAGGCAACGGGCCACTATTCTCAGTGAGCGAGATGAGTGCGGCGATGAAAAGAATTGACAGAGAATCCTTGCAGACTATGTCATAAGAATTTGCTCTCCCTTCACTTGGGCCGAGCTTACCTTCAAAGACAAGATTTCTCATGCGCTGTGTGAGTTCCTCAGAACTAAGGGCCATGATGATCGAACGTGTTACGAAGTACTAAGGCATGTTTGTTGGACGGACGAGAAGTAGATGTCTTATTCCTGAAAATTGGGTATTGGGTACTGAGCAGTCATCTAGGCCCTGGAACGTAGTACAATCTCTTCAATCCCCCAAGGGAGGACGTAGCCTATCGCCGGTGGCCAACCCATCTTACTTCAAGGGGATACAAGCTGACGACTTGAGATAAAAAAGGCGGCATGTTTAATAGAACAACTGTACAGCCGGAACTTCTATTATTTGCTTGTCTGTGAGCAGATTAATTCTCTGACCTACAAGACCGGGCAGGCAATATAAGACAAGGTCACGCTTACAATTTCCTTCTAACTCTGATCCTCTCCCAAGCCATTGAATCATTAATTTGCTCGATCCCACTCAGCTTCATATTGCCTCAAATGGAGCTCAAGCTTCCGTGCACTGTCGATGCCTCAACAAACTCCCCAATCTGGACTATGCGAATACTCAATTCCTGAAAGAGGATGGCCCGGCTGTCCTCAAAGCTTCGCTGAAGGAGCTCTTTACCCGACACCAAATGACCCAAAGCTTTGGACTCACGCTTCTTCATCGACATTTCAACCTCAAAGAACATGAGATCTTGGTTGAAACTAACGGCCCTTCAACGCCCGGAGGCTTGCAGGACATAAGTATCATCCCTGGGCGGATCGGGAAATATGGCGGTTCGATCAAGCCCTTCTCTTGGATTGTTGTGAATGGCCGTCTGGTTCCTTACGAGTACTACTTTGATCGCTCGCCCGCCACCAAGTCCTCCCCGGAGCTTGGGACGGCCTTCGTTGAAGACCTAAGTGCGATTCTCGAAACTCATAAGCTTCAAATGATCTTAAATTCCATCTATTGGGAGATGTCAGCCAACGCCAGCTAGAAGTCACCGAGGGCGCTGCGAATGTGGCCTTCCCACTTGATAACGGTGCTCTACCTAGTACAGATAATAGTGATAACTATATTGAGGCAACCTGGTAGTTCCTCAGCACCAATTGGGGTAAGTCCCAGACACGGGACTGATGTGTTAAATATTGCGTGAAATTATTGCCGAAGGGATTCGAAACCCACGCAAGCGCTCATAATACACGGTAGTTGGATATGCAACTCCTTTACTTAGACTCTGCACTATTCTCTAAGGCATTGGAGCTTTGCGTTACAGAAATACTTTGTTGTAGCTGTCTGGAAGTTCTTTGAAAATGCTTTGAACGTCCAGGAAGATCAAGAGACAAGAGCAATTGATATTGTCTGACACTGCCATATTATTTATTATATCCTTAGGTTTCTAGAGACCCAAATGCACCGAAACTGTTCAATTTCCACTCCTTCACAATGTCGCTTAGCTTTGTCCATCCATCTACCTCAAGTGCTTCTACTATCGCTACCAAACCCTGCGTGTCTGCCACCGGCAGTACAAGTTTCCTCCAAATTCTAGCAACGACTTGGGCTGGTCTCACAGTTCAACATGAGAACCCCGTTCAAGTATAGGTTGTTATATGCCCTTCTATGCTAAAGTGTCTTGGGTTCAACCGGTCTGTGAGAGGCAAACAATAGCCTGGTCAAGAGTTTCCCCGTGTGGGACCACAGAATGTGTTACCTCACCCAAAGACAGGATCCAAAGCATAATTACCAGTAACAATTCTGTCCAAAGGCTTGCTCGAAGGGGCATTGTGTCACTGAGCTTACTATCAATGTAGCCTCTGGTACTACCACTAGTCCACCAGAATCAAGAGTTTTTACCCCAAGTCGATAGGCCCTATTCTAGACTCCAGTGAGAAAACCATTTCTACCTGGCTCGTTCTACTCGCCCGACCCACTTATGAACCCAATATAGCCCATCTCCCTAGTTACACCAATCTATGCCCCAGAATAATCCTTCGATCATGGGCTAGTTAGCTTGTACGGGAGAAAGAGGATTCTGATCTTTGAGTTCTACAATTTCCGAGCTATTGGTACTGAAAGCGGCAATAATTCAAATATATGCTCTTGCTATGGCTGTTACTCCTAGAACATGGGCCTTCAAGCCCTTGGTGCCGGATTATCTCATTCGTGGTAGTATCAAGTCAAGAGCTGATGTAAAAGTAGCATCTGAGGGGTTTCAAATCTCAATAACTAGTAAGAATTATTCAAGGCCTGAAGGCCTGATACAGACAGATCTCCGCTATTTGATATATGTCAGAGCCTATTGGAGCCTAAGGCAGCAACCACGTGACCTGACCACAACACCAAGGAATCTCTGTATGATAGACTTAGACCTTAAGACAATCAATCCCATACACGTGAGCTACACCAGCTCCATCAATATATTCTTCTTTAATCACGGTTGTAGACTTATAGACCTTTTCATCTCTTTTGAGTATCGTATTTGCAACGCAAGGACAGTCATTTATTCCATTTAGCCCACAATACGACATTACTTCCTCCTCTCTCCATTTCAGATCTATCTCCACAAACAAAACAACCCTAATAACACCAATGATGATTAGAAGAACACACAAAACAATCACTATAAGTTTCACACAGCGCGTGTGTATAGCAACGAGGATGAGAGCAAGAGTTCTCCACAGCATTCAGTCGTAGTCCCTCAGCGCCCTGGATAGGAAACTCCCGGAACTCTCCACCATATAGCTCTGAACGTGCCTTTTGCTCGTAGACTCTCTTTGCGGATGCCATCGAAGCGTCGAGCTCTTCGCACAGGCTATCTGCTGCCACAGCCAGAATGCTACGATCCCGGTCTAGCAGATAGTATCCGCCATTTGTATCATCTAAGGTCCCCATTGAGTACGCGGTTGCCATGTTGTTGAGCTGTTGGCGCGTCTCCAGGATTAGGGTTCCTGGTTTGATGGGTACGGTGTATCTGGTAATTGATGCTGCGAGGCTGGTTGCCAGGTTTAAAAGTAATAGCACGAGGGCTCTGTGAAGATGTTTTAGGGTCATTTTAGGACTGCTGAATTCTTAGTTGGTGAAGTCAATAGCAGATAAACAGAGGTCGCTTACGTGAGTTTTCCAGTCTCTAGATCTACAAAATGGAAATCGAATCTCCCTATCTGAAATGATCGCAGTATATACTAAAGATTCTGGGGTCAAGGCTGAAGCAAAACGAGGTTGCAAGCTGGAACCATGAATATCTGGGTCATAAGAGAGCTGTTGGATGCTCAATGTATTCTTAAATGACGAGCTTGCGTCCCACTCGGAGACTAGAAAGGTCGCCGCTTATCTAGTCTCGAAGGAGTCAGAATTTAGCCTCCAATCGGGTCACGCACATACCAGTCAACCAATGAGCTGCTCTAGGTTTTAATATCTAGCAGTTTAAGAGACCAGGGGCTCAATGTTACATTAGAGACATAGCCAGCAGTCCCGGCCTTATGCTGAGTGTCTCAGCGTTATCTAGGGTCATATATGCAATGCTTCAAAACCCCCATTGATGTCTAAACGACCATGTAAATGCACAGGTTCTTATTACAAAGAGTCTCTAACTCATTAGTCGATTTGTCCGAACACTAGATTCAGCCTCGCTGACTTCTCAGATAGGCTGTTTCAGCTCCAGGAAGAGGGGGCAGAACGCCACAAGTTACGCATGTCCCTGATACCAGGAATAAAGGTACTCACAGGTCTAGACTCGGTTCTTCTATGAGCTTTCCTTACTATGTGGAATTGATGCTGACTTTACGCTGACATCTATAACATTAAGCATGGCAGCCAGCGTTGAGGGCTACATCGGACGTTGCAAGAAGTGGAAGAAGGTGGTGGAGGGAAGACTGTTCCCCTTGTTGATAGTATTGACGGTGGATCATCATCACCGCTTAATGCTTATCGAAATTTATCACCCCGATGTGTTGGGTAGGGATGCAAGGCTTTAATTGATGTCCAACCCTGATCCAACCCTGACGACGTTCTGGCAACGCAAAGTTTATACAAGAAATCTGACCCTTCGGATCACATATTGAATAGCGATTCGGCCTGATAATCGTACAATATACCCTGACCGATGTGCATGGACAAATCGGGCCCCAAATGGCCACCGATGAAGAATATCGGACCACCCAATGGTCAGGATCTCAATGGGGATTCTTGGTCCTTTAGGTGTAGAGCCTTCAGCTATAAATTAGCGAATCATTAGTAGTAGGAGGTCAAGAATCAGTCCCCTGTCTGAATATTATCTATTGCCTACCGTTGATCTTTCTATCTCCTTTAGGCTAAGCATCCTTCACCAGTAGACAGACCCTCTAACCTGAATAGTAGATACCATTGACAATTCTGATTCTTCCTCTTATCAACCACCTAAGGATGCCTATGACTCCCTTATCGCGAACCTCTGATGGTGAGGTATCGTCTCCTCCAAGAACCTATGAGGAAGACATGCAACCTTCGCTTCGAACTATCCCGGAAACGACTTCTGGAACCCATGATCAAAACGAAAGCGAAACTCTTCAGAATCTTCAAGAAACGATCCGATGATTGGAAACCAGATTGGAAAGCGAGGAGCCGTCAAGAAGTCGCCTATGATCCAGTTCAGCATCGTCAAAGGATATCTGTACGGTTAAGTTATTTAAAAATATTCCAGAATTTACTCTTGATTTTAAATTACAGCAAAGGCAGAATGGATTCTTGATCTAGAATATTCTTTCAAAGGAGCTAAAAAGCGCCTTAGAAAGGATGATCAAAAGATTCTTGCGGCCCTTCCTCATATGTCCCCGACCTGTAGGCAGAGATGGTATCGTCATCTTGCTGAAAAATCGCGAGAACAGCGACGAGACGCTGAGGAATCGTGGCCCTACTTCTCTGAATGGACCCTCACCCTGATCAAGAATACGGCAACATTACAACCCGAAATGATGGGTCTTCGGTGTAACCAGAGCGTCTCTATGATGGCTTATGTCAGGCTGTCATATGAAAATTGACCACCACGGGAGCAGGCTTCCCTGAGGTTGTTTTGAAAGGAGCGTTGTCATTAAGCTATGAGAGGATATCAAGGGCGCTCAATACTTGCGAAACGATTGACTGGGGTTGACGGCTATGGTTAGGAACTATCTGGTTTGGTTTGAAAAGAATAGCAGGCCGAGCAAACAAGGCCGTTCTTGGACCAGTACGGGCCTGCGAGCCGGCCAGGCTGAGCGCATAAACAAGTCATTTCAGGCCCAGGATCTAGATTGCATCGCATAAGAGTCCAGGTTGACTCTTCATAACCTCATTCTTTGGATTGCTATAATGCCCACTCCCTCTAGTAATAGACCACTGTCGTTTCGTCCATCTTCAAAGGCGACTTTAGGACAATTTCTGTCCACGGGCGGAGCAACTCTTTGAAATTCCGAGACATTATGTGGCTTCTATGGAGGCCACGTAGAGCAGCTAATGAATTCTTTGAGTAAGCTCATTTCAATAGCAATGTGGCATTATGATCAGTAGTAGTGTGCTACACCACATACATCCGCAGAGCTGTAAGGAAATAATTAGTTTATAATTACGGCCGGATATAAGCAAAGTATTTGATGGAAATGCCCTGAGTATTCCTGAGCAAGCAGGCATCTCGTGGGACTACTTTACTTCTGAAGCAACCGAAGTATATTTTTTCATGAATGCAATCAGGGTGTCACTAACTGCATATATATATTCCTCTCATAGAGACAGGTGGGCGATGATCTCTCCCTTAAGGCGGCGTAGAATGTGCTAGTTAAAAGGAATCAGTGCATGAGATCAAACACATTTATCAACTATCTTTGAACGTTGTTCCAATGTGTTGTCTCGTTGAGGTGAGGGTGAAGGTGAGGTAAGGGACGAACGGGACTTCCTCTTGTAGGTTAGCGCGTGACCACAGATGCAGGCGATTTCAATCCTGTGGTGATTTGATAATTGATCTTATCGCGATATCGTCCAAGGCGGAGAGAAGTCCCTCTTCTGCTTTTCAACCCCCCTCTCTTTACTTTTTCGTCCATCGCTTCTTCCTCTCGTTCTTCCACCCTGCTCTCGACAGGGCTGGAAAGCCCGAACGTGGAGCGCGCAATAAGAGTGCTTCCACAAGTCTCCCACTGCACTTTGTGCTCCGTGTCTACCTTTCATATCGTCCTGACCTGCCAAATCTTATGTTTCAGCCTCTCGTCCGGTCGCGATCTTCACGGATCCCTCGATCGCTCTTAGCGCCATCGAGTCTCTCCGTCTCGACCGTTGATTCTCTTTGTCTGTACTACGCGACTAAGATCTAAACTCGCAGACTTGTCTCGGATACCTGCATAAGACGCTTGCACTATGGCATCTAACGCCGCCATGCTGTTGGACCCACGGGCCCACAGGAAGCAGCTTCAGAACGATGGTAACGACCCAGAAACTGCTTTTCTTCCGTCAAAAATCCAGAGAGGCACGGCTTTCGGGGCCTCAGATGAGCTATCCCCCTTTCCCTTATCGTCTAGAGATTGCTCTCCTCCACAAGACCCTATCTTCGTACATCCAACCCTGATCGGTACAGGAAGCTCACCTCTCCACGAGACAGGTTCCCAGAATTCAGGTAGCTCAAATTCATCCACTGCGCCGGCAGGTACGGTTTCTGCGGCACATCGTCTTCTTAACCCGCAACGTCGACAGACCTCCAATCAGTCCAGCCCGAAGTCGAGATCACGACCTCAGTCGATCTCTTCACGTAGTGAGGATAGTGCAAGGTCGTCACTTCAGAGGGCTGATTACGGTGAGCCTGACGTCGACGTGATATTCACTAGCGCACAGGAGGACATTGCTGAAGGAAAGCGAAATTCTACCCATGTCGATGGCATGCGCCATGGGGATCTCATCGGAAATATATATGGCGTGGAACGACGCGCAACCCAACCTTATAAGAGAGTTAAGACGGAGAAGGATTTGGACCAGAGTGGAAAGAAGGCGTTATTTACATCCTCTGGGACCGGCGCGTTAGGTGAATGGGTGAAGAACGGTGAAGAGAAGTCGAATGCTTCCACACCAGTTACCCCTAATGTTGTCGACTTGACGATCGGTGCGAACATAACTGTGCGTTGCATTAGGAGGTTATTTGCTAATAAATGTGATAGATTCCTCCGCTGGAGCCACTGATGACGATGACTTACAGGTCACCGGATCTAACAATCTAAGCATTCAGAGAGTCTGCTATGGCAAGCTAGAAAATGCCATGGTGCAGGCGGTGCTAGTCCCGAAGCCCGCAGCTCAAACGATGTTTGGCGACTCAGCACACGATTGGCCCTCAATCAAACTAGGAGTGCATCGCCGAGCAAAACAAGGCAACAACCGGATCGAGGTTGCAGACCCTCATGGAAAATTCTTTGGCGCTATAGATGCAAACACCGCTGCCGTGATTACCCCTCTTCTTGATTCGCCTGTCTTAAAAATAGACATCACCGCTCGGTTGGATGTTCGAAGGAGAGTGGCAAACGAATGGCCGTGGGCACCTTGCTCAGCTCTGTATCGGGCGTCTATTAATCTGTACGGCCTTAGGAAGGATGCTGAGCTAGTCGGGAAGCATCTAGGACAGCATAATGTCTGGCTGGGTACCCCGTTTTCTGTAGAACAAGGTGTTCCAGTGTTCAATCCTCACGCAGAGAGAAGGCGCGCCCAAGCGGCTGCGTCCTTCTTACCAGCCGTGGCTGCGAGGAGCCGGCCAGGTACCAACTATGAAGTCCGCACTGCAGAAGAAGTGAATGATGCAGTAATGAAGATGTTTGATCAGCTTCAGAGTGCGGAAAACATACCTGAAATGGAACCTTCTTCACTTCTGTCAACCCCTTTGCTACGCCACCAAAAGCAGGCGCTTTGGTTTATGACAGAAAAGGAAAAGCCGCGCAAATTTGGGCCTAAAGAGGAGGATAATAATTCACTTTGGAGGCTAGAATACGGGAAGAACGGGACGAAGCGGTATCGAGAGATCATAAGTGGCATCGTACGTGACGATGAGCCCCCGCAGAGCCTAGGTGGTCTTTTAGCGGATGTGATGGGTCTCGGGAAGACATTGAGCATCCTGTCACTTGTCGTGTCTTCTTTGACAGAAGCTCGCGAGTGGGCGAACATGGTACCACCTACGGACCTTATTCAAAATCTGCCGGGCATCCGCAACACTAAAACAACACTTCTGGTGGCTCCTCTGAGTGCTGTCAATAACTGGACATTCCAAGTCAAGGAGCACCTGAAAGAAAATGCCATATCCTACCATGTATTCCACGGTCAATCGAGAATTACGGATGTTGAAGAGCTGTCTAAATATGACTTAGTTATCACGACCTACAGCATTGTCCTCAGCGAGCTCTCTGGGAGAGGATCAAGGCGGAGCCCTGGGAGCCCTTTAACCAAGATGAACATGTTTCGAATTGTCCTAGATGAAGCGCATACTATACGGGAGCAGAGCGCAGCACAGACCCAGGCTATCTTCAAGCTGAACTCACAGCGTAAGTGGTCTGTAACTGGGACGCCCATTCAGAATCGTCTAGATGACCTTCTTTCGGTGACCAAGTTCCTTGGTTTGCATCCTTACGATGACCGGGGGCAGTTCGGAATCCACATTCTCAGCCGATTTAAGACTGGAGATGCTACTGTTTTAGCAAGCTTGCGAGTGCTTGTGGATTCTTTCACATTGCGCCGTGTCAAGGATAAGATTGATATTCCTGCCCGACACGATAAGATCATAACACTTAATTTCTCCGAGAAAGAGAGACAGCTGCATGAGCTTTTCCGAAGAGAATCGAACGTGATGATGAGAGTGATTGCCGGCGAGGATAAGACAGCGTTGAAGGGTCGAATGTATCATCACATTCTAAAGGCAATGGTAATTCTACGCCAAGTCAGTGCCCATGGCAAAGAGCTTCTCGACAGTAATGAGCGCGCAAGAATTAAGGGTATGAGCGTTGATGACGCTATTGACCTCGAAGAAGGCGGGAACGAAGCACCGGATCTAGTCGACAAAAAGGCATACGAGATGTTTACGTTGATGCAGGAGTCCTCAGCAGATATGTGTGCTCTATGTAGCAAACGTCTCGAAGAGCCAAATGCTGATTCCGGCGCTACGGACCGGCAAGCACCATTGGCGATCATCCTTCCTTGCTTTGACGTCCTTTGCCCTGAATGTTTCTCTGGTTGGAAACAGGCATTTGACAGCCAACCTGGGTCCTCAACACACGACATCAAATGCCAGGTCTGTGATGGATGGATCCCGGTTTCATATTCTACCATCACCCCTGGTGGGCTACAAGAATATATGATGGGCCAAGCTCAAGCTAAGCAGAGTCGAAAGCAAGCGAAGGTCCTTGGAGAGTACGAAGGACCGCATACGAAGACAAAGGCGCTGGTGACACATCTCTTGGAGGCGGCAGAGGAGAGCAAGGGTCTGAAGGATGAGCGTCCTATTAAGAGTGTAGTATTTTCTGCATGGACTTCGCATTTGGACCTGATCGAGATTGCGCTAAGAGATAACGATCTCACGGGCTTTGCCCGTCTGGACGGGACGATGACTCTGTCGGCGCGCAACAAGGCCCTTCAGGACTTTCATGATAATGATGACACCACAGTCCTCCTCGCGACTATAGGAGCTGGTGGCGTGGGTCTCAACTTGACCGCCGCTTCCCGCGTTTATATCATGGAACCTCAGTACAACCCTGCAGCAGTGGCACAGGCTATCGATCGCGTGCATCGGATCGGGCAGACACGCGAGGTGACTACCGTGCAGTTCCTCATGAAGGATAGTATTGAAGAGAAGATCTTCGAGCTGGCCAAGAAAAAGCAACAGTTGGCCGATATGAGCTTGAACCAAAGGAAGCTTGATAAAAGAGAGGTACAGGAGCAACGCATGAGTGAATATCGAAGTCTTTTCAAATGATACCAATCCCCTTCATCCCCCTCTTACCCGATTTTGGTTTTATTTTTTTTTCCTCTTTTTTTTTCTGGCTCCCCTCCCCATTTGTCTATCTGCGTCAAACTTTAAATCTCGATACCATAGAGACGGACACCCACACTAGTACAAACATGAATAATACCTGATACCCACTGATTTACACACGGCGTTAATATGTCCCATGTTGTCCTACATTTCGTTTTGCTGGCGCTTGTGATGAACACAGAAGATCTAGACAGCATTGGTGATACACGGATAAATGCAAATCAAGACTTCGCTACATTCCTGATAAGTCTCTCCTTCCATGGCGATAAAGTCCTATAGTAGCAATATCCTGCGATCATTGGCCAACCAGAATATGATGTCCGGAAAATCTTAGAATAACACTGTTGCTCTTTATCCCATCCATGGGTCCTTCTCCAGACAGCTATATTTATACCTTGTGCAGATTGCAACTCACCGTGCCGCGGAGGGAATATCAGATAGATCACAATTTTCTGGATGCCAAACAAGCAAATCCACCGACGATAATTGGGGCATATACGTACATTACGATATAATACTGGAAGGAACGAATGGTGAAAAATAAGACAATGAAAAAAGGTTCTCAGAAGAAAAAATATATGACAAGGACGGGATTCGAACCCGCGAAGTTTCCCACTGGTGATTAGTAAACCTAAAACCAGCGCCATAACCACTCGGCCACCTTGCCGTATTGTGATGGTAAGCGTTCTTCAGAAAATGTATATAAAGAAAGAAACAAATAATGGCATTCCTATCTCCTTCTTCATCTTTACTCTGAACTGCAGGCTGCAAACTATCTTTTTTTGCTCATAGCAGACCTCTAGATCTGGCGGAGATAGGCCTCGGTCACTTGTGGGTTTTTTTTTGATTAGAATTTGATAGATGCCATTACAAGCCGAAGCTTTCTCCAAGGAGCCTAGACCAGTCATCAGAGCATAGCATGATGGCTGCATGAGCTCTCTATATAGTAGAAGACTCAATTAAGCTTATGGACTTTCAGAGCTGAACAGCCCGGCTCAGTCTTCCTTTCTCTTTCACGACTCTCTTCCGTACTCTCGGTGTTTTATTTCATATTTCCCTTGTCATCTACAAGCCCTCACGGGGGTCTCCAGGAAGATAAAGAGATTATTGGTACGCTTTATAACCCATATACACACCCGACTGCCAGGATGCTCTACCTCCAAGTCTATTGCGGCTTCTTTATATTGCCTATTTTACCATGACTGGAGGGACAGCGTCCCCTAAGGATGCTTGTTGAACACTACAAGGCGACCTATGGATTTACTCACCTTTCGCTCAAGATATGTAGAGACCGGAGACACTATGCTGCCTATGCGTTCGAACATGTCTATCAACGAACTATCCTACGGAATGAATAGCCCTCCGACCGAATGCCGTTTTAGATCTTTAAGCCGTCGTCTCGTCATATATACGGGTGTGAAATTTATATCGACTTCAGTGCTAATCGCCATAAATTTCGAGTCGAATTCAACGGTTTCTACTTCTTCAACTAACATCATTGTACCGCATGAATCTACTGAACAGAACCATGCTTCTGACTGGGTTGATAGTCAGCCAGTTTTCCCACTGACACCTGAACACAGTTAGCTAAAGCTGTGTCCATTGCCAAGTACCTATCCTCACCAAATAGCTAGCTATATCCTACTAGCGCCTATAAAATGCATATACATATTCAGTAAAACGTGGGTCTCACTGATCGACGTATACATCAGCTGTGGCCTCATCCAAAATGTGACAGGTCACTGCGCAGTGATTATCTCGCTGGCTTCTTGGCGGGGCTAAGTGTTCTGCATATGCATGTCAAGGGGTGTTTATTACCTACGTTTACTATTCGCGGGGCAAGAGCAGTTGGAATTGGTGGTTGAGGGTGCTAAGATATACCGTGCCTTAGTGAGAAAGTTGAAGTATTGTCTTCTATGGTGTTGTTGCTTTTATATATTAAGACACTGAAATACAGAAACCTGATCGAGTATTCGATTCGAATATATATTGTGATATCGATTGCATATTCTAACGCCGTCGAATGCATCTATATCAAGTGGAAAGATAAATTACGGGGGGGAGGCGATATCAAGTCTATATACAAACATGGAGGTGAATTCTTCCCAACCAAGGCTGCACCCTGCAGCAACAAGGACTCCTCATGCCGTTTGCCATAACACGCTAAATTAAAAAATTGATATCAGGATCATGATGACAGATGAACAGAAGAAATGAAACCTTCAAGGCTAAAAGAAAAGACAAGAGACGAGAGGAGTACAGGGAATATCATCAGCACCAGGTGAAGACTGGATTCTTGCTCTTCACGGCTTCCAATCGCTCCACGATCACCTTACGCTGGTTCCCTTCCATCCCCTCAGCAGCGGCATATCCAAGATCTCCTTCGAGATCGTCGCTACTCCAGATCAGCTGCGCTTGACCGCGCCCACTGGATATCGAACTGTGTTTTTGATGTTTGTTCCCGGGCCGAGGGGGAAGCGATGGCCAACTTTGGTCTACACTTCGCCCTTGAATTAAGCCATCAATACTATCTTGATCAACCCGGTAATCACCAATAGTGGCAGGACTGCCGTTTGGAGCTCTTCTTGCGCTAGGCTCGTAAGATCGGCCGCGGGACAATTCAAACCGGTTGGGGTTGGGCAACTCATTCGGGGATAATCCCAGGCCCAGGAGATCATTCTCAGGACCCGTACCCAGCGACATGGATGCTCCAATATCCATCTCTTCATTGTCTGGGTCATAATCGTAGTTCTCGTAGCTCTTCACCTTGCGTTTTTGGGCTTCCGTCGATGGTCCACGAAGAGGGATTGCAACAGGAACATCTACCAGATCGTCCCAGACGCACACGCGAGTTCTTCTCGTGAGTTCTAGGGGCCCATGGTCGGGCTGCTTCAATGTCTCCACAACATTCCAAGCCTGCCCCTTCATAACTGCAACCTGTCTCGCAAACATGCTCTCTTTGAAGTCGTCATCCTGGGCAAATACGCGCCGAAGAGCCATCTGAGTACCACTCCACCAGGCGGTCGAGGTTAAAAGGGGTAAGAAATGATCCCGAGTCTTTTGAGAAAAGGGCTGTCCAATCAAGGACACTGGAAGGAAGAGCCAGCCGAACGGAAAGCTTCGCCACTGGGGAGTGTTAGCGACTTGATGCGACTAGACTAGACTACAGTGTACTTACAGCATCAGGATGTTTCCACGGCCAGGATAAACTGTTATCAATGGCTCCGATTTGAATAGACGCTTGGGGTTCCGATGAGTTAAGAGGAGTGCCGGTGCGACTCACTGCGACCATCGCCTCATGTCGCCTATAAGGTAGGGGAGAGGTGCCTGTGCGCTCTGTGTTGACAGAAACAGGACGAGCGGGAGGTAGGTGTTCATCGTCATCGTCGTGCTGAGCCCCGTTAGGCTTCGGTGGATCAGCGACGATAGACACCTCTTCAGTGTTCCAATCAATCTTGATCATCCAATTATCCAACCCACGGTCAGTATTGCGCATAATGTAGTCCAAAATCACCAATTTCTCCAACTCCTCGCGAAATGACTGCTTGAGACCCTCAGTCCAGTAGAACCGTCGCTCCCTACTCTGCTCCCTTGGTGACGGGGTTTGTAGATAGCCGTTCTCGAATTCCTCATCTTCATCATCCGACTGCACTCCGGAAGGTCTGCAGGCCTCGTTCCAAGGACGCTTCTTGCGCTTGGGAGCATCTTCCGCGCGAAAGCCAGTATTGGTCTGATCTGGCCAGGGATGGTCGCGCAAAAAGAGATTCGCATCCTTATACCCTTTAAGAAAGACTTGAAAGCTGCCTGCCTTAGGAGGGAGGGGCTTCTTGCCCATCCATGCCTTCCTCCGGTCCCAGAAGTCGTAGTAAAATGACTTAGAAGATAGCCACACAATATCAGTGTAAGGGACGAGATTGGTACGTAAACGAGAGTCGAGTACATAGGCAGCTGCTTCGGAGACATAGGACAAGTTGGGTATCAGGCACGCTCGACCGAAGAAACATGGGAATAAATTTCGATGAATCCATTTCGTCCACTTGGGATTGCGCGACGCATAGGGCTCCTCGTCTTTTGGTTTGAAAACCCCCACAACTTTGCCTTCACCATTGCGCGCAAAATAACTACCAGAGCTTCCCTGAGAGATCATCCGAGGTTGCATTCCCATCCGTATGGCTGAACGAACACTCTCTACGACTTCCTCAAACTCCTCCCGAGCCCTTCGCGCCGCACCTTCGATTTCGTCTGACTCAAGCTCTTCGACGGAGATTGGTCTGACGCCATTCGGAGGCTGAAAAACGGAATGGTAGATTTCAAGCTTTTCTTCTTCCAAAGTCTTCCCTTTGACCTTGTTGATTTTGAATTTGGAGGCGATTTCTTCGGCCCACCGCTCGAGGCGCGCATTAATGGCCTTGATGTCTACTCCAGAATTCCTCCGGCCTCGGCGTGTGTATCCGCTTGGTCTCCTACGGTGTTCAGGAGGGGATGACAAAATGGACGCCTCCATTTGCGCGCGAGACGAGATAGGAGCATATCGGGGAGCGGAGTGAGAGGTCGTACTGAGCGGGTCGTGGAGGTCATCGTCATCTGAATAATCGTACAAATCATTGGCTCTATCTTCTTCTTCCTGGGCCAGACGGGCATAACCCGAGGTCGCAGGTCGGTTTTTGGGCATGGTGTATTTGTTGGTCTAATAGAAGAGCCGGGAGGCGAATACAAGTCGTTGCATACGCAGAGCGACGGGGAGGAAAGGAATGGCAATGAAAAGAAAGGAAGTAAAAGAATGGACTAGAAGAAGAAGAATAAATGCAATCACGGCATCACTCAATCACAGAGGAGAGAATTATATGTAATGGGAAGAAGAGACCCTTCGGAGGAGGGAAGAGAGGGAGGAATAATTGTAGATTAGGTGGTGAGAGAAGGGAACTTACTTGATCCTCCAATCCGCCGTCATCCACTGGAAATGGCCAACACAGAGTGGCTACACTTGTACTGTACCGTACCACTAAATCCCGCGGCATGGGGCGGAAAGGCGAATGGCCACTCTGGAATCAGCCACAGGGAGGGTACTTTACCGTACCGCACCGCCACAGTCCTTGTCCCGGTGTGGCTCCACCGGAGCTTAAAAAAGCCCCTGAAACGAATAGATCTTCTCTTCATACCCATTCCGTTGCGTCTCCCTCCCTTAGCTAGGCAATGACTCGAGATTACTCGTCATTTGCACTTGCTGAAGAACCGGTTATTCAGCCCATGGTTAGCCGAACGCCTCACATACATACAGTCGTGCTTCCCGTCGTCCAAGAGGTTTCTCAGTGGTATACAGCTTAAGAAAATGACAGACGCAAACCTTGAGTTGAACAGAAAGAAAATGTGTTTCTAATAGTAGTAAAAAATAAGTAGACACCATTCGAAGAGTCGATCACATATTAATAATAACTGTCAGAAGGGAGCCGACGGACAGCTGTTGACCGTTGCCCAGTTGATATGATGAGTTCTGGGCACGGTTCTTCGTATCCTTATCGATGGTCATCACGGTCCATGTCTCGGGTCTTGTTCGCTGTCTGGAATGGGGTATCAGAGAGATCGATACATATGTATCACTCCAACGAGACATGGGTCGAACGTCAGTGTCACTATCTCTATTGACAATTTACCTGAAGATCATTACCTAGTCATTTTACCGGAGGAATGCTACCATCTCTATTTACTATGCGAGTACTGGCATTGCATCTGTCATCTCGACTTGACTTCAGAGATTTCCTACTTGAGGGAGCATAAATCCCTCTACCTCACCAAGCTGCTCTCGTACTATTCTCTTAAGGACTGGACAACAAAGGGAGATGCAGGGGTGAGATGCGACTATCGCGTGGAGGTTCGTCTCATCCATTCCTAGCCCTGCGTGTTGCATACATAGTCGCATAAGTCCTGGAGGCAGGAAGGAGTTAATAGGCAATAAAACCCCAAGGAGCTTCATAATAGCCAAGATAGTGATTCTAGATCAAGACCAAAACACAAGAAATTATTGAAAATAACGTTAACTGAAGCGAATAATTCCCACACTGGACTGCAGACAGGGTCAAATTTATCAAGTTTATTTCATTTTATTATTAACGATAGCCAAGCATTGCTGTTCCCGCCGATAAATAACAATCGATAGTGTCCGAGGGACGCGCGATAGCGATTCCGATAATCAAATCGATCTTTCTCGAGAACCTCTTCCAACTTTCTCCCCGTCTCGTGTAACGAACTGCTCACCCACGACTGGACTTCTCTGTCCCATGAACTTAGAGGTATGCTCTTCTTATTTCCCCTCTGGTTGGTTCGCTATTATTTCCAATCAAACTGAATCAATTACTCCTTATCATCACTTCCTCTTCATTGTCCCTCTGGCTGTTGAAATCTCCCTATCTCAGCCGTTAATGCCTTCCTTCCCTCACTTTACTCTTCTGTTATAACGACCCATTGCTAAGAAAAGGAAAAAGGAAATATTTCTACAGTATACCTAGCCTCCAATTGTCGTTTCAATTTGGGTTTAGAAAAAAAGAGAAAGAAAAAGAAAAAAATTGGGAATCCGTATCTTCCCTCCCTTTTTCTACGTGGCTGGTCCTTCCGAACGACGGCAATATCCCTCACGGTCGTATACGTTAATCGTCTCTTACTGCTCTCAGTTCGGTCAATTTAGGCCGGATTTGTAACGGGTTTCTCAGAGACACCATTCACAGTGGCTTCACTCTTGTTCCGGGCGTCGCCCATCGACCCAGCCCTGCATCCTCCCTCGCCGTCGACTTCCCAGTCCCACGATCTCAAGTACAACAATTCTTCTACAATTGATAGTCCATCTGCCTCCCGTCAGTCAACAACGGACGCTGTAGCGAGTGCATCCTCGGCATCGTCGCAGTACTTTGGGACGCTACCTGAGTTTGGTTCTCTGGACAAAAGCCCTGGCAGCAGTGACAGTAACGGCGGCAGCTTCCCTGGCTCTCTTGGCCCATCGCTATCAGGACTGTCTGCTCTGGCGTCGGTCGCATCTGCCCCAACTTCCAATCTGCGGTATGTACTTGCACTGCGTTTTTGTCGCGTAATGCACGGTTTTGACGGTGATCGCGGCCGACTTTGGGTACCCATGGTTTACGCTTGTATTCTTGGAGTCTACGAACGGTCATATCATGTCGACAAAAAATTCCTGGGTGACTGACAAAATTTTATGCGAACAGGAATTCCGGTGGTAATGCGCAGCCCATGACCAATATGACATACGCGACATCATCTCCAGCCGCTACTACTGGGGGACAAGGAAATAGTCCGGTAAGTAAAGCGGATGTGGTTGAGGGTTCACCTTATCGTATCTTTGTTGTTCTTATCTATATGCTACCCCATCTTTTTTTCATATTTTATTTTTATTATTATTTTTTTCCTGGGGAATTTTTCTTTGGCAATGTTCTTCCCAATCTGTTATCAGCAGCCGATGGAGTCTTGGCACCGCACCACCCGCTGCGTGCCCAGGTCTTATCGCGCCAGCCCATCAAATCTCTCTCTCCGATCTTATCAACCGTCGCTCTTTTCCCTCCAGTCATTATCAGCGCCAATACTCATCTACTCCGTTTACTTCCACCGTCCCTTCTCGATTCCCACACCTTAAAATACCATGGCGACTACATTAGCTGACCAAAAACGCCCTCAATTACAGCCTGTGTGCCAGAATTGTGGTACATCCACCACACCCTTGTGGCGCCGGGACGAACTTGGCTCCGTCCTCTGCAACGCCTGTGGCTTATTCCTGAAGCTCCACGGAAGACCCCGTCCGATAAGCTTAAAGACCGATGTGATCAAAAGTCGCAACCGGGTCAAGACCGCTGGCCAGGGCCCGAAGCGCAAGGTGAGCAAGCAACCCGAAAAATTTTTTTGTCTTATTGTCGCTTGCCTTAACGCGGGAACCTCGATGTGCTACATGTCGCTGATACTTCATCGCCCAAATCAGTCTAGCAGTGCCGTCGATGCAAATGGACTCACGAACTCGAGATCAGAGGCCGGTACTCCCCCGCTTGGATCTCATGGATATCGTCGCGCGTCGCGGAAGATGTCACCGGGCCATTCGGATCGTTCCAACTCACCAGTATCCCGAACAGAAACGCCTGGTCTTCCTCCGATGCAACAACAGCAGCTCCCGCCGCAGCACAATTCCAACATCGCGCCGCAGCACATGTTTGATAGCGTTACCCTGGGAGATCATAGTCTGACGAATGGGCTCCCGTCCGGACAACTGCGCCAGCCGTCTCCCACCTCGACATCTGCAGCTGTGGACCGCCATAATGAGTCCCCCCAGACGGTGGAGGGACTTCTGGCAGCGAACACATCTTTGAAGACCCGCGTGCGAGAACTGGAGTTCGTCAATGATCTTTTTAGGGGCCGGGTAACAGAGCTCGAACAGAGCGACGCCGCGGCGCGTCGGTCCGAGATGATCGCTCGCGACTCAGAATCGCGCCTCAAGCGGGCTTTGGAAGAAGCTCAACGGCGTGAAGAAGACCTCAAGCGTCGGGTTTCTGAATTGGAACATCAAGTCGGAGAACAGACTCAAAATGGCCACTTTGAGGGCAATGACAGTCCTGGTGAGCCTTTAGCGAAACGGATGAGACTGTCTGACGTGGTAGATCAATCCTCCACTTCTCCCACTAAATCGCCAAGGAGCGTCTAACAAGAGGGTCTTCCAGGGATCGACCGACGGGTTGTGATTCTCCTCGGCCCCCGTTTGATGTGGGCAACGAAGAAGTGCAACCGCTTTGCTAAGTTCTCTGATCTACCTTGGTCTTTTTGATACCCTTTACGTGTCTTGTCAGCTGGCCGGATATATATCGGATTAAAACTAATAACTCTCCTTTTAACCTTTCAATTCTTTGCTCTATGATGCTTTTTCTTTTGCTTTTCACCTTTTCGCTTTTGGGTTACTGGAGGCGTTTCGTATTCCAGTACGGGACGGAGGAGATCACCTTAGGACAGCAAACCGCGGAGCTACGAAAATTCTCATCAAACGACAAGAGAGAAAAGGAAACCAACTGGGGCCAGCTTTGTTCAGTTTTTATGTGTTCACTATTCCCATATGAGTCGATATTATATTGTTATTGCTTGTTCTACAGCCTAGCCCCGGCCTTCTCAGAGTGCCGGAGATGAGGCTTATGGTGATGATGAGAGGGAAATGCAAGCAGGACTGCAGTGGTTATGTGGTAATTGAATTCTTCGCCTTGAAACGAAACTTGTTACCAGATCAGGAGGAGATTCCCTGTCGAAAACTTGATTCTATTGTTGCTTTAAAATTGCGTCCCATTCTATTCTCCCGTGTTATTATTAGTTATGTCCTCTTTTACCTGCTCTTTCTTCAGTGACGGGACCCTACTACTGCTACTACTATGGATATAGCAGTGGATAGGAGTATTATGGTGCCCGATCGACATGTCCATTTATCCTTGCCTCCCTTATCTTATCTTTCCCTGTTTATCTATTATCTTCTACCAATTGCACGTTGCCTTTTTAACGCCAGAGTTACCTCGGCTATTGCGGCAGTCGGCCGGCTCTCTCATCCCTCTTTACTAATAGTATCCGAAAAGTATGGTGTTAGCAAGGCAGAAGTTGAACGCGCATGATTTTGGATATTTGCACTATATGCAAGGGACATTATCCCATGAATGTGGCAAAGGAGCGCTGAATTTGAAGAAAATTGCAGAATGAATGAGTCAATGGATCAAAGATACTGGCCTCCCAATAAATGACCATCCGTCTATAAACCCAGTAATGACATAGGAGATGAGATATCAAGATAATCGCAGATATCGCTCAGACTTGGGTATTAATTGCTAAGGGAAAGAAAAAGAAAGAAACAAAACATGCAAGGATAGCGTTTTAGCCAGTCAATTTTTTTTTTGGAAAGCCCAAGAGCCCCGGTCTGAACAAACGGGATAGACCCCAAATTAGGCAAGACGGTCATGTTCGACTTTCTTGCGAATCGCTCCGTGGACCTGCTTCTCGCGCAGGATACTCCACAAGCATACTATTACTCCAGCTACCCCGGAGAAGAATGTGGTATAGTATGCCGTCCGGTAACAGCCCAAGCCATCGGGGCAGTCCCGGTCTCCTTCTGGACCGACTATAGAGTGTTGGTCGTAAATGCTGCCGTACAGCAAGTTGAAGACGTTTCCGCTCAAAACGGGAGCAAGGGTCATCACACCCCAGTTTTGGGAAAGGCCTCCGATCCCGAAAGTATGAGCCACCAAGGACGGGAAGACGCCGAAAAGGAATCCGTATGCGATGCCAGTGAATCCGGACACTACGATCAATTGGTGTGGATTGGAGATGGCAGCTCCGGCTAGTTGGGTCAAGGTGAAGACAACTGCCGAGATAAATAAGCACCAGAATCGCGACATGTCGAGCTTTTTGACCAGCAGATCTGATCCAATTCCTGGAGAGTGGCGATGGTGGTTAGCAAATGCGTGACAATAGGTATTCACTAATTAACATACCACTGCAAAGTCGGCCAACGAAATTGCCAAATGACAGGACGGACACATGCATGACCTGTCTCTGTTGGATGAATCTGGAGCTGGCGCTATCATCGTAGTATTTCCACAGCGCCTTGGCCTGCGGGGATTAGCAGGCGGACAAACATGTCTGTAAAAGGGACATCTTACGCTGTTGCCAATATTACTATCATCGATGTTAGCGTCACAGTTGAGCGAGGTCAGATAGTTTGAGAACATACTTGATCGTCATCAGTCCAATTCCAGAAAGAAGAGCCATCGTCAAGAAAAGCTGCCAGAATTCTACCCTGGGAAGCATCGCCAAGCCTCTAATGTCTGGATGAGGTGAGCCGACGCTAACATTAGACTGTGCATCATCTTCCTCGTCCGCCACCTCCCGAGAATGCCTCGACGCGCTTTTGGATACCAACGATGATGTTTCATCCAAGTCGGGGTTGTGGTGAGGAGGGTGGGAGTTGTTCGACGCGAGAGATTGCGACCTTACGTGCATCTGGGGGTGGGTTTCAAAAGCTTTAGAACTCTGCATACCTGCTTCATCAGACTCCTCTGGAACATAACGCAAATCAGCGGACCTCGTCCTGTGCGGTCGGTTGTACTCTACTCCTGGCGATCGGTTCCGGGATAGCGGGATGTACGCTTCAGTTGGGGGCATGAGTCGAAGAAAGGGAACGGAGACGAGGTTTAAGATACAGGTCCCCAGGGCCAGCAGAAGAAGAAGCCGGCCAGTATCATCTTTGAATACAATGGACGATACAGCAGACCAGAAAAGGGCACTTAAGCCGAAGGCCGCCAATGGGAATGCGGTCGCTGTTCCGCGATGGTTGGGGAAATTTGAAGCGGCTGAGTTTAATGGACCTTAGTTCCGAACATCGGTCAGATGGAGGTCAACACACCTGTTTTGATCGACGCAGAAAAGGCGGAGCAACTTCCGAGGCCAGTAAGGAACGAGAAAAGGGATAAGAAACCAACACTGAGCGAGCCCTTCCCATGCTCATAGGCTATAGTTGTCCAATACGATCAGTACAGAAATGCTCCAGCGTCGGGGACACCAGACGAACCTAAGTATATAGGATAATAGCCGATTCCGAGGGCTACAGCACCCAGAAATGTTGTAAGCCGTGGACCTCGAGCATCTGTTAACAACCCCATTGGAACTCCCGATGCGTACATTCCCAGATTGCCAGCTGCGCCCTGTGAGATGTCAATATCAATTTACATTCGGTTTTTCCGAGGGAAATAAGACAGCTTACGATGAAGTTGCTTTCGGTTGATGAGATCTTCATTCGATGCGCAAATTGTGGTGCCCATGCTGAGTACGCATACTGTCAATCAATTAGTAAGGTTCTTTGGCATATGGTCCAGTTCATGGACTTGAATACAGGGATAGGGTCCATACATTGGTCCCACAGGCCAGAGCTACTAATGTTCCCGCAACGACGGAGATGATCCGCTTGGTTTTATGAGTTGAGTCTGCCATGGTGAATTTGAGACGGTGCTGTGACAGATGGTAGAAAGGGAGATAGTATTATTCCCTACGCATACACAACGCGGGGAAGCAATTGAATTGAACGGGGGAAACTCTGGGGGGAGCCAATTTAAATGCCGATTCCTTCGGCGAATGGAGAAGATAAAGCTTATCAACGTCACAGACGTCAAGATAGTTTTCAAGGAAAGGAATGAACGAAAGTAAGGGATGATATTGGATTAAATAGGAGGGAAAGCGGGATTTAAAATAAGCACAAAACCAACGAATGTAAAGGTGAGAAGATTAATGTGAGAAGGGGAAAAAATGATTAAAATAATGTCAAATAAAATAAATAAATAATTAACCCAGGAGAGGGGAAAATTGAATAACCCCCCGACGCACGCGACGACAAGAAGCAAAGTGATCGCTGGGACTCGTAATCGATCCCCAGGATAAGGTAATAAGTACTGTGAGGTACCAATCGTGGTACGTAAAGGTACACAAGTACTGTCAGGTACTCCATCCCATCCTCCAGCGTTATCGGCCGGATGACAATACGCTTATGTAATCCACTATCGGCACATGACGAAGGCGGCGAGAGCCTTCTGTGTCGCTTTCATCTCCATCGACATCATATCATACCATTCCAGGCAATCAACCTTGAACAATCCCCGACAACTAGTATATACACAAAATATCCTTTGGTGAAGAGTTGAGTCCATTTTCCCGGAAAGGGGGATAATTACGACATGGGCGCTCTTCTATCTCTGCCACTTTTGGCTATACCAAGTGCAGGCACAGTACGTGCATCTCCGTTGCTACCTGATGAGACTGGACCTGATGTCGAACCAGCTTATAACCCTTGCAACTTCATGTTGCGGCGCAGCAACTTGCTCGGCAGTATGCAGTGCATGTGGGAAATTTCAAAACAGGTCAGTCTCCCATGTTTCTTGTTAGGCGCTTGAATGATATGTCATTGACACCCGGATGCCCGGATTTACAGTATGGCTACGAGAATCGCCTACGCCTTCATTCTCTTGCTCAATTCAATTGTCTCCTGGATAATGCTCACGCCATGGGCCCTTAAAAAGCTACAACATCTCACTCTCGACTATATGACAATCCGATGCGGTGACAAAGAATGCCATGGTTGGGTGGCGGTTCACCGGATCAACTTCGGCCTCGGTCTCTTTCATTTGATCCTTGCGGTATTCCTGCTGGGGGTGAGGTCATCGAAAGATGGTCGTGCAGTCCTTCAAAATGGGTTCTGGGGTCCCAAGGTCGTTCTATGGCTTGCCTTGGTGGTCGTGTCCTTCTTCATCCCACAAACGTTCTTTATCGTCTATGGCAATTACATTGCCTTTTTCTGCGCCATGCTCTTCCTATTGCTGGGACTTATTCTTCTAGTCGATCTGGCACACTCTTGGGCCGAGGTCTGTCTGCAGAAGATTGAGGATAGCGACTCTCGACTCTGGCGCGGGCTGCTCATTGGCTCAACTATTGGCATGTACATTGCATCAATTGCAATGACTGTCTTGATGTATGTTTTCTTCGCTGACAGTGGATGTGCCATGAATCAAGCCGCAATTACGGTATGTTATTCCTCTTTGGTAATTACTATCATCTGATCAGAGCTTGTCTGACGAAACAGGTTAATCTCGTTGTTTTCTTGATCATTTCCTTCGTGTCCATTCAACCTATCGTACAAGAATCCAACCCGCGGGCAGGGTTGGCGCAAGCAGCCATGGTGACCGTTTATTGCACGTACTTGACTATGTCGGCCGTTTCAATGGAACCAGATGACCGCAAGTGCAATCCACTAGTGCGCGCTCGCGGGACAAGAACGGCCAGTATTGTCGTGGGCGCCCTTCTTACAATGGCAACCATCGCATATACGACAACACGTGCAGCCACTCAAGGACTCGCGCTGGGGTCCAAGGGCAGCCACAACTATTCGCCGCTAGGGACGGATGACAATGAGCATGGTCTTGTGACCCAACAACCGACCACCCGTCGCGAGATGCGTGCCGAGGCTATTCGTGCCGCCGTGGCCAGTGGTAGTTTACCTGCCAGTGCGCTCGACGAAAGCGACGATGAATCAGATGACTACGATACGAAAGACGATGAGCGAGGGTCAACGCAGTATAACTACTCGCTGTTCCATGTAATTTTCTTCCTGGCTACTACATGGGTGGCGACTCTGCTCACCGCGAACTTGGAAACTGAGGGCGATGCTACCGCTACCGATGGCTTTGCTCCTGTCGGACGTTCTTACTGGGCTAGTTGGGTGAAGATCATCAGCGCTTGGATTTGTTACGCGATCTACCTATGGACTTTGATTGCCCCAGTGGTCTTGCCTGAGCGTTTCGGTGTGTATTGAGAAATTGTTGGTCACCTTGACTAGCATTGAATATACGGCGGAGTTGGGGCGTTCAATAGCCATGTGAATTATTATCCCGATGTCCACGGTGCATTTTTGTTCTTGGGACTGTTATGTTTGTAGTTTACCGAATGAGATTGATAAACGAGACACGGTGTATTATTATTATTGTTGATCGAAGGTAGAGCGAAGTAAAGTTTTAGTCTTGATTAAATTGATTGATGCTTAGTGATCGCGGCATCGCGTAAAGTGGCCCCAACAACCGCGTCCTTCGCGTTTCCCATCAACCACCTTTCGTCATGGGATGAATATGGCGACCATCAAGGCCATCGAGGCCCGTTCGGTATGTGCCTGAGCTCTATAAAATTACAAATGAGCATCCCCTAACGTAAGCGCGCTGCCTCTCTCCAGGTTCATCAAATCCAATCTGGTCAAGTCATTGTTGACCTCTGCTCAGTTGCGAAGGAGTTGGTCGAAAACAGTCTCGATGCTAGTGCTACTTCGATTGGTAAAATCACTCTTTTACCATCTATACTATAACATACTGACTGGTTATCTTTCGTGGCAGAGGTCCGATTCAAGAATAATGGCCTGGATCTGATTGAGGTGCAAGACAACGGCAGTGGAATATCTCCGGAGAACTACGAAAACCTCGGTAATTTTTCCAATTATCTTAATGTTTTGGTAAAGAATATACCTAACTCTGCTGTGTACCAGCACTCAAGCATTATACATCGAAGCTCTCTTCCTACGAGGACCTATCCCGGCTACAGACCTTCGGTTTCCGCGGTGAAGCGCTATCGTCCCTATGCGCCCTGTCCGATTTCCATGTTGTCACCGCCCAAGCCAACCAAGCTCCCAAAGCGATCCGTCTTGATTTCGAAGCTTCCGGGAAGTTGAAGAAGACGCAGATCGTCGCAGGTCAGAAGGGCACGACGGTATCAGTAGAGGGACTGTTCAAGAGACTACCCGTACGGCGCCGCGAGCTAGAAAAGAATATCAAACGGGAATATGGGAAGGTCTTGAATCTCCTTCATGCGTATGCCTGCATCAGCACAGGCGTACGCTTCAGCGTCAAGAACACCGTGGCAAAGACGCGGAATGTCGTGGTCTTCTCGACGAATGGAAACCAGACAACCAAGGAGAACATTGCCAACGTTTACGGCGCAAAGACCTTACTGGCCCTGATTCCCCTTGAGCTGAACCTGGAATTTGAGCCCTCCGTAGCTGGAAGGCGAGCATCTACAGAAGACGAGCGAGAATCGAATAAACTTTGCGTTCGGGGACATGTCTCTAAACCTGTCTTTGGGGAAGGCAGGCAAACACCTGACCGTCAGATGTTTTTCGTGAATTCTCGTCCTTGTGGGTTGCCTCAGATAGCCAAGGCGTTCAACGAGGTCTACAAATCTTTTAATGTGTCTCAGTCACCGTTTGTGTTTGCCGACTTTCATATGGATACGAATGCGTACGATGTCAACGTTTCTCCCGACAAGCGTACAATTCTACTACACGATGCTGGTGCTTTAATCGAATCTCTGAAAACCTCGCTTATGCAGTTGTTTGAATCATCGGATCAGACCGTTCCCCAATCTCAGGTCAGCAATATCAAGCAGTCAACTAGCAAACCGCAGTCCGCAAAATTACCAAGCATTCTATCCCGCATGTCTTCATCTGGAGGTGCAGATGTGGCGGCCGATGAGGAATCAGAGCCAGATGAAAAACAAGTGGATGATGAGAGCCGACTCATCTCCCAGAATAGGATGAGGAGCCTTTTGAGTGGTCTTGGATCGTCTCCTGGAGGCGGAGCGGGCATATCCTCATCTTCTTGCCGGGGTAGAGAACCTGCACGTGAACCGACTTCCTTACCTCCACATCCATCCATCATGTCGAGACCCGAACCAGTCGAAGAGGATGATCAGCTCTTCGTTTCGGATAATAGCGTCCCGACGCGGGCACCATCCCAAGGTGCAGATGAGGGCGTACCTTCAGGGCGCCCCGTTGATGGCGATTCGCACATTCGCGACAACAACAATACTTCGCAGAGTAGTGCTCCCCCGCATTCACAGCAGCCAATCACAGGGCGACGACAGTCACCCATGGAGACCCCTAACACTATACAAAATGCATTCGACCGAATGAGGCCGAGGCGAGCTCCAGCTGAGATAGCAACAATCACCATCGGAAACAGGACTGTGACATCCATGGTAGGCAGTGGTGCATACAAGAAACGTGACATTGGACTTGTCGATACTACTAGCCCCTCAACTCGGAAAAGACGTATACACACCCCGTCTCGCCCTAATATATTTGGGCAACATATGAGAGATTTTGCAGCGCCCGGTTCCCGGGTAGAGCACAATGCTAGCAGTGAGGCTGACGAGATGGAGGAAGAGGATGAGACGATGGATGAGGAAGAAGAAATCGATTATGACGAGTCTGTTACCGGATCTCAAGCTTACAATCCTTCAGACCAAGATAGCATTCATTCACACGACGAAGATCTACCTGATGATGGCGTTAAAGACGGACCTGCAATGACACAGCGAATAGTCGCGCCAGCGGAAAACACGCTAAACGATGAAGAGAAAAAGAAACACGAAGAAGCCGAAGTCCAGCGGCTGATTCGAGAGGCAGAAGAAAAAGCTGTCTTGCCACAGGAAAGCAATGTCAACCGTGCGAACAAGCTGAACAAGGGTCCTACCCATCGTGATTCTACAGTCCACCTAGTGAGCACCATCGACGGATCACTTCAGAAGATTCAGCACCAAATGGACAAACTTCAGGAGAGCCTTCGCTTACACAGCTCGGGTGTTGCACATTCTCAGAATGATGCTGAGGCTGGAGATACACAGGAGACTGTCGAGGAGCGTTTGTCACTGACTGTCTCCAAAGATGATTTTGATAAGATGCGGATTGCTGGCCAGTTTAACCTGGGATTCATCATAGCCACTCGATCCTCAGCCGGTGTCTCTGACGACGCTTCATCTCATTCGAAGGATGAACTTTTCATTATCGATCAGCACGCTTCAGACGAGAAATTCAACTTCGAACGACTCCAGGCAGAAACTGTGGTGCAAAACCAACGGCTTGTGCAGCCAAAGCAATTGGATCTAACAGCGATCGAAGAGGAGATTGTGATTGAGAATCAGACTGCGCTGGAAAAGAATGGCTTCATCGTGGAGATTGACGATAGCGGGAACGAACCGATCGGCCGCAGGTGCAAATTGGTCTCATTACCACTGAGCAAGGAAATTGTCTTCGGCGTACGGGATTTGGAGGAACTCATCGTCTTGCTTTCTGAAATGCCGGCTAACAGTGCAACTGAGAACATGTACGTTCCACGGCCGAGTAAGGTGCGAAAAATGTTCGCTATGCGGGCGTGTCGGTCCAGTATCATGATTGGAAAGAATTTGTCTCAGAAGCAAATGACAAAGGTGGTGCGAAACATGGGCACAATCGACAAACCATGGAATTGCCCACATGGTCGACCGACCATGCGACATTTGATGAGTTTGGGACAATGGAACGAGTATAACGAGTTCGACGGCGATGAAGAGAGTGAGTCGGAGGATCGTCGGTCTTGGACTGATACATTGGATGTCTGGAGGGATTACTTGAAGGAAATGGGCGACGGGGAAGATGAGGATGAGGATAATGTGGAATAGGACTACTTTCGGCTACAGGGATCTGTTCACACTACGATCCATAGATTCAATGACAAATGACTTGGATAGCATCATCAAGCCTAAACACAGCAAATATACACACCCTCACCACCACTGAAACCAACCCTTCCTCCCCTTCCCATCCTTATCACTACCGCTCTCCCTCTCAACCAACCCATTCCCCTCTCCCTCGTGAGCATACCCATTCCCCCTCTCCCTCTCCTCCGCCAACCGAACTGTCTCCTCCACAACCAACAAATCCCTCTCAATCAACTCCGCCCAATTCTGCACATCCCCAATCTCCTTCAACCCATCCCTCGCCTGATCCGCCACCTTGGCAAGCTGATCATTCTGCTTCGCCAACTGCTCCGTCGCCCGCCGCACATCCGCCTCCTGCTTATCAAGCACGGAGGAATTCTCCTGGATGTTACGGGCCCGGTCGCGTAGCGCACTGTCGTAGTTTGCGCCGGCGGAGCGCAGAGAAGCCGTGAAGGCTGTTTTGGCTTCTTCGGTGCGCTGAGAGGTTTCTGTAGGAGAGGTGGATGGGGATGAGGAGGGGAGTGTGGTGTTGGTGTTGGTGTTGGTTGAGGTGGACATTTTGGGGGGATATGGGATCTTGGTCGGTGATGGTAGCTTAGTTCTATGGTAGTACGATTATGGATTCACGATTGGTAGATGGGGTGTTTAAGAAGTGGTTTGTCAATAAATGTTGGTTTGTTTGACCCCACTTGTAAGGTTTGCGCTAAGGCTTCTTGTCATGCATACTGAGATTCATTACTATTGGCTATGGATGTACTGTGAAGTATTTATTTATATACTGGGTATATTTACCATTTACAAAAAAGTTAATCACGGGACTTGGGCTCCTTCGATCTCCAGGCCTGCATCACGGATCGCCTCAAGACGCCACTTTTGCTCGGCGCTTCGAGCAATATCTAAAGCTGTCTTGCCCTCCTTGTTCGTTTGATGGAGTAACTCTGGCGCTTTCCGAGCAAACATCGACACAGTCCGTCGATACTCTTCCTCAGCAGCGTGGCCACCGCACTGCACGGCAACTAAGTAGTGAAGGGTGTTATTCCCCGCGTTGTCAACTGCCGTAATATCTGCCCCGCGGTTGTACAACGCCAGGGCTCGCGTGATATCTCCCTTGGAGTACTCTGCTAACCTAATGTAACGTGAAACGGGTTGTAGAAGGGCATACATCATCGCAAAGGAGATTGTACCGACATTGCCACAGCGTGACGCGGCCAGAAGAAGCGTCCGTCCTTGGGTATCTCGCCTCTCGAGATCTAGATCTGGTATCTCGAGAAAGGGCTGGATGATTCCCCCGTGCTCGAAGATGTGGTGGAGAATTGTGGTTTCGTCGCAGCAGGCTCGGAAGGGCACTGCTCCATGTTGTAGTAAGTGTTGGATAATATCAATAGCGCGGGCTCGAGTGTGTGGTCCATTGAAGCCTGGCATAGATAGGTAGTGGAGAGGGTGGAGGGCGAAGTTCGTTAGTTTGCTGTCGTCATGAAAACGCTGGGAATACCACGCATTCCCTTCCTTCTGTAGCGTAGTCGTGTTGCAGTCGATTCCACTGTCCAGGAGAACAGATAGAACATAGAGGTTCAAATTGTCGAGGCAAGCGAACATTGTCCGGCTTGCGTGCTTTTCCAGGGATGCGCCGTTCTCCAGCAGTAGGCGGAAAAGTCCAACGTCATAAGTTGCCAGGCTGAGTGGTGTCCAGCCGTTCTTACTAGGGACGTTGGGGTCAGCGCCGGCTTCGAGCAAGGCCTTGACGATTTCTTTCCTTTGATATGATTCGGACAGGGATCTGTGTACTGCATTCAACAACGGCGTACTACCACTGGCGCTTTGCAGATTGGGATCGGCTCCGTGCTGAAGCAGGTATCGAACTGCTTTCGTATGCCACCATTGACCTCCCTTTGCAAGGTAATGTAAAGCGCTTTCTCCGGGTTTATAGGCGCGCCTCAGCCATACTGTTGATTGGAAGGGGAGTTTCGGTCGAATCTCAACTCCAGTTTGGAATTGAACGTTGACATCTGCTTTGAAGTTTTCCACCATAAGCTTTATAACTTCCAGATTGGGAACCTTTCGCTCTGCAGCGATGAGAAGGTACGGTATGAGTGGCTTCTTAAATCTGTTCATTCCTCCATTGATCCAGCTTAGATCTACCATGAGATCTCCGAGGCGTTTGAACAGATCGGTATATCCCCATTTCGCTAGTGTTACCAAAATTCCAGGGAGAGCAGTCTGTACATGTGCGCCATCTGCATGTTTCGCCAATCCTTCAGCCAAGGCGTTATAATGGCGGAGAAGCAATAGGTGAGAGACTGTTTGATCGCTAACATGCTCGCTGAAGCAAACACCAAGCATGTCCGGAAGGTGTCGAGAAGCAAGTGTGAGATACAACTGTCCGAAATTTGGGAAACGCATACTTTGTATACCATTTTCTTCCAATAGCCGTTCAAGCTCTGTTACCAACTCTCTGGATCCACTAAAAACGGCCTCCATCACGAGGGGCATGCGTGACGGGTCGTGAGTGAGAGTGGCTCCACGTGCGACGAGAGCTCGAAGAATCCCAGCCACATTTGTTGTATCATTCTCCGAGGTGACTTCTAGCCTGCGAATAGGATCTCGTTGGACTTTATCTAGTAACTGTGGTAGGTTGGGTCTTTTATCATCCTTTGACAATATTCCGGCGGCGCTGACCTTACCATCGAGCTTGGGGAGTTCTGAATGAACCGGCCATCTCTTTTCTTCTTGTGTATATTCAGCACAGACTAGCAGAGGAGTCTTTCCACGGCCGAACTTTTCCTCGGTTTCCGCGTTGACGTCGGCTCCAAATTCGAGAAGTAGGTTTACCGTTTCCAATCTTCCTGATTGGCATGCATCATGCAAAGGGGTTCTGCCATTCTTACACCGTTTATTCACCAGTGAGGATTGCTCAATAGAGGTATAATGCTCAAGTAGAAGTCCAACTATATTGGCTTGACGCGCTGTAGCCACAATATGAAGCAGATTCCTGCCATCGCCGGTGGTTGCAGTGGTATCTGTTCCAAGATCGATGAATTGGCCGGATACCATCAGAATCCGCTATCTCTAATGCTGCTATTAGCCCTGCACCGAAAATAAGGTCGATTGCTCTCTTGTCGCCGGATACTGTGGGCAAGAACATATAGTCGGACACCTGACGGCACGAGAGATACAGCGGAGATTGCCCCTTGAAGTTAACCTGAGTAGGGGATATCCCCGCGTCCAGCAGCTTTTTAATGATGTATATCTCGTTTTTGTCCCTGAATGAGGCGAAATCTGCCGAAAGACAATGTATAACGGTATCTCCATCATAATTTCTCATAGATGGATCTGCCCCGACCGATAAAAGAAATTCAAGTGCTTTGATTCCTCGTTCCCCATGTCCGCGTTGATAATGCAACACCCCATTGCCCTTGTAGTCTTGCGTGTTGATGTTGGCTCCTCGCTTTATCAAGTAAGAGACTTTCCGTTCATAGTCAACCGCCTGCAGCACAACACATGCCAGCAGTGTATAGCCTTGATTGTCTTTACTCTCGATATCGGCACCAGCAGCGAGAAAGACATCTACTGTAGCCTCAAACCACTCTAAAGATCCATCTACCATGTGTAATGGAGACTTTCCTTTCAAGTTCTTCCGGTTGACATGTAGGCCTTCCTTAAGCAGTTCAGATATCGTCAGACTTCCAGGTCGATGATGTCCCGCTGCGAGATGTAGTAGTGTATTGCCTTCAACATCGACTCCATTCCAATCTGTAACGTGAGGCCGAAACAAAGATAAATCGCCTAAATTTCCTTTAGCGGCAAAGCGTTGCAAAGGGGTCCAACCATCCGAATCTATCTTTTCATCTAGTCTTGCCCCATGGGCCATGAATAGCTGGAAGTTATCTTCTGATTTATATAAGTTCAACTGATGAAAAGGGGTGGATCCATAGTCGTCCGCAGCGTTCACATCTGCACCACTTTCAACGAGCATCTTCGTATAAGGCAGATCACACTACGGATGGATTCATGTAGGACTGTTCTTCCGGTTTCATCGGGAGCGTTCAGGTCGCATTTTGAGCGACGAAGTAAGGACAGGACCTGAGCAAAAATCTCAGTCGGTAATGGCTCTGACCTCCGTCTCGCTCTGCGTGGCCTGAGAAATCCGTGGAGCGGCGTTAAGATGGCCTCTGTATCGGACTGCGAAGTTGACGAATATTTTCCCCGTGACTTCAAACTCGCGTCGGCTCCATGGTGTACAAGCAGCTTAAGCACGTCCAGCTGGTGATGACTTGTTGCGATGTACAAAGTCGTCAGGCCATCTCTGGTAGTATTGACGTTTTTCCTGGGACATCCCAGCAAAGTCTCCACTATGGAGACATTTCCAGTTGCACAGGCATCACAACGAGCCGAATTGAGGTCCTCTGAAGATGCAGCAGGGATTGCGCTCTTAAGAGATTCAATGGAGTTGGAGGCACATGCGGCCTAGACGGTAAGCGCTTCATCAGACATTTCGATATGAGAACTTTAACGGTGAGAAGGTGATATTCAGCTAAGTGATGATTTTCCTTCTTGATTTCGGGAGAAGACGCATGTTTAAATATTCCAAAATGTGAGGTTGTATTAAAGGTAAAGAACGAACCATGAAAACCACCGCTAAATGACTCTTTGGGCCTTAGCGTTCAGGGTTCCAGGACTTTGCCGGCTTCTGCCTTAGGGTTGCCTCAACCCCAACGGTGTTATACAATTCTTCCTGATGTTCATCCCATCGCCAGAAGGAATGTTTCCAGGGGTAGTTTTACTACGGATCACTATCAAGAATTAAAGTTAGTCATTCACACTATGTATGGAAGATCTCCTACAAGAATAAGTAGCTACTTCCAGCCTGACACTCAAGCATCTATCTCCTTTTTAGGAAGTATTGATTCCAGAGAGGGTAGTCCGATTATCCATTCTATGATCGTCGCTGCAAATAGATACAAAGACTGATCTAGCCCCTACTCTATAGTACTAGATAGATTTATACTCTTGTCTGTGCATTTTTTTTCTACGCATCTAGAAGGAGAGAGCAAAGCTTTAAAAAACTTTGCCCTATCCAGGGGCGGATACCCCATATAGGCGAGAGGAGAGTGCATGTTGGGGGTTCCTGTAGACTAAGGAATGCCCTGCTGTCGTCGTGAATTGGCCATGGGTGGCTGCCCATGGTGCATTGCGGGTAAATGAGGGCTCATCTTGTCTAGGCACGTCGGGAAATCGCCTCCACTATTCAGCCACGCGTTGCCTCAATAGTAGCCATGCGATGTGAACAGGGAAAACAGGGAGATTTGGGGGGGGGGGTGTTTCCCCCGTCTATACGGCCGTCCTGACTTCTAGTCTGGTGGCCCTGTGGAAACTTACCAGCCTCATGTGGAACTTTTACATCCAGGTATAATCTTATATATGTAGCAGTGGTCAATGAAGTCCTCGATGAATGTTAGCAATCTGGTCTATGTGTTATTTTATCTCTCTACATCAGGCAAAGGAAGGATGTAGTAGATCTTCCAAGTCTAAACATGTATATATGCACCTCAATCAAAAGAGCCGACGATGTACTCCGAGTTAGATACACTAGACCTCTACAATACTATAAATTCAACCAACCAATCAAGAAACCCTCACCGCATCATCTTTCCGTTAAATACTAAGCTCAGCTCAGTCTTCTAATCACTCTATAGTCCTAGACCCACAACAATGTCTACGACGTCCGAATTACGCGAAAAGATCATCGGCTCCTGGACCCTTGACAAGTGTGTCTGTGAGTCTGCAAACGGGGAACCCGCTCTCAAATATTATCCCTTTGCGAACAAGCCCTCAGCATAATCATATGCAGCCACGTCGCCTCTGTATCTGCGCAGATGATTCGCCTCGGGGCTCCCCAAAACGCCGCTGGTGGCTTTCTCGAAGAATCAGAGAAAGAACTGGCGGAGACTATGAAACACTACCTAGCTTATTCGGGGCACTATGAGATATCTGACGAGGGAGGCTCCCTTCTGCTGAGACATCGGGTTGATTGATGTCTGTCCGTATCCTAAATGGGTCGGGACTGTGCAGGAGCGAAGCCCTCCTTACATGCTGATACATTGGAGCGGAGAACGGTGAACACCGTGGAGAGACGTGTAAGCTGGTTTGCTTATGCGTTTCTGTCTTAAAACTGGTACTTGTCCGGACTGAGCTGATGACTTCTTAAGGGTGTGCCTCAGCGTTGGATTCTGGCGTGGAAGAAGATTTGGGGACTGGCGATGGTCGGTAGATCTGAAGAAATTCTAGGGACTGAGGATGTACAGCGTCATAGATAGACTATGCTTGACCCAGACTGAAGTCTCTCGCCTGGCAGCTTAGGGTGATTTCTGTACGGTATCTATATCTTAGCTCTAGAATCAACGCTCCATTTCCAGTTCTCAACGGAGAATTAAACAGGATTGTTTTCACAGCCACGAGCATTACTGACTCTACGAATCTATCCCTCCTGGTTCCAAGGCACACATTTGGGATTGAAAATTAATTATAAAAGCCGTGGTGTTCCAAGGTTTCATCCGGTTTTCAATCGAAGACCGACCCAAGCCATCCATTGTGAAGCCTTCCGATGCGGTCGTCAAAATCACTCACACAACAATCTGTGGCACCGATTTGCATATTCTCCAGAACGATATCCCGGTTAGTCTCGGACATTTGCTGAGCCATGAGGGAGTTAGGAGTCATTTGCTCTATTGGCCTGGGTGTTACCGACCTTCGCATCGGTCAACCGGTTCTAATTCATGCATAACCTCCTGAGGGTATTGCCGATCATGCTGGAAGGGGATGACCTCACAGCGTGTCCGGTGGATGGATACTCGGAAATGAAATTGACGGTACTCAAGCTGAGCACGTCAGAATTACACATACTTCGTTCTCTCTGCATCCTCTCTCTGACGGCGCCGAGCCCAAGGCGACTGTTATGCTTTCTGATGTATTCCGCACGGCTTACGAAGCTGGTATGCTCAACGGCCAGGTCAAGCCTGGTTCAGAGGTTGTAATAATTGGGTCTGGACCAATAGGGCTAGTGGCACTTATAACGCTGAAGAAGCTTTTCGGTCCTTCTCAAGTGGTTGTTATTGGAAGAGAGCAATCGAGACTCGATGTTGCGAAGGGTGTAGGGGTAGAGCATACCCTCAGTACTTAAATGGAGAAGCTGAGGTCGTTCAGTCGAGCCAGGCACTGACTGAAGAATAGGGCTTTGATGCCGTGATAGAAGCAGTGCGCTCGAAAGAGGCCTGGCCTTTGAGACAGCGCAGGCCCTCGTGGCTCCCGGCGGCACGATTGCGTCTCTCGGTGCTTATGGCTGCAAATGCGATTTAAATCTTGAATACTTGTTGGGGCGTAGTATGAGTATGCTATATTATTCATATCTGAAGAGACATAGCTGTCAAAAGTAGGGTGGTTGATACCATCGGCACTCGAGACATCCTGACAGTGAAGAATGGAATGCTAGATTTAACCTTCTTGATCTCTCATGCTTTGTTTGCACCTGCCGTGACACAATTTAAGCCTCAATAGCTATCGCTAGATTCCTCGTTCGATGAAGTTAAGAAAGCATACGTGGGTTTTGGCGCTGTGTCAAAGCATGACGTACTGAAGGTGGTGATTACCATGTAACCCAGATCAACTTCTCGCCGTGGATTATTATGATGGCTGGTACTTTTCAATCCGAATTAAGCTGTTAGTAAACCGAATTGTATTGTTCTCCCTGGTTGATTTGTACCTTTCTGAAAAGGATAGGGTTGAAGGTATTTATATCCAAGTAAATACTAATAACCCACCCCGATATCCTGCCAAGACCGGTTAAATCATGGAAATAATTATTTTCTATCTTACCCTTGAGAAATATGTCGGCACGCAGTCTCATACCATCCACCATTGCAAATCCGCGAAGTTGCTTAAACTTTACTCTCCACCAAACCATAACAACCCTCACATTCAAGCTGGCACGCCGCCGAACGATCAAATGGCTCGTAGCCCACCTATCCAAAGCACCAAGTATAATGCCGCAATGTATGTCCAGTCGTATCCTCTACCTCTACCTCTCTACCCATACATATAAATATTTCTCGCTAACGTTCAATACAAGCCTGGCTACTATGAACCTTGTTGCAAGTTTTGCCGAGAGATACCTCGAACCAACGTTGGTTCGTTGGCTACGACTCCTCACACTCGTCATCAACAGCGTTGTTTTCATCGTCGCCGTATTTGGAGCGGCTAAGGGACAGACTGGTGTGGTCGAGCAGACCTCTACCAGAATTCGGGATGCGACTGACCTGGACGATGAGAAACGTCTTCCCAATGCGGGACAGGGGCAGGAGATCAAATGTGTGGATTCTGGAGGTTGATATACCAGGAATACTGTGGCGTGATTTGGTCTACAATTCTGAAGTACAATAGAGGTCTATTTTTGCTCGCTAGATGTATACTTTTTTCGGATCTAAGATGTGGTTCCATGCTATGTCGCGCACACATGATTAGGATAATAAGTGACGAGCAATGCCAGTTCATTAAGATATAGAAAAGGAGAGATAATCTTGATGACCAGTATACTATAAATATGTATAATACTGTCATAAGATGCTGTCCGACAACGTATGGCCAATGTACAGGTGAACATCCAGAGTACATTCCAACTCTCTCATAATCAACTATTACACTCGTTCAAATTCGCTGAATGCTTCAGATCATCCCAAACGCCATGCATGCCCAGCCGAAATATCAACATTTTCCCGCACGAAGATATGTATTAAGGTAATGCGTGCAGAAAACAACAATGAGAAAGCAAAGACTCTACAAAGACTCTACAAAGTTACATATTTGCCAATTCATGGTCAATCTGGCGGTCCACGAATGCTCGCTTGTCTCCTGTCAATGTCGCTTGAAGGCGCTGCTCGACTAATGCGCGAACTGTGATAGAGTTAGCATGTTTCATATCATGACTATAGTCCCTCTGCTCACCTTGCTTCTTTGTGACAGTGTCCAAGTCCACTTCCGCCAGGCAACTACGGATAGCGTCCGTAATCGCCATTTCATCCGGTCCACCGCTGCCGCGGAAGTCAAACGCACTTTGAGGTCTAGAGGTATAACCACCCACAGGGCTGCGAGAATTTGGCCGGGGAACCCCTAGGAGATTGTCGGTGCTCTGCATGAGACCTACGCTATGCCGATTTATCGGATCTTGGAGCTGGCTGAGATTGCCGACGGACAGAGTTCGAGACTGGTGTCCTGGTTGAAGCGGCATATCGGTGTACCGACTAAAGCTCGATAGATGGGAATGTCTGTTACCCGGGATATTGCCTCCGAATGGAGCTGGGGACTGTGGCGGCATGTACGGGCTACCATTTCGGCCTGCCCCTGGAAATCCGGTCAAGATGGTGGATGCAGGCTTGACCGAGGAGTATTGGGAATGCATATCATCCATTTCTAGAGCCATGTCGTCATACCGACCTGAATAGAACTTCTCCTGGTTCATGCCATAATCTCCACGGCGACCAGGTAGATTGTTGGCGAGAGCGTAATCATCCCAGCGCTGGAGTGGAATACTGCGTGGGTCGAACGGTTCGTCCTCCACCGCGACGACACGCTTGGATCCCTTCTCTCCAAGGACAACACGTGTGTTACCCCAGCTGAAGTCGTCCTGTTTCCAGAACGAATACATCGGCAACACAAAATTGTAAATTGGATAGGCACATATGTAGATTATCATCCATCCAATATGCTGCCACTGGCGTTTCACAATGAAAATGATCGCTTGAAGACCGTAAACACCAGCCAGGATGGCGATAGAGATATATGGAATTTGTCCGGAGTGACTGGCGATAAGGTAGATCAGGTATCCTAGATAGACGCAGGTGGCGGGAAGAATGAGAGTTCCAATTAGATCGACCAGCACGACAAAACGCATACTGAAGCAGCAGAAGCCGCAGAGATCCTTCAGAGCAGCTAGTTCTACCAAGTTATGGATAGTCGAATTGATCCAACGACGTCGCTGAGAGAGTAGGACAGACCATGTCTCTGGTGCGGCAGTGCTAGCATAGGCATCCGGGATAAATTTGTAGGTTGAGGTAGGGAAGTGCTTGGTCATCAGAGTAGTCAAGTAACGGTCCTCGCCCAAAGAAAGTAAGTTCTTCTTGTGCAGTGTGTCCACATCATTGTCCGCGTACTCTTTGATGACCTTGTCTGATATGATCAACGGCCGGCCTTTATCCGCAGTGCGCAGGCGATACATGCAGAAACTGTACGAGTCAGAAACTTCGCAACATACATTACTCTAGAACTCCAATAACTTACCATCCTGGAAGACAGGTCACACTGCCAAAGAGTGACTCGAATGCTTTGGCGAGGTGATGAGAAATATAGTATTCGTAGACCTGAATCATTGTCCACCAGCTTCGTTCCTCATTTTGCAAGCTCGTCTCACCACAGATACCGGCAATGCGAGCATCGTTAGCACAAGCAGCGACCAGGCGGTTGAGCGAATCCTCGCGGACACTGGTATCCGCATCCACCATCAGACAGTATTCATAGAGCTCAGGGTCCACGCCGATCACGTTATTGATCTGGTGAAATATCTCCAGCTCAAGAGGCGACATTGGGGCGCGATAGTGAACACGATTGAGGAAGCCAAGAAGCTGAATTTGAGAGTCACGTTTGCCCCTGTTTCCAGGTTTGGACTTATTTTGCTCTGACTCTTTACCAACCTTTACAACAACAATATAGGGCACAACATTTCCCTCGTACTCATAGAGTCCAGAGTAAACCTTTCCGTAGTTCAGCTGATCACTGCCTTGACCAATTGACTTGAACGGCAACGCAGGAGGGTCAATCTTAGGATCAACACCGAGAATGTCTAGAACGATTTTCGGTGTTGGTCGGTCGTTACCACCACCGACAATCATACCGTCACAGATGACGTAAATGAGTTTTCTCTTGTTATCATACTGAAGGGCTGTCAACGAATCAAGCCCTTTCCGTAACGAATCCTCGCCTTCTGTGTAAGCTGGCACTAAGCAGATGACGAACTTGTCCTGCGGCGCAGGACGACGTTTGGATCCCAACTGGAGAGCAGCGAGGAACTTCACAAGGATGACAGCACAGATGAGAACCGTGAACGCCAACAGGATGTAATTATTGACTTGACATCTAGCGCTATCACGGAAGTCGACTTTGCCCTTAAGAAAGACATAATCAAGACACTTTTGTGCGTCAGTGGCATTTTGAGTCTGAGGCCATTTGTCCGTGACGTCGGTACCTGGGTAGTTCTTGAAAAGCTCTGTGATACTGCTCGGCAAGAAGTCGTAACTGTCTTGGTTGTTCATCTGTTTGAGAGTATAGAAATAGTCCGTCAAGTCATATATATTATCATCCTTGATGACCCAGGACCGTGAACTGCTGTCTGCTTGCTTGGAAACATCACTCCGTTTCCAGACAACGTTCCCCTTGTAGTACTCATCAATCTTGGGTAGAAAGACACTCTCGTACCAAGTAATTTTGTGTAATTTTGTGTTCGGGTCCGATTCGGCGTAAGGGCCACAACTGTGTTTGGCGTTTGGATATAACACCGCGTTTGTGTCGTTGTTTCTCAATGTGATAGACTCATCTGTCACAAATTTACCACAGACTCGAGTGAGAGGAGGAGGAAAATACGCATCAAGGTTTTTGCCCATGAAAGGTTCCATGTTCGCTGTCGTCGTTTCAATGCTTTTGTCACTGTGTTGAATTTTCCAGAACTTGCTGATGTCGTAGACTTTTCCATGAATACTGACGTAGTAATCATTGTTCCCTTGGTGATAACCCACTTGTTTCTCGTTCCAGACTTTATCCTTATTCGGACAAAGCAAGTCGCCGAAGGCTATAATATAAAAGCAGACGGCAGCGTTAAAGAGAAGGATAAGGAAGACGAGAACCAGCTTTTCTCTCCAGGCCATCCGCACATCAGGACGCTTCATTCTTCCCACAAACCGAAGGACAAATGATGGAATCCAGAAAGTCATGGCCCAGACAAAGCCAGTCCAAGCACGACGACCGAGAGTAATCTCCTTCTTTTCAATATGTTTAGGGTCGGCATATTCTGGATCAAGCTCGCCCAAGTAGCGGCCCTCATCGTCGAAGTAGGGGTTGTCATACTTTTTGTCATCTCCCTTTGAGCCTAAACCGTAATCACCACCCATGTTTAGAGTCTGGGGTGCGCTGGGCGCGATAGATTTGGCACCTCCAGCTACACTGGGAACCAACGTGCTTTGTCTATTTAGGAGGTTATCCCGGCTCCCGAGTAGGCTGGTAGATTCTGCGACAGGATGTCCTGCGTAATGTGGAACTCCAGGGTCGAGCATGCCACTTCCATACATGAAAGGGCTTGCTGCTAGTGGTTCCTCGGGCTTCAGATCAAGCATAGTCTCAGCTTCCCACCATGCGTTTTCCCGGACCCAAATCCGCTGATGCCCGACCACGGCATCACCGTTCGTCCATCCCCTTTCGAGTAACCAGCTCTCGACACCATCCTTGCCTTCCCGGCACCCGAGCCGGAAGTATCTACCGATAAATTCTTCCACGTCAAAATCGGCTGTAAAGTCGATCTGCTTGAGCCGACGGTTCGCCCATTCGGCGAGTCTCCATTCGCGTATCTGGCGAGAAACAGCGCTCGCAGACCAGGCCGCGGTTGGCATGCCAGGGTTCAGCTTCTCGGGCAAGTCGTCGGTAGGGTGGATGGAAATATGATGCCACACACGACTGCTGCCCAGGGTAGTAGGAAGATCAAATCGGCCATTCTTACCCAGACTAATGCCCTCGGATGCGGCGGAAAACAGGATCTGACGGAGGAACGAGTCCATGTCAACTTCGAGTCCAACTTTCTCGAGGACTTCGTGCTTCTTGTCCATTTCATACTCTCGTTCGCGCCACGTAGGACCAGTGGTGATACCCAGATCGGCTTCAACTTGAGCAACCGCCGCATTCATATCATTAACGACGGCCTGACCTGCGGACGGAACGACGACACCGTCCTCTTTCATTTCCGCGTTGATACCCATAGTGTCATCAAATACCCCTCTCATCGCTATGGCCTTTCCCAAGGCAGGCCTGGGAATATCAACCACAGTAATGCTTACCGTATCATCGTCGGACCATTGCCCAGCTTGTCCAGAGCCACGACTGCTATCATCTAGGCTCGCCTGAAGCTGGCTTGCAATGGCCTCATTGGCTTTCCCAATCACCCAGTCAACCAAGGCTTCGTAAATACCGGCGATTAAAATCTCTCTCTCGTCAGTGGAGACTTTGTGTAGAAGAACTTCAGGGTCTATCCCCAGCAAGCCGCCAACATCCTCGCAAGCTTCCTCTAGATCTTCCTGGTCAACCAAGAAGCCAGCCGCATTACCAAGTTTGAGTAAACCAGCAAGCACTGACAAAAGACCTCGCTGAGATGCGCCTTTGATGCCAATCGCCTTGAGCGCAGATCTGAAATCCTCGGCGGCGGCAGCATCGTCGGCAGTAGGGAGATATGATGGGGGTGCATAGGTACCCGACTTGCGCAGCAAAGCATAGGAAGAGGCCTCCTGTAAATCCAAGAACTCGCGCTCCGCTGGGGTCGATGCAGATGTCAAGAGGTAATAGAATACATCAAAGGCGCGGTACCCTGGTTCAGAAGGAATGTCAAGAAATCCCTTGCGGACGTTGATCCCGGATGTCGAGAGCGCTAAGGATAGCCCGGTGATATCACCCTTCAGCGTCAAGGTGTAGCAAGCTGAAAGTGCGGAATGCAATGAATACGAAGGGTTGAAGGAAGTAACCGCTGTCAAGAAGGGCCGGATAGCGGCTAACGCTGTGTAAGTGACACTGGGAGTGGACAAAGGCAATGCTGCCAAGAATGGTTCGAAAACGGATGGTGTTGAGTGGTGAGCGGAGCTGGTTGTTGTGGTTATAGGTTAGCTCATCTGCGAGTTTTCTTAGACATAGGGAGGGCAACTAACCATAAGACAATACAGCCGTCCTCCGCTCTCCTTCTCGCATGTTCCCAGGCTCTGACTGCTAGTTCACGGTCTATTGTAGCCCCGACATGGCCATCAGAAGTTGGTTGTGTTGCAGTAAGCAACGTATTGACGACTAGACTAGTCCCCGCATCTAATTGGTAAGGTTGTCCGGCTGTATAATGCGTATGCAAGGCATTTAGCAGAGTCGTCGTAGATACTTGGCCCCCTGGCTGGGACGCTCGGCCACCGGTGGAGAAAGCAGCCGAATGGCTGGAGTAGACTGAGTAGCGATTTGACATGGTTGTGCAACCCCGAGGTTAATCGGCGGTCTACCCCAAAGATGCTTTTCAATGAGTACCAACTCAGCAATGGAACGAATGAAAAAAAATTCTGGATACTGTACGCTTAAAGCATGAATCTACTTTTCTCCCTTATTTTTGGTCTGACTTCACTCTCTGGCAAACGATCAATGCATACGTACACGGTGAAGTGTCGCTAAGGCCGTGAGAAAGGAATGGGCAGCCTTGAGGATTCGCGAATAGAAGTTCGGACGCGGAGAGTTCAATGGTGTTAAAAGGTGGAATTGGGGCTTTGATCGTTAAATATAATGGCGTACTATTCTTCAGGCTGTGAAGCGAGCGACAGGGATGCAAGTAAACAGCGAATGTTAGGCAAAGCGATGGCTTTTGACCCCGGAGATTATGATTATAATCAATGATGCGAAGCGAAGGCCTGAACAATTAGGTTATTGACAGAAATGGCAGAAAAAAAGGTGGAAAGATCAAAAACACACTTGAAAGCACTGCTCTAGTAAGAAGAAGAAGAAACAAAAAAGCAAGTAAGAGGAAGCAAAACAAAACGATCGAGTGGCGGACAATGGCAAGGTAGATAGAATAGGAAGAAACAAACGGAGAAGAAGAGAACGAGACGATCGTCCTGTGATGCGAGTTTGGTGCCAGCCCGCCTCAGACAAGTCTAGTCTGTTGTCGTATGCTATCGCCAGAAGCTTAACTGTATATGGGTTGGTAGATACGGCCATACGAAAATTACCATTTTTTTTTCATTCTCCGAATGCTTTGTTGTTCCAACTCAAATTCCCCCCTTTGGTTGATTTCAATGGGTAATTTGGACTAACTGTCTTACTAGAGAGTGAAAAAATGCAGAAACAGCTGTACTAACAAGTAGTGTTGTCCCCACTACTGGCCCTACCTAACTCTTAGCCATATCTGGTATTTGGGTCATAACAATGGTCAATTCTTTCCCCCTTTCTTTTCTATTGGCAACCTAGATGGTTCTACCATGGTTATATAAAGGGAGGGCTGACATCCGTTGAAAGTAAAGTGTATTTTTATGTAAAAGGTAATGTTGAGTAATTCCTACGCTTTTTTTGTGAATTTATTAGTTTCTGGTGGGTTTTTGTTCTTGTTATTTTTTATTTTCTTAATTTATTTTCCTGGGATTTCCCCCCCAGTATCAAACCTGTCAGGTGGCGTGCATCAGAACTTTTATGTTGACCAATCGCGGCAGCGAGAAGGGTCAGATCCATGGCCCTAGACCCTTGGGGACTCTTCGCGCTATAAATGGCACATCTTTTGTCTCACCCACCATCATTCCGTATCCAATACCGTAGAGGCCGACTTTCAGTGTCTCAGTCAAAACCAATCAAGGTTCCCCATCTTGTCACCTTATCAACTTTTTCACAGTAGATTTTAATCGATCTTGTTCCGCTAAATTTCTAATTTAGGAGCGCCCCGAGTTGTCATATGCTTAGTCCATAGACTACCAAAGTCATGCAGCATCGCTGGACACCTTGATGTTGTTATTTTTATACCGCGTTCGCCTCTATTAAGGTAAGGTGGCGGCTCCAGCCACTGTTTTCTGCAGAACATCCACTGTACATGCGATGTATTTCGGAAACGAGTTGTAGTGAGTCTATCTTTTAAACTAAACAAGAACAAAAAATGGAAGAGAGTCCCACTGATCGATATGATTAGGCCCTTTGCCAGAAACACCATCTATATTTAGGGATCACGGTGAAGCGTAGATCACCTCCATATGAGCAATCTAGAAGAGAAAAAATTCAGAACATATTCCACCATATTCCACTGTGAATAAATCATGATAATGAAATGAGCATATTGAAAAGGGCTAATGGGCCCCTAGTTTCATGCCCTTTCCTTATTAGGTCAAGGCAATCGACTGATCCCGACCCACCTACACCTGAAGTGTCTTCCTTTTTTTTCTCTCTTTTTCTTTTTTCTTTTTCCTTTCTCTTTTCCCTTTTTCCCCACTCCCCTCCCCCTAGGACTGAACTAGATACACATGATTGTGACCTATAAGGAGACCACTTACTAACTCCTATATTGCAGGTGACCATGCATTTATTGATCAATATCGATATTTATAGTTTCTCTATGGAATGGATGGATAAGTTAAACTGAATAAATAATAATAGTAATAATCATAGCCGACGGTCAAGGGATGGTGCGCCCCTGAGAACAAGTTCGGTAACCTGTCAATTATCATGTGGCGCGAGAAACCAAGTCAAAAAGAGGTTGATGCAATGCTGGTATTTGAACCAACCACGGTATGGGATCGGGAACCCGAAACTGTATTCATTGATGTGTGTAATCACGTTTCACATCTACTAATAATACTCTCAACCAGCTCTGTAGTTCCCAAGGTTCAAAGAGTATCACCGTGCCGCGTACCAGAAACCAGGATATACCGACTTTGGCATGATGTACATACAAACTGACTCTGAATAATTGGAAGGAGGAGAACAGGTAGGATCGAAGGTTTAACCGACTGGGATTCTCCATCCCCACTTGTAGTGTGAGTGGACAATATTGCCCACTTGGCCTCGGTTGTTGGGGGGAACCTCCCCAAATAATAACAATTTGGTCCGCCGGCTCAATCTACGTCGGACAGGATACAGATTAATGCTCATGATCTCTTGACTCGAGACGACCAATCCGAGTATTTATATCATCGGAAGTTGATTCGACTAGTAATTTTGATTCGTAATTGATTGGATACATACATGCATACCACAGCAGGACAAGCAGTAATTTGCAAAACCGCCGGGGAACAAACAAGGTAAGTGGCAGTTGGCCCACCGAGTACTAGTACATAGTATCTAAGGACAGTACCTAAGCATCTGATGGTACAGAACAGATCCATTCAATACCACACTTGCCCAAGTCCAGTTAAGTTAGTTTGTGTTCCATACTCGACCAACTCTTCTTTCTTTTCCCCAGAAGCTGTTCATCGCGATCGTTTGTTTCTTCTCTCTCAAAAAAGCCCATCACCGTTGAATTGCTGTTTTGCTCTCGTGCTTTTGCTTTTCTTCCTTTTCTTCCCCTCCTCTCTCTTCTGATTTGATTTATATTTCTTTTCTTTCCTCTTTTGGACTTGATAATTCTTTCAGAGTAATCATATCATAATTACAGAGTGTTCGCCATCCACCTGCGAGTAGGTTCTACAAATACGATCACTACCGTCGACTTTCACACCACTTTCGCTTCTCGCTTGGAAACTTGCCAGCTGTTTAACTCATATTCATTGCACCGAACTTCCCGAATTCCGATCAATATCAACGAGCCGCGTGCTGTCTGCTGATCCGTTGGCCATCTTATACGAGCAATGTGCCTGTCTTTCTATTGATAGGAAATTTTACGTCCAAGGCATTTGCAACATTCCAAAGTTAACTGACCAGCATAACTGAACGGCTCCCATCCAATTCAAGACCACGACCAAACGAGATCGCCTTTGTAAAATTCCCCCTTTTCTCCTTGGCCCAGATCTATATCGATCTTTCGCAAGACGTTTTTGCCCTTCACTCCTGGTGTGACCGGAGTTTGAGAAACCTCAAGTGTCGAGGTTTCGAGCCATTGACAATATGGTTGGGCCGTCGCCAGCGGGGACAGTCCCATCCCATGCGCAGTCGTCGCTACCCTCGTTACCAGCCCATTTGCAATCAGACACGCATTTGACTGCCCATTTAGCCAGCCGGTATGATCCCGCGATATTGTTAATCTCGGAATTTGACTGACAGGGTACTGTACTGTTTTAGTTTTCATGTCGGCTTACCTACCGCTCGCCTGTCTTCCCAAGCTCTAATCAGTCTTAACACATACACTTCGTCTTCGAAGGGACCCGATGGCGGTAAGGATGGCAGTGCGATGGGTGAGGCTGAAGATCTCGCCCGACGTGCTTTCACTCGTCTGGGTGCCCGTGGAGAGAATCAGGCTATTGTCTTCCTGTAAGCGCTTCTCGGCTCCTTACCTATACTCTACGGTCTCTAATCAGCCATTTACAGGGGAGAGAGCGGGTCTGGAAAGACCACTCTTCGCGCACATGTGCTATCGTCTTTTCTCTCGTTCTCGTCAACACCATTGTCGTCCAAGCTGTCATATGCCTCCTTTGTCTTCGATACATTGACAACGACCAAGTCCTTAACCACGCCAACCGCCTCAAAAGCGGGGCTGTTTTTGGAACTACAGTACGACGGGTCATCGTCGGTCAACCCCACGCTGATCGGTGGTAAGATTATCGACCACAGACTCGAACGCAGTCGCATTGCTTCCGTCCCCACGGGAGAGAGAAGCTTCCATGTGCTCTACTATCTCTTGGCCGGAACCAGCGCGGCAGAGAAAAGCCACCTAGGATTCGATAACTCTATCCACGTCTCGACAAGTGGCGGTAAGTTGTCGTCTGCATCGATAGGCAACAAAAGGTGGAGATATCTGGGTCATCCAACCCAGCTGAAAGTGGGTATCAACGACGCGGAAGGCTTCCAACATTTCAAGACCGCACTCAGGAAGCTCGAGTTCCCACGCAGTGAGATAGCCGAAATCTGCCAAATTCTTGCTGCCATTCTTCATATTGGCCAGTTAGATTTCTCCAGCGGACAAGCTACTTTAACATCAGCAGAAGAGTCCGGCGGTTACTCCCATGAGGGTGGGGAGACTGTCACAATAGTGAAAAATAAGGATGTCCTGTCGAGCGTCGCCGCGTTCTTGGGTCTTGGAGTCGAGGAACTTGAGAATAGTTTCGGCTACAAGACCAAGACTATCCATCGGGAGCGTGTGACAGTGATGCTTGATCCGAAAGGTGCCCGGCAAAATGCCGATGAGCTTGCGCGTACCATTTATTCCCTATTGGTTGCTTATATCCTTGAGACAATTAATCAGAGGATATGTGCCGCAGAGGACAGTGTCGCCAACACTGTTTCTATCGTTGATTTCCCTGGGTTCTCTCAAGCTTGTTCCACTGGGTCCACGCTGGATCAACTCCTTAGCAATGCAGCTACCGAATCATTGTACAACTTCTGCCTGCAGTCCTTCTTCGATCACAAGGCAGATATGTTGGAGCGTGAAGAGGTAGTTGTCCCCGCGACGAGCTACTTCGACAACACTGACGCTGTCCGTGGCCTGTTGAAACACGGAAATGGGCTCCTCAGCATTCTCGATGATCAAACCAGACGTGGCAGGACGGAAGCCCAGTTTGCTGAGTCGTTGAGGAAACGCTTCGAAAACAAAAACCCCGCCATTGTCGTGGGAAGCTCTGGGTCCACTCATGGTACCGGCTACGTCTCACAGCAAGCGCGCTCGGCATTTACCGTGAAACACTTCGCTGGTGAGGTTGATTACTCCATCTCTGGTCTCCTTGAAGAAAATGGAGAGGTCATCTCCGGTGACCTTATGAATATGATGAGATCCACCAGAAGTGACTTTGTGAGAGAGCTCTTCGGACAAGAAGCATTACAGACAGTGACCCATCCCAAGGAAAAGAATGCCATTATGCAGGCTCAGGTAAGCTCAAAACCTATGAGAATGCCTAGTATGGCGAGGCGGAAAGCCGGCCCATCGTCTCGACTTGCTTTCGATGCACCTACCGCCGAAGAACCAGAGGATCATGAGAGCTATGGGGGAAGTACGACCAAGAGCTCTGGAAGGCGAAAAAGCGCGATGTCGATGACCGGTATTCAAGGTGCTGCCGGACAATTTCTTTCATCACTCGAAATCGTCAACAAATGCCTCAGTTCACCGGGCTTAAATCCTTACTTCTTTTTCTGTTTGAAGCCCAACGACCGGCGAATTGCGAATCAGTTCGACAGCAAGTGTGTGCGAGCTCAGGTGCAGACATTTGGCATTGCTGAGATCAGCCAACGTCTGAGGAACGCCGACTTTAGCGTTTTCCTACCCTTCGAGGAATTCCTAGGTCTAGCTGAGATAGGCAACGTCGTGGTGGGGAGTGATAAAGAAAAGTCCGAAGTCGTGTTAGATGAGAAGCGGTGGCCAGGTAACGAAGCTCGTGTAGGCAGTACCGGTGTTTTCCTCAGCGAACGCTGCTGGGCAGACCTCGCAAAGGTGGGCGAGAGAGTTGTTCCTGTCTATCACGCTGACGGCTCGGAGGAAGGTGGCGATGGCCTCCTTCATCCACGTACCGCAGCTTATGGTGATTCCAAGGTCCGCCTATTGAACCCGGCAGACCAGTCTCCCGGCAACTTTATATACGGCGATGAGAGCAAGCAGGGTTACTTCGGGAGTCGCGACCTTGATGGGCGATCGGAGGCTGGGGGCTCTGGCCTGAATTCAGGTGATATGTTCCACAATCTCGAAACTAGGGAGCAGATGTTGGAGAAGGGAAATGAGAAGAAAATGGAAGAAGTTGATGACGTCCCCGTTTCTGGCAGTCGCAAGCGCTGGATGGCACTAGTTTACCTGCTGACGTTCTACATTCCCGACTTTGCTATTAAGTGGGTGGGTCGGATGAAGCGAAAGGATATACGAACTGCTTGGCGTGAGAAATTCGCTATCAATCTAATCATTTGGTTCAGTTGTGCCTGCGCCATCTTCTTCATTGTCGCCTTCCCCGGTCTAGTTTGTCCCACTCAGCACGTTTATTCAGCCTCGGAATTGTCTTCACATAATGGCAAAAACGGCCATAGCTCTTACATTGCCATTCGCGGCGTGGTTTTCGACCTCGATAAATTCATGCCCAGACACTATCCTGATATTGTTCCGCAATCGGCTTTGAAGAAATACGCCGGTGTTGACGCCACCGGTCTCTTTCCTGTGCAAGTATCCGCGTTATGTCAAGGCAAGTCTGGCTCGGTCGACCGCACGGTTCTTCTAGATTACACGCCTACGAACATATCCGGGTCGGTGACGACCATCAGCACTGGGGATGTTAACGCGAAATATCATGATTTCCGCTACTTCACCAACGACTCCCGCCCAGATTGGTTCGCGGAACAGATGAAGGAACTGCGGGCGACCTATCTGAAGGGATATGTTGGTTATAGTCCCCAGTACATCTCCACTCTGGGCAACAAGAAGTCCCAGAACATTGGAAGCATAAACGGGAAAGTCTACGACTTAACAAACTATATCAGCGGAGGTCGACGGGTTGCAGCTCCTCCTGGAGAAGAGCTTCCGGCTAATGTCGACAGGGAGTTCATGGATCCTTTGGTTGTCTCCCTCTTCCAAGATCTTCCTGGACAGGATTTAAGTAAACACTGGGAACAGCTGAATATAGATGCAGGCATGCGCGACCGCATGCAGATGTGCCTGGATAACCTTTTCTTCGTCGGCAAGGTCGATACGCGTAACTCAACCCAATGTCAGTTTGCGCGTTACTTCATCCTTGCGATTTCGATCCTGATCTGCTCGGTTGTCGTCTTCAAATTTGCCGCCGCTTTACAATTTGGCAGTAAAAACGTCCCCGAGAACCTTGATAAGTTTATCATTTGCCAAGTGCCCGCCTACACTGAAGATGAGGAGTCCCTTCGTCGTGCAATGGATTCCATGGCCCGCATGCAGTATGACGACAAGCGTAAACTGCTTGTTGTCATCTGTGACGGTATGATCATTGGACAAGGAAACGACCGTCCTACTCCAAGGATAGTACTGGATATTCTGGGCGTTCCGGAATCAGTAGATCCTGAACCCCTCAGCTTTGAGAGTTTGGGAGAGGGCATGAAGCAGCACAACATGGGCAAAATCTATTCTGGTCTATATGAGGTGCAGGGTCATATTGTTCCTTTCCTAGTTGTCGTGAAAGTTGGAAAGCCTTCGGAAGTCTCGCGACCTGGTAACCGTGGAAAACGTGATTCTCAGATGGTACTTATGCGCTTTTTGAACCGCGTGCATTATAACCTTCCCATGAGTCCCATGGAACTGGAGATGTACCATCAAATACGTAACATTATTGGTGTCAATCCCACGTTCTACGAGTTCATCTTGCAGGTTGATGCTGATACGGTTGTTGCTCCCGACTCGGGAACTCGAATGGTCGCTTCTTTCTTAGCAGACACACGGATCATAGGTCTCTGTGGCGAAACAGCCTTGACCAATGCTAAGCATTCAGCGGTGACTATGATCCAGGTTTATGAATACTATATCTCCCACAACCTCATCAAGGCTTTCGAAAGTCTTTTTGGTTCAGTCACTTGTTTACCAGGCTGCTTTACTATGTACCGAATTCGCTCTGCGGAGACCGCAAAACCGCTTTTTGTTAGCAAAGAGGTGGTAGAAACCTACTCGGAAATCCGTGTTGACACACTTCATATGAAGAACCTGCTACATTTGGGTGAGGACCGATATTTGACAACCCTTCTGATGAAGCATCATCCGACTTTCAAAACCAAGTTTCTCTTTGCAGCTAAGGCCTGGACGATTGCTCCTGAAAGCTGGACGGTCTTCTTATCCCAACGTCGTAGATGGATCAACTCCACTGTCCACAACTTGATTGAACTGATTCCTCTTCAGCAGCTTTGTGGTTTCTGCTGCTTTAGTATGAGGTTCATTGTCTTCGTTGACCTTCTCAGTACCGTCATCCAGCCTGTTTCGCTTGCATACATCATCTACTTGATCGTTTGGATTGCCAGAGATACGTCTACCATTCCATACACGGCTTTTATTCTTATTGCCGCGATTTACGGTCTCCAGGCCCTTATCTTCATCTTCCGTCGGAAGTGGGAAATGATCGGCTGGATGATTATCTACATCCTAGCCATGCCTGTGTTTTCCGTCGCTCTGCCCCTTTATGCGTTCTGGCACATGGATGACTTTTCTTGGGGTAACACTCGTATCATCACTGGAGAACAGGGCCGCAAAGTCGTCATTTCAGACGAAGGAAAATTCGACCCTGACTCCATTCCGAAGAAACGGTGGGAGGAGTACCAAGCGGAGCTCTGGGAGGCGCAGACATCACGAGATGACCGTTCGGAAGTTTCGGGCTTCTCCTACGGCACCAAGTCATATCACCCTGCACAGTCTGAATATGGGTTTGCGGGAACTAGGCCCATGTCGCACTTCGATCTTCCACGCCATGGGTCAAGGATGTCTCTAGCACCTTCGGAGATGATGAGCCGCCATATGGACATGGAAATGGAGGATCTATCACATCTGCCCAGCGAGGATGCCCTCCTCGCGGAGATCCGCGAGATCCTGCGCACAGCGGATCTGATGACTGTGACGAAGAAGAGTATCAAGCTAGAGCTGGAGAGACGATTTGGTGTGAATCTAGATGCCAAGCGTCCATATATCAACTCAGGTAAGGAGAATCCTTGGAATTACTCCAGAGCCTTGCTAACCATTTCTGGTTATTGTAGCCACCGAAGCTGTTTTAGCAGGCGCGCTCTGATCTGAGGGTCAGTCCAAGGCTCTACGCTACGCCTAAAATGCCTAAAAAGAGAATGCCCGTTATCTTGTATAAAAACAAGATTTAATATTCGCATGCCCAATGTGCCCCCAAGTTAAACTCGCAACTACCATTATTTGTATACAGCTTCATGTTTTTGGCCTATCTTGACACCATTCTATGATGTCCATGACTATCTTATCATTACTACACCAGCCTTGTGTCTTCATGACAGTCGCTTGAGGTCTTTCGGGATGCATTGCATGTGCTTGTTTCATTTAGACTTGATGGAATCAGCCTGGAGTTGTACAGTACTCATCTTTCTATTTTTTTTCTGCCTTCCTATCATTTGTTTGATTTATCGCAATGTATCCTTGAGCGTTGAGATTGCACATCTTGAATGTCATTTACAATAGATAATTATTTACAGCGAGTCAACTACAGGCAAGGGAAACAAATGTATAATGCAGTTAAAATATGAAGCAAATGGGTATCGTATTCCGATTGACATAGTACCATAGTCTGTCTTGTGTCGCGACAAGAGGCCGTCTATGATGTCAGTGTAGTGCCGCTGTGGATTGGCACAGCAGCTGTCATTCCAAACACAAAGGGCTATAGGCGAGTTTCCATGTACATATTTCCAAAACGGGCAAAGAACAGATTAAACTCAGGTCACGACCACTCTTGCTTGACAACAAGACTCAGGCGGTTTGTTACCCGAGTAATAAAACGACGTCCTTGCGAGCGGCCAGCGAGATCTCAACACATTCTAGAATGAAGGCGCTATAGAGGGTTCCACGGGTTTGTCAGCTATCTTGCGATTATCCTGCTGCATACCTAGGATCTCCCAAGCACGACCCATCATTCCATGCCCTAAGCCCTGTGGAAAACCACCGAACACTGAATTCTTCGGCGCGTGTCTCCGGGCTCGATCACGAGCAAGACGCTCTTTCTTGGCATTGACCAGTCTGTCCTGTTCTCTTTCCTGTTCGACGATGTCGTCACGCCATTCGGCCCAACGTTCGAAGTTCTCGCGTTGCTGCAGGACTTGGTAGCGCAGCTTAGTCTTCGTTGGACGCCAGCCGGTACGGTTGCTATTTTCTTGAGACATGGTGGACTTCAGGTCGCAAATACTCGAGTCTCTGGTTAGTTTGAGGAGATGTGTGAAGACGTCTCTGCTTTCCGATGCGGTTTGTTGGGTCCTGTCGCGTTGGGCGCCGGCAGAGGCTTGTGTGAGAGGTACGTCGAGCCAGGAGTACATTTCTGCTGAACGTTGCACGGAGTATGGGTCAAGCACGTTGGCGCGGCGGTTCTCTTCGCGGAGGAAGCGGACGGCTGCTTGGAGGCTTTCTACCTCGGCGCGAAGAGCCTCGTTCTCGCGCATGGTAGCCAAGGAGAGAGCGTTATCAACGACAACGCCATCGGTTGTGGCAACTCCGGTTGTGCCAGAGGCGCGTTTGACCCGGTCCAGACGGGCTTTGATGTCCTCTCGGTCGGCTTCGAGGGCCTGTAAATTCTTGCGTTGCGTTTCCACCAGCCCCTCCAGTTCTGTCTCTTTTGTTCGCATGTTTTCGATTTTGGCTTCAAGTTCTTTCACCATCGATGCCTTTTTGCTCGCTTCTTGCATCCTAGACTCGACCAGTTCTACCTTGAGCGCCTGTTCTTCAATCGTCTTGTCCTTGACACCCAGGGCTGTCGATGCTTCGTGTATCTCATTCTTAAGGCGGCGGATTTCTTCGTCGGCATCGACAGAAGTTGCTTTGTTTAACTTGAGTTCTGAAGCTCTTACGATCCAAGGTGATGGGAGTCTCTCGAATTCCGATGTTATCGACAAGTCGGTTGAAATCGAGTCAAGCTCCTCAAGGCTCCCCCCCAGGCTGCGCAGCCGATTGGCAATGAACGACATTGTATCGCTACACTCGCTTCCTGACTCAGACGGCCGCGCATAGAGCGTCGAGACCTGGGACATATTCCTCGTTGCCTCCTCTAAAGTTAGAGGCTCAGTTCGGCTTTCGTCGCTAACGATGAGCGCAATACTTTCACCTAGGTGCCGAGCCAGGACGGAAAGATCCTTAGCAGCTTCTTCCGTTTTCTTGAAGGGTCCTGCCACGTCAGAAGACAGCGCAAGGGACCTCGATCGTAGGTCTTCAAGTGCCTTATGAACTTTGCCCATAGCGACTTTGAGTCCGCGGGATTGAGATACTAGACTTTCCATTTTATTGAAAAGGAAATTGCTCTCTTCTTCCTCGCCTTCTGAGGCCGAGATCTTGGACTGCAACAAGGATCTGAGCCGCGAGATCAAGGAAGCAACATGATCCATATATGACTGAGTCAATATCGAGCGCATACACAGCTCGTCTGCGAATGTCTCCAGAGATGCTGGAATGTGGACCTCTGCAAGATGCGACATTAGTGCAATGGACCTTTGCAGTTCAATACCACATTTCTTCACGTCCAACTCGCCCTTTCTCAAGATTTCTATCCAGAAGTTCACAGTACGTTCTACCGGCTCCATCTCGAATAACGTCGCTTTAATTCCATCAAAGCTCTCTGCAGAGCAACAGGTAATGTAATTTATAAATCGGTCACAAATAGAACCGATCCACAGGAGCTTCTCGAGAACATCATGCGCCGCAAAGCCATCTTCCACTAGGGCAGAATCGGAGGTCTGCTCAGGGAATCTCTCCCGGATGGCACTACTCATCAACGACGCCTTGAAGCTAACACGCTTAAACCGTAGAAGTGCAAGAATACCATTCTTTTCCCCCTCGAAGTATTCAGGAAGATACAGCTTCAGGATGGACAAATGCTGAGAAGATTCTTGAGCATCCATACGTTCGAGTTCAATGTCGATAGTTTTAGTCTGTGCTTTCGAGACTGACGCCTGCAGCTTCAGGTTCAGATCCAGCATAGCCCGAGAACGCGTTGTTAAATCAGTGGCTTCTGCTTCTGTGATCTGCTGAGATGCCCGCATATCGTCCAAGTCTCCTTGGAGACTAGAGACTAGCTCTCGGAATCGCGCCAAAGTATACTCGAGGTCCTCTATAGCTTCATCTTGCTGGACAATCTTGCGACACTGCTCGTTGAAGAGGTTTTCCTTATAATCGATTTCCTCTTGCATTTGCTTTTCTGTCTCGATATGGTTGTATTCGAGCTCATCATTAATTTCCTTTAGCGCCTCCAGGTCTTCTATGGCAGCGTTCAGTTCGTTAATCTCCTCTTGGTAGCGCATGTTCTTCTCTGCAAGCTCTTCGATCATCTCTTCCGCACCGAGAGCAGTCTCCAGCTGCTGCTTGAGATCTTCGACGTTGTTTTCCGCTACAAGCAATTTTTCCTTGGTGGAATCGTACTGAGTTTTGATGGCCTCATAATCCTCCAGATCCTGTTGTAGTTCCTTAATCTGATCCCGCAACTCCGATTCTTGCTGCTGCGTCATATCGCGGAGACGTATGAGGGCTTCGCGGAGACGTTCGTTTGCTCTCTCCATTTGCAGCCATCCATGACTGGACTTCTCCTCCGGGCTCATAGTTTGACCGAGCTCCTCGTTCTCCTCGCGCAGAACCTCCACTTCCAGCTGGAGCTCCTCCACCCTCAATTTCAATGCTTCAACTTCATGCTTGAAAGCATCGGCCGTCTCTTCTGCCATCTCGCGGTCGAGAGTTGCCATTTCCATGATCGAGTCATGTTCTGCTTGGAGTCGCTCAATCTCTTCGAGTTTTGCTTCTGACTCTTTCAATTTCTTTCGCAGTTCGCTAATTTCAAGCTGCTGTGGCTGATATTTAGCTTGTAGTTTCTGGATGATACCCTCGAACTTATCCCGTTCCTGTTGCAGTTTCTCCAAAGCCTTAAGCTTTTCTCGGTCTTCGGTGCGCTTCTTCTCCATCACCCTAAGCTTTGTTTTCAACTCTTCCAGCTCCCTTGTCAGAGCGGTACTCTGGGCTTGTCGCGGTGAAGAGGACTGAGAGAGCCCTGAACGAGCAGTGCCTACCCGTGATGAGCCAGAAGCCAGTCTAGACACTTTGGAAGTCGACTCCTCGTTTTCCATATCATCATCCTCAGCATAATGACCAGGTGACTCAGCATCATCTGAGGGCGGGCTTGATCCGATCTCTTGTTCCTCCGATGTCTTATTCGAAACTGCTGACCGCAAAGCAGGACGCTTCGACACCGCCATGGGTGCTGTCGCGGTTCCTTGGAAGCTTGGTCTAACAGTTCTGTTCGTAGATCCAGATATCGACGGGCGGGATGGTCGGGACGCAGATGGGGGAGGTGGAGGGCCCATAGACGTTGACTTGGCGCCAATAGACGGTCGAGCCCTAGATGTCGCGGCGGAGGGCCGCGAGGGCCCGCTAATAGAGGAGCGCGGTGTAGTCGTACCCGATAACTGCTTTGTCGGCGATTGCGCCTTCGTAGGTGATTGCGGTTGCTAAGTCAATGAACAAGGAGTCCCAACAGCTTCGTAGTTCATGGTGTACATACCTTCAAGGACAGTCGCTGGGACGCAGCTTTCGCGGCGGGACTCGGACTGGCAGAACTGGCGCTGTGTCTTTTCGTATTCGCCGTTTGCATAGCACCTGATTTCTTAATCCCCAGTCCGCTCGCAGAAGCACCAGTCTGGGCCCGCCCTCTGGTCTGCGGAGCATTCGGGGTCCCCTTAGTAGCCAGTTTGGCTTCTTTTGCAGGTGGTCCAATAACGGTAGCAATGGCAGTCGGTCGGACAAACATGCCAAATCCAAATTCGCAGTCGAAATAGCGTTCGCCCTGGACCGCTCCATCGTTCTTGCCTGTAGGTTCGTCCAATTCAATGCCAATCCATTCCCCGGCAGCGAAATGAGTGGCCCCGGCAAACCGCACGGTGGCCTGCCGACCGTCGGTCAGTGTGACCACATGGCCGGGTATTAAATCAGCCATGCTCAAGCATCCAGAAACAAAGCCCCTTGCGCGAACAATGGCCTTGGGTATTGAGAATTGCGGTTGGATAGGGGCCGTTGTTGTTGTGTTTACTTAGTCGGCGGAACTTCCGTCGGAAGCCTCAGGACGCGATCCGCGCGGAAGACCTGTTGCAGCCTGAGGCACATATATCTCTCCCTATAGGCATTCCACGCAGGGGCGGTGGCTTTAGCTTGTAGTTCATAATTGGATGGATCGTGATATTGACATTGATAATCGTAGTGAATAGTATTATCGAAGCTTCGGCATATCTATACCTCTAGATCTATGTAGAAAGACAGACACCCTATGTATAACCATCACTCATACTCTTCATAACATGCGTAACACAATACAATATACAAAACTTTATCCGAACGATCTATTCACCCCCTATTCAGGTCGAAGTCTTGAATAGATGTGGGAAACAAGTCCTCAATTCTTCCAGGCTCCGGATTTGGCATTGCGACACCGGAGCATCAGGCAAAGGGAGCTCAGGCTCAACAAGGTGAGCCGTAGTCCAGCCGCGGGCTGCGGCGTGCTTGCAGTTCAACCCGGAATCATCTACAAAAGTTAGTAATGGCGACTGATTTTTGGACCGGAGTGGATAAATACACACCGACAAAATAGCATGTCTCCGTACTTGGGACCCTGGCCTCCCTTTCCGCCTTAGCGTACATCTCCTGGGTTGGCTTGCAGACCAGAGGGGGCTGCGAGTAGTCGCAGTAGGTGATACCCTCGAACAGATCATCTACCCCCAACAATTTCACGACCCGCTTGCCATGTGTGACATAGGCGTTGGTCAAAAGCCACAGCCTCACTTTACTCCGGTCGATATCCTCGAGCAACTTGCGTAATTTAAGGTCAGGTTTTAGAATGTTTTCCAATGGTAAGGCATCGTCGACTTCGCGGTTGAATTGAAGAGGATCTATTTTGTGGTGGCGAGCAAGACCTTCAATTGCGAGCCCGTACTCTTTGTAGTATTTCATGTGCAGCATGTGGGCGTCTTCACCGTTGAGGGAAAGGTGTTTAACGAAGAATTCGTCTAGAACAAGAAAACAGCTAGTTAGCCAATAGCTCTATGCCTCAGTTGCAAGGATAGGCTCACGGATCAATTTTTGCATCTCATCGTGGATGTTACTTTCTGTATGCGAGCGTCAGCATTCAGTATCGTCTTCCCCGCCAATGGGAGGTGTTTTCTTACTTCTGGGGTAGAGCTGTACACAAGGACGTTAGTATAAAAGGAAAAATAAACCGTCAATTGCATGTCTACATACACAATTATCTATGTCGAAGAAGAATACCGGTCTAGGATCCGGAATCGCGCTGGTCGCATCGTTTGAGGGAGACATTGCGGTTCTGAAATGTGTTATGCTGGTATTTAAAAAGGAGGCCGTTCGACAGCTAGGAACAAAGAATGGTGACAAAATCTGAGGTCTAGATGACAAGTAGCCCGTATAAGAAGATCTAAACAACAATGATCCGGCGAATATATGACTCATAACGTGAAAAGGTGAAGGTGAGTGGGATGTACAAGGCACTGAATACTTATTATAGAGGGGGGCAATAGTGACCAATAACCATCAGAGACATCCATCGCTGTCTACAGGGAGTTTAGCGTCTTATGAGAGCTGGCGGTCGGCGACCCGTCGGACCTTGTACTACTAGTAACTTTTCCCTTCGGAACCAACACAACGTCTCCATTCTCCCCCTCCCCCAAATCTACTCCTCTTGATCACGCCCAGGCCCGTCTGACTTGTCAGACGCTGATTCGAGTCTGGGGAGTTGCAGCCTGGGGAATAAGTGTGAAGGATTGGTATCATTATTATTAGAGCCACGAGTTTAAAAAGACCTTCCGCTAGCAAGGATAATTTTCTCGTGAAAGCTTCCAAAAAGTCATGGCAGCTGCTCAACTTCCGACGGGTAGTATCTCTACCGGGCTACCGGCAAATGAGGAAGTCCAAGAATATGAGAAGATTCTGAAAATAAGTGACGATATCTTTACTGGAACTCACCCTAGACTGAAGGTTCCCCAGCAGTTTGTGCGCAAACCCGCGCCGCGCAATCCCCCTGCCTCAACTCAAACTCAGGTAAAAACGATTGAGCGGCCTGGGTCTTCCACATGGAATGCGCCGCAACCCGTTCCAACGCCATCAAAGCCCTCGAGCGCGTTGGGTACAACTGCCCCTGATGGTCTGTCTAGCACGACCGGATCCTCACGTATCGTACCAAAACCTACTTCTGAAATTGACCCTATCTTCCTGACCAAGTCGGATGACCTAGTCAGAGCAGAATTACAGTTACAGCGACAGAGGGTGGAAAGGATTTTACGGGAACAACTTGAGCAAAAGAGACAAGAGTCAAGGCAAAAAGCCTCCATACAGGACGCGAAACCTGACTTCGATGTTTCTGATGTATTAAATAAGGCCTTCGAGATGGTCAAGCCTTCTCCCTCAATTGATGGCCCTGGTGCTGGAGCGCCTAGTGACTCGTTTGACGAGAATTCGTTCTACTCTAGTAGAGCCCCTGACTCCCCGCAGCAGGGCGACCAACAGAAACCATCATCTGCGCCTCCCTCTAACTCCGATGAACCTGCCCCTGAGGTTCCAGCAGAGAATTATTCAGATGAGTTGCAACGGCTTGAAGCCCTCAACCGAACTGAGTCGGATCAGGATATGCAAGATACTTACCTGGTTGCAGACCGCAGAATGCCCTACCAGAAACAGCCACGTCCTGCCGAGGCAGTCTTCACACCTCACACGTACCAAGAACCTCAACCAACGGACGCGTTCGAAGAGCCGGAATACTCCCCACCAGCCCCGGGCGTGCCCCCAATGGAAAGGGGAGATAACCATGATATCCCGCGAGGTTACCCCAACGGACCCAAGAGACGGGGTCCAGACACTCGACAGCCTGACCGTGCCCGTTATGCCAATGGACCGAACTCCCCCGGAGACGATGTAAGGGTTGTGCGAAACCATATAACATCACCGGTAGCGCCGCGGCCATCCAGGGTTTCTCCTTTAGCCATTGCCAAGGTTCCCTCAGTCCACCAGCACAAAGTCTCACGTCCAGAGTACGGCACGGAACATCAGGCAAGTCCCGATGCTCCACCCCAACAGTTGATGCCCAGAAAGCGCAGGAGGCTGCATGAGGAAAGAGACCGGACTCGCCCGATCTCGTATAGAATGCAAGCCGGAGCCCCTGAAGAGACGTACATCAAGGAGGAGCCAGTTTCGCCACCGCCGTTCGCGGACACTTCTCCGGCATACCGTAGTCGTCCACCTCAGGAAAGACCGATCTACATTGATGTCGCATCTCCCCGCTACACACCGGTAATAGAAAGGAGGGAGCCCCCGATAAGAGACCCTGCATATGAGGTGGACGCTTATGATATCCGTGGTGACTCCGGGATCGCGCGAACCGTGTCACGGCTGAGTACCAGACGACCGATCCGTGATGACCAAGATCTGCGGAGAGTTGCGAGTCTCCATCAAGCTCGGCAACCTGAATATTCTCGTGAATACATTGACCAAACTAGTCCCCATGCTATGCGAGCTGCGTCGTACGCTATTGTTGAGCATCCACCGCCAGACAGAACGAGGTATTATGACGAGATCGTACCAACTCCAACACGACGCTATATTCCGGCCGGGAATTCCCCGAGTTCACCACGATATCAAGAGGCATACTATGATGAGGGACCTCCAAGCCGTATCATGGCGCCTCCGACGCGGAGAATTGTGATCGACGAGCAGGGAAACCAATACTATGAAACGGTGCCAGCGCCGAGGATGCAGGCAATGCCTCCTCCATCTAGCCGTATGCCCATACCGAGAAGCGAGGTCTATGACGACCACCAGCCGGTACGCTATGCGAGTGTTCGGGCCCCATCAGTTCTTGAGGATCCGTACGCTAGTCGGAGGTACGTTCAGGATATGCCGCCTCCACAAGGGGCCTATCGGCGAGTCGCCGACTTCGCTCGGCCTGCGCCGAGCGAACGACGGCCTTATGCGGCACCATTTGATGAGCGGGAAGCCCTGCCACGCAGCGCCAGTGTTCAGGTCACCGACTATTCCACCCGACGCCCGCCTTATATCGAAGAGACGGAGCTCCCGCGCGAGAGGATCGTCAGAATGCCTAGTGTGCGACCACCAACCACTCGGTACGATGAACCGCGGGAAGTAATCCAGCGCGTAGAAAGCGTCCGACCAGCCGGCAGAGATGTGAGCGTATATATGGATGAAGACCCACGACGGCCTAGAGAATACGTTGAGCGGCCCGTCTATATTTCTGCGCGGCCTGCAGCTCGAGAAGAACGCTACTACGACAGCGGTGAACCCGAGAGGGTGGTGATCGATGGAAGCGTCCATCGAGTTCCTCAACGCTACTGAAGGTGAAGGCTCTTCCCATTCGGAGAGCATGATCTTCCAAAAGCCTTTGATTTCGCGACATTTGTTCCTTGCAGTAATTCTCATGTACAGAGCACGGTTTTCCTACTATTCAGGCAGACCATCTGATGCATTTCCCTTGTACATTCCACATTGGTTTCTCTGCATGACAGGGGTGAACGCCCGATCACCACAGCCACTCGCGTCAGGCATATCAGTACAGTTTAGAAGACGACGTCCTAATGAACATGAAATATTCATCCTTTGCGAGAGTCGGATACATTTCTTAGAAGGTCGTCTAGTCCTGAACCGGATCCCTGTACAGCAAAAGCAATGGAGGTGTATGGAAGCACCAGCTATGTATCGAGTGTTTAATATAATGCGTAATTTACCTGAAGGAGCAACAAAACAGATCATCATATATGGGTATATATGTACATAAGCAAACCATGTGAAGGCGGTGGAGACGGGCGGTCGATATCCAACATCAGGTCGAAAGTACTAGCACGTAGCACAAACACAGTCTTCAACTCTCAGGTGGAGTGAGTAAGAGCTAAGCTCCTTGGGAGCTGCATAGAAACCACCCTAACTTCCAACATGACATTTCATTCAAACCCCCCCCCCCCCCCCCCCCCCCCCCCCCCCCCCCAAGACGCCAAACAGCTAAACCATATTTTTCCACGTGAAAGGCATTCAGCCCTCGTCCTCCCCATCAGCACTAACCCGTGCACACACCGATCACTAATTCGTCCATGCAAGATAGCCCCGAGTCCAGAAACGGGTTCCGGGACTAGGGTATAGGTCCCATTTATCGGACCTTGCTTTCGACTCAACCGGCCTTGCTACTATCTATACCCATACCAGGGTGGCGATCCTCGAATCACTGAAGTACCATGTACATACATACATTACTGATTACGCTGCAGTACTCAGTACAACAATCCTCTACCTACCCGAACAGATAACTGCAGTTTCGGGACCGATACACAGCATATCCTACGCATATCTAGAGGAAATTGCATATGCAGTATAGTGTAGTGAAGGAACCTAGCAGGTCAGGGTGTAGTTGAAAGAAATCCATTCGTTCGTCGTGTGACACTAGGACAAGAGAGAAATCGATGTTTATCTCCGATGCCGTTCCAGGGGTTCTTCCTTGTTGGGTTCTTATCTTTTTGTTTTCTTTTTTGTTTTTCTCTTCCTTGGAGAGTGCTTGCCCCTTGTCCAACCTTTTCTTGTGTGACGGGGAAGGAAAAAGCAAAGAAAGTACGAAGCTCGAGGATGAAGTCAGTCAGTGGTGTGACCCACTGCATGACGTCGTTGAGATTCGAGGGGCTTTTTTTTTCTTTTGGAATAAAAAGAATGGATAATATAAATTATAGGAGATTTAAATGGAGTACCCCGGTGCTACAGCTATGGGAAGGGGAGGAGGGGGAAAACGTGATTTAAGAGTTGATTCCTGAGGCTGAAGTTCTTCGTCCTTCTCATCAGGAAAAAGAGTCGGACCCTATCAGGACCGTTTGTGTTGTTTCTTTAAGTTTATTACGAGAACTCAATCCTCGTGTCCATGGGATACAATTGACCACAATGCAGGTATCTCACGGCCGTTAGGAAAGAGTAGGTAGGTTAGTTACATACATATATGTACAGTACAAGTTTCTTCAGATACGACTACTAGGTATCTACTAGTAACTCCCTAAACTAAACATTTGCCACACACACACACACTCTCTCTCTCTCCAGCTGAGCAATGACCCATACCGGACCAACAGAAAATAAGGGACGAAAAAGTACCCTCCACCAAATGTATTGGGGCAGTATCGATTATCGACGTGCGCATAGTTGAGGATAAACTTGGGTGAGATCTCCCTCTAGGATGCTGAGTGGGCAGACCAAGCATGTTTCATCGTGGGACATTCCGGCCTTGCGTCACTGGTGTATCACCACTGCTCCGCTCCGGATGTTGTGGGAAGGGGAGAGGGAAAGTTGTATTTTGTTTACCTTCTCGTTCCCACGGAGATTTTTTGTGACATTTTACTAGGTTTGACCTTGATCCATGGTTATCACTCCTTTCGTAGAGATATGATGATCCTTTGATTGAGGAGTAGGTAGTTGGCAGGTGCTACTACTACTCTACTATATGTCTATCACCTCCGAACATCCGCAAGGGTGTGTGGGTGTCACCGAACTAACCGGGGAAAAAAAAAAATAACAGAAAGAAAAGTTTCGAGTCAAGTAGTCATGTCAACCTTGAACTAAAAGTCGAACGTCTGTATGCAGAGTCAAAAAGATGGTCCTCCAACCCCCGGAGCTCGACCTAAAAAAAAAAGGAAGGGAAAAAAAGCTCGTTATGCTTCTCCTCTCTGCATGGGAGGATCCATCCAGTCCAATCGCCCCATTTACAAAGGTACGGATCCTGTCAAGTGTCAGTGCAGCCAAAATACCGGGCTTTGAGTCGAGTCTAGTCTAATTGGAAGTCGTGACGGAATCGAATCGTCCGATCTTTACCGTACGCGCCCGTACTACACGTGATCTGAGGATTCTCGCTTGGGGGTCCCAAAGGGGAAAACACGAGTGGGCCTTGCGACTTGAATGATGGACGCAATCGATCTGTGGAAATAATCCAATCCTGCGTGTGTTCTGTGTGTGTGTGTGTGCCACCGGCAGTCATGGGAAGGCATCCGGGAGTGGAGAGGGGTGTGTCTTTTTATTTTTCCAATTTTGAATTCTTTCTTTGGCTTTTTCTCTTTCTCTTCATGAAATAAATCAAACTACCGAATTATTAGAGACGGGACGAACGAGTCATGTTGGTTCCAAGCTACGTCGGAAAGAATGTTGCCTGATAATAAGATTCAAAAAAGGTGAGACTGATGGGATTATGTATGAATCAAGTCAAAGTTGTCTGGAAAATTCATCGCGACGTGCTAATAAGGCCAATTGGAGGATCTTAACTACGATACAGTTAGTTTAGAGCGTTCTGTGCTCTAGTTAAGTCGGGTGGGAAGGTCGTAGAGTCACTAGTCGCTGCAAACATTGGGGGCCTAGACGCCGTCGAGTCTTGGGCATTGGGCTGAGTTTGACCCGCATATCCCGCTTGTTGGAAGAAGAAGGTTGTCGAACTTTGTTACCTAGAGAGAGTGGAAGAAGAGAGAGAATAGCGCAATAACCAAGAGAAAGAAGGGAGCACAAGGATAGAAGAAACAATAGATTCAGTATAAACATATAAAACAAAAAAGGCAAAGGCAAAAAATGAATAATAAAATAATAAAGAAAACCAAGGAAAGAAACTGAAAAGAGAGGTAAAATAAATCACTAATAATAAGATTGTTTGTTTTTTGCTTTCTATCTGCTGGGAAAAGGTCTAAATTCCTCCGTTCATTGTGCCTGAAGTTGTAAGGAGATGGTGATCTTTTCTTTCCCCTTGTTTTTTCCTTTTCTTCCCTTTTACCCTCCAACTAATTTTTGATTACCTTACCTGTATATAGTAATGTCCATGTTTTCCCTCTGTCTCTCAGCAGTATTCGTATTATCATCAGTACAAAACAGAAAAGAAACTAAACCTAGACAGAACCTGCTGACTCAACCCCCCACTAAACCCTTTCCCGGCAGGCAATCGTTCAAGCCCATCGATCAATCACTAGTAGTATTTTTATTTTTATTTTTTATTTTCTTAGTATCGTTATTATTCACCTTTTTCACACCCAATAATCCCCTTCGCTGGAGAGCTTGAAGTCTGACCATTTGGATCCTCCGGTTTTCTTCTCTTCTTCTCTTCCACTTTTACCTACGCATTCTCTATTTTGATTGATCTATCTCATTTTCAATTCCCTTTTTTTCTATTCTCCACCTCTTTTTTTCTTCTTTTTCCCTTATTTTCCTTCGTCTTTGGTTTTTTATTTGTTCCCCCTCTCTCTCGATACCCGTTTGGTCGTTGAATTGAATCATTTTCCCAACCCCATTCCGGTACCAAGACAGAAACGCCCTTGTCCGCCCACACCACCTTCGCGCGCTCATTCCTCTACTCTCATCCCTGTCGAGAACGGCGATCTCGCCCTTGACACCATACTCTCCCTCCCTCCCTGTCCACTTTCTCCTCATTTCGCTTCCCTCTTTCCTCTCCCACCGATCCGTTTTTCCGCCATTCTCCTCCTTCGGACGTCCTTCCTCTCTTTCCCCTCGACTCGCTCAAGGGGTTAGAGATTCGACCTGCCGCCCTTGCTATGCACAAGATTTCCAACTTCACGGGTCAAGCCCGCCATGGCTGGGAGCGAATGACGCCCACTTTTGGCATGTCCAGGCCTCATACCGATATGGCATCGCACTCGCTACGTCGACCTCATGGCGCACCACCCATGACACCGCCAACAGGTGTCGATCCGACCGTCAATCTCTCCTTCAACGTACCGTTTTCTTCGACCTTGGCCGGCCCCGATGTGGATGATGTCCTCCATGCGAGCCCCGGTGCTCTCCAGCGCTGGACTTTTCCCGAAGGCACCCTCGAAGGTACGCCTATCCACAGCCTACCCGTCCACACCAGCAATGTCGAAGCCCTACGGAGATTATGCCGCCAAATCACCGAGAGCAGTAACGGGAGGATCGAGGCAATGGTATTCACGTCGGAGCCCAAGACCATAGCGTCCCTACAACGGCGGCCCCAAGGTTTGGTGACAAACGTCTGTATCACGGGTGAGGGCGAGACCGTACGCAAAATGCGGGCCCGGATTCTGAATGAGACACCTATCTTGTTGGTATGTTTTATCTGTTCCGAGTCGATTGGCAATGGCCTGGATCCTTGATCCACGTACTAATGGGGCCCAATCAATAGCGATGTGCGACCGTTGATGTGGATATGCATCTCATCATGGATGGGTCCACGAAAGGTATCCGGCCGAGCGTGCTAGAGCACCTTGATACCTTAGCCGCATACACTGGAACGGACATCTTTTTGTTGAGCCCAAAACTTCGCGATACGGATAGCGCCGTGGTGTCCTCGTATGGTTACGCCTCGGACAATGGGCTGGATCAACGCTTTCGGGTTTCCATCTACGGTGACATGGAGAGTGCAGAACATGCCAAGACCAGAGTGTTAATCATGATCGATCAGATCGTAAGTTTCTTCTTATTCATCCTTTCGAAACAAAAACAAAAAATCCCCGAAAATTTTACATCAACTACCCCTTTCGCTTCACCGGCATCATGCAATGGATGACGACTAACCTTATACTAGCTTAAACGTCACGTGGACGCTATGAAATTAGAGTTAACCATGCACACCTTGGTCTGTGGCCGCACTCGCAAGAACATCAAGCTCATCGAGGCTGCTACGGGTACTGCCATTTACTTCCCGCCACCGTTCCCACGCATTTTCGGGTACACACCGCCAGGCGCTCACCGTCGCAGTGAAGATGAAGTTTATATCACCGGTGATACCCAAGAACAGATTGCTCGGGCTAAGCAGAAATTAAGGGAGCTTGTGATGGGGGTCAAGATTTACGTGAAGGATGTCATTGTCAATTCCAACAAGATCGACAACATTCTCCTGGACCGCTTGGACAAAGTTCGAAAGGTGATGGAGATGAATGGCTCTTACGTTCTCTTTCCCCAGCTTGGCAGTCAACGGGGTCTTGTCCGCATTCAAGGTTCGGAGGTGCTACATGTCGAGCGCACCGTCCGGGAGATAATGGCGTTGGTATGTTCATATGTGCCTCTAGTGTAGTGGCTCTGTGCTGACTTCTTTAGGCTGGTCAGTTTTACAGTGCCTCGTGGTGGATCATCATGCCGGACCCTTCTCAAGGGGCCTTCCGCGCCCCCTCAGCCGCCGACGTTCGCACCATGCTGTCCGATATCTGTACAAATTCGGCAGCGGAAGTGAGCTTCGACAATCTAACCTTCACTATCAATGGATCCGATGACGCCGTGAAGGCTGCCATGATGGTCGTCAACCAGATCCCGTTTGTACAGCGAAGCCAATACCAGATGCGTGTGAAGATTGAACTAGCAAATGAGCACAAAGAGTTCGTCAGCGGCAAAAAGAACGGCAAAATCAACAAGATTATGGGACAGAGTGAGTGGTTCAATCGCAGTTTCTTTGTTAGCCTTAACTTCTAACCTAAGAACAGGCAATGTGCAAATCATCTTCGATGGCTTCAACGAGTACAACTTCTATATTGATGTGTGTGGAAATCAGTATGAGTCTACGAAGAACGGTCTCGATCTAGTCGAGCAGGAAATGCCTGCTTCGATCTCGTTCCACGTGCCTGATCAATACCACAAGCGAATCATCGGAATCGGAGGCCAACACATACAGCGCATCATGAAGAAATACTCGGTCTTCGTCAAGTTCTCCAACGCCATGGATCGGGGTGGGATGGGTAAAGAGGATGACGACATCAAGGTCGACAATGTCATCTGCCGCACGCCTGCCCGTAATGCGCAGAGCCTGGACCTCGTCAAACAGGAGATCATGGACATGGTCGAGAAGGTCGATGCCGAATACGTCTCCGAGCGTGTTGTGATCAACCGACTCTACCACCGTGAACTCCTTGCTCGCATCACGGAAATCGATGAACTCGAGAAGAAATGGAACTGCAAGATCGAGTTCCCGAGCACCGAACTGGCCAGTGATGTGGTGACCATCTCGGGACCTGAATACCAGGTCCCGCAGGCTGTTGATGCCTTACTGGGAATGGTCCCCGAGAGCCATGAACTCCTTTTCCAGAGCTCTTTTGAACTGCGCGAGTACTTCAAATCCGTCGAGTTCCGCAGCGACGTTTGCGCCAAGCTGAAGGAGCAATATGAGGTCGATACTACGATCGAGCTCAGTGCGGACTTCCCCTCGTCCGATTCAGGTTCCGGTTCAGGCTCGCCAACTTTGCCTCCTGAGGACCGTGTTCTACTCGGGTATACGCGGAACAACGCTGGCGGTCTCAAGGATGCGATCGATTTTCTGATCTCGCGTTTGGTGGCACATGGGCTTGATGCGAACACGGTCAAGGGAGCTATTCCTCGTCCCAAGTCTGACTCATTTGAAGAATCACTTCCGTTCTTCGACTCGAAGCTTTTGCAGCATGCACCCGCTCCTATTATTACAGACTCTCCCACCCGACCCAACTTTTCTGACGAGACCAGCGAGCGTGGTTCAATCTTCGAAAGACTGCGCAAGCCTGGCAGCATCTCGTCCTTCTCGTCGTTCATCGGCCGCAAGAACCACTCTGCCTCTCCCGGCTCGTTCTTCAAACACGCCTCCAGCAACGCCTCCAAGGCCTCGCTGGTCTCCATGGAATCGCGTGATAGTGGCTACCGCAACCCATGGAATGATTCGGGTGTGAATCTTCCCGAGGATGATCTGCCAGTCCTGGGGAGCTCCCACAGCCACAGCAGCAGCAATGGCTGGCCAGCGCGCTTTGACACAAAATTTCCATTCGGTACCGCGCCAGGGGACATGACCCCAAAGCATGACCCCCGCGCGTCTTTTGATAGTGGTCGTCCTAGTACTTCCAATTCTACTTCTGGATACCCGGCCCCTATTGGGCCACCGCGTTAAAACAATGTCAATTTGCAGCACTATACCCCAAGACTTTTTTTCTCTTTTAGGTTTGCAGTCAGCGTTTGTTTTGTTTTTGTTTTTGTTTTGTTTTTGTTTTGTTTTATCTTGATACCATTCGGAACACGCAGTTAAGATGGCGGGAAAATTCGGAAAAAAAGGGCATGACAGATGGCTGGGATGGCATCAGTCAACCCAGTCGTCTTCCTCCCGGGCTTTTATTCTCTTGATTTGCTTTTCTCTTCTCTTCTATCTTTGATTTCAGCATTGTTTATTTCTAGTTTATACTCTCCTATCTTGCAAACGGTGTACGACGATGGGCAGAAAGAACACTGTGGGCTTTGGTATGGGGAAAACCACGGGAGAAGAGCATTTTTCATTTAAAACATTCATAAGATATGATACCAAGTGAAATGATGGTGTATGATGGTGTTTCTCATTTCTGTTTCAAATGATCTTTCTCGATTCATTGTTTCCCCCCCAACCTCATCTCGGAGTTTCAGATCGGTTCAGTTCGCATGCTTTTGTTTTGGATCGTTCTATATACCTCGATGAACAAGATATCCCCAAAGACTTGAGTGTAGAGGAGAATACGAGAGTGCTTTTGTTGCATGTTTGACAGATTCCTTTCTGTGGCATATGAAGACATATATATATATCCTGTCATCTCAATTGCCGTATGAACGTGTACTTCGAGATGTGGGTTATATAAATAGTTTCTCTATCTCCATTTCGTAAACTAGGGTATGACAATAGGAGTGAGTGGTGGTAGATAATTTTTCCTTTGTATCAAATATATATTCAACCTGGTTGTATCTAAGCTTATGTACGGTAACCTGTAGACAATTTAAATTTTGTAATGTCTATGGATCTTAATATACATATTGAAATATCCAGTTAAAATGCTATATTCTATATTATCTCACTTAATTCTAATCGCTATAGAATAGAAACAATTTTTATGCTTACATTTTAACAGATACATATATAGAGCCCTCCATTTCCCCGAACCCTGATAAGTGGCGAGCCGTATATTGCACGGCACCCGCGTAGATGTAGATATGTCAGAGCGAACAGTCTTGCACAGAAGACCACAGTGAATATCCATACCTTATACAACCTAGAGTGGCCCCACGGAGCACAGAGTTAGTAATAACTTAGGCGGACACTCGCAAATCCCCCCACGCGGGGACTGGATATCCATGGATGAGTACCTGGGTTTAAAACACAGGTAACCCGGCCAGTTCACACATCCTCAATCAAACAACCACCTCCTACCTTGTACTGTATTATTCCTACAACTTCCTTATCCTTCCCTACACATACAAGTTTTTAGACAAAGAACCCGTGAAAATGTCCCTCAGCTACGATCCGGAGTTTCTCAAGGCTGCGGGCGGGATCCTGTCGGCCATGGCAGCTGCCCCAAAGCCGGCGGTGCATGAGATCGAGCCTCGACGAAAGGCCAACACCGCCTACTACGCAGCGTCGTTCGAGGCTCTCCCCGAAGCACCGGACGTCGAGCAAACGACTCACCAGTTCCAGTCGTATGATGGGCAGACTATTCCGATACATCGCTTTGCGATCAAGAAGCCTATCTCTACGGCCCCGGGGCCGGCTATCCTCCATACGCACGGAGGGGGCATGTTCCAGTTCGATGTTAATCTGTTTAAAAGGGCGCTCAGTGACCAGGTCCAGCGTACGGGTGTGCAGGTCTTCTCGGTTGATTACCGGTTAGCACCGGAGAAGCCGTACCCGACGCCGGCCGAGGACTGCTACACGGGACTCAAGTGGTTGTACGAGCATGCGGACGAGTTCACGGTGGACAAGAGCCGCATCGCCACGATGGGCGAAAGCGCCGGCGGGAACCTGGCTGCGGCGCTGGCTTTGATGGCGCGGGACCGAGGCTTGTCGCCGCCCCTGGCGAAACAGATACTGATCTACCCGATGCTGGACGACCGTACGACGGTGCCGAACCCTGCGCTGGAGCCGCAGGCTCTGTGGAACACCGAGGATAACATCACTGGCTGGGCGGCACTCCTGGGTCAAAACTTCGGCACGGACAATGTCTCGCCGTATGCAGCGCCCGCGCGTGCCCGGAGCGTGGAAGGTTTACCTCCTACATATATCGATGTGGGTGAATTGGATATCTTTCGCGATGAGGATATTGCCTATGCTGCGCGGATTGCGGCTGCGAATATAAGCCTGGAGTTTCATGTGTATCCGGGCTTACCGCATGCTTTTGAGGTATATGGTAGTAGTGCGGAGGCGTCGCAGAGGGCGTTTGCGAACCGGTTCAAGGCAATTTTAGAGGTGTAAGCGACGTAAAGTGAGTAAATGAATAAACACAATGCAAGCCTTGGTGCCATTGATCATTCCGCGGGAGTAAGCAAGGCGTCCCTGTCATCCTTAAGTAGAAGAGCTGCTCGTCTAGGCTACACGATACTTTCATGGTGAATTGGGTCGGATGATGTTGGGAATTGCCAAAGTTACTGACGAGGTATCGGATTAAGGTGGATCGTCAAAGATGCTATGACAGATTCCGGGGTGGCTATGCATGAACCCTTTAAAAAAAAAAAAAGTAGCTAGTTAGATCGATGCTCCGCAGCCAGGCAGACGGATTTGGAAGACAAAAGACAAAGGAATCAAAAAGAGAAATGTGCGAAAGGAGTAGCATAGTTTAGGAGTGACTGGCCACAACTGTCTTACATTAAGAGCATTGCTGAGCCTTGTTGAAGGCGCTGGTAGAATGAATAGAATTAGGAGCAAAGGACGTTCCGGGTTAGTATCGAGGAGATCAAGGAGCTTGAAACTTGGCATGGACCCCAAAGCATGGCTATGGCTTCTGCATCGTAAGACGTACGTCCGTATCCGATAGTGCGGTGATAGTTTTCTAAGCAGAGGCTTAGAGCGGAGTGCATGATCAATGTATGTTGCCAACCAACTCAGTCAACGCCTACATTTCGACTGCCTAGAGTGGAATTCATCGGTCATCATCATCAATTGTCCTCGGCAAGGACCACCGCATCGTCCACACCGCACATGCGTGGACACGACGCAGAGGAAGAGGCAATTTGGACCTCCACTGAGTCCACTCCCAAGGGAGGCGGAGCTTGCCATAGGGGAAGACCAAGAATCTGCGGAGAGTCCCCCCTTTTCCGGGACCGATCCACGGAATGACACTGGCACGGGGGTTGTCCTTGGAAGGATTGGGGCTGTTTGTGTACTAACGTGCCTTGCCCAAGGTCAATACATACATTGGATTGTACAGTAGTAGAAGATGTACGTGGACTTGTCAATCCAACAACTGACAGGATCAGGCGGTTGGACTCCCCAGAATTAGCCTTCATCTTTGGTCATCCCCCGTCACGGCATCGCCGGAAAAGAATTATGATTAGAAATTAAACAAAAAGCATATTTTGATGATGACCTGAATCCGGCAGCGTCCTGTGGCAAAGAGGGCGTAGAATTTTCCCTTCCAGCCACAGCGGAGCCGTGGCAAGGATTCAGAAACAGGCAGAACAAATGCAACAAAGACGGATGGATCGTCAGGAACCAAGCCCACGGACGAGTCGTAATCGTTATTGTTCTGGTCTTGAGGCAGTGTTGGGGAAGATCTGTAGTGCGGATCCCGACCGTATGTACTATGGGGGGCGCAGCAAACAACTGCAATATTGGAATGCTGCTATTGGACGTATCACTTGGGGACGGAATCGATTCTTTGGGTTAAATCGAAATCAACAGAAGTGTCTGACGAACAGTTATATAACCCACACAAAGACAATTCCTGCTCCTGGTTCGCTTTTTGTTGGATAACTTGAAGAAAACAAAAGAGGAGGAAACCCGATCAGTGACTTATCTCGTGACTTATCAGTGATTGTTCCCACCGCCACTATAAACCACCACTCTTCTTCTCTACTGAATCAATCTCTTCCCAACATCTACCTCTACTCTCTCTCTCAAGAGATCCTCTTAAAGCGCACACGCTGAAAACTACAATGCCTGGACTCACCACCTCTCCTCCGGGATCAATCCTCTCCCCCTCCAACGTCAATCGTACTTCTCGATCCTCTTCGACATCATCAAGGCCATCCCTCAAGCTCGACCTCTCTAATCTCCCAACTATGTCTCAACCCACTCAGCCGTCAAACACCCTCATCTTCACCGAACTCAGCAACCTCCACATCTTCCAACCCTCCTCTCTCGCTCTTCTCCGTTCACAGATTGAATCCATCGCGCCCCTGAACTCATTCTCCCCACTCCCCTCCCTCCGCCGCATCATCTGCTCTTTCCTCACGGAAGAAGACGCCCTCTACATCCGGAGAACCCTCGATGGTAACCTCCTTGAGCACAACGTCCGCCCGAAAATCTACTTCGGCGAACCCACCCCAATCCTCGGCGAGGAGGAATTTCGCCGCCCAAAGCTCCTCGAGGCCCCCCAACTCGACAAGCTCTTCTTCATCAGCCCGCCACCCAGCCCCCCGCACGGATGGGTCATGCGCAACGAGGAACCCCCAAATAAGGAGGTGCACGCCGGGGATCTCGCCACGGCCCTCGCCAAGTTGAAGACCGAGCAATTCGGTGTCAACGATAGCATGAGCCAGCCCTGCGAACCCGGCACGCCGATGTCTATGACCTCCGATAAGCGCACGGGGAGCTGGCCGGTCTCTATGTCCGGGCAGCGGAGCAGAAGCAGTACCCTCATCTATCATCCCGAGAACCATGGCGGCAGCCCCAATCTGCCTGCTGTTATGGTCGAAGATATGGATGTGGAGATGAGTCCGATTGAAATGCCGATTCGGAAGGCGCCGCCCAAGACTTCTCGGCCCCCTGTTGAATTGATGGATTGAATGATTGTCGTTTCAGGATATGATGCTCTTGGTTTCTTGTGAATACTTCTTTGTTTGCGCTTTAGCGTGGATTGTTTTTGGTTCTATCTCCGAAATTTGCATGTTTGCATATGGGCTGTCTTCTCTCATGTGTTCTCTGTTACTTTATTGGATCAATCGTGGATTGGCGGGCGTTCTGGATGGGCATTGTGATCATGACACATCTGAGGTTGGTTCTAGTTCTAATACTCATACATGCGTTTATGGCATACATAAATTCAATTAGACACTATATTTTTGCACGCACTTTTCTATGGTAACTTTACCACTTTGGACAAGTAGGAAATAACTGGAAGCGTAAACTACTAGTCGAATAGTACGACGGCACTCTCCTTGACGAGGTCTGGGCCCAACGCCGCGGCAAGCTCGGCGATAATCCCTTTGACGGACTGGGGGTTATCAAGTGGCATTGTCTCCCATCCCACAAGATCCTGAGTTACGGCAGGTCAGCAAGCAGAACAATGGAGTAACCCCACGAGGGAAGCGCTTACAATCATATGAACAAAACTGCCATGGACAAGGAGGAGCCAGTGGTCTAGATCCAAAGCTTTCACTTCCTCCAGAGACAAGACGCCGGGCATGTGCAAGTCGAAGAGAGATACCTCTTCATCGTTGATCTCGGCATCGGCTTCTGTCGCGTCATTCTCCGCAGGCTCCGGTGTGTCCTGCGCAGCGAGACGGCGGTCATGTGAAAGTGATACATAAGGACGTTCGTCCAGCTTCGTTGCCAGCTCGCCGTCAAGGGGATCCCAAGTGTTGCTTTCGGGGTCTGTATAGGGTCAATACGTATTCTTTTTTGTCGTTCTTCCAGGTAACCTTACCGAGGATATACTGCGGTCTGAATGACCCCTTGTACCGCATTTTCTGGCATGAGTGAATATAGTAGCCTGTGTAAAAAGTCATTAGATATATATTTTGTCTAATATGTCACAAGTAGAGGCTTGGGGAATTTTACCCATGTAATAATACCGGTAGCTGACTTCGATGGCAAGGGCAATCTCCCTCAGGGCGCTGAGTTTCCCAAACTCCCATTGTTCGTAATCGGGATCGTAGCTTCGGTTGTCAGTTTTTGCTCGAATGGCCGTAGAAAGTGGACAGAACACACAATATGTACACGGAGCTCACACCACTCGGCATCAAGTCTAGGACCGCAACTGCTATAAGCTTTCCATCCAGTCGGTAGCATTGGTGCCATGACCCTAGCTTCTTCTCAGTAGATTTGGGATCAGCAGGAGAACGCTTCATGCCTGAACAAAGGAACCGTTTGAAATCCTTTTGCTGCCATTTAGAGACATCTTCCTTGTGGACTTTGGTTTGGTATTTAAGGAAGAGCTCGAATCTTGCAGTGTTAGCAAGAGTAACAAAGTCAAATATTGGAGCTTACCTACTTTGCCTGAGATATAGAATCCCCTTCGAGGTTGACCTCGAATCGATGAGCAGGTTCTAACAGTTTCTTAGTCTTGGGATCAACGGGCCGTTTCACATTGCTATATTCGGCTTCATGAACAGCTGCGAGTAGGTCGAAGTTGCATTTCCGGTGCTTCTTCTCTCTGGGACAAGATGAGCCTAATCCCCGTCACTTTGTGGAAGCAGACAATGAATGAGCTTACTCCCGCGTCCTAGGGCATAGATAAGCTGCCCGGCGAATGTATTCCGGTCCCAAGATGAACTTGTTCCAGCGATTGAGTGCTTTACGCTGGTCCCTCCTAGACTTGAAGGCCGAGGCCTCAAGCCTAATCGATGGATTAGTCCGTGGCTGCCGAAGTGGGCTAATTTCAGTTGCCTTGCACGAACCTCATCGTATAGTGCGGACAACATGACCTCTGCAGGTTCTGCTTGTAGTAAAGCGTCCCTGACCTGGAGAAGGATTAGCGACTGGATGCCATGTACAAATAATACACCTACCGTCTCCACCCACGGTTGACGAGTTGCTCATAATGTCCAGGTCGTACGGATACAGAGCTAGTATAGTACGACGCACCTGCAGTGGATACACATTAGAACGATCTTAGATGCAGCAGTGGAGTAGTGCTGCTTCGGAATCATCCATTGTGAGAGGTAAGCAAGGGACATGTGCCAAAAAAGACTCACTTCCATCGTCAGATTTACAGTAACCGCATGAGTTGCGTTGGTACCCTGTATGTTGAAATCCGCGTTAGGGGTTTATTTTAGTCATCAAGATCAGTCAGTGATAGGATGGTTGAACCATGACGCCGATGAAAGATAGCAAGTGCATTAGTTGTAAGGAAGGGGAGGTCCTCGAACGGTCATACTGGCCCGTGAGCCAAGAAATCATCGTGGTGGAAGAGGGGCAGTAATTGTTCGGAGGGGCACGACTTGGGGGGGTTGTAATCGGCGGGTGAGGGCCAATAATGATTGCACGGGGAAAGGGATTATCATCTGACTGGCTGCTTACCAAGAGGCCGGAAAAGCGACAAATTTCTTGCTTGTTCAGCGTCGACTATGGATCCCATAGTTTCGATTTAGAGGCAGTGGTGGATGGAGCGGTTATTATCGTCGGCGCTCAAGGCGGATAACAAAGGAAAATAAAAGGTGAAATAAAAAAAAAAAAAGTTGCCGTCTTATTTTTCTTCTTCTTCCTTCTGGTTATAAGGGAACGTCAAGGGAAATCAAGACAGTATCAGCCTCCAATATATTCAGCTGTTGAAGACTGAGTGATGTTCACGGTTAGAAGATGGAATGGTACAGTACGGAAGTATATGCATGGAATTCTTCGATACGAACTTTGGTCGCGAAAGGAACACAGCGTACGGTAATACAGCTTCAACCCACATCAATAGGTATGTAGATGGGAAACAAACACACCGTACCTTCATATGGATATCTTAACTTTTCACTTCTGAGAACAAGGTTTGGGATGGCTCAGAAATGTGATATAGACCAAATAAACAAGAGGAGAGTATGATTACAAAAAAAATTCGCAAGATAATATTACGATCCCAAGGTCGCCAAGCACTGATGAGGATGCTTCTAGAAGAGGATCTGATCGTGTTGAGGTTGCATAGTCCTGGTCCGCCAGACGCCTTCCTTGGATTTATTCCGCCCCGTTATGGTGTGCCTTGAGACAATATACATACTGAACCTATCTATCTATAACTGTATATTCCTCCTGATATAAGAGTCAAGGTGGAGGGGTACATGATGTACGGTACCTGACCAGATGAAATACGGAAAAACCTTACACCAGCACAACCACTACCTAGGTATATAGATCCCCCCCTTACCTGGAGTGGCACCACCAGAGTGACATCCACTGCATTATTGTACTTGTTAGTCGTAGGCTAGCTGACTTGTCCTTGCCATTTTCTACCAGGCACAGAACGCTACCAGGTACATGGTCCAGGATACTTAGAATGTGCTAAGAGCGAAAATGTTGGTATTGTGAAAACTCATTACGATACAGGTATGTATGGTACGTACCGTGTCATTGAATGTCCCCAAGTCGATGAAATGGGAAGTTGGCCAAGTGTCCCAACGGTCAATCCCTATTTTGTCCCACGGCCGTTGGAATGTTGCACTGCGACAATCCATTGAACCTTGTCTCAGCAGATCCATCACTCAGTCTCAGGTGATTTTAACCAGTTTAATTTAATTCAATTCAATTCAAATTCTAGGTAGAGACAATGACATCACATGTCGAGTTATCCCCAACGTCAGCAATGTATCAGCACTACACTACTCTGTACACACCGATCCCCAGAGATCCGCACTAACTATGTCGCTTCACCATTCAATCGCCACTGCCGCCGTGCTTCTAGGCATGATTGAGTCACCCTTGAAGTCAACAGGCATACCTTCTTTGGTAGTCCGAAATCCTTCGCGGGCTTACACTATCCCCGAGTAAACCCCCGCCGGATATGATCTACGATCCACATCTCTATAGGGTTGACTTGTCCTGTATGTACATAGCACGTAGTACTTAGTATGTACTTCTACTTACACTTACATCATCTCACCCAATGTTAGATTTGGTGGAGGCGAACCGCTTCAGCTTTTTCAGTCTGAAAGGACAGTCTTTTGTGTCGTCGTGTCTTCAACATAAAAGAAATCAAAAATGTAAAATATCAGATAAAATAAAACAGAATAATAAAAGAGCAAAATGGCGAGGATTGAGTTATCGTTGTTGGTGCCCCGCATTTGGTAGGATCAGTCACTCCATGATGATAGTTTTGAACACTAATGTATGCACGCATGCTTCTGTGTTTTTATGGTACCCAATAAATCCCAAGGCTTGTTTGGATGACAAGGGGGGAGGAAAGTAAGCAACCACCAAAAGAAAAAGAGGGAGAAAAAAGAGTTCACCACCTTCTACACCTACACTTTGTTCAGAAATAATCCTTAATAATGATACATCGACCAAATATTCGAACGTTGCACTCGAAAATTACCACTCTACACTTCCGCGCATAGAGTATATGTATGTATGTATATACAATATTGGCTGCGTGCACCGTATGTACTGTACTATGATGCAGAAGTATTGATGCTTCCGATATGTATCTAATAGATACGGAAGAAGGGTAACTTGGATAGGTACCTAAGCAATGGAATGCGTTCGTGCAACGAGGTCCCGAGGAGATCTCTTTAGTTGCAGAAATTCGGTTTGCTCGCTGGCTATTCAATGTCTCTTTCCACATAAAAACCTATCGCGTTGATTAGTACAACTAGTTATTCTGATTATCATACGAGTTGTACCCATTCGCCGTCCAAAGTTGGTTAACCATGTGGACCGATCCTAATTTTATAAGGATGCACTGTGATTAGTTGTTTTTGTTTTCATGCTTGACTAGTGGTGGGTTAATTCCTGGTACCAAAAGGTCAGGATGGTGAGGATAAAAATACAAAATTAGAATAAAAACTAAATAAAAAAGAGGGAAACACCAGAAGCCATGAAAATTTAATCTAGATACTGTTCCATCTCATCCTCGAGTTTTGACTAATTTGCTGCTCAGTATTAATTCGAGTCCTCTCGAGAACAGCAACGAATGCGGCGCGCTTGTGGCGGCCATCGTCGTTTACTTCGTTAGACAAAGGGTTAAGTCCGATGGAGACAGACAGAACTTAATCCAGTCTCCATCTATTTGATGAAGGATCAATTTTTATTTTTCTTTTCTTTTTTTTTTTTAACCCTTTCTCCTTTCTTTTCTGTCCACTAGCACCAGACCGTAGAGAGAGCTCCTATGTGGCGCTTTTTGTACTGCATGTGCATGCATAGGAGGTCTGTATGTAGCAATAGACACTGGAAAGAGCCGAGTTCCTGGCAGGGTCTGGTTCGCATACCAGATATGTGAGTGATCATTTCACCAGTACTGTGGTACTCCCGAGCTCGCTCTTCCATTTGTGTGGTCCCTTGGGTGACGAAGAGGTTGCTGTGGAACCGACGAGGTCCGCAATGTATCGGAAGACTCAGGAGTGAGAAGCTCATTACGATGAAATTGGGAGTAATGCTTACTCACCTGTTGGGCTGTTCTTCCCGAAGATCCCTGGATACTATTAGTCCGCCACTCCACAAGTTCGCTACATTCCATACAATACTAGTAGTTGACGACTGGGGAATACGAAAAATAAAAAGGGGATAGATCTTCTAGAATTAGTGGGGGTTAGAAGGGAAAAAAAGGGAGTAACAACTAGGAATTGACCAAAGTATATTAGAATAAAAAAAAGAAAGGAAAAGAAAAGAAAACAGGAAAGGGGACACAATCTCCTGAAATAAGACCCGGAAATAAATGATAATAATACATCCAAGATAGATGGGACCTGATTAAGGGGAGCGAATGTACCGGATGTTTAGTATTGTTTCGGTAATAACGTTCGTTCCTGCCCACTGCACACAAATGCGGCCAATCCGTTACCACTTCAGTTGAGGCCGAAAGAAGATACCGTACATACCCGTAAGTACCGCCCAGCAAAGTCCGCTCCGGGCGAGAAGAGAGGGCGAGAGAGAGTCGTCCTGCCGGACCACGCCGCCCATTATACTCCCAACCTAAGCTGTCTCTGATTCCCCGTTCTCTCGCCTCCCCCTCCGTTCCTCCCATTTCCTGTCCCTCTATCCTTTCTCTTATTTCTATGCTGCCCTCCTGATTACCATGTCTCCTTGTACCCTCTCATCTCCTTCGAGGTTCCCGTCCGCTGCGGGTGTGAACGGGGATACCTAGTTCCTGAAGTTTTTTTTTTTTTTTTACCAATCCTTCTCCCTTGAAAAATTCCCCTACTTTTTTCTCGACCGCCTCGCTTTTCTGAGTTCCGGGGGAAAAAAAATTTAGGGTCAACGGGTCCTGGACCAGCTCCCCTCCACCGGACTGGTTCTTTTCTGGCTCAGAATATCCGTCGTTCGAAGTAAAAAGTTCATATCCGAAATTCTAACCCCATATACTTCGCCTCGTTATCGTGTTATTAACAGCCTTTTCTTTTTCTTCTTTCCGGGAACCGTCCACTCCTTTGGTTCCTTGTCGCGTGAACTGCAGCTCGCGCTGCACATCACCAATTTATTCAATCCCTCTGTCGATTGCCTATCTGGCCCAGGTGGCGTAGAGGGGTTTTATTCTTTGACCTATTTCTTTGTCTTTGATTCACAATGGTGGATCAAACTAGGTCAATGGAGTCCCGGACAGGGCGGAAAAACCAACGTAAGTGCTTGCCCCTCGAGGCACGTGGGCCTAATTGTCTTCCCTCTTTACGTCTCGTGTGAACTATTCGCATACCTATTTTCCATCCTGCCCTTGTTAGCCTTATCGCGCATGCCATTGCTAACCTAGATTTCATCAGGGTACGGATCCAAAGGCGAACGTCTCGTGGCCGGTGTGGTCCCCTTGTCCGCCGATAAGTCACAAGTGCTTATGATTCAGTCCGCGGGACGAGGTGGTTGGGTACTACCCAAAGGTGGATGGGAAACGGACGAAGAAACTGCTCAACAAGCCGCTTGCAGAGAGGCTTGGGAAGAGGCAGGCGTGATCTGTACAGTGCTAAAGGATTTGGGGCCGATCCCTGATATGCGCCCATCTTCCCTATTGACGTCGCATGCACCTAAAGCATCATACCAATTCTTCGAGGTCATGGTTGACCGGGAGGAAGACCAATGGCCAGAGATGAATAAACGAAAGCGTCAGTGGGTTTCTTATGCGCAAGCCGCAGCTGCTCTTGCGAGTCGCCCCGAACTCTTAGAGGCATTAAATCGCAGTTCTATGAAACGGTAGCGACTGCCTCTCCTTGCCTGACGTTCTCCGTTCCAGGAGTTGATTAAGCAAGGAACCTCTGGAAGATCGCCTTCGGTCTTTGGTCTTCCCGTTACGACTTGACGTGATCCTTTCCTTTCTCCCTAAGAAAACCTTTTTTTCCCCGCCGTATTTACCTTTTTGCTTGTCTTCTCTTTCTAAACGTCCTTTTTTGTAATGGTTGGCTGTGTTATTTTGGAGTTCGAGTTGTCGTTAGATGCCTTTCCTGACATGTTCAGTTGGCGACTTGGAAGGATATGCGCATGGCATCAGATTCACTCACCACTATAGATATCACCACGATCCGTCGAATAGAGAGTTAGAAGCGCAGCGGACAGCGCTAGTATGGACGGACAAAAAGTTTGCAACTGATGTCTCTTGAACATCATCACTCTATCAGGTCCTACTCTTGGAGAGGATATTTGGTTATATGGATACCAAATCTGCTTTTGACTCTGACATGATTTGACCATCTGCTTACGGCTCTTTTGCGACACCACCTATACTGTTGGCAACTGGGGCCTACTGGTGACATGGGCCTGCTTGGGCCTTTTGTTGAAGGTCTGACCTTGCACTCATGCAGAAATAGGAGTCAAGAAGAGAAGAAAAAAACAAAGAAAAAAAGTACTATTCTCCAAGCGACTCATGGCTGCGAGATAAAATAGCAAAGTTGTGCTCATTGACCACGTAGAAATTTCGAGTGATCTGGTAGGATAAATCCTGAGTGAAACAATAGATACAATAGGTAAATTTGCATAATAATAATAGAATATCATTAGAGTTGGATATCTGCCACAGGCTATTCAAAAAGGCGAGTGAAGAGCAGATAAGTCCTACATAGTTCTTAGACTCGGGCTGCAGCTGACTGGAGATCTGATAGATAACCCAAACAGGTAAAGCGCGGAACTCCAGTTTGGAGCCGAACTCAACGCTCGCAACCTACGCTCTTCTCAAACCCAGCTCCCTATCGTTTCGCCCACCCCATTTGGCCGGTCAGGTCATTATCTATTACAGCTGCTTTCCTGTAAACTCGGACTAGGTGATATACGATATATTGAAAGCTACCGCTTCGAGATACGAAGTTGGCAGCTTGAAGCGCTGCTTGAACGCCAACATGGACTATGAAATGGACATCGAGCCTACAGGGCCCCAGGTCACAGTACGAGAGGTATGTCTGAAAAAAGCTGAGAAACTAGTCTCAAATTACCTAGCGGTGCGTCATAAGCGGAAAGTTCAAGATTGACAATACCATAGGCTGAACCCTACCGAGTCGATTTCAAACTCAGCTCCGTCGACCTTGCCTTTGCCAACTCTCTTCGCCGCACCATGCTTGCAGAAGTTCCTACCATTGCAATTGATCTGGTTGAAGTCGAAAAGAACACGTCTGTTCTTCCGGACGAGTTTCTCGCCCACCGATTAGGTCTCATCCCTCTTAATTCCAAAAACTGCGACCAGGACGTTGAGTATACCCGCGACTGCGACTGTGAGGACCACTGCGCGCGGTGCAGCGTCACACTAACTCTGCATGCGCGCTGTACAGGCGACGACATCATGCGCGTGTATGCGCGGGATTTGGTGGTTAGTGGCGAACGGGCGAATGAATGGGTCGGGAACCCAGTTATCACTGATCCAGAGGGCAACGGGCCGTTGATCTGTAAACTACGACGTGGACAGGAGCTAAAAATGACTTGTATTGCCAAGAAGGGCATTGCTAAAGAGCATGCCAAGTGGATGCCTACTGCAGCGGTTGGTTTCGAGTATGACCCGCACAATAACCTACGACATGTGGATTATTGGTACGAAGAAGACCCTATTAAGGAATGGTACGCTATATAACTCTCTAACTCGTTACTTTGTCGCGGGGAGAAAGTTTTCTAGTACTAACAGAAGTAGGCCTGTCTCCCATAATGCTGCATGGGAACATGCTGCACCCCCGGACCAACCTTTCGATTACGACGCGCAGCCCAACAACTTCTATATTGACGTCGAGAGCATCGGTGTTCTTGAGCCGGATATGATCATCCAGCAAGGAATTACTGTCCTACAGCGTAAACTCGCTTCTGTCATTTCTGCACTGTCCGGTGCTGGCGATGGCGACCGCAATGGCGTCATGGGTGGTGAGGATGAAGATATGATGGGCGTACGCAGTCCAGATGCATATGAACCACCAGAGGGTATTGATGGAGGCTTCACTGCTTATGCTAATGGCGGTGCGAGTGCTTGGGGAGCAAGCGCAGCGACCCCTTACGGGGCGACACCATATGGAGGTGGTGGATACGGCTTCTAAATAATATATCTTTTCATTGGGTTCTCTCACTGCCAATCTTGGAATAGCAAAGACACCGATGTGAAAACCGGGCGGAAAGGGAAACATGAATGGGTAGGGAAAAAGAGAAAAAGAAAGAATCACGCTTTCATATTGAATAATTGCCATCAACAAGCATCTGGAGGGAGTTTTAGGTTACGGTACACCGGCGCGAATGGGATTTCACCTTTACTCGTACAAGTCGATAGCTCTTTCTCGTTGAGTTGGTCGATGTTATATTGGCTTTGTATTTTAAGGACTTATATGAACATGACATACTAAATTACAATATAAAAAGTCAAATGAACAGAATGGTTTAAAGTGCGTCTTCTGATACCTACGTTAGACTAATTTACAATACCTCTTTTCATGTCTGTCTATTTGGGCCTTGTTCTGTCTAGTCGTGATCATCTCCCCTTTATCACAACTCGAGATAAGTGGACGATGGAGCTAGTATATATGTTGCCTTTACAGACTTAAGATCTCGACATGATGAAAATGGAGTTTGCTAATGAGGATATGTAACTTATGAGTCATGCTGGCCAAGGAAGGGCCCTGTTTAGTGTGAAGTGACTATGACACTGTCTTCTAAGCAACTATTGGAGGGCAGTCCACACTCTTGTACTGGATAAACCCAATAGAGGTAAGCCTGGCAAACTTAGAATCGGCTATCTCGAAAAGTCCGTGAAGCGGATGTTCATGATCCACATCATCAGGTTTAATGTCGTTGGAACAGAGCTTACATTAGCCTTAAGCGTGGTATTCGAGATGTTTCTTTGACTCCACATTTCTCCAAGAATCCCACATGGCATAACTAACCTGCTTCCGGCGCTCATGGCTGGCGATGTGATGTAAAATACATCCTTGTACTTTGCTTTTCAAGTGTGTTACCTACCTACCTAGGTAGGAGGTACATGTATTATGATGCCGAAGAATTAATGTCATCCTACATAAGACTTTGAATGAAAATTTTCAGCAGTAATCAAAAGACACTGACTGTATCAAGATGGTCAGACTGGAAATAGCCTCCTTAGTAAAGAATCAACCCGCGGATATCCCTGCCCCCTCAAAGGTATTACCGAGGGTTACCATTTGCCCGACCAAAACCGAGAACCTGATTGGTTGATTCTCTGGCATATCGGCTATGCTGCCGAAGTTCGGAGATAGATCAAGTCTCCGACGCCATTTTAGAATTTCCCGTGAGATACGAACTAGCCTAATACTTATTTTAGGTACTTGTACAACTCCCTACCCTGTGACCGCTTACACACTCCACTCTCTTCCCTTCGCTGGATTGCTCACATCTTGTCTTCCAAGATGGCAAGTAGTGCAAAGCTGGAGGTGTCGCAGCGCCCTCGGGCTGCTATTCCCGTCAAAAAAGTGCATTATCCGTTCTGGTTTGGTGGCTCTGCATCATGCTTTGCGGCCGCCGTGACACACCCTTTGGATCTTGGTAGGCATTCCATTTATCAATATACCTTTTTTTGAACCCCAAGGAACTTGAAATAGCTAACACTATTTTTTATAGTGAAGGTAAGCTATTCCTAGTCCTTATCGGCCCTCTTGCGTTTTCGATCTATGGCCCTTATTTTTTTCGCGTCACCGTGACGCTAATCGATGCTGTGTGGGAAAAAATAGGTTCGCTTGCAAACACGTGGGCCTGGTGCGCCCCCAACGATGTTAGGCACTTTTGGTCATGTAATTAAGTCTGATGGGATTTTGGGTTTATATAGCGGGGTACGTCCAGTCTGTGTGAATCCCAGGGAAAAGGGGAGGAAGAGAAAGTCCTCTTGCTCACAGTGCAAACAAACATGTAGCTATCGGCCGCGATCTTGCGACAGATGACGTATTCTACCACACGATTCGGCATATATGAAGAGCTGAAATCGCGCTTCTCAACGCCTGAATCACCTGCCAGTACCCTCGCGCTGGTCGGAATGGCCTGTACATCCGGTTTCCTTGGCGGCATCGCAGGAAACCCAGCTGATGTTCTCAACGTGCGCATGCAGTCTGACGCAGCTCTCCCCGTGGAGCAGCGCCGTAACTATAGACATGCCTTCCACGGCTTGGTCCAGATGACCCGCCATGAAGGACCTGCGAGTTTGTTCCGTGGTGTTTGGCCTAATTCAACCCGTGCCGTATTGATGACGGCTTCGCAGTTGGCTTCGTACGACACCTTCAAGCGTCTCTGCATCAACCGTTTCGGCATGTCTGATAACCTCGGCACACATTTCACCGCGTCCTTCTTGGCTGGTTTCGTTGCGACAACGGTCTGCAGTCCGGTGGACGTAATCAAGACTCGCGTGATGAGCGCATCCCCGGCCGAGAGCCGTGGTCACAACATCGTGGGTCTCCTACGAGACATCACCCGCAAGGAAGGTTTCGCCTGGGCCTTCCGCGGCTGGGTCCCCAGCTTCATCCGCTTGGGTCCCCATACGATCGCTACATTCATTTTCTTGGAAGAGCACAAGAAGCTCTATCGCCTGTTGAAGGGCGTTTCCGAAGAGAAACCTAAAGCATAGATCTTTCGCTCTCTTCGTATCCCATTTTTCATTTTTGTTTTATTTTATTTTATATTTTGCGCTATCTTTGTATATGTTTCTTTGGCGAACGCATTGGGAGGACAAAAAGTTTGTTATATTTGCTGTACATACCTTTCGCTTGGGTGTGCTTCTTTCCGTTTCACAGCCTTTTTTGGTGATTTTAGTTGGCTTTTGCCCGCAATTTCTGCGAGTGCTGTCCCTTGACCGCACCGAGATACCCTTGCAGTGGCAGATCCTGGTTCAAATTACCGGGTATCCGTCCTTTGCTTCAGCAATTGTTTATCAATCATAGACTGTCTCAGTGCGGGAAGTAACTTCATGGTTGCGGCACTGGTTTTTGTTGGCTATATCTGAGTTAGAATAGATAGAAAGGGTTGTTAGTTTGGATATAGGATAAAAGAATAGACTCCAATGGGTTGACAATTGACGCATATAAATCGTTTAATCTTGATTACTTCCCGCTTAGAGATACCTCGACCAGTATTTGTGGAAATAAGCGCTAATTAAAGGGGTAATGGGAAAGGCAGATAGTAATTCTTGTATAGATTCTTCTACAGATGCGAACGACAAAAGATACAACTAAGATAATAGCACAATGGGGCTTCCACTACGGCGAGTCTATATACGTCCATTACCTCAGTCAATCCAAGGGTGCGGATTTGTATTCCCGCTTTGATCAGGTAGAGTACATGTTGACACAAAAAATGCTTGAAAAATCAATCAACAATGACTTGTTACTCATCTACCCCAAGCGAGCGGGGAAGTTGCCAGCCTCTGTGGGAGCGAAATTAGTCTATGATGGGGCAGTCTGAACGATTATGCAAAGAAATTTACATACCGCGTTGTGTATCCCATCTGTCGGTCCAGGCCTTAGGGCACAGGGAGCGGAAAGCGTGGAAGAACTGGATCGATTGTTAGCCCTACTTTCTGTACTTGCAAGTGCATCGTTCTCCCTGAGACTTCGTGTCGGGGATACGGAAAAAGTGACATACCTGACGGCATGGGCGGAAATCCTCGCCCTTGGCGTTGACACACTTGTGGTAGTCGACGTAGTTTTGCCAACAGTGCTTGGTCCTGAGGTGAACAGTGGAATTAGCAATTGTTTCGGGGTGATTGGGGTGTATAGGATTGCGGTTCACGGACTGGTTCTGCTGGGGGAAACGGGCGTCATAGCCTGTTGCATCAGAAGTTGTCAGCGTCTCGTATGGGAACCACACGATACCAAAACCTCGGTAGCGGGGTATTGCGAGCGATCCGATCGATAGAAGACCTAATTAGAACGTACCAGCTGCAGAATAGTTAGCAATTGACCCTCATTTCAGGCTCTAAACCTCAAGATTGGCTGTAATTAAGCTCACCTGTCACGAACTTGAAGGGCTTGGTCTCGACAGGCTCATCGGGATCGGCTTCAGGAATAGCACCCATTTTGATTATGAGGGAAGCAAAAAGCCTCTGGAATCAAAACTGAAAGAGGTAAATGGGGGTTGGTTGGCGTAGATGAGAGGGGAGTTGGAGAAGGAAGATGGGGTGAGGTTTGCGCCAGTGGAGTGGTGGAATGATCCCGTGAAGCAGCGAATCCGGGAGTGACCGCGGGCGGTCTAGCGAGCCACTCATGCGGCAAGATTTCCTAAACACCCGAATCCAGCCTAAGGCACGACTTGCTCAACCCTTCCCTTCAAACGTCGTGAGCTTCCGTCACCACATCCGATTTCCATCCCACCACCATCTCTGCTCCCACAGGTTAACGTCCACTCTCACCATGTTCCCCACTCGTATTTTGCGGATGCAGGCCTCCCGGCCTTTTGCCTTCCCTACTCCTGTAAGCTCCTTTCGGTGTTCCTCGTTTCCGGGAAAAAACGGCTGTGTGCTAACGATCGTTGTAGAAGGAGGCCCAGAGCGGTATGGGACCCTAAGAACTCGCAATTAGGTTTAAATTGCGAAAAATTGATTTAAAGATAGAATTGGACTAACTAAAGCTACAGCTCACACTATCTCTCAGCGTCTGCGCACTCTTAAGAGAGTTCCCCCAGAGTTGATCCCTCTTGGTATGTCATCTGACGTTTTGCCCATGGAGCTACTATTTATCTAACTGTTCTGTGATTAGGTGTTGTCCTTGGGTATGTTTACTGATCTGAAATTTCCTAAATTCTATATTACATGATCGATCCCCTCAGTTGCTACCTCCCCAGACTAAAACCTGTGCTCGTGCTGACGCAACTTCTCTAGCGTCGCTGTTGGAGCTGCCATCTACTCCAGCACCAAGAAGCTCATGACTGACAAGACTCTGCGTCTTTCCCGCAACAGCCCTGAGGACCGTGAGCACTAAAATGTATTACCTCATTTCAATTTCAATCGCGATCCTTTTATGTGATTTTTGTTGGCGGTCTGTATTATTCACGGGAGAGTTGATGTCGCGGAAGAATTTGAAATTTCAAAAACAATACTCAGGCTCATGGTTGGAGCGCGTGTATATAGTACGGCTTGAACAGAGGGTTCTGATGGGGTAATATTGCGATATTACTGTCGCACAGCTTCCTGTTTCATGATCTTGGAGTCTTCAGAACTTATTCGGGCTTCGGACCAGCGACGTCCAGCTCTTCTAATCCTTGCATTGGGTCGTGAGAACGATCGTTGGCTGTCGTCTGAGCCTGTTCTGCCGCCAACTTATCTTCCTCATTGACTGCGTATTTGGCCAGGTAGCCCTCCTGCACATTTGTAGTTAGAAACCTGGTCGTACTGAAGAATAAGTCCCTTACGCACCTGTTCCCAGATCGCTGTCTTGCTTCCTAGACCTTCATTGCTATCCTTCTGTGGTTTGGCGGCTGCAACCTTTATCGTACGCCCGTAGAGCTCACTTCCGTCCATGTTGTCGATTGCTTCTTTCGCATCTTCAGGAACATCAAATTCGACATAACCAAATCCTCGATGAAGTTCATTTGAGTTTGGTACATCGGGCTTTGGGAGGGTAATATCAACGACTTCGCCGAATGGAACGAATGCCTCGGCCAGTGTCTGCATAGTAACCGCCTGGTCGAGACCCCCCACATAGACGGTACATTTCAAGCGCGCTGTCTCGCTCATGGTGTGTCTGGTTGAAAGCTCGGTGGTGTTGCCTCCGGGGAGCTTATCGAACCACAAAGTTGTAGCTAATGAAAAAAAAGGGCTCTCTGCCCCCGTCAAAGTTCACGCTCTTTCGCTGCTCTCCACTGTGGTTTCCTTGCCTAGACTTTCTGGACCGAGCAACCTGATATCACGTGTCCTCCGCGGGTGTTTTGGCGAGCGCCCGAACAGGTTAGGCGCCAATCGCCCGGGTACCTCCAGGAGGACACTTGGTTGATTGGGAACCGTGCAGTTGACGTCTCGATCGCATCCCGCTGCTACTTGGCAACTTTCATACACCCCTCTGGTCTTGTTTGGGAGGGGAGGTTACGCTTGGAAATATCTCTTTCGTCTTATAATCCTAATAATTCGCCGATTCCCACTTTCTATGACAGTTGCTGCGGCCGTTTCTTAGTCTGGTTATCTCCTAATCTATAGTACCTCTCGTTACTTCCGCTCCTTTACTTTCACCATGGTTCGTCTGAGGGAGATTCCCCGGACGGCCACATTTGCCTGGTCTCCCGGTGCTGCGTCGCCATTGATTGCTACCGGTACTCGGGCCGGCGCAGTTGACGTTGATTTCTCCAACGAGACATGCCTCGAGCTGTGGGACTTGGGCCTGGATCGTCAGAGTGCCGGCGAAGAGCTGCAGCCTGTAGCGAAGCTTGATACTGATTCCGGGTACATATCACTTTATCCCCATTTCACGATGCAGGTGTGAAATACTGACGGCCGCCTCTATAGTTTCAATGACTTAGCGTGGACGCAATCCGAGGAGAACACACGGGGAGTAATAGCTGGCGCTTTGGAAAACGGATCATTGGACTTGTGGGACGCCGATAAGTTACTCAATGGGTCGAGGTTTGTGTTACAGAAAGTATCAAACAGATATAGTTCAATTGGCTGATTATTGGGAAGTGACGCCGTTATCTCGAGAACCTCCAAACATTCAGGAGCCATCAAGGCCCTCCAATTCAACCCCAAACATTCTAATCTGCTGGCAACCGGTGGCGCGAAGGGAGAGGTACTTAATTAAACTAAGATTGAGAACCTACAGGACTACTTTGCTAATGGCTTGGAATAGCTGTACATCTCGGATCTGAACAATGTCGCAAACCCCTATCGACTCGGTGGTACCGCTGCACGCGCGGATGATATTGAGTGCTTGGACTGGAATAAGAAGGTTGCGCACATCCTAGTTACTGGTAGCAGTGCGGGATTTGTCACCGTTTGGGATGTCAAGACGAAGAAGGAGAGCTTGACTCTTAACAATATGGGTCGTAAAGCTGTCAGTGCTGTTGCCTGGGATCCTGAGAAGGTGAGATGCTTGTGCCAACCATTCAGAAAACAAATGTGGCTTCTAACATGCTGCAGCCTACAAAACTCGTTACGGCGACACCATTGGAGTCAGACCCCATGATCTATGTCTGGGATCTCCGTAATTCTCATGCCCCAGAAAGGGTAAGCTTAAGCAAACTTGTCTCTGGCGGATATTAGTTTGATAACTTCTAATATCTTTTAGGTTCTCAAAGGTCATGAATCCGGCGTCTTGTCGCTTTCGTGGTGCAGCCACGATCCTGATTTGCTTCTCTCTTCCGGAAAAGACAATCGTACTCTTTGCTGGAACCCACAAACAGGTCACCCTTACGGCGAGTTCCCTGTCGTTACAAACTGGACCTTCCAGACTCGTTGGAATCCCCACAACCCCAACTTCTTCGCTACGGCTTCCTTCGATGGCAAGATCGCGGTCCAGACTATCCAAAACACCAGCACCGAAACTGCTCAGGCCATCGCAGACCAGAACCAAGCGCTTGATGGGGAAGATTTCTTCGCAAAGGCACAGAGTCAGCCGCAGGTTTCGAGCTTTTCGCTCCCGAAGGTTCCTAAGTGGCTTGAGAGACCCTGTGGTGCCACTTTCGGTTTCGGAGGCAGAGTGGTTTCTGTCAACTTGGTAGAGAAGGGCCAGCGTGCTTCCAAGATTAAGATCACCCCGTTCGAAGTTGATGAGGCTGTTGGACAGTCTACTGAGACCTTTGAGAATGCTCTTAAGGAGGGCGATCTTCGAAGCATCTGCGAAACTAGAGCTGCAAACGCCCCCACTGATGAAGAGAAGGCTGACTGGAAGGTCATTGAGGCCTTGATCTCTGAGGACCCCCGAAAGGGGCTTATCGAATACCTCGGATTCCAGGATCAATCTGCTGATGAGGCTGCCGAGAAGTTGGCTAACCTTGGCCTAGATAAGGAGGAAACTAATGGAGAGTCGCCCAAAGAATCCCGCGGGCCGGGGGCGAAGAAGCACAGGCGCCTGCAATCGATGTTTGATGCGAGCCCTGAAGAAGACAACTTCTTGTCCGACCTAGCCGCGTCAAAGGGAGCCAAGACTAACAACCCCTTTCGGATCTTCAATGGTTCTGAGACGGAAGCAGACAAGGGCATCACCAGAGCATTGCTCCTCGGCGATTTTGAGAAGGCACTGGATGTCGCTCTCAAGGAAGATCGCTTGTCTGATGCTTTCATGATTGCTATTTGCGGTGGTCACAAGTGCATCGAAAAGGTGCAGGAGCACTATTTCTCCAAACAAACCGAGAGCCCGAACTACGTTCGCCTGTTAGCATCCATTGTTGGCAAGAACCTCTGGGATGTTGTGTACAACGCCGACTTGTCTAACTGGAAGGAAGTTATGGCAGCGCTGTGTACCTTTGCTGAAGAAAAGGAATTTGCTGATCTTTGCGACGCTCTTGGTGATCGATTGGAGGAACAAATCCGGGCTACTAACGATAAGAGCCTCCGCAAAGATGCTTCATTCTGCTTCCTCGCTGGTTCCAAATTGGAGAAGGTTGTTGAGATCTGGATCGAGGAGCTTCGCGAGAATGAGCAAAAAGCCATTGAAACTGCTACGAATGATAACTCCTTCTCGATCCATGTGCGCGCTTTGCAGGGACTGATTGAGAAGGTGACCATCTTCCGCCAAGTCACTAAGTTCCAGGATACGGAGCGTACAAAAGAGTCGGGCTGGAAGCTTAGCAACCTGTACAACAAGTACATTGAGTATGCTGACGTGGTTGCTACTCATGGACGGCTACAGGTTGCTCAAAAGTATCTTGATCTTGTTCCGGAGAAGCACCCCGAAGCTGAAGTTGCAAGGAATCGTATACAGCTGGCCACGAGGCAACCAGCTGCTCAGAAGATGCAGCCAGTGTCTACTGGTCGTGGAACACCACTGAGCAAGCCTCTCCCACCAACCAACGCATATCAGCCTCAGACCACATTCACGCCGGTTGCACCAGCTGCAGCTCCTAGTCCTTATCCTCCTGCGGCTCCTGCTTCTAACCCATACGCGCCTCCTGCTACTGCTGCTCCCAATCCATACGCACCTCCGGCTCCTGCTACGAACCCTTACGCCCCGCCTGGTGCTGCGGCCACACCTCAGCCAACCAACCCATATGCACCAGTTTCCGGCGGCGGTTATGCTCCTCCCTCGGGATATCAACCCACACCGCCACCGTCCTATGGTGCTAAGCCCTTAGGTGGTTCAGTGCCTCCTCCGCCACGTGCGTCGAATCAATCTCCCGCTACTATTACCACATACACTACCGCCACCAATCTCCCTGCTTGGAATGATCTTCCTGAAGGCTTTGCGAAGGCTCCGACGCCGCGGAGAGGAACTCCCGCCGGAGCTGCCGCACCAATCAGTTCGCCATTTCCGAACCAATCCCCATCTCTCAGCCAGGGACCTCCACCACCCGGGGCTCTGCCTACTCAGCGGACACCCTCGGTTCCCCCTCCGCCAAAAGGCACTGCACCACCTCCCCGGGTGACTTCTCCGCCTTCTGCTATCCCGTCGGGACCTCCTCCGCCCTCAAACCCTTACGCATCCTTACCTCAATCTCCTCAGATAACCCCCAGCACTATGGCAGTACCGGCAGCAATCCCCCGTGGCCCGTCTCCTTACAACACTCCGCCGACTATGCCTCCACCGACTAACCGGTATGCCCCAAGCCCAGCAGCTCAAGCGGCAAGCCCACAGTTTCAGGCGCGGGCTCCTGTTCCTCCCCCTCCTCCGGCAGCTGCCTCACCATATGCCCCCCAGCCTCCGGTAGCGAGCCAGTATGCTCCCACTACGCCAACGTCGACTGCTCCTCCGCCAATACAGCAAGGACCGCCTCCAGCTGCAGGCTCTAGGCCCGGCACGGCTTCTTCACCAAAGAAGGCGGCACCCGCGCCTCCCAAGTATCGTAAGTACTACATATAATGCCTCGCTTGGACTTTATTCTAACTTTCCTAGCTCCTGGTGATCGCTCCCACATTCCTGCAGACGCCATGCCTATCTACGAGATCCTCACGGCGGATATGCAGCGCATCAAGGGCCGTGCGCCTTCATCCTTCAAAGCACAAGTCGACGATGCTGAGCGTCGGTTGAGCATTTTGTTCGATCATCTAAATAACGAAGATCTGCTCAAGCCAAACACCGTTTCGGATATGGCAGACTTGGCCCGTGCCATTCAGGCGCGTGACTACGACACCGCACGTGCTATCCACGTCGATATCCTGACAAACAGAACCGAAGAATGTGGTAACTGGATGGTGAGTTATTCAACAGTTCGTCATGCTTTGCATTCAAACCTTTCTAACTCGATAATTAGGTTGGTGTGAAACGTCTCATCAGCATGAGCAGGGCCACTCCGTAAATAGTTGTGGCATCCAATCAACGTCTGGGGCAAGGTGATGAGTATTCGTATGAGAGAGGAATGTCTATGCTTTCATATACGTATTGTTGGTCTTCAGGCTAGACCAGTCGTGCGATTTGCTCAGGTACTAGTTTTAGAAATTGTTTCTTCTTGTCTAAATGTTATTATGTTCGATTGATTATCTATGGTTCCTAAGATATGTGCAGTAAACTTTTTAGAGCAGTGCGACCACAAAAAGAAGCCCTCAAATCGTGAGTCTTACTTTAGATCGAAGACAGCAAGTGGTGAAGTTCTTAGCGTGATCATAGTGATGTGAAATCATAGAATGATCCCGATCAACTTCCAAAGGTTTTGGTCTAGTGGTAACTACTGAGTATCAATGTCTGTAAAGAAGTCACTTGGAATGGGCTTTCACAATCTACACACGAGCAGATAGCTTGCGCTCGTGACTTTTGATTCATTGGGTATGGCTAACATATACAACCACGGTATGCAGTGTATGTTTATAAAGAATATATTCCTACTGTGTCTAATATATCTCTACTTCGCCTAAGGTACATAAATAAAGATCATCATGGAATCCTATATTGCAACTTGATTCAGACATAGCGGCCATTTTCGACACCATAGTAGATCAGATTGGCCTTAATACTTTGTTGGTTGTTGCTGGAGACCAATACATTCTTCTACTAAGCGGACTAAGAAAAGACGAAGAAAAGAATGCTGCATATATATTCACATGATAGTGCTGCCCTGCCTCGAGCAAAAGTATTATCATAACAGTCATTTCCACCCTCATCTGTTGAGACCACTACTGATCTTCGGCCCCCGACTAGCAGGGAAATTCCGAGCACTCAATAAAGCACCCTTGACACCTCTTATCTCCGACTTGAAATTGGATATCGCGTCTTCTTCGCCTTTATTCAAGCCAGCCGTGTTTCCACCGCTGTCAAAGCCAGATGCACCATAGACACCGTAACCACTTGTCGTGCCATAGCCAGATTTGCTATAGAGTAGTCCATCTAGGTAATGCTGGAGCTCGTTGAGGCTGGTGCGGACGGTATCATCGCACGTAGTCGATTGTTTGTCCGTCTCGGAGAATTCCTGTAGATGAGACCTGATAATTTCAAGTCGCTTTACATGTGTATTGACAGCAGTAGTAGGATCAAAAGTCTCTGTGTCTGCGGTATTTGGTGCTAACGAGGATGAGTTCTCTAGATTGAAATCTTCTGAGGTCTGGACAGCGACATCACGATGGAACAACTCCGCCGGGTCGGATGTGACGGACTCGGTTTCATCATCGGAGCTCGAGCCGGTAGATTGGGCGCGACGGGCAGTGAGCTGGGGAGGGATAACGGAGACGTTCTGTTCTAGTTTTTCGTTGAGCTTTTTGAGGTTTTCCTGAGCTGTTTCGGCTAGATCGTGCCGTGCGCTTGTAAGGTTGGCAAGCATGGGCTTGACGAGGTATTCGCTTGCGCCGTAAATGCTGGCTCCTAGACCTGCAGCGCCATAAAGGGTATAGAGGAAGCTGCGGAGAGTCACCAGCGGAGGAGGTTTGGGTTGGTTGACGAGGAATTCCGGGTATGTAATGATTGGTGGGACGTCACGAGTGGACGGGGGTTGCCGGTTGGCGGTGGCGGTAGTAGATGTAGAGGAAGTTTGAGATACGGGGGCAGAAGGCGATGAAGAGGCAGGGGTGCTTGTGCTTGATGTGGTGCTCGACTCCGTGGTTTTCTTATCCTCCCCGGTTGCGGCTGTACTACTGGTGGCCTCGGAGGTTCGCGACACCCCCAACAGACTGTCAATTTCATCTTGTCGGAGACCCTTCGACTCCAAAAATGATACCTTGTGATCTAGCGGGGCGTCACATAAGGATTCATCTTGTAAGAACTTGGTCGCTTGCTCTAGAAGAGTTGACCGTGAAGCATCATCGGAGCTTGGCGGAGATGTGGAGTTGGTGGCGGAGGGCTGTTGCCATTGCGGGATTGATGGGGTTTTGGGCTTTGAATCAGCCATGGCGGGTTGAGGGTGAGAGGAAGAGGCTAATTGCAATGAAGGAAACACACCATGAAGTAAGTTGGATTGAGAAAGAGAAAGGTGGAGGAAGTTGGGGAGAGACGGAGAAAGATAGCCATGTGAGGGAGAAGTATGGCTTCGACTCTCTGCGACCTCGGCTTATCCTCCGGAGTGGGTTTATTCTCGGTATTGTCATGCATGGTATCAATTACCACATGGCCAAACTATTCATGGCAGGCGGTCAAAATGGTGATACCGCCCTGTGGCAGAATACCACGATTGAACATCCGATTATCTCCCATCGTTCAATTGCAACAGAAAGACCATCAGGGACTGTGCGAACCAACCATTTGACTAGTGATTATATACAGTGATCCTCAAGCAAATCATTTGAAACGTATACTGAAATTCAATTCAAGAAGATTGGGTGGTACGTGCCTCCTCAATTGCGACCCTTATCATCCTTTGTGAGTTTTCCCTTTATTCCTCTCGTATACATCCATGTACTCAATGGCACCGTTTTACATTTAATCTACTGTGTTCCACCCCCCCTTTTTTTTCCCACTTCACTTTCTCTTCTCCTATCCTATTATATTAGAGTTGTATCCACCCCCTTGTTCGGTCAGCGATCCCTGTCCATGCAGCGCACAGAGAGTAATACCTGTCCTGTCGGGGTTGCAGGAGAAAACGCACCAACGGTGCCTACACCGCGCTCCCGCCCTTGACTGGTGTATCGCTTGAGATCTTAGTCCAGAATGTTCCCATTGGTTGTGTCCTTCGTGTCGGATGAGAACTTCCAAGTGGCGTCAAAAGATGTGATAGGGATTGATGGCCTGTGCCTTCCCGGACTACATCACGATCACTCCTCTGGACTGGCCCACGTAGTCAGTTGGTCATAACTATCGCATGGGCTTGTTTCCCTGTTCATTCCCCTCTTTCCACCCCTCTGTATCTCCTCCACGACCGACACTGCCTCATCTGTCAGACACAACAATCCCCCAGATAGCCTTATTGTTGTCTACTATTGTCCACCGATACGAGACTAACCCCCCTCCCATCCTCCCTCAAATTTTGTGTTTTCCCTGATTGTCTCGCTGTTTGCTTTTTTAATCCCTCAGCTCTTCTGCGGAATTTTTGAGAAGTTTAGCCTTTAAGCCCCTTTTGCCCCCATTACTTTGCCATCCATATCTCGTATCAAGCCAATCCCGTCGAGCTATCATGTCTCTGCGTCGCTCACTTCGCTCCCGCCCTATGCGGGATGATCTACCAAACTTGGATTCTAACGCAAGTGCCAGAACCCCGACCAGAGTGACCCGCGCTGTCACATCTTCATCTGTAACCGTCTTCCGATCTCCCTCAGACTCCCCGGAGGAGTCCAGGAGATCTATTCGTTTGACTGTCAAGATGCCTTCAAGTAAGCTGCGTGAGGTTACCAGTGGTAGTACACGCAATGGTACCTCCAGACGCTCTGTCAACGTTTTTACGGAGAACCCTATAATGACAGGGCCACGGACCAGCCGGCCCAGGAAGAAGCTCGTGGAAGTTGACACGAGCGATGAAGACCTGGAAGACCAGGAAGAAGATGAAGTAGATGATGAAGATGCTCCCGGTGAAGATGACGAGGATGTTGATGCGGACGGAGATCTGGACATGGACGATACCCCGCCTCAACCTCCAGTGTCGAAAAGACACACTAAGTCTTCTGGGGTACCCGCATCCACATCTAGGGCAGTGAAGGGCGTCGAAGCGAAAGAGATGGAACTAGACGCCGAGGACGAGGAGGACGACGAGGAGCTCTCGGAGCCTGATTCAGACGCGGAGGGTGAACCCGATGATCAAGAAGAGAGTGGACTTGGAAACGTTAATGGAGGCGAGGATGATTTGGATGAGGAAGAAGAGGAAGAAGAGCTTGATAGTGACGACGGCACGCCTACTGCTGACCCCGCCCGCATGACCAAACGCCAAAGGGGCACCTTGGGCAATGATTTCTTGCAACTGCCAATGGGTAAGTTTCGTATAGCACCTGCGAGTTTGTCGCACGAAAGGCATTGTCTAATGCAGAGCAGAACCACAGGTGAAGAAGCATCTAACCGCAGAAGAGCGTGCTATGCGCCGTGCGGAAATGGCTAGGCGGAGAAAGAACCTTAGCGAAAAGCGAAACGAAGAAGAAAAGGTATGTGCCACGAGATCATGTCTCCCGGTTGGAGTGCGAAGCAAAATTATTTTTTTATCTTTAGCTGTCAAAAAGTGTAAACTGACGCAAGATGACAGATGGATACAATCAATAGACTTCTGCGGAAACAAGCACCTAAACGGCGTGGTCGGATCCCTGCTGCTGAAGCGGCCGAGACGGCCTCTGCAGAGCAGGAGACACTGAATTTCGAGAGGCCAGACCCAACTATGGTAAGATGGGTCAGTGGCCGCAAGGGGAGCAAGATCTATGTATCAGAGGAATGGCTCGAGACTCCAGCAGGACGTGTCTTCGGGAACCCTTCTCTGAAAGGCAGCGGGCCTAGAAAGCTGGTGGAAGAAGTGTGATTGACCAGTTTGGAAGTCAGGTGCAAACGGTGCAGGCGTATCTGGGAAAAGTTGGCTTTACCATTTGGGGCTTATTTTCAGTATTTTATCAATCGGGATCGGGCTGTATATTTTTGCCGAAGCCAGGGTTTGCCTGTTGATTGCCTTATTGTGTATTTATTGATTGGCATACCCGGTTCAAGGCGGAGTTCATTATATAAGGAAACAGGGCATATGTTCATTTATGATCGGTGAGATTGACACGATAGAAGCGTGCTATGAAAACTTGAAATTATGATGGCAAATGTTATGTATTCCGAGATTGTAGAATTTTATTATTCGGATGCTGGCTATTCACAGAATGAGCTATAGTAGAATGGACTTCCGGATCTGCAGTTCTTGGAGTCATCTCCTCAACTTTTCATATACCTTCGATGGGCAACTTTGCAGTGCGAGAGCCAGTGACTGTCCTACATGCCCGTAAAGGAGAGTGGGCATGGCTCAAGACATCTCTCTCCACTAACTTTAGACGTCCTGCGAGGGCACTTTTCGAAAGATTTGATGATGGAACTAAATGTCATGAGCCTCGTCGGAACACATAATGTTGCGATATGGCAGACAAGCTCCACGCCTTCTCCCTCCCGCCTGTTGTGGGGATTGTGCTTCCAGTATATTATTACTTCGAATTTCCGCCTGGTGTTGACCCTATATCTGGCTTCGCTGCAGCACCCGTGCTATCATTGGTATTTAGTGAAGTGGGAGTCGTAAGGTCATTAGGGGTGTGAGTCTGTTCCCCAGGATGGGCCCTGAAGTTGATAGAATGGCGTCGTATCAGTTCATCGAAGGAAAGAGGGACAAGCCGTCATCTCGGTAGGTAAAGCGACATACCGTCGGGGATTTAATTTCTCAGACTGCAATTCTTTCAGTGAGGGTTGAAAGGAATAGTAACCTAGAATGTAGTGGTGAGTGTTAGCGAATACTGTACCCATCGTCTCGGTGTTCAGGACCATACCGACCTGAGAAGACTCCCACCCCAATGGCTACAAGCGCCGGAACCCAGTTTCGACTCATAATGGATCCAGGAGAAGAAAAAATTGAAGAGAAAATGATTGAGTTTAAGCCTCTACTTCAATTGAGGTAGCTGTTTTGGAGTCCAAAGCCAGGAGGATGTTCAAACTGATTTGCCGCTTAAATCGCCAAAGTTCCGCCATTGCTTAATTTCCGTCGCGTCTCCCCACATTTTCGACGCGTCTTCCCGACAACCACTTTCAGGCAATTCTGGATTGGCCACAATCGGACTGCTTATTATTTGTTTTCACCTTCACTTATATCGGTCGGTCCTTTTCGCTTCCTATTGGCATCCGGGGCGCGGAGAGCCCTTGTTCGCGGCTAACAGCTACGAAGTAATGGATTACTAGGGAGATGGGCCATCAGCGCCAAGGAAACAAATGGAATCATGGCGAGAACGAGGGTTTGTACCGGACTCAGACGAGGATGATGGGCTGGGCAGCCAAGATAAGGTGGTTCAGGATGTTGAAGGTAGTGATGATGAGCTTGCAGCATCCCCCAAGCCTAATGCGCTTAACACGACCACCCAAGCTTCCCGGAACGATGGCACTAAAGAGGACGAGTGCCAAAATTCCCAAGTCCCTGGGGGTGATCTCCAACCTGTCGTATCCAATCAATTGAGTGATGATGCGTTTGCTCGGGGGTATGATGATGGAGAGAATGACGGCGAAGTTTCTTCGGCCATAGAGTTGTCCGACAAGGCAGCTCGGGATATCGCTCAAGGACTGTCGTCAGAAGGCCCCAATGACGAGGATGCAACTCCCAGGGGGAGGGCATTGAATTCACATCCATCTCCGACCCTATCAGCTACTCCAAAGCCGAATCGGCCGACGACTCCGTTAGCAGAGCAAGCGAAGGACATATGGGACTTTCCCAGTTCTTCTCCAGACGAGCTACAGCTGGACCAGCTTATCTCTCGGAGATCAACTAGCCTCCCTTCGAAAGCGCATAGAACTGGCGAGCCACCGGAGGGTAATAACAATGCTGACCTTCCTCTATCTTCTCCGCTGTCATCCCTGCACTCTTTAGCCTTGGATGAAGACGAACATCGTGAACAAGAAAACACAGAGAATCCACCACCATTGCAGAGTAAACTGGAGGATTTGCTCCCTCCTCTCGATATACCGGAGGATATCTTGCAAGAATTGTCCCAGCCAACACGAAGATCCCTGCGGCAGCGCAATCCCATCCAGCTACATCCTTATCTGTTAGAAGATGCGAAATACCAAAAGCTCATGAAGGCAAGAGGCATTCAACCAGTACGCATCGCTCAATACCAACGGGCATTGCAAGCGGCGGCAGATAGTCAAGGTCAGAGCTTTGATAGCACCCTACCCCCTTCGAGTAGCCCTACTACGAACTTCGAATTCCCCCCATCGTCTCCAGCGGAGGTACATACTACATCTGAGGCAAGACCACCTCGAGATCCTCATGGTGGTCGGCAGTATACGCGCCACCCGGACTTGTCTGGCCACGAACCCAGAGGGCCTAAGCGGCGTAAGGTGTCAAAGCCGGACGATCATCAACTCGCCTCCCGGTATCAGTCTCGCCCTAAGGTGATAATAGATAATGGTACATCTCCGATTGGTTTAGGCGAAGATTCGATCCAGCACACAACCCCTAGTCCGCCACACTCTGGGAGTGTTATCTCTTCGCAGGCCTTACGAGATCCAATCGAGTTCCGGTTCCCCCGAGGGTTCACGCCGCCTTCATTAAATACACCGAGCAATGCCCCGATGTTAGGGCGGAGAGACAGTGCCGGCCTTACGTACGGGGTCAGTTCCGGAGTCGATCGAGAGCTTGTTCATGCCCGGTCGATAGCCTCTCGGGATTCTGACTCAGAGAATGAAAGAGAGGACGAAGAAGAAGACGGAGAAGATGACAATAGGGATGAAGGCGCCGTTCGTGAACTACAACGTAGAATTAAAGGTGTTCTTCCAGCTTCATGGCTGCGATTAGACCAACAAAGACAGAAGCAGGCACAACTGAGTTCTACACAACGAAATCGCGAAAGAGTTTCTCGAACAGAAAGCGCCAAGGGTGTCGCTAAAAAGATAATTAAAAAACATGGGCCTACAACTCTCTCAAACCCGACTGACCACTTGACATCACTGAGACATCTTGCCGACTCTGATGGTAGTGATGGGAGTGAGGGCGACGACAATGGCGATAAAAACAATACACGGCGGATGCTTGCTAATCTGGTTGGGTTCGATGACTCCTTCTTTGCGGAAGACATTGGTGAGGATATTCCAGAAGACAATCGCATAGACTACATGTTTCCATCGGCAACCCGTGAAACTTCAGCTTCTCGAATACAGAAGGGGAGAAAAAGACCGAGGCCTGAGGGTCATATTGCTCTCTCAGACAGTCGTCCTAAGCGGCTTCGCCTAAAGAGACAAGCTAGACTTACCGATCCAATTTACCGGCGAGAAAGGGAGAAGCAGTCTTCCTCACGCGCCCCTCCGAGACTTGGTATTTTGGACGCTCCAGACGTCACTTCTCGGCCTCGAAACGAACAGCCTCAATTCCTCAGAATTGCCGCACGCAAAGCTCGGTTTCGCCGGGACCGTGGAAGACGAAGTCCTTCTGGCAAGGTTATCAAGCTGAGTTCAACGATGGACACAGAAGATGCTAACACATCGTTGCGCGAATGGCGCGCCGGCCGTATCTGGCAGACGAGGTTGCCTATGCCCCAAACAAAGCCCGTTAGGCGACCACCATTGATGGACCTTTCTGCAAATAAGAAAATTGTACCCGATAATCAGGGTTTTCGGGTGGGAAATAAAGATCACTCAGTCACTGCTAGGCCGACAACCGATCTCGAAGAGACTAATATTGCTCAGGGTAACATTTCAAACCGAGAAGCTCCGACACCGACTCCAGCGTTGACAAAAATTACTCCTTCAGAACGGTCAATGCAGGCTGGCCAGCAGGGTAACAATTGGATTGTCCGGAGAAACGTTTTTGTCTCTTCTTTGAAGAGAAATGCCCCAAGGCCTGTGGTGCCAGAAATGGCCAGTTTTAATGTCTCTAGAGCGCCGTCATTCCAACGGTCACTCTCGTTGTTTAGTCGAAAACTCAAGCAAAGACGCTTGACTGAAACTGTGGATCGAAATCTAGCACTAGACCGATTTCTTGCTGACAGGAATTCGACAGCTGTTCATCCTGAGACAGGGGGAAATATTTCTACTCGAGAGTCAAATAATGCCGATGTAACGCTCCCAAAGCGTCCAACTCAGATCAGGCGGAAGCTGAAGAAACGTACACCCATGAGATTGGATGTTAGCTCAGTAGAAAATCTGGGTTTACTCGCTCTGTCTCCAGGTCCAGACCCTCCTAGGATGCAAATGACAGATGCACATCCCAACACAAGAGTCTTAGACGGAATAAACGGCTTTCAACGATCGTACCCTGTGGATTTCGGTATCACTCCTCTGTGTGTTGGGACTTTTTTCCATGAATCTTCGTTTATTGGAAGTGGAGAGTTTTGCCGGTCGCTCGATATTGGTAAACGTGACCTTGACAAAGACGCTGGCATTCTCGCAGTGAAAGTTGGGGATCGAACCTTTCGTTGGGGCCCTTGGAATGATACTGTGTCTTCTGAACTTGGTATTGCATTCGATACCATACTTGAAGAAATGGATAAGAGTGATATGGTGCCCAGAGAGGCGACCACTGGAACCATGCCCAATCGTACCCATACTATATTCAGGCCCTTGGTCAAGTATGTTACGGAGGCCCTAACGTTTATCGACCCCATTGATAGAACGGGCTTTGTAACAAGGGCCCACTCGCTTGTTTCTAAGGTCAATGACAACTTGACAGCCTTGGTGTCAACAACAGCCCGGGAGGCAGAGTATCTTGCGAGAATTGCGGCTTACAATCTAGTATTTGCCAACTTAACTTACCAGATAGCCTGCCATGCCCTCGTCAATGACAACGTTACGGATAACTTATTGGAGCTCGCGAGGTTAGTTTCTAGGCAAGCCTGTACAGTCATCTCGAGCCCAGCAGGGGAGACCAATATTCGCACATTCCTCGAAGACAACAAAGTGCTCACCCAACGCGATAAAGGGGTCCGTGATGAATATCCAGCTGTGGAGGCCTACATCATTGTCCGGCAAATATTGTGCCGTACAGAGAGGCTGAAAGGATGCTTTGAAAGCTTCATTGCTGACTCCTTGTTGGCAACCGGAGGCTTAAGCAACACAAAGGATATCAATTGCTTAGAAAGCAGATGGCGTCGACTATTTACCTCACTACCCTTGAGCGAAATTGATGCTACTGGACTTTCTCGAAGCGGATTACGTTTTAGGGAGACTTGCGACAACTGGAGATTGGCAAAACAATTACTGTGTCCTGTTTTAGAGAGCTACGAGCCGAATTCCTCAGCCTCTATCTCCTATAACAGTTACTGCCGAGCTCTGTTTCACAGGTGCTTCCATCTCCTGAATGGCTGGGGCTGGAGGGATTGCAAACTAATTCTAGATACTCTCTATGATTTCTTTGCTAAAAACACCCTGTACAACCTGAAACAGGAAGAAAACTACACGTCTCCCTCATTTTTGGATGAGCTTGACCGTAATCCATCTCTTGATGTCACTCCAAGTGATCCATGCTTCCATGTATTCTTGAAGATCATCGCAAGTGGCTTGCGCTTCTTGTCTAAGAAGTATGATAAGAAGAAAGTGCGGAATTTTGCATGGCGTTTGTTGCCGAATCATGGCCGAGTATATCCCAAAGAACAATCTATCCACCAGACAGATCTGGATGCTTTGAAAAACCACCATGATCTCCTCTGTACTTTGTACTTTGCAGTTCCAGATGGGTGCCGGCCTCGATTAGAGACGATAAAAGACCTTGTGCATCCTGCTAGCTCCCACCGTGAAACATGCAACATCAGCCTTCAGTCATGGACTAGACTTGTACGCTTCAAGTTGTCGACGGACGAGGATGTATCTGGGTTGGAGCCGTTTGCTGATTGGCATGGTTACTTTGTTAACGAGTTTATTAAGCAGCACATGCTTGCTCGAAGGGAAATAGAAGCGCAGAACACAAAGGACAATCAATTTTCCCGCCAGCTGATCGAACGGACAATTTCGCAGAATCAGAGACAGATCGAGTCTCTCCTGAAAACTGCTCTAAATGGCTTACAAAACGCAATCCAATCAGCCCCGACGCTAGAGCATGCCCACAAACTCATCTCTAAGTCGCCTATCGGTATATTATTGGGTCTGTTCAACCCCAGGGTTGCTCGCGTGAATACCACTGTGTCGGAGGCTTTACAGATGATTAAGGCCTATGTTCAAAAGAGCAATTCCATCTCTGTTTCTGAACCAGCAAACCCACCAGCTCCAGGGGACGAAGATAGCCAAGAGTATGGGGATTGGTCAGATATTGAGGCGATATACGCGGGCGAGTTTTCTCCTGCAACGAAGCCTCAGGCAATTGAACATATGGAGAAGGTTCTTTACCCAGCTGTGTCCCAGCTTGTATCTAACTGTTTTGGTGAGGATCACTGCCCTGAAGATGCGGTCCTCCTAAGTGTCGTCGATTGTTGGACTTCTATCGCACAAGTACTGGTGAAGTATGGATTGCGGCACTGGGAAAATTACCTTAGTCCTTACGATGGTGGTTCTTGGGCAGTACTCCGAAACACAGTGCAGACTAGAAAGTTCACGCCTAAGTTCTTAGCAAGCTGCATTGAGAAAGATGCTCGATTCATGTCTGAATGCAAGATGCAGGTCTTCGGGATGTGGATGTCAAGTTTAGTGGAGCGGGTATCGATGCTGAAATTCCAGCATTCTTTGACAGAGGCGCTGTTGAATTGCGATTCGACCAACACTCTGCTGAAGAACCTACCATTCTCCGTGGATAGAGCGGACGGGCGATACTCAATCACGCTGGAAGACCTCAGTCAACGTCGGTTATCCCTCATATCAAGTGTACTTTCAAATATGCGCGCGCACATTCAAGATCTGGAGAGTACGGCAAGTCGAACGCTTCCAAGTGAAAAGCAAGAGTATCGCGAACTCATCCAGACGATGATGTCCTCCATGAAGGCAAATTACCAGGAGCTGGGCAACAGCACAACAGGTGCACAAGGGGCCTACGTTGATTTTGTCCACCGAATTGTTGGATTCTTACAGCAGCATACGAGGGATATCTGTCCCATTGACCCGTTCTTTACCGACCCTGCCTCTTTTCCTTTGCCTTCGACAGACCCGACTTATATTGTTGCACGATTGAAGGGCTACGAGCCGAAGCTTTCGTCCGAAAAGGTTGTAAAGACACTGATCGTGTTCGTTCAAGGCATTACAGAGCGTGCCGCTATTGATGGTCAACAGGTCTATCTTGTTGACCAGTTGCAAGCCGCCATAGCACATACTTATGAAGCGGGAGATCCCACTAGGCCAACCCTGAGAGCAGCCTTGTTGCAATCCGTGTTTCCAGCTTACCTCCAAACGGCTTTCTGCAACCCCAGTGCATGGCTTCTTAGTCAACCAATCATACAGACCATATCACTCACCTTTAAGGAGCTCCTCTTTCATATGGATAGCACAGATTTGGACTGCGTCTCATCAATTATAGGTATCTTAAGCTCGGTCTTTCAGTCCTCATACCATGCTCTGTACACCATCATTGGCAGTGCTAGTATGCTCAAAGAACCGCCAGTGGTAATCACCGTTACTTCTTTCATCGAGATGATAACATCGTCTCTGCGAGTTGTTGACTACATTTATCGAGCCACTGACACAGGAGAGAAAATCATATCCCAAATACTGGCATTTCGACAGTTGATACTCTTCAGCCTGTCTTTCCTACATGGCCAGCTACACATAAGTGACCCTGAAGATATCGCCCACCCATCCAATATCTTCCTGGCAGAAAATGCACCTACCAACGTGCCAAAGTTCTTCAACGAAGTTCGTATTTCTGCTACCAGCGGACTTCAGACTTATATCAATGAGAACTGGTCTCGACACCAAGGTAAATACTACTTCACTCGACGTGGAGGCCACCAACCGCTGGAGGTTAGCCTTGAGCCACCCATGGCTACAAACCTGGAGAATTCCCCGATGGCGATATTCGACGAGGCTGCCCAGAATTTCTTGGGTACGCTACGGGCTCTGGGCTCATTTGATGATTTTCATTAGCATACATTGATACCTACCGGGAAATATATAGGGATACCTTCCTTTAGAGGCGTATAGGGCATGGTACGGTTTGCATATGGTGTTTTGGCTTCGGATGGACTTCATGACGACTGTAATCATATCGCACCTCATAGCATGGCCATGTACTTTATATGATTGGTTGGATAGTCGAGAGACGATGACTGGATTTATTAATGACTACTTTAACTCTCATCACGTATAGCATCCAAAAACAAGCGCCTTCTGTCGTTCATGCAAAGAAATCACATTATACATACAGCGTAGAGCAGTTCAGTCCGGGGACGTAAGACCATTGATACGGACCATGTCAATCATACATACCCCCTATATTTGCAATCATACACTAGTACACGTACCACCCAAGGGAAAGTGAAAGGGAACGAAAGAAAACAGCAGGAGCGGAAAATTAGGAAACAGAAGGGAAAGAGTAATCCGTTGCACAACATCGATAACATACGTAACCCAGATAGTAGCTTTCGTAACGCAATTCGTAAGAAAACGTAGTAAATCAGAAAACCGACATCTACCTCTCCGGATTCTCGGTGTTCACCACATCCCCCTCGTGCTGTTGGCTCGAGCGACGGTGGAAAGGATGCGGATGGAACCCTGAGAAATTCAGCACCTTGCGCACTGCACCGACGACCCCTCCCGATCTCCTCTTCGACTCCGATGAAGCTGCCTCGCCGGATGGTTGGGCGTCTTCGGCGGTCTTGGGCACGCTTGCCGTATCCTGGAGGACGAGGTTGGTGTTGGCTGGTTTCGGCGGCCATTGGCCGTCTGATTTCCAGCCCTGGACCATGGCCTTCGTCACATCAGCGAGATTAATCGGTACCGTCGGAGTGAGGCCCTGCACGACTACCTTCGAGTAGATAGATGGATACATAGAAGCGGTGATCGAGGCGCGAATAGGGTTCGAGCCGGAAATCAACGAAGGCACGACAGGGACGAAGGGATCTTCGGGGCCCTGGTGGGCGAACGTCGAGGCTGTGGCGGTAGCAGCAGCCGTAGCAGGTGCAGGTGCAGGCGTCGTAGCATCCACGGGCACAGCACCAGTAGCCATGGTCTCCCGCAAAGCAATCTCCTCGGTCGACTCCTTCTGCTCCTCCCCCAGCTGAGACAACCCAGGCACCACCGAAGGGCCTTCCAAACCGGACCCATCCTTCTCAGCAACAGAAAGCGACGCCTCAGTCCTCGCCGCCAAATCCTCCCCATCCCCACTCGAAGCCGAAACCGGCCGCGAAGATCCCTCCTCGCGGTTCTCCGTCCCCGATTCCTCCACCGCAGACTGCGCCTGCGCCTGCATCCGCACCTGCCTCCTCGCAATAATCTCCTCCCTCGACTTCGCGCCTGTCCACGCATCCCGCCTCTCCACCCACGTCCTCAACCCCTCATTCCAACGCATCTCGTCCTCCATCTGCCTCCGCCGTTTGCGCCTCCGCTCAGACCTCTCCCCCGCAGCGGGCTCCAAAATCGGCGGGCTCTCCAACTGCGCCGAGTCATACCCGCTCGCCGGGCTCACAATCGTAGGCGAAGAAAGCGGTTCCAGCTCCGACCCGGAGCTGTCGTATGAGCGGAGTCGCCAAGCGGTGACTTCCTGGTCGGGTGGCGGGGGGGAGGTGGAGGCTGGGGCGCCTGCGTCGGTGGACGGTTGGAAGGTCCAGTCGTTGCGGACGATGTCGCGCACGTAGAGTTTTGCTTCGCGGATTGCGGAGTCGCGGGCGTAGGCCGACATTTTGGTTTTGTTTTCCTTTTTTTCCCCTCTTTTTGTTTAAAGAAAAATAGTTGGTGTGGAGGTGGAGGTGTGGGTGAGGTTATTGTGAGGGGTAAGTAGAGTGTGGAGGGATCTTAGGGTGGAGGTTTGCGTGAGGAGAAATTGCGTGGAGCTGTGTAGTAGATGGGAAGCATGAGAGGAGGTGCTGTCGTAAAGAATAGTTTCTTGGCTCCCCTCTCTTTTTTTCCTCTGAGGGAGAGGGAAGGAGAGGAAGATGGGGATGTTTTTGGTCGGGTGATAATAAATTTCGAGGGAAAAGCGGAGAATAAATTCATTCGTCGATGTCATCGCCGAATCCCTCCAGAATTTAATCTGATAAGGGCTGAGAAAATCATTTTAAATGACATTTAGTACATCTGAATAAATTTAATATCCAACGTTTTATTTTCTATTTTCAACCCGAGTTCATTTATCGATTTATTGGTACAGTTTGATCTTTATCATATCGCTAATAGTATACAAGCCGTCGCGTGAGATCCCAAGCCGCATTATCGCAATGAACACCAATCCCTCTAAAAAGTTCCCATTGGTATGTTGTTTGTAGTCATATCATGCCCGTACGCGTGCAGCATCTGTTTTCGCTTCTTCGATACTAGCAGGCGTGAATCCCCATCCGGGGCTCTTCTTACGCCGACCCTTGCGGTCACCATATTGCTCGTCGAACTTGCGAATCGCTGAGAGGGACGCCATGTCCTCGCTGATCGAAGCGCTGATCTCCTCCATTCCGCGCTCGAAATGTTTCCAGGTCAACGTGCGTCTTTCTGGATATTGATAGGGCTCGTCACCCTGGTGCTTGGCCGCCAGATCGTTCTCTTCCCGGACGCACGCCAACGCTGCCGCGACAGAAAGGTTCTTCAAATCGGATCCGGAGTAGAGCTGAGTGCGCCTAGCTAAGTCGGCGATATCTACAGAGCTGTCGAGGATTTCGTCCTTCAAGTGGATCTTTAGGATGGCCTGACGGTCTTGTTCAAGAGGGAGGTCCACGAGTAGTCGCCTCGGGAGACGTCGGAGAACAGCATCGTCGAGATCAAAAGGTCGGTTAGTAGCGACCATGATGAAAGCTGACAGGTCATTCATCCCGTCCCATTCCCGCAGAAATTGGTTAATGAGCTCCCGATGGGAGGTGCGACTACTGGCTCCTGTCCGCGAGCAGAAGATAGCGTCCGCTTCGTCAATGAATACAACGCATGGGCTCAGCTTTTTGGCCAACGTAAAGATGGCTTTGACATTCTTTTCTCCCTCACCGACATACATGTCATAGACCTCAGAGCCACTGACCTCGAGAACAGTGGCCCCGCTCTCGCGAGCTACGGCTTTGGCAAGAAGAGTCTTACCGGTACCGGGAGGCCCGTACAGTAATAGACCGGGAATTTTGTCCGTAGCAAGTACGCCATAAGTGAAAGCCTCAGGACGGATGAGAGAAAGCGAGGTAAGCGTCTTCAAAGCATCGATAGTCTCCGGAGGTACGTGGACGTCAGCGAATGTCGTACGGATGTTTTTGGCATCCACAACCCCATTTAGCAACTTTTTCTCATGTGTATTGCAGGTTTTTCGTAGTGAACTTAACAGCCGCTCCCGATCGTTACCAGTCTCCGTTGAATGGGTTTTGGGAGACCTCTCTTGCATCCAGTCATTCTTAATACGGTCAGTTTTCTGCATCATCTCAATCCCCCTCTGTATGTTCTTAAAACCAAAGGTCTCGTTGGAACCAAGGCTTCCGAGTGCAAGTGTCGTGGCCCAGTGCACCTGGCTGTAGGGCCAATACCTCTCTTCAAGGCCAGATTCCTTCACGACAGACGCATCCAACGGCCAAGATCGGGTGCCAAATATGTCATCTTCAAGTGCCGAGGGAGTCTCATGGAGCCGTGTCCGGAGCATGTCTTGTATGTGGCGGATGTTGATATCCAAGGTTCGTTTCTTTCGGTCATCCGAGAAAGTTTTGTCTGCTGCCTCCATCCCCATGGCAGGCGTAACGACAAGCATCTGTGAGAATTGGTCGTCAAAAGCATTTTGCATTAACCTGGATGCATCCGAGTCTGAATCTGCGTCTTGGGATGCGGTTCCAACGAACAAAACACGCGATCCATTCTTTCTGCGGTCTTGAATAGCTTTTTGCAATAAGTATATGAATCTAGCTCCTTCACGAGTGCCCTGGATATCTCCATAGTCCTGGACCTGTACAATCACGTCGCGAGCAGGTGTCTTGTGTTCAGAGCCTGCAGATTCTGCGGGCTTTTCCTCCTGTGTGGCCGTTGACTGGCGCTTCGGCCCACCAGCAGAAGAAATGAGTTCATTAATCAGTCGAAGTCGCCGGTCTTCTGCTCTATCCGTGGGGCTCGATGACGCAGATCCAGAGGTCCCATCTGCAGACCCGTTAAAAGAGGCGACTAACGATTTCAAGCCAAGAATACCTGGGAGAGGGATGTCACCCACGTCTCGGGAACTTTCGATAGTGATGAACTTCGGGCCCCTCAGGCCTGACCGCAAGCTGCGCGGCGAGACCTCAATCTCGGCCTCATCATCCCCCTCTCCCATACTGTCGCTCACGTCCTGCAGGTCCAAAGCCGTCGGACGGTAGACATCGTAGCCAAGAGATCGAATAGGCGAGGTCGTGCCAACATCTGCCAGGTCCTGTTCGCTGCACAGTTGTGCGATATCTTGGGCATTGAGCGTTACCACATCAGCATTCAGCTCCTGAGCTAGCCTCTTAACAACAGCATCAAGGAACAAAATGCCGTCTGCACCGGGGTACTGGAGAACGAGGTGCGACTTCCGAGCTGAAGGTTCTGCCGCATATTTTGCAGGCGGAAGCCGTAGGCCCGCTCTCGCAGATGCGCATAGCTCCTCCCATAATGCCTCCGTCAAAGCGTACCGTTCTCCTGTCTCGGGCACTTCACCAGAGGCCGAAGGTTCTCCGTCACCACTACCGCCGGAAGCCATATCCTCAACCGCTGTCTTGACCGTGTCCGTCTCCGACCTGCTAATTTTGACTTGTTGCTTAAATTCTGTGGCGGACCGACCCTCCCCTCCATTGGCCACTGTATTCCGCTCATAGAACCACGACGGAACAGTGGCAGTAGGAGCAGCCCATTCCTTGGGCGCTCTCTTATTCCTCAACGCTCTTCGCACAGCCGATCCATATGGACCTGATTCTTTTCTCCCGGCGCGCTCTGCGGAGGGCGATGTAACCGACGAAGCATCGTGTCCGGGCACGTCATGCTCGGCACTTAGGGGCAGCGGAATATCACTTGTGACGCTTTCCGGAAACGAATCGCGCGGACCCTCGGGGTTGGATGGTGCTGATGATTGCCACCCTCGCGAGAGATGGAATCGACGCGGTGTAGAGCCGAGTGCGGGATACCGGCGGTGGGCGATGAATCGGCAGGGTCGTGCAATAGACGAAAGCAGCCTGCCTCGCTGCATTGACAAATACATCCAGGGCAGAATTTGCCGCTGGAATTAGGAGATGTAGAAGCTGCTTGAGTTGCGCGCAGCGGGCGTGTGCATCGGTCAAGTCGTGAGGAAGAAATACCAGTTCATTAGATGCTCCTTTAGGGCGGTCGCTGGAGTTTGATATCACGTGACATGTGTGTGGGTTCATCAATTAAATTATCAGATTTAAATCTATATAATTCGATCCAGTAACACAAACTTCCTCCTTTTCAAAGTGAACATAAATATCATTGATGGTTCAATAACCACAAGAGTGGGAACATGGATATGAGTCATAGGCTTAATCATGCAAAGTACAATCCCTTTTCGTCTGATCAAAACCCAACATACATGCATAGTCCGCAAAGCATCCTGTAGGCTGAAAATAATATATACCTCTCCTTTAATAGTAACAAATCATCATCAAATCGTTGGTCTTGATACAAGTCTGTACGCTTGATCCCATTCTTCTCGCAGAGTTGCTGGGATCCAGCAACTTGCCCATATAAAACGGCCGGTTTCTCGACAGCAACAATCCTTCCTTGATCAAGCAGACAAATGCGGTCAAAATGAATGATAGTCCTCCATTGATGCGCTAGACAAAACACCGTGCTGCCATGAAATGCTTCTCTGATAGTCTCTTGAATAGCATCATCGGTCTCTGGATCGATGGCAGATGTGGCCTCATTACACAGCAAGATGCGGGTGTTTCGAACCAGTGCCCTCGCCAAAGCCAGTAACTCCCGCCCACCGAGGGAGAAATTTTGCCCACCAGCCACGACTTGCTGATCAAGTTGAATCTAAGGAAAGAGACGGGATTCTGCAAAGCCTTGTTGAGAGCTTCCGTTGAATAATCGCCGAGAGGGTCAAGATTCGATCGAACTCTACCCTGGAAAAAGGTTGGATCCTGGGGTATGATAGCCAGCTTTGACCGTGGGGCAGCCAGATCTAAACTGCTAATATCGACGTCGCCAATCTTAATAAGGCCCTTTTCAAAGGGGACAGTCGGACTAGAAGGGAGATTATTGGAGACGTCCCAGCTCCTGTCCGGCCGATGATACGAATCTTCTCCTCAGCTGAGATTGACAGTGTCAAGTTCTGGAGCACCCAAGGAAGATCCTGGCTGTGGTGGAAGTTGACGTCCTTTATAAGGATTTCTTCGCCCTTGTGTCAAGGTGGCGGTAGCTCGGCTGTTGCTGACTTTTCAGACGCAATATCTCTGCTGTAGGAGACCATTCTTTCAACTGTTATAAGGGAGCTTTCTACCTCCGCTGTTTGTGGTACTATGGCTGGGATGATTTATACAATAGCAAGAGCATATGTTATGATTAATCCAGCCATACTAGCTGATACGGTGTCACTGAAGATCACGGTTAGTATACCAACAATAAGATCAAGAACATTCCCCACAGTATCCAAGCGAGGGTTTAACCATTGTTGACTCGCAGATATCAAAAATGAGTGATTGTTTGCCTCGTTCATGGACTAGCGTAGACGGCGTGAAAATACGCTTTGAGCGCCAAATCTGCGAATGGTAAGACACCCAGTAATATATTCCACTGCTCTTGATGCAGCTACGGTCCGTGATACTGTCTCGTCTCGCTTCAGCTCTCGCCGTGAAGCCTGGTAGTACTTCCCCGTATAGTATATTGCCCAACCAAGGAACGATAGCACCGCAACAATCTGAATAGAGTCAGCGGGGCGCAAGCAACTCCAAACCACCTTTCCTTACAATAGGAAAATTTGCGCTAATCAAGAGAAATATAGTCAAGGCTGTACTGATAAGGAAGAAAACGGATCGTATAATATCGTTGACGCCGTTATCAAGCTGATTGACGTCATTGGAGAATAGATACATAAGTCGCCCAATTGGTGTGACTGAGAAATAAAATGGGAGCAGAGAGAACCCGTTTCAGCGCTGCCCTGTACACGCTATCACTAGCTTCAGGCCCAAGGATTAAAGAGCGAGCCAGATATACCCATATCAAGATGCTTTACATTACAGCTAGCATCACATACCCTGCAATATATGGAGCTGAGCTTCACCGAAAGGTATCATCCACCCACCAAGTCAGCCAGGCGCCATTTAGAATCCGTCCAACCTGGGACACTATTAGAAGACAAATTACGAACAACCACCCAAAAATGGAACCAGATGCAGAAAATTATGCCCCGTAAATCGACCATAGTATACTGCCCGATGTTTGAACATCAAGGGTCAGAGATTTCACTGAATATTAAACATGGTTAGCGAGTCTAATTCAACTGATGACACAAACTTAACCGGAATTCTCGCTGCTTTGGCCCTCATCAGCGTCAGGTACTACATCGCTATTGTGCAAGCCCTTAACATTCCACGAGAGTAAGCCCTGCTTTCCCTCTCCTAGTCTCTCGAAGATTTAGGTCCATGTGAGTGTTGACGCCGTCCTGCAATGAAAGATTAGAGGCTGTGTCTATCTCCTTGAGATATCCTTGTTCCAAACATAAAATGCGAGTACACTGTGGAAGGACGTTTCGCTGATGAGTTACAAGGATGCGGTTCTTCCTACGTAATAGGCCGCAAATGGCTCTGGTGAAGATGTGGTGGCCGACACCCGTGTCAACCGATAATAAAGGATCATATAAGAGTACTGGGTCCGCGTTAAAGCATAATTATGGTGCGTGCGCGCCTGGCTGATCCGCTGTTTTTGACCTCCAGAGAGTGTGGCGCCCTGCTCACCAATTAGTGTCCGATCTCTGTCTGCCCACAGCTCAAGATCAGACAATAAAGCACAGGCCTCCAAGGCCTGATCATACCATGGGTGTTGCATAGACCACCCAATAAATTACTATCTTGTATAGTACCAATTATAATCCATGGAACTTGTGGACATAATACTGGAGAGGCACTGAGAGTTGTACTGTACTGTCTTGAAGTTGAACCATTTGGCTGGCTAGGGTAGAAAGTAGTGCGCTTTTTCCTGATCCCACTGGCCTTATTATTGTAACAAGCTCTCCAGAATTGATGAAGAAATCAATGTCTTGCAAAGGCAGGGACGAATTTTGCATATCTAAAGAGTCTAGCTCAATATAAGTAAATAATCGTTTTTCAAGGCTGCAGAGTCATCTTCCGAGTTAGACCATGGTGGCTGCACGGGCTCCCAGGCAAAATATCCATCAACCACTTTCACTGCTGTTGTCTCTCCTAGATTCCAAGATACTGTCTCTTCCTGATCTTACGCCTGAAGGAAGTCCTCGATACGCTGTATAGAGACCCAAGCATTAACGAGCTGTAACACCACTGGTAGGATTTGTAAAGGTTTGCGCAAGCAACTAAAAAGTGCTAGGGATGAAAAATCCTCCGCTAGCGTCAGTCGGTGCTCTAGTGTCATGAATGTTATAAGACAACAAAACATAGCTACAATTGATGGCAAGTCCACAGAGAGGGACATGATTGTGCTTCTAATACTAAGTAGGGTAGGGGTAGCTTGCAGACGAACTTCAGTTGCTCTTGCATGAGAAATTTGTCCTAGAAAATAGGGCTCCCAAACATGTAAATTAACAAATCTGAAGTTGTGCAGCATCTCATGAAGCCAAGTAGTTCGATGATCAACTTGCGCGTTAATGGCTATACGTCCTGACATCAGCCAGCCCATTGTGAGATCAAGGCCTTTGGCCACAGCCAAAAGCAACATAAGGTCACTTAGGGAACTCCATGTGAGGTTATAGAAGAGTATAACTAGCGCCATGATTATAGCTAGCGGCTCACTCTAGATTATATTTGCGTATAGCATAGCGCTCTCGATGCTGTTCAACAGCCCTGTTAGGATTGGACATATCTGTGTCTGATTTAGTTAATAGTCTTTGATATCCAATCTGCAGCAGGGTGGTTGGCATAACCAGAGAACGCTAATAGCGCATGGTAGATATGGGACCTGTATATATTGTCTTACTGATAGCAATGAGAATATCCACTGGAATGTCAATCATCTCAGTCTTCCAGCCTTATCTTCGAGGACAAATTTGGAAGCTCCTGGTCCCTCCATGGCTCATAAGTTGGGAAGTACTATCCTGTCCAGCATAGTAGAGGAGAGATGTTGTTCGTAGCAAGATTGGGGGCTCCGCCGCTCGTTTATCAACTTTAGAATTAACCGACAGACATCGTATGGCATCACCACAGGGCCGTTAGGTGCTACCAGTTATTTATTTGAGAAACACTATTCAATATGTAGATTTGTGACGGATCACACTTTTATCTCCCGAGCTGCAGGGATTCGACATCTGCGATCATTGTACACACTGCGTATAAAAGGCATCAGCCATTAAAACAGGTATTGGGATGAATACGTCTTTGATGCTGGGAGCCCTACAACTTCATGAGGAGAAAACTCGCTCTTTTACCTCTCCAAGGATATACGCATATATATTTAGGCACATCAGATCAGACATAGGTGCTCGCATTGCCAAGGAGCCGCCAAGATAGTTTAGATATTTCAGGGAACGCATCTACCAACCTACTAGCATCAGCGGGGCTCAGTTTAGTACAAATGCTTGATACTATTCTATTGGAAACAAGGAACCATATACTTCCCTGAAGAATCAAGATGTCCATGGCCTATCGGTTGATAGACAACCATTTTAGCACAGACCGGGCTTCTCGAGGTGAAGCTAGTTTGACTCTTGATGGTTGCATGAAAATAGGCAATAAATCAATTTTTCTGATCGATATCAGCTCAGCCTTTTTAAAAACATCTTTACATTGTTTGTGGTACTCAGTGGAATTTGAGGGGTAAGACAAACTATATAAGCTGTCACTTCTACCCACCTTTTGCTCACTTGTATAAACTAAAGGATACCATAAGTATTTACGTTAGCAGCAGAACATCTGCAGCGGGTAAGAGTAAGGCAAGTGTCTGTTAATTACTCTCTGCATAGTGTGATATTATACTAACGATAACTAAGCTTTGTATACCGGTTCATTCTATGGTCTATATACTAGATACTTATAGATAGGCGAGCATGTTCAACGTATATCTTTGTTTGCTACGGAATATTGCATGATCAGGTCCCAGAAAAACCTTAAGTATTATGGAGTCATACTTGCAGTCAATTGTTAAAGTCATATTACTACACGTGCCATCACCAAGTCAGTGTCAAATATCCGCTTTTCCCGACAAATCATGACGGTTAAGTGATGCCTAGCTGTTTTTTAGAGTTAGGGTTTGCGGGTTGAGCTCTAAACAAGTTCCAAAGTCCGCTTTGCTTCCTCAACACCGAAATCAATATAATTGTTGCTCAAGCTAGGTATAAAAAGCCCGACAGCTGTAACAGGAACTATGCTGAGCAAAAACATCAAAAAGGAAGCCTCCCCGACTGGGAGTCGAACCCAGGTCTCCCGCGCTTGTTCCTTTCAGGGATGACAAGCGGAAATCATGACCGTTAGACCATCGAGGACTTGTATTGAAAAATACACAGGGTTTGGTTTTATAAACCAAAAATTATAGATCACCGATCTTCCGACTTTATTGATTTCTGTCATCATTTGAAACTCCTTGATCCTTGCGTCCACCCTTCTAATGGATTATATTATCCTCTTCTAGGTGTGTCCTCCCCTGAGTGTAACTCATACAATGACGAGCACTTCGAGCTTGCCCATTAGGATTTGGACTGCTTCTCTTGATCTACGGAGAATGTGAATGCCCTCTCCGATGCAGACCCCTAAATACGATATGGAAAAGCTCGCCCAAAGTTAGCTATGGTATGGTACTTCGACATGCAATCAACATGGCTTTTGCTGTATATTGTGTTATCTTTGTAAAGTCCATGTTTTTAAAAAGCTTCTACATCTTGTCTTAACAGGTAGGTGATAGCCTTAGGAATTTTACACGAAGAGCGGCATAGATACTGCTGTGGGGTGAAACAACATAATGAGTGAAGTGCTTTCCTCTTGAATTGAAAGGCGTTTAGCAGCACCGCCTAAATCTAGCAACCTATCTGACTGAAACGTGGCCGACGCTGTAGGAACACAGCAATTGCAAGAAACCGCTAGGCTGGTCTATATTTAGCGAACACATTCTAAACTCCCCAACTACGCTTCAACTTTGGTAGCTTTTTGTTTTCCTGTATCGGATATCAAAGGTGAATCAAGAAAATGCCCTTCACTTTGGCCTTTTTACAGTATCATTTACTACCACTTTCACGTATGATTGCCCCGAGACTCATGTAACGCAGTGTAGTATTCAATTTCTTCTACATGTCGCAAGATTAGGGTGCCGGGTGCCAGGCCTAAGATGCGTTTACCTAATTGGTTATTCTTGTCTATTCTATTTGACCCCTGAGGCAAGATACTGCGAGGGGAACATAACCAATTGGCACTAATATAGCCTACATTGTAAAACTTCACATCTATCTTGTAGGCGCTATCTGCTTAACTTTTCGAGCCGCAAACTTACATTCTGTACGTCTATATCAAATCCAGCCAAGACAACTGAGCTGTACCATAGTTCAAAGAGGTCTGGAAGGCGATATTGACTTTGGAGTGGAATGAAGCAGCATCCTAGTGACTCCCATTAGACCTCACCTACACTGTCTCGAGTAAAGATCCGAAGGCGCCTATGATAATGCTTCTTTCTTCGGTATGTACCTCATAATTCTTGCTCTTGTCGGTGCCCCAAGGTTTGAAGTCTTGGCCATTTTCTTTGTTTCGGCCTCCAATTTCAAGCTCCGGTTACACACTTCTGTGGGTTTCCTATGTCCGAGAGCGTTGGGGAGTTCTAGCCCCAAGAAGACTTCTTCTCGTAGGCGTGGGGGCAAAAGAACTGAAACAGGGAAAGAGAAAAACAGAAAAAAACTGGTACGCCAAGTATAATCTCGACTATAGCAAGAATTCCAAGGTGGGTATAATATAATTTTAGGTTCTAGATGGACAGCCATCCAGTAACGGGAAAATTTGTAGAAAAGATAGAAAAAATTTCATTGTTCAAATCTGCTATTTCAGAACGTTTGTCTTTATGTAAAAGGTGAATCTATATTCTGTACGAACACTGTTAGCCAATGATCCACACCAAATCCATGAATCGATGTGCAGTGTAAGAAAAATCTCAGACAAAATATACTGGCAAGTAGCAGACCAACCGGGAAAGGAAGGTCCGAATGTCTCTTCAGGGGCGATTCGAGAAAAGTAAAGAAGAAAGAGTTGTGTTGTCATCTTCGAAGAAAGGAAGGGGTAGGAGCAAAGGAGTAAAACTGACCTTTAATGATACATGGATCAGCCGATATGACCTGATCTTTGTTCTTATTAGTCCAGTTGTGGTATGATTGACTGCCGTAAATGGGAGTCCAAAGACTGCCTATTGGCTGCGTTCAATATGACAGTGCGATCATTGCATGTGCTCAGACATTATCGAACAAAGCATGCGGGCGATCAGTAACTCGCTTTAAACCTTGTGAGATTTTGATTCAAGAAGTTGAAGAAAAGGTGAAGGGAAAAAATTGCGAGGAAGAAAAAAGTCTCAAAGAAATAGAAAACCAGACAAGGCAAAAAGTTTTCCCGGAGCGGATCGCTCACGTGAGCCATACCTGATGCGGCCTAGCGTCTCGCATGATTCGCGCTGGGCGATTGGATTGAGAATCGAAGAAAAGCCTCAGGACCAGCAGATCTCGCCATGGGCTTCTGACCCTTTTCCTCTTCACTTCTTCTCTGTCGTCTTTTTGTTTAGCCCTCGCCTTACCCCACCGCATTTCGGGCCTTTTTCCTGATAATTTGGAGTGTATGTGGTGTTGTTTGCGTTTCCCACTGTAATCCGTTTCCTGGTTGAGGGATTGAACTGGCGATCGCGACAGGTGCCGTTCTGCCCTTTTCGTTGGCCCTTTTACTAGCCCCTCCACACCTCCGGCCTCCTAAACCCATTCCCACTTCCACTTATCTATCTTCTTACCCGTGTTCTTCCCTCGCCACACCCGTACTCCCCCCCCAACACACCCTCTCCCGACCGCCCCCCAAAAAAGAAAGAAAAAACCCTAACATTTGGGCTATTTTTTTTTTTTAGGGGCCAAACAATCTGGCGGGTAGAGTTGATTAGGCCGGGTGCGATCTATGCTCCTGCGCTCGTGTGGTTCTGGACGACACCAGAGACGCAGGCTCAGTCGCCCGTCAGCTGCGTCTTGGCCTCCGCTCCGACGCTAAAAGCGGCCTGTTGTGCCTCCACGTCAAGCGCGCTCTGCTTCGAGTCCGACGCTTGCCTTCATCACCAGCTGGCGATACTCTTGACAATCTTTAATATTTTTGTTTTAAACTCCCCTCTTTCGGGCTAAATAATCCTTCTCCCCAAATCTCTAGCCTTCCTAGAGCGCTCTTTGTCATCCTTCCTCTCTCTTGACCGTCTCTCGCTCTCCCCTTTCCACCGAATCCGAGGAGTCCCGTTATCGGCGACTTCGTTGCACAGCGATGATGATGGCGCAGCCATTTCCTGCCCATCAAGGGATCCCGCAGCATCCTGGTATCCCCCCAGGTCATCCATTGGCCCCTGGCCAACATCCAAATGCTCACCCGGGTGCTGGAATGGTACAACAAGTACATCCCGGAGTATCAGCTCCGGGAGGGCCTCAGGTCACTCAAGGTGGACCAATGATGGGTGGAATGCCACCAGGTGCTGGAACAACGGCACCTGGCGGTCCTGTACAGGCCCATGCTCTTTCACATTTGGGTCCAGCACAAGCGCACCTGTTCCAGCAACCGCACTTTGCGCAAAACTGTATGTTGAAATTTTCTTTTTGTTTCATCTTCAGTCTTGAACTTGAACCCCCGGATTCCCGGACAAGATTCTACTAAATTGTCCTATGACGACTCGATCGCTGATCATTCTTCACTCTACTCTGTAGTTGCTGCCAATAACCCTCAGCAGCTCTTACATCAACAACAGCAGCAGCAACTTTTAAGACAACGGATGATGTTTCAGCAGCAACAACAGCAACAGCAACAGCATGGAGGGATTCCTGTGTCAATGCCAAATGGAACGCAAGGATTGAATGCGGCCCAATTAGCAGCCATGCAGAACCCTGGAATGCGTCCGGTGATCTCCCAAATGCAACTTCAACAAATGCCTCATGGACAGCCACAGATGCAACAGCAGCATTTTCTAGCTATGCAAGCCCAGCAGGCTCAGCAGGCTCAGCAGGCCCAACAGGCACAGCAAGCTCAGCAAGCACACCAGGCTCAGCAAGCGCAACAAGCTACGCCGCAGCCAGGCCAGCAGACACCACAGCAGCGCCCAGCTCCTCAACCTCAGAATGTCCATGATGCCCAAAGTGTCACCCCTCAACCACAGCCGATGCCGCCACCGCATCAGGGGAGTGCCACCCCGCAGCCAACGCCTCACCAACAGCTACCCACATCCCAGCCGCCGCAGCAATCAGCCGTTCCTCAGCCGCAGCCAACACCGAATCCACCCCCGCAACAATTACCGCAGTCCCACCAACCGGGCCAACAAGGTCAGCTGCAGCCGCAGCTGCAGCCGCAGCAACAGCAACCACAGCAACCCCAGTCGCAGTCACAGCCACAACCGCAACCGCAACCGCAACAGGGCCAACAAGGCCCACAGCAGGGCCCACAGCAGATCCAGCAACAGGGCCAGCAGCAGCAGCAGCAGCAGCAGCAACAAGGTCAGCAGCAGCAGCAGGCTCCGCCAATGACAGCCCAGGAGGTCCAAATGAAGACTCAACAGCAGCAGAATGCCATGATGATGCAGCAGCGAATGAGTTTAAAGGGTGCGGCGGTCATGTGTCTCAATACATTCGCGGAGCATCTTAGTAACTTCACGGTATGTGCCATTTGCAACTTTGGACCGCCGTTCCAAAGATCGAATGCTAACTATCCACAGAGCAAGGGCGAGGCGCACGACTTGCTATATTGGCAGTCCTTTGTGGATAAGTTCTATTCACCCGCTGGTGTTTTGCGACAAGGAGTATGGAACCCACAAACCGGCTCTAAGCAGTTCGAGATTGCAACTCCTGCATTAGCACGCTACTACCTGACACAATTCACGAGCGGAATCCGTCACATCCAAATGGTTGTTGAAAATGCACGGGAGAGGGACTCGCCAAATGGGGGCCATATTGTGGAAAGTGGCAAAACTTCGTTCATTTATTGGTTTGTAAACGATACTCAGGTATGTTTTTCGTCCAAATGGCGATCTTCAAATTGCTGGGTTGCTAACCTAGATGTAGATTTTTACCAATGGGAAATTGAGGGCGCACTTCGATATGAACAATAAAATCGAAATGCTTGATATCGATGTCTTAAATTATACTGAATACCTTCCCCGGAGCCAGCTGCAAGCATTAGAGGCTCTCGACCAAAAGCAAAGCCCGAAAGTTTCCAAGAATATGGGCAAACGGGCTCAGCAGAAACAGGCCCAGCTGCAGCCTGCCTTCACGTTACCTGAGTCAATGGTGACCACCAATGGCGTCCCCACCGCCGTCATGAGCTTTTTGGAGGTAAGCGCTTACTATAGCTATTTTGAAGCTCGATCTGATCGTATTTGTGCTCTAGGTCGCCGAAACAATATCCCAGATGCAGATGTTGTTCCAATTTTCTCAGCAAAATCCTCACCTCTCGGCACCTGAAGCGCTGCGCAACCTTGTCAACACTCTGCAAATGCAAAACCCCAACCCCGGATATATGCAGGCCCCGATGAATCCAGCTATGCAGCCCGGCCAAACTCCACGAGGCCCCAATCTCAACGGACCCAACCAGTTTGCTTCCCCTGGGATGGCTCATCTGGGCCTGCCGGGCGCCCAGGGATCCCCTCATCTTAGTGGGTCAGCTCATCCAAGTCCGGCTCAAAGCCACCTTGCTGGACCCCCAGGTATGGTGCCACAAGGGCAAGGGCAGCCTAATGTCGGCCAGGGTAGTGCCAGTGCTAGCCCGAATGTGAGCCACAAGCGACGCCGGGCAAGTACGGTTAAGATGGAAAACGATGACGCTGGCGGTGCTCCGGAGGTCAATGGCACTGCTGTCCCGGGACCAAAGACAGTAAAAGCTAGTCCTCGAGTGGGTGGTAAAAGACAGAAAGGCACCGCTTAATTAGAGGAGTTTTCACAATGGGCTTATTTGCATTTTTCCATGACATTTCATTTCTCTCAAGAGGCGGGGAACCGGCGTACCGTTTTTGGATACCTTTGCGATGCTTATCTTCTCTTCGTTTTATCTGGGGCCCTCTATCCATTGAACATATCGAACTGTCTTTGTCATTGCAATCGTTGTTGGTGCAGCGTGATGGGTACGGTACGATGATTTATTGCCTTCTCAACGGACCCTTATTGGCTGTTCTCCTTGAGAGGTGCACGCTCTATCCGGCGTACGCTCGGCATTAGCCTCTTCGAGATGCACGCCGCTTGCCCCGAATCATCGCTGCTCTACTCTGCCTCGCTTATTGCCTGTGGTTTGTTTACTTGGAGTCCATGTCTCGTGGCTTTTCGTCTACCTCTGTACCATACGGAGGTGATGTTTTGAGACGTTGAGCTCGATTCCCAATAGCATTACCGGTCTTTTTTCTACCATTCGGGCCGCTCTATTGATATCCATGTCCTTCGATTGGCGATTGATGTGTCTGGCGTTGGGTTTCTGTTTTCTGGAAATAATTCTTGCTGCTATTGTTAGTCGTGCTGTACGTTGACTTTCGCATACCGCACCGTTTGGGAATGTACCTGAAGAGATAATGTAGTCATGCCTTTATTGATTGATTTATTGCTTTCATTTTCTATTGGTGCTTTGGGATTTCATAAACGTTAGAATACTGATTGAACTCGAGACAATATAATTTCTTGATCCTAGTCCATAGACGGAGGATCTTCGGCGGATCGACATTGGGGATTATCGATTGCGGAGCCCTTTATTTGTCTGAGATCCTACCTTATCAAATCCCATGACATATCGGTTCATGTCAGCATCGGTCCAATCGGAAAGCTACCTCGCTTAGAAGAGTGCAGTGTTAATAAATGTATTGAAGTAACGTTACCACTTATCGGCATTCTCCGCTGGCTCGGCGAACGAATGCCGTTCATGAAATGGCCGTCAACCTTAAATCAATAAATCAATTTTGAATTAAAAACGAAGGAGTTGCCCCTCCTTCTCGACTATAACTTTGTTATTGCTACACCTCCACTCCCAATCCACCGCTTTACAACTACTAGTACCATATCAACTTCTCCAACTCAGCCCCCCAACCAAAATGTCGCATTCTCACTCTCACGATCTCGGCATCAACCACTCTCACGATGACTTTGGTGGCCACGGTCACTCGCATGAGATCCTCGACGGACCGGGTTCCTATATCAACCGAGAAATGCCTCTGATCGAAGGCCGTGATTGGAAAGACCGCGCCTTCACCATCGGAATTGGCGGGTACGTCCTCACCCCGTAAAGAAAACGTCGTCAAAAAAAGGGAAATACTCACCAGCGCCATGGATGACATCAACAGACCTGTCGGATCCGGCAAAACAGCTCTCATGCTCGCATTATGTCTCGCCCTCCGAGACGAATATAACATTGCAGCAGTAACCAATGACATCTTTACCCGGTAACTACCAAACACCATACTTCCTCCCAGGTAAAATTGTACATGACCGGAAAAAAAGCTAATAAGATAAAACGAAACGTTCCAGCGAAGACGCCGAGTTCCTCAACCGCCACAAAGCCCTCTCGCCCAGTCGCATCCGCGCCATCGAAACAGGTGGTTGTCCGCACGCCGCCGTCCGTGAAGACATCAGCGCGAATCTGCTTGCGCTGCAGAATCTCCAGAAACAGTTCCAGACGGATCTCCTTCTTATTGAGTCCGGGGGTGATAACCTCGCGGCGAATTACTCGCGTGAACTGGCGGATTTTATTATCTATGTTATTGATGTTGCGGGTGGGGATAAGGTGCCCAGGAAGGGAGGGCCGGGGATTACTGGGTCGGATCTGTTGGTTGTGAATAAGTGTGATTTGGCGCATATTGTTGGCGCAGATTTAGGGGTTATGGAGAGGGATGCGGCGAAGATGAGGGAGGGGGGTCCGACTGTCTTTGCGGAGGTGAAGAATGGGAAGGGTATGCAGCATATTATTAACTTGATTATTAGTGCCTGGAAGGGAAGTGGTGCTTATGAGGTTAGTTTGGAGAGGTGGAAGAATGGGGCGACTAGGGGTTCGGGAAGTGTGGATGATCAGTAGAGAGATCCTTTGAGGTACATATGGCATGATCTATGATTTTATATATGAACGTGTTTGTAAATGTACAATTGATGATCTGTCTATCCACTACGTATAAAAGGCGCGAGTTTGACAAAGAAAAACTTTTGAAATCCCATATCCGCACCCTTGACCAACGCCTCACAAATGCAGAGTAATTCGTCGTGAACAAAACCAATAAGAGCTGTCGCTCTTACGAGAGCATCGGGTATATGAAAAGCTCCCTGAAGGAAAGAAGCAAAAAAGCAAATATCCAAGAATTCGCCGAGAGACCTACTTGGCGAATCGGGCCAGCGCAGGTCCCAATTCCTCCCGCTCGGAACGGAGCTTGTCCCTTGCACGAGCCTGGTGCTCTTTGCGCAGCATCTCGGCCTTGACCATCTTGTCGTCGACGACGTTCCTGCGGCCCTTCTTCCGCAGATACTTGCGCAGTGCACTGTTGCGGCCACGACCACGGTTCTTGAGCTTCTCCATCGTGTCTTCGGGTCTGCGGTCGAGATCGCGCTCTTCGCGGTTCTTCTGGTCGCGGATGGTGTCCAGTTTTCCGATGAAGGTGGGGTCGAGGGAGATCATGTCGGGTTGCAGCTTGTTCAGCAGACTTTGCACCTCGGCCTCCTGGCGCTGTGTTGTGTTCTCGTACGGGTTAGCCTCCAGCGCGTCGAAGTTGGGTTCACCGGCGCCTGGGACAATGACACTGGCAAAGCCCTGGTCGTGGGTGACACCCAAGACATCCTCGAAGGGGCACCAGCGCATGTTCTCGATACGTTGGCCGTCTCCACCCCAGGCCATGTATGGGCTCTTGACTTTGCCTTGGTCGGCGACTGCTGCATCGAAGAGACCGCGCCAGACGCTGACTTGGGTGCCCCAGCCAACCGCTGTGAGGCCGCGGTCACTGATCGCAACCGAGGATCCCGGCTGGTAGCACGAGTATGAATGCACTTCACGGAACATACGGATATCCCACACGTTCATCTTCAAATCCTGGCCTGTAGAAACCATATAGCGACCTTGTCTGTCCACGGCCATTGAACGAACAGGGCCCCGGTGAACGAGGGCCTTCACCAGCGCCGTCTGGGAATTAGGGGACCATAAAGTGACATTTCCGTTCTGGTGGCCGACATGAAGGATAGCGTTCCACGGGTTCTGGCAGAGTGATGTGGGAGCGCCCATACGGGTAGGCAATTCGGCGACCATTTGTCCGGTAGAAGTATCGGTGTACTTGAGGTAGCCGCTCATTTGCTAATATAAACAGACTTGTTAGATATGCTCCGTCTGACTCCATTAGGGTTGATACTCACAGCGCTAGCGAGAAGGAAGTGGTATGGAAGAAATTCGAGGAAGAGCGGTTCAAGATGCTTGCTGAGACAATGGATTTCCGTTCCAGCATGATCGTAGATGTAGACGTATTTCTTCTGGGCCACAGCAAAGAATTGGTTATTGTGCAACCACCGAGCGTCCCGAACAGTTTCTCCCAGATTAAGCTCGCATCCTAGTTTTCCTGCACGCCAGTCCATTGTCGCAACATGACCCTTGCGGCCGGCCAGCAGTAGATCACGTCCATTTCTCGTATAGTCTGCCCGGTAGGGCCCGAAGTCGTTCAGTCGCAACTCGAAGCCCTTCTTGGCTGTCTCAATGCCAACGTTTTCTTTAATCTCATCCTGTCGGACCTTGTATGTCCGCTCCAGCTCTGTTTCGGCTTCAAGAAATCCGGCGTCGTGCTCCAAGAGAATCTCCGCATCCTTTGCCTTGAGTGCTGCTTCCTTGTACTTCTTTTCGACAGCTTTAAGGTCGCTGCGCAGTTTCTTGTCCTTCACAGTGTGCGTCGCAATCGCCCTTCCCCGTCCATATTTCTGCTGCGCTTCCACGAGTGTTTTATTCTCTTTGCGGTTTTTTTTGGCCGGCGCGACGGCCTTCGTTGGTGGGTTGTCCGTCATCTGTGGAGATATTAAGGTATAAAATGGGGGCCAGACGTAGAAGGATTAAGGAGATATCATAAACTAAAGAAAACAGTTTTATTAAATCACAGGGTAAGAGTGTGAGGAAAGGAGTTGGAGTAACGTTCCGGTGGTTTTACGGGTCTTTGGCAGGAAAATTCATGCCAAGCCTTTTTTTTTCCCTTTCGCTTGTTCACCACAGCGGATATTTTTTTTTCTGCAAACTGACCGCCAGGCGATCTTGATGCCCACGGGGACCTGCTGGGCTGTTGATAATATACCGGGCTTTATCTGATTTTTTTTTCTGTCTCCTTTACATTCTGTGTAAATAATTTCACACTGGACTCCCTCCCATTCCGTTTCAAAGGGTCCAGCGGTGCCAATCCGGCGCCCACCCAAACGATGCATTCTCACCGTTCCACCACCAAAACTTCCCACAAGCCATTCAAGACCAAGCATGCGTCTAAGGGTGCGCTGAAGGAGAAGGCAAAGGGTATGATGGACCCAATCTACTCAATGGATTCTCTGTACTCCACGGATTCATTGCTAATACCATGTAGGCAAAGTTGAACGAGGCGAGCGGGGCACGCGAAAGACCCCTCATCAACAACTCATGTCGAAGCTCGATCGGAGGAATCAAGCCCGCCAAAAGCAGCAGGTTAAGCACCAGGAGAAGGCTCAACAAACCAGCATCTTCGCTGGTCAGACCGGCGCCCCCCGCCATGTCGCCGTTGTGCCACTGTCGGTTGATGTCGATGTTACCGCTATCATACGCTCTCTGAACGAAAGTGTGGACGTTTCCAGCGAGATTATCCCTGACACCATCCCCCGCGTGCGCATAGATCGCTTCCGACAGAGCTTGCAATATATCCCCGCGAAGTATGACTTGATGAATGCTTTGGATGTGTGCCGTATGGCGGACTTCGTGATCGTGGCGCTTTCGTCGGAAGTCGAGGTGCAGGAGCAGGGTGAACTCATCCTGCGGTCGATTGAGAGCCAGGGTATTTCCAATGTTCTTGCGGTTGTTCAGGTATGGGGAGTCATCTGTCCCTCGGCGTGCATCACGATGCTAATTAAACCCAGGGCCTTGATAAGATCAACCCTGCAAAGAAACGCCCACAGGTCGCCTCTTCCCTGAAGTCGTTCATCAACCACTTCTTCCCCGCAGTGGAGAAGGTCCTATCTGTGGATTCCAGACAAGAATGCTCTAACGCCATCCGTTCACTTTGTACTGCTACACCCAAGGGTATCCGCTGGCGCGATGAGCGAAGTTGGATGCTCATCGAAAATGTCGCCTGGCCCGAGACCAACTCAGATGTGGTGGACGATGTTGTCCTGACTGGTACTGTGCGCGGAAGGGGCCTGAAGGCGGACCGTTTAGTCCATATTCCCGGCTGGGGTGATTTCCAGATCGACTCTATCACAGCAGCACCACTGCCAACAGCACGGGCCAAACGTGACGATGCCATGAATGTCGACGACAACGAATCTTCCCAAGTTTTGGATGCACCCACTGCGGACCTTGATGATTTGGCTACTGTCGCGCCGGAGGAGATTGAAATGGAGGATGACATTTTAATTCCAGATGAGGAACGGAAGGGTGTCCTGCTCGATGAACATCATTATTTCTCAGATGACAACTCCCATATTCCTGCCAAACCCAAGCGGCTACCGAGGGGGACATCAGATTATCAATCCGCATGGTTCTTGGACGACCTTTCTGATTCCGGATCTGATATTACCGATGGAGAGGATGAGGAGATGGAGATGGACACGACAGGAGCGCCTGAAGACGGTGTCTTTCCAGATAACCACGATGCAATGACCGAAGCCGGAGCTACCGAGTACCCTCAGTCAGAGATGTTCGTTGACCCATCGCCCGAAGACGAGGCCAGAGAGCTCGAGGAATACAGAGCGAGCCGCAAGAAGGAAGCCAAGGAAGATCTGGAATTCCCCGACGAAATCGAACTTCACCCTAACGTTCTCGCTCGAGAGCGCTTGGCACGCTTCAGAGGCCTGAAGAACTTCAAGACTAGTCCTTGGGAGACAAAGGAAGACCGCCCTCACGAGCCCGAAGACTGGCGCCGACTGCTTCAGATCATTGATTACAAGGGCTCCAAGAACAGGACTGTCAGAGAAGCTCTTATCGGTGGTGTCAACCCTGGTATCCGTGTGGACGTTCATCTTCGCGCGGTATCAGCCTCTCTTCGCAACAAGCCACAGCCTCTGTCCTTGTTCTCTTTGCTCCGCCACGAACACAAGCACACCGTCGTCAATGTGAACATGACTCTGAACTCGAGCATTGAGGAGCCATTGAAGTCCAAGGAAGAACTCATTGTTCAGTGCGGACCCCGCCGTCTCGTCGTCAACCCTATCTTCTCCTCAAACGGCAACACACCAAACAACGTGCACAAGTTTGACCGTTACCTCCACCCCGGCCGCAGTGCCATCGCAACCTGGATCGGCCCTCTTACCTGGGGGGCAGTCCCTGTTCTTGTTTTCAAGAACAAGTCCGTTCAGGACCCCGAGGTCCTTGATGGCGACAACCAACCAGACGTCGAGCAGCTGGATCTGATCGCAACCGGCACAGTCGTGGCCCCCGATCGGTCCCGCGTTGTTGCCAAGCGCGCAATTCTCACAGGTCACCCTTACAAGATCCACAAGAGGGTGGTCACAGTACGGTACATGTTCTTCAACGCGGAGGACATTCAGTGGTTCAAGGCGCTCCAGCTGTGGACCAGGAGGGGCCGCAGCGGTTTCATCAAGGAGAGTCTGGGTACCCACGGTTACTTCAAGGCCACCTTCGATGCCAAGATCAACCCTCAAGATTCCATTGGCATCAGCTTGTACAAGCGAGTCTTCCCCCGGAAGGCCCGGGCTTTGGAAGAAGTTCTTGCTTGAAGGTCTTGTGTTTTTGCCGCTAGGGGACTGGAATTGATAGGGGCGGTTCGAAGATGAAAGATGATATGATACCACAAAGTCGGTTGCATGAATTGACGAACCTTGCTCTTGAAAGTGAGACTTTCAGGGGTATTAAAAGCATTAGGATTATATATAGATTTCAATAAGTAGATCAGGTCAGGCTGTAATGAGTTACGATCTTTCTTTTTCTGTCTTTTGGTATGGGTAATTGAATCAATTATTAAGTCATATAAACACCCTTTCCGAAACAGCTGAATATGTATATTATGAGCAAGCCCAAAGATCAAGACGTGTCACGCACCGAATAACTCTGAATAAGGACCATAATAATAACATGTAACATCCAAGCAAGTTGCAAGCGGGGCTACTTCCTGATGTTTATGTAATAAGAGCAAGAATGATAAATAGAAATGGGAAAATTGGATATGACTATCTAAGAGAAATCCTCCGCCTGCTCCTCGATGTTGTTCTTGATCCGCAGTAGTAGAGTCGTCTTCCACTTGTCCAACTTGCTCAGCTGGTCGAACTGGAAGAGCTTGTCAGCAAAGGCCTCCTGGTCACCCTGTTCAATAGTCTGAACCAGGTCAATAAGTAGCTGGTGCTCTCTTGTCGAAGCGAACGTGGTGTCAATATCACGGTAGTTTTCGAGGGCGCGGTTGGTGGCAACCAGATCCTAAACATAGTAAGTACATGTAGGGCGTCGGATGAATGATGGGGCACGTGCATTAGTAGCCAGATGGCAGATACCGGCCTTGAGGAAGTAATCCTTGACGGACCACTTCATCAGGTTATTAGAGATGGATGAGCGGCCAATTCTCTCGTAGTGTTCGATAGCTTTGTAGTAGTCGCCTTCCAGAGCGGCCAAATCAGCAGCTTTGAGGTAGTGCTTGTTTGCAAGTCTAATCGACAAGAAGATTTAGCATTCAGCGCTTTAATAAGTGGGCGATAGCGGCGTACGCTTCGGCATTATCACTGTCGAACCACTCGGCAGCTTTCTCGTAGGCTTCCAGAGCCTTCTTCTGATCACCCAGTTCCACCTCAAATACTTCAGCCAAATATTGCTGTTGCGTGGCAGCACGGCGGAAGTTTCCCTTTAATACGTAGTGTTGGATAGCACTCGAAAGCACACGGGCGGCATCTTCAGGGTCCGACTTGCGGTACACTTTGAACGCCTCTTGCAGCGAGTTGGCAGCGTCATCGGGCTCGTTCAGGTTCTGTGTTTGAATAGAGGCAGCCTTTTCGAATGCTAGACCAGCTTCCTTGTCTAAAATCCCCGACGAAAGAGGTTAACAACAATGCACATCATAGCAGCGAGGTGCGGGGGAGAGACATACTCTGCTTCTGCACTCGGTACGCGTTTCCGGCCTGGGTGTAGAGGTCTGCTGCATTTTCATATTTCTCTGTCCGTCCGCCGAAGAAGTTGAATCCACCGCTTGCACTCTGGAGCGCCTTGTCGGCCTGTATTCGACCATGGGTGATCAGTGATCGTCATTCTGGGGTAGGTAGTGATATTTGAACCTACTTTTTGGAGCAAAACGCGAGGGTCTTGAGCCATATTGGATAAGCTGCGTCGGCCCCAACAACAAAGTAATAGGAATGCACTGGAGGTCACTTTAGGGGCAAAGCTTGTCAGGCGGGGGCTGTGACGTTGATAGATGGAATTATATAGTTAGGCTGGTATGAGGGGGGAATCGGTCAGTTGAGATTAAATGATCTGCCGCCCGCTCACGTAGGCGGTGGATGGAGCTTCCCTTCATTTTTAAGGATGAACGTGATCTGCGCTTCGTATTTAGTTTTTAGAACTTTCTACCCCAATCTCGACTGCCTTAATTCCTCTCCATTTTGTCTTAGCAAAGTAGCAATTTCGGCAATTAGACACTCTATTGGCTTCAGATATCATTTTACATAGTTCATCGAGACACAATGCTTCATCTACGCTCTACGGCTTCTCAATTGTCCAGGCGGATCAGCCCTCTGACTTCGCGACTGTACAATTTAAGAGAGCCTCGATATTATAGCTCCAGATCCGAGGAGGTAGACGTCGATGCACTGCTTGCGAAGCCATCCTGGTCCGTTCGTTCTCTCCTTCCCGACCAGAGTGCGAAACAATCGTCGCAATCGGTCACACCGGCGCAACTCCACCACCTACTCCGCTTGTCAGCCCTTCCTCAGCCATCTAGCAAAGAGGAGGAAACGAAGATGCTCGAGACTCTTGAATCTCAAATCCATTTCGTTAGGGAGATCCAGCGCGCCGACACCACGGGCGTCGTGCCCCTGCAGAGTATCCGGGATGAAAGCCCCGAGGCATTGAAGGAGAACACAGTTGGACTGGGTCAATTGAAAGAGGCTCTATCTAAAGAACGAGTAGTTGGGCGCAACAAGAGAATCCAACGCGTTGAAAGCGAGAGGAATGACTGCCCGGACGGAGATGCTTGGGACGGGAACGCTCTTGGTTATGCTTCCAAGACGAAGGGTAAATTCTTTGTCGTGGACACGGGTAACTAAACAACCCCCTTTAGGTAAAAGATAAGAGGCGTCCTCTTTACTGCGTATCAGCGCCGGAAATGCTGTTGAGAGAAGGTATCTATTGACTGCAACATTCTAAGGCAGTACTTCTCGGCGGCTGAGTCAGCAGTCCAGTGACCTCATGCTTCTGAAGGCGTCAACGTTTCATTCTTTGCCAACGTGAACGACCTATCACCAATCTGTCTGTGGCGGGTTTGTCCAGCATCTTCTAGCTATAATAATACCTCTAGTAGTTTCATTGTCCTTCCCGCATCCATGTGGAAGAATCTGAAAGAGAAACATGCCAGCAAATTTGGGTCGGCCGCCCCTGCGGCTCCTCCGAAAAATGACGGCAATCAAGACCTAACTACTATACTGAGCCGTTCACAACGTGCAGACCTGACAATGCTCGTCGCCGCTATTTTAGAGCACATGAGAGTTACAATTGAGCAAAACTTTCACGGTTCACTGTCACACAATCATGAAACCTCCCTTGACCACAAGGAAAGTGATGCCTCGGCTTCGATATCACATCAACAGCCAGGAACCCTGACCCACTCAACCGATAGATCCGACTATAAGCCTACTGCGCAGGATCTGAAAGCTGAGGCTACTGCGCTTACCAGCTTTGACGACTGGAGAGATACGGTCATCCTTCGGATTGGGGAAGCCGTCAACAAAAATGATGATGACGAGCAACAAGATAATTCAGGCTCACAGGCTTCCCAGCAGCAAGGTCCTGTAGTGCCTGAAGACCAGGGCTCGTTAGAAAAGCTACGCGAGATTTATCAACCCGTGAAAACTCCTCTCGTTCAACTTCCGGAAGCCAAAAGGCTCTTGATTCTCCATTCACTGCTTCTTTTGCTGCTCAGCTTAGAGCATTACAATGCTCGCTCACGGGTATTGATGCTGTATGTCGCCTCTAGCTTGCACTTAGACGTAAAAATTCTCAATGGTGATGAGGTCAAAGTCGCCCGTGTATTGCTTGACACTGCTATCGAGCTATCGAAGAATGCAGAAGCGCAGAACCATGGCAAGAAGAGCGACTCCTCGAGAAAATGGAAGGTTGGCATCGCTTCTGTCGCCGGGGCGGCGTTGATTGGAATTACGGGTGGACTTGCCGCACCACTGGTTGCAGCTGGGCTCGGAACTGTTCTGGGAGGAATTGGGCTGGGTGCTACAGCAGCTGCAGGGTATCTAGGGGCTCTTGCGGGCAGTGGAGTCATCGTTGGTGGCTTGTTCGGCGCTTACGGAGGTCGGATGACTGGGCGTATGGTGGATAAGTACGCACGGGAAGTTGAGGATTTTGCATTCTTGCCCGTCCGTGGTTCTCAGCAGCGAACCCAGGATGAAAAGGAGGCTGCTAAGCAAGACCACCGACTACGAGTTACCATTGGCATCACAGGCTGGGTTACAGAAGAGGACAATTTTGTCGTCCCATGGCGTGTCATTGGTGCGGATTCCGAGGTCTTTGGTCTCCGTTGGGAAACAGAGCCGTTGATGAATCTCGGCAATGCAATGGACCTCCTGGTAACAAGCGCTGCATGGGCCGCAGGCGAACAAGTTCTGAAGAAAACCTTCTTTGCATCGCTTTTAAGTGCCGTAGTTCTGCCTCTAGGCCTGCTCAAGGTCGCCCGTGTAGCCGATAACCCTTTTAGCGTCGCGAAGGTTCGGGCTGACAAGGCTGGAGAGGTTCTCGCGGATGCTTTAATCAACAAAGTTCAGGGCGAGAGATCGGTTACCCTTGTGGGGTACTCCTTAGGATCGCGGGTGATTTTCTCCTGCCTTCAGAGTTTGGCGAAGCGCGGTGCATACGGTCTCGTGGAATCTGCAATCTTGATGGGTTCATCAACTCCTTCTAATACCCAACATTGGCGACGTATGCGGAGTGTAGTAACTGGACGGCTGATCAATGTATACTCGGAAAACGATGCTGTGCTCGCTCTGTTGTATCGTACCAGCAGTCTTCAACTTGGCGTTGCAGGACTTCAGCCCGTGCAGGACGTAGTTGGTGTTGAGAATTTGGACGTGAGCGACATCATCAGCGGTCATCTCCGGTATCAATTCCTGGTTGGACACATTCTCAATAAGATCGGATTGGAGAGTATTGATGTCCGTGAAGTGGAACGGGAGGAGGCTGCGCTGGCAGCCAAGGATCAGAGACAAGAACAGGAACGAATCCGAAATGAGCGCCGGGCGGGTATTCAAGGTAGCGATTCGGCGCACCAGAAATTGGAGAGCGGTGAGTTGCAAGACGAGGAGGATCGCCTGGAGAGACAGGTCAAAGAAAGGACTCATGAGCGTTTGCCTTTGCGGCATAATGAGCAGGGTTCTTCTTCAAGCCATGAAACAGAAGGAAGGAAAGCATAAGAGCTGGGATTTTCAACGAACAGTGCTTTTTTGTGTTGCAGTTGAATGAAGCGATTCACCAAAGCGGGCTTCACTGCAGTTAATCAGAGATTCCCAGTGTGTAACCTGCCCAGCTAAACAGACAGGTATGGGTGCTTTCTCTGCGTCATATGCCACTGTGTGTTTTATCCGCACAAAGAGTCTTATTATTCCTTCCCAGAGATAAAGAACGGTCCAGTTCATCCCATTCAGCCTTTCTCAGCCAAGGTTACAAGCTCACTGTGTAACACGCTTTCTGGCCGCAAAGATAATGAATATTAAGAGATTCTAACATACGGCATTGTTCATTCTAGGAATGGCCAAGAAGTAGGGGTAGAAGGACATAGTTGATGGACATTAAACCTTATGACTTTTCAGTTATGCAAGTTGCTTTAGTCCTTCGACCATTGACGTAGAAGAGAGTACTCTAGCACCCTTTGTACACCATATCAAGTACCCAGCACGACTAGTAGGATATCTAAGTTGCCCTCTAAGTACTAATCTTCATTATGATTCTGGTTATTATACTCGATACATACTTGCATTGTATGTTTCTGTAAGATGTCGTACCTGTTCAAGGTGTCAAAATTCATTATGCAGCCTTCATAAATGAATTCTCGAAGTCAGTCATATACGACTGTAGTACAGCCCAGACCATGAAGATGTCAATGGAAACTCTCAAACTATTGTGGGTTTCATACTGAGTATAAGTCTCTCAAACCGGGACGGAGCAATCGCTTGAAGATCCAACGATCAAGAGATTTTCCCTATCGTCTTTAGAAGAAGAAGAGACCGCTCAGATATTAATAGATCATTGAATATATTGAAAGATATACCTCTTACCCTTTGCCCAGGCTTCCTTTGGGAACCGGTAGAGCCGTTTCAGGCATCCAAAAGGAACCTGGACGTGATTATCTCGAGTCATTGATTGTTTGTGATGCTTTGGTTAGAAATGGTTACAAGGAAGACTCGGCTCAAACGACACCCTCAAGAGGTATCTACTCGAGTAGTCCTCGGAAAGGCTATGATCAGAACTAGCAATTCGAATATTAGATATTCCTACGTATAGCCCTCTCTATCACCCCTCCTTCTCTGCATCTAGCCTCTTAACGAACTTTCCCTGAGCAGTCTGTCGCAAAGAACTCTATTCAAGATGCCACCATCGTCGTTTCGAAGGGGGCCCGATTACGAAATGTACTATACTGCATTTTCCGTCAGCACAGTACTCGAAAGAATCAGAAAGCAGGAGTCAAAATTCAAGTTAGATGAGAAAGATCCTCAGACACTCGAGAAGTTCGCGGCCAAGGCTATGTTAGCAATCAGGGATGGAAACCTGAAAGTGATTCGAGTAGCCCACTGCATCTCGAGCCCATACGTCTACTGCAGAGAGATGGGATATTACAGCTCAATAAAGCTCGCGACTGATGAAAAGGCAAAGGACGAGGCAGATACAGATGCAAAAGAAGTCATGCTGGCACATCTCAACAGTCTTTATGCAGGGGAAACACCCAAGGAGAAATCGGCCGCTAAATTTACTTTTTATGAGGAAGAGCAACAAGAATTCACAGGACATCTGCTAGATTCGAGAGCACCTTCGGTCGAGGCTGATGAGACTCAAGAAACACTCGAAGCACTGGGTGGTGACTTTGAGTAAGCTTCTGATAGGATGCTATCTTCTTGATCTAGTGCTACTGGTTGCTCTGATATTTTAGGCCAAGATTGTGATAGTGGAATTTTGCCTTTCCTTTCTTTCCCTTGGGTGTAAACTGCAGAATTTTCTTTACATGGGCTCAGTCTCATGCTGCTATCATTCGAGGCCCAAGGCAGGTCCTTGTTTGGTTGATTTACAGCATTAAGTTGGATATGCAGGAATTCAGCCTCGGTCGAATGTTCTGTGATGACCTGTATGTCACGTGGTTGGGCAGGCCTACTTCCCACAACACAATCCTTGTATGATAGTGTTTCTCCTCCCATAGTTGAATTCAGTTGGAAATGCTACCATATCTAGTTATCTACCGTGGAATAGCTATCTATGAATGAGCAGTCATCACATGTTCTCTTATTTTGTACTTATTGTCCATGAGTATGCCTTTGATATCCATGCTGAGGCATGGATCATCAACTGCATCTGTGTATATAATCTTTAGCCTAAGCCATCGTCTATCTCAGGATTTACCTTTGAGTATATTATGTTTAGCTATTCCAGGTATTCCTAAGATCTTACTATGCGTTGTATAAAATATATTTATACAACAAAGGCATAATAAAGTCAACAAGCTTGACAAACTGCTACAGGGGTCGAGGTATAAGGATGAGAATAGCAAAAGGGTATTCTGGGTTATATTAGGTAATTAACATTGTGTAGAAATACTCTGAAATGAAGAAACGATAGATTCAACTGTCTGAGTTGCTCAACTCGAAAGGTCTAAGGGGGTAGGTGAGGCCTTTCATTTAGACAAGGCTATACAAAGGTCCATAAGGCCCTACAGACCCCCTTTCACTAATCAACATTGAAATAAGGCGTAAAGGCTTGAAAATTCCTGTAACATTCAACAGCTTTAGGAGAATTAAAGAGACCGCTCATGGATATACACGGATAGATCATTGACTTTTACCCTTTGCCCGGGGCTCCTTTGGGAAACTGATGGAGCCATTTCAAGCACCAAAGGGTTATCTATTCGAGTATAAAAATGTTCTATAGCCCTCCGAACCCTAGGACTGCAAGTAGCAATTTGCGTGAGATATTCTACGCATAACCCTTGACATCGCTTCTCTTTCTATACATTTAGCCTCTTAACAAACTTTGCCCTGAGCAGTCTACCATAAAGGACTCTATACAAGATGTCGGATATTGGACCGAACCTCTCACGCAAGAGATGGTATGCCTATTTTTATATCGTATCTGTCGAGTCAAAATTCATATCTTTGGGAAATTACTACGCCGACCCGAATACCGAGATCGACCCAGAAGAGATCCAAAGATTTGCGGCTAGCGCCTATCAATCCGTCCAGAATGGGTCAGTGAAACTGACCGTCACCGATATTAACCATGGTGGTACAGAAGGTATCTACTGCGTAGAGGTGAAGACATCCAAAGGGAAAGGTAAACCAACCGAGGCAAAAGCGGAAGAAGCAATGCTGGGACACCTTTGCGCCATAAAGACTGGACTATCAAAATATGAGTCATCGCATCTTATCCCTTCTCGAGGTTAACAAATCGGAGTGGGCGTCATTGGGCTTCGAATGTACCTTCACCTGAGCCAGATCAAGACTGAGAAATGTGGACGGCACGGGGTGGTAACTTTGAGTAAGCCTCTCTTAAGATGCTATGTTTTCTATTTAGTGCTATTCGTTACTCTGATGTTTTGGCCAAGAATGCACTAGTAGATTTGTGGCTTTCCTTTCTTTCGTAGTAAACTATAGAGCTTACTTTATGGAATTTTGGAGTACATTCACTTTTCTTATATTTTCCTGGGTATATAAGCTCTGTCCTGCGTACCCACATTTAAAAAGGAGGTTAGGCAGTAACATCCATTTCTTTTTTGCTCAAAAGCCTCCATTAATAAAGTATTTGCATAGAGCAGCAACTCGATAAATGTTCCTAGGCATAATACATATTCAGGTTGTTGCCACCAGACTCCCAAGCTTTTGATAGTTCTGTGGTATCTCCATCAAGAGCCTTTTTCATTTGAACTTTCTGATAGCTACTCTTACAATAAATTAGTAGAGTTTGTTACTTACATGCACTTCCCAGATGCGGCCTTATCTATCACTAGAATGCCCTGAGAAGAACGCGACGGGACAGGGCGAGACGGAACAGAGAAGGTTAGATAGTTAGGGCTGAAGCTCTACATGCACAGACAGCATTCGAGTAACCCTTGGACGTATGCGTACCTATTGTATATGTACATTGCGCAGGCTTGCATCGCTATTTTAAGGAGTATGTTACTGGGATATGTGCTCGTATTCGAGTTCCTTCTGTCTGTCTCAGTCTGGAAGGTCTCAACTATTTAAATGTGTTTTGACAGCGCTTTGATCTCAGGGGTGCCGGCAGGTTTTGTCATGATGTTACGGTGGGGGTGAGGATGGACTACATACCGGTTCTGTGCATAAGAGCCATTAGCACCATAGTGTTTCGGTTAAGAACGAGTGGGCCCCAAATTCGGGGTAATAAGGATCAAGAGTTTGTACTAGGTAATCGGTCCAATCGTTCCGCCACTTCCAAATATAAAGAGAGCTTTTGGGAATTCCTAGTATTCGGGATACCAGCCACTAAACTCCTAGTCTACAATTTCACTGGTATATTTATCATTAACTATGATATTCCAGTGACGTAGGTCACTATGGGTGAATATGATTTGATATCTTCTCTAGGAAAGTATACTAGTTAAGAAGTCTTTAGTTTAGATCTCTGATAATTAATATATATTGATAAATGTGTGATTAAACGCCTTTTCAAGATTAAATGGCTCTTATATGTATTAGTCCCTGCGGATAACATATCGTGGAGTATCACTAAACTTTGGTGCGATGACTCTCTAAGATCGGATCCGTAACAGGGCTAAGATCAACCTAGCCTATATAGTTACTATGGCTGTAGCTAACCTGGCGGAGTTCGCAGTTATACCCTTCCAGCGGGTTGGTAACCTGACTTTTTACGGTACGGTCAGTAAGTTTCCCAGACCTTATATAAAGCTCATGAACATGTAAGCGTCGAATAGACTAATATAATATCTCGGTGGATTGGGCCGTAAGAGTAGCTCATAAATACTTTTGGAACAGGTATAGTTTCCGTATTTTGGTCAATGAATATTGTACACTTCGCCTCGCTAGGTGTGACGTGTGATCCGAATTTGACGATAATCTAAAGAGATATCTGTGCTATCATTATGCCACTCCGGATAGGATATTGTTACTGGGTTTAATCTTTTCATGGATGCTATCTGGATGGGGACTACAAAATTGGGGTCTGGGTAAAGGATCCTTACCTGTGGCTTACCGTCTACAGACTGAGTGAGTTGGTTTTCTTCTGTACTAGACATATGCAGAAGATGAACGAGGGCAATATGGCAAAGAGAAGTGTAGACTGAAGAAGGACGGTACCCCTGTGAGGTTAACTAACAAAAGGTACAAGGCAGCCTTACATGGTCGACGGCTCATTGGGGATGGGGCGCCTTGCCTGATGCAGCAAATCTAACCTGATCTAGACCACTACATGGGAACCGGCCTGGAGGAAGATCTTCAAAATTTATGAGAGCAAGATGAAGACCTGCGTTCCATTAGATTGCCTGTTAGACTAGCGCTCTAGGTTGCGCTATTCCACAAGGCTCCCTGTTAGAGCTCCATGGCCTTAACCCACAGCTCAAAACAAACATTCGCAGATAACCAACTCGAGAAAGTCCAGAAATATTAAAGTCAAAACCCTAGATTTCAAAGCTATTCAATAGTTTATTCTTGGTGTCGAAAGGTATAGTTACACAATAGAGCTCCTTACCATCTCTTTGAAGACACTTAGTATCTTCTAGGCGGCAAGGCAATTTCTATTGTCATATCGAGTCCTTGTGCATGCTACGTACAGTTTCAAACAAATTTCACTTAGGAACATCACCCTTTCCTAATTGTTGAAACCTGTGTAAGCTATTTCCATGAAGTGAACGGAAGCCCCTAGTTGCAGAGCACCGATGGAAACATGATTCTACTGATATATTCAGCACCAACGCCTTCAGTAAATTCCAACAACAAGCCGCAACCAACTAAAGCTCTAGAAACTATGGATATCTCCCTATCTGCATGTATATCCCCTAGGGACACAAACAGGCCACTCAAGTATATATAGGCTCCCAAATCCATCACCAACCCCATTCTCCTCTAATACTTCTCTATCTGTCATCAACCAACAAATAAACAGCCAATATGACCTCAACCTCAACCAACAAAGGAATCTGGACCGAATACTTCGCTCAGTTACCCGTGAGCAGCCTCCTCTGGGACCGCCACCTCTCCTGGAACGAGTGCAAACGCGACTCCAAGCTCGCCCGAGAAGTGATTAAAGCATGTTTCAACACCTACGTGATTGTCCCCGAAGCGCAGAAGCAGCAGGAAATCGCGATCGAGGTTCAGGATAATCGCAACCAGCCTCGTCTTTTCTGTGTTAGCCTGGGCACGTTCCCGGCGGGGGAGATGCCGACTTACGATATGGCTTGGGATAAGCTGAAGGAGACGATTACGTTATTGCATAATGCTCGAGATATTAAGGCTGATATTCGGAAGCGAAGGCTTTGAGGGGCTACCGTTATTGATGTTGGTGTTTTTGGGGTGGAACTGTTGCTGGGGCGGGGGGGGGTTTAGGATGGTTAGGGTTGTGTTAGTTTGAGTGGGAATTGAAACCTGTTTGTTGAAAATTTGTTGTTCGGTTGCTTTGTAGAGGGAGTTTTGGGTCTTGATTGGATGTATGTATGCCATATATAGAACCATTAAACCGTGGATATGGCCCTTGTAGAGACGAGAACTGATGCTAGTGCTGGGGGGTGGTGGTCTCATTAGGCAAGCCTCGTGTTGCAAAAGATGGCATACTTAAGCCCCGTTTATCTCCTGGCAGCAAAACCAACGCGGACCTCGAAGCTATAGAAACGTTGCTTCCCAAGAACTCTACTTAGCTCCTCGATACCCTCGTCTACTCTGTATACGGCTTAGGCACAAATATCGCCACCATCCCTTAAAGTCAAAGCCGACATGGCTCCGAGTCAACAACAAGGCCGTTCCTATTAGCTCTGCAGCTCCCATCCCTGATAAGCCTTTATGCCATCCTGCGTGTTGACAATAATTAATAGATAGAGAAACAATTTAGACTTTTATAAAGCCTGATTTAGAAACAGATCATCGGTGTGCACTACGCCTAGAGCTACTAGTTGTGCATAATGAACCATAGTGTTTGCGTAGAATGGTACAAATTACACAGGCTGCCTGGTCGGATCTACGATGCCAAAGTGGAGATACACGGTACTCTACATGTATAGTACTAACTTGGGGGATCTGTTTATGCATATCCTCAACTGGGATGTGTTAGACAAAGGATCAGAAGACCTCCCTTCAGATCACGAATCTACTTGATCCCGGAATACTCCGCGGTTCACGATACAGAGCCGCTTCTGTCCTCCCACAAGGGATCAGTAGACTTTTTCCCCTCTAGACAGTGCCACGCGGCCGCTATAAATGACTGTGAAACAACACTGAGAAGGAGGAGCGGCCAAAATGTGAAGCCCAGCGGGTAGTTACTGTCTAGTGACTCAAACGAAGGTACCACAAACAAGCTACAGTGATTGAGGGAAGGTCTCACAATCCAGCACATGCGCATCGCCTCTCGAGGGTGAGAGTTAAATGGCTCGCCTATAAAGATATTCCCGAATCTCTCGAAATGCGTTCTATATCAGGTAGTTCTTTCCACCTTTCTGATCTTTGGTTCTCCCATATAGCAGCTATCTATCGAATGAACCCTGCCTGATAAGCATAGCCAAAAGTAGTTTTAAGAAAATATTTCAGTCAATGACTCGTGAAGATCCAAATGAAGAGATAGTCTGGTATATCGAGATCAGAGAACCAGGTTTGAACTGGGACAAAATATTCAAGGACGACCCGTTCTACCGTGCCATCAGCAGATGTATCAGTTGCTTGAAGAACGGGAGCTTGAAAGCGAAGTTCACTAAAGACAATAATGGAGGGAAAGATGGTTTCTATTCCATTGCCTTAACCGAGAAGCATCCTCGAGGGAAGGGGCCAAGCGAAGGGGTGAAGGACGAGGCGCAGAAACAGCTGCTGGAGGAATTGTGGAAATACTATACAAGGATCAATGACCCTAGTTCGTCGTTTCTTGGTATTTAAGACTAATGGTGCGGAGTCGATGACTTGATTTCTTGTGAAGCACTCTCTTTGTCTGATGTTGCCTAGTCCTCTGATTGTTTTGATGGTAAGGAATGAGTTTATGGAGAACGTCTGCCTATTCTTTGGCAAACAGAACAATCCTTTAATGTAATCTCAATCAAGTATTAATTTTTGTTATGAAGCTCTGGTTCTTCTTCTTGCCTTAGGGTTACTGAGCACCGCCGCACAACGGCCTCGTTGAAGCCAAGGTGGAAATGCCCCGTACTTGGACTGATATGGTCATATATTATAGGATAGACCCTGATATAGATTCAAAGGGGCTACTGGAGATGCGTGAGTCTGTCTAGTATGATAATTCGGTCAGTATCAGGTATGAAGAGGGCCTTAATTTGAATTGTATTGACTAATCCAGAATGTCTATTCACCCCAACCTAGGTACTAGCGATCCAGGTCCGAGATCTACCTAAGCTGCTTTGCTCTTAAATCCTTGCCGACAATGACCACCACCACGTCTATTGTTGCTAATCGCAACCAGCAACAATGTATTCTTGTATAAACCATGCCATGCGCATAAATCAAAGATTCAGCAGGAACGTCAACTTCCCTTATCCTGTCCGGGTATTACACTCTGACTGTGCTTATTTCCCCCATTATCTGGATAAACCCCACTTATACAAGCCTTGTGGCTAGGTTTCCCTATGTAAGTTCCAAAAGACAGTCTTCTTACCTGGAGGGCCCCAAAAGATCATATAGTTGCAGGAACAAGCCAGATAGCAAAGATATTCCCTCTAGGTATTTCGCAACTATTTATAATGAAAGATAGTTTATCTATCTTTCTATCGGCTAAGGTCCTACCTCGTCTATATACAGACAATATCTAGAATAGTTTTTTTTTACAACGCAATTCCACTACAGACACAACAAGGTCAACAAGATGTCGACTTCAAAGAGCTCTTTGAGCACGAAAATACAATCATGCCTATCTGATATATCTACAGATCCATTCTTCTCAGCGCTCCTTGTGGGGAACTGCTTCATGGAAGATTTCATTTCATGTTGACATCTGAATTGTGAGGCTATTCAAAGAAGTATAAAGAAAACCTCAAGTCCCTAAGGAACCTATAGCACAGTGTCTTGTTTCCATCTTTCTCGCTCTCCTAAACATACCTCTATCACTAATTACCAGACAAAAACAGTCAAATTCTCCTCGAACAATCCACAACACAAACAACATGGGCATCCCACTAGGACTCAACAATCTCGACAACTTCTCCATAGGGCTATACGTCCAAGTCAACGCCAACATGGACGATGGCTGTAGCATAGAGGTGAGAACGGTACACGACGCAATGCGTCAGTTAAGACAGGCAAGCGCTTCCCTCGAAAAATGCTTGAAATTGATAAGCCTAGGTGATCCTAGCCGACCGGACCGCGAAGCTGTTACCATCATGCACACGGACAATAGTGACCGGAACGGTGTCATATCTCTCAGCATGGGGAATTTCGACAGGGATGAGGAGCCGGACTTTACTTCTGCCGTGAATCAGCTTGGCTTGCTGGTGCGTATGAAGTTGGAGACTGTCGTTGATAGTCTTGAACTGAATTTGACGACGATATGGGGGCAATTTGTGTATACGAACAGGCATTGCATGTTGCCTCTTTGAGGGTTTGTGTCTGATCTTTGCTTGTTGAAGGTGTTTGGTTCATTGTTTATCTTTGTATGTAACCAGGGGAAGGACAAAATATTGTTAGGCCATCCTTGGGGTTCTTTGAGATATGAAGAGGTTTTGAACTTCTTTATTATTATTATTATTATTATTATTATTAATCAAGCTTAACGTCCATATCGAGCCATTGGCTATGACAGAGACACTTCTTTAGGATTGTTAATATAGGTTACTAACTTTATCATCCATCCTAGCTAATAATCTCTAGCATTTCACAATACTGTGAGTCCTATGATGGGGTCATATCAATGGCCACTGCATAATTGTTCAATGTTCTTCTGAATTCGTGCGAGATTTACGTTACTACATACATGAATCAAGGGAGTATCATACCATAAACATCCATCAAACATCGTAAAAGAAATTCCATCATGACCAAACAGATTACCAAATTGCAATGTAGCTCAAGACTGAACAAGAGCTCTTTCTTGCTTCAGAAACGCCAGGAGATTAAAACCCTACAGGCCAGCAAAGCGAGCCCATCCAGCAGCTCGGGTGGCTGGTTTCTCGCCTGCGGGCTTGGTCATGCCACCTCGACCTTCCTCTGCAATCTTCCCACTGACATCTCGTCTTCTTCCGACTCCAAGCCCCGCGATGTAGTTTCCGTATGACAGGGACGATCCACTGCCCATGTTACGGCTGACATCAGCCCCAGAGTTGCTGACGACACGACCCTTACGGTCGCCGTCGGCTGTCATACGACTCTTAGTGGGGACCGTAAGCCCGTCTTCATTATCAGTAATCGCGTCGTCATTCTGCTTTAGAGCGCCGTAGGTGTCCATCTTCTGGCTTCTGCGTTTCATAAGTTTGCTCTTCTTCCTTCCTAAGCCATGCGTACCCTCATCGCGATTGCTGACATTTCGAGGGATACTAAGTCCAGTCGTGCTTTCAAGTTCGCCATAGAATCGACCATTCTTTTCCGGGCTCACAACGGGAGGTGCTGCGGCTGGTGGGTTAGGGGAGAGATTAGGAATGTCCACAAGTGCCATACGGCCACTGTGGGTTGTATCTGCAGGTGTTTCATCGAAAGGAGGCTGGGGAGTGGGTGGGTTTAGTGCCAACGGATTGACGCGAAGCGAATCGGAAGATTCTCTACGCTCTTCCTGGTCCTGGAAAATATGAATGCGATGATCCCCAATATCCTGTTCAGCATTGTCGTAAAGCCCGTTTTGTTGAGGATGATAATGGTTTTCATCATCGTGTCCATAATATTCCTGGATCGGAATAGATTCATATTCACCACGTACATCCTCCCGGATGGTCTCTTCGAGTTCCCATCCAATGCGCTGACTGTTAAACCAATCCAGAGGCCCATTGTTCGTGGAGGCTGGAGTGTCGGTAGTTCTACTGTACGCGGAAGAAGGCTCGCGATGCAACAGGTTTTCATTCTGTCCTTCCACGGGGGAAGCAGACCGTGATGGGTACGCAATCCAGTTTTCTGAAGCTGGGCTCACACACTGAGATCGACTTGGTACATCTGGAGACGGTTCTCGTACTGGCGTGTTGTATGAAATTCTGGTTGTCGGCCTCGCGAAAACATCTTCGTCTTGGTCAGGGAGCTGATACATCATGTGCTCTGCAGTGTCTGCCTGCTGAGCGAAAGGCATCTGCGGCATAGGATGTTCGTCGTGTGGCGTATGGTCATAAGCCATGGTCATTTGAGATAATCTGTTCTCCCTCGTGTCTGAGGAGAAATTACTCGAACCACCCTCCGATGCTTTAGCGCGAGTATGAAAAAAAGATATAGTGCGAGGAGCACCAACAAGAGTCTCCCCCGACATGGTGGAGTCCAAAGTGGAGCTACTAGCATGCTTCTTGGTGATCTCAGACTTGTTTCGCTTGTGGGGACGGGCTGTCAAATTGTCCTCCAATGGGTTTAGATCCGGAGGGAGACGGCTGATTTTGCGGAATATGATACCTAGGAAAATTGAAATTCCCAGAGAAATCGCATGCAGTCCCCCATTAATTACACTCAACAGAAACGTGGCTTGGGCGATTTTTGTCGTGATCTCCAAGTCCGAACTGAGCAAAGTACTCCAATGGTATGAATTGTCAGTGTATTGGTTGAAGCCCAAGTATGCCGCGAATATGTAGAAAGGGATCAAGCCAAAGTCGAAGGTTCCGGAAAATAACATGTAGCTGGCTTGGGAGCCTGGAGGTCTTGTGATAGGGCGAAAGACATGATAGATACCATAAAGAGTGTGCAAAATTGCTACAGATGGCTAATTAAATTGTTAGAGCAACATTCAATTCGACGCCTGACTGAATTAGGTGTGTACTTACTCCGACCCGTACAATCCATATTACAGTTGCTGCAGCATTCTTGATAACAATAGCGCAGAACAACGATCCAAGGGCTCCGATCAGCTGTACAGTGCGCAAACCGAGCTGTGCCTTTCGCCCGTAGATCACCCTATTCTTGGTCTTAGGGCTCATTGGAGTCCACTTGGACTTGCCATCTGGGATGTTGCAGTACTGCCATATTGTTAGTAAATAAGGTGGCATAAGAGAGTAGACAGGTTACGTACGGAGTCCGGGTGCCTGTTAAAGTTAACCAGCGGTCCTTTTGGCTTGGGCTTTGACGGTGGACGAGTCCAGCTCGCCTGTGTCACAGCCTTTGGGTTGAAAGGACGGTCATTCGGTCCACGGAAACTATAAGCTGAAGGGGTGCCGTAAAGGAATGGAGGCGACGACTCCCCCATTGTCGCGAAGGAAGAATCTTCGACTTAATAATTACTGACGCATCCACCCACGCGAGAAAGCGGGGAGACGAGTGATAGTAGGCGCAATAACCTTAAGGGAAAAGAATGTTGGGGTAGGAATTGAAGTATGGGGATGGCATGTAGGAACAAAGGACGGAACCATGGAACAATGGAATGTCAGAGGAGAAAAGTGTCCGAGAAGCGTCATGCGAGAGCTGAGCGTGCCTGAATGTCGCTGTAGAATTGATCGTCAACATCCCGATAGTCGGCGCGGCAACCGGTCCGATAAGCGGTCACGTGGGGGCTGTCATCGTCGTTTATCGATGGGGGAATGGATCAGATCGATCAATTAATTAAACTCTACCACCTCAAGGCCCAAGCACGATGAACCTCCAGCGTGTACCTTACATCTGCTCGCAGTGTACGGTGCAGATCATCCGATCTCCACTTCGCCATTCACGGCATCGTCTTCTTCCGCAACAAACATGGCAGCGACGTCATAATAGTCAGTCCGTCCAGACAGATCGGCCGTCCCGTGTTGCCATTGTAGGTTCGGGACCGGCGGGCTTCTATGCAGCTTATAGGTTGCTGGCAAAAGTCGAAGATGTGGTGGTCGACATGTATGAGAAATTGCCCGTGCCTTTCGGATTGGTGAGACATGGAGTAGCGCCAGACCATCCGGAAGTTAAGGTACGTTGAGACCAATTGCTTTCTCAATTATTGCACCCGGCCGGTATTTGTATGCTATAATTGGCTTGCTTTAACCACTTTGCAGAATTGCGAGGAAAAATTTACAGAAGTCGCAACATCGCCTCGATTCAATTTCATTGGCAATATTGAACTTGGCGAAAGCCTACCTCTTCAGACGCTTAAGCCACACTACGACGCTATTTTGTTCGCGTACGGAGCTCCGAAGGATAAGGAACTGGATATTCCCGGAGAGAAAGCTTGTAGGAATGTATACTCGGCTCGTGAATTTGTCGGATGGTACAACGGTCTTCCCGAACACCGCGACCTCGCACCGGATCTGACAGCTGGCGAAAATGCGGTGATCATCGGGCAAGGCAATGTTGCGCTTGATGTAGCGAGAATCTTGCTGTCAGATGTTAATGCCTTACGTAAAACTGATATAACGGATTATGCCGTGGAGACCTTGGCCAAGAGCAAAATTAAGCGGGTTCATGTGGTTGGCCGTCGAGGCCCGATGCAGGTATGCTAAGCGACTTCGAACATGTTATCTGGCATTCTCTATCGATACTGACCACATGTAGGCTGCATTCACCATCAAAGAGCTTCGCGAGTTGCTCCAGTTACCATCCGTGTCGTTCGAGCCGGTCCGTAAGGAATTGTTCCCGCCGGACGATATCATGAATGCCCTCCCCAGAGCCCAGAAACGGCTTATCCAGCTCCTTGCAAAGGGATCCAGTAATGATCCAGCAACTTCTGCAAAGTCTTGGTCTTTAGATTTTCTCCTGTCACCGGAATGCCTCAACTGGTCCCCAGTTCATCCATACCGCCTGTCAGACGTTAAGTTCTCCCGCAATGAGTTAGACCCTGCGGGTCCATATCTTCCTACCGCCAAGGTGACGCCCAAGTACCTTTCCAGCGGTCAGCGAGCGCAGGTCCACATCCCCGCTAATACATTCTTCCGGAGTGTTGGCTACAAATCACTACCTCTGCCTGGGCTGGAAGACCTGGGAATTCAATTTGACACGAAGCGCGGCGTGATCCCCAACGATGGATTCGGTAGAGTCACTAGCCCTATGCATACAGGGGATAACGAGCAGCTCCCCGATGGATCGATTATCTCACACCTTCCGGGACTGTATTGTGCTGGCTGGGTCAAACGCGGGCCTACGGGTGTTATCGCCACAACCATGACAGACGCATTTACAACGGCAGATGTGGTGGCTGCTGATTTGGGCAATGGCCGAGGCAAGGGGTCTCTTCTGAATGGCCCCGGTCACAGCACAGGACTTGGCTGGGAGGGCGTGCGTCCTGAGGCCGAGAAGCGAGGCGTGCAGGTAACAACGTGGGAGGATTGGCAGCGGATTGACGCTGCTGAACGTGAGCGGGGCCAGCAGATCGGTAAGCCCCGTTCCAAATTTGGGAGAGTGGAGGAGATGCTGGAGGCTGTACATTAAGGACGCGTGTGCGCCATGATAGACACGTTACACTGTTTGAATAGAGCTACTATCATAGATCACGAAAAGATACCATCTCCACTTTCGGAATCGAATTTATTGTTATTATGTTATCCCGCGTAACGCATTAGTACTAAATCGCATGCTGAAATAGAACACATGAGAAGTTATAATTAGATACTAAGTTTATGCAATCCATGATTCATCATATCAACCAATCAAGACAATTTCGTCCATTAAGGGAGTCCGCAGTTCGACCCGGCGACCTCAGTGTACTCCACATTGACTCTACCCAACTGCTCGGCTAATCCGTTCGTCAGAGTGTTCATAGCCTGCAGGCCGATGTTGAAGCCACCGGGCGCCGCATCAACGCCAAGCACATAGATGGACTTGTCGACGTTGCCGGCCTTGTAATGGAGCTGATAGCACTTTCCGCAGTTGGGGGAATTCCAACCGGGGATAGTAGGGGCGCCTCCAATGTTAGGGAAGTTCGGGAGGGAGCCGAAGGTGCTATAGCCTCGACTGATAAGGCCGTACACGCCGTCAGAGCAGGCGACGGTGGTGAGGGAGCTGCCGGCAACATCGTATTTCTGGTCGTAAGAGACGGAGATGGTAGCGGCGGTAGTAGCGTCAGTTGATTGTTCCACGGGCGCGGCCAAAGCCAAAGAGATGAGAGTCAGAAGAGAGGCGGAAGCGAAAGATTTCATTGTGATGGAAGTTTTAGTAGAAAATTTTGCTTCAGAAGAAAGGTTGTGGGAACACTTGAGTCTGGTAAGCCTTTTGAGACTTGGAGAGTAGTTGAATTGATGAGCTTGGAGTTGTAGAGTCAGTCTATGAGATACCGAGGGGGTTTATATACTCGATTTTCAACGCTTTTGGGAGCTATGATAGCATTCATCCACGGTTGCCTCGCCACCGTTCGCGAGACACTACATTGCTATCTCGTATAGTTCGGCGATTGGTGACCGGGAATAGAAACGTGATGATAGAACTTTCCTGCAAGTTTTTTGAAACCGGAGCAATCGCAGGCCAGGTGCGGCGGGGAAATTCACACGGCAAAGTGAGACAATCCCCTCATCTGATGATTGGATTTGGCTCTTGAGGCCGGCGGAGATCGATGCGGGGATACAGTCACTGGGGAGATTTTCCGCCTCCGGGCCAGTCAGATGATGCCGGGTTAGACCCCGGTTGAGACATACATATACTAGGGTATAGCTTTAGGCGTCCGCTGTGGCTTCGTCTGTCCCGATGCGGGATGACGCGGACGATCAGTCAGTTGGTCCCCTCTATCCATAGGTTGCATTGACGTGTGATGTTGTCAGTCATGCAACAAGTCAAAAGAAAACGAGCAATGCTCTTCGGCATCTTCGGGTGCATGGGGACTCCGAGTGTCGCACATGGTGAGATGCCAATTTCATTCTTTGTCCACTGATGTCACGTTGTGGTCATGTTGTTGACGCCCTCAAGCGGTGAGTTCTCATTCATATTGAATTCACCTGTCATTCATCAGTTGGTGCCAAGAAAAGTTGCCGGAAATAGCACCACCCACCGAATTTATCGAGAAATGCAGCATATTTCAATATATTGAATATATCTCCATAGCTAATTATATCCTCAATCGTATCTGTGTGTCTCACACAGGCAGACCTGGGACGCCTGAAATCTGCAGCAAGAAATTAATCATACCGTTCAAGGTCCACTGGGAGCCTTACATTACCTAGGAATTAATAGTCAAGCAACACAACACGACAAACCTAATGAGCTTTCATTTTAAGGGAGAAGGTAAGATGAGGCTGTGGTACCACAATGTTCTTATAGGAAATAAAACGGGGGGCCTGGGCAATTGTTGTTGAAAAATAAATACTCTAACGAGATATGTCATCAGTTTTTTTTTTCTGCGCTGGTCTATCAACATTGCAGGTCGCATTGGACATGTCGTCCACAAGTCCAGAACTGTAACTTTGCGTAATCCGGGCAATGGATATTTTTTTCCCGCTAAAGGATTGGAGGAGACCAACAAAAGGAAGTTCAAGAAGTGTTCCTATATGTTTCTCTTAATTGACATTGATCATTGCCATTTAGTCATTGGCTGTCCTGTTCCTGCTTTAGGATACGGCAAAATGCGATTTTCTGGGGTTCAAACGACCATGGTTCGCGCTCAGGGACTCTGTTCTATAGAGACCCAATGGTTCTTACCTTAACAGCGAACCATGGTTTGAGAGACTCGGGATGTGATTGAAAAGTATCATCGCCCTAATTGCCGTTACATTTTATTTGAGCTCTCGAAACCCGGATTGGTAGATGCAGGGCCCCTGAAGATCGTTCGACATCGCGGACAACATTCGATCAGCGACAATACTTCCCATCTAAGCTCGAAAGGCGGAAGTTAAAATCCATGCTGTGGCCATGCTCTAGTTATCACGAGGGCAGGGCATGGAAGGAAGGGCAGGTGGAGGTTCGGAGTACTGCCTTTAGTCACTATAGCAAGACTTATCCGTATCTGGAAAAGGGACAAGGCAGGTGACAGGGAGCCGCCTCAGGCTACTGGTCTTAATAAGTCAGGTCATTTCATGCTATCGACCCTTCCTGAACACTTTCCCTCTTTCTTGTTGTCATTTGTGAGAACTAAGAGACATTCACTCAAATTACCCGAGACCCTCGGTCCCTCTGCGATTATATCCGGGGCATTGACCAGCTTTGCCCATTTTGAGAAGGTTCAATTTTAAATTGCTAATGACTTTTGCCAAGTTTTCTAGTAGTGAAGTTCTCGATTGCGGTTGACTGCCAATCCCTACCCTCTCTACGGAGAGTATCTTTGTCTGTGGGTCGAATCGAGCTCATTAGTTGGACTCGCACTAGCTTCTTAATGATCGGGATCCATCAGACTGGGTGCCCTGCTGGTAGAAGTTCCGTCAGTATCGCTCCCAAAAGAGCGCAAGAGCTATTTCGAATCGGAATCTCTGAATCGCCTTGTGAGTATAATGACTGCACTGGCTTTTCTTACAACTTGCCGGCACGATACCTTCCACATAATTAATAGTGAATAGGTGAATCGTGACTCCAAAGAGACTTTACGAAATGTAGTACCCACATGGGCTAACGGATTTTCACGAGGATACCACTCCCGAGTACGTGCTTTGTCATACGGTCATTAAATTTATCATCTGGCGCTGGTCTTTCTGCGGCGGTAGTTGGTTCCTAGAGCCCCTACAACCCACCAAGATCATCCTGATCCAAACCATTGGGAATGCCGATCATGTCCGGAACTATTTGCCCACTTTCTCGGCCACAATATCAAGTAGTTTGGCTAGTAGGGATGAGGGGGGCTATGTTGGCCCCGACGGTGGATCTTCATCTGGCATGTCGTGTAAAACTACGTACATCCGACTTATCCTCGCACTATGCCATTATGGGTTGTTCGTCGGTGTGTACCAAACGATGGCCAATTCTGGAACCATGAAGTGCCCCATATATCTAGCGACCTGGAGCCCCTTCTAAGTAAAGCTTGGGGTAGAAAAGCTTTTCATGAGGAGCTTAGCTGGGATAGCAGGATTTCCAAATTATGGACCAGGAACCGTGCCAAAACCTCGATGCTAAACGGTTATATAACTTCGTCTTCTCCTACAGACTTGGAACTCCGGGAATCCCTGATCCAGACATTCCGTTGCAAGAGATGAACAATGCTAGCCCTCATTCGCATGCTACACCTTCTAAATAGTGAGGATACTCACTATACTCAACTCACCAGACGACAAGATGCTACGGAGCAGCCTGTCGAAGGCGGGCATAAAGCAGGATTTATTGCCATGGGCATTATCGCACTTTGTTCATTTACTGCCTCATTTTGCCTACTCAGTTTCCTCACCTACCGTTTTATCTTCTGGCGGCGCTACTATAAACATCCCCTTGCCGCCAATCAGTACGTCGTTCTGATTTACAATCTTCTTCTGGTCGATATACAACAAGCGACTGCCTTCTTACTATGCCTTCATTGGGTCTCACGTGGATATGTATACTATCCAAGTGCTGCCTGCGTCCTTCAAGGCTGGTGGATCCAGACCGGTGATCCTGGCAGTGGGTTGTTTATTTTGGCGATTGCGATGCACACTGGCGCAGTCGTGCTGAGGGGGCGCCAACTCCCACACAGGACTTTTGTGTCCTGTGTCATAGGACTCTGGGTCTTCATCATTGTGCTAGGTTTGGTTCCTGTTGGGCTATTTGGCTCCAAAACTTTCGTTATCTCCGAGGCCGGCTGGGTAAGTTAGCTCATTTAACACAATCAAGAACGAAAAAGTACTTACCCCCATTCGTTCAGTGCTGGATTGGCCCAGAACATGAAATAGAACGTCTCTGGGCTCATTATCTGTGGATTTTCCTTGCTGAATTCGGAACCATCGTCCTCTATGGCATGTTATTCTTCCACCTGCGGCGCCGTATGAACCAGGCAGCGATGCTCCGTCAAGGGCACCAAGAAAGTTTGAAGCGACTAAACCGTGTCGTCATTTACATGGTTATTTATCCACTCGTATATCTGGTCCTATCTCTCCCGCTAGCAGCAGGCCGCATGTCGACAGCCAGACACATTGTTCCCAGTAGGGAGTACTTTGCCGTGGCCGGGTCCCTAATGGCGTTGTCGGGGCTGGTAGACGTGACTGTGTACACGTTGACCCGCCGGCACTTGCTATTAGATACGGAGGTCAGCACATCAGACAAGATGTATGCATACTCGAACTCGAACGCGTATCAGACACATATTACAACTGCTACGAGAGAGACCAAGAAGATGCGTGTGGGGTCTCGTCTACGCCGAGGACTGCACGACACACTCAACGACGGTGACTCCACTGAAGACCTTCGCAAGGGCGACATGGAAATGGCCGACCTAGGTCATGGAGTGTACCAGGAAACGACCATCGAGATCTCGCACGAGCCAGCAGACCCAAACGAATTTCACGGACACAAAAGAAATAGTAGATGATGTGTGCATGAATTTTTTCACCTCCGTACCCGCCTTTTTTTTAATTTTAATTTTTTTTTATTTTCATTTCAATTTCTTTTGTTTTTTTAAAAAATATATCTTTCTCCGCCCTGTCCCTCTTTTAATTTGTTTTTCTCTGGCCTCTTTCACCTTTTTCTTTTAACCATTATCTTCCCTTATCTTCCGATACTCTCCTTTTTGTTGCTTTTCTATTCTAAATTACCCCTTGATGACTATATAATTAGTTCTAATGATACTATTGGTGATACCCCAGCTTGGTTCCTCCCCTTTTCAATCACGTAGCTAACAGTACGTATCTGTCATATTATGTTCAGTACCGGACCGAATCATCGGCAAACGTTCCCATCGCACATCCGGCATAACGATCTGCGGTACCATACTCCACTTTGGGAAAAGCTTGTGCTTCCGTATTGGGTCCACAGTGTCGGATCGCACCCGACACATGGACTCTGCAAAAGGGGTCTTTATTAGTCTAGTGCCTCGTAATTAAGGATACCATTATCCCGTACCAAGCGAAGCTTCTTGGAGCACGAATTAAAATTCACGCAAATGACATACATCGCCGCGGAGAAAGCGAGGTACGGGTCCAACTCCACTATTACTAGTTTAGCTGATCGATCAACATGGATTTGTGAATGATCTTTTTATGACCTTCCCCAACGGAGTAATTCCTTTTCCTGGACGGAACCGGCAGTTCTTCGTATCGGCATTGGTTCTGTAGGGATCAATCATTACGGAGTAACTGTCCCTTGTATATACCCCGGCTACCTACAATACTACTAGTAGCAGCACGTGCTCTGTACCTCGAAGTTAATGAGTACCTATCAATAGAGTGCAAATACAACCCTGGACACTATGCAACCATGTTCAATATAACCTTCAATCTCTCCCTTACCCCGAAAGTTGAAAAGTTAGACGAAGCCCGAGAATGTCGATCAAGTTAGTATCAACCATCTAGATACTATATCTCTGATCGAACTAGTATTTCCTTTCTCCAAAGCCGATCGACGTTCTCTTCCACGAAAACTAAAAGGTATATGCTCCAAATCCCCAGTAGCTTTCACCAAGTAGAATCTTCTGAAACTACGACGCACTCCGTAGTTAACCATCCTCCCCCTTTTCCACCTATCTCCAATTTAAGGCCCCCACAGAATTAGCCTAGGTTACGGGGCATCTTACGGAATAACCCGCAATATCCAATACTAAACAATCGGCATCCCTCACTACGGGTAGTGTCTAGACTCTAACTACTAATACTAGTGGGTAATTCATCTTGAGAGCAGAGAGATAGAATTTTCGAACCACAAAGAATAAACGACTAATGATGCATGAAACCTAAAGAACCCCTCCATACAATTGAAGCAAGCCGGGTTTGGAAAACAACGCTCGTATTAGATGGGGCTCAGCTTAGACTTTTGGATCTTCTCCCTAACCTATCTAATAAAGAAAAGACGTATTGATAGGAATTAATATTTCGCTAGTTGATTGGTGAGCGTTTTTGTTAAAAAAGAAATAATAAAAAAAAAAGAGAATTCTATTGGCGTGTCGATGTATTTACCTAATAGTTCGTAGAATTTTCTTTTTGGCCTTCGACTTGCAGTGCCTCCCTGGCCTCGGGCGGTTCGAGGGAGATGTTCAAATGCCCTAACTTGTTCTTGCTTTTATTGCTTTGTACTACTGTATGGGCGCAGATATGATTACGGGTCACAAGATGTACGTTATATCTGTCAGTCATCATTAGGAGTTGATGCCCTTTCCCTAAACCCAACAAATATAAATAAATATACTCCACTGCAACGTTAGAGCTTGCCGGCTGTTGTTCCTCTTGAAGCATTCAATTTTTTCCTGCCTGTTTGAGGAAGTTTGCTCGCTTGATCCTGAAAATAGTATGCCTCGGTTCTTATTTGCCAGTCGTTGCCGAACCGCATAACGATCTGCAAATAGGGCCACTATCATTCCGAGGTAGCACTAGTACTCTTCCCTACTGAAATGTGACGAGCCACTTATTAATTCAACAAAGAAGAACAATCGAATGGTATAGTTTGGTTTCTCAGAAAGAATGGCAGCGGCAGCTAGGGCCATTATATAAGGCCTTATTTGGACGCGCTCCTAAGCAACCAGGTCGTGCTCAGATACCCGGGTGCCTGAGGATTACTTGATAGGGCTAGCGGCAGAGCGGCAGAGAACTCTCCGGGCCAGGCAGGGGACAGCACTTTTCTTTGACGGTTGAGCGGTTAGTGCGCTACTTACACGTACATACGTACATATTCTGAAAGTCGTCGCTGTATACTATAGCTATATAAATCTTTTTTCTCTCCTTATTTTATTTATTTATTTCCAACTTTCTAGAAGCCAATATTTCAGACGTGTTGAATCCAAAGGATCGAACTCCTTGTGACTACGGGTCGCACTAACAATATTCCCAGTGGTGCTTACATTTCCCCATTTTCCATCATCCAACAGATTTAGTCATGTTCACAGTCAATTAGTGTCGTATTCATTCATTCGTATACTCCTATTCAACGACAAGACTCACTCATCCGGTAACATTTAATAATAAATACTAGTCTTCTGTGTGAAGGACACCAGCTTGTGGTCTTTGAATGCATACATTCTTCGCGATAGTACCTCAATCAACATGGGCCGGGTAGGGAGTCGCCAGCAACCCGGCTCCGCGTGTGACGAGTGTCGCAAGAGAAAACTCCGTTGTGACCGGCAGCGCCCACAGTGCGGCACATGCGCCAGCGTGGGGATTCAATGCCAAGTGAATGACCGCCGAAGACCTCGACGTCCCCGCAAGGGCTCGGATGTCCTGCGGAAACGCATCTGTAAGTAGCCAGTCCAGTCTCTGCCTACGAACCCGGCTGCTGATCGCCGTGTGGTTCCCCAGGTGCACTGGAACACTTGCTCTCCAACCCGCCTGCGACGACCTTACCGGTCAAAGCGCAGGAAATCGACGGGATGGATGAGCTTCCAGTGCATAGGGGAAGTACGGCAACGGAAGATGATCCACAGCCACCTTTACCACAACTTCCAAATGATTTCAAACAAAATGCCCAGGTTGACCGGTCATGCCAGACCGAAGTATTTCCTGCCTTCTCGTCAGGGCCATTTTCACCGTCTGCGGTCACGGTGTTAACAGACCTAATGAAGCGAGACTTGTGAGCCGACTCCACCCCCTTTCTTTAAGTAAAGCGAGACAGACATAGAGAGAGGTGAGGATGAGAGGGGATTGAAAAAAAAAAAAAAAAAAGAAAAGAAAAGAAAAAGAAGTTTTCTTTTCCCTCCTAGATTAATCTAAAGCTAATTCGTGTCCGATCCTCCAGGGTTCAACTGTACTTCGACCGGGTCCATCCGGTCGTGCCGATCCTCAATCAGGCAAAGACCTGTGCGTGGAGTCTGGACCCGTACTCCTTGAGCCAGTATCAGCTATGCTTGCAACATGCCATGTGGACAGTTTCAATGGCGCAGTCTGCTCAGTACGACCATATCCGAGACAGGCTATATAGTGAGACCCGAGCAATGCTCAATGCACTGGACCTCGAGGATAGTGCCATGGGGGTCTGTCAAATTGAGCAAGTTCAGGCTTGGCTCTTATTAACCTTCTACGAGTTTTCTCGAACTAACTATCGCCGTGGTTGGATCACCGCTGGTCGGGCGTTCCGCCTCGTCCAGCTACTGCAGTTGTATGATCTCGACAATCCGAACACGGCCAAGATTGGCCCTGGGGAGGACTTCGTTGAACTAGAAGAGAGGAGGCGGACCTTCTGGGTGGCCTACTGCCTAGATCGCTTTGTTAGTATCGGCAACGGATCGCCGTTGACGTTGAACGAAGAAGTTGTGAGTCCCGGCATTAAATCAAGCACTGCCAGCAAAGAAACCCTCCCCCAATGCAGGTTTCTGACATCCCATGGACAGATATGCACTCGCCTTCCATGCCGGGAAGTAGGATTTCAGAGCGGTACTCCCAGACCTGAATGCTTCCTATCCGAGGCCATAGCGTGTAACGAATACCTGTCGCTCTCCCCCCTGGCGGAATGTACCATCTTGGTTACAATTGCCGGGCGTGCACTGACCCATCATCGCGTGTCAGCGGTGGAGAGCGTGTACGGCAACATGCCGCAGGATTTCTGGGCCCGACATGAATGGCTCTATAGTATGATAAGCAGGCGGATCAAGAATCTCGCCATTGACTATCCATCGATCCCCATGATCATCGATCCCATGGCCATGTTCACTTGTATGGCTTCTCAAGCATCAGTCATTTATTTGTGCATTATCATGGAGTCCCTTGCAAAGGACGAAGCCTCCCGTGCGAGGATGGTCCCGTACCAGGAGCGTGCATTTCATGCCGCACAGGAGATTGCCCGGTTAGGCCGGGAGCACGAACGTCTGGGCTACTTTAAAACACACTTTTTTATGCCCCTAGCCATTTCCCTGGGTGCTAAATGGCTTGGACTGCACACTGATTTCCGGATAGAGCACCCAGAGAGACCTCTAATAGAACCAACTGAGGTGTCGTTGCAGGCCTTGCTCGGAATCCTGCGGAGAATGGGGGAAATGAACAATCTAGCCACATACCAGTTGAGTGTCCTGAAAGGGCTTGGTATAAAAATTTGAATACGCCACAGTACTTTCGAAATAATCTCGGATGTTGTCACCCCGAAAGCCGCGATGACCTGTTCTCGAGACATGTTTTCGTGAATTGAAAACACCAACAGCCCGTAGGTGTCACACCTCAACAACGGCAAAACTTCCTGAGCACATTTTGATACTGTTCACTCCCCAACTGTCCTTCTGCGGAAGGCTTGGTGATTTTGTCACTCTTCCAGCCCTAACTCGGTTGTATGAAGAGCATTGGCATCTGACAAGTCTTGTGTCTTTCGACGGGAGAAGGGCATTGTGCATACTTATATGAGCACCTTTCCGCTAGTGACTATCCACGGTCAAGGTTTGATTCGGTTCCCACACCCTTCGCGGACTGAACAAAGGCTCCGAAGTCCTCACATATCACATCATACGCGGAGTACCATTACCCTAGATAGCATCCATGCTAGAGATCCCTACATGTACCAACTGACTGGGCAAGCTCCCATTCGGTAGATCCAAGTTGAGCCCCGGAGTTGGCGCAGTCCAGACAACTCCGACATCAACCCTTGATCAACTCTGAAGAGCCACACGACTCGGAAATAATCTATCTCCGCCAACGATACCATATTGTGATGTTAGACAGGTGTATCTGATGCGTCATATTTTCTTTGTCTGTAGAGCCTGTCAACGAATCATATCTAATTCGTTCATATATCCATGCGCTATCAACATGATGAGTAAGTCGTATCATGGTGTCCGCCATGGGCTCTTCTAGCCACGTACCCTCACAAGCTCTCCATTCACCATTATACCGCGGTTGTATCTACCCCTAAGCCAAAGCGTTATTACATAAAATGTGCAATGCACGCTATCCATTCCAAGAGCAACCAGAATGGACACTCTCGAGGCGATCCGGGCTTCGAATCGACGGTTAGATTCGGCCCTACCTGCTAGACTCATAGCCGTCTTCGTTGGTGTAACAAGCCGCATTGGCGAGGCATCGATGAAGCAGCTAGCGAAGCATGCCAATGCAGCTTGTGCCAATGCACCGCATATAATTTTTTTGGGTCGCAAAACGGCATGAGCTGACCACATCAAAACGGAGCCCAAGACACTAAACTTGCAGGGGCACCCGCATCTTTTTGTGAGAAGCGTGGACAAACCGTGTCAGGAGATCAGATTAAAGAGATATCCATCAACTTAACGCTCTTACGCGTTGGCACTCATCACTGGCACAGGTAAGAACGGAACAATATAACTGATTTCTTTCATTGAGCCAAAGACCGCTGATGCTATGTAGGGACCAAGGAGGGCCTTCATTACTTCGCAGCATCGACATACTACTCCCGGCTTCACCCCGTCGTGAATCCCGAGACCTCTTGCCTAAAGGGCACCTGTGCTTTAACCGGCTCATGACCATGTTCGCCGGGGGCAAGGAACGTTCCAACTCACAGACGACCTTCCCAGTTGGAAGGTTTCCGGCCAAGGGACTATCCTAAGCCATCGGCCCGCTCCTATATGTACTCCAATCGAAGAGATTGGGGAGGAAGCTTTTCGACCCGCGTACGGTTTACACTGGCTTCTGGTGATGCTAAGGCCGTTCCCCCGGCTGAGCGATCTGATACCGTAGATGGAAAAGTGACCAGTGGTGTATACCTAGTCCACATAAATGGAGAGGCCAAGGTGCACGAGGCCCTGTCGTGATATATATGCAAATGTGCAAATGCTGCATTTGAAACGCCTGAATTGACCCTGCATGTTATACATGTCATGTGATGAATATCAGTGGTTTCTTCTTATAGGATATAGTTGTCAAGAAGACCACACAGTATACCTCTTCCCACAGCAATCACACATTTATGAAGCAGAACTGCATTTTTTATATGTCGAAACCTTCATACACGATTGGAATCATTTCGCCCATAAAAAGCCCGAACCAACATAAATACTTCAAACAAAAGGAAGCAACTGCCAAAAGGCAAAGGAGAAATAGATACGGAGTAACACGCAGGTGCGGAGCCTAAACCATACCCGAGTAAGAATGATCCAGTTCGACACGATGCAAAAGAACCTGCAACTCTCAAAGTAGTTAATTCTATATATTACTCGTCCGTCACCTCCTCGACTCGAGGGGCCAGATCACGTTTCACAGCACCCGAAGTATCCGGGGCCTGTGTTGCTGTTGTGGTTGCTGACGGGGTAGAGTCGGCTGGTTGAGAAGCTGGGGCCTCCATGGACTTGGATGCGTCGGCTGAAGTCTTCTTGGACTTCTTCTTTTTCTTGCCCTATGGGAAGTGTGTTAGAGGGGGGAACAGAATCAGTTCGGGATGAAAGACATACCTCTTGCCAACCCCACAAGGGCTTGAAACTATCAAAGAAACCAACATCCTCGAACAAGTTCGGGAATAACCAGAGACCCGGGGGAACCACAAAGACGGTGACACAGAACAGAATGAGACGGAAGATGGACATGGCGAAGAACAATCCCAGTAGACCCATCATACCGACACTCAGATACCAGACGCCCTGTCTCAGCATCATGGGCCACAATGGGAAGAGAACAACGGCAAAGATACCAGCCACCACGGCGGCGGCCATAGCCTTCTGTTTCCATTGGGGGCCCTCGTACAGCCACACGTAGTGCATCATAGGGTCTGTTTCCTGGTGTTGCTCGATCTTGACGGTCCACAGTCCCTTGACTCGGTTCTTGGGCTTCGCGTGATTATGACCTGCATGGGGATCGACTTTGGACACTCGCAAGGCAAGGAGCGACAGAGGAAGGAGCTTGAAGACGTTCTCCGCAGAGGCACGGTCCGTTACCGGGGGGAGAAGGGAATTTTTCTTTGCGGCTGCTTTAGCATACGCGGGCGATTCGAGGGCGCGAATAGCACGTTTCACTGTATAACCGGTTAGCCATGATGCGCACAGCTCGCCCAGGAGTTCATGAAGTAGGCACCTTTGAACATGTCCTTTCTTTGTCCGTCCATGATACATGTTCTCGGCTTCAGGTTCTGGGAGCGCAAGAACTGCGCAACCGCGATGGCCTTCGGATCCGGGGGATTCGACGGGTTCACAGGAACCTGATGCGTGGTCTGTTGGGGTTGCGATTGTTGCGGTGCCTGCTGGCCTTCTTCTCCGGGCTGTCCTGGCTGTGGAGATCCTTGACCCTGTCGTTGGGCCTCCTGCCTCTGGTGGGCAGCGAGAGCTCGCATTCTCAGTTGGGTAACGTATTGTTCGGTGGTCATGCCGTGCTTCTGAGCCTCAGCGTTCAGCTGTTCGCGCTGCTGTTTAGCAAATTCCTCCGGCGTCATGCCACGCCTTGCGGCCTCAGCAGCAAACTGTTGCTGCATGGCGGCCATCTGCTGGGGAGACGGCTGGCCGGGCGCCGCCATTTTAAGTAATGTGGAGGACGGGGATTGAGCCGGAGTAGTTTAATAAGATTACGGGCGAAGTTTCTAGTAGGAGACTCGAGAGTCTGCCTCCAGCTAGGAAGAGAAAAAAAAAGGTTCTAAAGAGGGTGAGGGAAATAACACGATAATATGACGGGGAAGGGAAGCTGAAAGTCGAAAGTCACGCTGAAGTGGCCAGATAACTGCTCTCAAAAGGGTAAAGCCACAAAGAACGTTTCCTACCGCCTTCTCCGCAGAAATTCGTTATCAGCTTATCCTTTCAACTTAACAAAACTCCCCTTTACTCTCTCCCTTCCTCCCTCTCTTATGGCGACGACCCTTTCAAACCATGTCTATCCCCACTATCCCTTAAATATCTCCGTCGCTCCATGTCATTAAGCTTCAATCCGGATCAGTCATCCCTCATCAATACGAAATGGGAAACTGTTTTTCTGGTAAGTCACCATCCCACTTCCTGGGAAGTATACCGAGGAATGATAAAAATAAAATAAAAGAAAAGAAAAAAAATAAAAATCAACCGGTTTGGACTAAAGATCATATATTAGAGTGAGAGAGATGTCGCCGGCCAGATTCCAATCAATTTTATCACAAGAGCCGGTGTATCCGTAACAGCGGCATGCTTTGGCAACAGTGTATTCGAGACGCAGTCCGCTGAAAAATGCATATCCAACCTGTTAGCATCTGGATATCGCCGCTTCCTAGTCGATCTGTACTGGTCCGTAGACTCGCGCGCATGGAGCTTTTGTCCAGTAGCCATCCCGAAGGACGAGCCTGTTGTTACCATTTCTACGACGCCATCAGTAGGACCAACGGCAACTACGAGCGCTGCTCGAAGTACTGTCACGGTCGGGTCCAACTCATCAGGATCGTCGGTCTATGAGCTGGGCCCCTATCGGTGTGCTAATGATCTGGATCTCTCGGGTCTGATCGATATTTTCCAGGATTACTACAAAGACACTACTTCCCAATTGAATGTATACATCATATACATAACGTTCAATCTGCATGTTGCCGCTAGTGCTGCAGCTCCGAATCAGCCTGCGTCAAAGGTGTCAGGTGACGACCTGCCAGCCTTTTCAGAACGTGTCGATACTTTGATGGATAACCGCCTCTTTCATTATATATACACTCCGTCGCAGCTGGCCAAGGAGCGCAGTAACCTAAACGAGTCTTGGTATGTAGTCGATGATGGGTACAAACCCATTACCGAGTACTTTACAATTAACAAGCTCTCGGATGGTACACAAAGTACCCCCGATGGGTGGCCCGGCACAAAATACGTGCAACTAGCAAAAGAGCGTCGTCTATTCCTCGAATATGGTTCCGTCGATCCGCAACTAGAAGACTACGACTTGACTACGGGTAAAAGCGAAGTCATCTTCCCACCGGGATATCTAACGTCCACAGTACCTGCGCCTTCGGGCGATACAAAAGGCTTGGATTATGGCTGCCTCTATGATGCAGGCGCTTCCCAGGTATCCCAAGTGAACTCCTCTTGGGCACTCTCAAATAGCCTCTCTGTTCCCAGAGGCATGAACGAGACATACGCTTTGTCTGAACTGTCAGACAGGGTTGTCAATCTAACCGCGTGTGGACTGACACCGATCCTCAACAGCACCCTGTTTAACAAGACTGCCGATGAAGCGGCCACACTATATAAGAATATATCTTTATCCTCTACATGGGCATGGGCAGAGGGAGAGCCTCAGGGCTCGGATGTGGGCGAAGGTATTGACTCGCCCCAACACGACCGATGCGCGGTCATGGACGTATCTGTAGGAGGCCACTGGCGCGTCACCAACTGTACGGATATACGGCGAGCAGCCTGCCGAGTCGGGAACCTACCGTATACCTGGACAATATCCAATACCGTCTATAGCTACAGCGATGCCTACTCATATGCCTGCCCAGAAAACACCACCATGGGAGTTCCGCGCACAGGCCTCGAGAATACCTATCTCTACCGGTACCTTCTAACCCAATCAAGCAACATTATCAATCCCGCATCACCCGACCCCGCGAAGCGCGAGATCTGGCTGGACTTCAATTCCCGGGACATCACATCTTGTTGGGCAACCGGTGGACCTGAGGCTTCATGTCCGTACGCCTCAGATCCAAAGCAGCTAGAAAAACGGACAGTTTTGGTATCCGCCATCGCAGCCATTGTGATTTGCATCATCACCGCGTTAACGCTCTTCGTCAAGTGTAACGCCAACCGGCGCAATTCTAGACGAGGAAAGAGGGTTATCCATGGGTGGGAGTATGAGGGTGTCCCTTCTTGATAAGGGATAGAATCTGGCGCGAACAAACAAGCGGCACGACTTCACAATCAAAAGCCGGTTTGATGACACGAAGCTCTATGTATCTGATACCCAATGTACCCCTATGATTGGCAATGTCTATCGATGAATATCTTCCCTAGTCTATACTGGTGATCTCTTTGGACACGTGTAAGCACCCATAGAATCTAACTGATTTATTTTTGATGGATAAACGAAAGTTGACTCCCAGAGCACTTTATTTGGAAAACGACAGCATCAATGGCGACCTGTGCCGCAGAACAAAACCTGGTATATAGATATATATAGGGACATGATATAGATAAATAGGTATAAGATGGTAAGCTTTAACACGAACGAGTTTAAATCATGTATAACCAATAAACCATGGACAGCGTGGGATATCCTGATTCGTGCATCGCTGTGAGGAATAAGAGAGAAAACCGTTTCGAGAATAACGGCATTATTACGATGATAGAAAGAATGGGTTAGAAAAGAAACAGACAAGGAAAGGAGAGGTGTCAGTAAAGCAATGGCCATGATGCTGTTTGATAATGAAAATCGGTCAATCGCTGATGCAGTATGATATGGTATGGTATAAAAGCTTTTTTGGTTAGACAGTGCCCGGCTATCAAAGCCAGCAAAGAAGGAAAGCATTCTTGCGTATGAATCAAGTGAATGAAAATTGTGGTATATAGTGGGAAAGAGGGGCATCCATATGCAATGAGTAGGGTTGGAAAACATAGCGGAAGTGGGACATCAGAAACTGGCAGTTCATATTCCATTGATAGTCCGTGGGTATCGAGAACCTAGACTTTGTGTTGCCGGGGGGAGAGGTGTATGAGCGGGACGAGGTGAGGAATTAGCCAGGCTTTTGCGACGCAGTCGACTGCATTTTGAGGGCGGGGGTGAGATGCACATCCGTGGGTCCGGAAATTGCTCAGCGATTTCAGGCAGTGGTGGATCAATTGGAGATGGTATCTTTGGCAAGGGGCAGTCGGGAGGAGGCAATGCGGGCGGCCCAACTGAAAGTCCGGGCATACTCTTGCGACGTAGCATGGGCCCAGCCGTAGGACGATTCGGAGCCGCTGTGGGGAAAACAGAAACTCTATGGCGTTGCTGCTCCCGACGAGACGTCAGATGACCTGTCTCGGGGGGTAATTGTGCGATCTGTGAATTGGTAGGCTCGTGTTCGATAATGCTAGGGGGGCGTGAGGATTGAGAGGCCGTTGATGCTGCTGCAACATTCTTTCCAATACGGGAAGCGTGCTGCAACCTGAGGTCCTGGGTCCTAGACTCCGCGAGCGAGTCCTCAGAATTGGATATGCGCAAAGACCTCCTCTGTAGGGAATCACGGAATGGTGCGACTTGTTCGTGCGATTCGCTCATTGCGACGCTACTGATGCTCTTGATTGGAGAATGCGGTGGGGATGGGAAGGAAGATATAGTATCAACCTCGTCTGTATGTCTGAGAGACGGAAACCGAGGAGCCATGTGCGGCATCTGGACCTGCCCCATCCTCGCTGTAAATCTCTTGCTGAAAGAGGGGACACTGAAGTTTGGAGCTGGCGGGGAAGCGCTTCGCAGAATGGGATCAGGGACCGTCGGCTGTGTCAGGCAATCATCCGAGGCCTCTGTAACTGTTGCCGTATTTGAAGTGTACACAGACTCTCGCTTCATTGGGCTCGAGAACGTTGGGCTTCTCGGCGGCCCATCCTGACCAGACAGGGCCGTTGAGATAACGCTACCATTTGGAGGTGAACTAAATCCATTGTCTTCCGGCTTTACTATCGCAGAGTAGAATCGCGGCTGGCCACTAACTGGCGAAGTCACCTCGGTTTGCGTCGTAGACAATGATTCGGAGCGTGATTCGGGAGTAGGCTGCGTAGCCAGTGACCGGCGTTTAAGCGAGATATACGAGCTTCGGCGAGATTGGTCACTAGATTCTTTATCATCGGCACCGAATGCTGGTTGAGGTTGCAGAAATGTTTGGGAGAATCGGTTCGGGTCCTTCTTGACCAACTGGCGAGTGCTAGGTCCAGACTCCAGCTGCTGCTCCGTGTCATCATCGACCGCTCTCTCCGAAACGTACTTTTTCCCTCCTCGCGCTTCAATCTGAGCCCTGACAGCCAACAGCCAGGAGCTCATCTCATCAGGAGAGTTGAATACTAGAAGAAGACTCCGGGTCAAACGCCGAGCGGGGGAACGGTGGAAACCAAAACGGGAGAACAAGTGCCGGTGAGTATCAGTTGAGGCAGCATTATTTTCATCCGTAACCTGGGAAATCTGCAAAACCCAGTGTTTGCCCGGAATCGCATCGCTCGCGAATGCCACAGATTTGGGACCTAGCTGCAACATCTTCTCCGGCGGTCGATCATACTTCCCGCTACCAGCGTACTGCAAGATGTAGCCGGTTGTGACCAGTATATAGATCTTTGGAGACCACTCAGACTTACCAATTGTCTCGGATAATGAGCGCATGTGCTTTTTCTTTTCCTTGTTCTCCTTTTTCCGAGTCTCTGCCTGAGCCGAATCATCCCTAACACTGCCTCTTTTCGCAGTAGATGTCGCCTGAAGTCGCAAGATCGAATCCGCAGACATGGCAGGGGCCAGAAGACTATCATGCTTAATCGCCTGGGGGTAGGCTTGGAAAAGCGGTGGAGGTTTCCAGCCGATTTCACCCGCAGCGGGCTTGTCCTCGCTGGTTTTCTGACGGGATTTTGAAGGCTTGGGCCGAGGAGGGTCCTCTATGGGCGATGTTACACCTGTCGGCGTTGAGAACGTTGTCTTCGGTGTAGCAAGCGTTGGCGAAAGAGGCGCGGCCGAGTTTGTGGTCGCCTGTGGCATGGAGTCCTGCGTCTCCTCAATTCCAGAGAGTTTGGAGTCAGTGCTTTCTTTATGAGGTAGCTTTTCCCGGCTGAAGATGCTGCGCAGGCCTGATTTAGATGTCTGTCGTTTGACTGGGGTCTGCAATGGAACACGCTCTCCTGCCTCGCCGTCATTCTGATACTCCTCCGGTCGTGGCCGATTGGGACGAGTAGCAACAACAGGCGGTCGGGCATTTGGACGACTAAAGTTGGTTTGTAGCGGAGATAATATCTGGCCTCTGCGCTCGCTGACCGATGATTTAGGGGGATCGGCGTTCGCTGTCATTCTGCTGTCTCCAACTGACAGCTATATCCTTCGTAGTCCCTGATACTGGATGAATTGTGTGCAGATCAAGATGCGCAATGGTCCGCTTGCCATGCGCTCTAGACGCGACTTTACCACTATTGAGACAAAGCGACCTTAGTGAGAGATGAATGGCTGGCGCAAGCAGAGCGCCGTTGAGCGAACGACGAAACGAGAAGGAAGTGTGGTTCAAGATAGGTCTTCTTTCTCCACAAAAGATGGCGGGAAAGTTGGCATTGCAGTATCGTATGGACCCACGATGCCTACTAGACAGTGCATTGATCACCAATTGAGAACAACAAAAGAGATGCGGTATCAAATGGGAGTTGAACGATCAACCCCCGAGCAATAATGATCGTCTGACGGCCCGAAATCGTGTCGTGTATTAGATAAATGAGGGAAACCGAGTTGAGGGGTCGCTACAAATAAGTCAATGGCCTAATCAATTACTCTACCGAGCGGACAGAAGCCATGGTCCTCTCCAACAACCTGATTTGAGTAAGTGAGGTGAAACAAAAAAGACAAAATGAAAAAAGGCAAGACGGTGACAGGTTAAATGCGAGAAAGGAAGAGAGATATTGTCGAAGAAACAAGAAAAGCTCTGGATGGGCGATAAGAATCCAGCCGCAACGGAGTCATGACCAATTTTTTGTTATTTTTTTTTCTCTCTCTTTGTGTTAAAATTAAACCAAACGTACCAAATGCACACTAGTTTGTGGCTAAGGAAGCTGCTGCTGCCTTAGTCGCGGCGGTGATGCTGGCGATGAGCAGACCTGAAACCCACGATACTCACAAGCGAAACCCCAGGTGGAGAGAGGATGTGCTTCTGAGACAAGAGGGATTGCGAAGAAGCACAGATTCATCGCGATCTAGTTCAGCTCAGCAATGAGTCCAAGCCCAAAAAACCCCGTCAATGGCCATGACGAAACCCCGGTACTCCGTACGGAGTAAATATTCTCCCAACAAGCTGAAAGATGGGAATACCCCTGAAATCCAACCCCTCGAAGGTCTCCACTCTGGGTAACGGTTTTCCGCTGATTGGGCCGAGGCTGGTGGAAATGGGAATGGAATCATCGCTAGTTTAACGATAGTCAGCCATGATAATTCTTTTCAAGGGCGATCGCTGTCAGAGTAGGGTCGAATGTGGCGTACGTGTAGATCTCGACCGCGATGTCTTACCAATGGGTTTCAAATCGTCTTTTCCTTCGAGATTGTATTGAAGGGGGATTTCTTTTGTTGTTCTCGAGATTCGACATAATAAGCTTGGCTTTTTTTTTCTTTTTCCCTTTTTTTGTCTTTTTTTAACCTTAATTAGTCACAGGAAAGAATGACACGAGACCCTTTATGTTATGCACATCTTTTATGCCGGCTAAGGTTTGTGCGGCTGACTAATGCACCACTAGACCTAACTAGTTATGCTTATACTTGGACTAGGTAATAAATAGTACGTACTCCAAATTATATTATTTGACTTGAAGACAGAAAGCTATCTCAGTCGCAATATAAGTAAGCGTGTTATATCCACAGCGTGGGCCTCCATATTACTAATTATCCTATTGAACAAAAAATTGTCCCAAGTTATCTCAACCACTGTAATCTCTTCCATCTTTTTGGAGAACATTTCCGGACCAGCCTGCGAACCCTTAAAGAGAAGAACCTAACACAATCCAATACCCAAAGAATCAAACATTTATCTCTAAGCAGAAGCCCACGAAGCTATATATCTAAATCAGAATGCGATAGGGGATCATCATCCGAATAGACAAGATCGTCGTCTATGTAGGCCGGCTCGATATCTACCCTAAATCATAGCCGCGCACGTTAGTATATACTTCCACAGCTTAAGAGAACATGAACAACGAAGCACTTCCTACCCTTCAAAAGCCTAGCCAGAGCTCGTGAGCTGGCAAGTCTCTTTGCCTCTGGTAGGGTCTGTCACAAGCGGGTTGTTCTGCTTCCATCATCTCCGCGGGTGTCTCGATCCATGGCTGCAGATAGCATGAAATAGTCAGAGAAAATCCCCAGTTATTCGTAGACCAACATCGCACGGTAGCAAGGATTGCGTTTGCATACCTTGAAAACAGGCCAGTCTGAAAAGTGTAGGTACTTGGCCTCTGACAGAACCCTGTCAGGATCCCAAGACTCAAGCGAGCTCACCATATACACCGAAAGAGTCTTTTGACGGAACTCTCCGGTCAACAATTCATACGAACCGGTGAGGAAGAACGAGAGCGTTTCTCTTGTACAAGATATTCATAACCTCCATAGCGTATTCTGGTGGACCGCCTGCATCAATGTTCCTCAAGATGCGGTGAAATTCGAACTCAGAGGGTTGAACCAGCATAACTCGCGTGCATAGCTTGATATCGGAGGTGTTCAACCTGTACGCGCGGGGTATTGCGATAGGGTATGGAGGGAGTAGGAACAATTCGTCCATGTGCTACTCCATTGATAACCAAGAGATGAGACCGTTGGTTCTCTCTGCTGTATCCGTGTCGGCTGGAGATGCTAGAGAATGAGGTACCTAAAAGAGTATCGTATCAGAGCCTAGGCTAAGGACGCGGTCGTACTGTGTTTGATGGAATGCGAGGGGCTTCATGTAGCTGAATGCCCACGTCTTTAGAATATGGAGCAGCCTTAGATGTAAGTAGCTGATTCTCCTTTTTGACGGCCAACGAGGTAATATCAGGGTGAAGATCTGGGAAAGGGTAGCCACGGATAGTTACGTACCTTCGGTAGTATTTTGAATTCCATTTGCATCGGCATAAGCTTCACCTCGTATTCATCCAGGACTTTGCGGAGCGACCGACTCTGAGTGAAAGAACCAGTCACCGAGATTTCTTCTGAATACATCAACAATCTTCCAGCCTTGCTTTTCAAATGCATTAGCGCCTCGAATATCATAACAGAATTGCATAGATAGTCGGTTGACATTGCATATTGAACGCTGGCAAAGCGAGACCAGTCAATATTTTGGGTAGAAGAGGGATAGATGGCGTCCATGTGAGCATAGTAGCTGCTTATCGGGGTTTGAAAATGGCTCACAATAAGGACGGACCACATAGGAGGGTGAATAATCGTGAGATGCGCAATTGTTTGGTCTTGAGCCGAGTCTTAAACCCCATTGCTGGAACGAATCCTTATACGGCGCATAGAAAGACAACAACCGAAAGATTCAACATAGATGCCAAGGCCTGGGAGACAAATAGAGGAATGAGAAGCAATTAAAGAAAGTATAACACACTGCTTGCACTATGTGTACAGAGAAGGTTTCTGGGAGAAGGGCGTTGTCAGAGTCATCGGACAATGTCTACCAGAAGTGGATTTATACGCGGCCCATTTAATTGTCGCAGAGAGACTGGATCTCAACACTGATTTACTAAATTACATATTCCGAATGGATCCACGCTGTTTAACGTCGTGACCAAAACGACAGGTTCGCTACCCGACGCTTCCTCAACCTCTAAATGAATAAATATAGGGTGTTAGGTTTTGAAAGAAGTTATATAACATGAGAGTTAACATCATTAGTTCAACAACATATGAAAGGCTTAAATGAACGTTAATTCTCTTTTTTCAGACCGTTGAGGCTCCAATATTGGAATTTTAAAGCTACTAGTTATATCGGTCTCATAAAGAGGTCAACAGGGTGTCAGGATTCAACTCGTTAAGTTACGATTCAAGATTTTCTTTTATATAGAAGGCCTCACGCTTCCAGGACAAGAGCCACATATATCCGAGAAGGCTTGCTTTGCTCTAACGCTGCTTTGAAGGCACCATGCTATTTTAGGAGTAGATTTCAAACATTACATTTGCACTGACTAGAATAGACTCCGAGTTTGCTTCTTGGATTACACGGTTATTTTTCTAGATGTCGGACAGACCCAGCATCCATTTGTATTAACTATGAACAATGAATCCTGCAGATATGTTACTGGAACAGTCAATCTAGGTATTATTCATTGACACCGATTTGCATAGGATCAAGCGTCGTTTCAGGGAAACTACTGTGCTAGCAAGTGGTGGCCAATAACCCTTTGCCTGAATTAGGGCATCAATCAGATAAACGTACTTCATATAGTACAAAAGAATATGATCAGTCTACATAAATATTGTAGGTCTTACGTTATTAGTAGCTTTGGCCTTATCTTATAATCTCAATTGAAATTGTTAATACTATGCAGCTTAACGAGTATTTTATATACATCTGAAAACATATTATCACAACCATCATAATCACGACAAATTCCCGCCACTATTGAAAATATTCAAGAATAACTCATACTTTTACACTCGTTCATCTATAACTATATCTTTATTTCCCGAATACTACTATCTTCGCAATCATCACGTGCGCCAGCCTTAAAAGCGGCAAGTGCCATCTCCATCCCCAAGTACCACTCCGACCGGCAGAATAAATAAAGAGGACCAACAGCTAGCTCTCTATACAATTGTACGCCAGCTCATCACAAACCCCACCATAAACATGGACACCGTGTGCAGGGCAATGCAACGCCCCAGTCGAACGCTGACATTGCACCTCCGCCGATCGCTCCGCCAACATCACCACCGCTCTTTCGCCTCCGCATCCCCAATCCCGATCATCACTTCTTGTGCTCTCCGCTCCGAATCATCATCTCTCCACACATCCATCACCGCCAAAAACTCTCCTACATCGTCACAATACCTCCGGACCTTCTCGCACAGCTCTACAGCAATGGCTGCAACACCACAATTCGCAAAAGGCATGGACGCGAGCCAATTACAGCCCGAGTTGGATAAACTGTTAGAGCAGGAGTGGGTGCTGGATGAGGATGGAATGGGCGTGAAGAAGACTTATTATTTCAAGACCTATTTCAAGGCTGTGGTATGACCTCTTTCTTTCTCAGCCCCCTATTACTCCTCATTACCTTTGTATATTTGTCACACGTCCAAAGACTCACTAATGTAACCTATAGAGCTTTGTCAACGTCGTCGCATCGCAGAGCGCAACCAAGAGACACCACCCTACCATGACAGTCGTGAGTCCTCCCTCACTCAAGTCGCATTGCGAGAAATTTTAACAAATAAAACCTCAAATAGCGAATCGGGTCTGTCGATGTCCACTGGACCACGCATAACCCCCGCGGTCTCACCGATAAAGATCTCACGATGGCACAGCATTGCGACGAGGCGGCGGAGTTGATGGGCGCCGTGGATAAGGAAGGGGGGAATAAATGTGGCCCCTCTTCTTCTTCTCCTTTGCCTTCGCCTGGGTTGTATTAAATTATTATGTACATTATTTTGTATTTGTGTATAGGATTTCTTGTTTCGGTTCGGGGGTTATACAAGCCTGTAGTAGAGGACTAACTTAATAATGGCTGGTCTTACGGGGTGTGGTGTACCGGATGACCCCTCTGAAGAGTGGACGGAAACAATACTACCTACTACCCACCTTCATCCGGGCTCAACAGACAAATGATGCATTCAAGTCAAACTTCACCCGGTATTCACCGTCGATCACACGCCCACGCCAAAGAATCCAAGCCCCCAAGTCTAGACTCGTCAGCAACATTCAACAGAAACCTTGACCAAAAGAGCCCGATCGAGACCCAAGCTACAAGAATGCGCAAACGGATTTCAGATATATCAAGCCACCCAAGCCACCAGTGCCCGGATACATACATCCCATACAACCAGCATAGTACCGCCTTGGGTAGAAATCGATGAGGTCATAAGCCCGTCGATGCCCCAATCGGCAGGCAACAACCTTAATCTTATCTAAATATTTTCCGGTTTAGGTGGTAGGGTTTCATCCATGGCGTGGGACATGTATATGGTTATGGTTACATGGGGGAACAGGGAATAAGGTTCCGAGATGGATTGAATCCGGGGTCCCGGTTATACCCACCCCCTCTGTACCTTGTTTCAGTGTAAGGGCCTAGATTGATAGCAAGCCACGTGAACTCAATTCGAGCAGTTTCTCGATCTGTCACTCTTAAGCTGCAGGTGAAACACCTCGGCGGACGCAATAGGTATAACATTGGAAAAGGGTGTCCCACCCCCACAGATCGGTACCAATATCCCTCGTCTCCATCGCCCCGCAGAAAGCACATGTGAGATGGACCCTTCTCATATCCCCTTAGCTGTCGTGGATATGGGTATCTACTACCTGCGGAGGGTCGCATCAATGGCATATCTAATGGTCAGTGGCGCTCCAAAGAGAGGAACAGTGTACCGAGTACATATCTGAGTTCTCGTTAAACTTCAGCGATACGATCTTTCGCAAGCAGCAATCTTCTTGAAGAACCATGTTTGGGAATCAAAAGTCAATACATACACAATAACAGAGCATGGAAACGCCAAACCAGAAGATTGAACATGAAATTAAAGCCCATTGACATGAAATCAGGCGCACGGTCGCTCGAACGCACACCATCAAGCTCCAACGCCCGTTTCCAAAAACAGAAGCCAACGTTTGTGATACCCTAACGTACATACATCTTCTCCTCTCCTGTAAGAAAAAGAGAAAAAGAAAATATCCCCAGGAATGTCAAAACAAAAAAAAAAATGTAGAAGCAAAAAGTAGAGAAACGAAGAGTAGACAGCAAGGTATTGAAAAAAATCTGCCGCTCGGCCGGGGAAAAGTGGGATTCACGGAATTAAGTGATGGTGTAAGTTTGTCATTGGCGGAAACCCATTCTTCATGCATCATTTTTTTTTTTTCTTTTTTCCCCCTCTCGTTACATCGTCATCATACAAACTCGACCAGCCCCAGGCCAATGTCGTAGACATGCTGTCTACCGAGAAAGGCTGTTCCGGCGCGAGTTGGCGCGCGAATTCACGCGGGAGTTGGCATGAGAGGCGGGGCGGGACCCAATATAGCTGCCCTGACGACTACCAAGCGTTTGACGAATGCGTAGGTTCTGCTGGGATCGGGCAAAGGAATTCGCTCGGGAACCAGACGGGATCTTCGAAAGCCGGCGGCCATGAGTTTGTAGTTCGACCCGGGCGTCGGACAATTGCTGGGCAAAAGGCGAACGCTTGCGCAAGGTTGGCCCATACCAATATATCACATATACGGCTGCCACGAGGACAAATGAAATGGCGAACAGGATCGTAGATGCGTACTCCAAGTGGTATTTTCCACCAATATCTAAGCCATCTAGGTTAGCGCGTGTCGTGGATCTAGCAACATCTTCACTTACTTGTGTAGAATGGGGTAGCGGGAATGGTAAGGACACCAGCAAGGAAATCTCTTGCCCAACCATTTCCACCCGTCGCGGAGGCTGAGTAGGGCCCGTAAGCGCAGACCATGTAGTCGATTGTAGCCATGTAGATGGCATAGTTCGCAATGCCGACAATCGCCGAGAAAACCATAGTGCCAATCCAGTGGCACTGAGGCAGGCTGGTCCATGCGAAGCCAATCAAACCAATGGGCAGACAAGGGGCGGTATACAACAGCCACCAGAGTCGGGATTCGTATTGAGTACGCTCGTCATCGGGCCTCATCCGCCGTTCGTAGATGTTTTTCCTGATGGCTGGAACGAAGGAAGCCCAGGCGATGAAATAACCAACGAGGATGGGAAGAAATGACAAGCCCAAAGCCACGGTGCTGAAGTGCCACTGCTTATACACGAGACCAAACGACTGAATGAACATGAAAATCAGGGCATCACTGAATCCACTCAGAAGGGATAAGCAGAGGACGATCGGCTCAGTCAAGAACATCTTGAACGGACGCACCCAGGTGATCAGAATTTCTTTCATGGAGAAGCGTTCGCGGTAGGGGATGAGCTCGTTGGGTCCATAAAGATTAGGGTTCTCGCCGCTCTCTCTCTTCTTCTTGGCAATTCGGTCCATTAAGATAGTTGTTCTGGTTTCCGGGACAAGGAAGAAATGGGCAACTTGGACGAATCCTCCAAAGATGAGCTGGATCCAGATGTTCCAGCGCCAGGGCAGGTATGCTTCAACAAATCCACCTACCACCGGCCCAAGGACCGAACCACCCACTGAAGAGAAGACCACACAGGCCACGGCGTATTGCTGGTCATCGGCTTCCCACAGATCTGCAATCATACCTAGAGTGACCGACCCCCCTGCAGAGCTTAGGCCACCTAGCGCACGGCCGACCATGATCGAGGCGAAGTTCGGGGCGATGGCAACGGGTAGCTGCCAGATATTGACAAGCAAGAGACTCGCTTGGAGAATCGGCTTTCTTCCCAGTTCCTCACTCCACGGCGCCCACAGTTCACAACCAAACGCATAGAGTACCAGGAAGATCATCGCTCCACAACGTGCAGCCTGCATGCTTACACCGAACTCCTCCGAAATTCCCGTAAGCGCATTTGAGTATAGACTGGTGTTAAAATTCATCGAAACCTGGACGAGAAAGATGACTGAGATAATCATCCATTTTCTCCAGCTTGGGAAAGAGTAGCCTAGCTGGTCGTAGCACTCCTCTTCTGTCAATTCGATTTTTTCCAAAGCGGTGTTCTCCAGCTGATGGAGAGTCGTTCCAGCAGCCGGGTCATTAGCCAAACCCAGTTGGGGTTTGCGCATGGCGGGCTCGGCCTCCTTTTCATTAGGGTCAAACACTCCATCGGCTTGAGTCGAGGAAGAAGCCTCCGACTCATGGAGCTTCTCGTCCCTGTTTACTGGGTTGTCTGAAGGAGCCATGCTTATTCCTGTACAAGATAGGGTTAGACGCAGAAGTTGTAAGGCAGGAAAGATGAATCCTTAGTGGAGGGGAGAAAAGGAAGTTGAGAGCAAAGGACGGAGGCCCAGTTGAAGAAGTACGGAAGTAGTGGGACTCACAGCGTTGGCAGCAACCGGATAGAGATTCTCCTAATACAGCAATAGGTAATAGGGAGGGTTGACCTGTTCAGAGAATGGGAAAGGGAAGGAAGTTGAGAGTGACCAGAGACGAAAGTGTATGAAAACGGAGAAGAGGAAGATAATTGAAGGAGGGAAAAAAGTGGGAAGAAGTGGGAGGACCGAAGAGGATATAGAAATAGAAATGGAAGAAAGAGAAATTAAATAATAAATAAAAAGACGAAGTAGTCAATTCGCAGGCCAATCAGGCAGTCACCCAGAAAGGGAAAGCACCAGGCCTGAGGAACCGATACTACCCCAAACTAAACATACAAAAGATTAAAGATGAATCGGTACCTCGCGCAGTTCCTTGCGAATTCTAATTTCTTCCTTTTTACTTCTTTGCCCTTTTAAATTTAATCAAACTCTGCCCCAGCCAATAGAAAGGATCCCAACTCACGAGGGAACTAAATGCTGATAGAAAAGAGAGAGAAGAATGAGGGCTTTTCCGCCCATTCTTCTCTATGTTCAGAAAATGAATATCTGCTGATTTTTCATAGCCCAAGTCCGTCTTTCACGGACCGCATAGATTATGCATCAAGGCAGACCCTACTTGGATCTGGTTGGCCCATGGTTACAGACGCAGACCGAATCAGGAAGACGGGCTGCATTCCACTTGGGACCCCAATGTCATCCACTTGCCACGCCGCCCAAAGTCTGTTGACCAGCTGCGAGATCTGAATTTCCCCCGGACATTGCACTAGTTGGAGGCGGATAGTCTCTCCTAGGCTCCTACATCATGGGCGCGGAGCGTGACTGGCGGCAAACGGCGATTATCCCCACGGGCATGGTAAAAACATCCCGCAACAGGGTTAAGTCAGGTTGGTGGTTTCGGCACCTCCACCATTACTGGAAGCGTTCTGGGCCGAGAGAGTAGAGGGATTGAGGAATGCCCGCTTCGGGAAAGTAGGAAAGGGCACGGGACTTGGGGGAGGTCCCACATCAGAATAGTTACTACTCCTACAACTTATGCACCTTATACGAACTGCAGCACTAAATCTTCGCAAATTTCTTCTTCTTTTTGTTTTTGCTTTGTGCTAATACAAAATAAAATGCCGCAGAAGTTTTAAATGGTTCCAGTGGGTTGTAATCAATGAGAGGTTAGGGTAGAGTTCGTCGTACCCGATGCAAGGAGATCGGCATCATCGCCCACGAGTTTTGCCTGACTTCCCGATGGCGGTCGGGAATTGACCGAGTCAGAGACTCTTAAACTGACCGGGATGATAATCTGTTCTGCCATTTCCTTTGCGATGAGCGAAGTGGATGGAATTATTCCTGGAAATAAAATAGGGTCCACTTCAGAATGGGGGGGACCCAGTTTTTTTCCCTCCTCTTCTTTTTTCCCTCTTTTTCTTGTCCCATGGGGATTTTCGGACTTTCGGGGTAACCGTGCGGTGACGTCAATCGCTACTCTCCGTACAACTTTTTTTTTACTCTCTTCTCGAGGAAAGTGATCAGCGTCCAGAGATTTGACAGAATAAAGAATATTTCGCCTTATGTGCGTAATATGTCAGCTCTTAGGGATGTGTCTTCTAGAATTCCATGTCGTAGCCTGTCGCGGAAGAGTTTTTCTCGCACTAGTCGCTTTGTTCACTTCGTGACAGTATGCCTGATTCGCTCTTATTCTTAAAATCATGTATGGTGGGGACAGTCCCCAGCAACCAACACAATCAGAGCGCGGATACAACATCAACCATCTTACGAAATGTAATTATGCCGTCAGTCATTACAGTGATAAAATCGCCATTGCCACAGAACTGTCATCACGTGAAGCAAAACCATACTTAAATCCTGTACAAGCGGTATCAACCGCCACATACGTCGGTCCGGATCCTACAAAGGAACCACTCTATAAACCGGAGTACATAGTGTATAATGCACATAGTACTCTAGAAAATTTCAGCTATTGCTCAGAGTCATCCTTCAATCCCATAAAAATCGCATGATCCATGATCGACGTCGGAGGATGTAGAAAAAAAATATACCCGTGCGGACATCTATTCGATATTCCCATTAGTAATGAGTGAGAACAAGCATAACCAGCCAAGGTTTACTAGTAACATGGGCGCCGCTTGACCCATGCTTGGCTGGAAACTACTCTTTTCCAAGTCAGCCAAGGCCGAAATCCATGGAAAAGACTACTCCCCTGTTGGGCAGGGCCGAAAGCAAAGTTTACGGGCTTTAATTAGTGACAAGAAAGTTACTTAGCGGTTTTCCCCTTGCTTCCTCATGTTCGTATAAAAATTCAACCCTCGATTTGCATTGTTGCCTCAAGTTTCCAGAATTCTCATGGAAGCAAAGAGCACGACATGGCAGGGGTGACATGGCGCTGAATCAGATGGAGTTATTGTTTGATGCACAGTAAGAAGGATTCTGGACTGTGATTCGTAGAAGGTTCATGCCGATACTACCAGTATTACTACTGATGGTTGTACTCGAAGTAACTTGAAATACATCACGTGGGGACACTTTCAGGCAGATTCAGACTGTCGACACATGATCGACGCTTTCAGTCGGCCGTTTTCAGGGATTTCATTGGCAGGCGTTCTATTCCTTGTCCCGGTAAGGCTAGACCCCAAATGGCGTCCCCGTTATCGTTCAGCCTCCTTGACCGCCTTCCGGATCAGTGCCCGCCGCCCTTCCAACTGCATCCAAACGGTGTTGTTTGCTTCTACTTGGTGATTGTTGACAATATCCCCGACTGACCACTCGACAATTTCCCCCGTTCTCAGACACGAACTCTGATCTCGAACATCAATCGTCTTCTTCAACTCGGTCGGTTTGGCGAGGATGTGTCCCGATATCAACTCTCTTCCTCCATCGCGTTCCTCTTCCGCCTCCCCGCGTCAAGCACGGAATCTCCCCACTTCTTCTGACGCCCAGCCGGCGGCGCTGCATTCGTCCGGGTTCTCCCCTGCACCGGCCACCATGAATAATAATAATAGTCACAACAATCAGCATCACGCCATAGACATCCCTCGTCGGCCATCCCGTAGTTCTCGTGCGGGCGTACCGGGGCCAGAACGACGCCGGTCCGCCGCCGGTGCCAACTTTAACCTGAATCATAACGAGCCGACTGGGGATCCCGCCCCGTCCGACCACCGCTCCTCTCTAGGCCATCATGGACTCCGGGCGTCGAGCCCGTCGAGCCTCGGAGGTAGCCCGATTATTGCGACCGGGGACCCGCATCACCAACGGGCCCCCTCGTTGGGGGAGCTGCATCAAGAATTGGAGCAGGAGCAAGAAGCCCAAGTGGTATGATCCAACTGTTACCGTATCCTTGCCATGGCGGCTACACTGCCACCCCCTGTCCGTGGATGTTCACTAATCTGGATTCCCGTCAGAATCGACTCTTGCATATGATCCGATCCCAACAAAACCAACTGCAGCAACTCCAGCAACAGCAGCAGGGTTCCCAGGGCACAGCTATCGAAGATTCGGACCGCGCCGCATTTCCTGCTCTCCCACCGGTCTCGGGTAGCGGCAGTCGAATGTCAGCTCAATTTCCCACGTCCCTATCTAGCCGCCGACCCTCACGGCCGTCGAGCCAGGCAACATCGCCTAGTCTCCGACCGCTGGCTGATGCACCCCGCGGGCCGGAGGGGCCAGAGTGGTTCGCGGGCACCAGTGAAAGCTCAGCACGACGAAGCAGTCGCGACGAAGGAGCATTCTACCAGGCCGAAGCCACAATGCTTGCGAGGGAGAATCAAATCCTACGGCAGCGCATCCGCGATTTAGGTGAGTGGTTTAATTTTTAGATTTTATTATCCCCCCTTAGCCTCGTCACGCATCCACCAGGAGCTGGCTAACCGAAAAACAAAGAACGCCAGGTGAGTGAGTTGACTACGATTTCGTCCGCTGGAGGTGTGCGGTCGGGCGAGATCAACGCACCACCTGCCACAGAAGGCGGCGAAACTGCTGATCGCCATGCGACTGCTGGGCTGGGATCGACCAGCGAACCCGCGGATAAGACCTGATTGGACGCATGCAAAAAGCCTGTACTCAAGAACGGAGTATTTCACGGTGTGCTTCTCCAGATTTCAGGTGATCAACACGGAATACATATGTACATTATTTTTTTTTTAAACACCGGAAAACCGCAGTTCAAGGTCATATGCACTGCCTCCTCTTGAGAGTTGGTTCCCACTCTGGTCGCATTTTGAGAGAGTCTCTATACGAACCGGCGATCCGAGCGCTGGCCTGCAGCCATCCCGCCGAATCTCAACAATAAGTCCTCAGGTACAATTTATGGCTTTAAAGCTCAAAAAGACCCCTACCTAGAGGCGTCGGCATTCGTGGTTCTAGGCCCTTAAGCCGAGACAAGTATTATCTTGTGCATATATTGGACGCCAAATATGGCCATGTCCGTTATGGAACTAAATTTTAATCGCACTTCCCTTTCTATTTTTGTTTTACATTGTTTACCCAAAGGAATTCAACGATTTATTGAGAGGCGTGACGATTACAAATTGGGCAAAAGCAGTAAAAAACATGCAGGGGAAAAAAGCAATAAAAATAAAATAAAATGTAAAAATAAATAGAAAAAATAAATAGAAAAAAAATCTCGCATCTCACCGAGCGAGTAAAACATGTATTTAGCTATTACTTTGGACAGAAAAATGGGTGATGGAGTGAAAGGGATGCTCATCAAGAAGTCGAGAGTAGTAGCTGTGTTTTCAGGAGATTTAGGTGTTTTTCTTGAGGGGAAAGAATGTAGATTTCTAAAGTGACAAATACTGAGGTTTCCATCATATAGATAAATTAACGTTAATTATAAAAGATCGCCTTTTAAAATGATTTCAGTGCTCAGGCGAAATGATTACGTTTTCTTTCCTACTCCCTACTCCGTAGTCCTGTCATACTCTACAGACTTCATTTCATGCACATCGGTCGGTCGTCAAGGAAAACCCTTAGTATTCCAGGGGCATTGTTCCCCATTATCGCGCTAATCATTATCGCCCAGGTTTATGCTCCATAGTGCCGAGGGACAGGTACCCTCTATATGGGAGTAGCACAGAGAGTTGAATCTATGGTAGGGTTGTAACCTGCAAAATATCACGGGGAAAGGATGTCTTATTTACAGCCTATTATCAGGTGAGGACTTTATGCCTCAGGGTATAGCTGAACACGATATATACCTAGGGTTTGGTCTATCATTCTTCGATTACATCCTCTCCAAACCCTAACATGACAAAAGGATGCCATTCCACCTAGAGAACACTTTCTCAATATGAACACTATATTATATAACAGCGGCATCACTCCTCCCTCTTAAATCCAATATCAAACTATTTCCTCCCTGGCAAAATCCCCTCCTTGACCAAGTCATCCAGCGCCCCCCTTAACTCCTCCCACGTATCAACCGCCTCCGTAAATCCATACCTCCTCGCCTTATTCATACTAATAACCACATCATAATTCCTCCCCAGCACGAAGTTCAAAAAGAACCACGTCGCCTTCTCAAATGCGTCCACCTGCAAGCCCTCCCTCTCGGCCACCTCGCCCCAAGCCCTCTTGACATCCTCCCGCTGCGCCCAACTCAGCAAATCCACATGCATCCGTACTTCCCCCCTCCCAACCCGATCCCGAATCCCCATCGCTCCAGCTTGCTCCAATAACGGCGGCCTCTCAATCAACGGAACGACCTTTTCGTCCTCATTGTCAAACTGCCTCTCCGGCACCCGGAGCCCAAAGTACTCTGCTAGAAGCGGCCACATCGTTTGCCAAGACTGCACATCCCCGTTGACAACATTGAACGCCTCATTCGAGCACCGCGGTTCCCGACTCGCCCACAGACAGAACCGGGCATGGTGCCGCGACGCCGTGAAGCTATCAAATCTCGTATAGAATGCCGGCGAGCCGGGAAAGACGAACGGCGCGCCCAGTTCCTTGGTGATGGTCGCATAGAGCCCGAGGGCGGTGGTCAGGTTCATGAAGTTTCCTACATACATCCATCACCCTTTTCCATCAGCTAGCTGTCTATAACATAATTCAACCAAGGACCCGATTACTGAAAGAGGGGGAGAGGGGAAAAGTGCGAACAAACGAACCCTTGACAACCCCAATAACATCATTTGGATACGTAACCACATAGTCCCACCCGCGTCCGCCCGTCCGCTCTTTACTCGACTGACTCCTCTCGGCCACGATACGCTGCTGTCGATAGTAGAAATTCGGAGGACGACCCTCGCCTTCGACCCAGGGGTCGTGCTCTTCTATGGGCTGTTTGACGGGTCCGAGGTGCACGCCGTAGTGCTTTGCGCCGGTTGTTAGGATCACCCGTTTGAGGAGCTTCTCGGCGCCTGTTAGGGTGAGGGCTTGGAGGAAGTTTTGGATCATGTTCCCTTTTGTTTTTTAAAAGTAATTGTTAGCTTTGGTGTAAGTTTTATATATCGCACTACTCAATCAAAAGAGGAGATATATATGGGGATTTGCATGAGGGGGAATACCATTAACCCTCTCCATCTCGCCCTCATCGTCCTTTTGTAAATAGGCCGTGAAGAACAGATACTCGCCCTCTATATTCTGGTCTTTCAATTGCTTCGCGAGGTCCTCCGGTGCGGCGAGGAGGTCGATCTTGTTGTGTACGATGTGCGATGGGTAGTGCTCTGCCTGGGAGCGCGAGAGGGCGTGCACGGTTTTCCAGGTGTCGGGGGAGGCATGGTGGATAATCTCGCGACCGAGGATGCCTGATTAGGTGTTGTTAATACAGTTATTCTTCTTTTTTGGGGGGAAGTTGGGTTTGTAAGGAATGGACATGGTTTATGTATGGATGGATGTGTGTACCAGTTGCGCCGGTCACGATGGCGGTGGGCATTGTGGTATGGAAAATTTGTGGAACTTGGGATTGTCGGTAAGTTATTTTTATGAGAACTGGTCTGTTTGGGTTGTTAGTTACTCTTGGAGCCGTTAGGTTGTTTTATATTGTCCAGTGTATAGCTATTGGGATGCAGGTGGAGTATGAAATCAACGTGATGTAATATTGTTGGATACTTGTTTACTGGGATTTTATATATAAAGATGTATCGATACTCTCTATCTCTATAAATTAGTCGTGTATACAGACAGTAATAAACTTGAGAAAATCCTATTATGAACAAGTCCAGGTTCCTCATACTTTTGATGATTCACGGCTGAGGCATTGCCTGATAGACTGTCTCTTGACGCTGTAGGCCTCCTACAGGTATTCTTCAGACGACTACACTTGATTAGCAATATTTCTCGCAAAACAGATCTCGTGGGAACCTCGCATTAAAGAAATTCTGTGATTTCCGGGTCGACCCTTAGGTTCCTCTGTAGTTGACGTGACTTTGCATATTCTCAGTATACGGGGTGGTGTACCCACTTAAATTAGAGTCGATATCTGCCTGCAAATACCCACAAATAGTCCCAAGCATCATAGAATTCATTGACCCTCCCGTCATGGCGAATCCCTTAGCCAGAGTGGTAAACTTTAGGTTTATTCGCTCCGCCAAGGCAACTTTAGTCAATACACCGGCGGAGTGAATCGGGTCTTGATACGGATATTCAGCCATGAAATTTAAGGTAGAGGGCCTATTGGGCTCAGTGGCTTGTACCTCCTGATACCGGGATATTACTGAGTCACTCAGCTTCCTATGTTTTGCAATTTTCCAATCCACTATGCACTCATTGCAATCTACGAGGTTGCTGAAAGCTCGATATGCCGCCGTTCCCTCTCGCCTAGATTGGGTAGAGTGTAGGATATAGCTCTAGCCAATGGAGTCGCGGTATTTGAATCGGGTGACTTGCATCTATTCTGCCGATGTCTCAATCGAGCGAAGCTGAGTCTGACTATCTTTGCCTTCTACAGTATCAAGCAGCATTAGGTATAGGTAACCTGAGCCTACGACCTTGGTATACTTTCTCTCTCTTCGTGTCTAGCTTTCTCTTTCCTTTCACCTCAGGGGTCAGTGACAATAGAAGGATTCAAGTAACAGACTTGAGCATTCCCTTGTCGGATCTAAATACGCCCAGTGAAGGATACTCGAATAACGGTGGCTGCCTTGGCCATACTCAACCTATAAATACCCCCACCTACCCAACCTTTCCTACTTCCTTTCCTCTCACCACCTCACTCATCTCTTACCCCATTTTCTTCTCAAAGTTTGTTCATGCTTCTGAATCCCCCTCGGAGCCTCATGCCTGAGCTCATACATAGCAATCTGGTATAGCATTCCTATCCAAAAAGGCTTCCTAAACCGGATAAGACATCCTTTCTCGCACACATAAGCCTGGCTTGATCTCCCACTCATGGACCTCCTCATTTCCCGAATCGTTAAGCCGCTCATACAGGCTGGCACCTCTTGCCGGGTAAGTCTGTTTGGGATTCTCGCGGGATTGTCGGGTCTTTAGACTGGTCTTTTCCCGTCTGACCGTCTTCGCGGCATGGGACGTGGACTACCTGCGAACCCTGCAGCCCCAATACCGGCCCCTTTTGCTGTTCCTTTGCTGCCTACTGGGACTCCCGGTGCCCTCTGCCTCCCCCTCCTCGGGGCTGTGTTCCCAGCCTTCCCAGTTCATGTGACAAACGCTGTTCACGCCAACAATCTTCTGGCTTCGACTCAGCTTGTTGAGGTTCCGGCAGACGTGTGGTTCACTCCCGTTCGCGCGCGAACTCCGTGGTGCTACCAGGCCTTCCACCCTGGACAAGTCGACCCCACCGCGAGCCTCTTCTGCCCAAACATGTCTACTGAATACCAAGATAACATTCTCGCCACGATCATTCAGGGGCTTCCTGGATCCGGCAAAACATCCTTCCTGGCCCTTCTACGCCTCATCTTCCTTCTACGGACTTCAACATTATATTCGGGACGGGGCCTAATTCACCAGGATGGTGACGCAGCTGCTGGAGCTGGCGTTGTGCTCATTAACTATCCGTGGAACCTCCAGCCAAAAGCCTTCTCAGTCAAGTACCATGTACAACGGACACGTCCGTTGACATATGAAGGCGTCTTTTGTCAAAAGACCGATGCGTTTGAACCATCCACCTTGCGCTCAAACTCACTGAGCAACGCCGGTTTAGGCCCTGCTTTGTGGAGTTTCTGAATTTGCGAGTCTACGATGGCGAATGCTTTTCTGCACCTGGCTCATCCTTTGTACGTTGCTCTAAGTGGAGGGAATGATACGAGAGCTTTTGCCAATCACTGGCTGTATGGAGGCGGTTCGTCATGTGTGGTAGATGCTTCAAGTCCCTCAAAATACAACCCTGCGCATATAGAAGTTGTGATGACCCTGTTTTTTGGGCCAACCATACGTTTGGTGGGTACGAGGACGAAGACACGGATATTGGAACGCCTAAGCACCCTCATGGGTTACCATGACAGGAAGACCGACTGTCCACACGATGGTCCCGATAAGCAGGCCCAATTTGGGTTATGCGGATGCTACAGATGGCTGACCCACAGGATGATGAGCTGCGGAAGGATCCCAACACACACTTCGCGTTCCGGATCGACTCCCAACAATACCACGAGAGAAAAAAAAGACCGATACCGATGCTCTCATCGAGTGCAGAAAGACTGCAAAGGCTCTTTACGAGGCTGGATTTAAATCGAAATGGACGTCGTGGTCAGCACTCTTTTTACAGTCGGACAACACGCTTATGTACAGCGTGATCGACCGATGTTGTGGCAGCAGATGAGGCGTCGAAGCCAATGGAGAGCGAGCTATGGCTAGTACTGGTTTTGTCCTACTGGAACAATGGAGTCAGCTATCGTTGGCACTTCCTGTGCCCCGAGCACCCACTGAATCGGCATCGGCCTTCAGCTGGGCCAACGCGTACCAGCCAGTCAGTTTGGGGCCAAAGGCAAGACCGCCCTTTCCAACCAGCCGATGCTGATTGAGCCCTCACCAAGAACGGACAACCTCCTCGGTTCAGCGAACTATGTATCGTAGAGCGCTGAACTTCCTCAAGGACAAATTGTCTGAGGGGATTCAACCGGCTATCGAAACGATAGATTCTATGCAGGGGAAGAGGCCACATTCATCATACTGGGGCCCACAGTACCAGACATGAACAATCGAATTCCTCACGATGAAGGAGCGAATATAACGGTACGGCCGGGCGCTGGTGGAGTTGTTGGATACATGGCTGCTTTACGTATCCGCCGCAATAGGACAGAGCAGGCGGGTGACATCTATGGCTTCTGCAGTGATGTAGAGCGTTATGAGTTTGTCGTCTTACATAAGTATGATACTTAGCAGATATCGAAACTACTGACAGTCCCGAATCCTGATGACCATAAAATGATCTTAAACTTCCTGGTGTATCATTACCCCTTCCTTATTCAGCCTATATGAATATGTACCGGTGAGCCTTACACTCCCTCGGTGACAGGTTGCCCCAGAGAAGTCAGCCACATACCGAGGCGGTTGACTCCATGCAAGGTGGAGGTCACGGGCGTTATACTAGTCTTCATGGTACCAAAAAAGTGCAATTAGATTTATCACGACACGTCCAAGCCGATATACAAGGAGTCATGGCCATTATTGGCCAACTATACCGTTGGCGCTTACGAAGGAACGGATATCAGGGTCGTCACCCTATATGCCGCACAGTGAAACATGTATCGCAGAGCGCTATACTCCCCCTGCGGCAAGCTGCCCTAAGGAATCAGTCACAGATTGATACGAATGATTCCATGCAGGGCCAGGAAGCGCTAGCCGCCATCCTCGACTTTGCCGCCTCCAGTGCTAAAAGCTATGAAGACCTCGGTTTTATGGACGACGATTACAGGTGCAACGGGGCCCAGTCGCGCATGATCGTATTCTGATCTTGATCATACGCATAACAATTGCAGCCAGTCGCCTTGGTACTGACCAACCGGTCATTTGACGAGGAAACAGCTACTCTAGACAACCTCCAGGGAAGTCTTCAAAGACATAGGCATAGGCTGAAGGAGACTATTATGGATGGAGTGCAAGGGTCTAGGCTTTGAGTCTTTTCCCTAATATACTTCGACCATCTTTAAAACGACTAGGAATTGGCTGCTCTAGTATAGAAACTATCTATTCTATGCAGGGACGAGAGGCGCGCATCGCCAACCTGGACCTTCTGCGTCTCATTGCCGTTTCGAAAGCTGGGGTAGTCTAGAGACCTCGGCTTGATCGATGACGATCACCGTTGCAACGTCGCCCAGTCTCGCATGATGGAAGTTAATGATCACCATCATGCCCATAATAATCGCAAGCAGTCGCCTTGGCTCTGATTTCACCGAACGACGACTCAGTTACTTCGGTGAAATGATTGGGTCCAGAGTGCCTTAACCGCTCGAATACTTGTAGTGGGCCTCAGAGCGTGGAAGCTTATGGAAGTCCCCAAGTGTACCAAGAAAGCTACTTTGCTTTGTGAACATTTCATGCTGGCTATGCGGATTACTAATTTCTTAACCTTAATTAGCCTCCAATGATCTCAGACTCCTTAGCGAAGAAATTGAGAAACACGCACCTTTCGCTGAAAGCGATGACCACGAGGACCCCGCGGCTACCATAGAGGATGTGGGCTGAGACAATACTGGGTTGGCGGTTGACGAAGGCCCTGAGACTGCACCTATAGATAAGGGGAAGGGTGGGGACTTGGGCCATGACGATACTAAGTGGGCTGAAGGAGTTGAGGGACTTAATGCTGATGAAAAGTTCAGGAGGCTTGGTAACTTTTGAGATCTTACAAACTGAAGTTACATTCCGCTGAATATATATTGCGGCATATGAGTCTTATCTATCCAAAAACCTTACCACCACTGGTTTCGGAACCTACAGCCTGCGAGATTAGTCCAGGACGATATGACAGACACGGAACTGCTGGGGCGATTTGGGGCAGTCTTAGATGAGATACGCAGCTAGCAGCTAGCGATGCCCAAGCTATTGAAATCTACCTAGGCATGTCTTGTGGCACACGAGTTCGATCCGAGTTCGACTCAGTTCTAGCCTGATACATTCTGAGACCACAACCGGCTTACTCGACAAGCCTAGGGTGCAGAACAACCACATGGTCCGACCGACGCAAACGACACGGTTCACCCGATGCAGATCCCAAACCCCCTAAAGTACTCTCTGAACAAGAGCTGGAAGACAGACTAAATCAGGAGCGACGAAAGCACCGCAGAGAAGAAGAGGCACATCTGATCGCCGCGGAAATAAGAGCGCGCGAGATAATCCGTCATCAGGGACATGCAACGATGGATGCTGCACAGCTTGTTTGCTTAGCAAACTTAGAAGAGGAGGTAATTGGGCTTACCTAGTGCTAAAAGAGCGATGACTTCGGAGATCATGCTGCCAGGCGTTTGAAGGACTACGGAGAGGTTCTTTGGGTCAAGAGCAGACATACTGACATTCTGACACCGGCATGTGACCAAAGGAATCAGGAAATGGAATTTCAGGAGAGCCAAACTGGTAGAGCAGAGGCTTACGCTCCCTGACATTGAGTTCTGGAGGCTGATTGGCTCTATTCTTCAAAAGCGGGGACAAAGAGCTGCAAGTTCTTCTTTCTATGACAGCATTGCTGTCACTGTGGACATACCTGACGGCCAACAGTCACTGGTAGAGTATGTATCTCGGGCCTATACATGGAGTTCTGCCCCCTATCTATATCGGCGATATGATTCGTCCTGCCTGTCAGGGTAGCTTTGCGAACTTCGATGCATCTCGGAGGCTTATCTTGGACCCCAAGCATTCTGTGGGCGCGTTGACTGATGGAATCAAAAGTCACGCTGCTTTACGCGCACATAGCTTTGTGTGCCTAAGAGAAAGGGATGTTCGCATACCTGTGCAGGGGCTGGGTTTCGAGGATCACAAGGTGTGGAGTTATTGCTCTCCTGTTCCTAAAGAAAAGCTTAAACGCTAGAGTGACCTATTGCTTTGAGTATGTATTGCTAGCTCCCTAGCCTGTTGGATCTATTGTGGTGCAAGGGATTTTGACCTTAAGAATCGTACACGGATTGACGAACAATAGGGATTTATCAACGATGGCGCAAGAGAGTGAAACTCTCTGAAGCTAGTCACATATTCCACTGCTTCTAAACTTATGCACTCTAGTAGACGGAAATGTAAGTCAGAACAGGATATTGCGATACAGTCGAATAAGCTTCATCCAGGTACCAGTATATATGGATAACACCAGAATCCGTAGATCTCTCTCTCTCTATATATATATGAACGGGCTTAGGAGCCTGTAATCGACAGGACATCCTGCATACCCGTGGCAAAGATTGGGTATCATTTTGTAACCTGAGTAGGAGAAATAAAAGAAGGCCACGGGGAAGTGAACAAAAGGAAAGGACAACAGAAACGGCGACAAAGACATGTAAGCGGTTGTCAACTTGCTCAGTCTAGAGAAAGCAGATATATCGAAAGAAAAGAAAAGAACGCACCATATCCAAAGACTCCCCTAGACCTGCCAAAAACCCTATAAAAGATCACAGAAGAAGAGATATAAAAACAAGATCAACTCAACACCCGCAATGCGAAGTAAGATGCACCCTGCGAAATAGTAACCCATAACGAAGGAACCTTGGCTTTGTTCATGCAAAGGGCGGCTGAAGCACCCAGACCCATATAGTACTGTTTAACATCCAACAGATAAAACGAAGATAAAAGAAAGAAAAAGAGACAGCAAGGAAAAAAGAACAAGCAACGATCGAAAGAAAGCTATAAATCCTACGAAACCATTCATGAACGTAAAAGAGCGGTATTTTAAAAATTATTCCTCGCCATCCTCGTCAACCGAGCTATCTTTGAGAGATGTTGAGGATTGGTTCTAATTCAGGTTAGGAGTTGGGCACGGAAGATGGATATCGAGATCACGTACCGGAGGCACACCTGTGTTCAAGCTTTCATTTTCTTTGCCACTGCTGTCCGTCTCCGTTTCAGTGCTCTCACAGCCTTTTGCGCGAGAGTGTAAAACTCGAAGTGTTAGTCCTAATTCTCGTTCCAACTCCTTTTGAGCCTGCGGGTTTGCATTCGTGCCATTGAGCTTTTTTCTGTACGCTCTCAGCGTGCGGCAGACTTGCTCAGTAGATACGTTGAGGCTACCTAGCTCGGTTTTCCCGCTGTGTTTGGTACGGCATCGAAAGTCAAGGGGTGAGCGGTGGTTGCTGTGGCTTAAATTGCTCGTCTTCTTCGCTGGGGTTGACTTAGGGCTAGGAGGGGAGGGTGTTCGGCGTGACCTCTCAAGACGAGAGCTGGAGCCACGTGCTGACGCGGGAGTGGGCGTCGCTGGCGTGGCGTTCCCATTCTTGCCTGAAGAGTGCGCGAAAGGAGGTTTTGAGAGTTTGCGGATCAACGGCGGGGATTGATCGCGCGTAGGGGTGGAGGAACCTATTCCATTCTCCTGTCGGAATCCCGCAAGTTCATTTTTAGACAATACTTTTCGTATAGGAGGTTTGGAAAGCGTCATCTCCTTTGAGCCCTCGTCCTCCTCCCTGGAGGTGGTTCTTGCCATTTCTTGAGACTGCAGAGGCTGTACTGATATATTCCACATCATCACAACACCGTCAATACCCGAGCTTATCAAGGTACGTACGGTGGATCGACTGGACGGGTCAGGGTGCCTTTCTAGCAAGCGCACGTCACTGACACCCTCTGTGTGACCAAATTCGCCTGTAAGCAGGACACCTCTCTCGAGATCATAGACACGAATGGACTTGTCCGTGCTTGACACTCCGATGAGTAGCTTTGGGCTCTGTCCCATGATTTCCCCAGCTACTGTCAATGAACCCATAACAACCGCATCGTTCGAATCGGAGTCAATGGCACGAAAGGATTGGAGATGCCGGCCGGAAGGTATCTCATATTGATGTATACAGCGGTCCGCGGTGGATATGACGAGGATATCTGCGTCATGCGTGGACAAGGTCATAGACACCGGGGATGTTTTCAATGTGATGACTTTGGAAATCAAATACGCAACAGAAACACCATCATCGGCCTCTCGGGTCACACGCTCTCGGATGAGTACCGTGCGATCTGCAGAAGATGAGAGAAGGTGCTCACCATTATTCACAAAGAGGAGCTGCCCCACAGCCCCTACATGGTCATCCATTGTTTGGACTAAATCTAGGCCGCTTTCTGTTTTCTGAAATAGCTGCACCATGCGATCACGACCGCAGCTGGCGATGAGACAAGAGCCAGGGCTTGCGTTCAACGCAATATCAGTGACTTCGCCTCCATGAGCGCGCGTTTCATGCATGCACTTCCAAGACTCCCCGTCTAAAACCCGCAAGACACCGAATTTATCGCCCGAAACGAAAAGATCCATCTCCTCAGTGGCCTTTACCACCTTCAATTCGTTGGAGGCTTCCTCATCTACGCCTGGGACTTGCTCCAGAGGGATGATTCGAGAATCCCGACACTTGCCGTGACAGTCCCAGAAATTCACTCTACCCCTACATGACCATGTGAAGAAGTCGGCCTGCAGAGTATTGGGAACTTTCAACGGCCCGATTCCAAGCACAGCGTCTCGATGGGCAGGCATCGTGGTCTCAACATGACTCTGCTCGTCATCACTATCCATTGCTTCGATGGGGTATATATGAATCGCTCTGGTAGTATCAATGGTTACCATGTGGGTCGTTAGAGATCCCATGCACGTGATGGCTGGCCCTTTGCATTTCTGTTCCCCAGAGGAAGTTTCAGAAAGACCCGGAGATAAGGGAGCGGCAGACGACCGTAAAACATCAAAGGAGTATTTCTGCATCCGTCTTCCTCGACCGCCAACCCATACACAGCAACGATCGAGGTCGGTCATCAGGGAAGTGATGCTAAAACCAACATTCTCGACGAGAGATATTTTCTGAGAACCCTCCCCGTCATTGAGTAAACACAGGGCGCCCGTATCTGTGCCAACTACAGCCTCGCGATCCGAAACGCTTGCCACACTTGTAAACGTGCTTTCCGCTAAAGACCCCAGTAGGCAATTTCTCCCAGACAGCGCTCTTGGCGCAAAACTGGGCGAGCTAGGGGCAGACTCCACATTGAGGCGAGACTTGGAAGGCGACCCCGGTCTTGCTTCCGGCAGCCTCCACACTTTCACATGTCGAACTCCGACCCTGAATCTGGTTCAGTGCTCTTTCTTCATGTCATTGAACGGCTGGGTAGGACTTACGTGATCAGGGTTTGGCCCATGAAACACATGTCCCGTATCGAAGACATGCACTTATTAGTTGAATGGAGCTTGGCGGCGCCACTTCTCAGATTGATCGACCAAACGAAAAGAAACCCGTCATTGGTATCGCCAAGTGTAGCTAGGTACTGGGAGTCGCAGCTGAACGCAAGTCCACGGACCCCAAAGGTATGCTCGCTCAATATTGAGAGTGGGACATCGGAAGGGGCGTCCCTTGCTGTCGAGAAGATCAAGACTCTAGGGCCATATCCAGTCTAGAAGAAAATCAGCCGAATCTCACATTAACGCTAGGTTGAAGGTTCTTGCCACACACCTCGCCCACAGCAAGGAATCTCCCATTTGGACTTATCGAGACACTTGTCACTGCCTTTACCCTTTCCCTGGAAGACCAAGCGCGGTTGCTATTGCTCTCCGCTAATTCGCTGGCTGGGGAGCCGTTGACATGCGCCGTCGACTTGGCAGCTGATAGAGGCCTGACGCGGGTATCTGGGGTGCTGGGAGGAGTGGCTTGATTGTAGAACGAAGTGACAGGGTTGACACTTGAGGCGGAGGGGCGTGCTCTGAAAAACCGTTGGACCACATTGCCCTCCTCGTCTAATTCTGCCAGGACTGCCGCGGAACCGGCGCAAAGGGCAAACGATTTGCTCTGATCGTGACATGAAAATCCATGCGGAGAAGTTGTAGTCGTACCAATTACCGTCTGGAGGGATAAAGTTGACAGGTGTTGAGGTGCTTTGTTGGGGGTGCGCGGTGGTCTTAAACCGGGAGAGTTGGTGGGAGTGATTCGGAGAGACGAGCCAGTACCAGCTGCCTTGCTTTTCACGCTTAGGTTGTACGCCATGACTGGTACGAAGTGATCTTAATCACGATGTTTGAGAACTCTTTATGAACAAGAGCCCAAACTTCAATCGCATTTGCTGGAGGTCTGAACTAGGGCTCTGGTCACACTGTTGGCAAATAGCTTTAGAAAGCTACTTCGGTGCCATTCGGTGTTTCATAAACGAAGGGAGCTAGTCGGAAGAGAGAGAGTAAGAAAGTGACCCTCCCTCTGCAGCGGAAGCCTTCGGGGCTATAATGTCGATAAATCGGACTCGGTAACAGAGGTGTTTTGTGGGTGGGAGGGCCGATGTTGGAGGGGTGAAGGAATGGTTGGAATTGAGCACCGAAAGAGTGGATCACGTACAAAGGAGCGACCGGTAAGTGGAAGAGAAAGTTAAGGAAGAAAACAAAGTAAACGGGGAAATAAATTTGGAATGTCAGAGAGATCGAAGAAAGAAAAATAAAGCTAAGGGCCAGCGAAGGAGAGGAACTATGGGTGTCAGTATGTAAACAATCGGACGGCACTGCATTCCAACGGAGAAAAAAACCCCAGTGAGTAAAGAATGAATGAATGAACGGAGAGGATTGACGAACCTCTCTCAGGCCTCAGCCCTTGGCGCAGAGAGGATCTGACAGTAGGAGAGAAACGAGCCCTATTTAGCTCCTCAAGCTAAAAGGCATCTTAAGATCCATCAACTAAAAGGGTTGATCCTTAACTATTTTATTTTCCTCTTTGTTCTGGAGGTGTTGACCCTAAACTGCTTTGGGAGAACACTCATCTAATGAAGTTTAAATCTAATTTAACAACACAAACATGATACATAATTATGAGAAACAATAAGAAGAAATTTTTTTTTTAAAAAAAATTTACTAATTTAAAATGAATAAATATTATTTTAGAAAATAAGAAGATGGTCCAATTTTAACCCCATTTACTCCCACTACCCAAAAAAATAATCTCCAAAAAAGAGGAGCATTTTGGCTGGTTGCCCAACAAGAATGAACTCGCCTGGTGGATCAGTCACGGGGCACCAAGTGGTCTAGCCTTTGCTTAGTTTGTGGAGATGCCAATCATACCTCCCCGAAAATGGAAATCCTTAAACAATCTTCCCATATAAAGGAGACCGTCATCCCTTTCAACTTTGCTCACTGCACACTTCACCAACTCGTAACGTAATGACAGCTGGTGAGGATTTATAGGAAACACATGGGGTATAGGATTATATAAGTGCACATCATAAGAGCCGATCTTATAGCATACCTGTTATTCAACAATAGAAACACTTGTCGCATGTTGGGGGCCCCGGAGCCCTACCGAGGAATGCTAGAGAGGCTGGCTGGGAGGAGGATACTCAAGCGCTGCACTGAACGATAGGGATATAGGTTTCAACATATCACATTGTCAAGTACTCAATGTTATGAATAATTAGGGGCTGGTCTTGGCCGCCCGTCCCCACAAACCGTAGGGTGTGAATCAAGCAGTTGTCCCTTATACCCAGTAGAACTATTAAGGCTTAATCTTGGTCTCGATCTTCCATACCAGATTCATCAAACTGTCAGTTGCATATTTCTTTAAAATTCTTATCAGAGTCCGATAAGGTCACATGATCATCGCCGCTAACGCCCGAAGCGGGAATTGTTCTGGAATCTGTTTTCGAGAACTTCTCCGCGATCGAAGACCAACAACGCTTTCACCTTTTCCCTCGATAGGTGCTGTCAACAGTCTTCACAATGGCAACCTTCTGTGCTTGCTCGGCTAAGCTAGCTTTACCTACGCTACTTCGCAACGTTTATCGCTCCGAGTTTGCCTCCGAACTTCATTCCTTTCAGAGCCCCCATGCTCTCGTTTCTCTCCGCCGAACGCCTTACTCTCATCACGGTCACCACAATGGTCGGGGTTTTACCTCTTTTTCGCCCTTTTCTGTTTCCCAGCCAGGATCGTCTATAACTTCACGACAGTTTTCCCAATCAACAATCACAGAATCAAAGTCAACACAACTGCATGCTGGGACGGAAGATGGCTCGATTGGAGAAGCTCTAGATAAGAATGTGGCAGCGCCAGCCGATTCACGGCACCCCACCGTACCTGAAATCGAGACGAATCCTGCCCCCTCTAAAGCAAAATCCGATGCAGGCTCGACTAGATCCTCTCGTGGCAAGAAATACGTGCAAGATGGCCAAGCTCAAAAACCAAAACCCAAGAAGAAAAAGGAGCATTGGCAAATTCAAAAGGAAGCCTTGAAGAAAAAGTTCGAGGGTGGATGGAATCCATCTAAAAAGCTTTCGCCCGACGCTATTGAGGGTATCCGCCATCTGCACGCGGCCGCTCCGGACCGGTTCACGACTCCTGTTCTTGCCGAGCAATTTCAGATCTCGCCAGAAGCCATCCGGCGCATTTTAAAGAGCAAATGGCGGCCGTCGGAACATGAAATGGAGGACCGGCGCAAGCGATGGGAGAAGCGGCACGATCGAATTTGGAGTCATCTGGCGGAGCTGGGTCTTCGACCGTCCACCAAACGTACCCAACCTCTGGCCGATGCGAACATCCTGTATAAGACGGGTGGCAAAGAAAACGGACCGACGGAGTGATCATCTTGCGACAATCCTAAAATCTGATAGGTATTTAGAGTGATGTATATACTTCCCCTAGCACATAATTAGAGTCGACATAATATTCACCAAATATTCTTCCTGTCATGGTCTTTTGTGTTTTCTCGTGCAGAATTCTTTTAAGTTACCTAGTGTTCACTGGAGTAGCCAACTAATTTCTTCTGTATCACCTTGGTGTCTCTAATTTTCCAGTACGATTAAAATCAATATAATTTATCATACTTTTTTTGAATTTTTTTATTATATATTTTTTACAACATTATTCCCTTCACTCCCTGGAAAGTCCCCGTTGGACATTGAAAAGTACAGACTAAAGAAATACGCTAACGGTTACTTTCCAATGTTTTGACCGCATCTCCAACTTGCGACTTTGGCCGATTTCATTCATTTAATTTTCTTCTTCCCTTCCTTACCCCGATTGCTATGGCTTATCCAATTTGAAAGTATGCCCTAGTCGGCGATCATTTATTTTTCTTCTTTTTCTTCTTCTTCTTCTTCTTCTTCTTCTCCCCCGTCTCTCCTCTACTCTCACTTACAACCCCGGCGTTAACGGGGTAGAAGCGGACACCCTTTGGTGGCGGCTTGTTTGGTACCCACCATTTACCCCAAGCTTCCTGCTTCCTGTTGCTTTTCTCCGCCCATATGGTCACTTCGCGACCCTCTCGCCATGCCGTCAGACATTCAAGTCTTCGTGAAATGGAAAGAACAAACGATATTTGCAGGTGAAGATGTGGAATGTACAATTACGTTCAAGAACATCGCGGAGGGAAACGGGGACAGCAACAATGGCAGACAGGTCTCCCCTCAGAGGAAACCGTCTCGACCGGGCAGTAGCACACCTCACTCCGACTCCTTCTTCTCCTTGAAATCACCAAGGAATCTATTCTCCAACCCGAGTCGCCGATCCTCTACTACCTTCTCAAGAAGAAGCCCATCCCATCGTGTTTCATCGTCTTTAAGCTCACCATTGGTCGGTTCTCATAGCTTTCCGCCTCCTTCAACTCCTCGCAATGGGCCACCGCCGAGTCACAAACATAAACGATCTATATCTATATTATCAATTGATAGTGAAGGAGGCGGCGATAGGGCTCCCAAAACGACGTCGCCCTTCACCCGCTCGAGGCCAGCCCGAGGTCACGGGCGTTCTGCGAGTTTGCAGGTAGTCCCAAAGCGATTCGAAGGCTATGATGACATATTTCCGAGAGGTATTGGCTTGCTCTGGCGCTGGTGCTTGATAGCTCATAGTTCAGACTGACTGATGATAAACTAGGTGGGCGCCACACCACACGAGGCATCCCACCTCCTGAATCTGCTATGAACCCTTCCCCGCAGAGTCTAAGGGTCGATGTGGACGGGGCAACCAGAGCGGCTCGCTCTGGATCCGGTACAATGAGCCCCATTAAACCTGTTGAATTGTCGCGACCATCTGTGCGACGGCCTCAGATACCCCCAATCGATTTCAAATTCCCACCTCCCACGAGCGACACTAGCAATACCCGACCTAGCGTGTCACCTTCAACGATACCGGCAAGCGAACATGCCAATTCAATTACAACGGCAAAGCAAAATGGCAAAGAGCCGACTGCTTTAACTGCGTCAGGCCATTTGCCCCAGCTCACCAAGATTATGTCGACGTCTAGTTTGAGTGGGAGCCACAGGAGTAGCGGCGAATTTTATTCCGTGGGGAATAACTCTTCAGAAACCTTACAGTCGGAATATACGAACTACTCCACGACCGTTCCACGAACACCTGTTAGCCGACACGGGCGACACATGTCCAGCGTTGACTCCTCGTCCTGGCTACCCAATGGCCAGACACTGCTTATGGGCTATGCGCAAATAAGTGCATCGTTTACCGTCGATGGCTCACTAATCAACCAGTCGGCTTTTGAAGAAGTAAAGAGGAAAGGTGTAGTGGGTGACCAAGGGAATGCCGCCGGTATGACCAACGGGCGGAGTGCCCCAAGCAGCGACAAGAGTCGCAAAGGAGGTGGGTTCTGGGGCGCTTTGAAATGGAACGCAATAGAGGAATCTCTCAGCGGTTTGCTTTCTAATAATGAGCTTGATGGTCTACGTGATATGCGAGGTGTTACCTCATCAAGATCGATACCGTTACTGTCCACTTCCCAGTCGCTTCTCTTCGTGGATCTCCGACTAGCGCCTGGGGAAGAGCAGTCCTACTCATTTTCCTTCACTTTACCTCGGGGTCTTCCAGCGAGCCACAAAGGAAAGGCCATCAAAATATCGTACAACTTGGTCATTGGCACACAACGGCCGAGCGTTCGTAACGAACCACAGCGGGTTAATCGCATCACCATACCGTTTCGTGTATTTAGCGGCGTCAATGGTAAGCCACTCCCTGTCACTCCTTCGTTCTTCTCTCAACGCAGCTAACATATTGTAGGACAAGGAGACATCCTTGGACATGATTTGATGAACCCATATGTGCTTCTTCGAGATGAAGCTCGGGTACAAAAGATTGGTTCGAGTCCGCCGCCATCTGCGAAACCCAAGAGTATCAGTGGGACAAGCTGGAATTCCGCACCGGAGTTCTTGGGCTACGTTGATAATATCCTCGCACAACGTTCCCAGGACGCCCTTCTCCATCCCCCGGAAACCCCTCTTGAAAAGCGTCCGAGCCACGATCTATTACTGGGCCCCTTGTCTTGCAAAGACGCAATTGATCTAGCTATTCTGCGAAGCAACCAGGCTCTGAACTCTTCTCGCAGTCCCAATCGATTTGAGATTGCACGCAATGGGCGTCGGATTGCCGTGGTAGTGCTCAATCGGCCCGCTCATCGATTAGGAGAAGCCATCATTGCCACCGTGAACTTTGCCGGCGCCGCGCTTCCCTGTTACGCGATTCGAGCCACGCTAGAGACCTCGGAAAAAGTGGCTGGGCCACTAGCAGTGCGGTCGGGCGCGAGCATCCGGCGCGCCACTCGGAAAGTGCACGCTTCTTTCTTTGAAAATACCCTATACTCGACCCGAGTTGTCTTTAGCCCTGCCATTCCCATCTCTGCTACCCCTACGATTTTGACGACTGGGGTCAACCATGTGTGGGAGCTACGCTTCGAGTTTGTGACACCGAACATGCATAGCGATTCTGGAATTGGTCCGTCCGGTGCTACCTTACTCGAGACCGTCCATCACGACGACCGGGGACGGATTCTGAATGCTTTAGAGAATCTCAGTTGCGAGTCTTTTGAGATTTCTATCCCTCTTACGGTGTACGGGGAGACAGTCCGAGAAAGACTCCCCGAGGAGAACGAGGGATACTCTATATAAATAATTCTTGGAAGATCCTGATGTGTATGGAAGTTCTTATCTTAATGATCCCCGTAGATACCAATCCCCATTTCCTGGGGTGCATGTATGTATGTTATTGACCCAGACGTTGACGCAGCGGAAATAAAGATGGCTGCTGTTCATATTATTTTTTTTATTTCTTATTTATTTATTTATTTTGCTTTTATATAAAACTCTCAAAATAAATGAGACCGTTTATCGACATCCCTTGATGTGCGTAAGGAAAGAAAGGTGGATATCCATTTGTCACCGCGGCAACCCACGAATTGGCAGTGACTTGGTGCCTTTGGCATTCCATGGAACAGCAGCCTTTAGAGCTTGTGGAGTAAGATCGATGACGGAATTAGCAGCTGTTTATATCTTGAGTCAAAAGTAAGTAGTTCTTCACTCTGCCCACCGCTTCTTTTAATTATCTAATTTTCTGCGAACGGCGGTGCTTTCAGCCGCCATCACCTGATTGATCGCAATTTAATTAATTCCCATTGTTTGATTGTTTTTACTGAGTTGAACCCTTCTTCTCCATCCCTCAATTCCACTGAAGTGCCTTACCCACCGTTAACCCCTACTTTTCTGGTCCTGGAATGTAGGCGCATTCCCCGATCATTCACAAGCAACAACTTCCATTCAGAGCGAGAAAGCCAAGTCAGGATCCATCCGGTTTCTTAGAAGTTGAATCGCGGGGCATTTCGACTTGCGCGCTTGATTTCGGAGGATTGATAAACGTGAGGGAAGAACGCGAAGAAGAGGATGGCCTCATTCATCACCACCATGTCGGTTCCCACTGATTCTGTTGTTTCTACTGCTGCTTCTCCCCCACCATCATCACCCCAGCTACCCCTCCCACGGAACCCCTCCGTTCTCTACAACACGGTCCACATCTCCCGTGTGCCTCTCATAGAACCTCCTTCTTACCTGTCGCCTGTTGTTCGCGCGCTGAAAAATGGAACTTGTGGACTAACACCTCCCAGCAATGCACGCACGCGAGCGCCCTTCAAACCCCGGTCGGCGGCAAAAGGTACGAGCAGTTACCAGCTGAGACAATTTGCAGAGGCGACACTAGGGAGTGGGAGTCTCAGAAAGGCGGTAAGGCTTCCAGAAGGGGAGGACTTGAACGAATGGCTTGCAGTGAATGGTGAGCTTGCGAATTCCTCGCTTGGAAGGTCGTCGCGCAGCGCTAATAGAGTACATCACCGACAGTGGTGGATTTCTACAATCAAATCAATCTTCTCTATGGCTCGATTACAGAATTTTGTTCGCCTCAGTCATGCCCAGAGATGAAGGCGACAGATGAGTACGTTTCTCCCCTGCTTTCTTTCGCCCGACTTCGTCCAGACTACGGCTGACATAGAAGATAGGTTCGAGTACCTTTGGCAAGACTCGGAGAACTTCAAGCGGCCGACTAAAATGTCCGCGCCCGAGTACATCGAGCACCTGATGAGCTGGGTTCAGAGTAATATCGATAACGAGCAAATGTTTCCCAGCCGGCTGGGTATGTTCGTGGAAGTCACCGAGGGAGATTTCGCTTACTAACGCACTACAGGCGTTCCGTTTCCCAAAGCTTTCACCAGTCTCATCCGTCAGATCTTCAAGCGGTTATACCGGGTGTATGCACACATCTACTGCCACCATTACCCTGTCATCGTGCATCTGGGACTCGAGCCCCATTTGAATACGAGTTTCAAGCACTACGTGTTGTTCATTGACGAACATCGGCTAGCGATTGGGAAAGATTTCTGGGGACCGTTGGGGGATCTGGTTGAGAGTATGCTGCGGAGCGATTAACGGGGATGTTCGGTTGACTTGGCAGATGAGGATCTAGGTCGGTCGCGGTGGTGATGATCGGATGGAGCTGAATCCACCCAATGCACGAGAATGACGGCGTTTGGCTGGTGACGTTTTTCTTAAAGCATTTGCGTTTATTGAAAAGGAGCTTTAATTATTCTGTTTTGTTAGATTTTGTTAGACACACCAGGCAATTCCCGTATGGCGTTTAAAAAGATGTCAATATAATTAGAGAAAAACAAGAGAGTGGTGTGTTTGTTACTTGTACTTGTACTGTAGCCGAAAAACCCGGCGTGTGCGGGAACTCACGTGATGGGCGAGAATTGTTGGAACATCAACTCAACTCCATCTCAAAGCACGACCCGGCCATTCGCTCCCCTCTCCGACCGACGTTCGCACCGTCTCGCATCCACTAATCCCTCCCCTCCGCTCCTCGAGGCCTTCTCACATACCTGTCACAATGATGTCCACTCGGTTCGCCCGCGCCGGCCTGCGTGCCACCCAGCAGTTCTCCGTTCCTCGTACCGCCGCTGTCAACGGCTTGAGGTCCTACGCTACCCCGGCCCAGGAGGTCAAGCCTCCTGTGTCTCTGTACGGTGTCGACGGTACCTATGCCACTGCTCTGGTACGTGCCATGAAGATCGGGTAGGGTGTGTTGGGTGGGATTGGGTTCTGTGGTAGTTTCCTTTGACCCGAGGTGTTGAAAATCCCCTCAAAGCCGCGTCCGAGCAATTGAAACTGCATCCCGACAAGAGAACACCGAACCCCCCTCCCCCCTCCCCAAAACACCCCCATTCCAAGCTGGAACTATCCGAACTAATTGACTGGCAACACACAGTACACTGCCTCCGCCAAGTCCGCCAACCTCGAGCAGACCTCCAAGGCCATCGCCGCTCTCGGCGAGACCCTCAAGGCCGACCGCAAGTTGACCAGTCTCATCTCCGCTCCCACCCTGACCAGCTCCGACAAGTCCCAGATCGTCCAGGAGCTCCATAAGCTCACTGGCGACAAGGGTGACGTCGTCAAGAACTTCCTCCAGACCCTCGCTGAGAACAACCGTCTGGGTTTGTTGGAGGGCGTCTGCGAGAAGTTTGCGACTCTGATGGGTGCTCACCGCGGCGAGATCGAGCTCAACATCACCAGTGCTCAGGTATGTGCCCTCGATTCACCGCCTCCTATTGCCCACCAGGGTATATTGTCTCCATGTAGGTATTGACGAATATTCCAGGACCTTGACAAGAAGAGCATCACCCGTATCGAGAAGGCCGTCTCCCAGTCCCAGCTCAGCCAGGGCAAGAAGCTCAAGGTTGTCACCAAGGTACTTTATCCGTTCCCACCGTCTGCTCTGCCTCCAAGGGTCAGTCCGAATGCTAACGGAACCAGGTCGACCCCGACCTCGTCGGTGGCCTTGTTGTCGAGATCGGTGACCGTACCATCGACCTCAGCGTTTCCTCCAAGATCGCCAAGCTCAACAAGGCCCTCACCGATGCCCTGTAAATTAGATATCATACCTTTGATTCCGACCCATGTACCGTACTACTACCATAACCAGTAGTGATTATTGTTCCCTTTTCTTTTTGGACCTGAGGCATTTCGCATGACTCGATCTGAATAATAGACAGAATTGAGTTAGATTCCCTCCATCATCTTCTGTTTTTCACAGTATGTCCAAAGTGAAAATAAAAAACCTCCCCTATATATGACTTGATATGCATATAGCCCTTAACCTATCGGATTGGGGTCCCCTCCCCCTCCAATGTTTAAAACATATATATAACCCAGTAGGTTAATACCCCGATATCGGTAGGTAAATGAAGACAGCTACGAGTTTTCTTACCCATCACCGTCCTAGCCAATTTATACCAATGTGCAAGTGACATTCCCCCATTACTCTTGACAGAGTGCTACGCATTTAAGTGAATAAAAACCATCACGCTTTTCACCTACTCCGTACCCTTCCGCAAGACAAGAGGAAATACAGCCAGGAAAGAAGGTGTAGAATTTGGAGGAAGTAAGGAAGGAGGTTGGGAATATATATAGAAAGAAATGGTTATGAGCTCAATTGCTCCAACACAATCCAACCTATAAATCCCAGGGTTCTATATGCATATATAGTATAGTTCCATGGCTCAATGACACCCAATCCACATGTATATAGAGAGAGAGAGAGAGAGCTACTCCTATCCGGTCAACATTCTCCCTATATGATATCCTCGCACAATCCGTCCATATACCCGGCACTCAATGGCCGTTCGGTTTCTGGTCGGCTTGCGTCCCGAACTCATCTTCGTATGCGCCCATCGATACATGACTTCTCACCCGCTGTAATTCATTCTGTACATAATGCGAAACATGGTCGTTCATGTCCTGGTATTTTTCATCGTCGTCAACTACGCTTCCTGTCGCCGTAGTGTCACCAAAGGCTGATTCGAAGTCGCTTCTGTTCCCAATGGACCGACTGGTGGACGAGCGACGAATACCGCTGGGTCGTCGACTACCACCGCGTGATCGGGATCGGCTGAAGATGTCATCAAAGTAATGTGATGCAGCGGCGAATGGGGTACGAGGCGTTTGTGGAATACGGCAGTTTATTCTGTAGTGGACCGTTAGATAACATTAAGAGGGAAGGGGAATAGCCGCGTGCGCAGATCGGCTCACTTACCCAGTGTCATGGATGATCTTGGCGATCAAGCCAGTCCAACCGCATTGGTGAGATGCTCCAAGGCCCCGGCCAGTGTCACCGTCGAAGAACTCATGGAACCACATGTAGTCTTTCCAGTGCTCGTCAAAGTCGAGTAGGTCGGAATTATCATGCACCGCTCGGCGTCCTTCATCATTACGAGCGAACAAGTGCTGCAACCGATGCTGGATTTCCTCGGCAATTTGCCCGAGATGCATATACTCTCCAGATCCTGTGGGGCATTCAACTTGGAATTTATCGCCGTAGAACATGTAAAAGCGCAGCAGCGACTCGACCAGCAGGAAATTGACGCACAGCCAGACTGGTCCGCGCCAGTTGCTGTTTCCTCCAAAGAGAGCACTGTCTGAGTCACCAGGGACATAGTTAACACGGAACTCCTGGCCGTTGACTGTCATCGAATACGGATGCTCGCCATGGTATTTGGACATGGAGCGGATACCATGTTCGGACAAAAACTCGGTTTCGTCAAGCATTCTTTTCAAGATCTTTTCTAGGCGTTCTTTGCTGACCAGGGCCAGAAGGAGACGGTCGTCTTTTCCACGACGTTTCATGCTGGCAATGTTGCGCTCGGCGACATCCTGCCTGTTCTCAATGAACCACTCCAGTCGGCGCTTGAAAGAAGGGAACTGGTTGATCAATTCGGGCTCAAGCGTGAGAACACCATATAGCGGGATCAGACCAACGAGGGACCTCACGGGGAGTTGTTGGGTCCATGGTTCGCCGTAAGATATAGCATCATAATAGAACCTAGTCACATCAGATTATGACTCTTTTTGAGTGTAAGGGGCATCTCCTACCCATCTTCTTCATTCCACAGAGAAGTCTCCTGGCCTCCAGATCTGAATGTCATGGCATCACTGATAAGAATGAAATGCTCAAAGAATTTGGACGCAACTAAAATCGTTAGTCAGCTTTTTCGATTTGGTATGTCTCAAGGTTCAACGTACTATCTTCGTAGATTCGTCGGTGCTTGGCCAATTCTAAGGCCATGTTGAGCATGCATAAGCAATAGAATGCCATCCAACCAGTGCTGTCTGCCTGCTCTAAGACGCCTCCAGTGGGAAGAGGCTCGGAGCGGTTGAACAGCCCGATATTATCCAGCCCGAGGAATCCTCCTTCAAAGACATTCTTTCCCTCTGAGTCTTTACGGTTAACCCACCACGTAAAGTTGAGGAGTAGCTTTTGAAACACCCGTTCTAGGAAGTCAAGATCCTGCCTCCCGTACATCTTTCGTTCGATCTTGAAGACTCGGAATGTGGCCCATGCATGAACAGGAGGATTCACATCGCCGAAGTTCCATTCGTACGCGGCCAGTTGTCCGTTGGGATGCATGTACCATTCTCGAGTAAGGAGATCTAACTGCTTCTTGGCGAACTCAGGGTCGATCATTGCTAGAGGGATACAGTGAAAGGCAGTGTCCCATGCCGCGAAAAATGGATACTCCCAGGAGTCGGGCATCGAGAGAATGTCGTCCATGTACAAATGTTTCCACTGCTGGTTCCGAACGTGCTTCCTGCCCGGGGGAGGCGGGATCATTGCGGGATCTCCATTTGCCCATTGATCCCAGACAAAGTGATAGAACTGCTTCGTCCACATCATGCCAGCAAATGCCTGTCTTTGGATGTTTCGTAGGTCGTCACTCATGGGCAGCGGGCTGATATGCCAGTAGAAGTCGTCGGCCTCAGCTTTACGCTGCTCCATAGTGTCATCCAATTCAATTTCGTCAAGCTGGCCCGGCTTCCGGGACAGGCTGAAACGGACAACAGCACACTCGCCTGGAGGGATTCCATCACCCTGATCGAAGGCATACCAAGCAGCGAACTTGGTACCTTCATTTGCAGGATTGATGGCGTCCTTTTCATCATTGACAATGTGGCGATGGAATGCATCCTTCACATACGGTTGATCATTTTTAGACCCCCAGAGGAGCTCGTTATTTGTCTCGTTTTCTGTGAAGAGCATCTTCGGCAAGATATCCTCTTGGTCGCTTTCTGTCGATGGAGATGGGGCGAACCGCACATATCTTTCCCCTAGCTTTTTGTGGGAGGACTTGGCTGTGAGAGAGTCAAGCTTCTTGATAGAAGGCTTCTGAGACTGGTCCTCATAGCCCCAGGACCAGGTGTTTCTGAACCACACATGGGGAACAATGTGCAAGGGAGCTGGCTCGGGGCCTCGGTTGTAGGCAATGACGCGAAAGCTGAGCTCCTCTTCGTCGTCATCCTCCTTGGCCGTCTCAATGAATATATCCCAGTAGCGGTTGTCGTCAAAGGCGCCGGTGTCGAGGATTTGATACTCGCGCTCCAATCTCGATCGACGGGCATTCTCGTCCCTGAGATCTTGGTAAGGAAACTTCTTTTGAGGATACTTGTAGAGGTATTTCATGTATGAATGCTAGGTATGAAGAGGTCAGAAAAGGCTGTGTCGACATCCGCCTTAGATTAGAGTTACCGTCGGAGTATTATCAAGATGGAAATGAGCTTCTTTGATACTCTCTCCATGGTTCCCTTGGGGGTTTGACAAGCCGAACAAACGTTCCTTTAGAAAATCGCTGCGTCGCATGATCAGCTAGTGATGCATCTCGCGAGTAAGGGAACCTACTCCTTTTCGTTCCAGAAAGCAAAGGCAATGTTCTGCAGGTTATGGGTATCAGAGACACCGGCGATTCCATCTTCGCCCCAGCGATATGTTCGCGACCGAGCGTGCTCATGGGAGAAGTCTAAATTGAGGAGGTTAATGGAATGCGATAGACATGACCATCGGTGGGGGAGAGGGAACTTACAGCTCCACGCATCACCATTTTCCCTAATGGGAGGTTAATTAATTGAATCATATAATTAGATCAACATGCCGATTAAAGAAAAAATAGGAAAATTAAATCATGATAAGCAAGATAAGGTAGCAATTGGGAAGGGATTGACTTACGAATAATCCTCTCGCACTGCGGGGGATCATGAGGTCATCAGCTTTCCCCCTCATTATACAGTAATAAACATCCAAACAATTCCGATCACTCACCGGTGGCCCATTGCCTTTCGGCCACGTACGGTCCCCATCTCTTCCAGTACCGCGTCCGCTCTTTATCTTCCTTCAATCGCTCCTCCTCCCGTGAGGTGTATACATGCTTGTCGATCAGGACCATTCTGCACCGAGTGATCCGACAAGGATCAGGGAAGAGAGAAGTGCCGATGAAAAAGGAAACGGAGGATATGAACGAGGTTGAGTGGCCAAAGGAGACAGAGAGAGAGAAAGGAACAAAAAAAATAAATCGGAGGGGTGGGAGAAGAAAGAAGAAAGATAAAAAAAAGAATAAGTAGAAAGATAAAATATAAAAGGAAGGACGGCAGTTCCTGAACCCTGTTCACGGAGCTGCAGTACAACTCACGGGCGATCCGTTCGCTGGCTTATCGGAGGAGTAAGAGACCGGAAACATGATTTCTCGACTTGGCTTCCCCGGTCTGGACTCGTCGCTCGGACGTTGAATCAACAGAGAGAGTGAGAGGGTGTGGAACGCGGTACTCCGTACACCCACTAAACAAGCCAGTCCCGTGGTCCACTGGAATTTTTATAATTCATTTTTTTCAATTTTTCAACCACCTGACATCACGTCACAGTAGCCCTGTTATTTTTAGTTTTACTCTTGCTATATATATAGTATATAATCTTTAGAATGACCCCTCGGCCCATATGTTTCTATCTATGCTGTAAGCATCATGCGCAGGCTGGTGTTATATATATATATGTGTGTGTGTGTTTCCGAGCTGAATGCGACTATATGATTGCTCTCATTACTTACGATGTGTTAGTTCAATCCATATATATGGATTGGAGTAGTATTGTACACATGAATCATCGTTGATGGACAGAGAGAGCAATTGTGGACAAAAGAGACTTGTAGTGGTGAAGGCGTAGTAGTTAGGGCTAGGGAGGTTCGACCGGTGGAAGTAGTGAGCGAGAACGAGTTTCATTGATGCAGCCACCCGCATAGAATGAAAAGCAACGTCAGCAATATTGTCCTTAGATTGTAAGCATGCATATCTTGGAGGAGCAAACAACATACGCCATTGATAACAAGGTAGGAAATCGTGGGCGTAGCGCGGAACGAATGAAGTCAGGAATGTGAACCCCAGTATCAAAGATTTGAGAAGGGAGTCTTTCTTCGAATAACATCACAGTAACGCACTAGAAATCATGTCTAACTCAAACACCGCCGCGAAGAGGTGTATATCTCCTTTCAAAGACCCTTGTTAACAGCCGAGAAACATTTCGCCTGCTTGAACTTTTCCTTGGGGATTTCCGGACCACAGTACAATTCCTTGTCCCAATTATCCGTGAGCCCCAGTTTCAACCACCCATTCCAAGTACCGCCGTCATTCATGCGAATACATTGTGTATCACATATCTGAATTTCCGGATCCTCCAAGAACTTTTTAAGGGAGCCTTGAATGGTTTCCACCTCGAGATTAGTATCACAGTAGCGGCCGATAGCGCTCGCCCGGTAACAGAATTGCAGGTCCTCGTAAGTGCCGCAGAAGTGGTCACAGCTATTTGTGTTTGCAAGTGCCTTGATCTGGGCCGCAATGCCTGGTAGTTATCTTAGAAGGACGACGTCTACATGATAGGCGCAGGTCTGGATTACGACCGAGATGGCGGCGTAGACTTGGAGAGCTATCTGCTTCTTGAGACCAGTGTGGGTCTCGCATGGTAAGTTGGGTGCCCACTCTGTCAGGATCACTGTTAATTGTCACTTTCCAAGGGTCTGGTGGCTGCTATTCATCGATGGGGGATGATAAGGAGGCGACGAGTGCAGAAGTGGCCTGCCAACAGGCAAACGCGACCTGCAAGTTCCGAGTAAATAACATATCGGCAAGGTCTGTCGATATTATTAAACCTGACAGTGGAGGTTAAGAATCTGGAGATGATACAAATATTCAATGTCTGGTATTGCTTGAAGGGTCCCAATCATTACACTGAACAGCTGTCCCTTCTTATACTCGAGCAGCGCCTGAGTTTCAGATGTTTTACCCTTGGCTGTTGCAGCAGATGGAGGCCACTGTTGCCAGTCACAGTTGCAATATTATAGCGATTTTTTGTGGAAGGTTAAAAAAATCAATGGTAGCGGAGTCTACAAGACAAAGACGTATATGCAGATCTTAGGACAGCTTCTATTATGTAGTAACTAACGTCTTGCTTTGTTCTACCTTTGCCCTGTTACCCTGTTCCCTGCCAACATGATCTCAGCACCGATGATAATAGCCAGATAACCAACCAAGGGACAAGGGTTTAGGTAGCCCAATGTTCTTGTTGGCGAATGTATATAAAAAGGTGAGTTATTTCCTATGGGGATGCATGAGACAGGATATTGAGGGATATGGTTGTCAACTTGGAACTACAGTGTATTATCTTGTATGGATAGAACCCATCTGGAGTCCACACACGCTTTCTGGTCTAGCGGTGATATTTTGGTCAGCAATATACTCTTGTCTATCTAGAACTATATACCGAGGGTTTATGTGAAGCCTGTACTTATGATACGGAGACAAATAATAAGTCGGCTAAAGGAGAGGAGACAAGAATGAAGACAGCACCTATACTGCAACCTGGCGCTTTAGTTCGTTTAGTGATTACAAGTATGGAGATTTCTATGAGTCCCTACCTGGTGGGTCTAGAACACTCGGCAGAGATTGAGTTATTTAACAGGCTGCGAGCTAAGTGTTAGGAGAAGGTAGATTTAAAGCTCGGTATAATTCTGACTTGTTTTGTATCTTCTCCTTCCCTCTTTGTATAGGATAGAGTAGGATAGCAACGCTCGAAGATTGGGAGCACCGAATGGATAATAGAAACTCCGCCAGTGCGTCTACAATAAAGCAAGAGATTGCTCTTTATGCAAATAGGAAATTTCAATAAAGGTTTCACCTCGAATAAGGTCATGGCTGAAAAAGTAGGTTCCTCCCGGTTCTGAATACGACGCTATACGTGGACAATTATATCAATAAGGTAAGCATCCGCTTTCGCGGAAAGATGATAGAGTATTGGACTGCAGGATGCCAAGTGAGAGCATGCTATATATAACCAGTCCCTGAAACTTGGTTGGTATTTGCACAATCGCAAACACACAGAGTACAAAAATGGTACTCAAGTACGCAATCCTTGCTTTGACTACCCTCCCGGGAGGATTGGGTGATGGTATCAGGCAACTCGGATCGCAGCAGGACGATGCTGCATCGAATGCTTGCAACAGGCTGAAGGACGCATACCCCGGTATAGTACTCTAAGCTCCACCCTAAATACATCAATGCCAATAGAGATGAGCAAAGGTGGCTTTTCCCCGCAACAGGAAACTTTAGACTTATCCTGTGGCAGAGTACTACACGTTCAGTGCCTGGCTTGGCCTGGCCTGTGTCTTTGAGCCCTCGAATAGCACCCAGATGAGCGAGGCTGTACAGATACTCAAAGAGGCCAAGTCTCCTTTCGCTATCAGGGGCGGTGGACATATGCCAATCGCTAATGCAGCAAATATCAATTCGTCCGGTGTTAGCTTTGGTCTTTCTCAGCTAAGTCTCTCTGAGGACCATCCCACAGTCAATGTCGGCCTAGGAAATTGATGGTACAATATTTATGACTATCTCGAACCTTATGGTTAACAGCCGTCGGTGGCCGACTTGGTCATGTCGGCGTTCCTGGGTATATCATTGGTGGCGGTGTTTCCTACCTCAGCAACGAGTATGGCTGGATCGACGCTGTACATTCCTTCACCATGGATGGCTCGAAAGACACTAAGGCGGCTGTGATCCCGATGGCGGAGTATACACGGCTCTAGGAAAGGCACGTTACAGCGCGATCCTCTTTTATAATGGCGAAAACACGAGTCCGGGCGCGTTGAAGAGCTTCCTTGGCGCTGATTTGAATGCCGCCATCAAGACCTTCTTCAGCCGCTCTATGAGTAAGTGGTGCAAGGAGCTTGATCCAGCGCTGTCGCTGCTTAAGGGCCGCAAGCAGCGCTTCTATGTGCTGAACATACACGCTTTCAACAGACAGGCAATCTCGCTCATTCATGACACCTTTACGAGGGTGACAAAAGAGGACTTGCTATTTGGAGTTCTGGTCGCAGCTTTAGCATTCCCAGCGGGTTACCGAGAAATTTATTACCACCTCTACTGTCAACGGTGGAGACCCACAGAGCCTGGATATCAACGGTACCCCATACCTCTGGGTGGAGGAGAGCATCACCTCCGCTGAGATCGTCAGCGATAAAGACGTCGGTGCATTCTATAAAATAGTCAATGGTCAAATTGTCGATAACCACCAGGCCGCCGGGATCGAAATGGCCAGATTTATTTATTTGAATGATGCTAATCCTTCTCAAGATGCATTCGGCACTTTTCCCCCGGAGAACCTTGCGCGACTCAAGAGCATCAGAACGAAATATGACCCCGACAGGGTATTTACCGATCTCATGCCGGGAGGATTCAAAGTTGTGAGACCCAGTGAAACGCGCCCAGGAGAGCCTTGTGTAAATCAAATATCAATAATCTGTGCTGAGAAAGGAATCTTGTTGGCGTTAGTTTGAGTTAGTTTGATGGGACACTATGAATGAATTCCGACGTCGGAAATAAAGTACATTACAGTTAAGACATCGTGTTTTCACACCAATTCGTGATGTTATGCCCGCATGTATTTCGTGGGGAGAAATTCATAAAAGGGGAGGAAGAGGAAGAAGATAATAAGGTCGCATGATCGTTGCAGCTAGGCCTCATCTGGACTTGCTGTGCGACCACCTGGCAATGTGGGCCAAAAAAAAAAACATTTAAAACACATTTCATCTTCCCCTTCCCTCCCTTCTTTTCAAACGGTTGAAAATGTGAAGAGGTCCAAAAGCATCCAACACATTGACTATTCAACGGATAATAACGATATATTAAGGCACAAAAAAGTAAAATCCTGTCTCCCGACCAACGCACTTGATACATGGCACATACCATGTGCATCAATGAGTGCGACGGACGCCAAAAATGCATAAAAACGTCAGCTATACCAAAAGGAATCCCGTCTCCATCCAACGCACGACCGATGCAGCGCTGAAAGATGAAGCTGGGAAGACAAATCGAATATATCAAATTCTCCAGACATACCCGCCTTGGAAAAACAATAGAAGAGAAATTAAATCCATAACCCCGTTCCTTACCCAAACGTGTCAATTGCAGCCGACCCTGGCCTATGGTATCAAGTCATGAATTGCGTGTCTGGCCATGCTGGCGCTGTTCATCCCCGCTGGAATAGTGGCCGGCGGTGTCTGTTGGAGATGTCGCCGAGGACGCGGATTCTGGAGAAACGGAAGGGAGTTAGCGATGCTGATTCTTATCACAGACACATCCACTCAAGGACAGCCCTTACCCGTGGATTGGTACCCGCCATTGTTCCTAGAGCCACTTCCATCCAAAATCAGACTTTTGCGAGCTTTAAGGCGTTCTTCGGTCGCGCGAATCTTGGCCTGGAGCTCTTCTAGCTCTCGGTTTTGAATCATCATTTGAAATTTCCTAGAGGGGATTCTTCGGTTAGCCCACCGGGCTGTTTCCATTTCGGCGCAAGTTTCGGGATTTAAGGGGTGTTCGCAATGTTTGGACTACATACTTCTCCTCGACTGTCTGTGAAAGATTGTGGACATCCGAGTCCAGCGCGAAAACGCTATCTAGCGTGGTAGAGAAGGCCTGCGCCATGGTCCTGCCATGTATTGGTCAACGCTGGTATTGCAAAGAGCGCAAACGGAGGGGAAACGAACGACTGAGGACGACCGTTTGGTTTCCAGCCCTGATCTGCGTCCGACATATTGATGCTTTTTATTAAGATGTACGATGTGGCAATAACAGATAACAGGAGGTAGAATCAAGGCAAGGGAATCGTTTATCGCTGTGCTGAGGGGAAAGAATAGGAGCGTTCCCAAGCGCGCGCGTCAAGGAACTAGTAGGTATAAGGTAGGGTTGATGTGGAACTTGAGGTGCGATTCTAGAAGGATCAGAAGAGTGTCAAATCGCCGAGGATTAAGGGATTAGGTTTAAGAGGTATATATGAAGGTGAGAAGATCAGAACCAGCTGAGAGCAATCTATAAGAAAAGGTAGGGGGTGGTGTTTGATCGATCGCAGGACTGAGGAGGCCGAAGATCGAAACTTGTCGCACTAATGAATGGGTAAGGGCCAAGGGAGGGACCACTTTGAGTGGATAGTTATCAAAGCCCGGACGGGGATGATAGGGGCAAAAGGACGCTCGGAGGAAAGTTCAGTCGTCAAAAGCGATATCAATTTGAAGGGTTCAAGAGTCTGGCAAAAGGGGACAACAACGACCTGTCAGCCGTATATATGAGGGACTACTCTGCTGTTTTGTTGCTCCGTACCGAGAAAGGAGAGAGACGAGGAGACGGCAAACACGATGAGAAAAAGGGTTGTAAAGTGATACTAGCGAATCAAACTAATAAAATGAGGAAGTTTAGGTAAGGCCTGTTAGTCGGATCAATAGTCCAAGGGCTCTCCACAAGACTCCATAGTAATTCAAGTCATGCAAATCTAAATGAAATCCAGTAATAATACCAAGTCTTAAGATTCATTCAAATCATAGAGTTGCCTGACTAGCGGAACATTTGCAATATAAGTTTCACTCCCAGTAAGGAGCAGAATGTGCTAAAAAGTCAATGATGCAGATTGACTCTCCAACGCATCATCGATATGCCAAGGCAGGTGTAGTTAAGTAGTTTAGTAGAAGTTTGCAATTCCAGTCAACAAGTAGTAGTAGTGGTGCAGGACGTAAGTATGTTTTAGTATGTAAGTATGTATGTATGTACATGTACTGTATGTAAGTAAGAAGATATGGATGATGACGCTGCTGACGAGACCTCCTGAAAAGAGGCTGAAGAACGATGAATTCCTGCCCACCAGTAATAAAACACAAGAAAAGGGGCTAGTGGGATGTTTTTCTTTTTTGTTGAAAAATTTTGATTGAAATGTTTTTTTTTCTCTTGCCAGTCTCTTTTCGGCCCTGCCCCTGACAGCGTGGGGTTCGCGCTTGGTAGTGGTTATTAGTACAAGACCTAAGTTTAAGGTACAGTTCGGTAAATTCGATGGCAAAATGCCTCCATATCACAGTACCTACTATGGATAACAGTCCAGACCTTATCTAACTACCAAAGATAGATAGTCATCAGGTCTTTGACAATACGATATCGCATGCATTCTTTTTTGAGAGACTACATACTATATATAGTATCATTCTGTACGAAACCATTCACCTTGACTGGAATGACTATAGACAACCAATGATGCATACTTCCAACCAATGCGTATCTTTACAATGTAATACAGTTCCCCAGCAACCATGTTGGCTGTCGTCATTGTGCATGTCTAGGGGGTAATACGGATCCATACAGTCGGGCACTGACGCCCCATACGATACAAAACAGCGCTTGGCCGTCGATCCCTTCCGCACGTGACCTCCAGGGAAATTGATCACTCCGGGCAGGCAGACGACCACCAAGTGAACGATCCTAACAAACAACAGTAACGAACCTAACCCTTCCCATCTCCAGTCAACTCCTTCATATTGTCCACCTGTCATCTTACCACCCTCCTCTCTCCGGATTTTTATCCTCTCATCTGTCCTGCGCCCTTCATTTTAATCTCGCAAAATTATCCCATTTTTCTGGGAATTTTTGAAGCCTTCAAAAAACCGGTGGACCGGCCACGATCGCGCTTTACTCCTGATTTAATTTTTTTCCCGTTTTCGGCCTTGGGCATTCTCTGCGCACATGGTCTGACTGGTTCCACGTAATCCTCCGATCAACTTGCTTCTGGACCACTGCGTTGCGTTGTTCCTAATCCATTGGAGCTCTCTGACGGGCCAACCATCGGACAACCTTTATCACCGTGGCCCCCATCCCCAGATCCTCTCCCCCCAGTGGCCGATCAAACGGGCAATGGGGGATGCCTCCTCTGTCGGCCTATACGCCTTTCGAATCGCTCCTCTTCTTCCAATCCCTCGCCGCCCTAGATAGTCGCCCCACTAATTTCGTCTCCATCTCCGATGTCCTGCGCAACAACCCTTTTGTCCGTCAGAATGGCGCCTTCGATGCGGGGCGGCTCGCCCCGGAAGCTCTTGAAGAATTGTATACTACCCTGATACGAGATGGCGGAAATTCCGCTGACATCATCTCCTCTCTCGAACCTAATGGTCATCTTGTGGAAACCAACGGCGCTAACCCCAAGAAACGCAAGATCACAAGTCCGCGACCCGACGGCTTAGTTGATAAGGGCATGAGCCATGCTGCTATCATCCCGGATCTGGTTTCTCACCTGTATGCCCGGTACAAAGAGCTTGCCACTCGGGAGATTAGGAATGAGGAGGTGAGGTACGGCGAAATCCAAGACGAAATTGAGCGACTACAGAAAGAAGAGCGCGAAACGCCCCAGGAACCTGCCGCTGGGCCAGTCATCCGGAAGCCGACACCGCAACCACCGGAGGCGAAAATTGAACCCGAATCAGAGCCGATGGATGTGGATACCAAGGATGACAAGTCCATTCAGACACCACCTAAAAGTGCCAACCAACCCCCCGTTGAGCTAGCGCCGGGCATTGATATCAAGCAATCCCAAGTGGAACCGCAACAAAAAGAGGTGGATATTTCGAAGCAACCCACAGCAACTACGCCACATCCAGCACCTGTGGAACAGCAACGTGTTCCTGCAGAGCCGGTTGGGCAGTCGGTGCCCGCGCAGGTACAGTCGCAATTGCCTCCCTCGCCGCGACCACCACAGACATCAGAGCAACTCTCTGGTCCTCAGCCGGTTCCGCAAACGACTCCTGAACCGCATCAACCACAAGGCCTCAATGGAGAGCCTGTCGCGACACCAAAGCAACCAAACCTGGCGCCTCAGGCCACCCATGTCAGCCAAGGTCCAACGGATGTGCCTCCTGTGCAGCAGCCTATACCTTCGCCTGCTGCTCTAGCTCCCGGCGTTGGTGCTGCGCCCCCTCCATCAGCTACGCTTTCACAAGCTTCGCAGAATGTAAATATCCAAGGCGTTTCTCCCGTCTCTCAGAAACCCGTCTCGGCAAGCAAGCCAGCTGGCAAAGAAGGTCCACCAAAGGCTCCAGTTGCTGCAGCTCCTCTCCCCCCACCCCAGCCGAGTTTCGAGCAGTGGTCCTTGAACCCACCCCCTCAAACACCGCGCGCCCCTTCTTCACACCCGATTCCAGAGCCTGTAGGCCAGGGGAGACCCTTCCCATCCCAGCCACCGCTACCATCACCTAAGCCTGAGGCGAAAGTGGCCCACCAGACACCTAAACCAACAACAGTACCATGTACACCAAGGGCCGTTTCTACCGCAGTGGAGTCGTCAGCACCTAGCGGTTATGGAACTGGTTTTCAAACGCCGGTTGGAGCTGCGCAAGCTTTGTTGTTTTCGGAGACTAAGGGCTCGCGCCCTCGGCTATCCATCGCAACTCCCGGTTCCCTTACCCCTTGGAAGAAGACTCCTCGGCTAAGCATACCGCAATCTCCCCGGTCGCCGGAACGGCCTCGGCGAGAGGATGTAAGTCCTATTAGCGAGAAGGCTCCATCATTGATGGGGTCTCGAGAAGCTACGCCAGAGGAATCTGGGCCACCCCCCAGGAAGCGTGCTCGAAATGAAGGAAAGGGTCAGGGGCGGGGTAGGGATAGAGGATTGACAGGAGCTGATGCCGATGGTAAGGGAGGGCTAAAGCCGAAGGCGGAGAGGCAGACGGGCAAGAGGCGCGATAGAAGTACAGCTTCATCTAGGAGCCGTGGGCGTTCAGTATTGTCTCGTGATGAGGAAACTGAGTCTGTATACCCTGGAAAGATCAAACATGAAATGCCCAGCACGCCAGCTGGAATCTCAGAGACTGCTGAACCGGAACACCGTCCTTCTAGTGGCCGGAAAGGTACCGCCACTTCAGAGGACCGCCCGGGTAGAGGACGACCAAAGCGCAAGCGCGGTGCCAGTGAAGCGCCAGAGGCAGAAACTCTCCCTTCCGAGAATAGTCACTTTAGCCGGGTTGATCCTAATCAGTCAACATCCTATGTGCTCTGTGCACGTAACTTCCCCAGGACAGGCGCACCGATCATGAACGATGTGACCACTCATAAGCACGCATCAATCTTTACCAAACCGTTAACCGAACGGGATGCTCCTGGATACCGAGACCTCATATACCGCCCACAGGATTTGAAGTCAATTAAATCGTCTATCCATCAAGGCAGTAAAGCCGTAGCTGCAGCTACGGAAGCTGCAAACACGCCAGCTGCAGATGGCGAATCCCCGGCCCCCAATGCCGGGAAGAACGCGGTTCTCATGCTGCAGAAGACCGAGGAAGTAATCCCTCCCAAGGGGATAGTAAACTCGGCGCAGCTAGAGAAGGAATTGATTCGCATGTTTGCCAATGCTGTCATGTTCAATCCTGTTCCTCAACGCGGATTCGGACCTGCCTTTCCGATGACTTGTGATAGCGGGTCAAGGGAGAGCACTCAGGTTCCGGAGTTAGACGAAGGCGGTATCATCAACGACACAGTAGAGATGTTCGAAGATGTGGAACAGGCGGTCACGCGATGGCGTGCGGCCGAACGGACTGCCGATGAACTGGCGAGTAAGAGCATTCTGTCACTTCGGAGAGGGAGCGCAAGTGACCTCAACCCGGACAGCGCCGACGAAGTCAAAGGATGATGAAACGTTTACTGTAACGATTCAAGATATTGTTTGTAATACTAGCAACTATTTTTAAAAGGAAGAAGTTTAATTCCTGCCTTATATCTTTTGCGCCTCATCGAGACCTTATGGCGATATAAGATAATCCAACTGTTCAAATATTGTCTCTATACATGATGATAATATCAATATGTCCGTTTCTCGTATAAGCATCCCATCCCATGTAAATGCATGATGCAAAGTGTGCCATCTGACATCGTTACAAGATTTTTGTTTTCCAAGCTTGTTGTTTTCTGATCTTTTCTTTTCGTTACTTAAGCAGTGCCTGGTATCGCCTGACTAGGTTTCGTCCTCCCCAACCCTTCTTTAGCATAGAAGTCCATGGGGTACACGCCCTTGTTGGCAGTGTCCCAGCTCTCCCTCACCCCCAAAGCAATCAACGCCTCATACGGCGTTAACAGCGGGCGCGGGAATGCATAACCCCAGTCAATACTCAATCGAGGACAAGCGATCTGCACCCAGCACTCAACATCCGACATGGACGCTAACTTGCCCGGGAAGATCTCGCTCAGTAGCAGATTGACGAATGGAATCCCGCGCTCGTTAAGGTGGTTCTCGATCATAGCCATCGTATTTGGGTTACCCTGTCGACCGAGGGATCCGAGGATGAGACCCCACTTTTTAGCAGACTTGGCGGTGTTGATCGCGTCGCGGCGGAGGGTGTGCATTTCGTCGTGGACGTAATGTTCGCGGGAGAGAATGCGGGAGTAGGGATCGTAGCGGTAGGCGGGGATGGAGGGGTTGTGGATCATGGCGGATTCGAGGTGGAAGCGGCCATCGCCGAGATAGAGGAGAATGTCGATATCGTCGGAAAGCTGGGGGGATGTGCAGCCTAGGATTTCGCCTTTGGAGAGAGGTGTGATTTGTGGGATGACGACTTTGAACCCTGCGCGCTCGAGGACGGGCTTTAGGCCGTGAAGGGTGGCGTTGAACTGGATAGTTCCGACGGTTGCGATTGTCTTGCCGGTTTGGAAGTTGCGTTCGAGGGTAGCGATCAGGTGCGAGGTGTCGATGCTTATGTCGACGAAGATGTAGAGGGTCTTGATCTTGGTCACGTCTACTGGTATTAGGCAGCTGTGCGCGTAGTGGACTAGGAGATCGCAGCCCAGTGCGCGGGCGGTATAGTCGTCGATACAGCAGGCGCCGTATGTGACATCTCCCATGATGAGGGTCTCGGTGCCGGGGCAGAACTGGGTGATAATGTCGGAGATGGTGGTGGCAAAGATTAACAGGCCCTCGGGGAATTGCAAGGCTACTCTCTTTGCGCCAGAGGAACGTATGCGGTGGATCGTCTTGGGGATTTCGAATGAGTAGTTTTTGGGCAGGAGGTTGATCGCGGCTTGGATTTCAGGGTCTTCTAGAATTTCTGGAGGGACTTGATTTAGGGTTCGAGGGGTTCTCCTGGGAGCAGCTATGACAAAATTGTTAGTTAACTGTTTCAAGGCGTAGTTAAAGCAATATAGTTCCACCTACCCCTCTGAATGCTTGTCGACTCGACATCTTGATTCGACGACTGTTCTTTCTGTGCCTGAGCATCTGCTGCGCGTCTTCCCACGAACTTTTTCTTGGGCTGCCGTAGGGCACTATTGGTTGGCGATCTGTTTGCCGTTGTTTCCTCCATTTTGCCAGGCCCAATCGCGTACGTGAAGCACTTTGGATAGATATACGTTGGGAAGTGGGATGAAATTCCCGATTGATTAAACTGCAGAATTTGGTCTAGTCCGCCTGACTAAGGAAAGTGGCGTGGATCGGGTTTAGTGAGGTCAGGTGGGGAGTTCCGTGTCTAACCCGTTGTCGCTTCTCCGCATTTCATCGGTTGATCTTTTAGAAGCTCCTGGGCCGCATGCTTTCTTCACCATTCGATCTTCTCCCCTTCATTCTCTATTTGTTGTCATTTTCTAGGCATTGGTCCACTACTCAACTGGTCTGAATATTCCATACTTCCGCGATGATGAAATTCCGACCTAGATTAAGTCTATTCACTGCCCTTCGAGCTGCTCCACTCACTCGACGCTTTGCGACAGAGGCGCGGTTAACTTCGGACCATGTTCGCATCGTCGAAGTAGGACCACGAGATGGATTGCAGAATGAAAAAAAGACCATACCACTCGAAACTAAGCTCCAGTTGATTGAAAAGCTAGCAAAAACTGGCTTGACGACAATTGAAGCGGGTTCTTTTGTGCCGGCGAAATGGGTGCCTCAGGTATAAACCCCCAGTTGTAGAACTGATTTCCGGCGTTCTTTCTCCGGCATGAAAAGACTAGCTTCTGAAAGGGAATGGTAAACTAATGATAACTTTAATCAATTAGATGGCAAGCACTGCGGAAATATGTGAAAAATTGCTCACATCCCCCCCGCAATCGCAACATGCTATTGCATATAACTACTTGGTCCCTAATGTCAGGGGGCTTGAGAACCTTGTCAAGATCATGGACACGAGTGGGGTTCCTGCAGAAACAACTGGGTCATCTAAATCATCTGCTACGTCAACCGAAATTTCACTCTTCGCTGCGGCGACGGAGGCCTTCTCTAAAGCAAATACCAACTGCACTATTGCGGAGTCGTTGGAACGCATTCGTCCCATCGTCGAGTTGGCCAAAACGAAGAACATTAGGGTTCGAGGATACGTTTCCGTAGCCTTGGGATGTCCGTATGAAGGCCCCGAGGTCCCACCATCGAAGGTAGCTGACATCACGGCCACACTGCTCGAGATGGGTGCCGATGAAGTGTCGGTGGCCGACACGACTGGCATGGGAACGGCCCCGCGTACTATGGAGCTTTTGCAAGCGCTCAAGGCAGCAGGGATAGCAAACAACGACCTTGCCCTCCATTTCCATGATACATATGGACAGGCTCTCGTCAACACCGTCGTGGGACTAGAACATGGCATCCGGATATTTGACAGTAGTGTGGGCGGACTCGGGGGCTGTCCCTACTCTAAGGGGGCCACTGGCAACATCTCGACAGAGGATCTGATTCACACTCTCCATAGCCTTGGTATGCACACGGGAATCAACCTAGAGGAAATGTCTAAGATCGGCTCCTGGATCAGTGGCGAGTTGGGCCGGTTCAACGAAAGTAGAGCCGGGAAAGCAATCCTTGCAAGAATTGAAGAGTGAGAGCGAGCCTATGGTTGGGTGAAACTAAACTCAACCGTCGATTGAAGCATTTATTAGACACTGCGGAACCTCAAGCCTAGTGACTCAAATACATTAATGTGACGCCGCCAAACGCACAAGGCTAATCCTGGGTATAGTCTTTGAAATATAGCACGGATGTATATGGATCGCATGTATCGAACTATAATCAATTTGTGTCATTGGAAATGAATCAGCGCCATAAATATTCTTCGCCACATTGGCTATATTGTTCAACAGTATATTGCAGATATTTGCCAAGCAAGATAAAGTAACAAGGAGACATAAAAGGAGCAGCTTCCATAGCTTGCCCATTTCGTCCAGATATTTTTACAAGCAACGCCGACAGATGCAACCAAGCAAAGATTTACCTCTCCCCAAGAATTCAATATACAGCGCTTTGTTGACAATGTGCCAAATCGATTCATCGCCACTTAGAAATCAGTGACACGTCCCCCATAGCTCCAATCTCCTTCAGCACCCCAACGCAGTGGTTCATTTTTTGGTCCACCTATCTCGCCCGTCTTAGGATTCTGTTCGCCCTCGAATTCCGGCTTGACACCGCCTCGCAAGTCCGGGTGAAGCTCTTCTCCGTCCCCTGTCGCCTTGAATTCGGGATTTTCATTGACAGGTGCGGAGTTGGGGGATTGGTTAATCTGCGGGGTGCTGAAGGCGCCGGTGGATTTCCTTTGAAGTTCTTCAAAGATTTCCTGTTCTTCCTTGGGTAGACGGGGAGGGGCAGGGCCGCTTCCAAATGCGATGCTGGGTTTGTCGTCGGAACTGCGGAGAACCGGATGGGTCGAGAACACTCGGGAAGAGATGCGGAGTGTCTTGTTGAAGGGACTAAATACCCGGCGGGAAGCAAGTGAGAAGGCCATAATTGATATGGGGGGATATTTCTCTTCAAATTGGGTGCGACAGTCTTGAGTTGAAAGAGGGGATAAAATAATTATCAAGTTATGTTACACTCGGTACCTGAAGGGAGAATGGATTTTAATTGCGGAGTGGCGGGATGAGCAAATCACGATACAGTGTCTGATCAGATAAGCGTTCAATGAATAAATACTTTGGAACCCCGATATCGCGGGATTTGTTTGACCCGTACAGTCAATCAATTTCGTCCTTTTGACTCTTTTTCCTCCCTCCCCGGTTCGGTGACTCACTTGGTCTTTCCCCTTTTCTCCCCTTTAAATCCCTCTCTCCGACCCAATTCCTTAGATTTTACCCATATCCTATATCGTCTTCTTCCACCCGAATGGCCTTTATCCGTGTCGCCTCGCGGCGATTGCCGCTCGCAAGGAAGCTCGTTCCTGTGATTGAGTCACCGCTTCAGAGACGTTTTGCATCGGCCACGGCAATTCAAGATGTAAAGTCTCAAACAAAGGTCTGCCGAGGCTTTTATGTACTTGTTATCCAGAACTAAGAAATATTGTGACAGAAGGAGGCATCTTTGCCTAATCCCGACCCGGCGGCCGATTCCGCAACACTTGCTTTCGTCCAAGAGCGCGCCCCCTACATGGTCACCACCTACGTCCGCCCGGCTCCGGTAATGGTAAAGGGACAAGGCTGCTATCTGTGGGATATAGAGAACAGGCGGTATCTGGATCTCACAGCTGGCATTGCTGTCAACTCCCTTGGTCACTGTGACCCCGAGATCACACAAATTATCGCTGAGCAGGTGTGTATATAATACCACTGGATACAACATAGGGTTGATTGCTGATTTATGGTTGGCTTCCTTAGGCCGAGACACTCATCCACGCCTCTAATCTTTACCACAATGCCTGGACCGGTGCCCTCAGCAAATTGTTGATAACAAAGACAAAGGAGTCTGGCGCCATGCGTGACGCCTCTCAGGTGTTTATCTCCAACTCAGGAACCGAGGCAAATGAGGCCGCTATTAAATTCGCTCGCAAAGTTGGCAAGTCTCTCGATCCCTCGGGCGCAAAGCATGAACTTGTTTCCTTCCAAAACTCTTTCCACGGCCGCACGATGGGCGCTCTCTCCGCAACCCCCAACCCCAAGTACCAAACACCATTCTCCCCCATGATCCCAGGCTTCAAGTACGGCAACTACAACGACGTGGAGCAGCTCCAAACTCTCATCACCGAGAAGACCTGCGGTGTTATTGTCGAGCCAATCCAGGGCGAAGGAGGTGTCAACGTTGCTACTCCCGAGTTCCTTGTCGCCCTGCGCAAACGCTGCGATGAGGTTGGCGCCATTCTGATCTTCGATGAGATTCAATGTGGCCTTTCTCGTACTGGTGCTTTCTGGGCTCATGCGCACCCCTCTCTCGCTCCTGCGTCGGGCGAAGCTGCACACCCGGATATTTTGACTTCGGCCAAGGCGCTGGGTAACGGTGTCCCCATCGGTGCAACCATCGTGTCGGGAAAGACTGTTGCTGAGCATATCAAAGCTGGTGATCATGGAACCACGTTCGGCGGCAACCCACTAGTATGCCGCGTGGCACACCACATTGTTGATCGTCTTGCAACGTCAGAGCTGCAAAACTCTGTCGAGATTAAGTCGGCGGAGCTTATCTCCGGGCTCCAGGCTCTCCAGAAGAAGTATCCTGATGTCATCTCGCAGATTCGTGGTCGCGGTCTGATCTTGGGAGCCCAGCTCTCTCCGGACTTCTCATCTAAGGCATCGGAATTAATCACTGCCGCGCGGGAACGTGGTATGTTGATCATCACTGCGGGTGATGGCTGCCTTCGTTTTGTCCCTCCCTTGACTATCACCGAGGATCAGATCAAGACAGCCTTGAAGATCTTGGATCAGGCTCTGGAAGCCGTCATTACTAAGGCATAAAATGGATGGACGGTTAATCCATGCGTGTCATGGAACAAAAAATTTCATTTGTAAGTATATAAGTTGCATTCATTCTTCATGAATGCCAGCTGTCCACATACTATGTGCTTTCAATCTTTTGGGTTTCTTCTCTGTTGAGGGCGATGATAGAAAGCAGTTATTTTGCACCCCAGGAATAGACATTATGAATTTAAAAAAAACTTTCAAGATAACAACGTGCAAGAACGTAGAGTACCGCATGTTTGCGCATAAGGCAGACACTCCAGGCAGCAAGGCACCAACAGTGGTCACGAGCTCGATTGGCATTCCTTATCAACTAGACCGCTTCCCGCCTTTCTCATTGAACATCTTCAAGGAATCTCACGAAGTGCGCAGGCTTAGCCGTCATGCCAGTTCCATCTTCATACCAAAGTCGATGCCCTGTATCTATATACTTCACCAAGTAGAGAACTAACCAATTTTCTACCAATTGCCCTCATTCTTTCTTCTGTTATGCCTAGGATCCCCGAATCTGAGGAGACAAGCATGTTGCCTCTCCCTGGAACCCCTTCTGCCTCATGGGCTAGATTCCGCGCGCGGCTAAGTGCTTTATTTAGTGGCGCTGACCCCAGGGTCTGCGTTGCATTCTGGCTGTTTGGTGAGCCATTGGCACTCAAGTAGACCAAGAAGCGGAATATATAGTGGCTAACCTACAGTGTTTTTCCCTATTGAGTGAACAGGCCTGATCAATAATGTTCTTTATGTCATTATTCTCTCCGCTGCCCTTGATCTAGTCGGTCCTAGTGTGCCCAAAGGCGTGGTTCTTCTCGCGGATGTTATCCCTTCTTTCGGGACTAAGCTCGTTGCTCCGTACTTTATCCACGTGGTGCCGTATTCGGTACGGGTGGTGATATTCGTGCTCCTCTCAGCAATTGGGATGCTTCTCGTTGCTTTGAGTCCTGGCTACGCGGACGGCGGTACAATATCTATCAAGATTGCCGGGATTATCCTCGCCAGCCTGTCCAGTGGAGGCGGGGAATTAAGCTTCCTCGGACTGACACACTACTACGGTCCGTTTAGTTTGGCGGCCTGGGGAAGTGGAACTGGGGCTGCGGGGTTGGTTGGGGCTGGTGCATATGCACTGGCAACTACTTCTTTAGGCCTGAGTATCAAGACCACTCTCCTAGCGTCCGCTTGTTTACCGACAGTGATGGTAGTGAGCTTCTTTACCATCCTGCCGAGATCCCCTGTACACCATCCATTGTCGGCCGCACAAGCTGGCTACCGCGCTGTCGGAACCCCGGATAGGCTTGCGGAAGAACGGGCACTTGGTGATGATCGCGATGAAGCAGTCAGTGAAGCTGACGGCCTTCTTACTTCCTCTATATATTCCTTTGAGAGCCAGAAAGTGACTCAGACCGAGAGTGGGAGCCTCCGATGGCTGCAAATCAAAGCAAATCTGCAGCGTGCAAAAGGGCTTTTCTTCCCTTTGTAAGTACCCTCAGGACGGAACGATGGGGATGTTTTCTACTCACAATTCTATGCATTCAGCATGCTCCCATTGCTTTTGGTCTACGTTGCAGAGTACACCATTAACCAAGGGGTGGCCCCAACCTTACTCTTTCCGCTGAACGAGTCTCCTTTCACACATTTCCGCGCATACTACCCGGCGTATAACGCAATCTACCAGGTTGGGGTGTTTATCTCACGCTCATCCACCCCGTTCTTCCGCATCCATGATTTATACTTCCCATCGCTCTTGCAGGTAGTGAATCTGGTGGTTTTGACTTTTCATGCTCTGTTCAATTTTATCCCTAGTGTGTACATTGTCTTCGTGATCATTTTCTGGGAGGGACTCCTCGGTGGACTGGTTTATGTCAACACGTTCGCTGAGATTGGGGATCGCGTGCCGCAAGAGGATCGAGAATTCTCCCTGGGAGCTACGACCGTCAGCGATTCCGGCGGGATCTGTATTGCCGGCTTTGTCAGTATGATTTTCGAGGTTTGGCTGTGTGACTGGCAAGTCGCGCATGGAAGAGATTATTGTCGGAAGCTATAGCTGTGGATTTGGGGTGTTTCGTATAACTATAATAATACCGAGTTACCAGGTCGAGCATGTAAATAGATGTAAAGAAAAAGAGAAAATGAAAAGAAACAAAAAAATGCAAAAGAAAGGGAGATTATATAAGACTAAGGGTGGAAGTTGTAGTTTGTCACTTGACTAGGATTTAACGTGATGGTATCACAGGGCGAACATGTGACAGGGTGAACCCCGTGGGTAATCAGGGCAGGGATCTTCGTTTTCCTCAAATGAAGAACGCTACTCCATACATCTTGCCCCAGATTATCAACCATTCCACCAAAATGGATCAACGACCTATTTCCAAGCCATCCTCCGCACCCAATCACCGACGGTGGACAATAGTGGGGACATTTTCACATGCTTGAACCCGCGTCATCCGCTAGGCTTATCCATGGCTTTTCTTCAGACCAGGGGATCCTGCCTTGATTCCAATTTTTCATTCCTCCCTGTTGTTCGCTTTCCTTTCTAGTAGATGAGGTTGAGAAAGCCTCCCTCATCTCTGCCTGTGGATAGGTTTCTTTCTCCTTATCGCCGGTATCAATCGGGTTGGGCTTTCTTTGTCAGGTTGAATTACCATGGCATACGATTGGGCTATATATTGACGCCAGGAAATCTGAACACATCTCTCCCCCGGTCTTTGTTTCATACTTTTTACCTATATATGAGAAGCATTACTCTGTTAACTACCGCCATTGCTACTACCTGTATCCGTGATACCGTGTCTTCATACTATATCAGTCATCTACCCTTGGATTATACCGAGGAAACAGTCAGACAGGGGCATAGACACCCATTACTCTATTTAGGAAACCAGTGGAAATGATAGGTAAGCTTGTGGCTCGGTGTCAATACGTGGAGCTTTCGCTGACGAGCCCTCTAGACCATGTGCTAGGAAGGCCGTCGACCAAATTTCGTAAGATTCAGGTCCTTGCTGTCTTCCTTTTCTGGTCTACATATCTCCTAAGGTACTTCCCTCTATCATCCAAGGGAGAATAATCCGATGGCTCATAACTAAACAATATTGTATAGGGGAAATAGGCATGGCCCACCGGTCATTCGCAATCTCTCATCTCGCCTGTCAGAAAAGCTAAGCGTTTGGCAAACTACTGTTGGTGTTTTCTTGTGGCTATACCTCTCTCGCAATTTCGCGAAGATTGTTGGCTTAGAATGCCCGGAACCGCTAGCCAATCTGTATTCACGTTCCTTCTTTCGGGCAACATGGATCGCTACGGCCTTGGACGCTGGCTTCTGGACAGCAATGAAAGTCAAACCTAAATGGTTGCGAGATATTGCTTCTCTGGCATTTACAGTTTACTATCTTTTTGCCGCAGAGCAGGCCGATGAGAAGGTTCGTCGGGTTCGAGCAACCATAACCGTGGAGCACCTACGAGTCTCTTGGAACAAAGGTACCACGCCGTATCTCTGGGCGCTCGCAAGTTTGATGCGCCCTAGACTGACAAGGTACCCTCCTCGTGCCATACGAATTCCCCGCCCTCCACACTCGAGCTATACAGAGCCAACTAATGCGTGGCTCTACTTCGACGGTCCATTGAGTGCATTATGGGACCAGAGTTGCATTATCTTAGATATACCTGGAGGCGGATATGTCGCCATGGACCCTCGAACTTCCGAGGATCGACTGCTTGCCTGGGCTGGGAAAACCAAGGTTCCAATTCTGAGCCTCGACTATAAGAAGGCACCGGAATATCCCTATCCATATGCCCTCAATGAGTGCTATGATGTCTACCATAGCATTGTCGCTACCGGCGGACGATGCCTCGGGCTAAGTGGGAAAGTGCGGCCTCGAATTGTACTTACTGGAGATAGTGCTGGCGGAAACCTGGCAGTGGGAACTGCGCTGATGGTACTTCAGTCCGGGAGCCCAGATGCCCCCCGCTGGCAAGGCGAACATGTGCTCCCTCGTCCAGATGGGCTTGTTTTGGCATATCCTGCGTTGAACATGAAAGTTGAAAGCTGGATGACCGAGGAACAGATGGCACTCATCCAGGATAAGAGTGCACGCCGGACGAACCAGAATGTGCTCCGACAGAAAGACATGGACTACCAGCGACTAACGCCATTCACATCTCCGGGGCCTTCTACAGAAGACCTTCTCTTTTACTCATCCTCTGACCCTGATCTCGAAGCCGGTGATGTGGCTCAGGGTGCCTCCAAAAAGCTGGAAGAGAATCTCCAGGCTGATAACCTGGCGTCCCAGGCAGCTGCTGTTGCCGAGAGCCACCACCCGAAACAAATCCGGACTCGTATGGCTGTTTCATCCATGATCTCATACACCCAAGACCGGATTTTGACCCCTGAGATGATGAGGGCAATGATCATCCTTTACATTGGACCACACAACCGTCCCGACTTCAGCACGGACTTCCTACTCTCACCAGTGTTAGCCCCGGAGGCCCTACTTTCACGGTTCCCCAAGACATATATTATCACAGGTGAACGGGATCCGCTTGTCGATGATACTGTAATCTTCGCTGGAAGACTCCGACAGGCCAAGCTACATCAATTCAGAGACCGACTAGAACTAGGCCTTGAGAAGTCTCATCGAGTATTCAACGAAAAGGACCACGTCGAAGTATCGCTAATTCCTGGAATATCTCATGGATTCATACAGATGGCGGGCTTCTTCCCGGATAGCTGGAAACACATCAACAAGTGCGCGACATGGATTCAAGACATATTTGACGCGGCCGAAAGACGGAAGTCGTCATCAAGTTTCCTCCAATCACTCCACGAGAGCGCACAGCCCTCCAAGGTCTCGAAGGCGGACGCTATTAATGGTAGCCCGCGTCATCATAAGCGAAACTTGACGGGCGAATCATCAGGGGATGAAGATAAACCTTTAGAGATGAGTGTCAGCAAGATGACACCTTTGAACCCGAATGGTTCCACGGACGGTGTTAGTAGTCAAAAACATCGCAAATCGTCCAACGGGACGAGCCATGTTCACCTTCAAGACTCCAACCCAAATGACAACGAGCCCCACGGTCCCAGTGAAAACGAGGGTAAAAGCGCTTCTAGAGGCCGCCGTTCCAGACCGAAAGGATTGAGCCGAAGACGGCGTGATGCACCTACCAAGCTCACTATGCCTCCTGCACACGATTACGCCTCCGACGCCCTGCAGACCCCTCCGCCCCGACGGAGAGACAGAAGTATTGGCAGCCTTGCCAGTGAAGAAGATCTCCTAGATCGTAGAATGAATGGCTTGGCTGGGGGATTGATGGGCATCGGGGAGGGGGCTCGGACACCGTGATGATGATGAAAGGTTCATTCTTGAATGATTTACATGAATGTATGCATTGGCGATTAGATGGGTTGCTTTTTACATTGTACCAGCCGTCGACAGAAATGCGAAAAATTCAATTCAAACCCTCCCGTTGAGACTTGGTGTTGAAGCAATTATCTCAATCAGTTATATTCCTAATCAACCCCGTCCACAATTCAGAGACCCATTATTTGGAGAGTAGGAATAGCAATGCCGACGAACGCACAACATCTCCACTTCCCATCCTTTTCTTTCATCTTCTCAGCTTGCCCCTACTCTAGCTTCAATCATTTGAGGAACTCGTATACTCTGAACGGAACCTAGAGAGTATCACTCCCCCTCTCGTGGTTCTATATATATTAAGAAACCACGCATTCCCGAGTAGAGGCTTCTGTCTGTTGAGTAGTAACTGTATTCTGAAATTAATTATAGATCCACCGCGCACCCAGTCGAGTGTACAGGGAGTATCACTGTGACGGACAACAGGGTACCACTAGTGCGAGAAACGGGAATATGATACTTTCCCACGCGGTTAGGGAGATATATGTTACGAACGAGCCCCGGAGCTGTGGGTAGAACAGTTGCATCGAAGATGTGAATGAAGGGTATAAGTAGTGGGTCGATGTCTATTGGTAGTAATAACTGTGGTGAAAGATAGCAAGTGTTGGTCTGAGCTGAGCTTAAGGCTATGGTGTTTTTGCGGCTGTGTAGGGCTTCATGAAGTCCCGCAAGTTGCAGGGGAACGTCCACCCTCGTGGTAAGTGTTCAAATAAGACTAGTAGGGACGGAAATGATATGAGGTAGGAAAAGTGGATACAGCGGTATTTTAGGGTAGGCACGGCCTATACAGCTTAACGGGCTCCTATTAACGATGACATGGTGGTCTTCAAGAGTGTGCTTATCGCTATATATTGCCTCATGTACGGCGTATATCGGGTGCTGGATGAGCCAGCGCACAACACTCGGTTGAGGCCGGATGGGCTTCCGCACATTGGAGCAAGAAGGACATTGGATACTTGATTTGGTCTTGCTGAGGCCAGACCGCAGAGAGCTGGGTTTCTGGCTCTGGCGATCCCGGAGATTTTGCAGAACATTGGGGAGGTCTACCAGGTCTCATTGCACTATCTAGGAGAAACCCCACCCCCTGGGGCTTCCCCTTTCATTCCCCTTATTGTAGGCAGCATCTTCAGTTGGGTTCCCTTTTAGCTAATGGTCAATAGTGTCTGGATTCATTCAACTATCCTTCAGTCCTTGAGATTGCCGTGGGGCGGCTGGCTATTGTTCAATCGTAGGTGTCAGACGACTGAGGCTAGTCAAAGGTGAGCACTTTATCATGTAGCGGTCTGAGTATGGATCGGTAGACGATGAATGATTCTTTGCCCTCCAACTACTTATTTCTGCACAATACATAACTCTGCGATTCAATCACTTAACCGCCCTAATGTTCTCCAAGGTGGTTCATAGTAGTCTACAAGACTGTCAAGTTGGCTTGTGATCTTTGTGATATCCATTCTAGTCTGGAATAGAAAGAATAAATCAACAGTATCAAATAAAAAGTAAATAAATAAAAAGAGAAGAAAACATCTGATAATGGATTGCACGTGAAAGTCGACAGAAGAAAAGCATGTGATTGTGGGCCTGACGTCAGAAATATCGGAAGAATCATAAAAATAAATATCCAATCAATAAATTTTCACCTACTTCATAGGATCCCTTCTACAGTCCCTTGTATGTTTTTAAAGTCTGATCGACAATCCAAGACTATGGTCTAGACTGAATAGTATTACCCCTGCATTTATACACCATATATCCATACTACTACTGCGATGGAGGTGGAGGAACTCATGAACGAGACATCTCGGCTTGCCGGGAACGGGCCGATAAGATGAATAAATAAATCTCGAGCTTTATTCTAATCACCCCGAGCCGTTCAATCCTTCTCTGGGACCGTGGGTCTTTATTATTATTATTATTTTTCTTATTATTTAATTATTTATATCTCGACCCTGTGACCGTTCATAAATCCTTTTACCTAATTAGTTTCAAGGTACGGAGAGTAGAAGATGTTCATAAATAAATGCATTTTTCATGTGATTCAGGGTTCGGGAGGGTCATGCACTTAGTTCTGGAACGACTCGCTATGAAATATTAGTACTATGTAGGGTCAAGATCGTGGACAATGCGAAGGGTCGATTAGTAGCCCTACCGTATGCTTTAATACTTATCTTTCTATTTCTATTTTATTTTTTTATATATATATTTATATGATTGCCTGAATCCAGCAGAAGTGGCACGCCTTACGCCCCCTAATCGGAGGACAGCATCCAATGTGGCATCATGATATCCTTCTGATTAGAATATCACCAAATTTCTATCCAATCCATTCCCTGATCGGACCCGAATGGCTCCTTTACTAACCTATCCTACCATAATCTCCGAAATAATGTGAGAGTAGGCATCTTTCTCCGGTTGGGCTTCCGTGATGTCAGACAGCCAAGGCCAATCGCCCGGCATTCCGAACCTCCGCCGACATAAAGGCTTAGATACACAACAGCCTTGCAGATTGTAGCCTGACTCGGGCCATTTCTATCTGAAGATCCGCTTTACTGCTGCGTGGTCCAACGATAGGCACGGCGAAAACCGACCGTTGTATCCACTCGGACGGTCCCAAATGGGTTGACAAGGCGGTTCTGGCTTGGCATGACCTTGGGGCTCCTGAGTTGGTCTCCATGGTGGTTCGAGATGGATGGATCATTCCGTATGATCGAGTGGATATGTTATTCTTAGTGAATAAAAAATCTGAAAAAAAAAAGGGTCGTGGGCCCGCTAGATAATGAACAATGCTGCTGGTGGCGGTATATACTTATCCTTGCCCTTGTCCCAACCTTTGTCCTTCTGTATTATCATAGCCCTAGTTGATTGTCTAGTCTTTATCCTTTAAGAATAACCTTCTGTTTAACTCTCAAACATCTTCTTGTCGCCTTGCATCCTTCATAGACCTATTTCAGATTTTGCTGCTTGAAATACTGTGTGCATCGATTCCTACTATAGCATACATCCACTGATGCACCATGAAAGAACACAAGATCGTCAGCTCTGCAAGTTCGGGGGTTACCAAGACAGTCCATCCTCATGTCGACTTCGATGGTCCTGATGATCCCCTCGATCCACTCAACTGGCCGATCAAGAAGAAGTATGTGGTGTCTGGAGGCCCTAATTCGAACCAGAAAGGCTAATCGTGGCTATACATTTCTAGGGTATATATTTGTGCCATCTTGGGTCTTAGTACTATGATTGTCGCCTTTGCCAGCAGTATCTTTGCCCCAGCTATCCCCGTCGTGGTACATCTCTATGGCATCAGCAAGGAAGTGGCCACGTTGGGTGTCTCCCTCTATGTCTTTGGATTTGCAGCTGGTCCTTTGGTCTTCGGCCCCTTTTCCGAGCTCAAGGGGCGATACATTCCTCTCGTCCTGTCCATGTTCGGTTTCACAATCTTCTCGTTTGCCACTGCCGTCTCGAAGGATGTCCAATCCCTCTTCATTCTTCGATTCTTCACTGGTTTCTTCGGGTCTGGTCCCCTGACGCTCGCCGGCCCAGCATTTGCCGACATGTTCTCGCCCCAGCAGCGCGGTGTCCCTATCGTCATGTTCTGCCTGATGGTGTTCATCGGCCCCCTGGCGGGACCCTTTACCGGTGGCTTTATCATCATGAACCATTCCTTGGGTTGGCGTTGGACGGCATACATCCCCGGAATCCTGGGTGGCGCCGCTCTCGTCCTTCTGGCACTCTTACTCGAAGAGACCTTCCAGCCTACAATCCTGACCCGGAAAGCAGAGCGGCTGCGCCACGAAACAGGCGACTGGTCCCTCCACTCCGAACAAGAAGAGATGAAACTTGACTTCCGCAGCATTGTCGAAAACAACGTCAGCCTACCCTTAAAGATGCTGGTCAAGGAACCGATCGTCCTGTGCATGTGTATCTTCGGTTCCTTCGTGTACGGCCTCCTCTACCTCTTCCTCACAGCCTACCCGTACGTCTTCCAACTCAACCATCGTATGAACCCCGGTGTCGGCGGACTGCCATACGTCGGCGTCATCATCGGAACCCTCCTGGGCGCTGTCGCCACCGCCGCAACCCAGCCCTGGGTGCTGCGCAAGCTGAAGCAGAATAACGGCGAGATGATGCCCGAATGGCGTCTCCCCGTCGCTATCCCCGGCGCGGTGCTGTTCACCGGCGGACTGTTCTGGCTTGGCTGGTCCGGCTACAAGGGCAGCATTCACTGGATTGTCCCAACGGCATCCGGACTGTTCACGGGCTTCGGGTTACTGACCATGTTCCTACCCTCGCTGGCCTACCTGGTGGAATCCAGCGGTGACAAGTAAGTCTCCTAACTTATCTCCGGATCCTCCCGCTACAAGCAAGAACAAGAACCCTAACTAATAATCCCACCAGATCCGCCTCCGCCATCGCAGCACACACATTCCTCCGTTCAGCAGCTGGAGGCGCATTCCCCCTCTTCGCAACCCAAATGGTGAGTCACATACCCCAAGTACATTCTACCCTTTTCAACAACCTACTAACGAAACCGATTCTAGTTCGATGGCCTCGGCGTAGAGTGGGCCTGCACCTTACTCGGCTGCGTCAGCGCCTTGCTCATCCCCATCCCTCTCCTACTGTACATCTTCGGCGCCCGCATCCGCGCCCGCTGTGAGCTTTCCGCTTAATTTTCCTTTTGTTCGCTTCCTGATCTGCGCTGAGATATGCGTCGATGCGGGAAAAAAAAAAGAATTGTAATAGTCCCCCGTTTTTCTGCGTACATCTATCTGGGGGTTTCGGGATACATTTTTCTAGCTTGATTCATGGCGTGAACTTGGTGGGTTTGGTTAATATTTAATTGAGACTTGGTTCGGTGATACCTTTTTTTTGTGGATAGTAATGATGTTAATGATGAATGACTTTCTTGAGGTACTTGTGCATTTTCCCTGAAGCGTAGAGAAAGAGAGAGAGAGAGAGAGAGAGAGAGAGAGAGAGAAGGTTATGGCTCGACCTATATTGGCTGCATCAAAAAGCCATCATACGCAAGCTCCTCCGCATTTGGCCGGTCATCGGGTAACCAGCGAAAGTTCCTCCGCAAGGAATAGAGAAAGAGATCTTTATCTTCTCTATAGCTGATTAGATTATGTAAAGTGTCTGGTACTGATTGGATAGAATTAAGGGGGTCGAAGCTGTTGTTCTCACTGATATGCGACGTAAAGAAGCGAGACGACCGACTGCAGTGGGAATCTTAATGATACTCCGAGACTACAGTAAAACAATGACATGGTAAGGTGTTTGGAAGTGAGAAAGAAATTCATTCTTAGGGAGCGTTCATCAATAACTGCTGCGAAATAATGATGGTCCGGGTTAAATATATCCAACTTGGTTCGATTAAAAAGGATTAATGAAGAATCATACGACATATATTTTGGGTGCATTGCTTTTGAAGATCAATCGTATCAATTCAATGATTCAAGCTGTTCAGCATCGTCCCACTGGCCGCCCATCATGATCAAAACAGCATCTGCCATATTCTGCACCGTCCTCTATCTATACATTGATTAACCATTCTGAACACCAACTCTCCAAGTTGGAAGGAAATCAGCAAACCTCGCAATAGAAGAAACTTGTATCGCAACCGCCTCTCTCACACCGTGCCCTGTGGCCCGGTATATCCTTGGGAACAGCTGCGGCAATGCTCACCAGGATAGCAGCGCAGATGACCGCGCTGAAGAACCGCGTCTTGTTTATGAGCTCGGTTGAAGTTTTTAGTGGGAAGTTAAAGAAAGGAAAATGGTTGAGGAGTAAACGGCGGTGGTTTAACTTGGCAATTCTCGGACAACTGCGATGACTCGGAGAGGGTAAGGGTATTTATATTGCTCAGGGGCCCTACTGGTTCTCTGCCATCTCTGCCAATCTCTACTTCTCATTCTATTCTAGCATTATTTCTGCTCGATTTCTTTTCTCCTTTGTACTTTGTACCTATATTTATCCCTCGAGTAGCGCTGTATGGTTAAGATGGGATTTGTAGTATGCAATTGCTGCCTCTAGTTGTATCTCTTTGATTCTCTTAGGATAGTTTGAGCCCGGCCTTCCCATTTCGATTGGCCCTCATATGATTATCGCTTTATATATCTGTCTCTTTCCTAGTCGCAAGCCAAAGCTCCGAGATCTAACACATATTTAAAGGGGGCGTTTGTATGAATTACTGGCTAATACAATGCATTTACATATGACTGATCAAATTGTCGATTCATTCTTCGTCCCACGCAATCAAACCCAGATTCATAATGTAGCAAAATTATGCATTGCCTATAGAGATAATGCTATGACGGGACTGTAAGTGCTGTGAGGATGTATATGCTGACTCTGTGCACGGTCATACCTGCTTTGATTCTGGGATTTAATTTTGCGATAAGAAGTAGGTTTGGGCGAGAATAGTGCTATAGTAAAGTAGGATTACAGGAGTGAATAGGTTATCGGTGTTTCGTATAACTTTAATAGTATGTTCCTCTTCGAAGGCAAGGTGGGAGTTTGTGGTGTGATGTTAAGCATGTGGCGGCGATGAGATAAGATGTAGGATAGGCATGGAGTTCGAGTTCAAGGAAGGCTCACATTGACGGAGGTATAGCAAGGCGCTGCAGATGTCTACAACACAACCAGAAGGCATTGTTGTCGAGTAACAAGGAGGCTTAGACCTATAATTAATCTGATAATGTTCTCAGCAAAAGCCAAGCAACATGTTTAATTACTATCCTCCAACCCTACATACAATCCACGGTCCCAGTTCCACAAAAGCAGAGATGTGTCCCCATAGATACGATGAACCTCGCTATTGTCTCGATACTTAAATCCGCGAAACAGTTAAAGAATGCTAGTTTCAAGAGGTACGCCGGACTCCTGTGTCGGATCCGGGTTGTCGGAACCCAATTTGGTTCCTCCCCATTGCTATCAAAGAATTATCCCTCTTGAGCCATGTTGCTCCGCTATAGAACTATCTGTGAGGTGGTTGTAGGCTATGCATGGCTGGAGCGTCGACGTACCTTGCCCATTGCCCACAGCCTCTTACAATTCCCGAATGAATGCAAATGGGTTATTCTGGGCTTTTCCCGCAGCCGCGTTCTTGGTGGGTTTAGCTGAAGCAGAACTGCTGGAAGAGCTGTCCTTGGCCGAAGTCGTCGTAGTAGCGCTCGAGGTGCTTGCGGTCGACTTGGCCGCGACAGCAGTGAACAGAACCGCCATAATGGCGAGCCAGGAGAGCTGCATATTGATGGAAGGCTTTGAAACGATTGGACGGGAATATGGAAAGTAGACTGGGAGGTTGAGGTTGAGTTGGCGATAAGTAGTGATCAAGAAGGTGCGGGCAGCAATGAAGATGAGAATGAAGTCGGATGGTCCTTTTTTCTGTGTCACCAACAGTAGGAAAGCAGAGAGGTATTTATGGCTTCGGCTATTCATTCACTGATCACCTTCCCTCCCCCCTCCCGGCCTTCCTTGGTGATTCCCCTGTTTTGTTTCTTTGTTTCTCCGAGAGTCTTGCGTAGGCAGCCATGTCAACTCTCTCTTCCCTAGAGTAACCTCAGCGTGTCCAATGATCACCGTTGCTGGTCCAACGCAAGCTTTCTGAGTGGCTGTGTTGTGTCACAGCGTACCATCTGTGTCTCTCTTGATCCCCGGTGGATTGGTTGGGTTTTATCTTGACTTCATTCCCCTGGTGGTACAGTACCAACTATCGATCAAGGATATCCTTCTGTGTCACTCGACGTTGTGAAGCTTGCGTAAGCCCCCCTGCTCTCAGGGAATTTGTGCTGCAGAAACATTGCGAATCACAATGAGGGCTTGGTCCCATGTGTGAACCAGTCAGCAATGGGGGTGAACAGGAGATTCTCCGCTTATTATCACCTTCGGCGGAATGAGCCGCAGGGTCTCACAGCTGCTTTTCACTCTTGCGATATGTCATCTTAAGCATACAACCGCGAAGGATGCGGCTCCTCCACTTCCCCGGCCATGAAGCTGCAATGGTGAATAAAAAAGCTCGTTTCTTCCGATTCCGTGCCGTCGTCCCCTCCCGCCTCATCTCTTGACCGACTGTCCGCTGCTGACTGTTCCCCAGTTATCCTCGCTCCCTGGCCATCATCCGGAGTACGAGATATCACAGACTCCCCCCACATTACGGGCTTTAGCCCAGCATCTTCATCGTCGAGCGGGGGATGACACGCCGCACTAATTGCCAGACTACAGCTCCCCGCTACTGGCATATTGGTCGGAAACCTCCTGAACGCTAGCCCCATCAAAGTGACAAGAACCAGACCAGCCAGCGAGAGGGTAAATATCATGGCAATTGGCGAAAGAACGCATGTGGAGATTGTTTTACTTTTGTCGACGGCGCCCCTCATGTCGTACTGGTAGATCGCAACGTAGGAGATGCTCATGGATAGAAGCCAATGCAATACAGCCGAGACTACGATTGTAGGGATACTAAAGGAGTATGGTAAACTAAGGAAATAGGTGGAGCGTTGGTCTCCCTCAGGCCAGGTAACTCGGAGATGTTTGCGTCGCACCGAGTAGCTGTTGTACTCGGCTGCCATGACCATGCTGGTGAGAAGGCTGTTAGTTAGGTAGTAGAGTGTAGAGAGAACTATCTGTGGGGTGTTGGCAAGCAGCACCATGGCTAGGGTATTATAGGTGTTGAGATATCGGAGCATGGCCTCGGGTCGTACTGTGTTGAAGCCAAGACTCCACATTGTAGAGATTCTGGAGTCGGGAAGGTAATCCGTCACGCCCTGGTAGGAGACGTATGTTATTTCTGCTGCGGCGAAAAGAGATACGGTATAGCTATAGCGGAACTTATGAGCATCGAGATTATAATAGGAGTGGGGAGGCATGTCTTACCAGGTCATACACACAGCCCAGCGACGACCACTGGCTGCATAGAACCAGCGTCTGCGAGAAGGAAGAGGCTCGGACTTCACAGCAGTTGGCTTGGAGAAGTATCGCTTCGCGCTTCTTCGATCCATAAATGACCGACCTAGTGTTGTTGTATCTGGGTGTTTCAGGAATGAGGCGATGGCATCGCCAATGGTGAATAGTAGATCTTCACGTCGTAGTCGGAGTGTGAACAGCATGCAGACAGCCTTAGTAGCGTTGCACGCGATGATAATCACACATATAAGTGGACTGTACATGAGCCTACAGTGCTCCTCCACCTTCTCACTCAGACAGTAGTCGATGGAATAATACTGCTGCGACAACAGCATTCCCGCATCGCCAGGACACGTTGAGTTCGATTCGTACACCGTTACCATGGAAGCAAGTGATGGTGTCTCCCATTTCCCGTTGCGTAACAGATCCCACGTGAGGTCGACGGTGCTGTAGCCCTGCATTCCCCGGAGGGACACCCCCAGAATATCTATATCTGAGCGGAGGGAAGGTGGCAATGGTGAATACGCTAGACTAGAATAGTTCTGTCTGGTAAAGGCGAATGAGCCGTCTAAAGCCATCACAACAATATCATCTCCCACGAAGGGCTGCGCATACACTGCCCAGATATCGACATGCTCTAGTAGAGCAGGTCGAAAACATTGGCCGGAGCCAACGTCGCCGAAAAGTTGAGCATTGGGTCCATTACACATCCAATTGAACCGGGATTGGTTTTCCTCTAGTGACGCCGGTGCGTTCCCAGCTCCCGCCCACATACCCGGAGACCTTATTGTACCGTTATTGGTCACAAGTAAAACTGTTCTTCGGTTTGAGAGAAATGGTACTGCGTAAGCCTTCACGCAGTCTTCTTTGTCCAAGACTTCTAATTTGTTGCCCTCGTACATGGCCTGGACTTGGGCCACATCTGTTCCCATCAGGCCATCATAGCAATACGCGGCGGCAGCGGAAGTGGGTTCAATAGAAACATTTGATGATACCACCGCAACACCATAAGAATTCGAGGACAGCGCAGAGAAGATAGCAGAATTGTAACTGTATTCATCAGTGTCAATAGGTTGATTGACCCACGGTTGTGTGCTTCAGGAAGCAACCCACAAGACATGGAAAGGAACCGAGCTCAGGAGCAGCAAGCACCACCAGACGATTTGCGCAGACCGCATAAACCTCAAATTCGTAACACTTGGGGTCCCGATATCTACCCATTTTCCGCGGGCATGTAGTTGATTGACATCATCTCTAGACGGCGCGCTCAAACATTGCATGCAGTAGCTACTAGCGCCTAGTAATATGGTACCCAGCACATTGATCAGCAAATGGAACCCTGTCGACCAGTGTTTCACCTTTGCACAGTCTCCTTCGAAGATCGATTCACCTAGGAATGAGTGCGATGGTCCTCGGGCCCGAGAAGCAGCAATAACAGTAAGGACGAGATTCAAAAGAAGGATCGCAATAGTCACGGCAAAACAAATAAAGGCCCCGTTGCGCCATTCGTAGCCAGTTCGTGGTCTATTCTTTCCCTCTTTAGAAGGACTGGCTGCGTCATCGTCAGAGTCAGCCCGAGCGCTGTTTGCATAAGGGGAATTATTCAGTATCTTTGATCTCATCATTATATTGCTTGGGCGATACATTTCCTCACCCTGATTCCCGAAGGCATTAATATTCCAGCCTTTGGGAGCCTGAAAGTTTCAGTTGGAATCTCCAGTCAGCCTTGTCCGTTGAACCCCGCGGCTTAGCGGCTTAGCTACGTAGCGCTATAGACCCTTGCTAATTTCATCAAGTCGCATATCATTGTCTCCGATTCATAACAGTTGTACTCGCGTCAGGAGAGGTCTCGTTTCGTTAGGGACCTCTGAAAAGAGCAGCCTCGTAAGGACGACATGATTCGAACCTGTACCTCAAAAGTCCCATCATCTCGGCCTTGTGCAAGAATAGATAAGCATTGAAAGGCTTAAGGCACATTGCAGGTAAAAGGCTAGATATCTTCAAATTACTAGGTGCTGTGTGGTTCATGTAAAATAATGTGCAAAGAGTACTAATATGCTGTGATAGGGTTGTGGAAAATCATAGGATCGTCCGGTATATTGCTGCTCTGGGAGAAAATGGCTCGGCACGCATCTAATTTGCTTCAACCCCACAGCCCTGAGGGAAGTCAGTCCGATTGTCGAATCTTATACTCCCGTACAATAGCCTCAGCATGCTCTTGCATAGGAGAAAAGCATGCTCATAGCTCCCATTGTATGGCGGAAGCTTCGCAACCTTGCGCTGGACTGTTGTGCGAGAGACAAAACCACCCGAGTTCCATGCGAATTCCAGACCGACAATTCGATGGCATCTTGACTAAATTGTGAACCATTCAGACCGGCAATTGCGTGCTCTGGAGCCATCACTACTATCCCTCACATATCTCTCCTATTTAGCCACGCAACGTTGCACGCGACCATGCAAAAAACCTTGTCTCTGTTTTCCTTTTTCCTGTGTCGCCTTCTCCCATTTACAATCCGTCTGTTTCAACCTCATTTTTGGTTCTGACCACTGCCGCCCAGAATTCTACTGCTATAGGAGCTTCCTCACATTGGGGCCCCCGTCAATTCCTCCTGTCGATCATTCTGAATATCCGCGTTCCATGCTTATCCTGGGTTTCCATCAGACAAAATGGCGGCGACTAAGGATTCCGACTTGCTCAACAGCACACCCATCAGGACCAAGGAATACGATTCGTATCCTTGGGAACTACTTAAAGACCACCAACTTCGGTCCCACCCTACTGAATGCATTCCGGTCTTGTCTTCTGCTGTAGCGGGATGCTTGGCTGTAATGAGAAGGCGATGGACGGAGCGCGTTTTCCCGCTGGTTTGCCTGTTTCTGATGTTCCTGTGCGTCTTGGCTCCCTCTTTTAGATAGAGTGCTGTTACAGCTAATCTGTTTTCGGTAGGATGGTGGTTCAGTTTCTGGCGGCGCTGCCGTATGGGCTGTCATACATCTTCTTGCGCAATGGGAACGAGGGCAAGAAAGGGTTTGCTCAATGGCCCGCCGAGTTCAGTAAAGAACCGGGCACTTGCATTCTTCATAATCCACAGACACATGACCCTGTTCAAGATGCTATTGATGCTGGATGCTCGGGAGTCAGGGTGGATATTCGGGTGCACGAGGACGAACTTATGAGCAGTCCGATGTCGGGTCAAGGGGCGTCGGATACACTGCACAGTCTCTATCTTGATCGTCTCTTAACAAGGTTAGATGCCAGAAACTCTGCAGAGATTTCGCCAGCATCTAGCGACGGGCCTGGCCTAATGGGCCTGCTTGATGATGATCCAGCACTGCCGCTCACGATACTCCTGCAGTTTCACACTTTGGTGCAAACGGTCTGGCCGCGGCTGGTTTCGCAACTCATGCCGTTGAAAGAGAAGGGCTACCTTTCTCATCGAACAGGAACACAGGTTGTTCCTCGCCCTGTCACCATTGTTCTGACGGGCCTGGACGCGTCGGACTTCGTCGACATTATTGGATCTGGCCCTGACGACATCCTGGACAGTATCATGCTTGATATCCCTCTTGAGCGATTAGAAAAGGAAGGTTACGACTCCATGTCAAACTTATCAGGGCCCTTCCATGGTTCTAGGAGCCATGCATCCGCGCAGTCCGATCTGGACCCAGAGAACAGATTAACTCCCCCTCACGAGCTCTATCAGCTGCTCACCGCGACTGTGAACTTCACTAGGTCCATCGGCCTCCCTCACCGTGGTGGACGATTCTCTGCGCAACAGATCGAGCGCGTTCGCGCCCAAGTGCAAGCGGCTCATCGGCGCGGTCTTCGCATCCGTTATGAGGGGATCACTTGCTATCCACTACCGCTGCGACGGATGATCTGGCGGATCTTGGTCCACGAAGGTGCTGACCTGATTGAGATGGAGGGGATGGGAGATGAAATCCCTTGGTGGAGACGATTCTTGCTGGCCCGAGAGATGGAATGTCACGGTCGAAGAGAAGGTACACGCTCAAGGACTGATAAATTTGTATAGAATCCCGAGGGACACGTGAGTGTTCCTACGTACGATACACTGGATTGGGAATAAATTACATAACTGAAAAGAGCAGTAATATTCAATCCGTATAATATCCGATAATTTTAAAAGCGAGAAACAAAAAAAAAATAAAAATAAAAGATAACTAAAGGGAAGTATGGCGCACGTTTCTATCAAACCAGGATATGCCGAAGTATCTCAGATCTAGGCTAGGCTATGAATGATGGAGAATGTGTCGCATCAAGCCACCTTCGCCACTAAGTAAGGGTAATCGGAATGTATCCATGTATGCGCATATGTATGTCCCACGGTTCAACAATATCAACGTCTTTGTGTTTATGACGCACATTGAAGAGGTGGTACAGGGAAAAGACGGTTCAAAACTGTAAAAGAAAGGGAAAAAAAAAAGATAACACCAATATTCTACAAAAAGAGGGTTACTATGACTACGCAAGTTCTTTTTTTTCCCTGAGGGATTAGTAGAGGCTCTTTTTGATAAAAAGAAAACCGGGCAAACAAAGAGGGGGAAATAAATAAAATCAAATAAAAACAGGCGGTGTCACAGTATGTAACACATTTTCTGGTGCCTGAATGAAAGACTAAAATAATGAGGAGCGGGGATTGACGGTGGAGATGCAAGCATGCTGGATGACATCAATTAATTATCGATATAGGGGGGATTGGCAAGGACCTCCTGATGACTTGGTGGAGATGGTGTTATAAATAGGGAGTTTTAGCTAGAATATATATATACAGATAGTATTTCTACGACTTTCCCTATACTAAATAACTAACAGTAAGAAGAGCATGGATATCAGTAAGGCAGAGAGAAAGAGAGAGAGAAGGATTAACGATGAGCATGACACGTCGTGGTGCATAAACAAGCATGTCGGTGATTCCCTTGCGCCCAACCGATAGTAAGCTTTGACCAGGACTCGCACTCGACATACAAGGAAAAATCAATACCAATACGACGGGAAATCAAATAGAGCTAGATTGCCGCAAATAATATTAAACAGAGATGAGGGATTCAGATAGGAAGAGAGCCAGAAGAAAGGAAATAAAAAGAAAAAGAAAAAGAAAAAGAAAAAGAAAAAGAAAAAGAAAAAGAAAAAGAAACGGTTAAAAAAAAACATAGAATGAAACCCAAAATCTAATCCTCCTACCTAATATAATACAACTTACATACCAGACGCTAAAAAGTGAAAAAGAAAAAAAAGAGGGCTCCACAGCTTTCCCCGCTGCCACGACGGCCCCATCGGCCACTACGATTTGCAGCTGGTCGTTAATCAAGCCAACTAGCGGTTCTGCATTCAATTGATTGGTCCTGCCGTGCTTTTCTTCCGACGGTTCAGTCTCCAACTCGACAGTTGGGCCTGTCGCATGTCTGGTGTCGTTCATTCCCCTACTCCATTTCTCACCGATTTTCCTGCTTTTTTTTTTCCCCTTTCTCTCCACAACCTTTCATCCACCTTCCCGAGCTATCTCAAAGCTGGGAAAAGGTTTTTTTTCTCTCACAGTCTCGGGTAAATCCTACTGCCTTCCTCTCGACGAGCTTCAGATTCCTCCGGTTATTATCGCGTCGTTGCATATTATTATATAAAACAAGCTTTGGATCTCATTCCCTTTTTCCACCGCTATTTGGCGATCGGCCTCACCAGCGGTTTCTCTCTCTCTCTCTCTCTCACTGTGTGTCTCGCTCTGTTTTCATCGGCCGGAAACGAAACCTATCGCAACGTTTATATGCTGAAAATCTTAACGGTCCTCCGAAAAGCACCCCTTCCATGATGATGGATTTTCAGAAACACCCTCCCCATCCAATATATCACTCGCATCCGTCCTCCGTGTTAGGCGCGTCCCACGATCCTCGTATTGTCGCTCCGCCGCCCCCTCGTGCCTACGCACCTCAGCCGCCTACCTCAGCACGCGTGTATTACGATGCATATAATCGACGCGAGAACGAAATGCCTCGAGCGGTGCCGGCCTATCACTATCCGACTGCGACGGCCCCGTCGATTCCTCCTTCCTCCGTTTCATATGCCCATGAGAGTATCTCGGCGTCAGATCGGACAGATAACAATGGATATCACATATCACAGCCGCATCCCGGCTCGATGAAGAAGCATACCCTGGATGGAGGATTAAAAGAGTCTTATAATCATCATAATTATAGTCTTAATATTAATCAACTCAGCAGTTATGATCGTCGTATGGTGTATCGTGAAGGTAGGAAGAGCTCTCTCTTTGTGTCTTTTTTTTTTTCCTTCTCCATGGTTTTTTGTTGAACTTTTTCCGCCCGTTTCATGCACGTTTCATTGTTTCCTTGCCTTGTTCACAGACTGGGGAGGCTGGTGCTTAGGATCCAGGCTGTCGCATGGTGATCGCCCGGCATTCAGTGAGACATGGGAAGGGGACTTGAGGATCTCCCGTCTTTTTCCTCCGTCTACCGTTCTTTCTCTCTCTCATTTTGACTCTTTTTTTTCTTTTCCTTTTTCTACCTCTTCTTTCCTTTTACCTCTGCAGATTCGTCAATTGTCTCGTGTTTCCATGCAGGCTCATTGTTTACCCGTCCTACCTTACATCAAGGAAAGGTACCCAAACTTTGAGCCCAGAGATCGACGGCCAATCACGGGTCTTGCACCAGCCGCGTTTGTGGCGCCTGATCGACTTCCAGTCCAGGCGACTCGGGAGCGCTATCCCCCTAGAGGCTTAGCGTGCTGTCTCAGTACACCTTTGCCTAAACGGGTCTAGCTCTGGCTGAGCTTTCCCTGTCCCGGAGTCACGGGTTCTGCCCCAGTCGTGGAACTCTTTTGTTGCGCTTCTCCATCAGCATCATATCATCCCTCCCCTTTCTCGCGCATCCCCCTCTTCTGCTCCTCCTCCCCTCTTCACATCTTGTCTTGTGTTCCGTTCTGGTTGTCCTTCATTTCTCTCTTTGCATGCGACATGAACCCTCCCCAGTCGCATGACCAGAGCCGTCGGAGGTCTTTGGGCAGCAGTGGCAGTCCCGTGTTTCCTGGTGAGTGCCAGGCGTTCGCCATCCGGCGCCCTTGCTCCCACGCACAGTGAGAGCAAGCATGGGCCGAGATATGCGGTGCCGCACATATCGCTTAATCCTAAAGCTTACCGCTTGTCGCATATCATGTTTTTGCTCGCTCGTGTTTTTTTTTTTTTTTTTTTTTCTTCTGTCATTCACGCTGGTCGGAACTCGTTCGCTAACCTCGGAATCTTGAGTAGGACCCCCAGAACAGCCCTCCGCGCCTCCTTTAGGCACTCGTCGGATGCCTCCCCCGTCTCCGCCACAACATTACCCCTCACGGGGCCAATCGGGAAACGTTTCTTCTCTGTCTACCGCTTTTTCGTCCCGTGAGACTCCCAGCAACTCGGCTCATCATCGTCCTGGTAGCAGCATGTCGATATCGTCAATGCTTGGCTCGGACGCTGACCGTCCAGCCCGGGATGTAGGCTCATCTTCTATCTTTTCGCGTATTCCAGTTTCATCCGCGCCCTTTAGCAGCGCACCGCCTCCCTCTGCCCCCAGTGCCATGTCTCCCCCGACCGCCCCAGCGAGGCCCTCTCCGCTCGAATACTCGCCCTTTCGACGGTCCCACACCCCCGAGAAGTCATTTTCGAAAACCCAACCGGGGAGGCAATACCGATCTGCCTCCGGGGGGGGTTCCCAGCCGTCGGTGGCGGAGCAGACCAAATTTGGCGGCCTGTCTCGCGTCCCGTCTTCGTCGCAGTATCCAGATAAGCCCAGCTCTACGCATCCGTCGCCCCAGGTGTCATCCGCGGAGGTGCCCTACAATGAGACGCGTCGATTCAGCTTCAGTGCGCCGGCCCCCCGACCGAACAGCCAGCCCCAACACCTCGAAGGGCCTGCGCGACCGGCTGGTTACAGTCCTCTTGCGCGATCGGCGGCAGTTCCTAGTGGCGGGGAGAGCTCCTTTGGAGGAGCGCACCAGCGACAAGCATCATACATGGGCCAGGAGTCGCAGCACGGCCGGTTTGGGGGAATATATGGTGATCGTCATCTGGAAGAACAAGCGCATCGAGAGCGAGAGAGAGCCATTGCACATGAGCATGATTCCAAATCGTCTCATCCCCCGTCGCGGTATGGTCCATACGGTGATCGGGACCCGGCAGCCGGTCGGCAGCAGAGTGCAGCGAAGTGGGAGCTCGGTCGCTCACAACCACCCTCTCCGGAAGTGAAGCGTTTCCCCGCCTCGGAGCCCGGGACCGGGTTTGGATTCGGAGCGATTCAAAGCTACACTAAATCTTTGGGAGGCTCGCGACAAGCTCCCTTGTCGATCCAGCCTCGACAGGGCCAGCCAACGCCGCCGCCTCATGAGCAGCAGCCGTATCTCACCAAGCTCCAAACCGAACCCCGTCCGTTTGGCTCGACACCGTCGGCTGGCCCCTCCTCTTTGGCTCATTCTGCATCGTCAGATAACCAGCGGAGGAAGGGAAGCGATGAGTTACTTCAACACAGAAGTCTTCTGGGTGTCGGCCTCGATGCGAAACGCGGTGGGCGGGCGTCGCCTTTACCCCAAGCAGTGCAAGGCGCGCAGGCCCAAATTCTTGGACCGGCCGGCGAGGCCGGCATCAAGAGTGAACTTGGTCGGGTATTCTCCGGCATTGGCAGTGGTGTGGGCGGCGTGACTGCCACCACAGGCAGTGGGCCTTCCACCCCCATGGTCTCTAGCCCTTTCAAGCGCGACAGTGTCACGGCTAAATCCGCTAACGGTGAAACGACAACCGATGAAACCAAGATCGGTCGACCCATATCGGCAAACGAAAAACGATCGAGGAAGTCGCGAGATGAGGACGGTCAGGCAGAGAGCGAGGCAGGTACTGATCAACGACTCACAACCTCGACGCGTGGTCGACGAGGCCGTCACGTTCACCATCACCATCACCAGTACGTTGCCCATCAATCTCTCTTTAATCCGTTCATACACAGTTCCAATGTATATATGCTAACAACACCATGCAGCCATCACCATCACCGCCATAAGCCTGAAGAAGAACCTGCACCCTTGGCGTCCCACCGTGGCTTGCCTTCAGTGAATTACTTCCATCGGACTACCACGCCGGCTGAGGCAGCAGCCACCGCTCTGGGACATCATCATCATCACCATCAACATCAACATCACCACCATCACCATCATCATGCGCCTCGTCCCGCTACAGCCAACCCGCCGACGGTGACTCCGATGCGTGAACCTAGGACTGTGGTCACTATTGAACCGGTCTTGTCAAGTGTAGCCCATCTACCCCGACATCACCTCGGGTCCACCTTATACGCGCCCCGTATTGGGGTGCCTACAGAGAAGGCTACGCTGGAAAGTGCCAAGTTTGGATATACGACGACTCCGCTACCACTTCCTCGCTTCGAAGGAAAAGAGAATTGCACGTTTACCATCCGGGTGCCTCGTTTCCGCATCGACTCCAGCCACCGCGAGGAAATCTGTGCTCGGCGTGCAATCTGGGGGACTGGCGTGTACACTGACGATTCGGATCCGGTGGCGGCGGCCATCCATTCGGGATTCATGCGCGGGGCATGGGGTGAGGATGTCGATCCGGACATGCTTGACTTGGAAATCAAGGATGCCTATCAACATGCCCCGAAGACAGCCCAAGAGGTTGGGCTTCCTGATGGCGACCGGCCTCGCGTTCCGCCGGTGCCCCCGTTGGACAAGGACCTCCACATCATCATCCTCATCCTCCCTCGATTAGAAAAATATGACTCGAGCGTGCTGTTTGGCCTCAAGTCACGAGCCTGGGACGGAACGCACGATGGGATGAGCTTTAAAGTGCTCCGAACGGAGTGGGTCGACGAAGGCGTTGGTCGAGGTGAGGAGCGTAGCGGAGAGGCACGACGCAAGCGCCTCCGTAACATGATGCAGACTGGTCGGATCTGCACTGGACCCGGCGTGTTGAAGCTGGAGCACCTTCGCAACGGGATTCAGATCACCCGCCGGAAGACACAATCGCAGGAGGGTCCAGAACCCCAGCCGCCGTCTGCCCCCGTCCAGACGGTCTCATGAGATCTTTAATGAGTGTTCATATTCTGTGCATTTCTCCTTGTTTATTCGTCTTTTGTCTACTGAATTATTTCTTCCTTACTCTGGTCGATTAAGGGTTTTGGGTGGGCGTTTACCTGTGATTTACATTGAGTGTGCGTTCTTAGATGTATATGGTGCTGTTGATATTGCCGTTGTTCTAGCGAGGCGTGGAGCAATCTGATCTCTTGTTTGACCTACTTGTTCGATTTAATGAATTATAATACAATCGATCTACCTAATGTGGCTGAACTACTCCGTACTACCAGGTACATAGTACTTTCTAAACCTCTACCAATCAGACGCCGTTCATCTGACCGTTGGCAGGTGACAAGGTCGGATCAGCGGGACGGATGAAGGGGAGTTTGACATGAAATTGAAATCCCTGTCTACCTAACCAGCATGTGATCTTTTCCGAAAGAGAAAAAGAATATATTGGTGATTGGTGTTTTGCGTAGGTAGTAGTGGCACTGGGGAAATACCTTAAAAATTGTAAGGCATGTTTGCAGGCTGCAGGCCACCCCACATGTTGCCAGGAAGGGATACCGAGTATAGAGTACGGGATGCATATCACGGGATCATACCCACAATGAGATGGTCACCTGCAAGGTGGTGGGCTGCAAACTTGGCGTCGATTAACCTCCAAGGGTTAAGAATAAGATACATGACCGGCGTGCCGTGTAATATTCATGTGCCGAGGCTCAGGGAAAAGTCTGGGGGAAATACAACGTCCCGGTTCCAATACGCCGTGCTCCGTGCTCCGCCCTCCGGTTTCCGTATTACGGACACCTCCGCGGTCCTTCTTTAGTGAAATGCTCCTCTTTCCCCACTATACAGCACTAGTAATACCGTATCATACCGCCCACCGCGGCCGAGTGACTTTCTCCTTCCAACCGAGGTTGTCTTCCTCTCAACCTTGTTCCCTTTTCTTGCTCTACTGGCTGACTTACTTTAACCTATTCTTCCCAATCTCTATCCCCTTAAAACTTTCTCAACTCTACTTCTTCCCCCCCCTTTTATATCTTATACCCTTCCCCTACTAGACACTCGTCACAGTCCAGAGGGATGTTTACGGCTTCTGCAAGAAGCCGTCTCTCCACACTTTCACGGCCCCGTCTCTCCCCTACCAACTCTCTTCTTGCTAGATCCGCTGTGGTATGACTTAACTTGGCTCAATTGACCCAGTTTTGAGTTAGACTGATGGTTGACTGAGATATATAGGCACCCACCATGGCTCCTCGGCGTAAGGCTTCGTCTGTCCCGGAAGGTACGTTTAATCATATGCTCTACGTTCAGATTGGATCTCTCTTTTCTTTCATTTTCCCCTTCTAACGTCGTCTAGGTTACGTAGAGGATCTATCCAAGGGCAAGATGCTCCGTTTCGAAGATTCCCTTCCCCGGTTGCCGGTCCCTACTCTCGAAGAAACCGCCCGCCGCTACCTGAAATCGGTCCATGCAGTGGTTTCTGAAACCGAATACGAGCAAACTAAGAAGGCCGTGGAGGCCTTTGTTCGCCCTGGAGGCGAGGGTCAAGCTCTGCAGGAAAGACTGCTGGCCCGCGCTGCGGAGCCCAAGCACAAGAACTGGATTACGGAATGGTGGAATCATGCCGCATACCTGGGTTATCGCGACCCGGTGATTCCCTACGTGTCTTACTTCTACTCGTACCGGGACGACCGCGCTCGCCGGAACCCTGCCAAACGTGCCGCGTCCGTCGTGACCGCGGCTCTCGAGTTCAAGCGCCAAGTGGATGATGGCTCCTTGGAGCCGGAATACATGCGCGGCCAGCCTATCTCGATGAGCTCGTATGAATACATGTTCAACTGCTGCCGTATCCCCGCCGACGGCGCGGATTATCCACAGAAGTTCCCCGCCAAGGAGAACGAGCACATTGTGGTTGTGCGCAAAAACCAGTTCTTCAAGGTGCCTCTTGTCGTCAACGGCAAGCCGTTAAACGTGTCGGAGCTGGAGAAGCAGATTGAGCGTATTTACGAGGTCGCTCAGAAGGCCCCCGCTGTCGGTACTTTGACCGTGGCGAACCGTGATCTCTGGACCGATGCCCGGAAGAAGCTGCTTGCAGCACATCCCGCCAACGAGCAGGCGCTGCGGGACATTGAGTCTAGCGGCTTCGTCGTCTGCCTGGACGATGCCAGCCCCGTCACGCTGGAGGAGCGGGCTCACCAGTACTGGCACGGCGATGGTGCCAACCGCTGGTTCGATAAGCCTCTGCAGTTCATCATCAATGAAAATGGCACCGCCGGTTTCATGGGTGAGCACAGCATGATGGACGGCAGCCCGACCCACCGTCTGAACGACCATTTGAACAACCTCATCTTCAACAACAAAATTGACCTCTCGGAGCAGCCTGTTCGCTCGGGCCTACCCGATCCCCGCCCCATTAACTTCCACCTGAACAACGAGGTCCTCGAGGCAATCGACGCCGCCACCAAGGAGCACCGCCAGCAGATTACCTCGCACGAGCTGAAGGTACAGGCCTACCAGGGCTACGGTAAGGGTCTCATCAAGAAGTTCAAGTGCAGCCCGGATGCATATGTGCAAATGATCATCCAGCTAGCCTACTATAAGATGTATGGCAAGAACCGCCCCACCTACGAATCCGCCTCGACCCGTAAGTTCCAGGAAGGCCGCACAGAGACCATCCGTTCTGTATCGGACGACAGCGTGGCGTTCTGCAAAGCGCAGGGTGATCCCTCCGTGCCCCGGGAGGAAGTTGTGCGCCTCTTCCGCACCGCACTGGCCTCCCACAGCAAGTACACTGCGGAGGCCAGTGACGGCCGCGGTGTCGACCGCCACCTGTTTGGTTTGAAGAAGCTGCTGCGCGAGGGTGAGAAGCTGCCAGCCTTGTACAAGGACCCGGCTTTCGCCTACAGCAGCTCGTGGTACCTGTCGACCAGCCAGCTGAGCTCTGAGTTCTTTAACGGATACGGATGGAGTCAGGTGATCGACGATGGATTCGGTATTGCTTACATGATCAATGAGAACAGGTGAGTTTCTTGACGAATATTCCCCTTTCTTGAGCATGTACTAATGGACGCAGCCTCAACTTCAACATCGTCTGCAAGCGCATCGGTGCCGAGCGTATGAGCTACTTCCTGAACGAGGCCGCTACGGACTTGCGGGATCTGCTGATGCCCGACCTAGTCGCCCAGAGCGAGAAGGCCAAGCTTTAAAAGCCGCATGTAGAATATAATAGATATGTAAATGACACAGCCATAGATTGGTTTTCTCCTGTTGCAATGATCCCCATGTTCGCCTACCACTTGTGTATAACTATTCTATATTGAAGTAAGACTTGTATATAGACAAGCCATCTCCGCCGAAATGCTTCCCTACTGTGGACTCCACCAACTTATATAAAAACCTACGCAACCAACTTCCCCCCAACAAACCATACCCTCGAAACCAACAAAACCCCAGCCCCAACAAGCGTCACTACACCCGCAAACACAATCGCCGAAGTGTAAGTCCCATACGCATGAATCATCGCCCCAGTAATCGGCGTCCCACTCAACCCAGCCAAACTACAAACCCCTAACGCCATCCCCATATAACTCCCAATCTCATTCGGCCTCTCTGCCGTCATCGCCAAAGTAGCGGGAAGCAACCCAATCACCGTCCCCGAGAAGAACCCAAACAGCACCGCAAAGGCAACCATTCCCCTAAGCTCCGAAACAGCAATCCAACTCGGTATCAACACCCCACAGACCGCCGACGCAGCCGCAAGCGTATTAAACCGCCCGAGTTTATTCGCAACCGCACCCCCCAACAACCTTCCAACGAGACTCGTCGCATTCAGGATCGAAATCAGATAATTCGACAACGCAGTACTAATCCCGATGCTCTGTGCATAAGCGGGGATATAGAAAAAGGGCACGAAGAACCCCCACATCACCAGGAAGATACCCGCGACCTGCAGACTATAGACGGGGTGCTTCCATGCGGAGAGGAGGAAGGGGGCTCCAGAGCGGCGTTTCGGGGCGTTGGAGGAGATGCTTGAGCAAGCTGTTATGCTGAGAAGGAGCATTAGGAAGCCGATTATGCGGACGGACCAGCCAAAGCCGAGGTTTGTGTTGTTCAGGAGGCGGTTGAGCATTACGGGGATTATGATGCCGGCTAGGGAGGAGCCGGAGGAGGCGATTCCCATTGCAAGGGGGCGTTTGTGGAAAAAGTATTGGTTTACGGCTGCTAAGGCGGGCGTATAGGTTAGGCCGTTTGTGAGGCCGCCCAGGATGCCTTGGGCTAGGAGGAACTGGTAGTATGCGGAGCAGAGGGAGGTGAGCATTATGGAGAGGATGAAGAGGGCTGAGCACGGGATCAGGATTATCTAGATAGGTTGTGGCTGGTTAGTTTGAAGTTTTGTTATAGAGGTAGAGTTGGGGAGGGGTGTATGGTATATACCTTTGGTCCGTAGCGATCCATCATGGGCCCGGAGATTAGTCCTGCTGAGAACATGAAGAAGACTTGGAGGGAGCCAATCCAGGAGATGTTGGAGTCGCTTTCGTTCTTGAGGAAGGTCTGTTTGTAGTATGCGTCGTAGATTCTGTGGTCACGTTAGTGCGTGGTCTTTACAGACATATAGGTGAATGACATACCCGAATGCGTTTATATAGCCGAATGTGTTAAACATCACGCACCAGCAAGATAACACAGTGAGCCATCCTCGGAGACCACCTTCTGGGAAAGTGGGCGGCTGTGGTGCAGCGTTTTCCGCGCCCTGCTTTAGGGCTTGTTCCGGGTCGGACATTGTCGTATGGAGATACAGGGCCTGAGGAAGAATACAATTGGATATATATCATGAGTAGATGGAGATGATTTGGATATTAAATAATAATGCGGGCTAAAATTTCAATCCTTGTTCTCATGCTTCCGAAGCACTTTATATACCCATCCTCAAAGTCTTCAGCCAAGGCTTATTTTTCACATTGTATTGCCTCCGAATCGGAGCTCGAGAGTAAGCCCGAAACTCGCCGGCCATCATTCTCTACCGGGATACCTGCCGTCATGAAAACGTCCAAGATATTGCTTAGAATCCGTCTAGTGGAATAGTGATTCAGGGCCTGTTCGTCGGATAAGGTTGCAGCCCGGAATATGAACCGAAAGGGGTAACCGCGGATCCGAGAATATAAGCTTATTTTATCGGCATTGATAGCCCTTCTTTGATATCTCGCCCGAAGATCATAACCGAGTGTCGGCTTTAAGTTACGAGTAAGTATAACCCACTACGCAGATATCCAACATAAGCTAACCTCGGGCCAAAGAGGACGTTTCATGCTCCTGATATAATTAACACTCTACTTGCGCCGCTATGTCCTTATCCTATGTGAGGGAGCTAAAATGAAGCTGTCTATTGAACCTAAAATACAAACTTGACTATCTATATACAGAAACCGGGCCCAAATCTATCTTCTTTTTACTAGTATCTCTTTCCTTCACCAGAGACAAATCCTAGTTCTCAGACTTCGGAGGCCACTTAACTCTCCTCTCTGCCCGAACATACAGGTTATTCGGCCGAATCAACTGGAACATAGGGTCATACTCAATATGACCATCTCCCTCCCGAGTGAACTTATACCGATAAATCAACTTGGGAAGGAAAACCTTGATCTCCTGGAGCGCAAAGTTGAATCCGATGCACATCCGCGGCCCCATAGCGAACGGTATGTACGCGGCCTTGTGTCTATTCTTCACCTCCTCAGAATCCCACCTATCAGGGTTGAACTTGTTCGGGTTATCCCATAGGTCGGGGTTGTTGTGAATGTGATGCAATGCAGGGATGATGACCGAGTCCTGGGGGATCTTGTATCCTCCTGGTAGGATAAGGTCAACCTTCGCTGTCCGACCCGGCTGGAAACTGGGGTTGTGTCGGCGCTGCGTCTCCTTAATATACTTATCGAGGAAGCTTAGTTGATCCGTGACATCGGCTGTGAGTTGGGTATTCTCGTCGATACCATGGTCGATCAGTTCCTGGAGAAGCCTGTCTTGCATACCCGGGTATGTGACAAGACCGTAGATTAGCCATGAAAGGAGGGAGCTGGTAGTTGTGAAACCGGCGCCGGTTGCAACGGTAATGGCCCAAACTAGACTTGACTTGGGTAGCTTTTCGCCTTTGTTGTCGGTGGCGCGCACGGCGTAATCTGTGCATGGTAAGTTAGGCAAGGGAACTATGGGCGATATAGGCATGATTGAATGTCTACTTACCGATCATGTTGGAGGCCTGCAGAGCTGCATCCTGGAGGGGCAAATCGACAACGCCGCCTCGTTCAGCCGACCGAATAGACTCTTCCACCATCTCTTCAATTCGGGCTTTGGTCTGCTTGAGCTTCTGTGGATCACCGAACGGCAACTTAGCATACCAATCGCCCTTCGATGTAACCTTTTTATTAAGCGAGAGCAACTCCGCGATCAAATGAATCATCTCATGAAGCTTTGCATCAGGCGAAGAAAAGTGTTCGAAGTCCAACCCAAGCGTAAGCTTGCCAACAGCCTGCGAACCTAACTTCAACATATACTGGTAGACATTCCACGCCTCATCCCGCTCATCAAACACGTCGAACACCTTGAACGCATCCTCAACGGTCTGCTGCATGGTAGGCGCATAGTGACGGACCGCCTTTGGGCCGAGCGCCGGAGGCAAGAATTTATGCGCAACCCTCCATTCAGGTGTGTCGGTGTCACCTAGGAAAACACCGGCGCTGGGTTGTTTCAGCGCGTAGAGAGGGTGTGCTTCGTTGATCTTTTTAGTGAAAAAGTCGGACTCGGTGAATGCAATGGCCGAGATGGTAGGATCATTGGTTAAGTACGTTGTGCGACCGAGACTGGTGGTTTTGATGATGGGACCATATTGTTCGAAGAGACGTTGGTGGTTCCCTAGGTGGTCGGGATATACTTCGAAGAAGCTGCCGACCATGGGTAGGCCCTTAGGACCTTGTGGCTCGCGAACTGCCCTTCCGTCAATCGTAATTGCCACCGGGCTGTCGCTGGAGGTGATTTCGGGTATATCGTTTAGTGTGTTGTCGTTGGCTTGGAATCCAATACCTGTCTGAAGTCAGCAGGTTGAAGTGTGAATCGCATATCTGCTACATTGACAAACCATTAGGCTCAACAATAGCAAAGTGAGCGGCAACGAGATGCTGGAGACCCTCAATGTCAAGAGAAGGCTCGATCTCGATCTCCCTTGCAGAGGAGATCGGCTCCCCTAGCAGATAGAACTGTTGTACAGCCATTGCAAACAAAGTATGCTGGACTTTCAATTCACTGAAACGATACACAGACTGGGAAACTTCAGAAGTGCGATCTTACTATCTATATATAAACATAATTAATTCCGCTATGAGTGGCTAACACAGATGACACCTTCCAGAACTACTAAGGAAACCCTAAGTGTAATGAATCGGCATGCCGACCCGCTTGGGTCAAGCGGGCCGTGGATTTTGGATCGTCCTTTCCTCGGCTAGTGGGGCTATTCAAAGTAAGATATGTTTTCCGATTGGCTCTATGTGTTGATCGTTAAGAGCCGGGTATTCGTACCTCGGAATCCCAACTGTTTCAGAGACAACCTAGAGAAGATGACGTTGGCGAGGGACGAGGGAATTTTTCGGCAATTAAATGTTGGTTAAGACATGCGTCAAGTTGGCTTCATTCTTGAAACTAACTATATGGAGTAATGTCATCCTTGAAATGCATGACTAAGGCATCCGACTTCCACGGCTTTTTGGATGGCCTGGTTACCTGGACGTAATTCCAAGCGCTAGAAGTAGCGGGTGCGGAAAAGGCGCCTAAGCTTGCTCACCGAGAGATCCGAGTTATCATGAGAGCTTATTGCCCAAAAACCGAATTCTGCGCAAGTTACTCGGATAACCTGGGCTATCATTGGATAAAGGATAGGAGAGTGACTACTCTAGCCAGTCTGAGTGGTTTTATGAGAACAAGAGTGACACAGTACGACTTCTTGGGTCAAGTGAGCAATTCCACCTCCCTATAATTTATCGAACTCTAAGAGTGGTGACGGAGAGGTGTACATCGCCCATCTGGGAACATGCTTCATCCATACCCTAGTGTTGGTTACATTTAAGATGCGCAACTGAGTTAATGATAGTATTGACACCATATAGCATCGATTTCCATGACTCTTCGTAGTGCTGTGCGGTCGAGTCTAGTTTTGTATTAGTTTCAAAGGAATGTTGGCTTGATTGGCTACAACCTTACGTAAAGAGACCAAAGCCCAGCCATTCTTGTGAAGGTTTTACTTGATCGGCCTGGTCTACCTAGGAAGGGTTATGTACATACATGGAAACCAATTGTGCAACATATTGGTCACTCCGGTTTATTTTAGCGGTTAGCTCAAGGAGTCCGTCTATCTTATCGTCAGCTGGTCTTTTTTACGTGAATAAAATCTAAATCCAACGCGGTGGTGGGCTTTTGCCTGTTGACTGGCGTAAGTCCTGCAGCTAAGGTAAGTGTGCTCATCCCAGTATTGTCTCTAAAGTGGATATCAGCTCCTCTTCCCAAAAGGATCTGTAGATTATTAGGAATGAACTTAATAAAAAATCGCAGACTTTTTAGTGCACTCATGACGTAGCTTCTCAGAGATGGTGTCAGTGCATCAAGACCAATAAACGAACTTCACTATGTGATCTATCTCATATGTATATATTACTTCTGCCAAACCTCAACAACTATGATTGGTAGCCTCACGATGGGCTTATTGTTATGTTGGGCATTTATTCATATTTCTAGCCCAAATTCATTATCTATTTACCCTGACGCTATGCTGATTATATATGTGTGAAGGTTGCAAATGCTCCGATGCGTAGGGAGGTCAGTGAATATGGACATCTTTGAGACCACATCTACTGTGTTCTATGAAGTATATAACATCACTGCCTTTATTCGCCAAGTGGTGAGTGATACCAAGTCACAGGTCACCCAGAAGCAAGCGGTACAGCACAAATTAGACCGCGAACTCCTATTCCTAAAATCATTCCAGCAATTATTAATCAATGGGAATGACGTTCTTGTTCGACCTGAGCGGCTACCGGAGAACCTCAAGCATGATGTTCTTACAATCCTATCCGCCTTTAGAGAAGGGCTGGCGGAGTACGGTGTGCTGGCTGCCAACTACAACCTAGTAGACATAGACGAAAAGACAATTTCTGGTCAAATCTAAGCCTCCGGACGAATTCGCCTCGCTGGATGGCCATATCATTAAAGGAATGGAGCTAGGAACAAGTTCAAATGTACGGCTGGCAAGGTACGAGAGTAACCGGGGCCTCGTGGAAGATGTCGTTATGGAGTATCGAAAATACGACAACACTCTCATTCAAGCAACTGATTTCGAATACCCAGCGTTAGACGATCTAAAGCCCCTGTTCGAAACCTGGCATGGATGCTGCAGGCCTCCTTCTAAGGGGACAGACTCGTAAATAATACAGACGAGTCTGACGAACCCAATATCTTCACCTTACCCTGCTCAGGATACCTTGACCAGCCAGAACACCACCGATTTATTTTCCTTTATAGACTCCCGCGAGCATTGACTCTATCCACAACTCCAGCGATAGTGACACTTCACGAATTGATCAACGCCGGCAGCAAAACCAAACGATCGATAAAGAAACCCTCCTTAGGAAGCCGTCTCTACATGGCCTACGCTCTAAGATCCGCCGTCTTCAGCCTCCACAGCTCTGGCTGGGTTCGTAAGAATATCTGGAGCCGCGGGATCATTATATTTCCATCAGCCAGCTCTGCCCAGCCATCAAAATCCAACTATTTGGTACCCTATCTCACAGGCTGGGGATTCGCGCGTCCAGTTCTTGGGCGTACCTAACTAGCACCTGATACTGATTTCGAGCCGAATTTTTATCGTCATCCCTTGCACCAAGGCCAGCCCAAAAAGAGCTTCAATGTTAAACACGATATTTACGCATTCGGAGTAGTGCTACTGGAGATAGGGCTATGGAGGACTGTCAACACCATATCCAAAAGACAATTTAATCAAGCAACTCACACTAAACACTTGCCTCAACCGGAGATGATCGGACAGGCGTATATCGAGAGAGCGAAAAGAGACCTTCCCAGTGAGATGGGTGAAGAGTATATGAACGTGACAGTGAGGTGTTTACAGGGGAGTTTTGAAGTCGGCCAGGATGATGAACTGCAGACTGCACTGCGTGTCGCGTTCCGGGACAGGGTGGTTGAGGTGACGACAATGGGCATGAATTTATGTTACTCCGCGTCTTAAACGCTTAGATTTCAGTTTAACAAACTCTATATACTCGAGCTCTATATAATACAGTGTCTGTCCAAGAAAATACAAAAGAAACATAAGCAAACTAAAGCGAGAAACCTAGAAGCTGAATATCTGGTCAGTCATCTTCGCCACAGCCCCCGGAGCCTGGAATCCAGCAGCTACCAGTGCCTTCTTCGAGGCATTCACCATCCCCGGCGGACCGCAAAGCATGATTTTAGTGTCGGACGCTGGCTCTGGCAACCTCGCAGCCATGACTTCCGGCGTAACATAACCTTTACCATATGCCCAGTTCTTCGGCGGATGATCGAGCATATACCAGATCTTAAAGTTCTTCGGATACCTCCGTGCGAAGGCTTCCAATTCACTACGTAGCAGGATATCTTCCTCGCTCCGATTCGCATAGATCAAGCTCACTTCCGTGGTGTCGGTATCGTCCTCGCAAATTGCCCGGATAAGCTGATACATAGGGGTGATACCAGTTCCACCGGCAATCATGCCAATTTTCTTACAAAGGCCACTGTGGTATTTCATGGCACCTTTAGGACCACGGAACTGGACTTTGGCGCCCACTTGAAGGTTCGCGAGATACTGGCCTGTAAGAACGCCGTCCGGATAGCACTTAATAACCAGCTCCAGCCGGCCTAGGTCAAGGTTATTTGAGGTGGGCGTGTATGACCTTGAAACAGCTACACCATTGATGTTGGCCTTGATGGCGACGTGCTGACCGATAGGGAGGCCGATGACGTCCCGTGGACCGGGCAGTTGGAAAACGAAGCGATACACATTCGGCGCCAGTTGGTCTTTCCGGATAAGGGGGAGGCTCTTGTAATCCTTTGGCTCGAGGAAGCCCTTAGCAAGATGCGGATTGGGCCTTTTCAAACCGCGGGACTTGATGCGTGGAGGATACCGTGTAAAGCCTGACTCGATGTGTGTGAATTTGGAGAGTTTTATTCCGATTATACTGCCGAGGGTTGCGCAAACTGCTGTCGCGGCGACAAAGCCGCTTGAGAATCCTCCGCGGAGGATTCCCCCTGAGGGCACATGGATTTCCGGTAGGTGCTTTAGCGATGACTGAGGCAGTTTTGTCAAAATCTCGCGAAGGGCTATGGGACTGCGTGACGATAGGTACAGCAAAAATGAGCCCCCGAGAGATCCCGTTGCAATAGTCAGGGCTTTAATGACGGATACAGGCTTCTTGATGTCTTTGGCCTCAGGTTTGGCAGGGGTTTGCTGAACCAAACGAACGGCCTTGGGCCGTTTGAAATCTTGGGCATCCTTGACTGTGCCCACTAGGTAGGTCCCCAAAATCTCGTCTGCGTCTTCTGAGTGTCCGACATCCTCGTATGCGGCTGTTGCGTCGGTTCCGGCGACATCAATTAGGACGTCTGCTCCGCCAGGGTGGTCTCGTACATATTTGGTTATGTCGTAGACTTGAACGTGTTAGATATATGCGATATATAGAGTGTTTTCTTTTCATCCATGTCTCACCTTTTCCATGAATGGCAACCCACAGATTATCTCTGCTTTTGTGAGCTGCCACGTCTTCCAAGGTGAACTCTTGCATAGCTAATATTTGCATAAACCAAGCTTAAGGGCCAGTAATAACTAGAAATGAAAGGGGATTGGTTGTATGAAGAAGATTTGGGCTTCGGTTTAACTTAAGCCGATGGTAATTTGGATAGTACAGCTTTGAGGACGAGTTTAATAAATCTGGACTAGAAAGACCTTTATACTCGATCGAGACTAACAAAATTGGTATTTCTATTTCTACGCTTATCTACTGTTTTACTTTGATTGGAAGAATTCGCACTCCATAATGACCCGTCAAACCTCATAATCCCGCTCTAAGCCCTGGGTCTTTCCGAGGGAATGACTACCTCGGCATACCGACTCCACCCAGTGGCTCGGAGATGGAACACCAAAATAGGATACACGGCATTCCGATTTAATGCCGAACACAAGCCTTGCGGAGTGGGACTTCTCTTCAATCCGCTAAACCGATCTGCATCAGTAGCTTAGCTCTACTCCGCGGCGCTTTGGGGGCGACATACTTAGAAGGGCAAACAGTGGTACTGAGCCGTTTTTCCGTGGCCCGAAGCAGAAATCCCACGGCAACGAACAGGCAAATGGCGCATCAGGTACTGATTGTTGATTCATGCTCGGGTCGGAAACCCGATACCATTGTCGTTTCTGTGCCTGTCTTCAACCATGGACTGGGTTCGGAGCATGGTAAGGGCGGCTAAGTGGTTCCGGGTTTTGTACAAATACAAGGATGTTCTCTCCTGCTTAAACTGTTGCTGCAACGCAAGATCTCCTTCAATTTCTAAGTAACTTACTCAGATTCACTCAAGATCACATTTAAATCTACCCTTTACGTCACAGTATAGCACAATGCAGTTAACTTGGCAACAGCCCCAGAACTACCGCAACCGCCCGGTTGTTGTTCTCGGCGCAGGTGTTCTCGGACGCCGGATAGGTATGCAACCTTGCCCATATTATCGACCTCCCTTCACCATCTAACACCGGCTTCTGTCAAACAGGTTGCATCTGGGCCTCAGCCGGCTACGAAGTCCGCATCCGAGACCCAAGCCCCCAACAACGCGCCGACGGTCTAGCCTACATCCAAGAAAACGTCCACTCATACGCAATGAAGACCGGCCAAACGCCCGGCAAATTTTCCGCCCATCAGGACTTGAAAGAAGCGGTCTCAGATGCTTGGCTGATCATCGAAGCCGTGCCGGAGAAGCTCGATCTCAAGGTCGCCACGTTCGCTGAGCTAGAAGCCACCGCACCGGAAGACTGCATTCTCGCATCGAATTCGTCCTCGTATAAATCGTCGGAGATGATCGAGAGGGTGTCGGACGCGACAAAGGCCCGCATCCTTAATATGCATTATTATATGCCTCCGGGTTGTATGATTGTTGAGCTTATGACGGATGGGTATACGGATGAGGGTGTCTTCCCCTTTATGGTTGAAAGGTCGAGAGAGGCGGCAACGTTGCCTTATGTTGCCAGGAAGCAGTCGACTGGTTTTATCTTTAATCGGCTCTGGGCTGCTGTTAAAAGGGAGGTTTTGACGATCCTTGCTGAGGGGGTTTCGGTTCCAGAGGAGATTGATTCTATGTGGGTTGAGATGTTTATTAAGCCGCGGAATCTGCCGTGCAGGACTATGGATCGTGAGTTGTGTCTGGTCTTTCGAGATGCGGTGGATTGTTGCTGATGTATGCTTTTTTTTATAGAGGTCGGTTTGGATACGGTTGCCTTTATTGAGAGTCATTATGTTCAGGAGCGTGGGCTCCCATCGGAGAAGACTGTCGACTACTTGAAGAAGTACTACCTGGATGATGGAAAGCTGGGCAATAAGTCTCCCAAGGGTGGACTTTATGTTCCGGCGGAAGAGAAGTCTACTGCCAATGAGGACTCGACAGGTCCAAAGATTCTAGTTCTGGACATTGGACTCTCAGCCGCCAACCCTACCAATACATCTGGTGAAATCCTAGAATTATCATCGGATGGCAAAGTCCAACGGGTCCTTGCGCCAAACCAGTCTCTGCCCGACGGGATCGCTGTGGATTCTAGCACCGGCCGGATGTTCTGGACTTGTATGGGCGTGCCCGGAAAAGATGACGGAGCCATTTACTCTGCAAACTTGGATGGTAGTGGCATCCAAACTGTTGTCCCTCAAGGCAAGATCAACACCCCGAAGCAGCTGGCGATTGACGCCGAGGCAGCGAAGGTCTACTTCTGTGACCGTGAAGGATGTCAGGTCTGGCGCTGTAACTTCGACGGCTCCGATCTTGAGGCAATCATCGACCGAGGGGACTCAAAGGGTGCTCAAGAAAAATCAGTTCTTGACTGGTGCGTTGGCGTTACAGTTGCCCCAAGTCTGGGCAAGTTCTTCTGGACACAGAAAGGCCCTTCGAAGGGTGGCAAGGGTCGCATCTTCTGTGCCAATATCAGAACCCCTGAGGGACAGACTGGTACCTCTAGGAACGATATTCAGTTGGTTCTAGGCGACCTTCCGGAGCCAATTGATCTTGAGATAGACGAACAGTCTAACACGCTCTACTGGACGGACCGTGGTGAGGTTCCATTTGGTAACGCGTTGTACAAAGCACAACTGAACGAGTCTGGTCTTCCAGTACCGCTCGCATCCAATAAAAAGTATGAATGCTTGACAAAGCACCTGAAGGAAGCGATTGGCTTGAAGCTGGATCTCGACAATGGTCATATCTATCTTACTGACCTTGGAGGCAACGTTTATCGTTGCAATTTAGATGGCAGTCAGAAGAAGAAGATCCACTCCAACGACTACCGTGCTTTTACTGGGATTGCCCTTCTGTGATTATGGATTTAGCCCTTTGTATATAGAGACTTTGCAGATTCATTGTGTTGATAGACGTGTACTTTTAACTTGAATAGACCGACTATCGCTATGTATATATACAATAAATATTGACTTCACATAATAGTTCTATAGAAAATATCGAAATAGAATCGCATCTAACGATCCGAAAACGATCAGATGGATGATCCATAATAGACACTATTGGTCTACCTTCAGAAGATCTATCAGAGGGATCATGAGCCTTTCGTATAGTCCTCATGACAAAGGAATTCTAACGCTCTGCTTGATCCAAAAGAGCACCTTTTCACTATGCATAAATCATATGCCTGCAATACCTGGCAATATCGTGGTTATATTCAATAAGGCTAACTACATCCAATTAAGTGTCTCCCAGAAATTATAGATAGACCCTTCATTCATAAGTGCCCCGATAACGTCATCGCTGATCACCATCCCCAGAGCCGGGTCATCGAAGGGAGCATCTTGTGGAATATGGTATTCAGCGGGAGTGGTCTCTGGCATAGATGGGCGAGCCATATAATCAGGGAAAATTTGACGTATAGCCCCTAAAAAGATGCCTCGAAAGACAGAACACGATGGATGGGTGTGCTGCATCTGCTCCAAGATCACCATACACAATTCCAGCTTGTTTAGTCCCAACCGACGCGAAAGACCATCTGATGATTTGCAGTTGAGAAGGTGTACGTGCATTGCAGGTACGAGCAGTGGGGGCCTGCATCAAATATCAATGGTGATGATCGTCACAGAAAAAGAGAGTGTGTGTGAGTGAGTGAGACCTACGTCATAGGACCGGCAAATTCAAGGAGCTTTTCACGAGCTAAGTTGTCGAGGATCGAATTGGTTTGTAAAGCAGCGGCGTCTAGTTTGTTTCGTATTTGGCTTTGCCATGCTTGCTGTTGAACAGCCGGTAAGCCTTCCGGTATCTTGGTGATAAAGGGACGATAGAATGTGATGAGTAAAGATCTGGCCACGGTTAGGTAAAGTATAACGGTAGGGGCAGGCGCACAAACTGGTAGTGTAACTGCAGGTGATATAGATAAAATGTTGCTAAACGACTTGGGTCTGTTCTGTAGTTGTTTGGGAATTGAATGTGTCGGATCTCTGCTTCGATTGCTTCCACTTGTTGAAGCGAGGGATACGGTCCAAAAGGCCGGTAGCTTAAGGTGAGAACGTCGCCCAACAATTTGCTCAAGTGGATCATCGTTACCCAGCAATCTGCTAGCCTCGGTAAGTCGGTTGGGATATATACATTGGCCACCGATTCAGGCAATCCAATCAAATCGTTCAACATATCGTCGGAAGATGGCAATACCGTGTCACAGTCATTCAGGTCAATCCTTAGAGGCCTCCCCATTGTAAGGCTCAGCCAACGATCTCGAAAGAAGCAAGTCCACCAAAGACGACGCCACAGACGCTGCTGGCTTTCGGGGATTGAAGAATTCGACCAGGCAGAAACAGGGCAGCGGTGCAGGCCCATTATTTGACAGAGACTAATTGCAGTGCCCGTCCAATACCACGGTTGCATATGCATATCCACTTCAGAGTGATAAAATCCCAATAGGAGAGCCGATTGCAATAGGACAGTGTTGTCAGTCTCACCGCTGTTGTGATACATGCACTGGATAGACCAGCCAATTAGCCAGACCACTAGACCCAATAGACACAACCTAGGTATAAAGTTGAATACTGACCTTGGCACGGGAGTACAAAGTGTCCTTCATTTCCTTTCGGGATGAGTAACCCTCCCGTTTCCATGTATCGACAGAGATGTACTGTGGTAAATGTTAGCTAAAGATATCCTGACAGAAGGAAAGTTGTCAGACATTTGCCGCAACAAAGAGCATGCTCCATAGTAGCAGAAGATTGCATTGATTACTTTCCCCACTAGGATAAGTCTTAAGGAACGTGGTTGCATCGACAACTGGGAAGATAGGATGCACATGGTGGAAATATGCGCGGAGAAGCTCATCACAGGTATCACTCCGAGGCATATTAAAGACTCCTTTATACTGAAGGTAATCGCGATCCTCAGCAGAAAGTGGGATCGATGTCTTGGGTTGAAGCAATATATGCCTTTGGACAGGTTGTTGTGGTGGCGAACACAGATCAAGGACGCTGCCAAACCCCGGAGACTCACCTGATAGCATGTTAGCTATATCAATACTTAGAATTTACCAGGTTCTTCTCAATGATACAAACCAGTGTAAAATGGAGCCTGGCCCGCTCTTCTATTTCTCCCTAGGGCGGTAGTTGCGATCTCCGCCCCGGTACGCTCCTCATCTAAGCTTCTGTTGTCATCAGGCGAGGGATTCGTGTCAACGACATCTCCCACTGACTTGGGGCGTTCTATTTGAGGGGCAATCCGCGCTAATGTGAATGCATCTACCGGGCCTGAAGGCCGGGGTGGCATCGACCTGCGGAAATCCTCCGCAACCCGGGGGCTAGTCTCTGGGCCAAGTTGGTTTATTTGAGGTGCAGGTTGTCGGATCCGAGGTCTATCCACGTTCAGCTTCTTGTACGTAATCGCAGTCTTTGGGATTTTGTGATCCTCCGAGCGTACGTTTGTGCTTTCCCTTGAGGAATGACGCACTCAGTACCGTCCTGAGTACAACCAATACACGGTACGCCAGTGACCGTGAAGCTGCAACGTACTTTTCGCTGACGGCAATGTTGACATGCGACTGCTGAGCGATGGCGGCGGGCCGACATGATTCTAAATTGCAACGAAGTATGAAACCGGGTTGCCGAGCGTCTGGGGAAATGGGTTTCTATTTCGAAGGAATACCTCGGGAAATAGATCTACTCTTATTCGGTCGGATGTAATGGAAGAAACCGGAGCCCTCCTACGCCCTTCCGATTGGCTGGGGCATCCACCTTACCGCCACCAAGCCCTACAAACCTCCTTGCTTCAAAACACATATCTCAACTTGCTAATCCTTTCATGTATCACGATTAATTTCTGGCAAAATTTGGTATTACTGTTAGTACTTGATGGAGCTGGTGTAGCTCACGTGTATGGGATTGATTGGCCTTTTGGTCTAAATCTACCATACAGAGATTCCTTGGTGTTGTGGTCAGGTCACGTGGTTGCTGACTTAGGCTTCCATAGGCTCTGACAGTACTTCATGCTATCAGGTGTATGATGTATTCTAGTATTCAATTAAACCAACACCGATATATCTCACGCGCAATGTACAGCCCAAAAACCACTTGAATCTCCATAATTACCACTAAGAATGGAATGCACTGTTTTGTGCGCTACTCAACATCCATAATGAACTTCACAGAGAAGGTAACAGTTGAAGGACTGTATAAATTTTCCAAGGCCGGAAAGGCTGTCAAATCCGAGAAGTGTCTGTCACCTTATGTGTCCGCCTTAGATGCTCCTGCAGGTTATAGTTCCGATTGAAAGCCTTCTGGCAGTTCTCCATGGGACATTCGTACGACCGCGGCGATTCATGGATGGCCTTGATATGTCGCCTCAACTCGGCTTTGCGCCCGAAAACGCCAGCATAACTATACCCCTCCCATTCGCAGGGATATGCCTCAGGACGCCTAGATACTGTACTAGAGAAATAATGATTAAATGATTCAGTACTATAGTAGTTGCGAATAGCTTACCTGCATCCAGGCAATCTATCGCCTATAAAAGTCCTGATTCCGATCAGGGTAGCCATTCCCAGTCGCTAGTGTGCACAGTTCTTGTATTTGCACACCCAACACAGAACCATTCGTACACAAGTCGGTGGGAACGCCCTGCGTGAAGGTGGGCGCCTGCATATTACAGATGCCGGAGTAGTCAATGAAGTGGTTCGGTACGGCTAATGAAACCGATTCGATATAGCTTGCTGGAAGCTCTAAGCTATTTCGTCTGAATAGCAATACTGATGACTGTATAATGCGATTGCCTAGAGTAAAATTTACGAGGGGATTACCTTGCTTTGAATCTGTAGAACAGACTAGCTCATGCAGTCGGGGAATCGAGTGACTTGGGGATCTCGATCGATGAGGGTACCATCTCTATGGAAGATTTCAAGTTATCATCCAAGCTAACCGTTCCTGCAAACCACATCATCATCAGATAGTTGATGAGGTACTTTAATGACAAAATCATTAGAGCATACAGAATTTAAGATCATCCAAGGTATGGATAATGGTCGAATGGGAAAGGTTTGATGCTGCGAAGGGGATTTCAACCGTACTAATAGATATTGTCGTTTCTCAAGCTGTTTCAGCTAGATGCTTAAACATGCATAAGGCAGGCTATAGTGTTTACTGTATAGTAATATAGGGCAGGGATAGCCGTTGATGAGGCAGTCTATGGCAACGCATTGTCCAGTAGCCCATCATGGGATTTCCTCCGTTGACTGAAGTTTAGGAACCCCCAAGCAACAGTTATAGCTTACTACGAGCCAGGATCGGGTCCTTGGTCCTGGATACCTTCTTGTTCCACGTTGTTTCTCCCACAGTATCTTCAGCGAAACGTTTTATAGTTTCTCCCCTTTCACTGGAGTGAACAACGCCATCCAAGAACTAGAAGTGAAATACAAGTCCCCTCAGGTAAGCACATACATGCATCCATAGAGCCTACAGCTCTGAAACAAAAAAAAAACCGTGGTAATATCCTACCTTGTAGAGGCGTCCACCGCGCTATGTGAGCTCCTCGTCAATGGTTCCGAGCACCACGGCCCACCTGTTCGAATTGAAGCAGTGTAACCCAGCTGGTTAAGGGGACAATGCTCGATTGTAACTCCATTTACCATCTGCTAGAAGATTCCCTATCAGTAGTGTTATTGATCTATATCACTTTCTTTAACTTTCTAGAGTTTATTTCGTTAGAGACCAATAATTCCAGTCTCCTTCTCTTGCTTTCTTTTACGAGGCAAGAGTCGCCTCTTTTCCTGGCAGCGAGGGCTTTAATAACGTAGCTCATATTTATGCCAGATTTTTTGATTCGCCTTGATAGTTGGTATAGTATATACACTTTTGCCGGTGCCCTTCTTAGTGCCAGATAAACCTTGCGACTGAAAGCAGTATGAGAACATCTAGATCCTCATCCAAGAAATGGTATTATGGCCCAGGGCACGGTTAAACGCAGACACAGTAGGGTGAATCCACCCAATCCCCGAACCCAAAATGTAGATGATTAAGGAAACCTGGCCAGAGCCCACCTTGTAACACTTTCGCTATCCAATCCCAAGGCTGCGTACCACATCAGCAATAACTCTCAGACATGCTAGAGGGGGGGGGGCAGCTAGTCGGAGAATGGCCTCCTTCCCAAGGTTTCACAGCCCAAGCCAGCAACACCATATTAATTCTCTTTTCTCCTCAGTCGCCATAAGAGGGCGGGATACTAGACCTAGTCTTCTCTGGTGACAGCTTCAGATCTTTTGATCAGTTTCTGTGGCTCAATATAACTTACCACTTCAGTGCGGAGTATTCCCAATCGCCGTCTAGGCTCAATAAATTATCAATATACCCCCCTGACGATGTTGGGGAGGCACACTACCCGGATAAATGTATCTATAAACCAATTCCTTGTAATATCACTAAGTCTTCTAATGAACCTACTAAGTTGAGGAATTCCTGTGTATCTACACAGCCGAGCATGAAATTCTCATAGCCGACTACCTGTCGATCCCGTAAGACTTCGGGACCGGCCAAAAGCTTTGGTGGCCCGCACCTACACAAGGAAATATGGTCGTAAATAGCTTGAATTTTTTAGCCGAACATATAGTGTTGTGTTCACTCTTGCGTTCTATTTCCTGACCTAGGCTGCTTAGCATGGAATAATGTGGCTCTCTATCTCTGGACGTGCCTGTCTCAAGAACAAATATAACCTGAGCTAACAAATCGTCCTCTTTCACCTTTCTGCTTTTTCCTAACCCTGACGCGACCAGGCACACTGCAGATATGAAGAGGCTTGGTATATACCTCCTTTCTATGGCGTTGTCCTTTAGGTTAGCTATTATATGCCGGAGAGCTTCGGCCGCTACCAAGGTCTGCTCAGATCGAAGGGCTTCGGCAGCGCATGGTAAAAGATATGTCCTACCAGCTACACCTAATCTGCAGATTGACTCAAGGTACAAGTGTCCTTCGACCGAGTTAGCCGCTGCATATATGTTGTATGAACCTCCACTCCAACCTTGCATAAAGCCCTTGTTGCTTAATGCTCCTTTGTATGTCAGGTATAGCACCGACGGACACATCCTGCATTCGTTTGGCATTTTATCAAAAAGTTTGTACGCCGTGCATGCACTTGAATTATCCGATGCACATGTTATGAATTTTCTAATTCATGTCAGAGAGCCAATATATCATGTTAACCCCGGCTTACCTGAGAAATATCGTTCTATTATTCGAAGAAAATTGAAAGATTGGGTCTTCAAGTATGAAAGAACACCATTGCTCCGCAAGATAGATATTGCCTTCGGATAACATCCCATCAATGTATTTCACATAAGAGCTGAAAATATCGTCAGTCAATTGGAAACCATGACTCGTGGGAAGCTATTACAATCAAGCAAGCATTCGATGCGTCCACACTCAAGAGACCTTGGCCGCACTTAGCTAGTCTTTTCATCGTGTCACCCAGGATACCCATGCTATTAGGAATGAGAAGCTGACTATTTGTCAACGTACAGACCAGAGTGATGAACAACCGCTCAGTCCACTCCTGCTGATCAAAAGCAGCAAGCCTGTCGACTAGAAGCTGCAATACTTGGACACAGATAATTGCACTGCTTTGCTTTAGTCTAGTAGCAATCATATATTAACATTAACTCACTCGATATTCCGAACTTTCTGGATAAAAAACGTCAAGCTGCACATATATTAGAGATTTGGTACCTTAAGTAACACGCTACCACGTACATCTTCAACCTCGTTTCACTGGGTTCTAGCGTATCAAGCAAATGGCGTAGTGCTTAAAAGCCTCCATAAGACTGAAATTTGTCTTTGTCTTTCGAGTTACTCACTTTAAAGGTACTCTTTGCCTTTCAAGTGTCCCTCTCTGTTTAAAAACTCAAGTCGAAGTACCTTAACGGCAAATGTGTTGGAATACTTCTATAAGAAAAGTTAGAAGCAATGATTCAAATAACCGCTAGTCTTGTACCTTTTCCAGAAGATACAATGCTTTGCGAAGATGCTCTTGGGCGTCTAAGCCCTCGAGGTGGATATTTGCTCGGACTGTAGAATTAACACTTTAATGGAGGGGGGAGGTTAACATGGTTGGACCTGTACCCAATGCATGTAAAATGAGAAGTTCATCATTCTCACTAGTCTGGACCAGATCACCGTTGTATAGTTCGCAAGCAGATGAGGCCATTTCTAACCACTTTGCTGCGCTTTCATAGTTGCGACCAATGAGAGCGACGCGTCCAATCTCGTAGCATAAGGTATATATTCATTTCTGATCATGTGTAGTAGACGTTGCTGGTATCTTCGAAAACAGGTGGTCTGCTATATCTGGCTGCCCTTGCAGCCAAGCCTTCTCTCAGTATGTCAGCCCTAGGTTACATAAATATGCTTCGAGAGCTATCATATGTACCAAATATACTCGAACCGTATAGTATTCTGTGGTAAGTGATAAGACTTGCGATTTCTTAGAACCATCCGCCGACCTCTCGAGTTTATCTAAGCGCACAGCTGCCTTTCCGACTATCTTTTGGCTTAGTTCGAGAAGTCTATGCTCTGGTTTCATTGGTCAACGTTAAGGGATATCATGAGAGGAAAGGAGCCAGGAAATTACCCGTACAGGCTCGGGCGATTCTCGACGCAGCTATTAGTGCTCTTTGGTTTCCTAAGTTATCCCATGAGAACCCGTCCTTCGAGGACCTGGAATAAAACAATATATATACATGGGCCTTGGCGCGGCGCACTCGAGCATGAAAAAAGCGAAGGCCTTCACTATAATAACTAGTCAGACGATGAAGTTATTTGTACACAAATGGGTCTAGAGTCATGCCTTTAGAAAGGGTGTTGCTTTCATCAGCCAATATCTTCTGGGAAGAGATATTCCACAACTCTGCTCCATGAGCAGCCATTTGGCGACGTATAGAAGAATCTGTGACAGGAGGAAGACAACTCGGATCTTCGTAGAGAGCATGGAGAACATCGCTAGTTACAGACAAACTTTCAGGCGTATTATCTTTCAAGTGCAGTTGTAGCTCTCTCGCAACCCCTGCTTAAGAGGTTAGGAATGAAGCAATTCGCAATAGACAAAGCAGCCACCTGAAAGCTGCCCTCACCTAAAAACACATCGGCTTTTGCTTCAGAATTGGCTGGTGTTGCCATTCCTTTGAACTTGTTGTTTGCTTTGTGAGGAGAAAGGCCTTGCTTATGCTAATACCAAATCGAATGTGACAAATACTATGGAAAACGATTAGGGACCCGCGGTAGTGGACTCCGGTGGGACGAAGGGACAAGTCGTACCATAATCTACATATTAAATTATGGAGGCCATCCACATGACCAGACTAGTCTATATTCAATCCCGTTGCTCAGGTATCGAATTCAGGCAAGTAATCTCAGACTCAACCAATGCTGCTCCTGTGACGAGCGTGGGGGAGAAAAGGGCAAAAAAGTATGGTACATTTTTTTAATAAAGGCCAGTTACTGACGGACGATATGAGGAGAATATCCCAGCACTTTCAGCTGCTAGAAGCACTAAGATGTAGGTATGTACCGAGTATATCCACTCCAAGTCAAGAGTACTCCGAATAGCCTTAAGCGCCGGTACAAACAAATGAAATGGAAAAAAAAAAGAGAGAGAGAATCCAGCGACGACGGGAATATTTACTTGCTTTTTCGTTGAGATGGTAGAAAGTTTCCAACAATAAGGGATGGGCTAAGCGGTAAGTCAGACTCCAGTAAAAATATTGGCTCACGCCATAGTCACTTACATGTTATGCGAGTCTCTTCGTATTGTAAATGAGAAACAGCATGGGATCCCGTCGCCAGGGGAATTAGAATTGGGATTTTTCAATGTGCAACTCGTGAGCATCGCTTTTTGCGTATTATCAAAAGCAATAGCTCCAAACTTTTCCCAGTAGCTCACGAGCTGATCCTCCACAATGATTTCATGAATGGCCATTTTACCCTAGGGCATGAGTATGCGTCAGCTCATCCTTTCCAGGTGGAAAAGAAAAACGTCACCACATTGCACTTACGTCTCTCAGACTTTCAATTGGGACCCCAATCAACTCAGCCATCTCCTTATTGCCTCGAAATATTTCACCTGTACGCCTCCAGCAACAGGCCGGAATCGCCATACTAGCAAAGACGCGGTCGTATTCCATCAAGCTCCGTTCAAACCACATCTCCACGAAGATGAGTTCAATATCAGTCAAACTCTGCATTCTCTCTCGGAACTTCGGCCTGAACTTATCAAGCTGCCGCAGGATCTTCTGACGTGAGGCTTGCTGCAGATTCTTTTCCATATATTGGTTCAGCCTAGCGTAGCCCTTCACGTAGTTGAATGGTCGGAGAAGACCAGCATCGTATTTCGCCTTGAGAAGTTTGTTCATTCGTTCTTCTGGAGGATCAGACCCAGAAGGATCTGCCGCTGTCATGTAATAGGTTTCCCGTGCTTTATCATTCACCACTCCAGGGGCGGGGCCTTGAATCGGTTCGCCATGAGAGGGCTGGTTCTGTGCCAGAGGCGGAGGGTGAGATTGCTGAAGTAATGCTGCATTAGACCCACCCCCGAGTGTGGCCATGGAACTGATCAATGTTGGGTCAGAGTAAATTCCCTGTAGGTCGTCACTCTGAAACATTGCTCCGTCATCCAAGAGGCTATTACTCAAGAAGTCACCAAGGAGGTTGTATTCGTTCGTGACCTCGGGGGCGTTGAACATATACGAAGGATGAAAAGTGTGCATATCTTGAAATTGGTTTTGGCCACTAAGCCATTCGTTGTAGCCGAGAACTTTCATGACAGAGTTAAAATAAAGTCTCAGAGAGAAAAGTGACTTGTTTGGGGACTTACGTGGCTGAGACGTTGCGCCGAGACCTTGACCTGTAGAGGAGATGTTGCCGGGCGGCACAGACGACGACGGAAGCCCTTCAGAGAGGATTTGCTGACCGGCAGCATCCTGGACATCGACGTTTCTAGTCATACCTTGAAGGACATTCGAGAACTCATTGTTCTGTACGCTGTCATCATCCCCTGCAGAATGTTCGTGTTCACTCCGAGCTCGTTGCTTTGAAGGTTCTCTGGGTTCGTCATGGCACAGGTGGCCAATATTGCGCTTTATACATCGTGTACACGGCCGCTCCTTTATATTCCGAAGGGAAAGAAAGAAAATATGCGTCAGCAGTTACTCTCGTGGAAGGGCAACCGTAATGGGTTTCACAAGGATAAGCTGTGATAGTAAAGTTCAAGAAAGTCGTACCGAATCGCAAGTCATATGCTGTACCACGTGAAGAATTGTCCTTTCGTCAGCAGAAATATTGTGATGGATATTTGCCTGTTGATTTCGTTTTTGGACCGACGAAGCAAGCAAGGTTATGAGGAGTCAAGAGAGAACAGGCTTACCGATCGCCGGCAGTAAACGCATGCTAGAAGAGTGGCGACAGGATTAGCGACGTGGACTTCATCGCGCGGAACGGGAAGAGGAGAGAGAGGAGTCGCTGCCATTATCCTTGTAGGTTGCATGACAGAGGCTGTTTGCTTACCATGATTAACCTTGCGACGCTTCTTGGGGCTGGCGTGAGTCCCCGCAGCAGCGTTTTCAGCCTTGGACGCTGGCGAATTTCGCGAGTTGTCTTTTGCGCTCGATTCCTTTTTCATTGTTTCGCCTTCGGTCATACTACTTTTCAGGTTTCCCAATGTACCATTGCCAGGTTGTTCGGGTCTTGTGCCCGTGTGCGATGCGATTTTCTCGGTCATCGATTAGGCGCAAAGCGGTTGCGCAGAGTCCGGCTCGCCGCTGTTTGGTCGTCGCTATCGGTTGGGAACACAGAGATTACTCGAGGGATGGAGACAGACATTCAACTAACACTCAAAGAAAGAGGGGGTTATAATGCATCGTAAAAAAACAAAAATAAAAAAGCGATCCTCGAGAGTATTTAGTCGCGGGCATGAAAGTATGTATGGATGGTATGATGATGATACACGCGATTGCGATCGACTCACAAGGTTGTCCCCGCTGGTGTGCGGGACTTGCAACCGGACGGGCGGCGGCGCCCATCTTTTCCCGAGCTCCTCCGCATTTCGTCCCGATCCCCTTTTGGCAAACTCCCAAAACTTGATACTCAGACCACATGTGCCAAAAGAAAAGTAATCAAGGACAAAATCATACCTCGGTTCTTCATGTCCTATACACTGAAATTCTTGACCCCCTACAGAGAGAAAATTATAGAACCCAAATTGCTTTCGTTGTCTCTTCTTTCCTTCTCGAGGATCGAGCAGTCCCAATGTAGTATTTCATAACATATAGTACTAAATACACAGAAAAAGGACTATAGCGTAGAACGAGAAACATGGGCTCAGGCCTTTCATAGCGGGACCTACTCCGTCATGATTCTGCGCGCTAACGCACGGTCATATTATCATAGTGCATTAGATCCACAACCATGCTCTAGATAAGGCCAGTTCCTGACAAATGTCCCCCTATAAATGAGGGCGCTTTCCAACCCATCATAGAGCCGTGCATTTTGTGTGCCGAGTTGGGAACCTGATGGTTTATTATAGAGGATTCAGTGGGTGGCGATTTTAGCACTCTCCCTATCACACATCGAGGGTTAAAAAAAAAAAAAAGGCAAGTGCGCGCAGATCAAATGCGCAGTGCTGAAGAATTCTTCAGGAGCCAACCCTTCATACAAGGTTTTGTTGCCTTTTTCAGGCCCTCCCAGTCTTGTGACCCTCAACGCGAACGGTTCATTTAGAGAATAGGCCAGCCTGCTTCATGCTCCGTTGCACCTATGGCAATACGGCATAAGATTTCGAAGTTTTGAAACGCAAGTCGAAATCGAGATTATTCAATCCTCAGGCAGGGAAGCCAGGCTTAAAGCTACCTGGGACCGAGTAATCGCCTCACTCAAGCCTGTGAGAGGAGCTATGTTATTCTGCATGGAATTAAGATGACCGTTCAATTGTTTTAGCAAGCCCATAATCTCAGGGTCGGTTTCAAGCTTGGGAAAGCACGTTAGTGACACACTATGAGAGGTGGAGACTAGATAGATACCTCATCAAACGTAGCTTGTGCGTCCATTTCACCAGCTAGTATGAACCGAGTATGCTCGTGGCTCTCCTGGCTGGGAACGCTGAGCTGCCGAAGTGCAGGGTGTTCCTAGGGATAATCAATGACAAGCTCTGCAGTATAATAGCAACACGGAGAGCTTACATTCTTCAGTTGTCTCTTCCTTTCTGCTTCCGCCCGTTTAGCATTTTTCTCCAACTCCTGCAATTGCTCTGTTTCCTTCGCAAGTAAGGCCTCTTCCTTTTCGATTTCGGCTTTGAGCAGATCCGTGCTGTCCGTTACAGTGGCAAGGCTGGCCTCCAGCGAACGCTATGGGTCGATTATTAATACCGGAGTGCAAAGACATCCGCAGGATGGCGCTTCATACATGTTCTTTGAGTGCTGCCTCGTACTCAAAAACTGAATCCTTTGTAATTGGCGGGAATGGCATCCGAGGTAGCCGCTTCCCGAGACTTGAGAGATTCGATAGTCAGATTAAATTTCCTCTGAATACAAGTGCAATGTATACTAGCAATGATATGGAGTGTTAGGGGGCATACTTCTTCACCACAGCCTGAACAGCCGCCTGCGCATCAACCCGTTTTCGCTCGTTCTGTTGACGCACTATAACCGGGCGCTCGAGAGCTCGAAACATATCGCGAACCTTCTCCTGCATTGGGCCTGGGAGTGTGGACCATTTAGACTTGATTGTTCGTTCAGAGACCCGACGAACTTGAGGCTTCAAATAAGCAAATCGCTTCCTGGGCGAGTTGTCGTGGTCATGTCCATCATCGGAACTCTTTCGCTTCGGGGGCATCGTAATTAGATGTATTTGGGATAAAAGTTTCCTAGGCAAAGCCCAAGTTCTATGGTAAGAATCAAGATGTACAAAGGTATGGTGTCGTTGTGGTGCGGATGGATGTAAACATTCCCGCGCTGTTGATCTCGCAATGTCATATGCCAGAGAACCAATGAGACGCTAAGCCACTTCGGGGACCTCGTCGGGCAACTTTTTCGTTTCTTTGTGTTCGATGCAAACCCTCTCCCATATAACTATGAAGTCAAGCTTGTTTAAACTTTATAGTGAGGAAAAACTAAGAAAAAAAGGCTTAACAATCATGCGTGGCCAATAGCCTTTAATATGTTATATATACAAATACATATTTCATTCTCATGCCTGAATGTGAGGGGCATGCATCCTCTATGGCTGAATATATATCAGCTACCTATTATGTATACAAGACGCAGAACAGGCTGTTCGGTCTGGGCGACCAAGGGTATTATAAGGCACAAAGCACATCGTAGCAGCGTCGAGAAAAGCTTAAAAAAAAAAAAAAACAGGGAACGAAGAAGGCACAGCACAGATATCTTAGGAATATGGAGTATCGTGAATCAAATCATGACCACCAAAAAATGAACGCCCCGTGAATCAAACCTCCACAATGTGCATCCACCTAACTCGCTAATCGCTTAAACTCAAGGAATTCGGACAAGAGAGTGTGCTTGACAGGTTAGGGGAGAGAGAAAAAGAGAATGAAAAGAAACGTCATAATCGCATGAGTAGCATACGCATTATCGAGGCATAACCAAGCCATTCATGGTTTTCAAGTCTGCGAGCTGTGCCTTTAAAATCTCATTTCCACGGAGTATATCCTCTAGCCAGTCTGCAGCTTGCGTGAGCATAGCACTTTTGCTGAAGCCACCCCCTTTCAACCCCGGTACAAGTGTGCACAGATCATCAAAGCCCTGCCTAATCAAATTTCGGCGCTTTTGCTCAGACAAGATGTGATTGTTCCTCTTTTGTTCTTCCGTAAGATTCTCCCTTGCGGGCTTTGCACCCTGCTGAAGTTTCGATTTCCGTATAGTCTCGGTTGACATCCGCCGATTCTTACCATAGCTCGTACTCTTGGATCTCCTTGATCTTGGTTTCGAGTCATCTCCCTCAGAGTTCTCGTCGTCTTCCTCCTTGATCAATGTTCTTTGCCGTTTTTTAGGCTGCGATAGATCTTCCATGCTATCCCTGTATTCCCTGCGTAGATCGTTGAGTGGCCCAGTCGTGTCGGGTCCCGCCCAATGGGCATTATGGCTACCAGTGATTCGTTCCGGGCTAGGTGCGCGAGTATTGGCCGCACTACTCTGGGGCTCAAGAGACTCTAGATGGCGAAGCAGCTGCTGCGTCTGTTCCTCCACATTTGGCTGATCAGGCGGCGCCACATATCCTTGATCCATGAAGCTGACATCGGACCCCCAATGAAGGGGCCGGACCTTAGCGGTGGCTTGTTGCTCTGGTGATATTGGCTCATGTACATCGAACAGCATTTCCGACGTGTGATAACCAACCGGTGTCCGGGCGCTAACAAATGTGTTCTGCGGTTTGGAAGACATGGGTAGTGACGGTGGTGGTGGTTGGTTCTTCATGCGACCATTCATCCTAGAGTTGTTGAAATCTATCTCCGGGAAAGAGGAAAATGAATGATGTGGGAAAGGTGGAACTAATCCAGTCCCATTCATGCCGTTTTGATAGAACATGGAAGCAGTCGAAAGGATATCGGAGTTCGAGTGATTTGGCAAAACGCCCATACCGGATTTATCTAGGCCGCGATGAGGTAGTGAGGGTTGTGAAAGAGAGGTTGCAGATCCTTCAAATGTTGGAGGGAGTTCATCTGACCACTCGAAGCTTGTCGGCCCGAGTGACTTATTTTGGTGACGGTGTTGCCAGAAATCGGTCGTGAAATGGTTGGAATTCATTGTCGTGAAGAAATTATCAAGCATATTAGACTCATTATCATCAAGAAGAGCTGGCCCGGGAGGAGGTGCAGGCGCAGGTTCGTAAGGAGTATCCATGGGGGAAAGAAACGAATCTGCACAGTAGATATGATTAGACCGTGGTAGCTCGTAGTCAACATTTGGTATACATACAGCCAAATGGTCCTGGTTGAGGGCTATCTCGCCCCTCACGAGCCTGAGAACCATTCATATTCATATTCATATTCAGATTGAGATTCATTCTTAGTGTGAGTAAGCTGTAAAAGGAGTGACAATGCGGAAAGTGTGGCCGGGAAATTGCTTTCGCCTATGCTGTCACTCTATTGTCGAGAGCAACGTTGAGAAAAGGCAACACAATATGAGCATGCCTTGATCGATCAATGATCCGGACTTGTGCCTTCTAATAATGGGTTCATATAACAATACAGTTAAGTGGAGGCGGCCGGTTCTTCTTTTCCGTACGAACAGACTTCACGGTAGTAGTATATATGGCTGGGGCGTACGTTAAAGGTCCACAATACAGGAGTTGGCTTGGTAGAAGAAAGTCCCCCGCATTGATATTCATAGGGAAACGAGAGAGATAACGGAGTACGTAGTAGTAAGTCTGGGGACAGCAGAATGGTGGAGAGAGAAAGCATGGAATCCGTCGGTCTTTTCAACTCGATCACATGCAAAAATTCTCGCGCTCCAGTAATTGGTCGCGTGATGTAAAAACCGTACCAAAAATACCCGCCTGATCTCCGCCACTCCCGCTTCAATTTCCGTAATACCGGGGTATTGTGACGCTCGGCCCAATTTCCCAAAGCGTTCCCTTCAATGATAAGTTTCTTTCTCCTTAAAACCAAGTAACTAATAGAATAGTATAACATTAACAACATTTCGGTGCCCCCGGTCCACCCCTCCTCCTCAACCCACCCCCTTCTAATTTTTCCTTTTAGCTTTTCTTTTTTTCTCATTCTTCATTGGGAAGGGCTCTGTGTATCTTCTAATTTTCTGGATATATCGTTAACCATTTTTTTCATTGCTTACTCCTTTTTATTTTTTTTTTGGCCCACAGACCAAGGTATACGGCCCGACGGCCCACGGGGTATATCTCGCCGACGACTCATGAACCCCAATTTTTGCGGCTGACAGATGGAGGATCGGCCACCAAGGACCTAGTCTTTACCCCTGAACCAGCCTTAGTCTAATAGACTTGCTTTTGGGGTCTTTCAAGGACCGAGGTTCAATATTACGTTGCATGGCTCCACGCCCTAGGTCACACCAACGGTGCCAATAGACCCATTATCAGGTAGGAAATGCTCGAACTGCTGCCACAGCAGGTGCCCGTGTTGGTTTTTTCAACTCTGTACTCTGTAATCTCTTCCAATTTGCATGATGTTGGTCGAATACCGTTGCTCCTAAGATCTGGATTTACACAATTTCCCTGTTAAGCTCTCCGTAGTAGGGGAGTACTACACCTCTCGTCAAGGTGTGTTTCTGTACCATGATTGGCTAGGAGAAATTTCTGGTGCCCCGTCCCCCAATACTATTACTATAGGTTAGGGCTATACTATTGATCAGTGTTGATAACGATCTTCTACAGAGAGGCGGTCATGAATAATTGCCATTGAATGGAGCCCTGAAAAAAAAAAGCCATGGATTCTTCCACTGGCAGAGGTCAAAATAGAAGTCGGCTTCTAAATCCGTATGTATTACCTTGACCGTGCTGCAGTTTCGGAGTCGCATGCGATCTAGAACGCTGGCACACGTTACATTTTCTGGGGTGCCGCTAAGATTGCTGACTGGACTGCTGCTTGTGTACCGTTACAGCATTCTGCGTGCATATGCCCTTGGTTATTTGTCCTCCACCACTCCGAGATTAATATCATCTTTACGGCAAGTTTGGAGGAATGACTTGAATTCTCACCAGAAGCGCGAAGTGGTAAGTTGTTCCATCCGCGGAAAGTCACCTGGTATTGCTATTTTTATTTCGGATATCTCCGTGCCCCCGTCATGCTTTTGTACCTTGAGATCTCCTTGCGAACCATACAATCCGACAGGAGTTCTAGGCTGATGGTTGGGACCGCAGCTGCTACGTGCACTAACGAGTGCGATACGATTGGAAAGCTTCCCCACGTTCTGTGCTTCTCTTGTGGGGGGCTCTACCGTGCTTCCTCTACTTATTTTTCGGTGGCATCAACTTGTAACCCATAGGCTTGGCTTCAAACCTAGTCTTTCGGAATCTACCAAGTTTTTGCGGCTAACTCGATTTGTTTGTGCTTTCATTTCCGCATGGTTGAGCTTCCAACTACTGAGTCGGAAACCCGTAAGACTGTATCAGGATGATGGGGAGTCCATGGCCGACGCAAACAACGGGGCTGCTAGGGGGCAGCAAGGGCGCAAGGACCCGACACACATCAAACCCCAATTTGCTGGCAGGACCATGGATTTGACGCTGTTCAGCCTTACTAGAGCAGTGGATTTGGTAATCAGCATCGTATGGTCACGATGGCGACGATGGCGGAAATCTCAGGGTCGCTGGAGTCTGGCGGAGAATATAGCGCCAGGGTTTGCAGATGCAGGCGTATTTGCCTCTAGCGCAGCAATAGTGATGTGGGCATGGTTTTATCTCCCCGAACGGTTGCCAAAATCCTACGAGAGATGGATTGGGGAGGTAGCCAAGGTGGATTCTCGGCTGATCGAAGCGCTTCGCCGGGTTAGGAGAGGGGTGTTCGTATATGGGAAAGATACAGGTCAAGCACACCTGCTCCAGTCCATGTGCAAGGACTATGGGTGGCCTATCGAGTGGGGAGATCCCGCGAAAACAATTCCTATTCCCTGCGAAATGGTACACATGAGTTGTGGCCCTAACTGTGAAAAACATGCCATATCCCGATTTGCTCGAACATTTAAGTTTGCCTGTGGAACTTATATACCTTTGCAAATTGCCTTCCGTCTCCGGCGGTTGAACTCTGTATCATCAGTCCGTCGGGCTGTATCCGATGCACTGCGCTCATCTGCATTCCTTGCTTCGTTTGTGAGTATCTTCTATTATTCGGTCTGCCTCGCCAGAACTAGAATTGGTCCAAAGGTATTCCCACAAGATGTGGTGACACCTATGATGTGGGACTCTGGACTTTGTGTTGGAGCTGGATGTTTGATGTGCGGTTGGAGTATACTTGTCGAAAGTCCTTCCAAACGGCAGGAATTGGCATTATTTGTGGCACCTAGAGCTGCCGCGACTGTGCTCCCAAGGTTCTACGATAAACAGGTATGGCTCACAAACTCCAGATGATTATTTGGCTGCGGCATTCCCAAAGTCTATGTCACATCTCGTCTTGTGTCCCCGTTCCTTATTGCGGTCTGATCTTTTGTCCTACATTGTGTCATGTTAGAACTCTATAGTTGCTAACATTTTGCTGACGCTACTTAGTACCAATATCGGGAGCGCATTGCTTTTGCTATTAGCGCTGCTGTTCTTCTTACCTGTCTCCAAGAGCGACCTAGCATGGTCAGAGGTGTTTTTGGCAGGATTGCAGCGAGCGTCTTGAAATGATGGATGATAGTCTTTACTCAGGATGACGCTTTATGAAAAGGCCCTTGATATCGAGAACGATACTAGGGGGACTGTCGGTTTTTCTCTGTATTATTACAAGATCTTAGAGGCTTCTTTTACCCTTTCGTTCTTGCTTGTCCTTGTGTTAGTATAGCCAACCATATTTCGTGGCCTATGCGCTACATATAATTAAAGTTAGAACGCTTATGAGAAGCGTCTTTGGACACTGGCAATCTACTACTCTTGGAAAAACAGGGAAAACACCCTCCAACATGGACTGGAGTCGTCCAATAATACCTGACCTGAGGTAAGTCCATGCGAATTGACACCAAAGTACAGGCTTATCGATAAGAAGTATTGATTGCCAAGGCGGAATCACGTGTCGGCGAGTCCATCCATATTGCAAAGGTGAGTTCTCCGCATGTACCCGCCCACGCATCAATTTTATAGCCATGTATAGTCGCATAATCACTCCACGGGGTCGGTTTCTCCTGCCGGGATTCGGTACCCGGTTACCCGTACATACAAATGTGAGGTGCTTCGAGCCGGGGAAGAGATACTTCACCCGCAATTCGTTCTTAGGCAGAAATGCCTCCGCAGCGCCTTTCAGTACGCCGCAGGCTCAGAAGCGGAAAGCGTCTACACTGTATTATTGTCGCACTGCGTTCCTTGAAATTTATGCCTAATGTCATATAGGTACTTTACTGCGAGTATTATTCTAGGAACTGTTGCTCTTGCATATGGCTCCGTCCCTCTTTATAAAATGGTCAGTTTAAAATACCAAGCCCTCGTCTGTCCGCGGCAGGAGCTAAACTACATGGTTATGTAGATCTGCCAACAGACCGGCTGGGGTGGTCAACCCATCCTTACTCATCGTGGAGGAGACGCCGATACCGCCTCTCGCCTGACTCCAGTGACAGACTCTCGTCGACTCCGGATTACGTTCAATGGTTCAGTCTCAGACGTCTTGCCCTGGAAGTTCACCCCGCAACAACGTGAAGTCCGAGTGCTGCCAGGTGAAACTGCACTTGCCTTCTACACGGCGACAAACAAGGGCCCATCGGATATCATCGGTGTTGCTACATACAGCGTCTCTCCGGGTCAGGTCGCCCCGTACTTCAGTAAGATCCAATGTTTCTGTTTTGAAGAGCAGAAATTGAACGCCGGGGAATCTGTCGACATGCCTGTTTTCTTCTACATCGATCCGGATTTCACGAAAGACCCGCAAATGCAGGGTATCGACACGATTACACTTTCATACACGTTCTTCAGTAAGGAGATGGCTGACTTGTGGGATCAATGAACCACGGATTGCTGATACAGAACAGAAGCGCGATATGATGATAACGGCGTGCTCAAGCCGATCCCAACGAACTGATGACATAGACAGATGATACCTTGCCCTGTCCATCTCAACAGCTACCGCGGTACATTAACTGGCCACATATCAGCCTCGGCAGAAAACACTCCTTTAAAAACCGGGCGCCCCGAAATGGCCGTGATAAAGCGAGGTTGCATAAGCATCACCACCGTCGTGAAGCGCTAGTCTATGTGTTGGCTAAATTCCTCGTAACTTGTCCCTTCTCGAGATTTCGACTTCCCGAGGAAGGTGTATCTCCTCTCCAAAAGAATACCCATAACTGTATCATAGCAATGGATATCTGTACATTACACTTTCGGATGACACTGTAAATTCTGAGAGTTCCGAGAGTCCCATGACGTGATGTTCTGAATAGACTCATATTGATGGGTTCTCTGGTGGTAATTGAATTATCGATGGTCGTAGTTCGAGGGATAGTGTTATTGTATGTACCATAGTCAGCACCCATGCACGGACCACCACTTAAGCTCGCGTGTCACGAACTTCCCGACGCGTCTTGCTTGACTTGTGTGAGAAGCAGCCGATTGCCTCGCACCTTCACGCCAGCTACGATAAAACGAAAACCAAAAATGGCTCTGCTAGTTGACAAGCTGCGACCACGCTCACTCGACGGTCTGTCATACCACCATGAATTGTCCGCGCGATTGAAGTCCCTGGTAAGGAAAAAACTAGCCCACTTGGGAGGGAAATCCACCAATTGACTGGATTATCTCTTTAGGCACAAAGCGGGGATTTCCCTCATCTACTCATGTACGGACCATCAGGCGCAGGCAAAAAGACCCGGACAATTGCGACCCTGAAGGAATTGTATGGCCCGGGCGTGGAGAAGATCAAAATCGACGCCAGAGTCTTCCAGACGACGAGTAACCGAAAGCTTGAATTCAACATTGTATCGTCCGTTTATCATCTTGAGATTACACCTTCAGACGTCGGGAACTATGATCGTGTCGTTGTGCAGGAGCTACTCAAAGAAATTGCGCAAACGCAGCAAGTCGATCTCTCGGCAAAACAGAGGTTCAAGGTCGTCGTAATAAATGAGGCAGATCATTTGACTCGCGACGCCCAAGCAGCCCTGAGACGGACTATGGAGAAATACAGTCCCAACCTGCGACTAATTCTGTTGGCCAATAGTACTTCAAATATCATTGCTCCTATCCGTTCCCGAACTCTGCTGGTCAGGGTTGCGGCCCCCACGGAGGAACAAATTTGCACCGTTCTAAGCACCGCAGGCAAGAGGGAAGGCTGGCCGGAGGCGCCTGGGCTCAATAAGAGGATAGCGAAGGAGAGCGGACGCAATCTCCGGCGCGCTCTGCTCATGTACGAGGCCATCTATGCTCAAAGGTAATAGTCATTAGTCTTATTCAGTTGGTGATTTTAAGCTGACCCTCCTTCGCCGCTAGTGAGAAAGTGACAGATGACACTCCAATCCCACCTCCCGACTGGGAGGTCCTCATCTCTGTGACGGCCGATGAGATTCTAGCTGAGCGGTCGCCTGCACGACTGTTGCAAGTCCGAGCGCGCCTGTATGATCTCTTGACTCACTGTATACCGCCCACTACTATTATCAAGGTCTGATCACGAACAATGAAGAAGGGGTTGGGTCAATGCTGACTAGTATTTAGACCCTCACATTCAAGCTCATCGCTAAGGTGGACGATGACCTGAAGCCCGATGTTATTAAATGGTCCGCATTCTATGAGCACAGAATCACGCAAGGCAGCGTAAGAACCCCAACCCGTACGAGCTATAGCCTCGAATAACACTAACTTATTCTATAGAAAGTAATCTTTCATCTCGAGGCCTTTGTTGCTAAATTCATGCGCATCTATGAAAGGTTCGGCTCCCTTATTGCAGAATTGTTGAGCTCCCGTCACTAACATTCTACGCAGTTACCTGATGGGCATGGACTTTTAGACCGTAAAAGAAAAAAAGAAAAGTAATAATCGACGATTGATGATTGTTTTGTATAATATGTGACAGCACCCTCTGATTTGGGGGTGCTTATTGCATGGTTTCTGCGGCGGCATACAGATTCTGGTTTGGATAAGTTCTACTGGCGTTTTTGTAAGAGAGGTCGAAAATGATATGTCAGCAGCTTCTGCAAACGATCTAGACGTTGGTGCCGTAACTTAAGTAGTCTAGAATGTTGTAAACTAAGTTCTTCCCCATGGGGAAATGATTTGGAAGACAGACTTGATGGCTACGTCATACAATTCCTCTATAAATTGGAAGTGCCAGCCACTGTCCCAACTATTGTGGTTCCCAGAACCTGAACCAACTTTTCACATACGCTCGCGAAAGAAATCCACTCCGAACATATTCTATTGTATATAGCTTTTTGTGGAGCAGATCATGTCGGATACTAAACTCATGGATACTGAACCGGGTGGTGAAAGCACCCAGTGGGTTTCCCTTTGCTGACTATTTTATGTGAACCTGCTCTTTAACCATAAGTTAAAGGTATGAGTCTATTCGAGAATTTACGGAAACACCACCTAAACAAACCGGACAACTGGGGGGTATGGCGCATCTGCTTCGCAAGGCTGCCCTGTCTAAACTCGCTACTGACCATACCAAGGAAATATTCCGCATACGAGGAGTGAAATGAGACGCATATGGGACTCAGGCACCAATACGCCGGCCCAAGATGAGGATGCCGAATGGGCAAGAAGATTCTCAGGCCAGACAGACGTCTTAGGAGTAGCGGATAAAGGTACAGTTGATCTTTGGTTTCCTTCAAACTAACTCCGTGTATAAGACATCGACACATGTGGGAATAAAACATTCAAAGAAGAACCAAAAGCTGATGATAATATACACAAGACCTCAAGCCTGAGACCCAAGACGGCGATGCAGAAGCAGCGAGGACTAGGAGACAACAGGGATATGGACCTGGTTCCGGCGTCGGGGCTTAAAGTTTGCCGGATGCAAATAATGTAATAATAGGGTCAGATGGAATATATGCATTTCATTTACTGAGAAGCAGAGGGGCTAGACGATGTTGAGCTGGGTGGAGAAGACATCTTTTCCGTACCCAGAGCTGGGCTTCGGCGTGGCCGCTTGAGGCTTTCAAGGGTCACACCATTGCCGAGCTTGGTGATACCGACAACCGGGGGATCGCCCTTCTTGCAAAACTCCCACATACCTATATTGAATTGCGTTAGCATGTAAGCCGCTCTCAGCCTGTTCGTAGAGGAAGAGAGCTATGCATACCGGGCAACTTGTGGCCAGCCAATCTGAAAGCTTCCCTGGCAATCTTTTCGTGGATATCGCCCTTGAGCTCAAAAACAATTCTGCTGACCGCGACCTTCGCCGTCCAGTAGTCGAACTTTCCCTTACCCTTACCCATACGCTGTTCGTTACCCTTGGTGTACACACCGATATTGGCGCTTACACGCTTGTACAGTGTATAGTTCATTCCTCTTAGACGTCTTTTAATAGTTTCCTCTGCGATTTTGAGCGACGCAGCCGGTAGTCGGCGGTCATGGTCCTTCATGCGCAAACCGTAGTCGCCCCAGACGACAGTCGTACCCCGAGAAGAACCGCCAGTCGCAACGTGTGGGCGACCTTTGGGAGATTTCGACGTTTCCATAAACTTCGGAGTGAGCCAGTCAAGAGCCGGGGAGGTTGTAGAGAAGCACCGTGATAGCGGAGAGGCCGTAAAAGTCGTTGATAAACCTATTGATCCAACCCGTCAGCTTTCAGGCCTGCAAAGGAAAATTCTGATTGAAGTTACTGATACATACAGGTCGGCCGGAAAAGGGCCAATTGAGGTCCCGAGAACATCTTCGTCTGGGAGGCCATTGTGAGATCTGATGCCAGGCCCTTTTCGTACCAAATTAACGATGTTGGATGAAGAACTCCCAGACTATCGGCGTATCTGCAAGTCCGATTTTCCCCCATTCCCAAACGGGTAAAACGACATGATGCACGGGCCACACGCGTTCTCCTTATGTAAGCCAATTAAATCACGTCTGCGACAAGGCACCGCGTCGTGTTGCCTATCGTGATCATTGGATTTAAGAGCGCCGGGTGGGTTGCTTCTTCAATTTTCCTCCGAGAATTACCAAACCACTATATTCCTGTCCAAGACATGCTTTGACGAGCCCTGAATTATCATGCCTGCTGATATCAGGAGCTTCTTTGGCGGCAAGCCTAGTAGTCAAGGCTCCAGTGCCTCTCCTGCGAAACCGCCCGCGAAGAAAGAGGTACGAAAATAGCTCCGCCGCAAAACCCACCTTCCAGCTTTTGCAATTTCAATTTGAGCTCGCCATTCTTGAAACAAGCTAATGCGAATCATCTCTAGGAACCTGCTGGCAGGAAAAGACGTAAGACCCAAACCGGTCTATTCACTTGCGCATTTGTTAACTAGGCATGCAGGCGGTAGGAAAGTTGTGGACGATAGTGATGAGGAGGAGGATGTCAAGGTGACCAAGGCGCCAACTCCCAATGCCAAGGTGCCAACAAAACTGTATGTATTGCATTTTGATTTCTTCAAAGCAGCTCCGTCGTACCTGCTGACCACCTTGCGCAGGAAAACAGAAGCACCGCAAGGCGAGATCACGACCACGTCGGACTACTTCGCCTCGAGTAAAAAGAAAGGAAGGACATCCAAAACCAGTACTACGACACCTGCGAAGGATACCCTGCCCTCCCATGATGCCGCCTCAGATAACATCAAAGCTGAAAAATCTCCGGAAGAGAACAAGCAGACTGAGAAGGAGACCCCAAAGCGACAGACACGCGAATCCAAGAGAAAAGCTACAACCATTCTAGACGATGATGAGCATGGCGACGATGACATCTTTGCAACGGAGTTCGGAAAGCCAGGTAAAGGCGACGATGACTACGTGGAGGATGGGCACAGTGAAAATGGCAGCGACCTCGAAGAACTTGCAGTGAAACCGGCTACGGTAGCTTCGAACAAACCTGGACGTAAAAAATCCGCCTCGAAGCTAGAGTCGGATGATGATGTAGTTATGGAGGACGTTCCAAAACCGTCCACCAAAGCAACGAAATCGGCAGCTTCACAATCTGCAAGGAAGCGGAAGTCTGAAGCTCTAGGGAAGGAAGACGTCGATGAATTTCAAGGTAGTCCTAAGAAAGGCACCTCACGTTCAAAGGCAGCTTCGACGGCTCGCGCCCCTAAGAAAGCAAAAGGGTCTCCGTCTAAGCAAGATCAACCCGAAAGCAAGGAAATCCAAAACATATTTGACAGTATCCCAACTGTCCGACCTCCCTCACCTCCTCCGGATTCCGATGACAAGAAGAAATTCAACCCTTTCGCTGCACGAGCGCGGTCTCCTGTAGCATCTGGGACCGCTGAACTACCGGTTGGGGCCGAAAACTGTCTTGCAGGACTAGCTTTCGTCTTCACTGGAGTCCTTGACACATTAGGCCGTGATGAGGGGCAGAACCTGGTGAAAAAGTATGGCGGTAAAGTTACTGGGGCTCCTAGTTCAAAGACGAGCTATGTTGTCCTTGGGAGTGACGCTGGACCCAAGAAGCTCAAGACTATCAGGGAACATAACCTGAAGACAATCAATGAAGAAGGCCTCTTCGAGCTCATTCGACGGCTTCCAGCCAACGGCGGGGATGGAAAAGCAGCTGAGAAGCATGAAGCAAAGAAGAAGGCGGAAGATCAAAAGATTCGAGCCATGGCTGCCGAAATTGAAGAAGAAGAGAAACGCAAGGCGAAGGCTGCTAGCATGGCGAAGGCGATGGTATCCGCTGGATCTCAGACGCCACCAAGCTCGCAAGGTCCCAGAGCTGAGGATGAGCTCTGGACCACAAAATACGCACCAACGTCTATGAATATGATCTGTGGTAACAAAGGTGCTGTCGAAAAACTTCAAAGTTGGCTTCGAGACTGGCACAAGAATGCTAGAAAGAACTTCGATAGGCCTGGGAAAGATGGCATGGGAATCTACCGCTCCGTCATGATCCACGGACCCCCAGGAATTGGCAAAACGACCGCGGCGCATCTAGTGGCAAAGCTTGAGGGATTTGATGTCCTGGAAACTAATGCTAGTGACACAAGGAGCAAGAAACTCGTCGAAACAGGTCTTCTTGGAGTCTTAGATACAACATCCTTGCAAGGTTATTTCGCAGCGGATGGGAAGAAGCTACAAAGGGAGAAGAAGAACATGGTATTGATCATGGATGAAGTTGATGGGATGTCAGCTGGTGATCGAGGTGGTGTTGGGGCTTTAGCCGCTATCGCAAAGAAAACGCAGATCCCACTCATTCTCATATGTAATGAGCGAAGGCTTCCGAAAATGAAACCCTTCGACCATGTTACGTATGAGCTGCCCTTTAGACGCCCAACTGCCGAACAGATTAGAGCTAGACTTTCAACGATCTGTTTCCGAGAGGGCCTGAAGATTCCGCCCCCTGTTCTCGATAGCCTAATCGAGGGAACGCATGCCGACATTCGTCAAGTTATCAATATGCTGTCGACTGTCAAGTTAGATCAGAAGAATTTGAATTATGAGAAGGGCCGGGAGATGTCAAAGGCCTGGGAAAAGCATGTGGTCTTAAAGCCGTGGGATATTGTTAGCAAGATCCTCAACGCCCAGACGTTCTCGCCGAGTTCGAAATTAACGCTGAATGACAAGATCGAACTTTATTTTAACGATCACGAATTCAGCTACCTGATGCTCCAAGAAAACTATCTGAGAACAAGACCGACCTTGGCTGGCAATTATCAAGGCAAAGAGCAAAAGCTGAAATCGCTCGAGTTGATGGATAACGCAGCGTCAAGCATTAGCGACGGTGACCTTGTTGACAAAATGATTCATGGAACACAGCAGCAATGGAGCTTGATGCCGACCCATGCTGTTTTCAGCTTTGTCCGACCAGCCAGTTACACCTACGGTAATATGATGGAGCGACCTGGTTTCACGAGCTGGCTAGGGCAGAACAGCAAACAAGGTACGTATCCTTCGATGGTCTCTATGTTCGTGTTGCTGATAGTACGTCTACAGGCAAGCTTTGGCGTTACATCAAGGAAATTCAAGGCCACATGCGCCTTCGTGCTTCTGGAGACCGTGACGAGATTAGACAGCAGTATCTACCCCTCGTTTGGGACAAGCTTATTCGCCGATTGATGAAAGAAGGAAAAGAAAGTGTCGAAGAAGTCATTGATTTCATGGACAGTTATTTCCTCACCCGGGACGATTGGGATGCAATGGTCGAGCTCGGTCTTGGTCCTATGGACCAGTCGACGGTGAAGCTGGACACACAGACCAAAGCAACGTTTACGCGTATTTACAACCAGCGCTCGCATCCACTTCCCTTCATCAAGGCCAGTAGTGTCGCTGTCCCTAAAAAGATGCCGAAGGAGAAACCCGATATTGAAGATGCCATCGACGAGTCAGATGAGGACATACTCGAGGATGAGACAAAAGAGGACGAGGAAAGTGACGAACTTGACCTTAAGAAGGACAAGTATGTCCGCGTACCAAAGAAATCCGCGCAGAAGAAACCCGCCCCAAAGGGCGGCGCGGGCAAAGGGAAGAAGGCCAAGAAGGCCGCCGATGATGACTTTATTGAAGATGACGAGAAGCCGAAGAAAGGCAAAGGTCGAAAGGCCAAGGCTTGATGTGTATGTATTAACGGAGTAACAGCTTGATAGGGAACGTTGGGTCAAATTAATATCTGTTTCCTGGAACTTGGACAGCGGACAATGGGCCATGTTTATTTATCCTGTATTATAACTGAAACGATGATTCTTGTAACCCATGAGCCAGACCAGTGTTTAATTTAAACTGAGGGCCGAACTAAATACTCCAAGTAATCTGCGGCGGATCGGCAGCGCATTATCTACACCCATGTTTCTTGGCCTGATCTGCGGAGATTGTCTTGGTCGAACCCGCAATTGCTGCTCTTCCTTCTCCACTAACTCACCACTTAACCTTCACCAACTGACTGCAACGGCCTCCTTGCCTCTTTATTATTCGTCTTCCTTTTTCTCTTCAGCGGGCTGGCCCTGGTTGAGGACAAATTTTTGTTTCACCATTCCTTTACTGACCAAGTTCAGTGCTTCTATTACTACTCTCCGCGCGGTATTTAGAATCATGCCCAGGTGAAACGCCACCAAGACTTCACGGTGTCTGACTTAAACCCACGAATTTCCTGGTCGCTACCGGACATATTTTTTTTTTCGATATCTATACCCACTCAGCCTCTGCCCATAACTGTCGGAAGATGTCCCTCCTTCATAATGAAGAGTATGTCTAGTGATGCGCCCAACGCATCTGCTCCCGCCACCTTCCCCGCGATCGCCTTTCATACCAAGAACCTAGCACTAAAAGAAATGATAGTTTTACGATATGGCAGCTGCGCACGTCTTACCTATCCACAATCAAAGACGGAATTGGCGACAGACTCATCAACGTGAACAACTCCGTTCTCAATACCCCTGGATTTCGTGCGGCGGGCTGGTCGTCGGTTTCCACAAACCCCAGCGCACAAAGTAAAGCTGCCCATATTCGGCGGACATATTCTCCTCCCATCCCCACCACGGCCGCGGTTACCTCTGAGTATTATCAACTGGGTGTTCATAGAGATGCGAACGAAGCACAACGACTTGGTTTGGGGGAGGATGGCGAGGAAGATGAAGGGGGTATGGTGACGGGCAAAAGCTCTACAGAGGTGATTGGACGCCGGCCTCAAGGACGCGGTGGGAAAAGAGCTCATCGAAAAGAGCGCCAACAACAAGATTCTTATAAGCAAAGAGATGCCGAGGAAGATGACAGCAGTGATTTGAGTGACGAGAGTGACGACGATGCGGACAGTCAAAGGTCGGTGGATACCAACAGTTCGAGGTTCCTTATGTTATCTAATTTTATTCATGTGCTAATACGTCGCAGAGCCTCTCAACAGATTAAATTCCCGAAACTGCCAATACGGACACGAGCCGGTTCCTCTCCAATACGTTCAACAGATCGTCAAGAAGGCCCACAAGTCATGGTTACATCTCCTTCCCACCCGTCCATGGGCATTCATTACCGCACAGGATCGTTGGGAACTGCTGTCAGTGTGAACGAGCGGCCACGAAGGGATACAACTACTACGGCCAGTAGCGACATGTCATCGGATAACGAAATGGGTTCCTTAGCCTCCCGGAAACAGATTCAGTTTTCTGACCAGGATCAGGTTATAGAGTTGGCCAGCTACAGGCGGAGGGGAGCTGGCAACCGGGACCTTGAAGGGCTGGTCGAGCATCCGGAGGATTCAGGTGCTGAGTCAGTGGACTCAGCACTTTCATCTGATTTTGATGCCACGGCGGGTTCGGCATCGCTCTTGGTAGGCGTTGGTATTACTGGCAGCTTGGATTCTTCATCACCTATGATGATGCACAAGTTACCGAACGGAACAGGTCCTCAAACCACGTCCCCCCGCAAGACCAAGACACCGGCCCCCGAGTTACAAGATTTGCCTCCACCACGGCCTATCAGCACAGTGCAACCTGTAAGCTTGCTGTCGAAGGCACTCAACGCGCGCAAACGAGCACCAGCAAATCCCGTTGAGATGTTTGCGGTGCTCTCGGGAAAAGGGCTTACAGATGCATTGAATATCAAATTATACCTTCCGTTTTCCTCACATCCTGAGGAGCCAATTGACCTCCCCATTGCGCGAGAGTCTAAACTCGCGGAACTACCCGCCCCGGTGACTGTCGTTGAGGCTATTGGATTGGCACTCTGGCGGTACTCGGAAAAAGGTCGCGAACCGTCCATTGAGCGCAACAAGTTGAATGTTAACCGGTGGACGCTCCGGATGGTGGAAGACGGTGAGGTAGAATACGACTTTCCCCCGTTGGGACGGACGTCACAGATCACAGATTTTACGTCAAATAACAATCGAGCAGCTGGGGCAAGAGGTCGGGGACGAGGGAAACAGTACGATGAATTTGCCCTGGTGGAGGCTTCCGACAGCGAATTCGAAGAGAACGAGCGTCAGTTCCCTATGTATAGCCAGGCAGTTGTTTCTGAAGACACCAATGATGCGGCATCGGCTCTCAACGTCCCTTCGGCTCAACCGGCTCCCCCAATCAGAGCACCCCGGACAAACCCGATCTTAGGACCGTTCTCGTCGGCACTGAATGACAATACACTCACCCCGGCGGATCGGCCTGCGGTGCCCACGTCGCATGCCACCCCGCGCATGGGGATATCGAAGACCCTGAAGATTCGGTTTATTAACATCGAGGGCTCTACGCAAGTCACGACTCTGAACACGTCTACTGACAGCTACATTGCAGAAATCTTGGATTCTGTCTGCAAACGATGGGGTTTGGATAAGGGGAACTATCTCCTTAAGGTGATGGGGTCTAATACGATAGCACCTTTGGACCGCACCGTGGAAGCGCTGGGGCACATTACCGAGCTGGATCTCGTGCGCCGGCGCTTCGGGCCCCAGTCGTTGACGGGTTCCCCCGGCAGCTCCTCGCCCAACGCACCGCTCCAGATCGACAACAACAGCGTGTCGAGCAAAAAAGGAAAGAAGAGCGGGCAGCGCATGCTACACCCGCTCTCCCAGAAGCAGGATCTCATTGGGGGGTACTACCGTCGGTACCACGTGTTCCGCAAGCAATCCATGTCTTTCACCGCGTCGAATCATCGGGTCCTTACGTTTGACAATGACTATATGCACATCATGCCAGGGGACACGGCGAAGACGGGGTCGGACACCAAGACGCGGTCGATTAGTTTTAACGACGTGGTGGGATGCAAGGTGAGCCGTCGGCATCCCAAGAACTTCCGGGTGGTTGTGCTTCGTGGCAACGATGCGAACGAGCAAAAGCGATATGACTTCGAGGCGCGGAACGCCCTCGAGGCGGTGGAGATTGTGGATGAGATTAAGAAGAACATGGCGCATTACCGGATTTAGCTTTGGTGGGGACGAGACATCGGCGATGTTTGATATTGTGAGACGATCAAGATAGGTAATACCCAACGTGCAGTTTTAAGATGGTTCCCTTCCGGCCCGCCTTCTCGTCCGACGCGACTTCATATTTCTTTCGTAGTGTTTAGTCTGAAAAATTATGATGCGATAGACTTCAAATTTTCTTAATCATCTCAATTTATTCGCTCCGCTAAGAATAGTTTCTGAAATAGCCAATGAAGAGCTGAGCCTGTAGGCCGCCGAGAAGGGAAATCTCCGAAGAGCGGGGCCTTCCGCCGGATCCACTTTTGGGATTGAAGTAAATGAGGTCACTCTGCAGGTTTGTGTGTGCTTGAAAGAATTATATGTCCGAAGATACTGAACTTATCATCGTTAAGAGTATATCGTTGTCTCTCTCTTTCTCTTTAACTCTTTTCTCTCGTTTTCTCGTTTCCCTTTTTTTTTTTTTGCTGTGCGTAGTAAGACATGGTATGACCATCCATGAACCATCGAAAAAGAGAGCGGGTTCCTTTGGTACGCGGGGACGAAATGATCGAATCCTGGGTAGGGAAAGGGAAAAGTGATGATCTCATCGGGTCGGCGAACGGAAGCTTACCTACTCGATAATTTAGAGAGAGAGAGAAACAGAGAGAGAGAGATTGATGATTCATGAGTAGGGGAAGATCTCTCCAGAGTGGTGTCGTGACCTAGTAAACTCATGGCAACCATCTGAGAGGCCCCGTTGGCATTGTTGATGAAACACAGATCTGATGAGACTCCTTTTTCTTTCTCTCTGTATTTGTTTCATCGTCATGCGGGTACAAGAAAAAAGGAAAAAAAAAAAAAAAAAAGGAAAAGAGCAGTGGAGCTGTATAGGATTCTTTTCTTTTTTCCCTCTTCTCTCTCATCGTCAAGATAGGCAGTTATATCGTAGTAATTGAGAGATTTGGATGGTGATGGTGTTTTATGTATGTATGTAATCCTACGGGATTACGTATGGTATAGAGAGAAAAAGAGAGAAAAGGTGGAATCAATTAAATTGAAAATCGTCCCCTTCCCCCCGCGCTTTGCTCTTCTGGGTCGCTTTTCCTCCTCCGCCAAACCAAGCAAACTAATTAATTGCATCAAATCGTGGTTCCCTCTCTCTTGAACGTTGACATTCTTATTCCCCCCCTCCTCGCTCGACTATTTTCCTTAGACTGGCGATAAGGAAGAAGAAACAACAAGAAAAGAGACGAAAGACCTTCGCAATCCCATCTCCCTTATAATTGCAGAGCTTCGGATTGACCGCTTGTCGGCGAGTCTGTTGTGTCCGCCGTTCGGAACCGTACAAACCAGAGGCGTTGACGCTGTTGCTTTTCCCCTCCTTCGCAAAGAAAGAAGGGGGAAAAAAATAAAAAAAAAAGGAGAAAAGAGAGGTCGAAAGAGGGGTTGAGCTTCCAAACAAAAATAATTATAACTCATCCTATTTTTTTTGGCTCGAAGTCTAACCAAAACCCCCTCACAAATTTCCCCTCCCCTCGTTTTTCATTTTGCTCCCCCATTTTTATTTTTCCTTTTTCTTGATCTCAAGGAAAAATTAATTTGAGTCTCCAATGCCGAGCTTAGGAGGGTTATTGAAGAAACGGCGGACCAAGGATTCGCAGACCCTTAGGCAAGAGCTTGAAGCCGGTTCGTCACCCACAGCGGCCCAGACACAGACGTCACCAAACGAACATCACCACCACCACAACAGCCACCAATCCCAACCCTCCACCACCCCTGACGTCCTTTCTTCTGCGCAACCCCATTCCCACGATCATCATAATCGCTCTTCAGGTACTAATCGAAGCCACCCCGAGGGCCAACCATCCTCCATGCAATCCGCCGTGACGCAATCCCCCTCGGCCCACCAACCGTCTGGTCACCACCACTCCAACACCTCCAATGTCGCTAGCATACAGAACATAATTCATTCATCCTCCCACCAGAGCGGCCAGTCGGTCGGCGGGAGCCAGGCCGGATCTCAACAATCTCAAGCCCGGACCACCAAGGGCAAATATTCCCTCGAGGACTTTAGCCTGCAGCGCACGTTGGGCACCGGAAGCTTTGGTCGCGTCCACCTGGTGCAGTCCAAGCACAACCACCGGTTCTATGCCATCAAGGTCTTGAAGAAGGCACAAGTGGTCAAGATGAAGCAGATCGAGCATACTAATGACGAACGGCGCATGCTCAATCGCGTCCGGCATCCGTTCTTGATCACCCTGTGGGGCACCTGGCAGGATTCGCGGAATCTGTACATGGTCATGGATTTCGTCGAGGGAGGAGAGCTCTTCAGCCTTCTTCGCAAGTCTCAGGTGGGTGATCATCCCGGTCTTCGTTGGGTCAAACATGTACGCTGATGCGGGGCATCACGCTATAGCGATTCCCTAACCCCGTGGCCAAGTTCTACGCGGCCGAAGTCACTCTCGCGCTGGAATATCTGCACTCACATCAGATCATCTATCGCGATCTGAAGCCGGAGAACTTGCTGCTCGACCGACATGGCCATTTGAAGATTACGGACTTCGGCTTTGCCAAAGAGGTGCCAGATATCACCTGGACCCTGTGCGGAACGCCCGATTACCTGGCTCCCGAGGTGGTTTCATCCAAGGGGTACAACAAATCGGTAGATTGGTAAGTCCGTTCGTTCCGATTCGCTCGGGGAAGCCCGCCCATGCGAATCTCGCTGACCGAGCCCCAGGTGGTCCCTTGGAATCTTGATCTTCGAGATGCTGTGTGGCTTCACACCTTTTTGGGACAGCGGGTCGCCGGTCAAGATCTATGAGAATATTCTCCGGGGCAGGATAAAATACCCACCTTACCTGCACCCCGACGCCGTGAATCTGCTTTCCCAGCTGATCACGGCAGACCTGACCAAGCGTCTCGGTAACTTGCATGGCGGTCCGGATGATGTGAAGAATCATCCCTGGTTTGCCGAAGTCACCTGGGATCGGCTAGCAAGGAAAGACATCGATGCTCCCTATGTGCCACCGATTCGGGGAGGACAAGGTGATGCCAGCCAGTATGACCGCTATCCGGAAGAGACCGAAGCCTACGGTCAAGAAGGCGAAGACCTGTACGTGCAACCCCGCTCGGTGTATTTTGACTGTCCTTCTCCCACATTGCTGACATCCCCCGCTAGTCACGGCCACTTGTTCCCCGACTTCTAATTCTTCTACGAGTCACGATGGAAATGATGAGCCACGGCCTCTATGCAAAGGGAAAAGAGGTACCTTATATAGCCCGGTTGACTGGGCTACGAAATGAGCAACTGTGGGGAGGTACTCTTACTATTGCTTTTTAACATATGTCTTTTACTCGGTCGGTTTGATCGTCTGGATGATCGCTGGCCGGCAGGACCTTTGGTTTTCTTTGTTGCCCTGTTTGAAGCATTTACCTGTGTATATCTAGCGCGGACCTGCCGCGCTCTCTCTCTCTCTCTCTTGGTCTGTGTGTCCATGGACCTCGGCCTCCTTGAATGTGGATTTTTGCCATAAGCATCGGGGTGACCCTGACTCTCCAGTACTTGCGTCTGGTTTGAATCCCAGGGTTACGAACTTGGAATAAGGATCGGGTGCCCTTTGGAGTTAGTTTCACACTCCAGTCTTCCGATGTCGATCGTTTGCATCGACTGGACTCTCCGTTTTTCATGCTTTTTTTTTTCTTCTTCTTCTTTTTTTTTTTTTTAATAATAGTTGCAAGTATTGGGGTGCTGCCTGGTTGCTTTGTTTCATTTCATTTTTTTGGAGACCTGTATAATGTACATATCTTTCAAATGCAATAAAAGTAGGCCATGGATCTGTGTATACCGCATCTCCCAGTGCGTGTCAAGAGACAGGCTGGCCATGGAAGCCTGTCTGCTATCACAGATCCGCCGCCTCGTCCGATGTGGATCACTAAATCTACCGCAATGCGCCTGCCTTTATCGTACACGGCTCCAATCATATCTCCCCAAGGGTACTAGAGAACAGGAAAAGAAAACGAGGGCGAAAGCCGCTGCCGGCGTCCAAGCAATTGAAAACCGAACCCGTGTCCGATGACCATCTATCGAAAGTTGCCAATTGTTCCAACATTGATTTACAGGCCGGTATCGGTTGGTGTGGCCATCATCGCAAGGTTCTCTGCTCCATTGATACGCTTGCTTTCACGAGAGACACGGGCGATATAAGTCCGGCTGGTGGCGTTCCAGAAGGAGATATACTTCTCCATGCACTGAGAAAGGCAGGCCTCTTCCCCGGAGGTCATGGTGGAACCGGGGGTGGGGATGCAGTGTTCGAAACAATGCTCGTTGACTTTCTATCCTGTTATTAGAAGACATGTTGATCGCAAGAATGGATTTTGGTCATACTCCGATCAGACTCCGGGCATTGGCCATGGCAGCCTCTTGCTGGAGCTGCTTGACGATGGCGGTCTTGACCTCCGAAGGGTTGGAGGCAGTACTGTTGGAGGAACCGAAGAGAGCCATTGTGTGAGGGAATGTGTAGAAGGTGAGGGGTGGTTATGAAGGAAGGAAGGGAAATGCCGGGGAAGAAGTAATCGATAGATAGAATGGATAGATTAAAGTAATTTGGTGGAGGTCACGGGCCGGTCACAGGATCTGAAGGCTCCGTCGGCGAGGGTGTGGCTGGTGTCGGAGCCTCCGCCCGGGGCTGCGCCACGGCGATGGAAGTGGACACTTGTTTGCATGTTTACTGACGTCGATCTCTGACCAGTCCAATGTCCCAATATCATACTTTCTTCTGACAGTTGTCTTCGGCACTTCTCTTCTTCCCTTCCGTTCTACGCTCCTTCGTTCTCTTTTTGACCATTTTCCTCTATATTATTCTCCGTCCTCCGATTTACCTCTCGATTGACCTCCGCCATTGGATTTGGAGCTGTCCCGGTGACATTGACTCTATTGGAGAGGACCACATTTCCGTTAGCTGCAGTCTATCGTTCAGAATTATTCAAAACTACCTGCCCCTACGATCTTTTGTATCGGCAACTTTCTAAAGCGTAACCCTTAATTACTACGTCACAATGCTGCTCCCGCAGCTCTCTTCGCTCCTGTGCCTTGCTGGCCTGGCGACTGTTCCACTAGCCAATGCTTATGACGGCGATGAGAATATCAAGAGCATTCCAGTACGCCCGCTTACTCACTGGGCAGCATGGTGATTGCGCTAACTAACCGGTTTAATAGCTTCGAACTCACAGTCTCGCTCCGGTGGGTCCCATCCTATAGCTCGTTCACAGCAGTTTTCGACGGGGGGTCCGATCTTCCCTATCTGGACACAAACCGTTAACGCGATCACAGCCATACCTCGATTCAGATTTCCAAAGCCGCTGGTTCGATTTTGGTGGTGACACGATAATCCGCGCAGACAAGTATTTAGTCCCTCCTGGGAATGCGGTCTGAGAAGAGCAAGGGCTGAATAATGGCAGATATATTCGTCTTACGGCCGATCGACCATCGCAGCAGGGATGGATCTTCTCCCGAGTTCCCCTTACTGCGACAAATTGGGAGGTTAGTTTGCCTGCAGGCCACTGTGGCGAAGAATTAGTTCTGACGTATATTTGTGTTGGGATATAGATTGAACTCGAATTCAAACTTCATGGAAATGGAAATCTGCACGGTGATGGCTTTGCCATGTGGCTCACCAAGCAGCGCGCTACGCAGGGTCCTGTCTTTGGGTCCACGGATAACTTTGAGGGTCTGGGTATCTTTTTCGACACCTACAAGAACAATCGCCCTGGAACCTCGTTCCCCTACGTTATGGCTATGATGGGCGACGGAAAGACCAGCTACGACCAGGCGCATGACGGCAAGGCCAATGAGTTGGCCGGATGTTCTGTACGTAATAGGAACTTGTACAAACGGTGATATACTAACGAAAACCAGGCTCGTGGTCTGCGAGGCGCCTCGATCCCCACCAAGGCTCGTTTGACGTACTTCCAAGACAAGTCGTTGACCCTGGATTTGCAGTACAAGTCTGAGGACGCTTGGACCAACTGTTTCACTCTGACCGCGCCAGAGACCAACATCGCTATTCCGTCCGTCGCGTACCTGGGCTTCTCCGGCGAAACTGGTGAATTGAGCGACAACCAGGATATCATCTCGGTGAAATCGCAGAACCTTTATAGTGTTGGACCTAGCGGCAAGTCTGGCCGCGGGCCAAGCCCCAACACTGACAGCGCCCGCGTCAAGAAGACCAGAAAGAGCAAGGGAAGCTGGAGCTGGTTCTTGTTCAAGACTGTTTTGTTCTTCGCTGCTGTTGCCGGTTGCTACGTTGGGTTCACCATGTACCGGACGAAGCAGAGATACTCGAGGTTCTAAGAGGTGGTAAGAAGATTTTCAAGAAAAGGAATGAAAACAGAAAGGAAAAAAAAAAAAAGAATTCCGTATGGTGTCTTGTTTCTACGTGATTGCATAGCCGTGTTGTTACTTTCGGAGATTCCAATATATTGAGACGAACAAAAGTTTCATGAGCCCTCCTGCTGATGGAATATGTAATTTGAAGCTTTGATATTAGTTCAATGCAGTATATGTGCCAGCCATAGGATATTTGAACAGGCCTATCATGATAGGAGTCTTCCGAACATAAGTTTGCAGTGCTCACTGAGGGTATCATATCCTAACCCGAACGCCGCCCTAATGCAATAGTCTCAACCTCAATCACCGAGGTATATGCCCCTTCAAGATTGCTTCCCCTTAGTCTCACTCCACATATCATCAATGATCTGAAAAACCTCAGTCACACTGCGCATGACCGCCTCATCAATCCCCAAAGCCCCATACCGATGCTGAATCTTATCCGGATGCCACCGGACACGCTCCGCCTTCAAAACCGCCGCCAAATCCTCCCCATCCCCAGGCGCACGGCGCATAAACTCCTCAACCGCCTCCCTCCCCACATCTCTCCTCTTCCCCGACTCAACCGGCCAAAACAACAGATTCCTTAACTTCAACCGCTCACCAGCATCCCCACGTCCTCCCTCCCTAATCTCCACAACCGCCCGATCCACCTCCCCCCAAGATCGCACATACTCCTCCCAAATCCCCCTCCAAGCCTTCCCCCTCCTCCTCTCCTTCCCCCGCCGCAAACTCTCCTCCATCGCTCTCTCAAACCTCACCCTATCCCGAGTCTCCTCCTCCATCCTCTCCTCCCGCCTTCTCTCCCTCGCCCTCTCAGCCCGCAACCGCTCCTGTTCCGCCAACATCCCCTCCCTCGTCCGCTCCCACATCCGCCTCCTCACATAACTCGCATACTCCTCCTCATCCATCTGCTCCAACTCCCCATCCGGGCCCTTGGGTAGACTCGGCACCGCATAGTTATGGATCGGCTGTCCATAGACCGACTCCCAGTACGCGGCGCCTTCGTCATCGCCCAGCGCGTCGAAGAGAGATTCCCTAAATGCGGTATCGGCTGACAAACCTGGTTCTGGTTCTTGCGAGGGAGTGGGTGCTGGTGACGCTGAGCGGCGTCGATGACGGTGTCTGTGTTTGTGTCTGTGGTGGCGGTGTTTGGGGTGAGTTTCGTCTCGTTTGGAATGGGATTTCGAGGAGGAGGATTTGAAGCGGAATTTCCTAGGTTTGGGGTGTTTGGGGGTGGGTTGGTTTTGGTCTGCAGTTGGGCTTGGGGGTAGGGTGGATTCTGCGGTTGTGGTGTTCATTTTTTGGGGGGGACGTGGGCGTGGTGTGAGTGGGTGTGGATGTGGATGTGGGGTTTATTTGATTTTGAACATATTGCTGAGTAGCAGGGTTATCAGATAGAATGAGATAATTTTTGGAAGAGTGAACCTGCAAAGGTGAAGTGAGGGCGGAGTATAAACCTGTTAAATTTGGAGTAGAAAGTCAGGAATGAAAAGAAGGTGAACGAGTGAGTAAGCGGTGATGATGTTCCTCCTTATCTTATCTGATCTGATTTTCTGATGATGCCTTAGGATGATGTCATTTTCCTGGCTGAGGGTTTTGCCTCGGGTTGACTTTCTCACTTTCTGGATAGGATTATAAGTACATTAGGCTTGTATTGAATGGTCTGTTCACTTTATGTGAGCTTGAGTGACTTCTAACTGTGTGTTTCTGGGATATAGTATATATCCCATACTCATTACACAGGGAAACACCCAATTGGCCCGTGCACCCACTAACCCCCAAACGGAACCCAACCCAGAAACCATCGCATCTCATCATTTATATTTGTTATCTATTTCTGCCCCAACCCCCATCACCAATAATCCACCCAACACCCCCACAACATGGCCCTAGTATCCTACACCGACTCCGAAGCCTCGGATTCCGAGCCCGAGACCACCACAAAGCCACAGCCCCCAACAGCAGCAGCGACAGCCACAAAACCACCCGCAGCCACCAACAAACCCAAACTCGTCGACAGCGCCAACCCACGCAAGATCCGCGTCGCACTACCCGAAGTTAGGCCCGAGGGTGCAGATGAAGATGGACCCGCGCGGAAAAAGGCCCGGGTAGGGGGTGGGGGAGCATTTGCGGGGTTTAATTCGTTCTTGCCTGCGCCGAAGAGGAATGCGGTGGTGGAGAAGAAGCCGGCTGCGACGGGGCGGAAGGTGTTTAGTTTGAAGACGGGGGCGACGCCGGGGTTTGATCGTGGATTGGATGAAGAGATGAGGAATGAGATGGCGATGGAGGCGGGGGAACCGATTGGGAACGATGGGGATGAGTCGATACCAAAGGCTGGGAGTTTGAGGGATGACGGCGGGTCTGGGGCGGGTGAAACAGGTGGGGGAGTGCCGGTGAAGAAGCCCGAGGAAGTCAAGTTGAAGGGGAACCCGATGATGTTTAAGCCGTTGTCTGTGGGGAGGACTACGCAGAAGAAGAAAAAGGTTGTTGCGAAGACGACTATTCCTACAGAGGCTGTGAAAGAGCCCATCTCGGATCAGTCTGCTACTCCTGCTGCTCCTGCTACTGTTCCGCAGGTGCCTGCGCCCAAGCCTAAAGTTAGTCTTTTCTCGCTTGGGGCAAGCGAGTCGGCTTCGAGTGTCGAGCCGGTTCCTCAGAAGAGCGTGGCGTATGAGCCGTTGATGTACACTGCGAGCACAGAAGCGCCTGAGGCGGGTCCGGAGCTAGAATACCAACCTCAGGCTCCATCGGAACCAGCGGCAGCGCAGACGTTGGATAACATTGCTGATGATCTGAACCTTTCGCGCTCCCAGCGACGGCACCTCTTTGGTCGCAATGCTGATTCCTCGAATTCACGGATCCTTCATTTTAATACCGACAAGGAGTACATTGCCAATCAAGAATTGGCACATCAGACCGATCTGGCGGCTCTTCAGCACAATCCGGTTCGTGCGATCGCCCCTGGGAAACACTCGCTGCAACAGCTGGTCAATGCAGCCAACTCTCAGCGGGAGGCTTTAGAAGAGAGCTTTGCAGCTGGGCGGAGGAACAAGCAAGAGGCTGGATCAAGATATGGTTGGTGATGTTATCTTTCTCCTTGTTTTTCATCTGTCTTTCAAATTGGATACCAATCTTTGTAGCATACACAAAGCACCCTGCATGGAAAAATAGGAGTATTGGATTCATAGGTAAAATAGTAATCGTGAGCTCTTTAATTTTCATCAAATACTGACATATATACATGCTCCGCCGCTACAAGCTCAATGTTGCTCAAAGGAATTCCATGGAATGGTACCTCCCAGTCTGCCCCTATACCATTCCATGGAATTCCTTTGAGCAACACTGTACAAGCTCCGGCGGTGGAGGTGGAGGCCATTCTTCTCTCGTTTCTCTTTCTCTTTAGACCTGAGATTGTCCAGGTCGTTATAGAGCGGATCCTCAGGCAGTCTAGCTTCGGATACGGGCTTCGGGCCTGGCGCTGCCTCTGGTTCTGGTTCAAACCGAGGCTCGGGTACAGGCTTCTGTGCGGGCTTCTGTACTGCCACGGCTCGTGTAAATAGTGTCCAGAATCCCGGGTCGTCCGTCTTCGGCTCCGGGTCAAATTCGCTGCTACTAAAAGCCAGTGGACCTCCGAAACCGTATCTAAACCCGGACTAGATACCAAAGGAATCGACCACAGGCGTACAAGGGTTCCCATTTTGTGGTTTGTTGTTATCCATACCACCTAACGAACCTGAATAGGGGCAGAAAAGGGAGAAAAAAGAAGACAGGACCTTGCGGGAACAAGATTGCTCACACGATTGGCCTAGGTTTGCGATAGAGACCGTAGAACTCCAGCTAACATGCTGGAAGTAACATTGAAAAGGAGGATTGAAGCGCAAGGAGGACGAGGGATAGGGGAAAGGAGTTATAGAGCCCAAAGGGCATAGGGAGAAAGATGCCCCTTACATGCTGAGCCTGTCTTGTCAAAACAAGGGTGTAAAAGATACCATGTATGGATATACTGTCTAGCCCATACTACATACACAGGAAAGTTGGGGGTACAGCTGGTTGCAAAACGGCGCAAATGTTTCATACTCGTAGAGTTTTTCTGAAGCTTGCCCGAAACACCCTGACCGCTTTCGTGAGGGTTTCCAGAATTCTGTGATAGGCCAGGGAATAACCATATATTTTGAGCTTTTATGTCCCGGGAAATGTTCTTGGGGCGGATATCTACAGTATAAATTGTTCCCGTGACAAGGGAGCGAATTATAAATGAGAGCATAACAGCGGGGAATCCCCGCAATGCTGGGGTAGATTGCTTGCTACATGGTAGCATTGGACGCTGTTACTTAATATATATTACTTTAATATGGTAATATAAATTTTTTAAAAAATAACAAAATCCCGGGGGGGGGGGGGTTGGCGCTAGAAACCGCTGTAAGCCGCAGCTGCTAAAATCCAGAACCTATCAAGTCAGTGTTCAATGGACCTTAACTAAGTTCTTTCGGCCAGAATATGGGATGACACTACTGTGTTCGCACAAATTAATTGATCGTTGCGTTACTTAACAAGGATGCAGATTCGGAATCGGATAAGGGCTCTTGCTCCATATTGACCAATGGGAAAAACCTTGTATAATGTTGGTAGGCAACCTTCAATATAAAGGCAGGGAGAGAATCGAGGGAAGCTGTGCTCGCGTACTAGTAAGGTTGGCGGACAGAGACAAGGTTGAATCGACATTCCTCACGCAGAATAGTTATATACTTCTGGCCGGAAATTCTTGATATCTTCAGCTACTTAAAGGCCGCTCTGGTACAGATTCTGTCCGTGATGTTTTTATACCAAACAGCAAACCAGTCAATGTATAAAAGGAATATCCATCTCATATCATTTTCTGAGCGGCTTACTGAAGATTTGCACAACAGTCAATATACATCTTAGTCAATGTTTCCGGTAATACCAGATCTGCTAATTACCATAAAAGTCCTTAACCTCTTTTCTTCATTTTAGCCGCGTCCAAGGTTGTTCGCACGGTTCTAATAGAAGAGAACTTTTCCGTGAGTGGAGAAATTACAGTATCTGACCCAAGCTCCTTGAAAAAGCTAGTGCAGAGCATAAATAAGGAATACCACACTCTTATAATTCTTGAAAAATAAATAATATACCAAAGAGTGAACAGGATTATCAAAAGTATCAATACCAAGTATAAGTAAGACTTGAAAATATCATTTACAGAATAAGATTTGCCCATTATCGTCTCTTACAGACTTGGCTTTATTATCAATGGTAGCGGGCTTGCGTGGGCAATATATAGGCTTACTGGGTATAATAAGTATAAAACTATTGGAGCAGCTGTTATGTTTACTATATATTGATCTTATCTTTACTTCTATAGCAGTATACTCAGGTACAGACTCTGTTCCTGTGCTAGAGCCACCTGTAGAAATGGCCAATTGCCAAGTATTCTTGACCACTGCATTGCTATAGAGCGACCTTGACTATATAGCTATCAAACCAGCGCCCCTACAGGAGTCTCCAGAAAAGTATAGTAAAGATAAACCTTATCTACTCAAGCGGTTCCTGATCCGAGACTTATTACCTGTCAGTAACACTACTGCTCAAAGTGACACCTCCGACCAAGATATCTTTATTCATCATTATAATAACAGCAAAACTCTTTTCACCTCTCTATTGGCAGGGAGAGCCTGATGGCGGAAAACTGTAATAAAAATTATAACTATCCCGGTTTCAAGATCTCCTTTACTACGCGCCGGGAGTCTAAACAGTCAAGACAGCAGCAAGCCAATATGGCCAGCGAGATCACTAATATATGGGAATACTATGCCAGGATGACTCCCACGAACGAGTATATTGGGTTTACGGAGAAAGTCCACTATGCCAAATCCCTGAGCTGAAGGGATTTGGCATCAATCGTGAAAGCGTTGATGTATAGATGGAAATGCTCTAAGCGTTGCTTTTGTTTTCTTACTTTTTCACCCCTTCGGTGGTGAGGCTGATAGGGTGAACTTAGTCAAGTAAGGGGTTTCATGGAGTCTTAAGGCGGCAGTAGTTATCTAGTAGTATCTCAAGGCTCCTGTATATGACCGAGCCTCTTGGAATTTCGAGTGCGCGACTTCGGCCTCGGCCTCGGCCTTAGTCTTATACCTAATTGTCCACAAGCGCAAGAGAAACCCTAAAACGCGGAAATTAATAAAAACAGATTACCGCTGAAGAGCCAGTAACTTGATGTTACGAGCCAACAGCCACTCTAAGCCTGACAGGCCAAAATAAAAACAACAAAAGCAGCAGGGACCACAGGGCAAGTCGACTTAAGCCTAGTTATGGAAGCTCAAACATCAGAGGTAGGAGGTGTTTTGTCGACGCGCAGGCTGCCCCACATACCTCACTCTAGTATCTCAATTCAGTGATAAATTACCAGGAGGGAACTGGTGATAAGAAGCGGAAGAAACATTGACAATAGTTAAAAGAACGTGTCCTCGTGATCGAAGCAATCAAATCCCCAGTGCATGTAATTTCCCGGTCGATTCAACTCTAGTTGATAAAGAGAGGCAAGAATAACAGCATGGCTTTTGTTAGTACTAGATATGTGTATGGCTCCATATGCTAGTCTAAGCACGATGAGACATATGCTACAGCATGCCTCAGATGTTGCGCTAGGTTCAGACATTAGCCCTTGAGGAAGTCAACAAGGCATCCTTGCTATGTAGGCTGTAGACCTAGACGGACTATGCGCTGTTTCGCACCGTCATGGCACGGGTGTACAGTATCTTTTATCCTGGCAGACCCCGTGCGGCCCTCCTTCTATGGCTGCAACAGTGTTATTAGGAAAAGGAACGGATCTGTTTGCTGTCTCTTGTGATTGTTCATTCTTTTCCATTCTTAGTCCAGAGCCTACTTTCCCTAGCAAGCAACAGATACCCCTCAACCAGAGAATACAAGCCACTACAGAGAACGATGAAGCTAGCTAGCTAGTTGCTAACATCTTCTGGCCTAAGCTTGCATTAATCCCAGCAGAGTGAAATGCAATGGTAACGCAACTTACATTCTCGGCTCTGTAGCATACAATTTGACTGCTGCAGGATCATTCTTCCGAAAAAAAGGCCAAATATAGTGTCGTCTGCAAAGGATGAATTGTCATTTCGGGCATTGGGCCAATAAGCATCTACTGAATCTAGGTCTGCTCGACCGGAAATCGACTCCAGCGCAAGAGGAGAAGCCAGACCGCTATTATATAGTTAGGTCATTTTTGTCAAGGGTTGGGCCTCTACTTACCATTACAATCCCTAGCCTCTGGTGTACCGATCTTGGTGTGTTGCACCACCCTTTCAACCCGACGCAGTAGTGATTTTTAGGAACCTCAATGGCTTTTTCAACCCATGGCCGCTTCCTCTCTGACATCCTAACAATGCGATCTCGAAAAATTGAATTTCACCAATATATTCGTCACAATATTGGTTGGATTGGGTTTACATAATGTAATATATTGTCTATAAGGGTTGTTATGATAGGAGGATAGGAAGTGATTCAGGCATTGTCACCACAGGACCGTCTACTGGTTCTAAGAAGTCATGTGCTCAACTATGTATGTACGCCTATGGAACACAGTTCACTATATTGGCTGATGAAGGCCAGTTAAGTACGCGAGATTTGAAGCTTCAGAACCAAAGCGACGACAGAACCGCGGGGACGACGAGTAGACCCATTTACGCATGAATTATTCTCGATTCATCTCTAGGAACCCCCCTCAAGCTTCCTGTCTAGGAACATACTTGCAGTAAATTCCCTGAGGCAAGCCAGGAGCGGCTGCGTCCAGATTAATGTTCGGCTCGAGGGGTGGGATGGACTGCCCTCTGCATTGCACCCGCTCCATTGGTACATGGCCAGAGCATAGACGAATATAATATTCTGTTGCAACTTCGCCCAGCGCATACCGAGGCAGGGATGTTTTCCATGACCCCAACCAAGGACCTGGAAAGCATTAAGGTTAGCGATTGTATGTAGGATAAGTATTAGAGGGCAGATAAATGGGAGTGAAACCTGGATCAAGGCATGGTCTTGTTGGGAGCACCCCATGATTGATAAGTTTTTAGCACCAATTATACCCGGACCCCCTAACTCGGGACTATAAATGACAAAAGAAGTCGACAGAAGCAAGGGTAAGAAAATAAAGAAAGGTGAACGGAGGGAGATGAGGGGGGAAATGGTCAAAAAGACTTACAGCTGTAACTCTGTTTCTCGAACTCTTTACGGCCCTCCTGGAAACGGTCGGGGTCAAATTTGAACGGGTTCGGATACAAATCCTCATCATAATGCACGTCGGTAGTATTGTAAGACGCAAAGCTGCCGGGGGGGGATGACCTCGTTTGTCCCAGGGATAGGGATAGGGGTAGAGCCAATATTCTGGCGAAACATCGGGAAAGCCGTATTCATCCGGATCGCTTCCTTGAAGCAGAGATCGATGGAGGGGAACGAGGATTCCTAGGCCTCAAGTGGGATTGAGGCGAGCTGCTCGACAAGAGGACCATCGGTCTGGGAGTGCGCGGCGGCAGCGACCTTGATCTCGTTGTATATCCTTTCTTGCCAGTCGGTGCGGTGGGCCATGATATTGAGCAAGACGCCAGCCAGAACACCAGCATTGGCAACGGCAATGAAAAGGATACTGATGAAGAAGTTGGTCATATACTCCTTGCTATCACCATTGTCGAGAAGGACCTGTAAAGGGTCATCAGCACGAGGGGCGCCTTTCTTCGTTCTCTTGTCAATAATTGGCACCACCAGGCTTTTGAGTCCATAGCGCCCATACTGGCGCTTCATAAGCGCTATCGAAGGTAGCCAGGGGAATACCACATTGTGGCGGCTGCTGGTGGCCTGCAGAATGGACAAGTAGCCCAAACAGCGCTCGAAAAGCTGGGGAGTATCTGATACCTCGTCTGTGAAGACAATCCGGCAGCTCATGGGATAGAATGATGGGGTAGCAGTAAGTAAACGGGTTAGTGACCCCGGAGGGACTTTCAGATAATCGCTTCATGGCGGTAAAGGCGTCACTGCTCACACGAGGGAGGCGCCTTGCGAGCTGGTCAGTTTTGGTCAACTCCCCTAAACGACGCTGGAAGTAGCTGCGGCCATTGTGGAACGTCGGCTTGAAAACATCGTGGAGGGGCAGCTTGTAGTCTGGACCAAGCCCGAGAAGCGTCACATTTCCATGGAGAAGTCCAGATTCTGGCTTTCCAGATATGCCTTTCGTGCAGCGAGGCTGCTTACACTAACTACATGGTGCTGGCCTAGCTAGAAGCTAAAGTTGCCCGTTTTGGACTTTTCCACGCACCCCTTCCAGAAGCTCCTGAACAATTATTTCAGCGAAGGTAAACTATAAGGGAACATGGGGGGAAATACAACTCACCATTTGCGATTAAAGAAGTCCCACGAGCCCACAAAGGGGAGCGTATCCGATGTAAATTCTTGGGAGTTCTCGTGCACCCGGGGAGTATAGGACAGATACACGAGGAGGCTTAAAAACGTGGTGATAAGTCCGACTATCCCTACGCTGATCGGCGACCAGTAGAGGTCTGGTTCTATACCCATCCGCAGCGGAATGCCGGGAGTCTTTATGTTGTAGTCCATGTCCATATTAAACCGCATGGTGCAAGAAACGGTATTGGGGATCGAGGGAGATTGCAGACTAGTCCACCCACTGGCATTTGTTTTACCTTTGTAAATACATTCCTATCATGGCCTTATTAACCATCCAAAAGATATCTCAACATACGGGATCGCTCAAGACCTTTCGGAGCTTTGAACTCGCTTCGGTGGGACTTCGGGGTATTTTTTGATTGGCTTACTCTCCCATGCATGTTTCCTCTCTCGAACCCCTACAACATAGGCGGGACTTATACTCATCCGCTGCCGCTAACACGAGACTTCTGGCAAGGATAAGTTGATAATAGCCCTAATGCGAATAAAAGGAGGGTCCTTGTAGCGGGACATAGACACTGCCGTCTTACCACCATCGGACCCTGGTCAACGTGTTTTCAGAGGCATACCGCCTTAGGCTGGCCCTCACAGATGCGCGGGAGGATGCCGACCTACACGGGCTCAATCATGGTGGCAGAAGACTCTGTTCTCCGTGGCAGGTACTGGAGTCGATATCTCATCCTTCGAAGCTTCTAGAATGCGCTGTTTGGTGGCAAGGTGGTATGAGCTGCAGTAGCTTCCTGTTGTGTCACAAATAGAGACGTGATTCAGAGATTGTGTTTTCTACTCATTTACTTATAAAGTGACTCTCTTGTGGAAGTTATCGATAAGGTGACACCTAATGTCGGTTACGGCTATCGTAATAATCGCTGTCGTTTTGCCGTGCAGGTCAATCGGAGATTATACCCACGGGATTGATCACCCGCGAAGGTCAACGATGTACTAAGATGCGACATACAGGGTGCAGTCATGGTAAACAAATAGTTCATGGATTGATGCAATGCGATAGATATGGTAATATACAGGGTGTGTATGTAGAAAACTGGCCCGTCCCATTTTCCTCCCCCGCAAATATACTAGGCTTGGTACTATCTAGGATACACAAAGCCATACATAGTGCTCCATGGCCATTGAGGGAGTCCGAGCCATGTAAGCATGGTCTACTACGGTGGGGCTCCTTGTTGGCTCATGTATTTTTGGAACCGGGACGAGAACTCCCCAAAGAATGCGGTATCCACCATCTCTTGGATCCTGTCTATTTGTCTCCCATCCTCTGTGAGCATAACGAATATGGCGTAGTCATTATTCCATTTGAAATCCCCAAAGATCGTGTTTGCTGTAGAGGTCGCATAGATTGCAGCCTTGCTATGGGCAGGATCGTGCACGACGTGGTGAATGTCCAACTGCTCAGAGCGTGAGGAATCATGGCATCATGGATGTACCTTTCGGGCATACCTTCCAATCCCTAAGGACACTTAAGAGCTTGGGTAATGTCTGTAGCACCTCTTCTCGGGATTTTGGTGGCAAGCCTAGCGAAAAGGGTAAAAACTGCTGGGTACAGTTATCGGACCAGAGTCCGGTCCAGGATTCGGCAGTAATCGTCTCCCATCCTTGGAGAAACTTTTTCAGTGTAGCAGATTGAACTTCGGTTGGTGCAGGCATTTGGATCTGGCAAGTGCTAGTATAATGGCGGTTGGTGTAGAGGCATAAAGGGGGGAAGTTGGATGACTCTTAAATCTTGGAGTAACGCCTCACGTAAGATCTAGGTTAGCTGAGTGTTCGCTCCCCAGAAACGCTCGGGTATTGGCACATCCCGAGACTTTTTCAACTGAGAACTGGTGTATACATACTCGCTGCCCGACGGGCCCCAGTCATGGCGAGGACGGCAGCGGTTTAATGGTCTGGGTTAGTATTTGTGGATACGAAGCCATGATGGAATACTAATCTCACCTTCTGGTGGTACCGAGATGAGCCTTGCGTTGACAATGGCCTACCACTTGGATCTTCTGACGTTCTAGTTGCACATCAGATACGTCCAATCTAGTTCACAAACTAACTAATAGTGATATGTAGGGATATATATTTTCACACCCATAACGCTCTATGTTGGTGCAGGGCGTTAACCTTTTCTCTTTCTTTTTGTATTTCTTTTCCTAGTCTCCAGTACTACTAGATCTCTTACTTAGGGCAATATTAAACATCAAACTACATTGTGTACTGACTAACGTTGTTGTCACGGCTGTACTATAAGCAATTTTGATGGGACTAGGGCAATCACATCACATGACTAACTAGTGCATCAACACCAAGAGTAACAGAAATACAAGGAGATTAAACCAGGATGTTCGGAAGGTAGAAAAACCCGGACCGGCCTGCGGGGATTGAAAGCCTCGAATGTGCGATCCCCGCTGTCCGATGTCCAACGGAATGACTTCATTTTGAAGTCTCAAGGAATCTCCGCATACTCCCACTCAGCCCTTGCATATGCCCGGGAGCCGCCGGAAGTAATGTCAGCACTGAAACCTCCAGCTAAAATCCCGCCAGGGGTCCCCTCCGCGCGACCCTCAACAAGACCGGCACGGGTCATGGCATGTATCCTGTGTCAGCAGCGCAAGGTCAGGTGTGACCGTGAATTCCCCTGCGTCAACTGCATGAGGGCTGGCGTTCAGTGCATGCCCGCTGCAGGCCCCCGACCACGGCGTCGCCGATTTCCCGAGCGGGAGCTACTAGAGCGTATTCGGCGGTACGAAAGCCTGCTTCGGGAGCATCATATCCAGTTCGAGCCACTTCATCCCCCAGGCGTGGAGACGCCGTCCCAAAGCGATAATGGCAAAGACTCAGATACTATAACCGTGTCAACTCCAGGCTTGTCTGCTATTGGGGCACATTCATCTCCCAGCGAGGTCTCTAGCGTCAAGGGTGAAACATCATACGAAGCCAAGTTACGCGTGTCCTAGAAACACATGTTTATATTGTCTCATATATAACTGACTGAGCTAAAGGAACTTCTGGGACCTTATGAACCAAATGGTACGCACTGACTCTAGAGAGTCTAGAGACTTCTTACTAACATTAAATATTTGGGCAGACTTTAGACCATGTGGATGAAGATAAGAATAATGATCTCGCTATCGAGGGCGACGATGTCAATTTCTCTCACGATGATGCGCGTGAGACTGTCATCAAGAAAGCATGGGACCAGGTGTACCAAGGTAACGACCAGAACTTTCTGTTTGGTTCTTCCAAGACAAATACAGAGCTTTCAGCACTGCACCCAGAACAGCTCCATATCTTTAAGCTCTGGCAAATTTACTTAAACAATGTGAACCCTATCTTAAAGGTAACACACACCCCCACGCTACAGCCATCCATCATTGATGCAGCTGGAGATATCGCCAACATTAGTCCCGCATTGGAAGCTTTGATGTTCAGTATCTACGCTGTCTCCATCCTAAGTCTGGATAAAGAAGGGTGTTACACGATATTTAAGGCACCAAAGGAGGAGCTTCTCAAGGCTTATCAATTTGGATGTCAGCAAGCTCTCCTTAACTGTAAGGTATTACAGACGGGAAATCGGGACTGCCTAACGGCATTCTACCTATACCTGGTAAGGATATTCCTGGGATTGAAGCCACCATGCTTGATATTCTCACGCTAACTCTGCTCTGCCAGATTTCGGTCCGACCAGTTATGGACCCCCGGTCCCTCTACTCGATGCTTGGTTCTGCTATTCGCATTGCACAGCGGATGGGTCTGGATAACAAGGCAACATATGCTCGATGTACCGCTCTTGAGGGTGAGATGCGCCGCCGACTGTGGTGGTCACTGGTTATTTTCGATAACCGCATCTGCGAGATGTCTCATCATAAAACCACGTCATTGATTCCAACGTGGGACTGTCCTACACCACTCAATCTTAATGATTTCGATATACAACCAGAGATGAAGAGCCCTCCCCCAAGCCATAATAAACCTACCGAAGCGCTATTCGCGGTCATACGTAGCGAAGTGGCCGAATTTATTCGTCACAGTGCATTCCATCTTGACTTTACAAGCCCGTCTCTAAAAAAAATTGCAAATGTACAGCAGGGCACCGGTACTGAGATTGAGAAGCTGGAAGCATTTGAAAGTATGTTGGAGGATAAATATCTTAGATTTTGCAATCTAGAGAATCCGCTGCACTTTATGACTCTCTGGACAGCGCGAGGGCAGCTGGCGAAAAACCGCCTGATGGAGCACTATTCCAGGTTTGCTTCCATGGAACAAACAGATGACCAGCGCAACAGCGCTAATGCTTACGCCTTGAGGATCCTTGAATGCGACACAAAAATTATGGATTCGCCACTAACAAAGGGCTACCTCTGGCTGGCCCACTTCCATCTTCCTTTTCCTGCCTATATTCACATTCTAAAAGACCTGAAAACCCGTCCTTTGGCGAGCCTCACTGAAATGGCTTGGGAGATCATGAGCAATAATTATGAGGCTCGCTTTGCAGATACACAAGCGAATCCGTTCTTTGAATTCCTGTGTACAATCGTCCTGCAGGCCTGGGAGGCGTATGAGGCGGCGGTTGAGGCGACCTCCAGACCACTCCACACGCCGCTGCCTACCCCACGAATGGTGTCAGACATCAAGCAGAAGATGGCACAGTCTATGCCCCGGGCTTTGTCTGATCCTAGCCAGTCTAAATATTCCCTAGACATGACCATTGATGATTTTCTCATATCTATGCCGATGGACTTTGTTGGCACTGGACTTGGGTACGAAAGTGACGGGCAGGGCTTGCCTGGTGTGGCACCTGCGGGCTACCCCGATATGCCAGTACATGCGAAGATGAATCAATCTGATTGGACGACTATAGATTGGTGTCCAGGGCATGGTCCAAACTCGTGAGAGCATCACATTAGTGACAGCTGAGCTGTTTCCCATAGGAGGACGGACCGACTGAATGTAGGATGACAGGTTTAAGAGGCGATGATCTGCTTATTGCTCAGCACTAAAAGATGGGTGGATGGTTTCTTCTGAATATACAACTGCTTAGTCGGACACACTTCTTGCATGTTGAATTCCTAGATTTAGACCTCCTAGATTTAGACTTCCTCCTCCACCAAATAACCTATCCCCAAATTTATGGGGGTCCTTGCCGTCTGACTATAACGACAAAAATCAAGCTGAAATATGACATCTAGCTTCCCCGTTGGATGAAAGAAGTTACGCAGTATGCACTGATGGACCTTTTATGGAGAACGGGTGGTATTTAGACCTTGCAAGCACGTGATTAGGGCAATTGGGGTCTCAGAAGACACCAGGAGTGTAAGGGTGTAAGAAGGAATCAGCATGGCAGTGTGAGTGGTGGTCCCTTTATCGCAGTTCATTATCTAGCCTAATCAAACTAGAACAGAGTGGATCATTGATGCTGTTGTCTTTTCTGTTCGGCTAAAGTGTCGAGAAAACTAGTTGCCTCGAACGTCCACGGCCGATTCTGATAAATCCACTGCTCCAAACTCAACTTCTTCCCAGCCCCTCAACTAGCCATTTGTCATGCTTGGCCAGGTTTTGTTCCTCATTGCGCCCGTAGACACTGAACTCTCCCACAATCCTCAGCGTCTCTGTTAGCTCCGCCGCAATGTTCTCGGGAAACTCCCTCGCAAAAGTTTCCGGATCTACAATCTCCAAGGCAACCTCGCGCCCGGAGTCCTTGGTCAAGGCTGATGCGAGCTCCTTTGGAGTTGTCCAACAGCTAACTGCATTGACCTGAACGCCGTTGGCTGCGGATCCGCCTTCGAAGAGCCCTAGAACGTACTTGCCACCGTCCTGAGGGGGATCAATGAAGGGCCAGGAGATGGAATCAGACGGGAATGGCAAGATCATCGTCGGCGTCCCGTCTCGCTTGCGGATCAAATTTGGAAGAAAGCTCAAAAACATGGCTGAGCAACGCGGTTAGAAATGAAAATTAAATATTATTGACCGAGTCAAAGAAGGATCCCTGGAAGGTCCCTTACCCGGCCGGAAATACGACGCAATCATATCCCCCTTGTGAGCCTCGATAAATTCCTGCACCATCGCCTTGCTATCAAAATGTTCTAGGTGACGCAAGATGCCGTTTGTAGTCTTGGTTGCCCAAGGCAAGGAGGAGTAGACAAAATGCTGCACCCCTTCGGCTTTGCAGGCTTCAAAGAGGTTCTTACCCTGCTGCACCTCGACTTCCTTCGAGTGGATGCTCCAGAAATCCGTCATACCGAAGACACCATATGAGCCTCGAATAGCGGCTTTCAGGGAGTCAAGGTCGTTCAGGTCAGCCTTGACAAGCTCAACGCCTTTTTGTGAAAGCGCCGTGCGTTTGGGACCCTCTGGATCGCGAGTGACGCCTCGCAGGGTATACTTTTCCCTGACTGCTGGTACCGCAAGAACGGTGTTGATGATGCCGCTACCCTGGTTTCCGGTTGCACCGAAGACGGTGATGACGCGAGGGGGAATCATTTTTCCTTTTTAGAAATTTGCTAAAGGCCTGTAATATATCGTGAATCCTGACTGGGACAATGGGATGTGTTAGACCAGGTTGGGCGCTCGTATTTCTATAGATCGATAGGCGGGCTTCCTTGCCACCACGATCGGAACTTGAGAGACACTTTCAATGCACTGTCCACTATTGAGACAGGTCTGCGTAAATCTGGCCGAAGAGTATGTCTCCTACCCCTGCACATTATTCTGGACAGGCGAAGAGTCGGGGTCCGAACCCTCGGCACTGGAAGGTCGGGTAATGTCAAGGGAATACTGCGGGATGCAAACTGGGCTCCCTTTCGCTTTTGTGCGTTTGATATTGAGTATTTCTCCATTTGACTGTTGGTGCTGTCTCTTTGGGGAATGCGAGGGTTTTACACGCAATAGCACTCTCCTCCTTATTACTAGCATTATATTGTATTTCCTTATTGTAACGTTGGGAACATAAGGATGTAGACCGCAAGTAGAGAGAACAACCTAACTGCCGTAAACAGCGATGAACCGCTTTGTGCCGGGGTAGAACCCCCCCCCCTCTCCCCCCAAACTCCCTGTGCCCGGAGGCGTATCTATTGCTAGCCCGGGTCTACCTCTAGGTCTCTAGGACTATCCTCAATCTCCTACACTAGAGGCCAACATTCTCGGTTTGTCTGTAACGCACCCACATTGATACACAGGATTTGAGATCTTGGGATCTCCCACCAATGAAATCCAGAGGAAAGGATGCCTGGATAGTCCTCCAGTGGTGGCCCCAGGAGTGATGGTTTTCTCTTACTCTCAGTTCATTATTTCAGAAAGGTAAGAGGGAACAATCATCGTATGAGTATAGGACTAGGAGAATGCGTGGTGGGGTTAGTTTTAGGAGAGTCAAATGAATCCTAACGCCTTCTTCACGGGGCTTTACAAGCAAAAAGAATAATGACCAGCACTACAACAGCAACAGAAGTCATAACAATGCCATACGTTGACTATATAAGAGATACGCGGCTACCAAAGGTGCTCTGAACCTGGGGTAGTTTTGAATTATCTTCATTTAATTTCTCCTGGGCGTACATGTACCCGCTGAGAGATATTCACGTCGAGAGAATTGAAGATTTGGTAGCCTTGAAGTTTGATCAACGCCCTTATAAAGTAACCTGGGTATCCGGTGCGAAGTATACGTAGCCCTTCCCATTCACAAAGGTTTGTAACCAGGGCCCCTGAGTCTTCTCTTCGGAAAGGGTCTTGTAGAGCCTAGCATGCGCTTCACCACTGATACCCCTTCCAGCAAGCTTTCCATCGGCCTGTCGCTCATCGGCATAATAGGATCTATCGACTGTTAGGAAATTATTCTACCTCGTATACTCCTACCCTCTTCAACTCACTTGAATCCTCTAGGCGCATAGGCCGCTGCGGCAGCAGAAATAAGGTGCGCTGAGGCACTCTTTCCAGCCCCCAAGGTCATAATTCCAGGAAAGGACGCGAAGTTCATGGCGTTGCCAGTATAAATGAACGTACGTGCGGCCGTCTCAGGGAGCGCTGCGAATGAGGCCAGCGCCTCCTTGATGGCCACGAACATACTCACGGTGTTGATGTTGAAATCAGTTTGGAATTGGCTGAGGTCCAACTGGTAAGGATCCTCCTTGGCCGTCGGGGACACAGCGCCGGCTATATCCATTCCCTCGTCAGTCTGTCTCATGGCCTATAGCCACCCACTCCTTTTGTCTAGCTAGAAAGGCCTCGGGGAGCGGCGGCCCGGGATGGGGTCGCTTGTTTGTCTTGTCTTACCGTTGTAAACCACGACGCTTGGCTCCCCCAGCGACTCCCGAACTTGGGTAAAAATATCATGGACGGAGACTTGGCTTGGAGAGGTCGCCTATAATGTACTTGTAGGACGCGTTAGATTCAACAGGGGACTTTCTTGCCGCTAGGGCGACTCTGTAGCCGTCCGCCGCGAACTCCTTGGCCACGTTGGCGCCGATGTTAGGACCTGAGCCAAGAATCAGGGATCACAGGAGAAACTGGTGCCATTTTGGATGGAGGTGGGGAGTGTAAGGTTGCTATCAAGGAAAGATTAAAAGACCAGTATTCAACAGTGTCTAATTGTGCAAGGTACTGAGTTGTCTGCCTCAGTCTGTTGTAGTCCTTAATATATATACCAGGCACTTGCAAGCACTCCTCTTAAACTTCGAAAGACCCTCCTAATCGGACCCCAATTTCCCTACCATAAACTACGACGCCAAGCATAGGGTTTCTAGGGCTTCGGGAGATCTGCTTCAAAGCTCTGAGTCTCCAATGGCCCGATTTCCGATTCACCCCGAACGTCCGCTGCATGTTGAGACAACATGCCCTGTCTCAGAACGGCGAGCTCTATCTTCTCCTTCCTCTTCTTTTTCTTTTTCTTTTTTTCAATGCGGGAAGTATACTGTAGACCGACCATTCAACCAACGCCAGAGATCGAATTACCATCATGATTACAACAAGTGTGATCCCTAAGGAATGGGCGGACAAATCATGGCCTCTCATCACCTCCCCCCAATGTCAGGGCCACGATATCGTAAGCTCCTCCAACGGCAGTACAGTCTTCACTGCTGATGCTTCAACCTATTTTTATAGCACTCTCACTTCTCCGTTTTCATGGCTACCGACATGTATCACGTCCACAACTTTTTCATTCGCTCCATGAATAGCATCTATTGACAGTCACCCTACGTCACGAAACCAGCCGACACTGCGGATCTTTTGTTTCACACCAAATGTCTTGTCCACTGCATCAACGCGCATCACGACGGGGAAGAGAAATACCTCTTCCCCGGGCTGATTGAATACACCAAGAACCCGGACATCATGGCCGTCAACCAAGCTCAACATGCGCTGTTCCACGGGGGGGTGCAGACCCTCCTTGAGTATTGCGTAACCACATCTCCCGCCGATTACTCGCACCAGGTGTTCCAGGGGATCATAGATTCATTTGCGACACCACTCTTCCAACACCTCAGCGACGAGATCGGGACCATTCTCGCGCTGAAGAGCTTCCCAAGCCAGGATCTGAAGCTGCTCTGGACCCGGGCTGAAAAGCATATCACTAAGGTTGGCAGCTTTGATGAGATGTTTCCCCTCGCATTTGGCTGTATCGATAATGGTTTGAGGCCGGCCAGCATAAGTTTCCGCCGGTGTCGAAAGTGGTCAACTTTGTAGTCAAATACTGGTTCGCAAGAAAGCATCAGGGAGCCTGGAGATTTAATCCTTGTGATATGTGGGGAAATCCCCGGCCGTTGTATTTCTTACCGGAGGGAGAAAGGGAGCTAGAGACCTAGTTTAAGTATCCCCTTATAGGGAGAAACAGGTCGAAAAGTGAAGGGAGATCTTGTTTTGCTATTGCTAAATTGCACTTAAAACAATACAACCCTAGTTATACCCAGGGGAAACAACTTTTTGGCCACATCCTTTTTATGGGTCTAATAAAACAACCTCTCCTCAATCATTTGGCCCCTCCACCAACAATCTTTTCTTCGTCAATCTCTATCTTATCGTGTTCTGAGGTGCCAGGACTGGCAGCGGCCGCTGAAGCCTGTTTACCCTTCAGCACGCTTACCCACTCGAGTGTAGCATTTCCCAGGATTGACAAGCAAGAAAGAATCAATCCAACCTGGAATACCTTCCGCAGTGACTCGTTGTAAGCGTCAAGGACCGTGTCCCTCAGGCCCGCGGGGACTGAATCCAGTAAGGATGTTGCACCAGTTGAGGTAATAAGGCTAGGATCGATGCCATCAATGCCAGATAGCCTCTTCAATAGTTGATTCGCCAACACATTTTCCCCAACGGGGACAAGAACCGCGGCGCCCAGTAGCTGACTGAAAAAGATGATGGCCAGCCCAATCGGCACATCGAGTGCGGGGAGAACCGCCTGGGCCGCGAGATTTGGCTGCTGAAAGCATAGTCCCATGCCCAACCCATAGAGGATCTGATAGCCGATGCATTTAGCCTCGACGGTGTGGACTTGGAGCATGGTGAGAAGGCCGGCGCCGATGCTCATGATGCAGGATCCGGAAATGGCAAAGGGAGTATAATAGCCGATTTTTGGGGTGGTTAGCCCGCTAGCAAGGGAGCCTACAACCAGCGAGAGCATCGTAGGGAGTAGCTGGATGCCAGAGTTGACGGCTGAAACGCCTTTGATGGATTGGAACCAGATGGGCAAGAAATATACTATATCACTGAGGTTAGCTCATCTGACTAGAAGTATAAGAGGTCCAGGAATGGGGGCCTTGTTTTATCTTACCAATAATGTATTGCGAAGAACCAACACACAGGGTGGCCCAGAAGCCGGAGATGATACTCCGCTGCTTGAAAATGCGCGGAGGGATGGTTGCAGTTCTTGTCCAGAATACTTGGATTCCGACAAACGCCAGAAGCAAGATGCCCATGACGGTAAACAGGGCGACGATACGGCCATTATTCCACTGGACATTGTCAGTTTTGCTCTAGGTCGAACTGTCTCAAAACCTCCGGCCAGCTTCACTTACAGCATATGACTGTCCGCCCCACTGGAGAGCCAATACAAGACAGACAATCCCCGGAACCAAGCACAGGGTTCCCGGGATATCTAGTTGCGAGAGCTTCTCTGTCCGGGGAACACGGGTGGTCGGTCTGTCAGGGATCTTGAGACAGAAAAAAATAGCCAGCATCGCGACGGCTCCAAAGGGCAGATTAATATAAAAACACCACCTCCAACTTACATTAGAGGTAAAAGCGCCACCAATCAGAGGACCGACGATTGAAGCGAGACCAAAGAGGGCACCATACAGGCCCTGAATCTTGGGGCGCTTCTCCAGGGGAACCGCGTAGACAATACATACGACCTACAAGAACCACGGTCAGAGAACTGAGGTTGGTAAGACTTGGGAGAAGAACAGGCGACGTACAGATCCGGCGAAGATACCTGCACCGCCAACTCCAGAGATTGCTCGCGCAATGATGAAAGCTGTCGAGGTAGCAGCCCCGCAAACAGCAGAGCCAAGTTCAAACAAAAATATACTTGCAAGAAAGACAGCTTTAACGGCATACAACGTGTAGATCTTTCCATACAACAGCTGGAACGCACAGCACGTCAACAGATACGAACTTCCGTACCAACCGACGTCGTCAAGGGAGTGGAACTCGTTGGTGATGCGAGGTATGGCCTAGTCAACATGATGGTCAGTACGACCGGCATCATCCGATTCTACCCCCGAGCGGCCGGCTTGGGGAGAGATTATGTGTGCCTACCGTTGAAATGATTGTCCGGTCCAAGGCCACTAAAAACATTGTTATCATAAGTGAGATCAGCAAGAGCCATATTTTCGTTGCCAACTGGGCCTGATATGTGTCAGGCGGAGGGCTTTCATCATTATCATTCCCGACCGTCATATTGTGATCGCTCCAGACACGGCGAGGGAGGGATGGCGTCTAAAGAATGTCCTACAATAAAGAACTGCTATCTTTGGTGTGGAGGAATCGATATATCTTTTAAGCAAAGGGAAGTAGGAAATGCGGACGCGGTATACGGTAATTCTGATCGAGCATACATACGCAACGAACTAAGATTAAGTGGGAGCTTTTAGAAGACCTTGACCCCCTGAAACGCTGAAAGGCCTTTCCCAAGAATATGAATCATTGACCGCACAATTTCCAATATCCGAGCAAGACTCATGGTATGGAGTAATGCCCTTGATTTGTTCGGGCCGTACTAGGTCCCGAGGCGGCAGATTGACCACCGCATGGTAGTAAATCCCGAGATCGAAACCGTTTCTCCCGAATCAACAGACAGAAGATATAACGGGAAAACCAAATAAAAGGGACGGAATCGCAATAATGACAGCCGGACAGCGTATGGGGACCAGCGTCTCCTCGACATGGATAGCAAAAGGAACCTGATATCTGTCGCATGGCTCTCAAGGATCCGGTATACACGGCCTGGAAGACAAAGCAGTCGCCGTTCTGATGGAGATTGCGCACCCACCCTGGAATCCGCCCGTGCGCATCAGTGGAGTGAGATATTCTGCTTACCTTTCGATATACCGTCTACCATTCGGCTGCCCGAACACTGAACGGAACAAAGCCATTTATGGCCCCCTGACGTATAGAGCGATCATGGTGATCAAAGCCACGGAACTCGTGGCCGAGTAGAGGGACAGAACTGGATATATCCCGCCCCCTGTCTCCATGTATTAGTATTCTCTAAGCTTTAGTCTCGTACTGAATCGACCTACTAGTCTCGCCTGAGATTCTCCCATTGCATTTCCTTGCCTAATCGATAGGCGTTCTACCCTGATAAGTAGATTCGCTACAGAGGCGTTCGGTGCAATACAACCCCTTCCTACCCCCCACGGGGGATCTTCTGACACCCTATTGGGCGTCTTCCTTGGTTGAGCTATGAAATTTGGCTTCCATCTGGGGGACTGATATTGGACAGATGCACTCCACGAATTATACGAAACGCTAAGAAATCTCTCAGGTGAAACCATACAAGTCTTTGCTTGGCAATGGAAGCCTGCTTTGAAGGGTTCTAGACTAGACTAGGAGCCTTTTAGTTGGAAATTCCGCGTCATAATATCTTGACACCCACATGGCTGCGTCATATAGTATCCCAAAGCACAGTCTTGCTGCTCGCCTTCTCCATCTGTTAAACGCTTGCGTTAATATTATCGGGATACTAGGTTACGGGACTTGAGGTAGATATTGCAACTGGTGGTGATACACATGATTATTGTCTCTGAACTTCTCGGTGATTGAACTAGGACAAGATATGATTAGATCACCTAGAACAAACGAGAATAGCATACCTGGCATCGTTACTTTGAGTTAGGAAGAGCAATTTTTCCTTTGATCAGCGTGATCCTTGTCCCAGGAGGATATAGCAATGTGTTGTGGCAGTGAATCTGCGAAGATTTGGTGCTGGTATGAAAGTTTAATAATCAAGATTCCTGCAGGATTAACAATCTGTACAAAAGTCAGAAAAAGTAAAACGATAAAAGATTTAGGCTAAGCAACGCACGAGAGGCCGTAGGAGCTATCGAAGACGGCTGGACACCCGAAATCGCAGCTGGCGGCAATGCTAGATTTAATCTATAGTATGTGTTTGCATCCGTACGAAAGGTGCATCTCTTATGTGGACAGGGGCTTTAGAATCCTAAATGCATGCGTATGCTTAACACGCATAATTTCCTGGCATGAAGCCTCAGTTTGGTCATCCCTTTTTGCAAGTCTACTTTTTTCCCTGCACAATGGAATTTCTTTTTCTTTTCTTTGTCTCTTTGTATATCTGGCTTCCAGGCAATCCTTATAGATCCCAGTAGTTAAGAAATAGACAGTGCGATTGTTAAAATTGACGATACCACCAATAATATGCCTTCCTGCGGCCAGGGTGTAATGATACTTCCCGGGATGGACAAAAGCTGGTATGGAAGATAGTTGTGGTAGCTTAACAATGCAATGATATGCACTTTTCATGAATTGCAGAAGAGCTTCAGGGCCTGGGGTAGAAATGTTTCTGCAAATTTAAGAGCCAAATATTGAATATGCATACAGTTCGAGGAGGGTCCCGATCCAGTGCGGACTATAATATGCTCATCGAAGGCCCTAATTTTGCTACCTCCCACTCTTTAAACGGCAGCCTGAGTTAGTGTAGAGTTTTTTCTTGATGCCTTTGGCCTGCTTCTAGCCGGAAGCATCACTATTCACATCATTATAGAACTCCTAGTAGGACAGATTCTGGCTCGTATCGGCGCTAGCCGTATCCTGCATCTATGTCACCTGCCTTGTGACTGACTTAGCCCTCAAACTGACTGACTATTGATTCACCTAATTATTATTGTTATTAGGTGAATCAATACTGGGAGAGCCGCCCTGAAAAGTTTCAACACGATGTACAGGTACCGTAACCATCCAAAGAACTACGAAGGAATCAGCACATCTTAGAATACCCTTTACGTCCGCAGAGAGTACGTACGGTTATAAATCCGTACGTTCTTGTTTTACTTGCCTGCTAACCCCTGATATATTGCACCTTGCTTTGCAGATGGTAGGGATTTAGCATCATTTACGACCTTAGTACAAACCACTCATTACTTGACAGGACTTGAAGATCGATGATGTGAACCAATATGTAAGCGTCTCTCAAAAATAACTACAGCGGGACAGCTTGTACCTGATGCTCTATAGGTCGTCACAAATATTGTCACTTTGTCCAGGAAAGTCGACGACCAAGGCTTAGGTAAGTAAGTTTATTGCTACAAGCATTCCTGCAGCTAATATATACCAGGTCTTGCAGTTATTGAGTATTCCTTGGTGGCTTTAACCCACTATATTAAAACCACAACTATTGCCATGGGGGCGAAAATGATACGCTGTGCGATAGTCCCATACGGATAGACTTTCGAAGGACGTTACTGATGTCAACATCACTCCACCAGTAGAATATTTCTTTGATCATATGTTCAAAGGCACTATATCGAGAATAGGTTACTTCATGGAAAATAGTATAGTAGGAAACTACTATGTCCCTCTAAAACTGTATAAGCCAGATTACACCAACGACCATTAACAGTAGGAAGAAGCTCGGTATAGTAGACCTAGTATCCGCAACTACATACATGAACAAAATATATACATATAAAACGGAAACGCTCTTTTCTATAACCATAACCAAAAACAGAAAAGGAAAAAAATAATGAGTATGTAACTTTTAAGAAGAGGTCTCAACAACCTCCGCAAACCATTGCTTCAACGCCGTAGCCAAAACAGCTGGTAACTCCCTAACGTCACGCACAACCAGATAGTAAGGGAATGGGAATCCTTCTAGATATCTCTTCATTCTCAACTTCATCTCTCCGGTGCCGCTCTCAGTGTCAGGCTCAAAGCTTGCCTGAGTGAGATCCAAGATCGAGCTGCCCTTGACAGCATCGACAATGATGAACACAATCATGATACGCTCCTCCTGAGCCTGTCGCACAAGGCGTTGAATGGTTTCATGGTCCTCGCAAATACCATCGGATATGATGAGCTCCAGTTGCCAAAGGTCAGCGTTGCCTCCTCCAGGCGACTGCTTCCAGCGAGCTTCGCGGAACAGAGCGATCGAATCAGCAATCAACTTCCGCACGTTCGTGCCGGTTTGCTGGTAACTGAAGTGCTGGAACACCTGTGTTCCTGCTTCCGAAGAGAATGGCTTGCCAAACTCGTGTGCGACTCTGACATGATCCTCGCTGCCGAACCCGAGGACACACAGATCTCCGGCTTCAAGCATGCTAAGACTCTTGGCGACGAGTGCAAGTGTCTCGAATGCCAATTGGCCACTTCCACTCTCTAACATAGACTTACTGTCGTCCACAGCAAGCATGATTTGGTAGTTGCGCTTGGAAGGAATTGACCGCCGCATCCAAATCTTATCGCGCTTGTACTGCGACGCAATGTAAGGAATAATGCGCTTGATGTTTAGTCGCTTTCCTGTCCGGAAATCGCCACGCAGTTTTGTTGCCATCGTCGGAGCTAAGATGAGACGCAACTGTTCTGTTAGGGAGAGAGAGAGATCATTGGTGGCAGATTCGTAATGGGACCAGAGTCGTTGGGCTTCGTCCCGGGGCGTAAGTGGTGGGAGAGAGGACGATAGATGGATTGCTGCTAATTGTGCGTCGACCTCATCGAGTTCTTCAATGGCTTCGTGATGGCCAACGGATTCAGTTGTCCGTTCCTGAGTGTGCGAGCTTCCCGGGATCATGGCACCAGCGGTTTGATCCTTAGGTGCACTATCGCCATCCAGCTGCATTTCATCTTCCATCTTATTCTCTAAGGTCTCCTGGGGCTCCTCGGTCATGTCCGGCAAAGGTTCGTTGTCACCAGGTTTGACATCCGATTCGACGCCCTTGTTCTGATCAAGAGCTTGTGTTTGATCCTCATTAGCCTGACCAAGCGCTTGGGTATCAGCGACATCATCTTGGTCAGCAAGATGCTCGAAATTGGCGTCAGCCATGTCGGTATCCTGAGGCAGAGGCTGGTCGGCCTCGTTCTCTTCCTGTTTAGAAGATTCCATGATCTCCTTCTGTCGGCGATGCCACTGTTCGAGAATGTCACCCATCTTCTTGAACGCTTGCAACTGAGGGTCATTGTGGTTGGCATCGTCACCACCGCCTGCATCTCTATGCCGCTCGTTATCTTCTCCTTCATTGGCAGCTCCAGTTTTTCGTTGCTTATCATCAGACTGGTCAGCTGAGCCACTCTCCTGCTCTGCATTGCCAGAGGCGCCTTGCTCCATATTTTGGTCTTGGTCCGCACCGAGTCCGCCATTAACAGCTTCGCTTGGTGCCACTTCTTCGCCTTCTGCTTCGTTTTCGTCGCGTTGAGCCAAGAAGTCATCTTGTTCAGTCTCTTCCGGTTCTTCCCCAGGCTCATTCGACTCTTCTGCTTCGGCTTCTTTCATTTCTTGGTCCTCGCCCGCGTCTTCATTCTGATCGCCCTCTTGCTCCTCTGCCGGTTGATCCAAATCGGCGTTTTCAACCTTCTCTTCCTCTTTTCCTTCGAACGGTTGCTCATCTTCGGCAGGAGGAAGATCATCGTCGAGTCCATCGTCGAGTCCATCGCCGCTCTCCACCTCGTCTTTATCCATTTCATTGCCGTCAAGTTGCATCTCTTCTGGAAGATCGAGAGCGTCCTGTTCCTTGGCATGAGGATCCGTAACATCCATCTCCTCGCGTCCAACAGCCTCTCCTTCATCATCAGGGGCATCTTCTTCTTCCTCCTCTTCCTCTTCCTCTTCGGCCTCGTCGTTCTTTCCCTCTCCCCCTTCTCCTTCCTTCTCCTTACGCTCTTCTGCTGCTGCTTGTTCTTCGGACTCAGTCACTCCTTTACCCTCTTGGTTTTCTGTCTCCTTTTGCTCTTCATCATGAGCGCCATCCCACATCTTTTCATCGACGGCAGTGTCCTCAAGGCCGCCAACACTGCCCACTTCCTCATCAATGTTATCTTCCTCTTCCGATCCACTTCCGTCGTTGTCTTCATCGTCTCCTTCTTTATGCTCGCCTGTCTCCCCACGCAACTCTTCTTGATCCATATTCACTGCGTCTCCTGAATCGTCCATGTCTTCTGTAGGCTCTTCATTTTGTTCCTGTTGAGCGAGCTCTGACAGGTCTTCATCATCGCCAATATCTTTACTGATATCTTCGGCCCCTTGGCCATCACCGAGGCCGGTTCCACTCTCCAACTTGCCAGGTTTGCTTTCTTCCGTGGACGCCTCTGCGGGAGTGCAGAATCCCTCAGACGCGATCTGTATGAACGATTTGGCGAGAATATATGACATTTTGCATGTCTCACGATGCACTGTCATGTAGCGATCGACGATGTCCTTGCATATGTTGCGATATTTGTTCATAATAGGTAACAAGCTTGCAACTAATGAAACGGCAAGAGCAAGTCCAGACTTGGAGCTCGTCTGGAGGAACTGCAGCTCATTCAAAACCGAGTCCAGTGAGGCTGTGATATCAGGCAGGTGAACGGCCTTTAGAGCCCTGGTAAAGAACTCGTCACTCCGTGAGAGTGAGCCGGGCGATACGATTAGGGAAGGCACGTCCTTCAGCTTCTGGAGGCTAATAAGGATTTTGTCGATTGCTACAAGTAGATTGCCATCGAAGTCCCCAATAGCGAGGAGACTCTTAGTCTGCAGCACCTCGGCTGGCTCGACATCGACATTGGCCCATGGGGTTATCTGCATCAGGACAAAAGACAGGTCAGGCCGGCTCTCAGCCCAGCTTGCAAGGTCATGGTTCAGCTTATCAAAGGAAGACGATGCTTCCTTCAGAGTCTCTTCATGTAGTTTTGAAGTTACGCCATGAGGTAAGTGCGGAAGATTTCCCAGCGACTTTCGCAGCCTATCAAAAGCTTCTTTCCAGGCACGTAGACCGTCAACAATGTTAGATGACTGTATGTCGGAGAATTTGGCATGTATTTCTACAACCGTCATGGCTAGTCCAAGTATAGGCGTTAGCCAGGCTACGGCTCTTGCAGTATCCCGGACCTCATTCGAAAACTGAGGGCGTGACTTGAGGACTGAGGTAGGGTTAGCTTGCCAAAGGTTGGAAATCTTTACAAGCGTTGACTGGAACGATTCCACACCAGAGAGTGCTGGAGAGATAGCTGCCCTCTGCTTCCTAACCAGATGCAACAGGTGCTCAACGGACCCTGAACTTCTTGATACTTCAACGTTGCTGAGGTCTTCGGAGTAATTATGTGCTGCTTGGCGAACGCGTGGGAGGATATCCAGGAACTTGTGGAAGTAAAGATCGGCGCTTTTGACAACATTGGTTGCTATAGAACCAAAGTCCAGAGTCGGGCTACTGGCAAGAACTTGCGCAACAGATGCTTGTGTTTCAATCAAGCTAGTGCTAGCACTACGTTTGACACCCATTTCTAGTAACCGCCGAAGAATATCAGCATAGAAGCGTCGCTTTTGAACCTTGAGATGTTGTACGTCGTCTTTGTTTTCCTCAGTCAAGGTCTTTGGCGTTTGAGATCGGAACTCGTTGATGCTTTCCAAAAAGAACTTCATGAAGCTGTCAAGATCTTCCGAGATGTCAAACTCTGTCGAGATCGACACATACATATGAGCCATGTTGCTAACGGTGCTGTCAGGATCCCTGAATCGAGGCGGCCTGGTCTCCCAGAGCTTGACTGCCTTTTGGCATTGGGCGATTGCTTCTGGGAAACTTGCTGAAGGAAGAACCAATGTTTGATCAGCGAAACTAAGCACTTCATTGAGGTCTGGCATATCCTGTTCCAGGATATTCTGAGCAGGCTGAGCCAAAATTTCTCGGTACTTCCTGACAAGTTTGAACAGCTTATGATGCGATCTTTTCGCACTTTCCCTGAGGGCCACAATATTTGTGTCTTTCCAGCTGGCGAGCTGGATTTGTTCCTTGATGTCTTTCTCAAGTGCCGACCTTCTCTCATTGAGAAGTTTTTGCACCGGCGGCTCAAACTGGACGTAATGCTGGATAAAGTTGTCTAGTGCGGACACTAGTTGCTTCAGTGAAGGGAAGTCTTGAATGTAAAGTGACAGCAGAGACCGGAAGTTCTTAACAAGCCGCAGACGCTCGCAATACTGACCCAAGGTGGTTGAGCGGAAGAAATTTTCCAGCGTGGCGATGACTTCTTGTGTATGTTCGCTCAGGTCCACTTCACCAGAGCCAGCCAGTTGGATAGGTGCTGCAATGATCGCTTCGTAGGCCACAAACCACCATTGGCTCACTTCCTGAACGCATTTTTCTTTCTCAATATCCAGCAGTCTTGCCCAGGTCGACAGCTCAAGACGACGCCAATTGATAATCAGGCTCGTGATCTGGTCGTAAACACCAGCAGCCGAGTACTCCCTGCTTGCAACAAGCTGCCATTCATGAACGAGACCGTGGAGCTTTTCGACTTTGGTGAGGAATTTGGCGACAGGCTCAGCATGCTTGAACTGGAGAACTTCCTTACAGCATAGGATTACATCTGCAAGGACTGCATGTTCTGGCCAGGCTCTCTGGATCTGCAAGAAACGGGACTCCGTCGCCAATGTCAAAGAAACGAGCTTTCTAGCTTCATCAGGGTTTGCGTCTACATAGAAATTATACATGTTCCTTGAATCAGTGTCCTCGTCTACTGCATCTTCAAGCAACAAGAGAACACCGGAAAGATGCTCTTTTGGATGCACATGTGGCGTAGAAGTACTGCCCTCGGGCCATAACGACCCCAGCAGTCGAGCAGAGTGTTTCACGTATGCCGTCAGGGCTCGCCCGGTGTCTTCCTGTTGGAAGAGGTTCGCGTGGAGGGACGCAAGTCGAATGGAGATATCTTTGGGGTTAAGACGACTTGGTTTCTTATCATTCCCGACGGGGTCCTCTTCATAAGTAGGGAAGAGCTCACGGAGCTCATTCTCATCAACCTCTTCACTGTCTTCCCAGGATCCTCGATAGTGATATAGGCTCGCCTTTTGTGCCTCTTCTTCCTGATCCTCCCGTAGCTTCGCCTTCCATAACCCATGGAACTGCTCGAATAGACGACGGAGAGCATTGCGCCCATTTTTGGTGTGAAGAAGGCCCGGGTCCGCATTTTCGGCCACCTTGAGCGATGACAGTTCATGGAACCACATTTCAATCACATGCTTCGAGTTTGTATCTGAGTCTAGGTGATAGAGATCTGAGAGGGGATGGCGAATGCCTCCAAGGAATGGTGTATTCCTGCTAATTGCATCCACCGCCTGCACATCCTTTGACTGCTGGGGTCTTCCTGATATCAGGAAAAGTCCTAGGTCCAGCATTTGAAGGAAGCGAACAACAGGAACAACTATGTCATCATATGATCTATAGTGTACGCTAAGACGTCGACTTAGCTGGTGAATATTATCACGCAATAGATTCACCAGACTATGAGACTCAGAAGGACTCTCACTCGTTGCGTTGATGATGCTTTTAGGGAGCCTCTCAAGAACAGATTTTATGACACTGGTAAATTCACCGTGAAGGAGGCTCAGTTCTGAAACTTGTGGCCTGGTAACCGATGAAGGAGGAGGTGCTGAACCAAGATTACGCAATTCACCCTGGATGAGTTCATGCCGCATGTTCGACGATTGGCCAGAAAACCCCATTTCGAACAAAGCAATAGCATCAGCCTTCGCAGTAAGCTCCAAAGAACGCTGGCTGTGCCTTTGCCTTTGGACAACTAACCCCAGTGATGGATCGAATGGCTTGTCTGGGACATAGAGCCGCAGGAGGGTCGCAGCTAGCTGAACTAAAGCCGCTCCCGAGTTCTGAATAGTCTTATCATTGTCGTGTGGCTGGCTAGTTGCCAGCAACGCAGCAATACTTAGAAGTTCTTGTTCCGCAAAAGTCTTAAAATAGTGGTCGTGCGGCAGACTCTTTTCCAGACGAATATCCAGCAACTTTGAATCGCCGTAGCAACCGTGCTCTTCAACAGTACGGAGGATGGTCACCAGTCTCTCTCGAGACTGCGACTCAAAGAATTCCTTATGAACAAGCACTAGCTCCACAGCAAGTTTTGATAGTACCTGCTTCAGCACCTTATGTTGATCCATAGTAATCTCCCGAGAAGATAAAGTCAAGGCCTTGGAAAGGGTCTGCTTCTCCACCTCCAAGGCATCCATCTGACCCAGATTTGTGATGCCGACATTTGTCAGTTTTTCTAACAGCGAGACTGACAACGTGCCGCTGATAGCTGAACCAAATGTTGACGAGCGTTCAGATCCCGCAAATAAAGCAAGTCTGTGAAGGATCTCGGGTACTTGTGTCGGGAAGACCGACACATTTAATGGGCTTGCATCACGACCAGCCAATAACGGTAAGTTGGACTGGATAACTGGGTCTCCTCCTTTCTTGTTATGCAAGAGTGCGAAAATGTCATGGTACTGGCACAATACTTCGAATTCGTCGGAGAAGTAGGGAGCCGCGGTTGAATCAGAGCGTTGTACAACGCTTGCCAACTCGCTGACGGTTTGTTTGAGGCCCTGCATCATGTAAGCATATCGGACGCAAATGAACAGTTCGGTTCACTATAAATAACAAGAGAAATTATGAAATAGAGACATTAACTTACTTCTACTAACTGCCCTTCATCAGCTCCATGCAGGATAATGGACTGTTGGGCGCTGATGAGAGAATTGCGAACTTGACTCAACTGGGATAGATCAAGATGAGTTTTTGTTGCAATATTCGAGAATTCAGAAGCCACACTCTCTAAGTCTAAAATCGACTTCAGTTGAGTTTCAGTTGCAGGGGTTGCAGGTCTCCATGACTCCCAGAGCTTCTGCATACTGAGACCTGTTGTCAAAGCCCAACTCTCTCGGAATCGACTCAGGGCTTGAGACAACGTAACAGCTAATTTATTGAGAGGCCCGAAAGAGCTCGATAATGAAGCACATAGCTCTCTACCAATCTGAAGATAGACCTGAAACACGCCTTCATCGACTTCCCTCGCCGCGGTGAGCCGGAAGAGGTCCATGCAAAAGTTGAGAACAGCTCGAACGGCATTTGCTATGTGAGCAGTTTGAAAAACATCCTGGTCGAGGTTTTGTATAAAATCATAAATTGCCTGTCCACAGTCTGAAAGGAAGGAGCCAATTGGCTGTGTTGCATCCTTCATCAACGAGGGTATCCGTGCCGATGCTAAGGACCGTTCTAGGCGGCTCATTTGGCTTGGTTTTATTAGCTTGCCAGACTCGTCTGCTTGTAACAAGCCTTGCTTTAGAAGCTGTAAATCAAGTTTGGACTCTTGCAAATGTGCCATGATCGCCAACGAAATATACGGCACCTCATTACTCAATAATGAGACTAGCGGTTCATTCACAAGAGGATGAAGGGGTTGCAAATGGCTCTGGACAGCCAAGGAAGCGCGGCCCAGTTCAATTGCCTTTCTAGTACACTCGAGAGGTTTCCAGTTCGAGTTTTCATGGATAACAGACACATATCGATTCATCGCCGATGAGAGCACTTCACCCACTGATTTGCCGTGATACGGCAAGAAGTACTTGAGAGACTGCTGCAAATAGGCAAGGTCCATTACTGAAAGATGATCCAAGCAGACCTCACAGAGAAGTCTTGAAACATCTTCAGCACTAGCCGAAGGATCGAGATTCCAAAGAGGCCGGAGGCGGTACAGGAACGATTCGTAGGTGTAGGCAGGCACAGATGTGTTAACTGCGGGCTCGTCTTCTTGTGACAAAAAGCATACTTCAACACAACGGTTTCTCATTGCGCGGGATAATTCCCCATGACGAGAATCCATTGTTAGGAAAAGTCTGAAGTTGGGATGCGGCGTGATGATCCGGGCTGATCCATCTTCAGTACGTTGCTCGTTAAGTATGAGGGCTCCATCTGGTTCGGTGAGGGAGTTCAGTCTGTCAAGTACAGATGGATTGCATAAATTTGCATTGTCTAGGATAACCCAGTAGCCGTGCTGGACAGCCTGAGTTAGGACACCTTCTGTCCACTCAAAGCCAACTTTCATATTATCCGACTGCTTTGTTGTCTGGAAAAGCTTCTGAGCTCGAAGAAGCATATCAACGAAAGCAGTTTGTGGGTAGGTTTGGCTTAACATTGTGAGGGAGGTACAAATGTCTTCCAGGGAGATATCCGGACCCTGTAATTTCTCAAAGATCTCCAGTAAGGCTCTCGCTTCGTGTGGTGCTGTCTCGGAGGAATTCATAGAAATGGCCTGTTGCTGAAGAAACTGCGAGATATCGTGAATGAGAGACGAAACCTCCCTTTTATAGTCGATTTGTTCAAAGCCACCAATCAGATCCATTGTATCTGTATCAGCACTGAGAGCCAACTCAACCAAACTTGCACCATTCACGGCTGCGAGCTTCCTGATCAGAGTAGTCTTCCCACATCCAGACGGCCCCACCAAAATACTAGGCCACGACTGCTCTATACACAGCATAAGGGATTCGAGGATGCTAAGATCTCTTGGAAGTATCCTCATCTGTGGTTCCTGGGTACGTTGAAGGTACAGATCTCTCTGCATAACTCCAAGACCAATTTGCATGTATTCCGGTGTGAGATTATGGTAGAGGCTCTTGTTGGGTGCCGGAACCTCACTGAAAACTTGCTTGTACAAGGAATTGACCAAGTCTCGATCGTCTTGAGAGCGGAATCTTTGGGATATAATCACATCAAGGAAGCTGTTTGCTGATACCTGTAAGGTACCACGGTCCGAAAGTTGAAGCCATCTTTGAATGTCTCGTAGATTGACTTCCCATGGGCCACCCACAGCCCCTAATCGGCGTTCTTGGACGATGGCCTTGTTCAACAACGACACGAAATCGACTAGCTTGTCCGTCTGCGAAGAAGGGCTTCCAGGGAAAAGCTTGGCACATATCCTTTTCAGATCAGTGTCGGTGAAGCTGTCAGCATAAACGACTGTGAATCTGTTAACGAAAGAGGCAGGCAGACCCTTTCTGCCACCACCTTGGTGATGCGGGTTCTGCGCAGCAAATAGGACAAAGTCCGGATGCCTCTTAAAGGATTGGTCTAATTCAGCAATATAAACTGTTTGACGATGATCCAAGCAAGCATTCAAGCCCTCAAGCACGGACTGTGATGCCAAGTTCATCTCATCTAACAAGACCCAGTCACCGCGTTGCATTGCTTGCAAGAAAGGAGCATCTCGCCAAGTGAATTGGCCAACATCACCACCTTCCACAGGGACATCAGAGCCAAAGAGATCTGTGAGGTCTGTTTGCTCCGAAAGGTTGATACGTGTGAGAGGTTTCCCCAGTGCCTTGGCAAGGGCAGTCACGAGAGTAGTTTTGCCAACACCGGGGCTTCCTTCAAGCAGGATAGGCTTCGACAATTGCAAACCACGAGCAATTCTGACCGAGTTAGCAATCGTAGTAGGTGCATCCAATATGAATTGGGGATCTGGATCTGTGTTGCCGTTCATGGCAAGGGCAAAAGGTCCTACGCGTAGAGAACCGTTTTCGATTTCAATTTTCGACTTCTGCAAATAAATACTTGAAGCATCAACGTCGAAAAGTTCACGGAGCTTGTCAAGGCACAGCCGACGGTTCCCCTCAAGATCGTGTAGTGCTGTCGCAAGCATTGCCGCCGGGTTCGCACCCAATGTATCTATAAACACCATAGCAGCACCCTGCACTACTGCGAATAGAGGATCTACAGCTTGGCATTTGTTCACAAAGTCGACCCAGGCTAGGAGATCACGAAGGGAAAGAGATGTAGTTGAGGAATTTTGAAAGGTCGACTTGAACCACTTGGCGAACTGTAGCATTGGTTTGGTGATGTGCTCCGAGTTTAGCTCAAGCTTTCTCTGGAGAATAGGAAGGATATCCTCATCTTCAGAGAGTTGGGGAGCCCATATTTCAGTCATTCGATTCCGAAGAGCAGCGGATAGTTCGCGTTTGCCGTAGTCACCACCAGGGTTCATTGTCGACAGAAATTGGAACCCATGGTCAGCAACGACCATGGAGTCGATGGGCCCCTTTTCTGCCAGAAGGATCGATCTATGAGGCTCAAGAACACTGTTGAGTCTCTCCAATACCGAGTCATCGGCAAGGGATATTTCATCCAGGAGGAAATATTGTCCAGTCTTCATCGCTGTTATAAGGCTTCCATCTGACCATTCAAAAAGAGCATTCAGACGAACAATGTTCCTTTCAACTCTCCTAATCAGTTCGGCATCGCAGGCTTGCAATTGGTCCGCACTCAGTGTACCAAACATCCGCCTCATGTCTTCTAAAGATAGCGAAGCACTGTTTTCATGAAGGACCGTTTGAAGATCACTCATCAACTGATGCTCGATGGCTGCCCTATTCCTCACAGGTCGCTGAGCGCCAATGAGATCGCCTGTCTCTAGGTTCACATGGGCATTTACAATGAGCAATTGTCTTTTATAGGCTTCGGCGACTGCTTGACAAAGTTGGGTTTTTCCACACCCGGTCTCTCCCACGAGTAGAACTGGCTCGTTATTTTCAAGTGCAACGGACACCAAAATGAACAGTCTCCTCATTGCTTTCGTCCAAACGACTTCTGTTGGAAGATAAGGAGCGCGCTTCTCCAGCTCCGAAGAGCTGTACACCGCATCTTCATCTATACGTACTCTCATGACCTCTTCAATTACACCTTTCACAGCTGCCCTTTCCTGTGGGTTCCGAACTCGCTCTGCAAGCAACATGAAACCGTTGATCGCTAACTGGTCACGATCATCTGCTCGACGGAGAGCCCATCTAAACAGATCACGTAGAGTAGCGAAACTATTCTTCTGCTCAAAAAGTCTATTGGCTTGACGCAATAAAGATAGCTTCCGGTAGACAGACACTATTCTAGCACAGAACGAAGGAGCAATTTGGGAGCGTTCCTTGAGAATAAATTCCAGTTCACTCTCTGGAATATCATCAAAATGCAGCTCCAAGAAACGATTCCGAAAAGCGCGAGACAAGACTTTTCGACCACCATATAGACCGGCAGGATTTTGAGTCGCAAACAACATGAAATTCGGATGTGGGTGGACAACTTCCTGGGTCTCTGGAATGAAGAGTTCGCGGTTATCGTCTAGAAGTCGGTTCATTGCTTCGAGGACGTCGGAAGGCGCCAGGTTGAGTTCATCGAGAACGATCCAGTATCCATTTCTAAGTGCCTCCACTAGAATGCCCTCCTGGTAGCGAAGAGTGCCGTCATCACTAGACACATAAGACCCTAGGTATTCTTGAAGATCCGTGTGCTCGTGGTTATTGATACGGACAAACTTGTTGCCAGAGACTTTCGCAAGGTATTCAATCATGCTTGTTTTTCCAGCAGAGGTTGGGCCCTGCAACAATATAGGGAACCGACGCGTGGAACTAGCTCTAACCAAATTTTTCAGATTTTTCTCTATGAAGGGTGTTATAATGTAATGCGGTTGCTCTTCGGGAACTAAATGTCCACGTCGCATCCAGTAATGCTTGAACTGAACATAGTCGTAGCCATCGGTAGGGGGCTTAGGGGTCTGGCCGAGAAGAGCTCTAGCGTTCTTCGTATTGCTGAAGAGGTGTCTCTCAAGGAGCGGCATAAGCAGCCTCTCTGATTCTTGGCTCAAGACAGTTAAAAAACTCATGGAGAATCCTTCAAAAACCGCTCGGCGTAAACCATAGACATGCGCGTGGTCATTGACATAGATAAGAGCACGAACAAGAGTTCTTATACTAAAATGTGGCCGTTGTCCAGCCCCATCCGTGAGCTTGTTCTCATTGCTGAGCTTCTTCGTTTCCAAATATAGCTGTGAGAGATCTGGCGCGATCCTCATGTCGCCTAAAGTCAGGTCACCAAGATATTTCTGAATCAGAGCAAGTAGATCGTCCCGGTCAGTATCTGGAGAGTGTACATAGACTTCAGTGAACCGGGAGCGAAGACCGGGAGGGAGGTCTTTCTTTCCTGCATCTGTAGCAGGGTTCATAGCGCCAAAAATGCGAAAATCTGGATGCCCGAATACCCTTTCCACATCTCCAGCCTCCGAGAGCAGAACAGACGGTGAACCTTCAGTACCGTGATGTAGGAGGCTAGCAATGTTTTCGAGGGTATCAGGTGAGGCCAGATTAATCTCGTCAAGGAGGACCCATTCGCCATTTCTTAACGCCCTGACAATCTTTCCCTGGACAAAAGCGAAGGCGAACTTGGCATCGCCCTGAGCTACCTGGGCCTCAAAATCATTCAATTGTCCCGCAAATCTTTCCCATCGCTGCCGCAAGTGCTGATACTTGGGCGAGTCTAGCTTTCTTTTCTTCGTGGGTTGTTCCTCATTTCCTTGGGTGGGACCGTTACTGGATTTGAAGACACCATCGGCTAACCGAACAGCTTCATGCCAAAGATTTACTAGCCGTACCCAGTTTCCTGCAGCAACGCTTTTCGCAACGGATGACAGAAACTTCTGGTTCTTCTTGGCTGAAAACGTCAACTCAAACACAGTATTGAATTCGTCAAGCATTGGAACAGCCATTGTGCGAATATTGACAGGCTTGAAGCCACCTAGTAGATCGCTGCTTTCGCTTTGCTGCGACAAGTTCACTACTGTGAGTTTCTGGCGCATTAGCGTGGCAAGCTGTTGGATTACAGTCGTCTTTCCGATACCAGTCTCTCCAACAAGTAGGATAGGTTCTGCCATCTGTATAGCAGCTGCAGCCTGTTCCATAAGCTTCAAAGCAGCTCTTGTGGAAGCAAAGCGAGTCGATGAGGAGGATTGTTTAATAACTGACCCGCCAGGTACCTTGATTTTTCGGCAGACTTCTCTACCGAGCATTATGTTATTACCCTGATCGGAATATGCAGGAACTCGTTCACCCAGGGAAAACTGCGCTCGCTGTGGCGATATCTGGAGCGCTTCCGCGGCCACAAGGGCAAGTGACTCTGCCAATGATTTCTCTGGGATGTAGCTAAGGAATACATCCACAACATCCAATAGGATTTCATCTTCAGCACCTTCAGGCATAGCTTCATAGCCAGTCTTAGCTCCTAGACGCTGCAGTCGCCTATGGATTCGGCTACAGAGCTTGATAAGGTCACGAAGACCAGGAGTCCGGCCCTGAGAGCTCTTGATCGCGAGGCTTCCATGGAAGGAAGAGCAAAGCCTTTGATATACATCCATTATAGTCGGCACCCGAGATTCGAGCAGTGGGAACTTTTGTGCGATGACCTCTTGAATCTCTTGGATTGAAAGCGGCTCAATGTGCACCCTTTGCCACAATCTGCTTCCTAGGATTGTTGTGCTTGGGGCGATCTCTTCACCTGCGATGTTATATGAAGATTTCATGGTTGCAATGATCTTGAATCCATCAGCACATTTGATCCGCTCTTTTCTACTTGCTATAGTCAATTCTCCTTTTTCAATGATAGGTAAGATAAGACCAATAACTTCAGAAGGTGCACGGTCTAGGTCCTCGATCAGAATCCATCGACCTTCCCTAGCTGCTTTAGTTAATACACCCGGTTGCCATGCAAAAGATCCTGTGGCAGGAGACGTTGAGTACATCCCAAGAAGGCTTTTGGCATCAGTTTGCTCGTTTAGATGAAGGGTGACCATAGACTCAGATTGACCCACGGTTACAGCAATATCATTGACCAAAGTAGTCTTTCCTGAATTCGGTAACCCAACTATTAGAAGAGGATTTGAGGCAGTTAGGGCTGTTGCAATCTTGCGAAGATTCCTCACGGCGGTGGGTGCCTTTACAATCGAAGATGCTGGGGTCGACATCCCATTTAGTCGTGGAATAAGAATGCCGCATACTTCAGCGGTTCGAGCGGTAAAATATTCCCGAAGCTTCTCAACTTGTGACAGTCTGTCTTCGATCGACCGGCCTGACCGTGCAAGCTGTACCTGCTTCTCCAGAGTACCCCAACGACGCTCTTCCCACAAACCGAGGCAGCGATAGTCGATTACGATACCCTCCCATTCTCCTTCAATAACATCGGCTCCGACATAATTCTGAATCATTTTCTCCGTAGCAGCATCGGCTGCACGCATATACAAGGCAAAGCATCGAATCGCAAGATACCGTATGGATGGGTCTGGATGTTGGAAGAGGGATTGGAGTCGAGACGGCGATGTGGTACTGGAGAAAGTCTCTAAATCATATGAGAGAAGTCTTAGAACCGACAGTAATAAAGTGCGAATAGTGGTATCGTCTAATTGTAAAAGCGTTGCCTCGTCGGATGCAGCCAAAGCTGATAGAGGTCCAGCCCAAGAACTAGCATATTGGCTTGCGAAAGAAGCAAGAAAAGGCGCAAACGGCAGGATTCGTGAAAATGCGGAAATTATATCGACATGATTGTTATGAAAGTCTGAAGCGAGCCATCGTGCTGTCAGATCCACAAAGATCGGCTCATATAGGCAGAAAAAGCCTTCGGTGCATTTTGATCGCAATGCACCAACCGCGAGCGCATTCAGGTATTGAGTCCCGGAAGATGTGCGAATGAGTTCCGCGACCTCATTCGGAAGATGCTCGAAGAGATGGGACTCTTCCAGAGTCCTCTCATAGGCAGGTTTGGCCTCCATGCTTCAACCCTACCGCCAGAGGAACTCTTACAATGAGTTAGAAAGAAAATGGAATTACCGATGCCGATAACAGTAACTTTTTTTTCATAGCCGTTTTCTGCCGCTATATGTGGCGCAGCCCCACACACTTGACTTATTCACCGCCTTCATCAGGGTCGCGGAGCGGAGCTTAAGCCACATCTCCGAGATTAGGACCAGTTGTCGATCGTCGAGTGTCAGAACTGGATGAGTAAACAAAGGACATGGCTTTCTGCAAAGTGGACATTGACACTTGTACATAGAACTCCGTGTCCACGATGCAGTCAGACGGAGAACCTGGAGCATCTTTTTCCTCGAATGTGTCGCCGAGTCATTATCGACAATCTCCGAGTCAACGCGGCGATGGTGACCCATCTTCACCGGGTTCCCATGAACTGAATGGTCCGCTCACCGGAAGTTTCCATGAGCCGTAAGTTCCGTTCCTTTCAAGCACTCCGTGCAATTCTAATAGACTGCTTGTACAGTATATCCTTTAAACGCAAACAAAAGCAGCGATCCGGATTCAGCTTGTCAAGCTTATTTTCCAACAATACGGAACCCGCTGCTGGAGACAGTGGCTTCACCCCTTTGAATCCCAGAAATGGACAAACCCATGAGAGTGTTTCATCTACGAGGGATCAACCTATGAGTAGCAATGGAAATCTTAATGCACAAAAAGAAGGAGCTCTCCTTGATTGGTATGTCGAAGGCCCAGGGCGTCGAGTAGGCTATGACGACCTGACCGCAATCGACTGGGTCTTCGAATACACAAAAGAACGACAGAGGAAGAGGCTTCTATATTCGCATGGTCAGCGGGCTGTAGGACATGTTCTCAAGCTCCTCGATGCCGGTAATGTCTGGATCGTATTGATCGCTACTGGAATTCTAGTTGGGGTCATTGCAGCTTGTATTGATATTGCAAGCGATTGGCTAGGAGATCTGAAAACTGGTTATTGCAAGAATGGTGCTGGGGGAGGCAGGTTCTACCTAAATAAAAGCTTCTGTTGCTGGGGTCATGATGGTAAGCCATTCCTTACCACAGGTGACATGCTTCTACTAATCGAACTAGATATATCTCATTGTTTAGATTGGACACCGTGGGGGAAAGCCCTTGGCATTACCTCTACCGGTGGCATCTTCACGATTGAATACATGTTCTATGTCATTTACTCTGTACCTAAATCTTTTCCGTGAGCGTGGCCCTGTACTAACAGGACTCAGGTGCTGTTTGCTGTATGCGCTACTGTCTTGGTACGAACCTATGCACTCTATGCGAGACACAGTGGTATTCCTGAGATCAAGACGATTCTAGGAGGCTTTGTGATAAAGCATTTCATGGGACCTTGGACACTAGCAATAAAGTCTCTAGGATTGGTAGGCTTCTCTCGATCTCTACACTACACGTAACCCGTGCTAACATTTTCTAAGTGCTTATCCGTCGCATCTGGTTTATGGCTGGGTAAAGAAGGTCCACTTGTTCACGTCGCATGCTGTTGTGCCAGCGTGATAATGAAGCCTTTCGAGAGTCTAAACCATAATGAAGGTATACGCTTTTGGTGGCCATTTCAGTTATCTGTGCTAATTTTGCAGCGAGGAAACGCGAAGTCTTATCCGCGGCTGCCGCTGCAGGCATCTCCGTTGCATTTGGAGCCCCAATCGGGGGTGTCTTGTTTAGTCTAGAGGTATGGCCTTCTAGAGCCCTTCGTCCCAAACATGATGGCTTAGTAATGTCTATCAGCAACTATCCTATTATTTTCCCGACAAGACAATGTGGCAGAGTTTTGTCTGTGCCATGGTCGCTGCAGTGACATTACAAGCCTTGAACCCTTTTCGTACGGGCAATATTGTCCTTTACGAAGTCACTTATACACGCGGATGGCATCGCTTTGAGATGATTCCATTTGTCATCCTTGGAATACTGGGTGGCCTATATGGAGCGTTTCTGATCCGGTTGAATATGAAAGTTGCACGATGGCGACGGTCTCGGAGCTTCTCACGGCCCATTGCAGAGGTGGTTATCGTGGCTCTCCTAAGTGCTTTGATTAACTTCCCAAACTTATTCATGAGATCTCAAAACTCTGAACTTGTTCATTCCCTTTTTGCTGAATGTGGCAGTGGGAGTGAGGATCCTTTTGGTCTCTGCAAAACCGGGGCTGCGTCGGTTACTACTATAGCTCTTCTACTCATGGCCGCGCTCCTTGGGTTTTTTCTTGCAACGGTGACTTTTGGGTTGGATCTACCCGCCGGCATCATCCTTCCTTCCGTTGCCATTGGCGCTTTATATGGGCGGGCTTTAGGCACAACATTCAAGATGTGGCAAGAGGCTTATCCAAAAGTCTTTCTATTCGGCAACTGCGAGCCGGATATCCCCTGTGTCACCCCAGGACTATATGCCATTGTTGGAGCGGCCTCGGCACTTGGTGGAGCCACAAGGATGACCGTATCGATAGTCGTCATTATGTTCGAGCTTACCGGCGCCTTGACCTACGTTATACCGATTATGATTGCAGTCATGTTATCGAAGTGGTGTGGGGACATATTTGGAAAACGTGGCATATACGAGTCATGGATCGAGTTGAATGAATATCCTTTCCTCGACCAACGTGATGATACCACTCCACCCGACGTGCCTGCTCATAAAGTCATGACGACTGTAGATGATTTAACAGTCATCAACGCCACGGGTCATACAATTGACAGTCTTCGTCACCTTCTCATGACCACTTCATACCGCGGGTTTCCCGTAGTAACCGATACATCAAACCCTATCCTTCTGGGTTATATTTCTCGCAATGAGCTTTCATTTGCTTTGAAGTATTCAAAATCGCCTGCAGACCGCGAGTTATCTGGTGAAATGCAAGTGTTCTTTGCCCACCAACCTTTTGCAGATCCAGTGGAAACACTCGACCTTCGTCCATGGATGGACCAGACCCCTATCACCCTTAACAGCAGTACAACATTTCTGACGGTGCTTCGAATGTTCCAAAGGCTTGGACTGCGTTACATATTACTTGCAGACAAAGGGGTTCTCCAAGGATTGCTCACCAAAAAAGATGTCTGGTCTGTCAATAATGGACCAGAATACCGTAAAGGTGAATTACTCAGAGAGAATGTGGTCCGTTCTGTGCATACAGCAGAGGAGGTTGGGCTTCTGGAAAGTGATGACGGGACCAGTCTAGCTAGTTCTCTAGAAAGACGTCAGTCGCTTTGATTCAATTCACGGGAAATAGGAGTATGCCGGAATATCCATGAGCCTGGTATAGCATGTCCTGTGTGTCGCATATACGAAATGCCTATGTTTATTTCTATAACGCAAATTACGTGGGTTTGGTTTTTGATATGAAATAGAGCTTGATACGGGAAGGGCTGGATACCTTGGCCAATATTTATGGCGTTATGTTGGGCTTTTCATTGGTTTTTTCTGATTTTTAATTACTATACTGGAGTGGCCTTACTGCTTCACCTGACACCTTGTTATATATACACCATCCACATCCTGTGAATACTACTTGAACCTGAAGACATTGTCTTTTGTCTATCATAATGTCATATACCATTGACCATTTAACCCTTCATTCTACCTCCTGAGACAGTAATAGCTTCTTTCTCCAAGTAAATAATGCTTTTCATTCCCAGCATTATTCAACACTTCACAAGTATTACTACCACCAATATAGTGGTTTACTCAACCCCACATTTTCTGCCAGCAGAATTGTCCCCACCGCCCCTCCAGAGACCAAACGGTGTTCTCCGCCCAGTGATTTCCCCAGCCTGTTTGCGACAGCCTCAACAATACACAACTCTCATCCCAAATCTAGAGCTGTATCTTGCTCAGTCCTCAAGCTGAGCCGTGAGTCTGCAATCATGATGGCAGATCCGTTTGAAGTACGCATGCGCTTTACCGCGCAGCTACAACACTTGAATGCCTCAATCACTTCCTCCCAGAAAGCCGCACACTATGCGCTCAAATACCGCGACATGGACGAGGATCTTCACTCATGTATTCTAGAACAGCTCGAAAGAGTACGTTCGTCGATTCAACATCATATCGTAAACACACTTCTGACGATTATGGTCTCATTTAGAATAATATGAACAACAGAGCTAATATCATGTATTTCATCGAACAATTCTGCGAAATGGCCACGAAGGAAGACCACGCTCCATACGTCCGCATGATACAGAGGGATATCCTACGCGTAGTGGATGCCGTTGCTCCACCGGATGGCTCGGGGGCTGCAAATGTGAAGCATGTTCGGCGGGTTCTGAACGGGCTACAAAGCAAGGAAATCCTCTCTGCGGAGACGGTGGCGGAGATCGATGCCGGTCTAAAAGAACGTGAAACGCACCCAGCGCATCTTGATCTGGAGGCTGACGAGGGGGTGGAAGCAAAGAGCGGGACTCCGCGGGGCTCCAGGGGGAGTGTTCGTGTCGACAAGAGGCAGATTGAGCAGAGAATCGAAGAAGACCGTGAGCGAAACAAGCGACTACGAGAGAGTATGTGGACAGTTAGCGGCGATGATGGTGACGAGCTCGGGAAGTTTTGGGAAGAAACCAGTGATATTGGCGAAGACGATTTCCTGGCTGCGAATGAGGAGCTCATGGAGCGCCGGCAGATGGTTGGTACGAAGTGAAGGTGCTTTCATTAGCTTCTGTGATTTTGCGCCCTGGCATCGGTCTTTGGTTTTATTGAACAAGGATCATTGTCCTCGTTGACTAAGCGCTTTTGCTTGGGTTTGGTGAGACAAACAAAGTCTGGCAGTCTAACGGTTTTGAAAAGTATGTGCACCTGGTGTTTGGTTTGGCGTTTACATTTTTCTACTGCCTGGGTCGTGGGTATGGATGATACCATTTACTTGAATTGCATATAGGATACCATATCCCAATTGATGATTTCTCGTGCAGACATTTCTCCAGTATTGCTAGTATTGCAACTGAGATATTCCGTACTCACTACCTAATTAGGACAAAATCTGTTGTGATCTCAGGGGAAAGATGGGCAGAATGATGCTGTATCAGCTACACATACGTAGCCTACTGAGGACCGGATGCCATTCCGATAGATCTCGATTCTATAGACGACTATATCAACTATCTTGAGCGCTTCTTCTTCTCTACTCATGGGTAAAGCCTTCAGGGGCTAAAGGAGTTGGTGATCCGGCCAAGCCGCTAGGCGATCACGTGTCTCCTATAGATTCATATCACTCCCCTTCGTTCAATACCCCGAAACGAATGAAATGAAGCTATACTAGCTTCCTAAATAGGAAATAAAGCAAAAGCATAGAACTGATGTGTAGGGGTGTTGAACACCTTTATCTTATCAGTCTGAGGATCTTGATGTTGTATCATAGAACCTTATTTTAACTCCAGCTGCAACATTCTGATCAACTGCTTTAAGCTATCAGCCTTAGTTGCCTTGGTCAGTCCATCTGCAGCCATTTCAGATGTAGGGACGTAGAATGGCTTGATATCGCCATGCTCAATGAAATCACAAATAGCATGATATCATACGCGAATGTGCTTGCTGCGTAGGTGATTGACTGGATTAGATACTAACGCTAAAGCACCTTGATTGTCAATTCCCAATCGGGTTGGTAGTTCGCTGTCAACCCCTATATTGGTTGGCTCTTTAGGACACTTCCGGATAGCTGCTAGGAAATATCTGATCCAGATAGCCTGCTTTGATACCTCTGCAGCTGCGATATATTCCGCTTCGGTAGTAGACATAGCGGTGATAGGTTGCTTCCTGCTACACCAACTAATCGGTCCGCCTGCCATCATAAATACATAAGCACTCATTGAGCGATAGTTCATAGCATTCCTGTATAATAAATCTGAATAGCCCACTAGCTCATCACTCCCCTTTGCGCTGTACATAATACCATAAATAATAGTTCCCTTAACATAGCACAATAGTTGTTTTGAAGCTCTGAGATGGACATCTCGGGGATCTGCAAGGTACTGACTCAATCAATTGACAGCAAACTATATATCTGGTCTGGTACCACCAGCGAGATATATGATTCGTCCAATAATCTTTCTAAACTTGCTGTACAGATCACAGGTGAGCTTCCTAGATAATCTATCATCCAGATCAATACTAGGGCTGAATAAAATAGCTTGGGATATTGATTCAGTCATTCCAAATTCCTCTAAAATAGATCATGCGTAGAACTCTTGGTCAAGCTGGATAGAATCCTCATTCCAGGTAATCCATATTCCCAGTATCTTTTGTGCAAGTCCTAGGTCTTTCATGGGATGAAAGCGCTTCAATTGATCCTTTATAGAATCAATATCTTTAGTATCCTTACCAAAAACAAGGATATCATCCACATAGAGCGCTATAATGACTCCCCGGTCATTGATAAAGACTCCAGGATCTGCAGTGCTTTGTCTGAATCCAATCAAGGTAACATATCTCTTGACCTTCTGATTCCAGAGATAGGCAGATTGTCGGAGACCGTACAATGACTGTAGGATCTTATATACATCATTTGGATCATAAGAATTGGGACTAACACCTTCCAGAATCTCCATATAGATCTGCTTATCAATTCTTGACCCAACATAGGCATTTGTTGCATCAAGCAAATGTGCTTTTAGGCCATAGGTTACTGCTAAAGCAAATAGGATTCGGAGACTTTCTAATTAAATGACTGGGGTAAACATATCTTCATAGTCTAATCCCTCACATTAAGAGAAGCCTCTTGCCACTAGTCAAGCTTTAAATCAATTGATTTGTCCATCAGCTGAGTGTTTGATATCAAAAACCCATTTGGTTGATACCACAGCTTGATCTTTAGGCCTTTTAACATATCTCCAGGTCCCAAATTGAATCAGATTATTCAGCTCCAGCTTAATTGCTTCTTTCCATTTAGCTCCATAGATGGGATCATTGACTGCCTCTTTATAAGTCTTCGGAATAGGGATCGTACGCCCATTAAGCTCCTCATTAGCTTTGGCCTTAAAAGCATCCTGATCACTGAGGTAAAGCTCTAGTGCTACAGCTAGATTAGCCACCTCATTGATTCACTGCTGTTCTGCAGTAAGCCGCGGAGAAGGATCCTTGTCTGCCTCCCTCTCTTCTCTGCGGCGCTGGGCTCGTGGCTTTCGCCCATAGATAGCCTCTGTCTGTTTCGACTCAATAACTGCCTGAGTAGGCTTCCGAATTCGGCTTGGCCGTGGTATATCAGAGGATTCAATTGATATCGGGAGTGGTGATAGTGATGGTGCAATTGGCCTTATTGGGCTTAGTTAAGCAGACCGGTCAGATCGGCTTATCGGTGATTCAATCTCTGGATCCTGATTGGTTGAATCAGAATTCTGACCACCTTCAGATCTCATTCTGCTGCTTTCAACTTCAGCTTCATTATCATCAACACCACGCTCACTAACAGCGCGCTTATCAGCAGCGCCTCCGGTGCTTGTGTTGACTGCGCTGCCAACGCTTCCATCTTCATTATTTGCACCATTTCCTGAGCTCTCTGTAGGCGCCTCAATGATGCCTCCCCCAGTTCCTATACTAGGAACTCCCAAATCCCTTTGGAATACAGGTTTGTCCCTGATATCTCGAACTCCTGATTCCTTGCTGATGAAACCTCGCTTATTTTCCAGGAATATAGGATTTGTCACCCAGTAGATCTTTTGATCTTGCTTTGCCATAACCAGATAATGGTTTCTGCTTGACTCATATCCTATAAATACTCCCTCAATAGCTCATGGTTCCATCTTATCATTGGTCTTTCTATAGAACCATACTCTAGAAAACGGGATTCGAAGCTTTGATATCTCTGGAAGATGTCCTATCCATATCTCAAAGGGTGTTTTCTTGGTACCTCACACCCGGACTGTTCAATTTCTAAGGTAGATGGCCATTCTAAGCGCGTACGGCCAATACTCCTTAGGAACATCTGCATCTATCAGGATTGCTCATGTCATCTCTAGAAGATATCTATTCAACCTCTCAGCCACACCGTTCTGCTAGGGCGTATCAGGCTCTATGAATTCAATCAAAATGCCTTTCCTTAAGGCCTATGGCTCCATTACCTTGAATTCCTTTGCATTGTCAGTCCGAATAACAAGCAGTTTGACACCTTGCTCACGCTCTACCTGAGCTAACCATTCCTCTAAGATAGCTCTCACTGTAGCGGCTTCCTGATCCCTTGTCAGATAGATCCATGAGAACCGTGTACAGTCATCAGTCAGGGAGAGATAATATCTCCATCTCTCATGAGTCTTTGCCTTACTATACGGACCCCAAAAGTCCATATAGACTCGCTTCAAGGGCCTCGATACCCTAGGGACTGTCTGATGGTTCTGTTTCTTCACACTCTTTGCCTGTATACATGTCTCACAGATCTTCAATTCCTCAATTACTTCTTTCTCAGGAATAAGCCCCATTCTCTTTACCATATACTTAAACCTGGCCTTTCCTGGATAGCCTAATCATCGGTGAAGCAGTTCCCAATCTATCTGCTTCACAAGCCTTGCAGATTCTCTTCCAGGCTTCTCAAGCCTCGTGGCTAATGCATTCTTACTTCCTACCTAACCTAGGTAGCTTATACAACCAATATTATACCCTCTTGCTAGGATATCTCCTCTTCTCTTGAAGAATCGGTATTTCTTTCTTACATGCTTATTCCATATACCCGCATCCTGCAGTGCTTGGATTGATAGAAGAGTCTGTCTCATCCTAGGCACATATAATACATTCGAAATCTTTGCCACTTTCCCACTGCTCAATAGAATTCTCATCGTACCTCTACCGGCAATTTCTATGGATTTCCCAGCTGTTCCTAAGCTGCCTCCATATCTCTGATCTAATGACTCAAATAGATCAATCTTGCCGCTGCAGGTGCTTGTTGCTCCGCTGTCAATAATAGGGTCATCGCTCCCCTTTACTCGGTAGGCCTTTTCATTGCTTTCCTTAAGCAAATACTCAAATCAATCACTGATTTGTTCTTTCAATTGAACTCGGTAGGCACCTTCAAACGCCCTATATGCCCTTTCTCTATAAACTCAGTGGGCACTATCACTGGCAGAACTCCTGCTGCAATCACTCGAGCTACTATCGGTATCAGATCCTTCATTAGCCGTACGGGCCTTGCCTCTCTAGCGATCTCTATAGCCTCTGCGGCCCTTATCTCTGCCCTTTTCTCTATGGCTTCTCTTTAAATCATGATCCTTTTGTCGTCCATTTCTCTCATCTTACTCCTTATCTCTCTTAGGAGCCTTGCAGTCTCTTGCAAAGTGGCCTATCTTACCACAATTAAAGCATCCTTTTCATTCAGCTCAGTTCACAGCTTCATCAGCTATCTCTCTTGTACTAGTCCCCAGCTGTGACTCTTTCTACTGCAGTCTTAATAGAATCAATCCTCGCTCAAGCTTGATATTGCTGAATAGGGAATCTCTCATAGTCCCATATTCCTCAGGCAATCCATTCAGAAACATGGTAAGTATCATTAGCTCATCAAACCTATGTTTCTGGTTGCTAATCTCATACAGATCAGCATTCATCTGCTCCAACTGCTGGAGGGATGCCTCAATATCAACTTTGGGGTCTTTCTTCCATTGGATAATCCTCTGGACCAATATAACTGTATCATACTCAGTCGTACACTCGTACTGACTCATCAGGTATTTCCAGACTGCCCCTGAGCTTTTTAGATCTCGAACTGACGTCCTATCCTCTTGTTGGATATTTCTCTTGATATAGTATCTGGCGGTTGCATCCTGGGAGGCCCACAATAGTTCCTCAAGTAGTTTCTTCAGCTCTTCTGGCTTATCCTGCCTGCTAAGAGTCTGCTCTACTACCTCCCAAACTCCTTGTATCTCACAGAATTCCCGTACGTCTGATTTCCATGTCCGAACGTTCTGCTTCGTCAGGTTTAGTATATCAAACTGTACCAACTTTATCGGTTTTGCCTCCTTAGACTCAGGAATGGGAGTTGCCATCCTGACTACCAATTCTCTTCGGAGTTGCTCACTAGAATCTCCAGTCACTTCAACTGTCTCATCCGTCTCGGCCGCCTCGTTTGCAGTTGCCTCGTCCGTCTCAGTTGGCTCGGGTGCCTCCGGCATCTCCGGCAGGTCTTCTCAGTTGTCGGCCTCAAATACCCCTGGCACTATACTCGGCTCTCGGGTGTTCTCACGGCTTGATATATATCTCCCTGTCCTAGGGTCTCGCTCGCGCGGCATCCAACCTATTCAGCTTTCGAGACATAGTGATTCGATAGCCCGATCAGGGGTAGATAGGCAGGTTGTACGGGCCTGGCCACCTTCAACAAGATCAAGGATCAACACGCTGCGTACAGCTTCAACTCTGCTGGATTAAGCAAGGTAGTTGGCCTTACGCAATCCCCCAAGGTGCTAGGCCTGTTGGTTAGACACGACGTAGCAGCCCGGGCTCATAACCTATGTTGTGATCTCAGGGGAAAGATGGGCAGAATGATGCTGTATCAGCTACACATACGTAGCCTACTGAGGACCGGATGCCATTCCGATAGATCTCGATTCTATAGACGACTATATCAACTATCTTGAGCGCTTCTTCTTCTCTACTCATGGGTAAAGCCTTCAGGGGCTAAAGGAGTTGGTGATCCGGCCAAGCCGCTAGGCGATCACGTGTCTCCTATAGATTCATATCAAAATCAATACACTTTAGTAGCCCCACATGACACCTTTCCGCCTTCGGAGAAAAGTGGTCCCGTGGAGATCATGAAAATGAATTTCTTGAAAAAAGCGCCGAGATTGGGCGCAATAACATTTCTCCATATATGCTTGCTAGCTAATTTTTGAATCGGGTTATTTTGGGTCCTCTATGTTTTCCCACATTGTCACTGCGGCAAAGGGTCTATTTACTCGACAGGATACCGACGAAGCACATTCGAAAAAGTCTAACATTACCTTATCAGATAGCTCAATCGCTGGCAAACCGAAGATGGTCACAGCAACGAGACGACGGAAGATTTCCGATATTGTTCCGGAGGAGGAGCCCCAGATCAATGAACGAAAAGAGGTGAATGGAAAGCGCAAGTCCGGGCCCGCCGGTTCTGGGAAGACGGAAGCTCAGCGCAACAAACGGAGAAAGCAAACTAGTCTTGAAGCCACCGAAGAAACTGAGAGTGGGACTCCGGGAGAGCTTTCAGAAGATACCAAGAATACGAATCCCAAACAGGAGGCGAGACTGGCCCCGCCGGCGAAGAAGCATTTCCGATTTGACAGTGAAGAACCCGAGTTACCGATGGATGCGCAGGTAGAGGAAACGGCGGAGACACAACAGGCGAAGGACAGTGGCGATGACAGTAGTGACGACGATGACGCTCCCGAAGCAGTGGATAATTCTGCCCAGTTATCTAAGATCAGATCAGAGGCTAAAAAGTTGGAAAGGGCCCGGCAAATGTCAGTCGCTTAACCTTGGTATTCTCCCGAGATATTTCTAACCATTGTATAGTGAGGAAGAGTTGAAACGGGAGAAGAGAAAGCAGTTGGATGCGCTGCGTAAATCGCAAGCGAAAGTTTCGAAGAAGAAAGAAAAGCCCGTGGACGATCTACTATCTGAAAGCACGGAGACTCTTCAAGGATCCAGTACACAAGATGTACGACGATCGGCTTTGCCCGCACTTCTCCCCGATGATATCCTGAGTGCGGCTCCTGTCGCAAGACCTCCTACTCCACCTGCAGAAGGAAGCAATGCCGTCCAAAAAAAGCCAACCAAGTTGAAGTTCCTCGAAAAGTCTGAAAAGCGCCCGAAGGATGTAAAGATGGGCGATGTTACCATTCGAGTGCTGGACGACATTTCGCAGAAGAAGAAAGCCAAAACGTCCCTACCCCCGAAAGCCTCGAAATCTAGCCGGAGTAGCAGGCAGACATGGCTCGATCGGGGTCGCAGCACCGGGCACATCAATGGTTTAAGAAGGACAGCCGGCGGCGGTTCTGGCTTTGTACGCAAGTAGGAAGTCTGGTCGTCACCTTTAATTCCCGACTGGGGCTCAAGATTGAATAGAATCAAGTATTCTTACGACAATCACCCTTGAGACAAAGCGGAATAAGCGCAGTTAATGTCCCCGGTTGGTCTATATATCCCAGTACATCAACGTCGAGGGGTTGGTTTCACATCCTCTGCAGTGCAAAGGGTCCAGGTAGGCCTTGTTCCGGTTACAGGCTACAGCAAGCAGATCACGATTCATACAGCTGAATTATGCTTCACAAAATGGGAATTCCTGTACAGAAATGTAATGTTCAGCAAATAGGTAGATATTGAACATGGTTGTGTTAGGCGTCTGATGATTGGGCGTGAAGGATTCGGAAAAAGAATAAGAGGTTTTTTATTCATACATTTTATATATCTTCTCGTTTTAATTCGTAACGCCAAATTAAAGACATGTAGTATGCCTGAAGGGAATATAATCAACTTCATTTCTTAACAATTGAGGTACTTAAGTACTACTAACGTGATGCCCAGACCGCCGTTGACCTTTGGTGGGTGCACGTGCGAAGCCTGGAGCTTTGGTCTCAAAACCATTTCTTCACCTCCATTTCTACGGAAACCTCCTCCGAACACATTGCTCATTTTTACCCCCTTCAGCCTGACCATTAATGGCTGGCTTTTCATGAACATCCTCACCTACTACATCCAACATGGCTTCCACCGCAGAAACGACTCCTCTTCTCCCCCAGTACCAACAACAAAACCAACCATCAACATCCAATACGTCACCGCGAGCGAACCGGCGAACAGTCACTTTCAACCCTCTAACCACAGTCAGTACATATCACGATCCCACCTCCACGGCTGCCCCAGCCCGAACATTGTATTCCGGTCCTTCCTCATTTCCAAGTTCCCAAGATACCCCGCAACGGACGACTGGGCTATCCGCATTGAACAGTAAGCTCCGTCGCCGTAATAGCCATGGAGCACCGTACAGCGCAACCGCCTCAGCGCCTGTGGCATCTAAAGTGGGTCCACAAAGAACGACAAAGAAAGCCCAGAAACTAAAGCTGCTCCCTGATCCAATAACGGAGGAGGTTGTTGAAGGCGAATTCCCGTCGGACGTCTACTCCCAAATCGCACGGATTAAAGAGCCCACCGCTCGGAGCCATGCTGCAAGACTGGGCAAAGCAGACAGGGATCGACTACCCCGCGTAACAGCATATTGTACCGCTAATTCATATCGACTGGATGGAGCGATCAGATTCCTTAAGTCAAGGTCTAAGACCCGTGGAGCTAACCCGAAGCTCTACGATGAATGCGTCTATTCACCATTTGACTACTTGTATGAAGAGAAGCAAAGAAGTACATCAGATGATACTGTTGGAACCAGGAACAACTTCCAGAGGCCACCCGCTGAGCGCAGGTTCTCTGATAGCGTGGTTGAGATTGATGATAACGCTAAATCCCGAAGAGAGGACCTCATCGACCTTCAAAAATCAGCGGCCCATCAGTCCGAAACTGCTGTGACGGAAGCTCTGTCCGAAAATACAGACTTTGACACGACAATTCACACCCCGGAAGTATTTCTGTTCGATTATGGCACGGTCGTTATATGGGGCATGACACCAGCACAGGAGTCCCGGTTTCTGTCCGACGTCTCTAAATTCGCGACCTCTATCTTGAGCCCGGAAGATACACAAGTCGAAAACTTCAATTTTTACTATGCACGCGAGTATCAAGCACGGATATACAATGACTTTATTTCTCTGCGCGACCCGCGAAACCACATGATCAAGCTGGCCATCTCGCATGCTCTCGCCCAGTCAGTGAAGACCTCCCTTTTCGAAGACCTCGTCTCGGAAACGATCTCAAACACTGCACCACTGCCCGCCCAAATCGCACAGACAGGGAGCGTTAACCTCACTCGGCGACAAATCAACATGCAAGTCGGAGAACTATTCATTCTACGGATCAACATCCATCTTCAGGGCTCCGTCCTCGACAGTCCGGAACTAATGTGGGCCGAACCACAGTTGGAACCTGTCTACCAGGCAGTCCGGAGCTACCTCGAGATGGATCAACGAGTAAGCCTCCTGAACGAACGACTAGACGTCATCGCAGATCTTCTAGCTGTTTTAAAAGACCAGTTAACTCACCGACACGGTGAGTATCTGGAATGGATTGGTAAGTTATCTCTCCCGACTACCTGTAGTCATCATCACAAGTTACTAATGTGGACTCACAGTCATCGTTCTCATTGCTGCCGAGATCCTCGTCGCAGCTATCAATATCGTGGTCGACTTATACGCTGGCGTTGATTAAAGTCCCCAAGAGCAAAAGAGTTCATTTCCTCATACCCCCTAGTCTGCTTTACGGACAAACACCCCTATCTACATTTTATCTACGCTAATCCACATCTATCCTTTGCTGTACTGGTACCGGAACCGGGGCAGGCGAGTAGCATTACCATGCTAATATCTGCTATGGAGGTCACGCATCGCCATCCCATGTACTATACAAGATGACAATAGCCACACAGGCAGGTGCAAAGCCTGAACAAGTGTAATTTTATACCGGTGGACCCCTGCCACTGCTTCATCCAATACAAACATAGATATAGTCGAGTTTTACAACATGATCAGTATCCATCCCACCTATCCCACGAACTAAAATGTATTTTGCACCACCGTAATCACCAAAGACAAAAATAATAAGATAAAAAACAAACTCCCAGAACAGATCTTATTTTATCAAGTAAGAAAGGGAAAGGGAAAGGCAAACGAAACCCCCGAAAACCGGTAAAACCCCGTAGATATGAACGAACAACACAAAATAGAAAGAAGTACAAAGACTAAAATAATATAAAGATATACGCATCCCCAGAACGGATCCAAAACCCTAACTCTCTTCCTTCGGCTCCTTAGTATCCATATCCATAGGCGTCGTCGGCTCCACAGAGACATCTCCCTGACCTGGTTCTCTCGACCCGGACTCCGGGGCATGGCTTCCGCGATCACTGCCCGAGCCGGTGTTATCCTCCTTATCGTGCGCGGAACCGTTACCAGCCTGGATGCGGAACGAGGAGGTCATTTCCTCCTGCGACGGAGCGGGCGCCAAACGAGGAAGCGAAGACGATCCTGCTGCAGAAGAAGACTCAGGAGCATTATTCGCCGAAGGCGCAGCATCGTCATCACCGCCGGTATCAGCAGCGTTCGATTTCCGGGATCGCTTAACACGCAGGGGTCGTTCCTGGGGCTATAATACATAACATATTAGCTCAAGCTATCACCCAAAAATAAAGAAAGGGGGTTCACAAAGAAAGATTCAAAAAAAAAAAAAAAAAAAAAAAAAAAAAAAAAAA